TGTAGACCTGTTTTATTCTACCGTACCTTTACTTTTTATCTTAAATCTACTGTTACCCTCTGTACCTTTTCTTCCCCCTACATACCTCATCCTCCACCACTATACCCTACCATACCCAACCTACCCTACCCAATCCACTAAATCACCTTCACTATCTCAGTATACACGTTTAGTACTATAAACATAACCCGACCTTACCACACCTATTATACCCTTTTACACCCATAACAAGTTCGAACCCGCTCCTACGCTTCCCCCCCCTATCTTCCCTAAAAAACACTCGTAACAATGTTACTTAAAACCGATTATAACTTTGTTGTCACACATGCACCTACTACTATATCTTTTACTACCCAAAAACAGGACCTTCCGTTTACTTTACTTTACAAACAAAATAAACCTCACAACTTTGGGAATTTCGTTAAAAAAAAGGTTGGCATGGTACAAAATTTCAAAAATTTTGAAAAATAGTATGATTGAAATAACTTTCTTTACAGAACAAATCATAAAACAAATTTAAAAAAAATTTGTCGTTTTTATTAGTGAAAAGTAAGGCAATTTGACGACAAGAATTTTTAAACACATGAAAAAAAATTTTTTTTGCAATTTTGAAAATTTTCATGTTTAAAAATTTTTAAAAAATTATCAAGACAGTATCTACCCCTCCAAAAAATAAAAAAAGCTTTCAACCCCACTCATGCCAAGATTTATTTACTATCCACAGACATAACAAAGAAACTCTTGTTTTCCTCCAAAGATTAACAGAATCGAAAAAAACCCTTTAGGGAATTGCCACTTTTTAATAGCGAAAATCACGAACGGAGGCAATGTTATTATTATTTTGGAGTCTGAACAGTAATCATGCTTGTACTTGTGTTTTACAGTATTAATAGTAGTAGAGATACCAAAACGAAAAAAAAATTTTTAATTTGTATAAAAACCCTACCGTTTCCCCTGTCCATCCCTCCCCTATTTACCAAAGTTACAGTAATCAGACCTTACCTACCCTTGCCCTAGGCTTAGACACAGTTTTAGCCCTAGCCCGGCCCTAATTCTATCCTAAATTTACCCTAATCTGCCCTCACCTTTGCCGTTTCTTAGTACACTACCGTTGTCCTGCCCTAAACTAAATTTACCATATTCGTGCCCTAGCACTGTCCTAACCGTGTCCTACTCTAACTCAACCATCAGTTTTGTCTAACCCTCCTCTACCCTAGTCAGGCCTATCCCACTATTTTCTACTCTACCCTACTCTGTCACACTGTGCCCTACACAGTTTTACCCTACCCTACTCTATCATACCATACCCTACCTTGCTCTAACTGACTTATCCTACCCTACTCTATCATATCATATCCTACACTAACCTACCATACTCTCACCCCCAACGTACAGGTTCAATTTGAAAAGTGTAAAACTTCCTTGCCCTTTTCAAATTGGACCTCAAGAATCGTACACATCCTCCAAAACTTTTCCCGCGAATCCCTTAAAATCCATTTTTATGATAATTGTGAGGAAAAACTGGTCGAGTAAACAAATTATGCATACGTAGACTGAAGAGATGTAACAATAGCTTGTGTACAAAGACATTTATCACGAATCCTCGGAAAAACATTGCAAAAAATGTAAAAATGGGAAATGCAAAAACAATGTTCAGAAGATGTCTTAATGTGTATCTATATCAATAGCTTAGTGTATGTTTTGAACAATAGCATGGTGAATATTCGAACCAATGGCTTAATGTCTATTGCGTTAAGTGGCCAATAAACTGACACTTAAAACGGCTGGACATAGAGACATAGAGAAGAGAAGGAACAATGGCCAAGACAATATAAAGAAATCAGTTTAGAAAACTTGACAAATTTTTAAAAATTCAACAAGATAGGCTTATTCAGTATAGGATTAGTTGGCTTAAGTTTCGGTATAGTAGGCTCAAGCTTTTAATGCTTATAATTGTTAGGGTTAAGTAGGCTTTGCTTTAGTGAGCCCAGATTTAAAATTGATAAGCTCACGCTTAATAGGGTTACTATAATAAACTACATACCAAATTTGGCCCCAATCAGTTCACTTATAGCCAATTTAGATGGAGGTTAAAAACTCGATTTCTTCAGTATATTATTAGCAGTCATACTCTAAGAAAACTTGAGCTTAGAAGACTAAGGCTTTACATGTTTGGGCCTAGTAGACCTAGACTTAATATGCTTACAATTAGTAGGTTCAACCTAATTAGACTTAGGCTTAGAAACCTTAAAATTAGTATACTTAAGCTTAGTAGGTTTAAGCTTAGTAATCTTATGCTTAACAGAATTAAACTTATTAGACTTAAAGATAGTAGGCTTAACTTAGTAAACACTTATGGTGCCTTTCGGCTGAAACCAATAAATAAAATTTTATTTTAAAAACTTTTCATTTTGCCAATAGAAAAAATGACCAAGTCAATAACTACATATTTTAAATGTAGTTAGTGAAAAACGCACTCGTTTATGTTTATAATACAACAACACATGTTTCACAAAAGACAATGAAGAATTAGTCTTCAAGTGGAATGGCACCGGTAGTTAACATTTGTCAACTTTTTTCCTTTTCAACAAAATTTAAAGTTGAAATTTCAAAAATTTTGCCGAAAACTTTATGGCCTACCTTACAGTTGCCTACCTTACCTTACCATACTCTGCCCTGCACTATTTTAAATTATCGTACCATACCCTACCTTACTCTACCCTACCTCACGTTACCTCAACCTACTCTATCCTACCCTACTCTGCTTTGCAATACCCTATTCTACTTTACCCCACCCTGCCCAACTCTAACCCTACCCATTTCCCAAAGCCCTCTAAACTAAAATACCCGGCTGTCATTGATTAAAGCAAATAACTTGAAGTGACAAATATTGTTTATATTTTGTTAAAAGCTATTGACAACATGTGGAACTAATAATAATATCCGTTTTTCCTTCATTTTTAAGCAAGTTCATTAAACTACTGTAAACCTTCCCATACTCTACCCTACTTTACGCTATCCTACTCTACCCCATAATACCCTACCATACCGTAACCTACACTATCTTGCCCTACACTGCTCTACCATGTCCTGCCTTTTCTTACGTTACCCTACCCTACTCTACCTTTATATCGCCTTATAGTACAATCAACCTCTGCCACTTCAAATCAACCCAAGTTCGCTAAAACATTGTGAACTTTCGGGCTCAACTTCCTGGTTAACATTTTTAATTTGAAATTTTCTCAAATAAAATATAAATCTTTTTTAAGTGTCTACCCCCTCTTTCCACCCGTTTTGCTAAAGCGATTGGGGCCAAATGTCGCTTGATAAAGCCTCGAGGCTAATTTGTCAGATCGGCCGAAAACAATCGGAGAATTTGACATCGTATTTACGTTTTCCCCAAAATTTATCGAGTTATTATGAATTTCGAAACATGAAAAGCCTTTATTTCATCTTAAAATCTTGTTTTTATGTTATAGTAGGCTGAAATTATGGAAAACACTTCAATTTCGTATTTTTTGAAAATTTATTTAACAAACCACAGAAAACACCGTATTTTACTCAAGATACCATCATTTTAAAGAAGAACATAAAAAGAAGGCTAATAGAGAAGAATAAACACCAAAATTGATATTATCCATCCTCGAACTCCGTCTCAACTTTTTCAAATTTTAGGTGACAAAACAAAAAAAGCATCCTCGTACTTAACTCAAACTCTTCTATACTACGATGTAAAGAAGCATTCAAGCTCTATCTTTATATTATTCCTCTCAATTACCTAAAATCGGAACAAAAAACAATAAAAACATACCTTCATCCCCAATACTTCATCGAAAACCGCCGAATATCATGAAGAGTTGATTATGTATAACTAAAATACGTTGTTGAAAATGATATTTTAGTTTTATTGAAGCTTCTTTTGTCCAAATCTTCCATTCTTGGCCAACAATCGTCGATTTACCGAGAAAACCATAAAATTGTCAATGACATATTTTCTGGAAATTTCGGAAAATGTTTCGAAAACATGTCAACATGACAGGCTTTAAAATAGGGCGTTGTCTAGAAATATATTACATATTAGTTGTAAAGTCAATTAAAGACTCTTTAACAAAGATTTAAGCCATAGAACAATCAAGCACTGTTAAAGATGTTATAATGTACCTTGATCTACTACAACATGCCACAACATACAGAATACACAGAATACATCCCAAATTAATATGAATAATACTTTTTAATCAAGAAAAACGTTTTTATGAACAACATCACCATAATAAACACTTGGAATAGGAATATTTTTTGTTCTGTCATCAAAATATACATCGTTTACATCAATATGGTCAACTCTTCTTCCTCTCCTCCTGCTTTGTTCTCTATTGTTCTCTAATCGACCGGTAGGTGCATTTATAATACTTGTCCTTCTATTAGGTATGTTTGTAAGCTCTGATGAACTGTCTAATACGTGATTTTTAAAAGCCTTGGTACTTCTGAACAAATTTTGGAAATTCCTCGGTTGATTGCCATTTTCAATTGACTTTGATGAAAAAATAGGCTTATCAATACCAATGTTAGTAAACCTAAAGCTAGGGACTTCTGGTAGCTCTTTAGGACAGTTAAATACGTTGAGGAACAGTTGAGTAAAAATTAGCAAAAGTTCGGCGACAAACATGGCACAAATACCCAGCCATAAGCCTGATAAGCCTGCTATGTTGTTGAACAGGTTATAACCCTAAACATTTTAAATTATATTATGAAAGCTTTAAAATCTTTGTAGAAAGCTTAAGCAAAACTCAGACTGCTAGTCTAAGACTAAGCCTGAGTCTAAGCCAATCTTTAGGTTTAGCTTTAGCATTAAGGTTAAGCCTGAGTCCAAGTCAAACGTCAGTTTAAGCCTAAATCTTAGCCCAAGTTTTATAAGCCAAAGGCAACCTTTAGCCTTAACTATGTTAAGCCTCAGTCTAAGCCTAAGCCTAAACCTAAGCCTCAGCCTAAGCCTAAGACTAAGCCTTAACCTTAGCCTTGGACTTAGCCTAAAAAATGCTTACATTCATCATAGGAACTTCAGTAATCATCGAATACGTTAAATCTTGAAAAAATACAGTAACTAAACCACCATTTGTGTCATAATCGTCAACACAGCTTGAATAATTTTTTAAATCACAATCTGTCATTTCAAATCCGACAGTTGGCCACTTAGCTAAAGTTGTCATTACTGAATAAGCCTCTTCATAACACTCCAAATTACAATCGAATGTACTGTTGTAAAAGTCATTGTTTTTGGAAATGTAGTCGTTTAGGCAGTCGGCTGGAATTAATAATAATTTAAGTAAATATTATAAAAAGCTAAGGTTAGGGCTAATGTTAAGGTTAAAGCTATGGTTAAGGCTAGGGCTAGGGCTAAAGTCAAGTCTAAGGTTAGGGCTAGAGCTAAAATTACCTTGAGTTTGATTCAAAACAGAGCAATATATTCCACTTGGATGCTCAAACCTTGGGTCTGCACATGAACATTCTGAGAACACGGCTTCTTCAAAAGATGACCGTAGACAACCCTAAAACTTTTTTTAAAAGTACTAATTTTAAATGAAATTGATAAAATTTACAAGAACGTATTTTACAAAAGTTACCTTACTTCTAACGTATAATTTCCAGTGTAGTAATAGCTTTGATTTCTTTCAGCTATTGACTCCAGTGTGTCACAAACACCGTATGGATGAGATAATCGTTGGTATTGATTCTAAAACACATTTTGAAGTTTTAGATTTAAAAATTTTTGAAAACCTTTTAAATTCTACTACCCTGCCTTATATTACTCTACCCCCTACCCTACCCTACCCTACCCTACCCTACCCTACCCTACCCTACCCTACCCTACCCTACCCTACCCTACCCTACCCTACCCTACCCTACCCTACCCTACCCTACCCTACCCTACCCTACCCTACCCTACCCTACCCTACCCTACCCTACCCTACCCTACTCTTCCCTACCCTACCCTACCCTACCCTACCCTACCCTACCCTACTCTACCCTGCCCTACCCATCTTTATCTAACGATTCCATAACCAAAAGATTTTTACTTACCTTATCAATTCTAAAAATAGAATTACTGCCAACTTGTGCATATTCACCATAATTGTCTGGGAAAGCGTATTCTAGTTGAGAGTGAATGACAACTTTAAACCCGACTACTTCAATAAACGGTAGATATTCGTTTACTAGATAATATAATGTTAGTTCTAGCGCTGAAAAGAAAAACAAAATTTTGAAAAATTCTGTTTTAAAATAATTTGTATTTTAATAACGCTTCTTGTACTTTAAAAGTCCATATTTAAAAAAAATATACCTTGTTGGTTACCAATAGTGTTTGTAGAAAATGTAGAATTAGAGTTGACTGTGTAACAGTAGCCGTAATCAGGGTCGTATACTTGTTCGTAACTGCAAATTTTATATTTTTACAAAAGTTAGCCATACCTCTAGCCATAGCCTTAGTCTTAGTTTTAGTCTTAGTCTTAGTCTTAGTCTTAGTCTTAGCCTTAGCCTTAGCCTTAGCCTTAGCCTTAGCCTTAGCCTTAGCCTTAGCCTTAGCCTTAGCCTTAGCCTAGCCATAGCTCTAGCCGTAATCACCTCAACCTTAGCCTTGATCTTAGTCTGACCTTAGAATTAGGCATAACTCGAAAACCTAACCTTAAACATTATCCTAATCGTAAGCTCAAGTTTCATCTTAGGCCTAAGCCGGAGTCCATGTCTAAGCATATATCGGACCCTGAAGACAAAACTCACTATGTCTAAGCTCAAACTTATATTTTATCATAGCCTAGCTTTACAACAGTCGCACCCTTTCTTAGTATTTTCTATGTTACTGTACTAATAGTATGACCCTGTATCTCAAAGTAAATTTTAAACTTTGACTTACTTATCACTACAAGCAATATTTCCAAACTGGCAACTACGTATAAGCTCATCTGATGTTACAAACAACTCTTTTCGTTGTTCCAAAGTTAAGCCAGCAGCTATTGACGGCACTGTAGCCAACATTTTGGCGTTCAATGTTGTTGTGTAGTCTTCGTACTATAAGAGATTTGCTCTGTATTGTTTTTTACATTTGTATATATATTTTGTTTGTCAATCTCTATTCAAATTTTCAGGTACAGTAAGACTCTTGTATAACAAACTTATCAATACCGTAACTTTTTTTATAACAAAGCAACTTAAATCCTTGAGCGACTAGATTAGTTATACAGTAGATATACGGTACTTAAATATTGTATATATAAGCACTATCGTTTTACTACGTTAAACTTACATCCAACCCAACAAGTTGTTGTACTTCTTCAATTGTCATATTGTTTGGCAACAAATTTGATGGTGTTGTAGTAATGTCTTCAAATCTTGTAGTAGGATCTTTAGTTGCATCTTCAGTTGTATATTGCTCTTCTTTTTTATATGTCGATGTTGTAGAACCCATAGATATTGTTGATTCTTCTAAACTTTCTGTATAAGCAGTAGTAGTAACATAACTTGAAGTATAAGTCGTAGAAACTAACGTTGTTTTTAAGCTTGTGGTACTAGTGGTTGTGATAGAAGAAGTACTAGTAGGAATTGATATTGTACTTGTAGTAGTACTACTTGTTTTTGTGCTTGACATTGTTGAAATTGAAGTACTAAGTGTAGCTATGCTTGATGATTTAGGTTTAGCTGTAGTTGATAAAGTAGTAGTTGTTGTAGGAGCTACTGTAGATGTTGTTGAAGATATTCTTGTCGTAGTAGTAGTAATAGTAGTAGTAGTAGAAGCAGTTGTAGTACTAGTGCTAGTAGATAAACTTATAGTACTTGTTTTCATACTATAACTATTCATTTTTGTACTCAACCGTGTAGTACTCATTGGTGTAGTACTAGAACTAGACGTTAGACTGCTTTTTGTAGAAGTTACCGTACTTACGAATGTAGAGCTAGCAGGCTTGACAGTGGTAGTGGAAGTCCTTACAGTAGGAGTAGATAAAGAAGAAGATATAGTTGTAGGCTTTGAGTTTGATGTTACAGTAGTCTTAGTAGAAGTTGTAGTTGGTTTAGAAGTTGTTCTAGACGTTGTTGTTACTTTTACAGTAGTAGTAGTACTAGCTTTTGTGCTACTAGTACTTGTCGAAACATTTTCAAGCGTTGTACTCTTCTTTGTACTTTTATTTGTACTTAAAGTAGTACTTGTAGTTGTAGGTTTAGTGCTAGATTGTGCTGTACTTTGTGTTACGGTACTTGATTTTATTGTTGTACTAGTCACCGTAGCACTTTGGGAAGTTTTTAAGGTTACAGTTGTGCGTTTTGAAGTAGTACTAGAAATAGTACTATCTGTAGTACTGACTTTATCATCACTAGTTGTATCATAACTTTTTTCATCAGTAGTACTATGAGCTTCGGTACTTAATGTTGTACCTTCCCTAGTACTGCCTTCTTCATCGGCAGTACTACGATACACATCACTTCCAGAAGTACCGATGTACTCACCAGTAGTAGTACAACTGTACTTACTAGAAGTACTACTAAGTTCCCCATTGCTAGTAGTACTACAAAGCTCTTTAGTAGTACTAATAATCCTATTAGTTGTACTGTTAACCACCTCAGTACTACTACTGTACTCTTCAGTTGTGCTAGGCATATAGCATATAACCGGATCGCTTTGGCCAGGTGGAATTAGCTGAGAAACTTGTTCCATTGTCTGCATATCACACAGCATTTGACAGAGTAAAAACTGAGTCGTATTACAAGTTACAGTACACTCGGATACTGTTTCATTATTGCAAAATATCTGACTTGACGTGTAATTCCAATTGTCAAGGAATTCTTGCTCACTTTCAATGCTTCCTAGGAAACGCCAGCGGTCCGAACCGTAGCCGCATACTGTAAAAAATTAAATTTTTTTATAATGATGCCATTACAGTCGCTACCGTGCTCTGCCGTTCCCTGCCCTACCCTACCTACCCTACCCTACCTACCCTACCCTACCCTACCCTACCCTACCCTACCCTACCCTACCCTACCCTACCCTACCCTACCCTACCCTACCCTATCCTATCCTATCCTACCCTACCCTAACAAACGTTAACCTAACCTAATATACTGTAACTTTTCTTCACTTATACTGTAGCGTATCTTCTCCGCTTAATGAAGATACGCTACTAGCTGTACGGCTCTATCCTAAAGTTACTTTGGCCGTATTCTGGACTAGCCCATCCTACTCCAAGCCTTGTTATAGCCTTATCTTAGCCATACTGTACAGTACCCTACCCCATCCTGCCCTATTTTGTCGTCTTCTGCTCTACTGTACCCCTGTGCTTGCTAACTCTTTTCCCTACCCTCGCGATACCCTTAACCTATGTTTGCCATACCCTTGTCTTACACATGCTTTCCAATTGTTTTATGCTACCGTATTCCTAATATGGTCATATATCAGCATAGTCTAACCCTGACCCTACCATACTCTACAGTATCCACAACCTACCTTCAACCTGTCCATCCAGTACAACATAATCTCCAACGTTTTTATATCTATACATTAAAAGCTGATCCAAGTCCGTAGCCATCGATTCAGAACCATTAAAGCTAGAACTAATATCAACCAGTTTCAATGCCAATAAAGTAGTGATAGGACCAGTATTCGAAAGCCAATGAGAGTCGATGATAAGACTTGGATTACAAGAAAATATAAAGTCAAATAAATCGGTCTCTTGCCAGATTGTGACGTTTGTAAATGGGGCAAAGAACCAGTTGTAGACACAGTTGTTTATCATGTTAAACATGGCATTTGCGTAGTAAGGTGAGATTGTGGAGTTTACCGGAGTAGTGTATTGTCCTTAAATTTATAGTCCTTTATCCTTGCTCTACCTCACCCTACCCTATCCTACCCTACCCTACAATACAAAGCCCTACCCTACCCCACTTACCCTTACCTAGTCCATGATTCAATAACCCATCATTTATTAACTTATGTTACCTTAACCCAGCCCCAATTTAAACCTAAAATACCTTTCTTTATCCTACTATACAGATACCTTATCTTATCTATCATTACCCTACAGTAACCTCGAAAAACCAAAAAAAAATTTTTTTTCTACTTACCAACAGTAACTGTACTTTCATTACTATCCTCATTCGAAACAACTACCATGCTTTTACCACAAGTCAGTTTATAAGATGTTGAGTTAGTAGTCACTGTTCGTTTCCTTCGACTTGAAGTGATTTCAGTAGAATCATCAGAAGTTGATTCTGATGTGTTTTCTGACGCCATGAACTTCTTTTTCTGGTTCAATGTGTACAAGTAGGTTTGGACCTGAAAGTAATGAACTGTCTACTTTAATTTACCCTGCCCCGTCTTATTTATATTGTTTTGCCCTAGCCCTACCCTTATCCGTAGATCTAACACTAGCTCAGCTCTCGTCCTAACAATAATTCTAGCATAATTTTGGCTCTAGCCATAATTCTAGCCCTCGCCCTAGTCTTTGTCTTACTCGTTTCAGTCCTTGCCTTATCAATATACATCGCTCTAGCCCTAGTTAAACTTATCTTTTAGGAGACTTACACTACCTCTTATCTACAGTCGCAGGGCATGTACACTTACCAACGAATTCAAATCATCAGAAACATTGACTTCACTGACTTTGAAAGGGTTCAATGAGCATACAGTGACTGCTGGGAACGGCTGTGGGTGTTCTTGAGCTAGCTAAAATATTAGGTATTGATATACCTAAGATAATAAGTATTATATTAAGTTGTCCACATAATTCTGTGCTTCCCAACCTCGCAAATTTACTTTCCATGGAGCACAAAATTATTTGCACAACCTAATATAAAGTCAAGGTCTTATTGTAAAACCTTATAAATCGGCGACAAGACTTTTGTGGCACTTTTAAAATGCATTTTTCTTATTTCTAGTCGAAACTATATACAAAAAGGCTATTTGAACGTACAAAAACATACCATAATATTAGTATTTTTAAGATACTTCAAGTAATCTCGGACTGATAAAGCTGTTTGTACTAGAAAAGCTGTCGTTATACCAAGTAATACTATAGTCCATATTACACATCCAAGCTTGTATTTTGGACAATCCTATTCTGTTGATGGCTAAAACATATTATAACAAGTATTAAAACAAAAAACATGTTATGATAAGTACTACAAAATAAATCCAATATTATCTTACGTATGAAACTAGTCCATTTGAAGTAGTTGTTCAAGAAAATACGAATATTAGCTAAAGTAAACATCACTTTGCCATTTATAATGCAAAACAATATTAAAATAGCGAAGACTAGAGCTAGGGCTGATTATAAAACAATATTTTGTGATCAAAAGATATAAATTAGTATAAAAAAACCATCTTCTTAGTATAGTTAAACCATCTACTTAGTATAGTTAAACTATCTTCACCTTGTCTTAGATAAAGAATCCTCAGTTTTGTTAATATTATAAAGAATTGGCACGAAGTCTCCTAATTAGCTACTATAACATCTGAAGCTCCTGTTTCTTGGCTACAAATACGTTTTTTTTTCTTTTAAAAAATAAAAAAGGTGTTCGCTTTGCCATAATTAACGGAATTTTAACAAATTTTTCAGTTTCAATATATATTAGCAATTTTTGAAATTGAAAAAGAATAAAATTTTGCAAAAAATTCTTTACAAAACACAAAATGGCAAAAACTTTCCTTACAAAACAAAATGTGGCAGAATCTCAATGCAAAATTGGAAAGACAAGAAAGTATTGTCGCATTTTTAAGCGCAAAACAGTAGTGAAAAGCGACAACACTTATTTTTGACGTTTTTAAGCGACAACACTTATTTTTGACGTTTTGATACATCAAAAATAAAGTTTTTTTAAATTTATTTCCAAAAAAGTAAACTTTCTTTTAAAAACTAAAAATTTAATCATTTTTTATTACAGCGCAGTTCAACTTATATTATACAACCCGTTATGAAAGAAATTGACCAAAACATATTAAATTTGATCAATATTAAGACCCAACATACTAAATTATTAACAATATTAAAATTATCAAGACAATGTAGAACCAAATGAACATAAATAAGAATAATAGAGATCATTCGATAATAAATAGTGAAACACAACAGGTATGGCACAAAGTTTAGGCAGGGGTACAAAGGTATTTAGTATGTATGGCTATTTATGACCTTAACCTTTAAGTATAACGATAATTCTGACGAACAAAGATGTCATCCAAACAAGAATCTATATCTTTATCAGGTATGTCATTGAACGGATGGTTAACACGATGAAGAGAGTGCTCTTTACGTCCATCATCGGCCAGGGCACTAAAAAGCCACTTTTTATTGAGTATAAACCTTTTTCCTGGCTTTTACTGTTATCCTATCCCCAATAAATAACGTTTCTACACCTCCTTTACTATAAAACTAATTTAAAGCCCAAAATCATTAAAATATAAAGCTTAAAATCAATTTAAAACTTAAAATAAGCAATATTTAAGCCCCTAAAACAATAAAATAAAAATAAAAAGTATATTTACTTTCCTAAACATTAATATAACAAAGCTTCCACTTACAAACAATCTTCACGTGAAGCAATCTCAATATGCTCTTTAGACACTAACATGTTCTTGTAATAATTACTCTTGAGGAATTCCTTCTCCCTTTGATTCTTCGTGACTCTGTCCACCATCTCATCAGTGATTTCCCAAGATGGATTTGCGTCTAAAAATGTATTCTTTAGCTTCCTTGTGAATACTTTGATTTATCTTTTAAAACAAAATATGGTACGTTTAAAGCTGTCTATACTGTTTTATATTGCTTTTTTCGCATATTATACATGAAATAAAGTTTTAAACAAAATAATAACACAATATAAAATTCTTCAAAATATAAAAAAAGTCCGTTCAAAACCTTCTACAAAGACTTACTTTGTCTAGTATAATGATAGGTAAAGTCTTTGTCATAACAGCCTTCAGCTGGATTCCAAATTAAGACAGTACCATCATTCATGATCCGTTGATGTCCACTTTCGATAAAAGGAAACAATTCTTTTTCCTGATCCTTGTAATACGCTTCTAAAAAGTATGAGGTTGTCATAAAAGTCTTTGACTTTGAAATTTTAAATCCCATTTTCTAGAATTTGATTAACAGAATACAATTTTAGCCATAGCCTTCAATGATCCCACTTTAAACAAAGTTTTTAATGAGAAACATAAAATTCATTTTTTTTAGGTAGTATAGTCATCGCTAGTCTAAAAACAAAAAAAATAAATTCAAAAACATGCCAGTCAACCTCTTTTGATGTTGTAGTTCGCTGGCGGAAGGCGCTCTTGGCAACATTTCTCTAAAAAAAGCCATAATATTAATTGAAAACCTTACAAAAATTTAAAAAAAAGTTATAAAACATCAAAAACCATACTGTAAACAATTTAAACAATTTTTTAATTTATGTTAACAAAATAATATTAATGTAGCGAAATGCCACGAATTTTAGCAAGCGCAAGCACTTCTTCTCGGTCACGTCACGAAAAACGAGAGATTACTGTGGGAAAAATAAATTTTCCCATTCTGAAGACTTTCTTTTATTTTTTACTCAATTTTAATTTTTAACTTGTGATTTTAACTTTTCTTGTGCATTTTTTATCTGAAATTGTTTATTTTATGTTTGGTTTTGTTAATATTATTGCATTTGAGATCTTTATATTATTTTAGCTTGAAAATTTAGACTTGGAATTTCTTTTAGAACAAAAATTAATTTCGGTTTTTTTAACCTAGTCTAAAATTATGGTTTTATCGTAAGAAATTGTTAGAAGAAACTGAAGATTGTATATTAACTTTATTCAATATAATTATCGAGGTTTTGCATGTTTTACGAATTTTATATTGTTTTACTTTTCTTACCTGTATTTTTGTAGGGATGCCACCAAAGAAGAAGGAGACGGCCTCCAAGGCTCCAGCCAAGAAGAAGGAAGGAGGAGGAGGCGGAAAGGCCAAGAAGAAGAAGTGGTCCAAAGGAAAGGTCAGAGACAAGTTGAACAACACTGTTCTCTTCGACAAGGCCACCTATGACAAACTTTACAAAGAGGTGAGATTTTGTTTTACTGTTTTTAATTTAGGTATAGTGATGTTGAATGCTGCTGAAGCTATTAAAGGGGAAAAGTTGAGGTTAAGAAAGGATTTCTAGTTTTTGTGGAATTTTTGATGCTTTAAATGGGTTGTAAAGTGGTTTTAGAGCTTTATTATTTTAAAAGTTAGCTGAAAAGGTTCTTTATAATTCTGAAAACGACCTTTATAGTCTTGAAGACGTCAAAATGCTCTTTATATGTCTAACTTTATCAATTCCAGATCGTTTCCGTGAAACTCATCACCCCATCTGTTGTTTCCGAACGTCTGAAGGTCCGTGCTTCGTTGGCTACCGCTGGTCTCCGACAGCTTCAAGAGGAAGGACACATCAAATGCGTTGTGAAACACGGCTCTCAACTTGTCTTCACTCGCGCCACCAAGGCTGAAACCGACGAATAAACATCAACATTCATCGTTATTGGCTTTGTTTTCTCTCTTTGTTTATTGTTTTATTGAAATAAATACTGTTGAAACTTTAATTTTGGTTTTTATTGGATTCTTTTGAGTGTAAGGTTGCTTTTATAACCATAGAGTACAGAAGGAATGGCAAATATGTATAAACCATGATATCTTGTATAAAAATACCATGAATATGAAATACAATGTTCGAAAATCTAATTATACGTTTTTAAAAAGATAATGTGATAAGTGTGACGTCATTTTGATACCTATTTTACATCAGAAAGGTCGCGTACACGAACTTCCCTATACATCTCGTTTAATCATTTGTGGCATTCCGTTTTTCCGATAGAAGGATATCGAAGCGCCACCAAATTTATTATGAAAAATATTATTCTACCTTTTTTACAGTTTTATACTCTTGCCTCTAAATTATCGTTACGAAACAGTTTTGTGAAGGTTTATTGAGTTTTAAAATATTTTTGTTATGTTCTTTATATTAATATACTTGTTATCTTTTCGAATCTTTCAATTTCAGGTAAAATGAGCAAAGAAAATCCAACAGAATACGTTACATTCAACCTTGATTCTAATATTAAGGAGATTTCTGATGTTGAATTTTCGAAAAGGTCTTCAAAAAAAGTTTTTACCAAAAACCCACGGCTCAATAAAAAGAAAATTGTTAAAACTAACAAGAAACGAAAGTCTTTGATTGAAAAAGTAGAAGTTGATGAAAAGAAGATTCAGGAGAACGATGTGGACGACATTTCCGAGCTGGAACCACAACGTGTGAAGACAAAGTTACATGTTAAGAAGATTACCAAGAAGAAGGAGAACTTTAGACAAAGGATTGAAGCTAAAATACGGGCGGAAATATTGAATGCTGAGGATAATGGGTAAGATATTGAGTTTTTTGTTTCTTTTTTAGGAAAAACGACGACGTTTTTTGCATGGAGAACGTTATTTCTTTTATTTTGAGGCATAAGGAAGGTGTTTTTCATTGAAAAAGAAGGTTTTGAGGCAATAAAGTACCTTTTTTACTATTTTTAAACTTTTTTAATGTACCATACTTTAATTTAAAATTTTTCAGTGGTATATCGCTAGACGAAGGTAAAGAAACTTACTTTCTTGAGCAAAAAGACATTGTATCAGCTGTTGACATTGCTGCAGCTTCGAAACACTTTACTTTGGACCTGGATTATGGTCCATATAAAGCAAAGTACATCCGTAATGGCCGTCACTTACTATTAGGAGGACATAAAGGGCATCTTGCTGCTTTTGATTGGATGACCAAGACTTTACATTGTGAAGTTAATGTGACTGAAAAGGTGAATGATGTAGCTTGGCTACACTCGGAAAACATGTTTGCTGCTGCACAAAGGAGATGGACTTATATTTATGACAAAAACGGGGTGGAGTTACATTGTATTAAGACATTGTTTAATGTTCATTCACTGGAGTTCTTGTCTCGTCATATGTTGTTGGTAGCTATGGTATGTTTATTTGGTTTTGTTTGGATTTTTAGGTTTGTAAAGAAGGTTTTTTTTGGCTAATTTAAGTTCTGTAAAGAAAGTTCTTGCCACTCTTTGTTTTGTAAAGAAAGTTCTTGTCATTTTTTCTGTTGTAAACGGTATTATCAACTGTTCATCATCTATCACGTCATTTCAGAGTAATGAGAACATGCTCAGCTACCTGGACGTCTCTACTGGTCAGATGGTTCAACAATGGCGGATGAAACAAAAAGATTCAACATGTATGACCCAAAACCAGTCCAATGCTATCATTGTCAGTGGGAATACGAAAGGCGTGGTAGCCATGTGGTCACCGAACAGTAAAGAGGCTCTAGTTGAGATGTTGACTCATAAAGCACCATTAAGTGGCATTGCTATCAACAGAGATGGTAAAACTATGGTTACTGTGGGTTTGGATAAACAGTTGAAGATCTGGGATCTGAGGAATCATCAGGAAATGGCAGCATATCGACTACCGTTCCCGCCAAGCCAGGTTGCGATCAGTCAAATGGGCCAAATTGCAGTGGCTTGTGGTCAGAATGTGCAGGTAAAGGTTGTGTGGAAGCGATTTTTTCGTTTGTAAAGAAAGTTCTTGCTTTTTTGTTCTGTAAAGGAAGTTTTTGCTACTTTTTGTTTTGTAAAGAAAGTTTTTGCCATATTTTTTAAATACTTCAACTTTAAAGTAATAAAACTTGCCATTTCAGGTATATTCTGACCCCAATATCAACACAATAACCAAGCCCTACCTTCAATACCGTGCCCCAGGCACTGTCTCATCCCTTCAGTTCTGCCCATACGAAGATGTTCTTGGAATTGGCCATAGCCATGGCTTCGCTTCCATCCTCGTCCCAGGCTCAGGCGATCCAAACTTTGATGCCCTCAGGGAGAATCCGTACGAGACCAAGAATCAGCGACGCGAACGTGAAGTACGACAACTCATGGAGAAGTTGCAGCCAGATATGATCACATTGGACCCAACTCAGATCAACAAAGTCAATCGAAGCGAGTTGGACAAGAAAATCGAGTACCGAGATACTGTTATGCACTATGCTGATGCCAAGAGTATGAATGTTGATCCATCGAGGTATTACCAGAGGAAAAAGACCTTGAAGTAGGTGGTAAAGTATTCATATGAAAATTTTATGTTTTCTTGTTGATTTTATATTGTTACACATTGTTAATGTTGATTTATACTTTAATAAATTCTTTTTTGTTTTTTGTTTTGATTAAGAATTGGTATTTTGAACTGCGCGTATTTTACTTGCTTTATGTTCTGCACGGTGCAAAAAATAGAAATTTTGAACGGTGCAATAAAATAAACTTTTTTTTTTTCAATTTTGTTCAAAATATATACGGAAACTTATAAAAAATCTTAATGATGATTACATCTCCTAAAGTTTTAGTTTACATTAGTTTTTAACATATCCATGGCCAGAGCCAGTTATTATACAATATTATATCTGCTTTAGCCTGGAGCCAGTGAGGGGAGAGGAAGGAATTGGTGTGGTTCCTTGGTAATGTTTTTTTTTCAAAAAAAAGTTTAAATTTCGATCTGTAGACAAAAAAATTTTTTTTTGGTTTTTACCCCTCCTTCGTAGAAAAATTCTGTAGAGACGTCCCAGCCTGAAGAAAAAGGTTTTTTTTTAATTTTGCATGTCATTGTCTTTCTTTTTTCCCCAAATTTAGCAAAATAAAAGTGCATTCAAACCAATCAAATACTCTAAAAGGCTAACGAAGCTGCCCCAAAATTAATGCAAAAAGCCGACTGTCCGAAAGCAGACGTTCCGTTTCAACGTTCCTTTTGTTCTATACTACTAAGAGTAAGGGAAGGCGTTCGAAATATTCAAAAGGAAGGTGTATGTGGTTTAAATATTAGTTTAGTTTGTATTTTACATTATCTCTTTTACAGTTAAAGGCCGGGCGAGGGGTTTTGTGACGAAGATGGGGCAAAAAATGTGGCACACAAAAAATTCTGTTTTTTAAAATTAAGAAAGGAAGAGAAGGGGGAAGGTTATACTTTTTACTAAAATTTTGTTGGAAGAGGGGGAGGAAAGATTTGATTTGCCCTCCTCTAAGAATGGTGAAGTCAGGTTGTGGTCTGGTAAAGTTACAGTATGGTTTTTATGGGTTATTTTAGATGGCAAGGTAGGGTTTGGTAAGGTAGGGTAGGGTAAGGTAGAATAGGGTAGGGTAGGGTAGGGTAGGGTAGGGTAGGTTAGGGTAGGGTAGGGTAGGGTAGGGTAGGGTAGGGTAGGGTAGGGTAGGGTAGGGTAGGGTAGGGTAGGGTAGGGTAGGGTAGTATATTCTTCATTCTCTGCAAAAAATATTGCCATATCTCTTGGTCATCTTATAATTTCATAATAAATTTTCACAGTATTACTGACTCATAATCCAACATGACAATAATGGTCAACATGTTTCCAAATCAGTCACATTTCGTATTTCTAAAGATTCCAAAGTCAATTGTTTTATGTAAAAGGATCGCGTGATTTCGGAAATAATTTCATTTTGATTTATTCGAATTCAGAAGGCTCTTCCGGCTGACCACTCACGAGAGGCTGCTCATTTGGTCACCCGCCTATGTTTTTAGCCCAATGTATAGTTTCTGGCGTTTATTTTTAGACTGATCTTTAAAAATGTTTTCTTTTTTTTTATTTTTAGGAGGCTTGTGAGCAGGCTTGGACGTAGGGCAGGGCAGGGCCGAATTTACGCAGCCCGAGGGCCGGGGTCTGGCACAGAGGGCAACGGCCTACGTCCAAGACTGCTTGTGAGCCAAACCTGTAAAGGAGATGGACCAAGGCTAGCTTGCTCTAGATCAAAACGGAAGCCCACACGGATCGGCTTCGGATTGTCCTTGGTTAAGCATAAGAAACAAGCCGGATCTAAATCTTAAGCCAGGCTCGATCCAAATTTTGCTTAGGCCCGGCCCGACCTAAATTTGGGTCAGGTCCGGCTCGTTCCTCATGTCTAGAGTCGGGCTGGGCAGGGCCAAAGCAAATTTGAAAAAGGCTGAGTCGGGATTGCACATGTCGGTTTAAGGGCCAATGATTTTTAAAACATTATTTTGAGGCGATGTTCGGTTTCAGACGGGAGGGGGGGGGGTAAATAGGTTGTGTGGTAGGAGTTCAGGGGTAGAGGTAGGGATAAGAGTACGTTTTTTATTGCAAAAGTTTTATGCCGGAGGTAAAGAGAGTAAAAAAATGGAAATTTTTTTGGTAAATAATATTTTGTAATTCTTCTAATATAATAATTGTAATATCAAACACTTTTAGTCAATTGACTGTTTTCATTTGTAGCTTTACTTTTTTCGTAACCTACATTTTTTTAAACTACAATTTTTTAACTTATTTGCAACTAGTAAAATGTATATATTACTATGAAACGTACAATTAAATAGGTTTTACCACAAAGAACACTTAAAGTATGTAAAATTGTTTTACAATTCTTATGTCACTTTATGTTAAAGTAGCTAAGCGTGTTCTTGTGTTAGGTTATCCTACTTCTGTTCTTGACATTACAATTATAATAGCTGTAGAGCTCTGGGCTAGGGCTCTGGGCTAGGGCTCTGGGCTAGGGATCTGGGCTAGGGCATCGTGTCACAACTATAATACTACAAAATGATATCAATACGATTACCTACATAGACTACCCTTTTAATCTAATCACTCCAACTCTTGCAAACCTCGAATTATATTAAAAGCTGACCAAACACTAACATTGCAGAGTTTCCTGCGTAAAACCATTAATCTTTCCCACTTTTTTTGGGGGCACGGAACGCTGGCTGTCAGTTATATTCAACGTTCTCTGTAATTTCACCCTAATTTTTTTGTTTAATCTTTTGTTAAATCCTTGACGCGTATTGTGTTGAATTATACTTTATATAGGTGTAAGTTGACATGCGGCAGGGTTTTGTTGTAGTAGGTATGACATTGGGCCGAACTGACTTTCGAGTTGGAAGGTGTAGGCTAGTCGGTGTAGCTTTAAAATGGATTTTTTTAAAATTTTTTTTGTTACCCTACCCTACCCTACCCTACCCTACCACCCTACCCTACCCTACCCTACCCTACCCTACCCTACCCTACCCTACCCTACCCTACCCTACCCTACCCTACCCTACCCTACCCCTACCCTACCCTACCCTACCCTACCCCTACCCTACCCTACCTTACCCTATCTGACTCTACCCTGTCCTAACCAACTTTACCCTACTTTACTTTGCTCTACCCTGCCCTATCTCACTTCATCTTACCCTACCATACGTTAATTTGCCTTACCTTAAGTTTTTAGCTCTACCTAACTTTTATCTCCCCTAACTTAGTTTATCTTTCGCTAACTTACTTTACGTTACCCTACTCTACCATACCCTTTCATACTTTTACACTACTTCACCCTGCTTTACCTTACTTTACCCCTCCCCATCCAGAATGCTTTTTCTGCTCCCTACCAGCCATAAATTAATTTTTTTTTTATTTTCAAAATTTTTAAAATTTTAAAATAATTCATTAATCATAATTTCAAAAAATTACGTTTCTTTTCGCTCGTTCCATATCATTTATCGAAACCGCCAATTCTGTTTTTAAAATTTATTTTTAGAACGATGACTGATCAATTGGATATTCCCAAAGTGGCCACATCGCTTTCGCTGGACTCGTCTGGCCTGAAAATGGAAAGCGGCCACGAATCCATGTGCTCAGTGAACCCAAATCACAATGACGAAATGTATGTGGAGGCACGGAGAGATCGTTGTTGTTATAGGTAAGTACATTCCTAACCCAAGCCTAGTCCAAGCTTAGCCCTAGCCCTAGCGCTAGCCCTAGCCTCAGCCCTAGGTTAGCCGAAGCCTAGTCCACGGTTAGCCCAAGCCTAGCCCAAGCTTGGCTCAAGCCTAGTCCAAGCCTAGCTATAGCCCAGAGCCCTAGGTTTAACCCTAGTCCAAGTCTATCCCAAGCCTAGCCTTAACCTTAACTTTAGCCGAGTAGTAGCCTAAACCAAGCCCTAGCCGTTTTCCTAGCCCAAGCCTGGCTCAAGCCTAGTTCAAACCTAGCTCAAGCCTAGCCTAAGCCTTAGTCCTAGCTTCAGACCTAGCCCAATCCCTAGCTCTATATTTAGCCTATTAGGAGCTTAGCTCAAGACTAACCCAAGCCTAACCCTAAAAAAACTTTTTAAATCTACCCTACTTTAGCCAATTTTAGCCAGTATCATATCTACAAAAACTGTCCTCAATATTTTTAAAATTTGAAAAACGTCTCCCCCCCCCTTTTTCCCATCCCCCCGCCATAACTTAATAATGCACTCTAAGCTGGCTGAATAATTTATTATGATTTGCAAATTACTTATTTTGCAAGACTTTTCGAATTCCTTTACCCTTCTTATTTCTCCACTCCCACAGGCCACACGAATGCGAGAGAGTGTTCAGAGAAAGAGAGGGAACGGAACGGGGGGCGGCGTTCCTCATTCCTCTATCCCTTTCCCTTTGTTTGAACTTTAAACACTGGCAAAAACGCCAAAAATTGATCGGCCTAGCCTTGGGGATTCGCTGGGAGTGGGTTTTTGGGTTGGGCGGGGTAAAAATGTAGGTTTAATTGAATAATTCTCGGGAAAAAATGAGATTTTTAGGAATTTTTTGGCAGAAGAAAGCTGAAACAAGAGCTGTATTTTCAACAAAAAGTTAAGTTATTAACCATGCCGGCTAGAGATTGAGTTTGAGCTAATAGTAAGACTAGAGCTTAGGCTCTGGGATAAGGCTTTGGGCTAGGGCTCTGGGCTAAGGCTCTGGGCTAGGGATCTGAACTAGGGCTCTGGGCTAGACCTCTGTGCTAGGGCTCGAGCTAAGGCTATGGCTCTGGGCTAGGCTTAATACTGTTGATTTTTTGAAAAATTTAGAAGACACCAGGAGTTCAACTGATGGGCATTGTCTGATAATTTATGAGTTTTTTTTTCTGATTTGGCGATTTTCGAAACAAAAGAAACATTGACGTGGGCTAATCGTATAAGTGGTGGTTTTGGCGGATTATAAATTGGTTACGTACTTTCATGCCTTTAGGGTTGAATTTCAAAAAAAAGTTTTTGTTTGGGTTCTTCGAAATAAAAAATTTTAAAATGTTTTTACTTTACCATGCCCTATGTTACACTACCGTAACTTACTACCAGATCCAATTTTGTTCTGTCCTACCTTACCCTACCTTGCCTTGCCTTACCATACCTAAAATTTTACAAAAATCCAAAAATCACACTGCTTTAAATCTTTTAAAAAAGTCTTGTCGCTCTTTGTCAAGCTTTTGCAGCTTAAAAAGTGACAAAACTTTTTAAACACTATTTTTGTTATGTTTCTTTTGCAAGTTTCCTATCATTTAATTATACCTTAAGTTAAATTTGTTTTTTAAATCACGTACATGTTAAACTATAATTAAATTATACCATAATTTCGTGCACCTGACAAAGCAACCTACCTTTACTTCTTTGATTGGATGTTAAACTTTGAACATTCGTCAGTGCTTTTCAAGTGGCTAAATTTAAGAATTGACGGCTTCTGAAGCTTCAGAAAACGTATTTTTTTAAGATTTATAAGTTTTGCCTAATACTCTGCTTTATAGCTTGCGTTAATGGCCAAAAATCTTCACCTAAGTCTACTACAACATAAAAAAGTCAACGTTTTAAAAGAAATTTTATAAAAAAAACCTTGAAATACTAAAAGGTAAACTTACTTTCTTACCGGAAACTCCATCGAATTTAATATTCCCGTTCATTTTCTTACCAAAAAAATTTTTTTTGAGTTTCAAACGCGAGAAGTTTCCGCCTTCTGGCATTGCGCACCACTTGTCATTCTCTCACCGGATTCTCGGGCATTTTCCACATCATTCTCGTTTCTTCTGACTCGCTGTTTTTTCCAAAACTTTGAGGGTTTTATACTTTTTAGATGATGGATATTGGCCAGGTTCTTGATAATTGACTTTGAAGTTAGATTTTTAGAAGGTTTTAGGGGTTTTGAGTAATATGTGGTATTTTATAACGATGTATTGGTGGAAGATAATGTTGTTATGTTTGATTAGATTGTTGTTGATGTTATAGCATAAACATTGATAGGTTTTAAACGAAAGTGTTGGGATTTGCAAAGGATTTTGAAAAGTTTTTAGATATTGATGGGTCATGGATAATATCGGTTATAGCTTATTAGTCCTTTTCTCTTGCTGTTTATTATTGCTATAGTCAGATCCTTTAGGTTATGATAAATCTTTTAATATGCAATTTAGAAGGATTTATTGGGATTTTTATAAAGTTTTGGCATTTTTCTTTAGGGTTGTTGGATGTTGGTAGTGGGGTGGATAACATTGTCTGTAACTTGTTGTTTCTTTTCTTCTGTTATTTCTGGTGATGTGAGATAGATTCGACAATGTATTTTCAACATTTTTATTTATAATTTGATATGTTTTGGTTTGAATTTTCATAAGATTTTGCTGTTTTCCTTTAGACGCCTCCAAGGCATCATGGTTAATATGTTTTCGGCCGTTTTCGCTTTGTTCTTTCAAAATTTTTTTATCTTCATTTCTTCCGTAGATTCTTCATTGAAAAAGGAACTTAAAAAGATAACTTTCACTGTAATATAAGTGATATTTCATCCAGTACACATTCGATAATAGAATCATACCTAGTATTCCAAAGAACTTTTAATACCCAACGAATTAATCGCATTTTATACGAGATAATCGGTGTAATAAACGTGCCATTAATACACTGGCGACTGCATTTGACATGTGCTAATAATAATGCGGATTAATTAGGGTTTCGACGTTTAAAATGGGCTTTTAAGGCTAATAGGCTAGTGCAATGTCTTGAATAGATTAAGATTATACCGGTATATTACTAAAAAAGTCATGTTCTATTGTTATGTACGTGGTGTTCTTGATGTTTAGAGGTATTTTAACGATCTCTGGTCAGTTTGTTTGACCAATGATGGGAGTGGCGAATGTTATAGTAGGTGGCGTAAGATGATCAATGTCAAATGCATATTTGAAGTTAGATTATGCAACATAGGTCAAAAAGGATGCTGAAACGCTTCTGATTTTAAATCTGATAGTAAGAATTTAAAATTTTTTTGTTTGGCCCGAGTTATGGCCGGTGTAAAGACACTATTCCCTAAATTTTTGCTGTAACTCAATTTCAACCTAAAACTTTTAAGTTCAGTATAATATATATGGTATTTTAGGCTTAATTTGAACGGAAATGGCATAGCTTTGCGGGTTAATTGATGTAACTTGAGCTGTTCTTGGGTTTGATATTGGTTGTCTGGCTTAAAAAGGACCAAGAGGTTGAGAACAGGGCTTAAAAGTGAGTTGTAGTAGATGGGTCAAGGTAATATGGTGTTTTTTGCTAATATTTTGGTTTTTCTGTGAGGAAATAAGCTATGGAAAGCTAGAATAAGATTCATTATACTCTTTTTTTAGTGTTTATAATGTTTAATTTTGTCATTATTTGACGTGTTTTGGCTCTTTTCGTAGCCTCGGTTTATGAAATCAAGTATAATATCATTTTTCGATTTTTTCGAACTTATTTGGAATTCTTTTGTAAAAATTTTGTTAATAACATGAAAGAGATGTTCATGACTAATTTTGGTTTTTAGCTCAGCCTTACTGGCACATTTGCCCTCACACTTTGATCTCCCTGGACCGAGCACTTCAACCCAAGGATTGCTGAACAGAAACGATTCCCGAAGTCTCAACTTTATCCACGAGCATGTATGTTGTTTATTAGTGTTTTCATGTTTAGGATTTTGAATTTGGAAGGAATTGGAATTGAAAAGCTAGAGTTATAGGTAAAAAATGATGTTGTAGTAGACGTGGTTCTTTCGCTAAAAATTGAAATTTTTGACGTTTTTGGTTGAAAATCTTTGGGAAGTTTTTTGGAATAGTTGCGTAACGTTTTGAAGAAGTTTTTAAGGTTAATATGAGGAAAGTAGAATATGATTTTAAGGTTGTAGTTTTGTTTTTGATTGGATTCAAGGTGTTATATTTTATCATCAATATTTTGTCATTTTAGCGCAATAACATCGCGAATAGAAGCTCAGAGCCGCTTTATTCGGCCTCATCATCGGGCATCGTAACAATGTCGAGTGGCTCCAACTCCCAAGATCTTGTGGATGATCAAGCACAGTCCAATTCTCAGGATTCTGTCAACGAACCAACTCCAGAAGAGTCTAACTCACGGAATGCTCATGAACCAACTCCTGGACTTACTTCTCCTCGGAATGCTCATGAACCAACCCCTGGACCTAATTCTTCTGTGAATGCTCGTGAATCAACTCCAGGATCTAACCGATCTCAAGGTGATGAAGATGAACCGTCTTTTGAATCATCTAGTTCTCGTGCTCACGAACCAACTCCAGGACCGTCTGGCTCTAGGAACGTTCACGAACCAATTCCAGGACCATCCGGCTCTAGGAATGTTCACGAACCGACTCCAGGACCTTCCACCTCTCGAGACGAAGAAGATGAGCCTCTTCTAGAGCATGTTGAAGCCAGAGTTGAGCAACGACCCTGTGCAGAAGAACGACCTGAAACACCAAGGGCTAAAGCTCAGACAGAGCTGAAGAAACGTGACCATACGAGGCAATCACTAATAGATGAGTTTATGGATCAAAAGAAACAAACGACAAGTAAAATTCCGTCGTTTTACCACAAAGATGATAACTTGTTTGACTTTGATTCGACTGGTAGGTTTTTGGGAATTTGATATATTGATTTTAGACCTTTTTACTCAATTTTTAAAACTTTTCAATTGATATTTTTAAAAATAATGCCATTCCTTTTACAGAAAATGTGAACATTGACAAGGAGTTTCTGGAATGGTACGGCAAGTCCATGACCAATAATGTGGTTGCAATTCCAATGCACATTGTCCCGCCCGATGTTGCCGAGGACTACAGAAGAAAGAATTGTCGAGTTTTGGGAGGTTTTTCTGTTTTCAATCCAATCAGAAAGATTGTGTCACAGAAACGACGTCGTTTCATTCAGCATGGCTTCAACATGGATCTGACTTGTGAGTTTAATAAAATGGAAAAAACTTTCTTTACAGGACTAGAAATTGCAAGAACTTTCTTTTCAAAACAAAAAATGGCAAGAACTTTCTTTACAAAGCTAAAAATGGCAAGAACTTTCTTTCCAAAACATAAAATGGCAAGAACTTTCTTTACAAAACAAAAAATGACAAAAACTTACTTTACAAAACTTAAAATCTCAAAAACTTACCTTCCATGAGATTTAAATTTAAAATTTGTCATTTTCAGACATTACCGATAGAATCATTGCCATGGGATACCCGGCCGACGCCTTTGAACTTGAAGGTTTATATCGGAACACTATGAAGGATACTCAACAGTTTTTGTGGAAGTTTCATTCGGATAAGTACTGGATCTACAATTTGTGAGCTTTTCATTTTTTTCGTTTTTGAAATTGAAAAAGTTGAAGTTTAGAGCGTTTTTTAAGTTTAAAATTTGAAAAAAATGTTTTTAACTTTATTTCGGGCTCTGAAATCATATATTTCAATTTCAGACGCGGCCGATACAGCTACGACCCCAACAGCTTCAAGAATCGAGTAACATCCTTCGACATGGAGGACCATCACCCACCTCGTCTCGAGTTCATGGCCCCATTCTGTCGCCAAACCGAGATCTGGCTAGAACAAGATCCTCGCAATGTGATCGCTGTCCATTGCAAAGCTGGCAAAGGCCGAACCGGAGTAATGATCTGTGCCTTTCTCGTCCACATTAACCTTCTACCTAACCCACGCCAAGTCCTAGATTACTACTCGATCATTAGAACCATGAACAATCAAGGTGTAACAATCCCATCTCAAAGACGCTACATCTACTACTACGATCATCTGAGAAGGAAGAAGCTCAACTATCTGCCATTAAGATCCGAACTGGTCGGTATTTACTTGGAAGGGCTACCGGAGAAGAATGAAGACTACTACATCAGGGCTCGAGCCATAAACGGTGATGTCTTGGTTTACGAAAGCGCTGTCATGAAGATCACAAAAGAGTATGTGGAGAAGCAGAAGACCTACACGAGTTTGGAGTTTAAGCATCCACATCATCCTATTCATAACCCTGGAGGGGTCGCGAGTTGGTAAGTGGGAAAATTTTGAAAAATTTTGAAATTTCGAAAAAATTAAATTTTGAAATTTTTTCAAAATTTGAAATTTGAAAAATTGTTGGTTTTTGAAATTTTTTAACGATTTTAAACTGATAAAATGATTTTTTTTTAAATTGAAAAATATTTTTAAAAATTTTTAAATTGAAACTTTTGAAATTTCAGTTTGTGCTTTGGCTGGACCTGTCCATCCAAAGTCTTCCTTGAAGGCGACATACGAATCGACATTTTGTGGGCAGATGAGAAGGAGTACATCAAGCAGGAACAAGCAAACGAACAAGGAACCAACAATCTGCTCGCTGGAACAACAAACCTAGTCAAAAAATACAAAAAAGGACTGAAAAAGGGCAAGACGATTGGTCATGTCTGGTTTAACACCATGTTTTCATGTCCTGGCTTCTGTAAAGGGCATTTTGAGCAGTCCGACGAGAGCAGGATACCTTTGAGGTCGACTGGTGAGGTTTTGAAAATTTTGTGAATTTTTTAACTTTTTGGAATTTTTTTAAAAAGTTTTTGTTCATTTTGAACTTCAAACTATGATTTTAAAATTTGATTTTTTTTTGGCAATTTTGGCTTTAATTTTGATTATTTTAATTTTAAAAAATTTTTAAAATTTAAAAAATTTGAATTTTTCCAAAATCATGATTTCAAACTCAACCTTTATCACTTCCAGCCTTTCAAAAGACGAACTACGTTCGCAGAGCCAACAAAGAAGACCCGGAATGTATGTTGCTGGAGAAAACAGTATCATGTACATACCGTATTCAACGCGGCACGTTGAACAACTCCGTCTTCAAACCTCCGCCCACCGTCCGAGACAAGAAACACTTGTTTAGCATAAAAGACATGGACGCTTTGAACTACACATTTGACAAGGAGCTCAGCGATATTCGATTGACCCCTGCAGCGGCCCAAGCTTTGAGGGTTGGTTTTTCTTTTGTTAGGGTGGATAAAATGGGTTTTTGTTATGGGAGGGTGGATAAATGAAGATTTTAGTAAGCTTAGGGTGGGTGAATGAGTTTTTTATGCTAGGGTGATTATGAAAAGTTCTGTTAGGGTAGGGTGGATAAATCAAATTTTTTGAAAACTGTTAAAGCAGGGGGCCTTTGAGGCCGTTTTGATTTTTTTGGGTTTATCTTATTAAGCTTGTAATAATAGGGCTTCTGACAAGTTAAAAAGCATTATTTTACAGTTTTTACTACAATTTCACACATTTTTTTACCTAGTACAATATGAAAACTTAAAATACCTTAATAACATAACATGGGCCAAAAAGTTGCTGAATAACTTGAATTCTTCTTGATTACTTACTGCGATTTCAAGTTTCATGAGACGTTACCTACAGAAACATAAAAGCTAAATATACCTGCATTAAGTACTATAACATTACAGACTACCGCAACAAAAGTCTCCAAATTGCAAAGGAAAAAGCTGGGAAAGAAAGTGAATGGGCTGTGGAACTCCAATGCACAGCAAGGACGCTTCAAAAAGGTGATTCATCCAGCGTACAAGAAGCTCATCTACCACCATGGTAAATACTTCCTGATGAAAAAGTTGTCATCCAAAGTCATCGGTCTTCAAGACTATTTCCCGAAGGATATGAATGTTCAGGTATGAATTTTTGTCTGTTTTAATTTATTTTAATTTGACTCATTTTTAAAATTAAATTAAATTTGAATTTTTAAATTTAATTTTAAGATTTTAGGTACGCAATTCTTTGGGACTTCTTGGCAACGATGAATTCAACTTTGTCGAAGGCTACCTAGATATTCCCAAAACTCGCGTAACCATCAGTGAACCCCCCAAACTAGAAGAACACTGCCCTCGCGTCACCCTCCCCCCTAATCTACAATCGCCGAATACCACCCCGCGAAGATATCGACAAAATTCTGCGTGTGGCCAAACACAACAAAATGGTGGAGAAGTTCTATCAGAAACGAAGGCTTCAAACTCAGTTCAATCCAAACCGCCAGGTCCCCAGATATCAGAACAATGGCCGACCAGAGGGCGACCCCTTCAACCTCTACGTCTTGGAAGGTGAACATGTACAGTCATTCAACCGTTACGACATTGATGTAGCCCACAAGTCAAAAGACCCATCTATCACCGACAAGTTGAAGCTGTTTGTGGTCACCAAGTGCATAACTCAAGGTGTAGTCTTTCCCGAAGCTCAGAAGTTCATCAAAATGACCAGGAAACGGCAACAACGAATCGACGAAAACGCGAATTACAAACGAAAACTGGCACAGTGCAAACAGAAGATCAAACAATGTCAGATCCTAACCGAAATGACCCTGAGTGAGACCAAAAGCTCGCGAGGAGAACCCCACCTTCTGGCCAGCATTGCTGAACACATTAACCGGATGCAGCTTTTCGACGACCTCACCGAGGACGACGTCGGTCTCTACAGTAAGCATGAGAAGTGTGTCTTCCAGAATTGCTTCGTCAAGGACATGAACAGGCAGCTGAAGCAGGTCAAGAAGGAACGAAATCAATATTTGGCTGCGGAGAAGAGGGCCAAACTCAACATTTGGCTTCATCCAACTCTCAATGCCAATATTGACCTCGATGATCGATGGGATCCGCCTGCCGACGTTCGTGCCACTACTAAAGTCTATTCAGCTTCACAAATGAAGACTGAGGAGAAGAAGATGGTCACCAAGTACAACTCGAATCCTAAAATGGACCCACGGTTTGAAAGTGGATATTACTCAAAGTTCTTCTATCGACAGAGGGCGGGTTCACCGACAAAGTATCCCAATATCCATCATCAGTAAGTTTGGTTTTTAAAAATTGCTTTTTTTATTTTAAATTTTGGATTTTAAAATTAAAAAAAATTTTAATTTGTAAAATTTTTCAAAATTACCGATGATTCTTCTTTCAGTTGTCCTTTAATGACAAACGACGTTCAAATCTGTCGTTACTACGATTGTGCATACGCTGATACTGAATTCGCGATCAAAAGAGATGGAACCTTCGTGGAAGTGGAAGCCGAATGCACAACTGAAGACCCAAAAAATCCGACTGCAGAGACGGAATTGAAGTTTACACCTTTCGTGTTTGATCATACCAAGACTTCACAGACTCCGAAAGCTGATCTGAGTAAACTGAATCCGGATGTCATGGAGAATTACTTCCCTGACAATCGGAATCCGGCCATGTTGGAGGGAGAGCCAGAGCCGATTTTGGATGATTCAGGACAGGCCCAAGGAGGGAAAGGAAAAACTGAAGGAGCATCAGGAACGTCTAAAGAAACAACAGTACGAGTTGAAGAAGCACCAGGAACGTCTAAGGCGACAGCAGGACAAGCTGAAGTGGGACAAGGAACAAAATCACTAGAACAAGCTGACCAACCTTGCTCTTCAGCACAATGTGTTCGCTATGACGCGGCGGCTGAAAGTGTAGAGCTTCCGGCAGTGGCTGAAAGAGCACAATCTCGAGCTCAGGCCCAAAATGCATCATCAGACGAGGATCAACCAGCTTCAGGTTCGTCCGGAAGTCATAAATCTCCAAGGCCGTGTTTCCGTGTCACTCCATGCACCTACGAACCAGCATTGTCTATCCAGGAAAAGGAGACTATGCAGCCGATTGTGGATCTAATGAAGCTGGACCGAAGTCAAGTGGAAAAGGAGACTTTTGTGAGGAATGCTAATGCCCACTTGGTAGGTTTTTCAAGTTTTACTTGCTTTCTATTGATTTTGTTGCTTTGTTTGGCTTTTTTATGTTGTTTTTGGTTTTGTGGCTAGTTTTTGAAACTTTAACAGAAATAGTGCTTCTGGTGGTTATTTTTTATCAATTGAAGTGTTTTTTTCAACTTATATTGCTTTTTTTTATGTTTTTAAAATTTTTTAAAAATTTTTATGGTACTTTTCTTTGTTTTCTATGTGTTTTTTAAATATATTTTGTTATTTTTAGTTTATTATAACACTTTTTTGAATTTATGCATAGATCTGGCCTTCAAGCTGGCTAATTTTCAATGGTTTTTTGCCTTCTTTAGCCTCTGATCTGCTTTAAATGAACAGATTAGATTGTTCAAAGCATTCTATTCTTCCTTTCAAAACAAATTGTTTGGGATTAGAAGGCACATAATTATTTGAACAATCTAATAAATCGTTTGCTCAAGAACCAAGTTTAACATGAACTTATGAAATTAATCAAAACGAAAAAAAATATTAGTTTGTGTATCATTTTGTGTTTGTATTTATATATTTGTTAACTGTGTTTAGAGTTTAATGGCTTTGCTGTGTTTGTTTTTGGTTTGTGCTTTGTTTTTGTGGTTTTTGGGTGTTGTTAATGGTGTTTGAAGCTTAATTTTGATAACTTTTTGCTTGATTTTTTAATTAAAAAGCTTTGTTTTTGTTTAAAATTTGATAAAAAAATTTTCTATAAAATTTTAAATTTTTTAAAGAAATTTTTTGTTTTCATTTCAAAAACTTCTTCTTTTGATTGCTTTTAACTTTTTTTGTGCTGTCAATCTTATGATCTTCCGTTTTCCTAAAAAAAATCCAAATTCAAACCCACAAACTATTCGAATACAGAACCCAACATGGCCATTAATCTCTGCCAAACACAAGAATAACAAGCATCTAACCTTATGGCATCTTCAGACACCTAAGAATGCCTGTTTGCGGATGTGTTCGGCACGGAACGACACGGTGGAGAAGACGGAACGAGCTAACGAAGAGTTGTTCCGAAGTCGGATGGGTCATACACCTCAAGAGCCTTGCAATCGCCTCTGCCAATGTTTATGTTCGAAGCCACAATGCAGCATGAAGTGTAAATGCCATCTGTTGTATCAAGTTCATGCTGCGAAGTGGGATGACGTATCAGATGATGTCTGTCCATACCCAGCCGAGGTTGCCAGCCTTGTGAAGAAGTATGCACAGTGTTGAAGGTGGGTTTTTGAGATAGCTTTTGTGGTTTTTAAAGTTTTTGAAATTTGAAAAAAAAATTTTTAATTATTTTTTTATTTTTAACTTTTGGATAAGTAAATTTATAAACTATGAGGAACAGAATAAAGTCTTATTTCAATTTCAGGCCTTCCTTTGACCATACTCTTTCTACTTTTACTCATGTCATCACATATCACATGACTATATTCACCTACTCGATGATTATATCCTTCCGGTGCTTTTCAACCTTTATATCTACACTTTCTGGTGATTGTTTTCATTTTCCCAGTGATTTTTTTTGTATATTATTGTACATAGGCGAGCTTTCTATTGTTATATCTTTGTTGTTTGTAGGGCTGAGCTACATCTGGTTGTATATATTTAGAGACAGATAGAGTTTTATCTTATTGTTACTTTTATATTAACTTTTGTTAACTTTTATCACCTTTCTAACATCTTTTTTTATCAGATTTCTATTATAATATTGTAAAAACTTAAAATATTGCAAAATGAATCAAGAAAAGGGGCTTACGGTATACTACTGGTCGTATGGTACTATTTTTACTATACGGCCTTGCTAGTAGTACTGTATAACTGATAGTACGAGTACTCTATGTCTTACTGTATAACTTGTGGTAGAGTTACTATTTGCTTTACAGTACGACTGGTAGTACTAGCAATATTAGTCCTACAGTACCAATAACAAGTTTAGATAGTACAAGTAGTACCATACAACTAGTATTAGAAGTAAGCTCTCATTTGCATGCCACATTCACCTTGATCTTTATTGTTGTCTATATGATACCTCATACTTACTATAACATCTCTACAAGAGTTTTAATTATCTTATACATACCTCACATGATTGTTATTAGTTTAAAAAGTTTAAAACAAAATAAACTGTTTGACAGTGTTCATTTAACGTGGTATTGATCAATATGATGTATTGAACATTTGTGATAACATTGACAAGGTAAAAAAGGTCATAAGCTTGCATTACAGTAATAAATGGCAAGAACTTTTTTTACAAAACAAAAAATGGCAAGAACTTTCTTTACAAAACAAAAGATTATTGGAGAACAGACTATGACACGTCTTTAGACACTATAGTTAGTTTAACTATGTGCATACTAATGTAAATGGCACATAAAACGATTGATTTGATTCATTTTGTTGTTAAAATGACAATTTTACTTCTAATATTGTTTTTTAATCTATATGTGAATAGAGTAAATGGTTGATTTACGGCTGGTGCTATTACGACTGCAAATGGTACTGACTCATTTTTTGGCCAGTTTGAAATTGTAAGATGAATTTTTTAAATTTGTGGCGGGGTATTTTTTACAAAACAAAAAATGGCAAGAACTTTCTTTACAAAACAAGAAATGGCAAGAATTTTCTTTACAAAACAAAAAATGGCAAGAACTTTCTTTACAAAACAAAAAATGGCAAGAACTTTCTTTACAAAACAAAAAATGGCAAGAATTTTCTTTACAAAACAAAAAATGACAATAAATTTCTTTACAGAACGTAAAATGGCAAGAACTTTCTTTACAAAACAAAAAATGGCAAGAACTTTCTTTACAAAACAAAATTTTATCGTAATTTCAGTATGTTTCGATAGAGTTACATCCAAAACCGTTGTCATATTGTGATATGGTCACTGCGACGACTTTGGGTCGCTTCAGTGCTTGGTGTTTCCCACTGAAATATTATTCTTGGGGACCTAAGGTCGTTACTGTGTAAGGTGGCTTTACAATTTTTTAAAATTTACAATTTTATTTTTAGGTATGGGTAAGGTAGAGTAAAGTAGGGAGAAAGCAGGGTATTTTAGGGCAATTCATTGTAGAACAGGGCAGGGAATTGTAGAACAGTAAGGTAGGGTAAATTAAGGTAAGGTAAGGGTAGGGCAGGGTAAGGTAGAGTAGGGCAGGGTAAGGTAGGGTAGGGTAGGGTAGGGTAGGGTAGAGTAGGGTAGGGTAGGGTAGGGTAGGGTAGGGTAGGGTAGGGTAGGGTAGGGTTGGGTAGAGTAGGGTAGGGTAGGGGTAGGGTAGGGTAGGGTAGGGTAGGGTAGGGTTGGGTAGAGTAGGGTAGGGTAGGGTAGGGTAGGGTAGGGTGGGGTAGGGTAGGGTAAGGTAAGGTAAGGTGAGGTAAGGTAAGGTAAGGTAAGGTAAGGTAAGGTAAGGTAAAGTAAGGTAAGGTACGGTAAGATAAGGTACGGTAAGGTAAGGCAAAGGTAGAGTAGAATAAGGTTGAACAGGGTATGGTCAATTAGGATATATCTAAAACAAAGCAAAAATCAACATATAACTTTAGATTTCATCGTTATTGCTATAAAACTTGTCGATATGTGTCTATAACCACATATAACACCACAGTAAACGTTCAAATATCAGCAGCTGATCCTGTAGCCGCACAAGATACCAAATGTTCGACAAGAAGATACCCTAAGGACTCATATTATCAATATTTTTTCGAATAAAGCAGCCGAAGTTGAAAGAAAAGTCTCATTTATTCAATCTTTACAATTTGAAAATCGAAATTTTCAAATTCAAACCTTCAATTGATAAAAACAGTTCAACGTGTACAACAACATGTAGATGAGACTGGAGCTTACACCGACTTCGCTCGCGTCGAAATCACGCCATTCACGATGAGGAAGGGGATTAAGAACGGTGGACGAAGACCGAGGTACGGGGTGGGCAGGGACAGTAGGCGGCGTCCGATCCTGGAAGACCTGGACCTCCTGGCTGACCTGGAGTACCGTCCTGACCTGGCTGACCAGGTTGACCGTTTGGTCCTGGTGGGCCTGGTGGTCCTTGGCCTCCGGGTTGACCGGGGTTTCCGTTTGGTCCTGGTTGTCCGGCTGGTCCAGCTGGGCCTGGTGGTCCCTTTGGTCCGGGTTGAGAGGTGGAGCGGGTACCGTCTTGACCTGGTTGACCGGGCTGTCCTGGAGCTCCTGGTTGACCGGATGGTCCGGCGTCTCCGGATGGTCCTGGTGGTCCGGGTGGTCCTTGTCCGCCGCCGGTTCCTGGTTGACCTGGCTGACCGTCTGGGCCGGGGGTTCCTGGTGGTCCATCTGGACCTGGTGGGCCTGGTGGTCCGGCTGGGCACTTGATGCAGCTGGTGTCGTGAGCTGGGCATGGGGCAGCGGCCTCTCCTGGGGCTCCGTCGTTTCCTGGTGGACCGGGGTTACCTGGTTGACCTGGAGTACCGGGTGGACCGGGTGGTCCTGGTGGGCCGGGTGGGCAGTTTGGCTTGGCGGGCTCGCATTGGCACCACGAAGGCAGACCGCCGGCGGCTTGACGCTTCTGACGGAAGATGGAGTTGAATGGGTTCTCACGTGGCTTGGATGGTGGAGTGACGGAGAGCTGGACCTCCATCAACTGGGTCCAGGCGCCGTCGGTGTCGTCGCGGAACTTCTGGACGCCCATCTGGACGCGGTCGTTGACGGCGTTGATGGTGCTGTACAGGTTGGGGACGACCACGAGGACGGCCAGAATGGCGAAGGCCGAGCAGACCGACGCGATACCCACTACAACCTTGGCTTCATGCATTTTCGTCGTTGGAACTCCGCTTTGTGAGGAAGAAGAGTTGGCGACTGCGGTTGATTCGGATGAAGCGCGACGCTTTTATAGGGCGGGCGGTGGGGGGGGAGGGAGCTGTGGAGGAATTGCGAGGCGGTGGGGGTGGGGAGGGTAGTGGTAGGAGAAGAAGGGAGGAGAGCGGTGGGGGAAGGGAAAGGGGGGGAAGCGAGCAGTGGGGGCAGGGAAGAAGCGAGGAAGTTGTAACGCAGTAGTGGGAGGGGTGAAACAAGTAAAAAGAAGGGGTTTTTTAGGGGAAAACGCTAGCTAATGAACAAAGAAAAAGGAAAAATGGCTAGCGAGAGGAACAAAAAAACTAATAAAGGCGTGAGCAGACTGGAAAAAAGGTATAGAGTTTTTAAAAATTAAATTTAAAAAAGAAAAATTTAAATAAAATTTTTAAAAAATTTTTTAAGTTTAAAAATTTTAATTTAAATTTCGAAAATACTTTTAAAATTTAAAATTGTGAAAATGTGGCTACTAACCTAATATTTTATAAACTGACATGTGCTCAAAGTGTGGTCTTGGTTTCTATGAATAACGGTACCAATGGCAGCACAGTTACTGTAGATAATTAGAGAAATTATTTAATTCGATATTTTGAAGTTAATGTAAGACAAGATTAGGTAGGTTAAGATGGCTAAAGTAGGTTCAAATTAAGATTAGGGTAAGGTATCATAAGGCGGTAGATGATAGGTTAGAGGTTGATAAAGTAGGGTAGGGTAGCTCTTATTTCCTTAGCAGGGTAGGATAGAGTCGTTTTCTCTACCGTCTCTCTTTTCTCTACTATGTCTCACTCTTCCTTAGCATTCAAGTACGGTACGGCAAGGTTTGTTAGAGTAAGGGAGGGTAGATTAGAATAGGGTAAGGTTTGATAAAGCAGGTCAAGGCAGAGCGAGACAGGGAAGAGTAAAGTAGGGTAGGGTAGAATAATATTACGTAATCTGGCTTAGGTAACGGTACTGTACAGTAGTGTAGGGTACGAAATAGCAGGGTAGGATGGGACAGGGCTTGGATAAGCTAGAATAGAGTTTGGCATGGCATGGCATGTCATTGTAGGGTAGGGCAGAGTAGGGTAGGGTAGGGTAGGGTAAAGTAGGGTAGGGTAGGGTAGGATAGGGTAGGGTAGGGTAGGGTAGGGTAGGGTAGGGTAGGGTAGGGTAGGGTAGGGTAGGGTAGGGTAGGGTAGGGTAGGGTAGGGTAGGGTAGGGTAGGGTAGGGTAGGGTAGGGTAGGGTAGAGTAGGGTAGGGTAGGGTAAGGTCGGGTAGAGTAGAGTAGGGTAGGGTCGGGTAGAGTAGAGTAGGGTAGGGTAGGGTAGGGTAGCGTAGGGTAGGATATTTTTCTCTACCGTCTCTCTCTTTTTTCTGCTATTTTTCAATCAACCTTCTAAATTCATTTTGTTCCCCCCCCTTCTCATCTTTTGAACTCCCTTCTCTTCGTCGTAAATTCAGCGAAAGTCTTCGTTCTTCCGCGTTGTCGCAGCTTTTTTCATCGCGACAAATTTGAAAAGTTGTTTCTTTGTTTTAGAGTCATTTCCGATGACAAACAAAACAATCATGACATGGATACGGGACAATAGAATAACATGTTGTAGATTTGAGAAAAGATAACTGTAAAAGGGGGGGGGGCGGTTTTGTTTGTTATTATAATGGTTTATGACTGGAGTAAGCGATTAGCGGGGGTGGCAGTAAATAAAAATATTCAATAAAGTAAATTTTGTCGTATAACATGTCACTAGCAGCTTGCACAACATTAAAAGTTAAAAATTTAAAAAGTTTTTGTTTTGTAAAGAAAGTTCTTGCAATTTTATGTTTTGTAAAAAAAGTGCTTGCCATTTTATGTTTTGTAAAGAAAGTTTTTGTCATTTTTTGTTTTGTAAAGAAAGTTCTTGCTATTTATTGTTTTATAAAGAAAGTTCTTGCATATTTTTTTAATTTTTTCGAATTACCATGGTAGTCAGCTGTTTGTCGTAAATGTTTTGATGAATTGCGTAACTTCAACTCGTTCCGTTCGCCGAAATTGGCTAATTTTGTTTTATTTCCGTCAGGTTTTGCGGCGATTTCTCTCGCTCTCTCCTTGCTTTGCGTTGTATTTTGCGACAATTACTGTGTTTTTCCTTTCCGGTTATTGCGATCTGGTTTTCGTATTCGAGAATTCTCGGAATTTTTGACTCATTAGGTCGTCAATTGTAATTGATTGTATAGGTAAGGGGGGGGGGATAGGAGGGGGAGCGGGAGGAAGGGGGGGGGGTTGGAAAAAAGGTAGTACTAAGCGGTAGGAAGGAGGTATGGAAGTTAGCAAGGGGGGGGGGAGGAGCAGGGTAAGTTTTTTAACCTTGTCAACCCCCTCCCCCCCCTTTCTCTTCTTCCCTTCCCCCATATGTGACCTTTCCCTCCCCCCCCTTCTTTTATTCCTCTCCCCCCCCACTTTCCAGCCTTTTTGCTTGTCAGCCCTTTTTCATCTGCCCCCCATATCACCCTCCCTTCCCCACCCCTCTTACTCTCCCTTCCCCCCTCCCCCCCTCCCCCCCTACTTTCTTCTCTCTCCCCCCTCCCTCTTTTGTTCAAATTTAAAGTTAGCTAAACTTAAAAAAATGAAAGTTCAAACTTTTAAGCCCAAAACCTGTGAACTGAGACCAACTCTAATCAGCCGATACCTGTTTGACGCATTTGGATTCACACTGGCAGCGTCTCGATGATAAGGTCGTCTAACCACTTTTTTGTTCGCGCAACTATTTTTTGTTTCAAAATTCAACTCAGAAAGGCGGCGGAGAGGATTCAGTGCAAATGAAGGATTGTCACTCTTCTGATTTCATTCATTTTGTCATCAAAACATTATATACATCAACACAAAACAAGATTTTGAAAAGTCACTTCTGCATCCTCGAGCCCTAGGCTAACCCAAGGCCTTAACTCAGAGCCCTAGCCCAGAGCCCTAGCCCAGAGCCCTAGCCCAGAGCCCTAGCCTAGAACTTTAGTCCAGAGCCTTAGCCTAGGTTTCTAGCCCGGAGCCTTACCCTAAGGTCCTAGCACCCTCCTCCCCCCCCTTCCAAAAGTCAAGCAACATAATCAAAGATCATACGGTTTAACTACGGTATAACTTTTTTACGTCTAGGGTTTTACGTTCTTCCACCTTTGTTTCCACAGAATAGTATAGTTTACAGTAAAGCAAACGTTACCTTTGACACATTCCGGCGTAATTATGTGATATTACTTTCTGCGAACCGTTTAGAAGCGAAACCAATTTGGAGAACCGGCTTTTCTACGGTGAGGTAATAGGATTCCCTAATGATACAATTTTCATTAATAATGTCCATCAAATGGCTGCAATATTGAGCTTGGTAACATAATATTGTTACCAGGGTTAAACGCTGTGATAGTAATGTTGATTTAGGTATGGCAAAACTAGGAACAAAGGCTAAGGCAAGGCATGGCAAGGCATGGCAAGGCAAGGCAAGGCAAGGCAAGGCAAGGCAAGGCAAGGCAAGGCAAGGCAAGGCAAGGCAAGGCAAGGCAAGGCAAGGCAAGGCAAGGCAAGGCAAGGCAAGGCAAAACAAGGCAAGGCAAGGCAAGGAAGGGCTTTGTAAGGCTAGATAAAATAAATCAAGAAATTGTAGGAAGGGTATGGTAGGACAAGGCTTTTTTTAGCAGGGTAGGTTAATAAAATAAAATTTTTTGTTAAAGTAATTTTCTGTGACATTTTGCTGAATTCCAGAAATTGCTCTTCCCTCTCTTGTTGTAGGTCAAAAAAAAACGGAAACGATGCTTTTTTTACGACAAAAACGACAGCCATAATGAGTAAAACCGACTTAATGCACTCTTGACAGCGAAAAACGAAAAGACTCTCCGGTAACCGTGAGTAAAACAAGTTCTTTTCGAAAGATTGTAAAAGGCTACATTACTCTGGAAATGTGTTTCGGCATAAATTTACTTATATGGTTTGAGAAACTGGATTTTAATTAAATTTTTTTGAAATTTGAAAAGTAACAGTAAAATGACACGAAGATCGAAGTAAAAAAATAGACATAAAAATTTTTTAAATTGCGTTGTAAAACGTATTTTTAAAAATTTTTAATTTTGTAAATTCGAATATTATGTAATAAAGGTCTTAAAATACTATAACTTTTTTATTTTGTAAAAGCGAAGTTTTACCTTGGAATAGAAAAAAATCATATAAAGCTTGGCTTTGGTCTTTGGCTCAGCTTGAGGATGACCCTAAGCTTGAGCTTGAGTGTAAGCCTGAGCTTGAAACTGAACCTGAGCTTAAGCCTGCGCCTGAACCTGAGCCTGAGCTTGAGCTTCAGCATGACCCCGAGCTTAAGTCAGAGCTTGAAGCTGAGTCAGCCTTATGATGAGCCTTACCCTTAGCTTGAGATAAAACATTTGCTCAATCCTAGGGGTGAGCGGAAGCTCCAGGCTAAGCACTTGCCTGAGCCTAAGCCAAAGCGTGAACCTGAGCTGCGCCTGACACTAAGCTTAAACCTAAGCCTCCGTCTAAGTTTAAGCCGAAGCTTAAACCTAAGTTTGAGCCTAATGTAAGCTTCTAATCCTAGCTTTAAACCTAGCTCTGGTCTTAGTCCTACCCCTAAGCCTTCCTCTAGTCCTAGGTCAATATCTAGCTTTAGCTTGAGCTTTATCTTTACCTTTGTTCTATTTATAAAAAAGCAAAAAATTTAAATTTGAAAATTTGAAAGTACTGTACTTTTAATTTTGAGCATTGATAAAATTTTAAAAAATTTTAAAACGAAATCATGTCAATCCGAGAATTTGAATGCAATCGAGTTTATTGATGTGAAACGCCGCTTTACGCTTTGGCAGTGATAGTTGAAAGTAGTTGTGTGGGGAGGTGTCGTCCCGAACACTGGAGCTGGTCGTGGGGGTGGGGGTTGAAGGCGGGGGTGGGGAACGACCAGTCGGGGGATCGACTCGTAAAGGGCGGTTCCACATAAAATCGACGACTTGAGGGGCTTACAATAAGATGGGGGAATGGAGATCGGAGCTGTACAGTAGCACCATGATGTACCATAGCGAGTGGTAGGGCCTGAAGTTGTACTGTAGACTACAGTATGACTCGTTAAAGTTATAGAGTAGACTATGATAAGCCTCAGTAGAGCCGTACCAAAGCGTATGGTGCTTAACGACGTCTGGTTCCATCTTCGAAGAAGACTCCACCGTCGATGGCGCAGTATTTTGGACAGATACCCTTCTCTCCTGGACCGCCTGGTGGACCGGCTTGACCTGGCTGACCGGGCTGACCGTCGTTTCCTGGGGATCCTGGTTGACCGGGTGGTCCCTTTGGTCCTGGTTGTCCTGGGCCTCCTGGCTGTCCTGGCTGTCCTGGTGGGCCTGGTGGTCCTGGTGGTCCGGCGTCTCCGGCTGGTCCTGGAGCTCCTGGTCCGGCATCTTGGGATTGGGCGGGTTGACCTGGCTGACCGGCTTGTCCTGGGTTTCCTGGTGGTCCGGGTGGGCCTGGTGGTCCCTTTGGTCCGGGTGGGCCTGGGATTGGGTTGCCGCCGGATTGGCCTGGTTGTCCGTCTGGTCCCTTGTCTCCGGCTGGTCCTGGTGGTCCTGGTGGGCCGGGTGGACCGCCTGGGCAGGGCTTGCATGGTGGTGGGGTGACGGGTTCGCATGGTTGGGTGGATGGACGGCCTGGTTGTCCGGGGGTACCTGGAGCACCTGGGTTACCTGGGCGTCCTGGGTTTCCTGGTGGACCGGGTGGGCCGGCCTCACCGCCGGAGCAGCAAGCTTCGCAGGAGCCGGCGGCGGCAGCCCCACCTCCAACACCACTGTCGCCGTAGCCGGCTTGACGGGCGGTACGGTTTCCGGCGAATGGAATCTGCTTCAGGTGGTTGACTTCGGACCAGATGTCACTGGCGGAGCCCTGGAAGGGTGGGTATGTTAATATAAAGATATATGGAGGAAGGGGTATGGTAATATAAGACTATATAGAGGGAGGGAATGGTAATTTGGAGTTATAGCGATAAGTATGATAACTTAAGGTTATGTAGAGAAGAAAGTACGGTAAATTTAGTACAGTACGAAGGGTAATACAAACAAAACTTGATACTCACCTTGCACATGGCAAGCTCTCTGTCCATGCTGTCGCTGACGCGTTGCACGTAGTTGTGCAACATGGGCAGAGTGAAGCAGACCGTAACGACGGAGATGACCGAGAAGGCCACCGTCGAGTAGGCGACGAACCGGTAGGCTTTGATGCGGTTCTCGTAATCCATGATTTTCGGTGTGTGAAGGCGCAAGTCCCAACGTTCCTCTTGTCGATGACTCGAGAAGAAGACGACTGATGAATGCGACGACTTCCCAGCCCCCAATCCAGCCTTTTATACCCGCTAGCGGGTGGGAACGAAGCGCGAGAGGAGGGGGAAAACGCGCAAGGTCGACGGGTTTCCATTGTCCAGCCCACCGAAGGAACGTTCCCCTGACGATGTTCTCCGTTTCGTTGCGGTCGTTCGCGTCGTCATCGCGCGTGCGATAGGTTAATAAGGAATTTGGGAAAAAGGCGAAAAAAATTAGAAATTTTAAAGTTCAATTTAAAAATTTAAAATTTTCAAAATTTGAATTTTTGATAAAACAAAGAGATTACATTGTACTAATATTAAATTGAACCAAAAATAGCAGGTCACTTTTTAGTTGAAAATTAAATGAAAAGTGTCTCGCTACTTTTGGTTCAACATAACAAATTCATATGAATTTAAACATTCAAAGGCACCAAGGATTTTGTTTGCTGTTATACTTTTATAATGTTGTTAACTATAATATAAGAAAGATTTTTAAAATTTTTTTGAAATACTCTGAGAAACTTCTGTATAACAAATTGCCTAGGAGTTTAAAAGTTGTTCTCCCAATTAAGGAGCTTCTGTACAAAGAATTTTTAAAAACACTTTGTATATAGTAGTAACCGAAGACTTAGAATTTGTTCGTTATAAGAGAGTTTCGTTATATTAGGTGCCGACATAAAGAACCCGCCATTTTCAAGGAAATTACAGGAAAAGTATGGCGGGTTCTTTACGTCAACACCAAATAGAAAATTCGGTTATACAAACGTTTTACTGTTCTGTAAAGCTAAGGTACAGTAGGCAAAAAACTTTTTAAAGCTAGTACTTCTTTAGGGGTCTTTTAAAACTAACCTATAGCTATCCTTGACTAAATGGGGAGGCAAGTAGATAAGGCCAGGGTAAGGCTTGTTCTTTTGTTGATTTTTCTGCATTTTTTACTATATTTTATACATTTTTTGTTGTTGTACTTCTTCCGGGCATTCTCTGGATAATATTTTGCGTACGAAGGCTAAAACTTATGTTTAGAATGGCGAGATAGGGTATATCATAGTAGGGTAGGATGAGGTATGATAAGGTATGATAAGGTCAGGTAAAGTAAAGTAGATTAGGGCAAGGTAGGGTAGAGTAAATGCAAGTAAAGTATGGTAGAACCAAGTAAGGCAAGATGAGTTTTTGATACTTTTTAATATTTTTTCTCTGCTGTCTCTCTCTTTCTCTACTATTTCTCAATTTAACCAATATATTAGGTGCCGACATAAAGAACCCGTCATATTTCTCCTGTAATTCACTGTAAAAAATGGCGGGTTCTTTATGTCGGCACCTAATACACTTCAAATTTTGACCAAAACCATAAGAGATCAACCAATTAACAGAGATAGCTAGAGAAATCAAAAACTTACAAAAAGAATTCTCCGAAACCCGCGACTTGTTCCAAGCCACGCCCTTAAGCAAAGTTTAAAAATTGCGAAAAAAATATCGCAAAATGAAAAAAAAATTCAACTTTCTTACTAAAAACTCAAAAAATGGTTGGTGGGGAAAGGGAATTAGTGCAAAAATAATTGAAAAGTATTCGAATACCTCACAAATCCATTGTTGAAACGTTCAAGGTGGCTGGCGTTACTGCGTAAAACAATAGCTATTACTGCGCAGTGTAATAAGTCGAGAAATCAGGTTTACTGGGGGAAGTTTACAATTTTCACGGAATTTGTAGTATAGTTATTCGTAGTACGTTAGGTTGTGTATACGATTACAATTTTGTGTAAATTAGAAAAAAATTTAATGTTATAGTAAGACAGGTAATACAGTAAAATTGTATAGTTAATGGGAGGGCTAGGTGATAGAGAATGAGAGATAGCAATTAATTGTAAGGTGAAGATATTAAAGAGGTATGGCTATGATAAGGTTGGAGCTATAAAAAGACCTTCTGTTGCACATAAGGCTAAGCAACTTGTACTTAATGAAGAGCTAAAAAGTGGGGTACGGATACTGTAGAGTACGGCAAGAACAGAATGTCAGACTAGACTAAGATATGACGATATTAGGTTTATATAGTTTTGTAGGCTACGGTAAGGACAAAGCCCTAGTGTAAGGTAAGAGTAAAACAAGGCTAACACAAGTTTTGGTCAAGAACGGGGCAAGGGTATGGCGAGGGTAGAGCATATGTAAGGACAATAGTGGTATAAGTTTGGCAAGGGTAGGATAAGTTATAATAGGAGGTATGGTAAGAAGGAGTAAGGTACTGAGTGATGGCATAACTTTCTTGTGTAGGGTAGGGTAGGGTAGGGTAGGGTAGGGTAAGGTAGGGTAGGGTAGGGTAGGGTAGGGTAGGGTAGGGTAGGGTAGGATAGGATAGGGTAGGGTAGGGTAGGGTAGGGTAGGGTAGGGTAGGGTAGGGTAGGGTAGGGTAGGGTAGGGTAGGGTAGGGTAGGGTAGGGTAGGGTAGGGTAGGGTAGGGTAGGGTAGGGTAGGGTAGGGTAGGGGTAGGGTAGGGTAGGGTAGGGTAGGGTAGGGTAGGGTAGGGTAGGGTAGGGTAGGGTAGGGTAGGGTAGGGTAGGGTAGGGTAGAAACTTCAATTTGTTTTCTTTTCTTCTTAAAAGGAAGTAAAAACAATGACATTGAAACAGTGATCTAACATATCTCTGTTCCTTCTTCATCTGCTCTTTAGATTAATCACTTGTTAACAAGCTAAAGTAGGGAGAAAGCAGGGTATTTTAGGGCAATTCATTGTAGAACAGGGCAGGGAATTGTAGAACAGTAAGGTAGGGTAAATTAAGGTAAGGTAAGGGTAGGGCAGGGTAAGGTAGAGTAGGGCAGGGTAAGGTAGGGTAGGGTAGGGTAGGGTAGGGTAGGGTAGGGTAGGGTAGGGTAGGGGTAGGGTAGGGTAGGGTAGGGTAGGGTAAGGTAGGGTAGGGTAGGGTAGGGTAGGGTAGGGGTAGGGTAGGGTAGGATAGGATAGGGTAGGGTAGGGTAGGGTAGGGTAGGGTAGGGTAGGGTAGGGTAGGGTAGGGTAGGGTAGGGTAGGGTAGGGTAGGGTAGGGGAGGGTAGGGTAGGATAGGATAGGGTAGGGTAGGGTAGGGTAGGGTAGGGTAGGGTAGGGGTAGGGTAGAAACTTCAATTTGTTTTCTTTTCTTCTTAAAAGGAAGTAAAAACAATGACATTGAAACAGTGATCTAACATATCTCTGTTCCTTCTTCATCTGCTCTTTAGATTAATCACTTGTTAACAAGCTAAAGTAGGGAGAAAGCAGGGTATTTTAGGGCAATTCATTGTAGAACAGGGCAGGGAATTGTAGAACAGTAAGGTAGGGTAAATTAAGGTAAGGTAAGGGTAGGGCAGGGTAAGGTAGAGTAGGGCAGGGTAAGGTAGGGTAGGGTAGGGTAGGGTAGGGTAGGGTAGGGTAGGGTAGGGTAGGGTAGGGGTAGGGTAGGGTAGGGTAGGGTAGGGTAGGGTAAGGTAGGGTAGGGTAGGGTAGGGTAGGGTAGGGTAGGGTAGGGTAGGATAGGATAGGGTAGGGTAGGGTAGGGTAGGGTAGGGTAGGGGTAGGGTAGGGTAGGGTAGGGTAGGGTAGGGTAGGGTAGGGTAGGGTAGGGTAGGGTAGGGTAGGGTAGGGTAAGGTAGGGTAGGGTAGGGTAGGGTAGGGTAGGGTAGGGTAGGGTAGGATAGGATAGGGTAGGGTAGGGTAGGGTAGGGTAGGGTAGGGTAGGGGTAGGGTAGGGTAGGGTAGGGTAGGGTAGGGTAGGGTAGGGTAGGGTAGGATAGGATAGGGTAGGGTAGGGTAGGGTAGGGTAGGGTAGGGTAGGGGTAGGGTAGGGTAGGGTAGGGTAGGGTAGGGTAGGGTAGGGTAGGGTAGGGTAGGGTAGGGTAGGGTAGGGTAGGGTAGGGTAGGGTAGGGTAGGGTAGGGTAGGGTAGGGTAGGGTAGGGTAGGGGTAGAAACTTCAATTTGTTTTCTTTTCTTCTTAAAAAGGAAGTAAAAACAATGACATTGAAACAGTGATCTAACATATCTCTGTTCCTTCTTCATCTGCTCTTTAGATTAATCACTTGTTAACAAGCTAAAGTAGGGAGAAAGCAGGGTATTTTAGGGCAATTCATTGTAGAACAGGGCAGGGGAATTGTAGAACAGTAAGGTAGGGTAAATTAAGGTAAGGTAAGGGTAGGGCAGGGTAAGGTAGAGTAGGGCAGGGTAAGGTAGGGTAGGGTAGGGTAGGGTAGGGTAGGGTAGGGTAGGGTAGGGTAGGGTAGGGTAGGGTAGGGTAGGGTAGGGTAGGGTAAGGGTAGGGTAGGGTAGGGTAGGGTAGGGTAGGGTAGGGTAGGGTAGGGTAGGGTAGGATAGGATAGGGTAGGGTAGGGGTAGGGTAGGGTAGGGTAGGGTAGGGTAGGGTAGGGTAGGGGTAGGGTAGGGTAGGGTAGGGTAGGGTAGGGTAGGGTAGGGTAGGGTAGGGTAGGGTAGGGTAGGGTAGGGTAGGGTAGGGTAGGGTAGGGTAAGGTAGGGTAGGGTAGGGTAGGGGTAGGGTAGGGTAGGGTAGGGTAGGGTAGGATAGGATAGGGTAGGGTAGGGTAGGGGTAGGGTAGGGTAGGGTAGGGTAGGGTAGGGTAGGGTAAGGTAGGGTAGGGTAGGGTAGGGTAGGGTAGGGGTAGGGTAGGGTAGGGGTAGGGTAGGATAGGATAGGGTAGGGTAGGGGTAGGGTAGGGTAGGGTAGGGTAGGGTAGGGTAGGGTAGGGTAGGGTAGGGTAGGATAGGATAGGGTAGGGTAGGGTAGGGTAGGGTAGGGTAGGGGTAGGGTAGGGGTAGGGTAGGGTAGGGTAGGGTAGGGTAGGGTAGGGTAGGGTAGGGTAGGGTAGGGTAGGGTAGGGTAGGGGTAGGGTAGGGTAGGGTAGGGTAGGGTAGGGTAGGGTAGGGTAGGGTAGGGTAGGGTAGAAACTTCAATTTGTTTTCTTTTCTTCTTAAAAGGAAGTAAAAACAATGACATTGAAACAGTGATCTAACATATCTCTGTTCCTTCTTCATCTGCTCTTTAGATTAATCACTTGTTAACAAGCTAAAGTAGGGAGAAAGCAGGGTATTTTAGGGCAATTCATTGTAGAACAGGGCAGGGAATTGTAGAACAGTAAGGTAGGGTAAATTAAGGTAAGGTAAGGGTAGGGCAGGGTAAGGTAGAGTAGGGCAGGGTAAGGTAGGGTAGGGTAGGGTAGGGTAGGGTAGGGTAGGGTAGGGTAGGGTAGGGTAGGGGTAGGGTAGGGTAGGGTAGGGTAGGGTAGGGTAAGGTAGGGTAGGGTAGGGTAGGGGTAGGGTAGGGTAGGGTAGGGTAGGATAGGATAGGGTAGGGTAGGGTAGGGTAGGGTAGGGTAGGGTAGGGTAGGGTAGGGTAGGGTAGGGTAGGGTAGGGTAGGGTAGGGTAGGGTAGGGTAGGGTAGGGTAGGGTAGGGTAGGGTAGGGTAGGGGTAGGGTAGGGTAGGGTAGGGTAGGGTAGGGTAGAAACTTCAATTTGTTTTCTTTTCTTCTTAAAAAGGAAGTAAAAACAATGACATTGAAACAGTGATCTAACATATCTCTGTTCCTTCTTCATCTGCTCTTTAGATTAATCACTTGTTAACAAGCTAAAGTAGGGAGAAAGCAGGGTATTTTAGGGCAATTCATTGTAGAACAGGGCAGGGAATTGTAGAACAGTAAGGTAGGGTAAATTAAGGTAAGGTAAGGGTAGGGCAGGGTAAGGTAGAGTAGGGCAGGGTAAGGTAGGGTAGGGTAGGGTAGGGTAGGGTAGGGTAGGGTAGGGTAGGGTAGGGTAGGGTAGGGTAGGGTAGGGTAGGGTAGGGTAGGGTAAGGGTAGGGTAGGGTAGGGTAGGGTAGGGGTAGGGGTAGGGTAGGGTAGGATAGGATAGGGTAGGGTAGGGTAGGGTAGGGTAGGGTAGGGTAGGGTAGGGTAGGGTAGGGTAGGGTAGGGTAGGGTAGGGGTAGGGTAGGGTAGGGTAGGGTAGGGTAGGGTAGGGTAGGGTAGGGTAGGGTAGGGGTAGGGTAGGGTAGGGTAGGGTAGGGTAGGGTAGGGTAGGGTAGGGTAGGGGTAGAAACTTCAATTTGTTTTCTTTTCTTCTTAAAAGGAAGTAAAAACAATGACATTGAAACAGTGATCTAACATATCTCTGTTCCTTCTTCATCTGCTCTTTAGATTAATCACTTGTTAACAAGCTAAAGTAGGGAGAAAGCAGGGTATTTTAGGGCAATTCATTGTAGAACAGGGCAGGGAATTGTAGAACAGTAAGGTAGGGTAAATTAAGGTAAGGTAAGGGTAGGGCAGGGTAAGGTAGAGTAGGGCAGGGTAAGGTAGGGTAGGGTAGGGTAGGGTAGGGTAGGGTAGGGTAGGGTAGGGTAGGGTAGGGTAGGGTAGGGTAGGGTAGGGTAGGGTAGGGTAGGGTAGGGTAGGGTAGGGTAGGGTAGGGTAGGGTAGAAACTTCAATTTGTTTTCTTTTCTTCTTAAAAGGAAGTAAAAACAATGACATTGAAACAGTGATCTAACATATCTCTGTTCCTTCTTCATCTGCTCTTTAGATTAATCACTTGTTAACAAGCTAAAGTAGGGAGAAAGCAGGGTATTTTAGGGCAATTCATTGTAGAACAGGGCAGGGAATTGTAGAACAGTAAGGTAGGGTAAATTAAGGTAAGGTAAGGGTAGGGCAGGGTAAGGTAGAGTAGGGCAGGGTAAGGTAGGGTAGGGTAGGGTAGGGTAGGGTAGGGTTGGGTAGAGTAGGGTAGGGTAGGGTAGGGTAGGGTAGGGTAGGGTAGGGTAGGGTAGGGAAGGGTAGGGTAGAAACTTCAATTTGTTTTCTTTTCTTCTTAAAAGGAAGTAAAAACAATGACATTGAAACAGTGATCTAACATATCTCTGTTCCTTCTTCATCTGCTCTTTAGATTAATCACTTGTTAACAAGCTATCTGCTTGCTTGTTTTAAAGTTATGTTATTGCAACTCTTCTTCCAACCTAACTTTAGTTACGGCACTTACGCTAACCCTACCACAATATGATCTTTCCAGCCTCTTTTTCAAGTTTGTATACTTAACCTTGAGCCGTTAAGCAGTTTGTAACCTGTTCCAATGTAACATATTGTGATCAATCCATCCATCTCAGCCCATTCTGCGACTTTTTCGGAATAAGGTGTGGCGCTTCTTACTTTACAAAAACCGGCTAACGGAAACGGTTTTTGTAAATAAGAACAAAAGGGCAGGGAGAGGAGAAATGATTTATAGGCCGGCTATGGGGCTTTGGAACTGTAAGCAACTTTTTTGTTATAAAAAAGTAAGGAAGTTAAACTAAGACTAAGGCTAGAGCTAAGGGTAGGGCTAAGAAATAAGGCTAAAGGCTATTGGTAAAGAGTATAACTAGGAGATAGAACTAACAAGTAGAAATATGTAGAGAGCAAGACTAAAGAGTAGTCCTAGGAGTAGAACTAAGGAGAAGAACCAGGACTGAAGCTAGGGCTAGGACTTGACTTGACGTGTCTAGGCTTGGCTTGACTTGGCTTGGCTTGGCTTGGCTTGGCTTGGCTTGGCTTGGCTTGGCTTGGCTTGGCTTGGCTTGGCTTGGCTTGGCTAGCTTGGCTTGGCTTGGCTTGGCTTAGCTTGGCTTGGCTTGGCTTGGCTTGGCTTGGCTTGGCTTAGCTTGGCTAGCTAGCTTAGCTTGGCTTGGCAGCTTGGCTTGGCTTGGCTTGGCTTGGCTTGGCTTGGCTTGGCTTGGCTTGGCTTGGTTTGGCTTGGCTTGGCTTGGACTTCGAGCCAGAGCAAAGACTAGGGCTAGGGCTAGGGCTAGGGCTAGGGCTAGGGCTAGGGCTAGGGCTAGGGCTAGGGCTAGGGCTAGGGCTAGGGCTAGGGCTAGGGCTAGGGCTAGGGCGTGTAATATAAAAACCGGTATTGAAGTGTGGTGAATGAGTCACTTCGTCATCGTCTTTCTTGTTCTCCGATACCTTTGACCCAGAGACAATGAACAACATAATTTACTGTCGGAAAGGAATTGGTGGTAAGTTCGGAGAAAAAACGTCAAAACAATTACTTTATTATTTTAAAAGCTACGTTACAGTTATACAATAACTGGTCAAATTACAGGTTTTAGAACTGTAATGACAAATGTATATATAATGCCTACCCTACCCTACCCTACCCTACCCTACCCTACCCTACCCTACCCTACCCTACCCTACCCTACCCTACCCTACCCTACCCTACCCTACCTTACCAAAGCTTTGTTTTTTAATGCCCTGCTCTTGACTGCCCTGCCCTAAAAGGCTTTGTTCTTAACTAAACTGCTTTACAACGCCTTGTTCTATCCTTCCAAGCAACGTAATGAAAGATTATACGCTCTTATCTTTTGATATTATAACAAGCATGTCAATCTGTCGCTTTTTACAGTACAAAACAATAGAAACTGACGACAAGACTTTGTTTAACACTTTAAACCAAACAAAATTTTTTTGTTATTATAGTAATCTTTATTATTCACAATTATTAAAAAAAACTCAAAATTCACAGCACATTCCAACATTTCAAAATCTTCTCATACTACCAAAAAAGAATGTCAGTACTAGCGACGTCGAGTACCATCTTCAAAGAAGACGCCGCCATCAATAGAGCAATACTTCGGACAAATTCCTCGCTCCCCACCCCTGCCTGGCTGTCCTGAACTGCCTGGCGATCCTTGGTTTCCATCGTTCCCGGGCCGGCCGTTCTCTCCTGGTGCTCCACGATTACCCTGCTTGCCTGGCTCACCTGGCTGACCAGGCTGTCCGGGTGAACCGGGCTGACCAGGTGGTCCTGGCTCACCTGGAGGACCGGGTGCTGCCACAGCGCGATCGTCGTTCTGCGCGTTCTGACCGGGCTGACCTGGTGAGCCTGGCTGACCGGGTGCACCAGGTTGACCAGGTAGACCGGGTGGTCCTGGTGGACCAGCCATCGCATTTCCACCGTATTGGCCCGGCTGACCGTCCAAGCCCTTCTCGCCTGGAATACCTGGTGGGCCGGGCGGGCCGGGTGGACCGGCTGGACATGGTCGGCACGGTGGTGGAGAGAGAACGTCGCAAGGTTGGGCGTTCGACCGACCAGGTTGGCCTGGTGACCCTGGTGAGCCATTGTTTCCGGGCCGGCCTGGTTGGCCTGGTGCACCGGCTGGTCCGGGCTCACCGCCAGAACAGCAGGCTTGGCAGCTGCTTTGTGAAGAGGCACTGTAGCCGGCTTGACGTGCCGTGCGGTTGGCGGGGAGTGACAAAAGGTGATTGACTTCTGTTAAGATGTCTTGAATGGACGCCTGGAATAAGGGTGAGGTTAGAAAATGGCAGTTAGTTTTTAATTTTAACTGTAAAGAAAGTTCTTGCTATTTTATGTTTTGTAAAGAAAGTTCTTGCTATTATATCTAATTCCATTCACCCCCCCCTAGACAAAGAAAAAAAAAGTTTATCTAACCTCCCTCCCCCCCCTCCTCTCTTCCTCATTAACCTACCCTACAAAACGCCATCTCCTTGTCCACACCCACATTCACTTTGCTCACATACTGTTGTAGCAATGGTATCGTGAAGCATACGGTAACAATCGACACAATCGAAAACGCTACGGTCGAGCTGGCTACAAACTTGTAGGCCTTGAGCCGATTCTCCAGCTCCATCGGACCGAAACTGTACAGCCTGTCAGGCTGGCGGTGCCTTAAATACCACGGAGGGTTGGGTAAGGAATGGCATCGGTAAACAGTCGGTTGTTTACCGAAACCGTCTGTTAATGTTGTATCGATCAGATTCGAATTTTGCGAAGTTTAAAACTGCATTTTTGTACGATCGTCACCACGGTTTAAGTCCCTTTCTGTTCGCTTACCATTGTAAATCGGTGGTATTGTAAATGAAAAGTCATGGTAAACAAATTGTTTTCGAAATTATTTGTTTGCCATTATATTATTATGTATAATATAATGGCATTGTAACGCTATAATATAAGCCCATTTTAAGGCTCATTGCAGTGTACTAGACATGTAAAGTTTTTTCGAATAGGCGCTTATCAAAGTTGTTTCGGCCTGGCCTAGTGATTAAGTCTACAATATAAATATAGGTCAGCTGGCAAAAAAAAATTTAAAAAATCAAATACTAGCAATTAAAAAATATGAAAAGTATACCCCCAAAAACAAAAAAAATTGATAATCTACCCATCTAACTCTTGTAAAATTAAAAAATATACCCTGAGCAAGTATAAAAAATCTAAAATTCAGCTCCGTCATCTACAAAAATTTTTTTTAAACTTTTAAAAACTACTGGTTATGCCAGTCTTTGATGTTATTGCTAAGTCTTGCAGTGTCAATAAAGCGTTTGCCAATTTAAACTTTAAAATGTAAAGAAAGTTTTTACCAGTTTTTGCATTGTAATATTGATTTGGCTTGTAAAGAAAGTTCTTGCCATTTCTTGTTTTGTAAAGAAAGTTCTTGACATTTTTTGTCTTGTAAAGAAAGTTATTGCCATTTTACGTTTTGTAAGGAAAGTTCTTACCGTTTTTGTTTAGTAAACAAAGTTCTTGCCATTTTATGTTTTGTAAAGAAAGTACTTATCGTTTTTTGTTTTGTAAACAAGATTAACAAATTTAATAAAAATTTAACAAAAATCAACAATTTCCATTCAAAAATCCATTCACATCCAAATATCATCACGCTAACACCCAAAATATCCATTTACTGCGGCTTATCCAGTAGCCCAGTCTTCTTTTTCTGTAGCGCCTCTTTGTAGGCCGGTTCTGTGGGTGGTGCTACAGCTTTGAGACCTTGTTTTAGTTCAACTGATCCCAATTTATGCTTCAATCTGTCCAATAATCTTTTTGTGTCCAAACCGAAGCTTCTTTCCGAATCAAAGCCACTTAAATCTCCACAACACATGAATGGCACTAGGGTTTTGTTCACGTCCTTTAGGTCTTCTTTGGCTTTTTCTAAACATTTCTTTAAATTTTGGCAGATATTTCATAAATTTGTGGTAGTATTAAATTGTTCAAAAAATTCTGTGCCCCCAACCCCCAAAAATTTGTTTTGAAAAAGTGCACAGAATTATTTGAACAAGCTAATAACTCAAAATATAGAACGTCGTTATAATTTTTTTCTGGGAGGGGTAAATCCACCCCTATTTACCCCACCTTCTCTCCCCTCCCCCTATCTATGTCTCTAAACCCACACATAATAAAATTACAGTGTAAAACATTGTATTCATACCATAATCATCAGTATGTAGAATGTTCTTCAAGTTCGGGGTATAGCCGGTTGGTGGCTGATATTCTCGACAAACAATAAAAGATTCTGAAATGATATTGACTTTGGTACCTTCCAAAAAGATTTTTCTACATAATCAAGCAACGTATTTTACTTAAAACTCCTATTTTTTGCAAAGAAAGAGCATAAACTTTGAAAAGCAGTAAAAAAAGGTAATGTGCTTTAGTAATTTCGTTATATCTTGATGCCCAACAATTCAAAATCAATGAAAATTGAAGTAAGGCATGTTAACATACTCCTTTTTAAATATTCTTAACTGTTTTTCAAATAAATTAACAATCATCTCCAAAATCTTCAAACCTCCCATATCTACTAAACCTAAAACAATACAAAAAACCTCACCTGAACTGCTAATTCTGCTACTCTGTGGTTTGTAAAAGTCAACATATTTAAAGAACATGCTCATCTGCGTCTTCAACAACACCCCATCACCAGCCAAAAAAACTTTTGACACGAACGTTCCACCTTCCTTCAGTACAAACGTGCTGATATTGAAAGCAGCAAACACTAATTGTCCCTGAAGAAATTCATCAAAAGCGTGTAATCCAGTAACATCAGGAGCACCATCACAAACAACCAGGTCCGCTTTTTGCCCATCAAAATGACTAATGATTGCTTCTGCCGTCGATTCTTCAGTAATGTCACCTTTGAGTTGAATTACACCAGGTAAGGGAGCCATTGGCTGAAGATCCACGGCTACTATTCGAACATCAGATAAACCATTTTGCTTGGAATGTAGTTCCGATGTTATTACTTGACTCCACGATCCAGGAGCTGCGCACAGATCCACTACTCGCGTTACATCTAAAGAATATTAGGTTTTAGGTATAGGCTTTGTCGACAAATGTTTTACCAATGTTCTTAACCGAAAGTCACAACGATTTTAATCTCTAAACATAAACAACATAATAAGAAAGTTTACCCTTGAATATCCCAAAGTGTTCTTGAATCTGCATCAACTTATAAGCACTTCTGGCTCTCCATCCATTACTCTTGGCCAGTCGATAGTAAATATCTCGTTTGTCTTTGGAAGTCAGTCCCATATTTGCGTTTATATCTTTAAAAGAATAACAAAACAATTAAACACGTTTTTCATAACAACTGGAGCCTCTTTAAATTGTAATAATTTGGTAAAAACCTTAAAATTATGTTAACCATGCCTATATTTAAGAGTATCAAAGTTTATAACTTAGAGAATCGTATAAAACCAAAGTGAATATTTCAAAAATTTTACAGGGTGAGTAGTTTTAAAAATGGAGAGTATAGTGAGTATTATCGTGACAAACTCCATCCTTTAGCCGCCAAAACCATACAAAGTTCTGCCTTGACGCTTGAGGGCGTAGACGACATCCATGGCGGTGACGGTCTTTCTCTTGGCGTGCTCACAGTAGGTAACGGCGTCACGGATTACATTCTCCAAGAAGACCTTCAGGACACCACGGGTTTCTTCGTAGATGAGGCCAGAGATACGCTTGACTCCACCACGACGAGCAAGACGACGAATGGCTGGCTTGGTGATGCCCTGGATGTTATCACGAAGAACTTTGCGATGACGTTTGGCGCCACCTTTTCCAAGACCTTTTCCTCCCTTTCCGCGTCCAGACATTTCGACTAAAATTAGTTAGAATGTTATTGTAATGTATATTATACTTGACATAAAACGGAAAAATAGTATTAATCACGTGAAAACGTTGTAAAGTAAAAATAAAGTTGTTTGCGCATTCAACACAATAATCTCGACCTCAAATAATCGGTTGAGAAGTAAAGACGAATATTAATCCATCTTATTTTAAGTAAACCTCTTGTTAGACTAAAATAACATTGTTTTTCTGAACTAACTTAACAAAACCAGCCCGCTGTCAAGAAAATCAACCCTAAACTTTCCAAAATAGTTAAAATTTTACCGAAAAAACCTTAATTTGGCAGTTTTTCGTCAAGTTTAAAAAGCCCTCCAGTTGTTTTTCTTTTTCCGCAACCCTGCCCGAAATCGATAACTTCCGTGACACTTCGCTACATGAGTCGAATTTATTGATTTTGCGGCTGATTTCAATCTTTTTTCGCCGAATAACAAAATCGAAACGTCCAGCACGCCCAAGGATAACATATAATGGTCGGACACAAGATTTTAGCTTTTTTATAATATTCGGGATCAATTTATATTATTCATCTTGGGTTTTGGTCGTTTTATTCGGGATTTTTGGTTTTATTTTTTGAAAATGAAGGGGAAATGAATGTTTGGGATGTTTAGAGGAAGGACGTTATGTTTTGGATGTGTTAAATTGTTTGGAGGTTAGAATTTAAGCTAATTTGGATGTTATATTTGTGATATTGTAGTTGGTATGAGTTGTAGATTGCTTATGAGGTTTCGATGGATATTATTTTAGATTTCAGTGTTTTAACATGTTGATGGTCTTATTGTGGTACTTTCTTTATATTTTGAAGAAAGAATTGTTTGAAATTACCTTTTGGGTTGAAAATATTGGACTTCGTCTATGTTAATATCATCTTTTGATATTTGATAGTTCTTTATCAACATTTTGATGCTTTGTTGCATGTATGTCAATATATTGATGCTTTTAATCATTTTTTAATTTTTTCAATTGTAAAAAATCGTACTGACAAGTTTTGACAGTTTTTGCACACTATTTCTCTTTGCACGGTGCAATCTTATTTTGTTGACTGCACCGTGCAACCCAATTAAACCTTCAAAACCTCATAATAAAACGGTATGAAAGAAGGTCGAAAAACGTCGTAACGTAGCTCCCATTAACTGTAAAAGCGCTTTTGGAAACTTTTCTGGTGAAACACGCTTCTTTCGCCGAGTGACCATGTTATAATAGCCATATTGTCTACGAACTGAACGGCTTTTGTCTTTGTGGTGGGTGCGTAAACAATGCACAATATTTGGGGTGTGTTTCGTCTTATCGAAAAAGGAAAGGACCCTGTAATGATTCACACTACTCCACAAATCTCAATTTCATAGGTTTTAATTGGCGTGATCACAAGGTTTTTCGGTCGATTTTGGGTTGTTAAATGCTTCAGGGCGTTTGATTGGTTTGACGTATTGAAATTAGGGTTGGCTAGGAATAAAGAGCATGAAAAGGTGTATAAATGAGGGTTGCTCAAAGGTGCTATTGTTATCTGGATAAAAAGATGAGTTGATCAATAAGTTACATCACTTCTCCTAATAATAGGGTCAGAAAGTTATAAATCAGTTTTTACAGTGCTGGGCAGGTTATTTTCAGCTGGGTGCTATAAAAATATTTTGTAAAAATGTAGTTTTTTTAAATTTTAAAGAAAAAAGCTTTTTAAATTACTCATTGATGCCCTTTGGCGTGGTTTAAACTAAAAATGAAATCAAAAGGTCTTTTTGGTTTTACGAAAATGAGACAGAAAGAATGATCAATATAGTAATATAAACATACTACAACATTTACAAGAGCTATTGAACTTTAAGTTCAGTTCGATAAACTTTAAGTAGAAATTGATCCCGCTAAGTCAAACTAATGATATTGAGATAAGTATAGTAGTACGAGCTGAAGTGAGTCATTAAAGCTCCGGTTTCTATTATATTTTTGTAAAGATAAGGCGTAGCACACCCATATTGGCTTGTTTGATCATCAAGTTTCTTTTTTATTTTGAATTTTGATAAAAAATGTTGAATTAGGCCCAAAAGTTTATTGCACGGTACAGTCACTATAATCTGTTTTGAATGCACGGTGCAGAACTATAATCGTTTTTGACTGCACGGTGCAGTTTATGATAAACATTATTTATTGTAAAAGTCGTACCATGTGGATTTTTAAAGTACTTTTGAGGTTATTTTCGACTTATATTATAATTTTACTCCCTGAGGGATTTATCGAACGAATACGTTATAATTTTCGTTTGCGGAAAGGTTATTTATGACACTTTTGGGTAATATGCTTTCTTTATTTTTGGTAATATAGTCTTTTTTTGGTAATATGGACTTCTTATAGTATTTTTTCTAGTCTCTAGGCTATGCAGAGATATTTTTTATTTATACTTTGTTCTATCTGAATATTGTATACATTGAACTATAAGAGCTTTTACTTTGAAATATAAGCTTTAAAGAGTTTTGTAAACAATATTTATATTTTGCTGTATATATTTTGTCATGTACACCTTTTTTGTCGATTTTTTTATATAAGCTTGTCTAAACTAATATTTTTTTTGTTTAAAACTGTCCATTTGTTTAAAAAGCTTTTTTTTTCTATATTTTATTGTTTTTTGTCGAAAAAACATCGTTTTTACCCAAAAAATATACGTTTTTCTTCCAAAGATAATCTTTTCCCTATTTCCAGGCTAGCCAACTCATCAAGGATGATTGGTGCGGCCCAATGGCCTCAACACCAGGGCACGATACAGGCATTCGCGCCGAATCCGCGAATGAATTATCAGGATTCGCGGCGAAAGGTTCGGCCCGCCAACTCGGGCTCCAAACTCTTGACCCGGCCCGAGAATGAACTCATGTTCGACGTGTTGGGTGTGGATCGAGTCTCATTGTCGGCGGGTGTAATTCAGTTGCTGAAGAGTGTGCGTGGACAGTGGCAACATCAGCACGTTGGAGTGGTGTCGCTGATCAAGGATTATCAGCGAAAATTGTACGTATTGACGTTGTTCGACATCTACAATGGCAATCAAATGTGGGAACAGGTTTTGTAAGTGTTTTTTGTTTGTTTGCTTGTAATTTTAGATATCTGTGGATTGAGTTTGAGGTATTGTGGAGATATTAGGCTTATGAGGCTACTGGCATGGTTAATATCAGTTTATGGCTAACTTTAGAAAACTTGAAGACTTTTAGGTTTAAAAAATTGAAAATCAGTTTAATATGGACAAATGACAAATTGGCTGTTTCTTCTAAGCAACACTAATTTTTGGGCATTTTGTGCTGGCTATATCAATATTTTCAATTCCGTGACATTTTTTGAAATTCAAGCAGGGTTTTTTACCATTAAGTACCTATAACAACTGATTTATCATTAAAGGCTAAGCAATAAAGAAACCCAAACTACCTAAATTTTATATTCTTTGAGATAATGTCATTAAAAACGATATTATTGTAGATATCGAGGCTTTAAAGCCAAAACCTATCAACAATGCCCGAAATTCCTGACATTCGAAAGCGATGACAGTGTTTATGGACTGAATTTTTCGGACGAAGAAGAAGCCCACGAGTTCAAGGCTCACCTGGAAAAGCGATACGAACAGGAACAAAAGAACAGTAAGTGTTGGTTGGTAATGTAAACATGGGAGAAGGAGCTGGTTTATCGCGAAATTAGTATGAAAAGTAATAATTCTGGAGGACTAAACTAGCCTGAAATATTTAAAAGTAACTTATCTTGCTCTTAAAATGTTAATTATAAAGGGCCAAAGATGAACTTATAAAAAATATTTTCTTGTCTCGGATTCTGGAGCATATTTGCACAACCTAAACCGGCGATCACGTCGTAGCGCGTAATTCAAACGAAAATACGACTGTTTTGTGTGTTTTTCGCATGAAAAACATACGAAATAACAGGCGAAATGATGCGTTTTTCGAGTGACCGCGCTTCTGTGTGTAAACGAAACCAATCACTTGTGCTGCTTCCGCTGTTACCCAACACCACAATATCTCTCCTAACACTACAATATTGTAATAGGCGACTGTTACCGATTTTTTTACGTTTTGGAGCACATTGTACGTTTTGAAGCACAGTGGCGTTATTGTGGTATTGTTGGCACATTGAGGCTATTAGAAACAGTATTGCTACCACGTTGGTGTAATCGAGAAACCCATTGGAACGATAAGTGTACTTGCGATACTACTAGGAACGTTGCGCTTATTTAGAACGGTATTAGAAAGACAGGCCTATTCAAGGTATTATATGGCAGATTAAGCCTATTAAAAGCCTTATTTGGCACGTTAGGCCTACTCAAGCTGTTATTTGGCACTCTAATCCTACTCAAGCTGTTGTTTGGCACGTATGAACTACCGATAAGGACTACAAATTTAATTTTTTGAATTTTGAGGATGAGCTTTTGATGAAACTTTGAAAAATAACAACAACAGAAGAACAACAATTTTGGTTTAGCGGGCCTAATATCTCGACAAGTACCTCGACCAACACAAATCCTTCATAAACAACTCTTTACGAAGCAAGAAAGCTTCAAATCGTACCAAAAATCAGCTAAAAATGCCAGAAACCTACTTCTACGTAACAAAACCCTCACCAAAAGATTATAAAGACCAACTTACCTCGAATATTGGACGCATCGGGACAATCCGCAGCCTTCGACCTCCGAAACTGGAACGACCAAAGCCTATTTACCTATGTTCGGGCTTCGAACTGTCGACTAGTTTCATATCCTCCGATGTTACAAACCCCGAATTTGGGTCGGGATTGCGCAACGCAGAGGCTACAGAATCTCAACCTGGGTTGAATTGCAACGATTCGAATTGTGGATTCAACGCTACTGGATTCGATTTTAATTGTACGGAGCCGAATGTGAGGTTGGCCGGAACTGAAGCGAGTTTTAGATCGAAGGCAGGATCAAATTTTGGTTCAACGGCTCCAAAGGCTATTGAAGAAGCGGCTACAAAGGACAATTTTGATTTTATTGCAAAAAATTTCGAATCTACAGAGTTTGGATCAGATTTCATATTGACAGAATCCTATTTGGGTACGAATTCTGACGACGAAGATTCACCGAAGTTTGATGTAAATTCAGAGAAAACGGATTCGAATTCTGAAGATTCCGGACTAGTTTTAAAGCCTGAAGAATCAGAAGAGAATAACGGTTCTAAGGATAACAGTTCTTGGTTTTGTCAAGACGAAGGAAAGCTACACAATTTGGATCATCGTACGCTTCGATACTATCAACAAGTTCAACTACAAAACTTAAAATCTTATCAAGAGAACCAACATCTACACGATCAAACAACTTCAGTAGAGAACTTTAAGAATTTTGGAGGCTTTTCAAACAGCTTTCGGACTCAAGACCATCCTAATCAAGTATACTACTGCTTTAAAGATCAAAAGTTTTATTTGAAAAACGATTTTTTGGAAGAAAACTTCAATTTTCTTGACTTCTACACAACTCAAGAACAAAACGACAACATGTTGCGGAATTATGATCCGAAAATGTTGCGGAAGATGAATATTCGACCAGCCGCCCCACCTCCACTACCCCCACACAAAGATTTGCGGATGCCGATCCGGCTACGTCAAGTTTTTGACGCACCCTCGACTTTCAACAAGGCTTTCAACGACTCAAAGAGCTTCAACGATGCAAACACGTTCAATACCAACATGAATAACACAAATTTGAACAACAACAATATAAATAATGTAACGAACAAAAACGGAAAGACGAACAGTGTTTCGACCAGTAAGACGACTAATGAAGAGCCGGGAGGAGAGTTCCGGCGCGAAAAGTGTTTGAAACTGAAGGACAATAGGAAGCGGATCAAGTTTCAGGAGCGCTTGATTACAGGTATTATCGAATTTTGAAACATTGTCATTGAGTGCTAGATCTTGGTTCTATTCTGAGATATTGAGAGGTGTATTTTGATTCTGTGGTTAAAGATTGAGCGTTCTATCTTACTTCTACTAGCAAGTATTGAGAGCTGCATCTTCCTGTGAGCGCAGATCGAGTGCTATATCTTCCTTCTGTCACTTATATTGAGATTTATAGCTCAAATCTAACTTTGAACATTTCACCTATCACTCTAGCCTATCCGTATCAATTTTTAAAGAAAAGTTTGCATCGAACACGTATTTAGCTTTATGAACATGCCTTCAAAGGTTGTAACACTGTTTTAAGATTTTTAAAACAAGAACGTTATTTTTGTTATTTCTACTGATTACTGACTAACAAGTTGGCTGTAAAGCTCGCTTGCACCTATATTGACTAGTTCGTTGTTTTCTATCACTGATTTTCGACTAATGCGTTGACTTCTGTGACTTATTTTACTTATTAGTTTTGGAAAAAATTGATTTCTGATTGTCTATCTTGAATTAAGAATAGATGTTGATTATGCTATTGATTAAAACTCTTTCTTCGCCAAAAAAGCTGAATGGTAAACTTTATATTAGAGAAGATTGTTGTTTTATGATAAATCAAGGTGTTGGAATTACAATAAGAAAAATTTTTACTTGTAACATTAAGCAAATTTAAAAAACCTATGGTTATTCCAAAACCATGGGTTCAAATTGATGTTTTCGTTAATACTAACCATTTTATATAAATGTTTGGCTAAAATTACACTTTTTAAGAACAAGCACAAAATTTTTTAAACATTTAATTCCACAAAATTTTAGACCAAAAGAATGGTTCAACGAAACAAGCCCCGAATCGACTACAACCCCCGAACAAACCCCCTACCGCGGGCATTACCGACGTCGGCTCGATGCCCCATTTCGGAATTTATCAACACAACTCACCGGTCGATTTGAAAAAGTCCAAAAATAAAGACAAGGACAAGAAGAATAAGAAGAAGCCGCGGATTCGAAAAGAAGATATTGGGCATCCGACTAACTTTCAGTGGGTTTTTGGGGATTTTAGGGGGTGTTTTTGGAGTTTTTGACTTATCACGGGCAAAAAAAATTTCTGGTCGAAAATATTTTTAAAACAAAAAAAGTGATTTTTGATCAATTTTTGAGGTTTCTTGTTTCCAGACTTTTAATTTTAAAACGGTTTTTAATAATACATTGCTTTAGACACAAAGCCCACTTGGGCTGGGACGTGGACGGCGGTTTCAGCCAAAACTTTTGCGCTGGCGAACCCCTGGACGAAAGCGTAAAAGAACTGCTCCGGGCGGCGGGTCGAGACCCAGACAAGATGAACAAAGAGGAACTCGCTTTTGCCACCGACTTCATCAGCAACTACCAAGAAGCCCCTGGCAATGACTACACCTCACAATCTAGTCCGGCTATCATGCAGCCACAGCAACAACCATCATTCCAGCCCGGCCCAATGCATCAAGTACACTCCATTCATTCGGCCCAATCAGCTAACAACATGTACAATACTCGACCAGCTCCACCACGACCACCACCAACTGATTACTACGGGAGTTATGGGCAGGATCAAGGTCGTAGTGCAGGGTATGAACTGGAGCAGGCAAGAAGTGGGTATGGGCAAGATCAAGGCTACAATGGAAGCTATGGCCAAGCTAATCAACGTAACGGAAGCTACGGTCATGAACAGCCGCAGGCTAGAAGTTACAGCCAAGATCAAGCCTATAATGGAGGTTACAGCCAAGATCAAGGCCGTAATGGAATTTATGGCCATCTACAAGCTACATATGGATCAAATTACACTCATTCAGCTCCAGCCACTCCACCTCAACCCCCTCCGGCACCACAACGAGACGCTTCGATGCAGCAACGACCGGTCAGACCTCCACCTGTTGAGCAAAGAACCGTAAGTTTTTGAAGTTTGCTGCGCTGTAAATGGTGTAAAATTGATGTTACAGTTAGAGTAGCTTTCTTAAAATCTTGAAAACATAATACTTTGGCTATAATTAAGACAGAACATTTTTAAAAGTTTTTATGGGCAAAACTCTTTTTCCAATAATTTTGTGACACTTTGTCAAGTTTTCCGGTAAGTTTGTGGCTTTTCGTCTACTTTAGGAGATTTTTTGCGCGCGCTGAAAGAAAAACTTTTTTACAGCTTTCAGAATCCGTTTCTGTAGCCTTTTAACTTTGTTTGAACTTGTTTTACATAAGATTAATTACTTGAAGGTGCAGAATATTGTTTATCTTATCCATCTCTTATTGACGCCAATTTAGCCATGGATAATATAAAGAAATAGAGGAAAGGCGGGTAGGATAACAAGGAAATCGGTAGACAATTCTTTTTGATGAGGAGATTAAGTTAATAAGGGAAATATAATGTTATAGAGTGAGAAATAGCTTTAAGTAATGTAGTATAAGGAATCGGTAGATAAAAGCTTGTTTACTATATTGTTGATGTCCAGAAAAGTTATTAGGATTGAGGATCATTAGCAGAGCTGTATTCTTGTCTGTTTTACGTATTTTAAGATGAAGGTGAAGATTGGTGTCTTGTTTAAGTTGATTAGAAAGAAAAAGAGATCAAAGAAGGTTAATGTAAGATATTTTAGATTTTCTTTGTGTTTTTGGAAGTTTTAAGGAGGTAAAATTCAACCGTAGTTTTTTTTTGTTGGTTTTACAATTAAAAATTTTATGTTAATTTAGTTTAAAGTGAAAACTTAATCGATTTTTAATATAACTTTGCTTTTTCAGACCTCCTACTCGAATGGACCTCAATCAGCCCCACCACCACCTCCACCAATGCCCCCAGTTGGTCAATCGGCCCCAAGACCATCAAATGCTCCAGCTGCTCCACCCCCACCACCACCCCCTCCACCAGCTCAAACGTCCTCTTCAATACCACCCCCACCTCCACCACCACCTCCAGGTGGCTTAAATGGAGTCAAGCTTGGTAATGGCAATACACAACCTTCAAGTGCAAGTTCAAATGCACCAGCAACGCCAAAACAGGCTTCGGGAGGCCGTGCTGATTTGCTACAGCAAATTCAGCTGGGAACGAAATTGAAGCACGTTGAGCCGCCAGCTGAACGTTCTCCATTGGCCGCGACTGGAAATGCTAGAGATGATATGATGCAACAGATCAGGAAGGGTGCGAATTTGAAACATGTAGGTTTATTTTTGATTTTTTTTTGTTTTTAGGTAGTATATTGCAGGTTTTGGCAATAATATAGACATTGTTGTACCTAAACTATTAAAAATGGTCATTGCTTTACCTGAAGTATTGAAAAATGTCATAATTACCAAAAAATGTTTAAAAAGGCATTTTTTATAATTAAAATATCAAAAGCAAAAAATTTTTGGATCAATATGTTAGAATAGTTCTTTTCATTTGTATAACGACTATTTGTAAAGTTTTTTTGATGTTCAGGTTGATCAACAAGAAGTTGAAAGCAACAGGAAGTCGGTGCCAGAACCAATGGGCGGAATAGCGGGCGCTTTGGCACGGGCATTGGAAGAACGACGCAAAAACATGAACAATTCGGACGGTAGGGCATTTTTGGTCGATATTTTAAAGTTTTAGTTAGTTTTGGGAAATTTTAAGGAAATTTTTGATTTTTTTTTTGAAATTAAAAATTTTTTTTTTATTTATTAAGAAAGCTTGTGAAACAGTCCGTTTTTGTTGATTTTTTGCAAAATTTTGCCATTTTTAAATGGATTTTTAAAAAATAAAGAAAAAATTTTTAGAATCCGAAGCCGAAAACGACAGCGAATGGGAGGACGATTGAGCACGATGCAAAAAGAATGGCATATTGAAACGGGTATCTTCTCCTCCTTCTACTCACCATAACACCGGCCTCCAATCCCTCCTCTTTCTGACTAACACTCATCTTTCCCAACTTTCTCACTCCGGTTCAGAAATATTAAAACTCATTTCGTAGCGATTCTCTTTTATGATTGTAATTGTACTTTAATATAAGTTGTAGTAGGTATGCTACTATAACATGTTGTAGTAGGTATGGTATGGTAACTTATGTTTTTGTGGTTATGGTACTATAATATAAGATGTGGTAGGTATGCTACTACAACATTTTTTAGTAGATTTACTACTTTAACGTAAAATGGTAGGCTCTATAACGTGTTGTATTAGGTATGGTGATGTACTTTAACTTGGTATATAAAGTACTGTACTGTAACATACCTTGTTGTAAGGCTGGTACTGTAAAATATTAATCGAAGCAAGAGTACTAGTACTGCACCTTGTCATAGAAAGTGTAGTATCAACTTGTTTTCGAAGTTATATTATCGTACTGTTTCTTTGAACTTATGTACGGCCGAATTGAATAAAAAGTACTGTAATATTATAAAGTGCTCTTTTTACAGTATTTTTCTTATGTTTTACTCTTCTTTTTTGTAATTTTTTTCTGTATTTTGTTTATTTTTTTGGATTATCATCTCTTCTGTCTTTTTTTGAAAACCACCCCTTATGTTTGTCTTATTCAAAAATCAACCCTCCGTCCACCCTTAATTGTGTCTACCCGGCCTCTTTACCATAGACTAAACCATCCTTTTATAACCGTAAACTACAATATTGTAGTACTGTGATACCAAAAAGAGACGAGGAACTTCAACATCGCTCAACCAGTACAAACCTTTGATATCTATTAAATGCCTTGGTTCATATATTGTTCTAACCCGACGTTTTATCGTTTTACTTATTGTTATTATCATCGAACTGTAAAAGTTTTATTTGTATAAAAAGTAACCTGAAGCGAGGGCGGCATGTGTAACATAGATGTAAATAAATCACAAAAATCGGTCGAAACCGGATTTCATTACTTGATATCAATTTCTTTAGTTTGGGAGTCAAAAATAGCTATGCTGGGTGTATTTTGACGTAAAGATGGCCTAGTGAAGGTTTTTTTTCGAGTTTGAAAAAAAAATTTGGGCGGGGTAAAAAATTTTTTTTTTGTTTAGGAGGTGGATTTGGCAATTTTTGTTTGGTGGAGCGAAAAAAAATTTTATGAGGGGTAGAATACTTTTTTTTGGGCGGGTAAAAAAATTTTTTTTGAGGGAGGTAAAATTTTCTAAAAATTGCTAGGCTGCAATTTTAGGCATTTAAATGACTTTTTACTTTTTTGGATTTTTACATACGATTTTTTGAAACTAAAATTTTTTATTAAGGCTGCTTTCAATGCTGATATGTCATTTTTCAACAAATACACCCCTAAGCCGGACTCTTGCTGGGATTCAGCACCGAACTCTCGGAAGCCGGATACGATAGAACCGCCGAAACCCGACTCAGCGTCGAGTGTTTGGAATGTTGGACCGGAGCAGCTGAAGACGATATCGGGTCCGCGGCCGCCACGCCTAAAAGATCTCTCTATTCCGGGACCAAGACTTTTGAAGACTGTGCCGGTTCCAAAGGAGTTACAGCCTCAAACGACGGCTAGTCCAAGGCTACAGGATTTGGCAACGAATTCAAGGTTTGAGCAGTCGAAAAGGGCTTCAAGTCCAAGGCAGGAACAGCCTAAAACAAGCTCCAGTTCAAGGCAGGAACAGCCAAGAATGACTTCAAGTCCAAGGCAGGACCAGCCTAAAACAAGCTCCAATTTAAGGTCAGAACAGCTTAAAACAACCTCCAATTCAAGGCCAGAACAACCAAAAACAACATCGAATCGACCGGAACAGATGAAAAGGATAGCGCAGGTAAAAATAGAACATATGGAGTCACAACATGTACCTGTACCACCAACTACAGCACAACCACAGCCATCTACAAGTGCTTCAAGGCCGGAGAAACCGGGTAGGTGTTAATTGTTTTTCTTGTTTTAGGTAACAATTGGTATTTTAGATAACGGTGAATGAGTAATATTATTTTTAGGTAACATTAAAGTGAATTTTATAATGTCTAGGTAGCAGCTCATGAGCTTTTGGCATTTTAAGTAACATTCCATGGTTTTTTTGGCCTTTTAGGTAATCGAAAATGGATTTTTAGTATTTTAGGTAACAGTCAATGTATTTTGCTGCAAATTCTAATAAAATACCATTTCAGCCCACCCAAAGAAGACGGACTACCTAAAACGCGCCAGCGGCTCCGCCTTCCAAAACATGTTGAAGAAGAAGAGTCAGAAGATGTTGGCAATTCGAATGCAACAATATTCCTTCGGGGGCCAATCGGTCCTCAATCCACAGAACCCGGAATCCGAGTCGGAATCATCGGAAGATGAAGTGGCATCAATATCCAAACGCATCGATGCTATACGAAGGATCGGGGCGAAAGCCTCGATCAGCGGCATGGAGGGTAAGATATTGCCATTCTTTGTTTGTTTTTTGACGTTTAGGTAATGATTATGACGTTGGTTTGGAAGGGGAAGATGAAGAAGGCCTTGGGCTTGGATTTTGAAGTTACAATTTTAAATTTTAAAAACTGGTCCGAAAGTTCTGGGATAAAATGCACGGTGCGACCACATAGTAGAAAAGCGGAACGTGGGACCGGGTTTTGGCGGGGCAATTTTAGGCGGATGGAGGAAGAGGGGATAAAATTTTTTTTAGAAAATTAATAGGCTTGAACATTTTCAACTTTTAAATTTTTTTTTTGATTAAGCTTCTCCCCCTTTTAAAAAAAAGCGATATTGCCCAGTGCGCGACACTTTTTCTAGTATTATATGTTGGTAAACGTCTTCTTTTTAAGGCAAATGATGCAAAAATAAAATTTTGCGCGTTTTTTCTTTATTTTGTTTTATAAAAAACGGAAAAGGCGGGTTTATTTTATCAAAATTAAGGTACAAAGGCAGCATGGCTTTGGCTATTTTGTGCGGGTTTAGATTTTTTTTCTGGAGATCAGTAGGGCGGATGACTTTTTATTTTAAAAATTTTTAGAGAGGTGGGTTCTTGCTACTCGATCTGCTAATATAATCTGTAAAACATAGTTTTGCCTTCTCTAACACATTGTTGTTGTTAAATAACTTCTCAATTTTTATATATTTTAAACATTTTTTTAGTTTTTCGATTAAAAAACGAAATTTCAGTCCTCCAAGAAATGCCCCAAACCCCAGCCCCATCATCAAGCAGCGAAGAGGCCAGGAAACGAAAACCCCCGCCAAATTCTGTCGAAGAGCTGGTGGAAATCAATGGTGAAATACCACCGAAAAAGAAAATCCATCAGTTGGCGGACAAAATGCTGAAATCGTTCGCGAAAGAGAGAAAAACAGCCGAACGAATGCGCAGCATGTCCATCAGCTCGAACAATTCGCAGGAATCGTTGAACAAAAAGAAGAGTTTTGTTCATCCATTGAATCAGGATAGTAGTTCGGACTCGGAAACCGATGTTAAGGTAGGGTTTTTTTTTGAAATTTTATTATATAAACAACATCAGATGCGTTTTACACAGTAAAATCTTTCGTTGCGGGACCTAAGCTGGAACCTGGTTAGAGCCCGGTCCCATTCAAATTTGCTTTGACCCATACCGGCCCCAGAGAAAATGTATAGCTCAGTATCTTTCGCTCCCCCCCCCCCCCCTCCTTCTCAAAAAAATACCAAATCCACTATCAAAAAGACTTTTTTCAGCCAGTCCTAAACGCCAAGCCCAAAAACCAGCCCAGCAGTATTGCTGCCACAAATCACATACCACCACGTTCCAACAGCAGCACTGTCGTCACAATGCCACAACCAAAACCCGAGCCTCCGCAAATGATACCCAGCGATCCAGCACCATGCCCAATCAAACCGGACCCAACTTTTGTGCAGGAACAGATGATGGACGTGAACATGTTAGACGACGAAATGCAGGAGGCCATCAGGGTTTATGTAAGGATGAGATTTTATGATTCTGGGCTTAATTTTAAAGATTTGAAAAAAAAATTAGGTGACAATTTTTTTCATTTTAAACGGAGATACCGTATTTACTTTAAAAATATTTTATATAGTACGTTTAATACCTGACAGACAGTAAAAAGTTTAAAAAACCTGAATTTTTGAAAAAAAATTGTTACCTAAATTTTTTTTTCAAAGTTTTTTGTTAAAATACGTGTAGTTCTTTAGAAATAGTAATAGTAGTACCATAAACTTGTAAAAGTATCATAACATGCCAAAAATTAATTATATAACATAACTTTTTAAATTTCATACCTAAAAACTATCATTTTTCAGGAAGCGTCGAAGAAAAAACAAAGACAACCAGCCAGAAGCAAGTCCGTACAACCTGACGCATCGACTTCGAAACAAAACTCGGACAAACCCCCGCCGAAACATCCAAGAAAACGTGTTTCTAAATCGCCTGGCCCCAGCAATTCGGATGTGGTAAGTTCTGGATGGAAATTATTTTTTGACCACAATCCAAGTAGAAACCTATTATGTTACTGATTCCTAGTCCAAGGGGAAAATTATCGACTGCGTATTTTTTCGACCGTTAGAGTAAAAAAATATAATTATATTTATGGCTGTTAAAAGTCTTGTCGCTTCTTCACGTGAAAACCTTTGTTAAAAAACGACAAGACTTTTTGGCAGTAAACCTTAGGTTATTCAAATAATTCTGTGTCCTCTAACCTCGAAAATTTGCTCTGAGGGGGCACAGAATTATTTGAACACCCTATTAGAATGACAATGTAGTGAGCACAGTACATAGAATGATAATGTAACGACCAATCTGTATACAATGACAATATATATAGAATGATAATGTAATAAAAGCATTATACTGTAAATTGTTTGTTTTAGCTAATGGCAATGTGGAAATTGGCCGAAGACGAAGCCAAAATGCAAGACGAACTGGAGCGCCTGAACAGCGAGGAGCACAAGTGTGATGTGGAGGTGGATAAAGCCATGAAGAAGCGAGACGGGATACGAAAACGAAAATCTGACGTAGGTTTCTAGTGTCATTAACAGCTTTATAGTAAGTATAGTAAGAATCGAGATTCATTGGAAAAACTTTTATACTAAACCTTTAATTTTTCAGCTAGCCAAGAAGATCACCACCCTCCACAACAACAAAAAACAACTTTTAGCCCAGAAGCGGTAGAACATCAGTTAAAAACAATTGAAATCTTGTTAAGTTTGGTAAATATTGTTATGAGTAAATAGAACTGACTTTATGTTTGGTATTTTTGAAAAACCTTGTTGACAAAATTAGCTAAATATGCTTATTTTAGATATCTAAAGCAATTTTGATAGGATATTTAGAGCAGGTAGATGTCCTAGTACTAGACAAGCCTTTAACTAGAGTACATAGGTACCAATTGTACTAGGCGAGCCTTTAACTAGAGCGAATAGACAACTTATGGCCATAAATTAGCCTAAAACTGAAAAAAAAGCTAACTTTCTAGACTAATTATGCAACAAAGAGCCTTCGGGTCTACTGCTCAAAACACCCTTCTTCCCCACGTGTTTTTTTCGAATTTCGAAACAATGTTTTTACTTGTAAACAAAGGTTGTTTACTATTTGGTTTACTATTCGTTTTTAGATGAAATAAATTAATAATAGGTATTTATCTATTTCTAATATAATATTGAAGCTTTTACCTATTTATTATACAATATTTAAACCTATGACCTGTTTCTAATACAATATTTGAGCCTATGAACTATTTTTAATACAACATTAGCTCTTTTAAGCTATTCTCGATACTATATTAAAGCCTAAACTCTATATTTAGTACAATAACAAGATTCTTTATCCCATTTCTAAGAGAAGCAAGGTATTATAAAGTACCTATTATTATGAAGAATGAAAAGCAAGACATAATCAAAGGACTACGGCTCATAGAACGGCTTCCAGATGATGTAAGTTAACTGGCAAAAACTATTTTAGCTTTGTTAAAAGCTATTTAAACATGACTCTCTACCCTAGTCCTACCACATTGTCTTACTTCTGCCACTGAATTACCCTCCCCTTACTATAGCTCTGCCTTCACCTTACCCTAAGCTTTATAACTTGAATATCTTTCAGGTAATCTACCTAATCACAAAGAAACTGAACATCATTGATGTTATAACCGTTTATCGTGCCCTAAATCAACCAACAAGTTTTTCGATTCTGAATCAACGATTTTATCGCTCTTGCATTGAAAACAACCTCAAATTGGACAAAAACCAAAGCCCTATCGACGTGCTTGACAATTTCGTACATTCAATAACCACAAAGGCCTGTTCTTCATCTACTACAACTTATGGAAGGCTTAATAGCTCATTAACATTTCAAAACGACGAAGAAGTAGCTTCAGGGTATAAAGAAAGAACTACAAGATCAAGTTCAAATGCCTCATTGATTCATGATAGAAGAAACCATGGTAGAAGACCCTTACATTCATGTATCACAGAGTTCTTAAGCCAGCTATCTACTGCTTCCAAGAAAAACGTCTTACTACGCTTCAAGTTGGCCAAAAACTATCAAAATTACCCAGAAATTATGGTTATCAATTCAGAAGTAGACCACAAGAAACGAGAAGTTAGCTACTGGCTAGGCTACAGCTTTTATCATGATGATGAACATCAAGACTGTAGTTATTACGATGATGATGAATATCTAGGCTATAACGACGATCATGAGCAATACTTTGAGTCCTCAATAGAAGTAAGGTCTCAATTTTAGACTAAAAATAACCGACTGTTTGATAAATACAAACTGAAAACCTAATTTATATTAAATACTAACACGATTAACTAACCTAAACTTTCAGTTATCCACCGATTTCAACAAGTTTTCCTGTTGTTTTGACAAAAACTCTGGTATATTGTACTACACGGAACCCTGCGAAACCCCATCAGGCTCATTTAGCACCAAAATCATGAGCAAAAAATTGACAAACAACTCAGAACCTACTACAATATGCACGCTCAATGAATTTTCTCTACTTCCTCCGGAACTCTACGTTACTTACGACAAATTATTAATAGTTGTTATACATGGACAAAGAGTTACTCTAACGCAATTTGATCTTGTGTCAAAGAAAGTGGCCTTTACAGATGTTAATATCGGGAATAATGCAAGATTTTTATCAATAACTGATCATTTTCTTTGATAACTTTATTTAAAAACCCTAGAATTTATAAAATACAACGTATTTTACAATTATATTAATTTTTTACAGCTAAAACGTGTAATACAATGTAAAACAACAATTACCTTATTATTTGACAAGCTGATATTGATTTATCATTGTGAAGGTAACAAGATCATTGAGAGGGACAGAATTTGTTGTAGACCAATTCTTTTGAACCGTAATTCAATAGTTTACATCACTAGCTACTGGCCAAAGAATAACGTGAAGCTCTACAACATTAATGTAGGTTACCTTTTCATGTCTTCAGTTCCTCCAAAAGATCATTATCTCTTTACGAAGATTCACATCGGAACAGAAAGTGTAAAAAAATCAATCTCCACCATCTACTTTCCTTCAATTACCTAAAAATCAAACACAATAACAAAAAAACGTACGATATTGGGTTATATCTATCTTTCAGATGTTGTACAACACCAACGACAGCTGGCAAAAGAAAGTCCTCTCTTCAATAACATCAACAATGCCTAAAACGGTTTCTAAAACATTTTCTTTATGTTCTTCTATTATTCTGAAACCAATAACTCCTCAAATATTCGAAATACATTACATGAACTGCAGGAGAACAGTTCTTTATCAACCTTTAGATGGGGGTAAGTGAAGATAAATCCTCAAACCTGATTAAAACATAAAAAAATAACATTTACATGACTTGAAAAAAGAGATAAAACAAAAAAATGAGCTTATGGCACAGGAAACTAATAATCGTTCACGTTTAGACATTCCAACCCATATTCACCATGATAAACAAGTGAATAACTCGTTATTTTCATCGACTTACAACGTCAATTTCAACAAATATCTGTAAATTATAGTTTGTAGACATAATAAAGATTAATTTAATGCTACTTTGTATGTTTTTACATTGGTTTTTACAGAGTAAATACTAAAATAAACCTTGTAATACCAAAACAATACAGCACATTGGCTGCATGCTTCGGTTCCGCCACGAAACCTTGATTACGGTAAAAGCAACAAAAACTATTTCAAAATTCTTGGCGATTTGCAAATTACAACGATTTTTTTTATTTTTCTTATAATATTTTCTAAAATACGAAATTTTACATATTTTGTAGAAAAAATGCCTCCAGATGCCCGTCATGGTCGTGCTCAACAACAGCGTCAGTCTAGAAACGCATTTCTCAAAGTAAGTTGATCTTATTTTACATAAAATCTTGTGTTTAGGGCTGGGAGAAGTACTTCAAAGTTTATATACATAGTAAATCATACTCCAAAGAAGCCAAGATCAAAGCCATGGCCAAGTTTGCAACCATCGTCATGACACAATATTTGAAACATCGGCAATTGTTTCATCATGAACTGTTCCTCAAGGACAAGATGAATGGAATTGATCTGTATACGATTAACAACGACTGTTCTCTTGCTAATGTTGTGAGGCCGAAGTGTAAAGCTGCTGAGGAATATATTGTGCAAAAGAAGGTTGGTTTTTAGATTTTTTGTTGAATTTTAGGTAATATTGTTCTTTATGAGGAGAATGGAGCTTTTTTGCGGTTTTAGTCTGGTTTTCTTGAATTTCTTAAAGCTATTTTTATAAAAGTGATATTTTTAAATTTTTTAAGGCTATATTGAGGAAAAGAACGTGAGATCAATTTTTTTTTGGGTTTTTGGTAATAACATGTTATCCATGATAATATGCTTGTTTTATTCAATGTTTTATCCTTTTCTTCGAAAATATTGTTTTTTAAGGTTAATATTTTTGTTTTTCAGCTGAATTTGTTTAAATTCGTATGCTATAACGATCAAAATGTGAGTTTTTATATTGTTTTAGATATCTACTTTTTGTTTTTGAATTCTTGCTTTTTTAGACACAAATTTTTGTTTTTTATGTTAATTTTGTTGATTTTAGGTAGTTCTTGAAGAATTCATAATGGCATTTACATACACACGTGGGAACACATCTTGTCATTTTAAGTAAGTTTACATTTTATGACTTAAGCTAAAGTTTAGATTAAAAGTTGAATATACAATGTCACTCACTTCTTTTCAGCTTGGGAAATGAAGAAGTGACTGTAAATTTCGAGAATTTGGATTTTAAAGGCTTTATCAAGTCGCTGACATTCAATATCTTGATGGTGAAGGAGTTTTGTGAGAAATTGGATCCGATTGAAGGTGTAACCAAGAAGAAGTTTCGCATATCTTCGAATTCTGGATTCAATTTTAATGATGATGTGTTTCAACAGTCCTCTAGACTATCATACGCTGAGAATATCAAGTCTTATCAGATGGGATTGACTTCTTTTGGTAATGTTGGGTTAGTTTTGGCATTATTTTTGGTAATTTAGGGACACAGCTAGGTTTTTGGTGTTTTTTTGTTTAGAATGTGGTTTTTTAAAGCAAGTTTGTGGTTAGATGGCACATAATTATTTGAGCAACAATATAAAAATGTACAAATATTACCTAAAACTATTTAAGTGGTTATGTTGATTTGTTTTAGAGCTTCAGTCACGATGAAAACGGTATATTTGAGCGATGAGAAGGACTATGAAGATGCTAACGCAGCTGCTCATCGGCAGTCAACAAAGCTTTTAATGGATAATGCTGTGGATGACTCTTCGGTAAGACTTTTCGGTATAATAACATTGTTTCTAAGATTTTCAGTTTCAAAAAGCTTATGTTCTCTATTTTAGGAAGGATCTGTCCGCAGTAATGAAGTCAGAAGCCCTGTAGCGAACCAACAACCCGAAAGAAGCCTATATTCACCACCAGTCACGCGTGGAAACTCACAGGATTCTCAAGCTACTGAATATGTCTTTACTTCAAGGAATCGTAAATCTTTGTTTGATGATAGTCAGGATTCGTCAGCTGCTCCAGAATCACAACGTGAGAATATTGATGATGATCAACGAGGTAATGAGATCGTTGATGACAACATGGAAAGCCAAGAACATTATGAAGAACCAACTCAAGATGATATAGAGCATGAAGAAGCAGTTCAAGATAATATAGAACTTCAGGAAACCGTCGGCAGAACTCAAATGACTCAACGTTCTCAACGAGTTATTCAAGAATCGGTCTATGATAACATGGAGGAAGTTCACGATGAAAATGATTCACAAGAACACATTAATGAAGGCTCTCAACCAGTATCACAGCCTGCTAGTCTTAGGCTAAGTGACACTTCATTAGGCTTGAATGAATCAGGTGTGTTTGTACCTGATCCGAATATGACTAGAACACAAGCGTTTGGAGTACCACAAAGTGGACCTTTAGCACCATCACAGGGGAAGACCTTGGTAGAGAGTATTGAAGAAGCATTGGGAAGCGTTTCGGTCGATTCTCAGAAAAGTGGGTTTGGTTTTTTATTTTTGATTGGCGTTTCATAATTTTGTTACCTAAAATTATGTTTTTCTTGATTTTATTAGCGTTAAAATAATACTGTGCCTCTTCTGAAAGCAGGACTTTGGATTAGGAGCACAGAATTATATGAAAGGATTAATACTATCTTTTTTGTTAGTAAGAACACTTTTTTATTGATTTCGTTATCTAAATTAATATTTTTTATTTAGACTCCTTTCCAAGCACCTTGACGAACCCTCCCACTGTAACTCCATCTTCAACTCAACCTTTGAAGAAACAAAAACACAAAGCCTCAGAAGTCAAAAAGTATTGGACGTTCTCCGACAACTTGTTTTACATGCAGTATGGTAAGGGTGGTTTTTTATTTTTGTTGATTTGTTTTATTTTTATCGATTTTTTATTTTTTAGAAGATTATTGAACTTGTACTATCATCTTACCTCTCCCTACAATGATATGAATCCAGTTATCAGCTCAAGTTACCCAGATCTCAACGTTTTCTTTTTTTTAATTTCAATTTTATTGTTATTTTGTTTGATTTTGGTTATGTTGTTTAAGTTATTCTTCATTGTTTTTGTTACTTATTGTTGTGAATACAGTTTAGCGTTGTATAAAGTTACTGTAACATTTATCTAGGACTATTTTTTGCATTTTAAAGGCTTTTTTGGCCACAAAAAGTATTTTTTATGTATTTATGGTAATTATTAGTGTTTTTGGTAATGAGAAATGAATTTCTGAGGGTTTTTTGACAATATTAATAGTGTGTAAGACTAGAAAACTTTACTTTAAGGTCCCTTTTGGCTAATTTGATATGGAAAATTAAATTGATAAAATGACAAATTTTGTTGATGTTGAATATAATAATAGCATTTTTGTCTAATGAATATGGATTACCAAAGCAAGTGCTTGAATTTTCATTTTCTACCAAAATTCGCACATTAATTCGAAAATTTTAGGTAATGAATAATTTATGTTTTGTCGCTGATTCAATTGTTTAAGTAGCCAAAAGCTACATTAATATTGTCATTCTTTGCCATATTTTCGGTCAGATTTGTCTATTTTTAAAATTTAAAAAAAGCCTGGCATTTTTTGTTGCATTATCTAAAATATTCGATTCTAAATTCTAGTATTATCTACAGTACTTATTTTTGAAATACAGTATTATTCACAGTATTCCAATGGCCAATGTTCTTCAAAAATTAATATTCTTACTAATTTTTCTAGCCAATATTAGCCATGTTAGCTCACAAGCAGTGTCCGAAGCTGTACCAGCAGTTCCAGTAGCGTCTGTAGTACCAGCTATCGTCTCTGCACCGCCAGAAGTCGTACCTGCAGTACCAGTGGTAGCTTCGGCTCAGCCTGCCGCAGTATCTTTAGTACCAGTTATACCAGCCGTAGGACCAGCAGTAGTACCATCTGAAGCTTCAAAATCTTCAGAATCTCCAATTGTACCAGTGGTATCATCAGATGCTCCAAGTATACCAGTAGTTTCATCAGAAGTGCCAAGTTTACCAGTAGTAACATCGGAAGCCCCAGATTTACCACCAGCTGCACCTATCGTATCTGGTTTCTCTTCAGAAGCTCCAAAAGCACGTTCAGGAGCTCCAGTAGCAAAGACGACACGAGTTGTACCACGACCAACACCTAGGCTTCCACATGGCTCTGATGGGCAAGATCAAATGGTTCTGGCCAAGTATACGGTAGGTAACGTCTTTAATTGAGATTCAAGGCTAGGACTAGGGTCAAGGCTAGCGTTATGGCTAGGGCTATAGCTACGGTTAGGGCTATGGCTAGCGCTAGGGCTGGAGCTATGGCTAGTGTTAGGGGTGAAGCTAAGACTACGGCTATGACTACGGCTAGAACAAGATATGGAAAGATAGTTGAGATATAGAAATTTTAAAACAAATGTTACAGTATACCAACAACGCTCTCTTGCCAGTCGGCTACAACCACAAGTACTGTACTGACCACATGTTCAAGCCATCCTCAATACATGATAAACAAGTCAATGACATTCTTACTTGTAAGTTAGGGTAGGGTAGTGTAGGGCATGGTAAGGTTCGATGGGATAGGGGAGAATAGAGTACGGTAGGATAAAGTAAGGTAGAATTCACTGTAAATAACTTTAATTCACAGACTACCTCTACCACCTTCCAACATACGATGGTAGCGAGCGAGGTAACATTGTCCTTCGCGATGCTTCAATCGGCTTGATGTACAACATAGTCAAGCACAAGTATGAATGGTTGGATGGGAGTAAAGTGGATTATTTGAACTTTTTGGATCCACTTGAACCAGCAATGGCAGCCAAAAGAGAGGCCAACTCTTATTATTTGATTACTCTGAGGTCGGTTAATAACAATGACATTGGCAAATGGAAGTACGCTCTAGATGGCATTTATACTACTACTTTTGTATGTGCCAAATCTTAATAAAATTTGAAATTTTAATTTTTTGAAATTTCGGATTTTTGAAAAATTAAAGTTTTGAAATTTTGAATTAGCTTACAGTAATAGGGTTACTAGAGGTTAAAATAGGGCAAGACAAGTCAAGCCAGGCCAAACCAGTCCTGTACAGTACATGGGCTATTGGGCTTAAGCTACGATTTGGACTACGGCTGTAACTCTATCGGATACGGTACACATACAGTTACTGTAGGCTAAATATAATAGTAGGGCAAAAATAAGAACAGATAAGGCAAGGCTAGGCCACTCATAGGCTTACTGTAATCTGCCTGAGCTATAGCTAGGACTACGGCTAGGTCTATGGCTAGGACTGCTCTGGGCTAGGGTTAGTGTTAGGGATAGGGTCAGAACTAGGGATATGGTTAGGGTTAGGATAGGGCTAGTGGTAGGGTTAGCCCCAGGGCTAGAACTAGGGCTAAGCCTTGGGCTAGGGATAGAGCTAGGGCTAAAGCTAAGGTTTTGACTAGGTTAATTGCTTTATTAATATCTATTTAACAGTAACATGAGACCGACAAAATATAAAAATATAGTACCACGTACTATTAACGTACTGAATAGTACAAATTATATAAACAAAAAGTAGTACAGTAGTAAATATTTCACTATATAATACTAAAAGATACATAGTATGATACGAAATCATGAGCTATATAGTACTAACAAACAGTAAAGCACTACATTACTCCATAGTACAAAGAGCTAGTACGGTACTAAATACTGCTCTCCGAGCAAGTACAGATCTTTTCCAATTTTCGAACATTCTCCGATACACATTTGGCCGCCAAGCCGTAGCTGTTAATCCGACTAATTTGATCAACTGTCACAGCATACGACTCGGAAGTGGCAGTCTGAGACACCTGGACAGAGGCTTCAAACAGAGCATTGTTGGGCTTAGCTTTTAGGGTTAGGCGGACAAACGAAATGACAGATTTTATATTGGAATCTCCAATAAATTGGTCAAAGTGCCAGCGGTTGTTGTTCTTTACCTAAAATTTAAAAGTTTTTAATTTTTTTTAATTTTGCCTCACCCTACCCTACCTTACCCTACTTTATCCTACCATACCCTACCCTACTCTAACCATACAATATTAAAAATAATTTTTTTGTGAACCGGTACCTTTTCATTAGCCTTCAAAAGCCTTGCGTCCAAAATATTTTCCAATTCTACTGTAACACACAAACTCTTCACTAGCTCCAATTCCTTGTTAATTTCATTAATCACAGCATCGGCCGCTTTTTTGGCTATACTACTCGTCTTGTCCAGAGGTTGTTCTTCTTGACAGACACAGAAATGCTCGTCTATATTGGCGTCTTTACAGGTTCTAAAAGTTTTAAATTAAAAAATATTTCTAGAGCTAGTCCAAAGCCCTAACCCAGAGCCCTAGCTAAAGCCCTAACCCAGAGCCCTAACCCAGAGCCCTAGCCCAAAGCCCTAGCCCAGAGCCCTAGCTAAAGCCCTAACCCAGAGCCCTAACCCAGAGCACTAGCCCAAAGCCCTAGTTCAGAGCCCTAGCCTAGAGCCCTAGCCCACAGCCCTAGCCCAGAGCCCTAGCCCAGAGTCCTAGCCCAGAGCCCTGGCCCAGAGCCCTAGCCCAGAGCCCTAGCCCAGAGCCCTAGCCCAGAGCTCTAGTCCAGAGCCCTAGCCCAGAGCCCTAGGCCGGAACCCTAGCCCATGCCCTAGCCCAGAGCCCTAGCCTAGAGCCCTAGTCCGGAGCCCTAGTTTCAGCTCTAGCCCTAGCCCTATCTTTGATACCTCAGACTTAATCCTATGTTACATGTAAATAGTTTACAACAAGTCTATAAGCAAACTTATCGTAATTTTGCCCACTTTTGACCTACTAGCTTACAATGACTTTGTCTTATAACACTATACCCTACTCGACCCTACTTAACCCTACCCTATATGACCCTCCTACTGAATGCTTGGTCGAATATTACCCTAACGCTACCATAACATCTCTCTTCCTTGGCTTTGCCCTACCGTAACCTTCCCAAGTCTATCCTACTCTTCTAACACCATTAAAGTCTCTTTGTTGCTAGCTATAAAAAATGACTGATATAACTTACCGGTCAAGTGGAATCTCTCGAAACAAACTGTGTCCTCTATTCTTGAAGCTTTCTCTTGACTTTACATTAATTTGGTTATTGACTATATCGGCCAGTGTTTCATAAACATCATATTGGTTAGTGAAACGCCATAGATTATTAGCCAGATTCTGCTTTACCTCTGGGTATTTTTGTAACATGCTTTCTGGGGGTCGTATAAAAAGAAACGGCATTCTTTCTTCGTATCGACCGATCAGGGTTGATCTGGAAATGGTATTAGGTTTTAGTTGGGGTACTGTAAATAGTTCAAAGGTACGGTAAGTAAATTAGTTTCTGATTAACATACTGTAACTTTTCATACACTTTTTATAAGTATACTGTAACTTTTGGCATGGTTTTTAAAAGAATACTGTAATTTAACCTCTGTTTTGTCATATGTCAAGTATACTGTAACTTAAATTTTATATTTCTTTATATATAGTATACTGTAACTATTTTAAAAATACAGTTAATTTTACTTAGCTTACTTTTTCCACTTTTTTATATGTATATTGTAACTTAACACCTATTTGGTTTCATATATTGTATACTGTAACTATTTGCAAAATACAGTAATTTCTAACTAGACTACTGTAATGTTTTTTTAGTTTTTATATGTATACTGTAACTTACATAACATAACTTCTATTGTGGTAAAAATATATAGTATACTGTAACTTTTTTTTTCAACTGTTAATTTTTAAAAGTTATAACATTTTTACTTACCTAATGTCATCAAACCGATTACCATGATCCGACATGAATACTATAAACGTCTCTCGTAGTAACCCTCTAGTATGTATTCTCTGTAACCAACTGGATAGTAGAGTGTCAAGTCTCTCAATCATGTTTATGTCATCATGAGATAGCTTCCATAAAAAGGAAAACAAAAAATACGGCAGCTGTTGAGAGGTCTGGGATTCAATGAATCTGGAAATGAAAGAGTAAAGTAAGGTGTGATAGGGTAGGGTAAGGTTGGGTAGGATGAAATAGGGAAGGAAGGAATGTGTAGGGCAGACTGAAATAGAAGATAGTAGAGGTGGGTGGAGTAGGGTAAAATACGAATAGGTAAAACAGAGTGACGTATTGTGGATTAGAGAAGGCTAAAGAAGGCAGGGTAAGGTATGTTAAATAGAGAAGAGTAGGGCATAGTGGAGTAGGTAACCATAGAGTACATTAAACTGGGAAGTGTAAATAAAGTAGATGCAGGCTAAAGCTGGATCTAAAGCTATGGCTAACTAAGGCTAGAGCCAGGGCTCTGGGCTAGGGCTAGAACTACTAGGCTAAGGCTCTGGGCTTTGGTCTAAGGCTCTGGGCTAGGGCTCTGGGCTAGGGCTCTGGGCTAGGGCTCTGGGCTAGGGCTCTGGGCTAGGGCTCTGGGCTAGGGCTCTGGGCTAGGGCTCTGGGCTAGGGCTCTGGGCTAGGGCTCTGGGCTAGGGCTCGGGGCTAGGGCTCTGGGCTAGGGCTCTGGGCTAGGGCTCTGGGCTAGGGCTCTGGGCTAAGGCTCTGAGCTAGGGCTCTGGGCTAGGGCTCTGGGGTAGGCCTACTTACCTTTCAATTCCTCGTAGGACATGCTCACTTTCAGGCATATTTAGGTAACAATATGGTGACAAACTTCTATAAATTGGATTGTCATTCAAGATATGTGCAAATGGTCGAAAGTACACATCGGTTGGGTGATACTTAAAGCCCATGGCTTTATACGACCAAATTCCTGGCTGTTCCTCGGCTAGCAAGGTGGTATAGCCATTTTTTGAAAAATTTTTCCAAATAAATGGCCATTTGTCAACAAACTCCTTTTGTGGATCCAGTGGCAGCTCTGACGATTTGACTGTCACTTTTCGACCGATCGTTAACGCTATCATATTGGGAGAGGTGTTGTCGTCGATTTTGGCATAGCCACGGAAATCGAAACCGCTAATTTTTTCTGTCAGGTATCTAAAATGATTAAAAACATTGGAAAATGGCTAGATATAGGGTTGAAACATTATGCCAAGGGTTTGCAAATTTGGCGGGATTTTGAAAATTTAAATTTCACTTTTTAAAATTAAAGAATTTTTTAATAAACTTTAAAAATGTTAGACTTACTCATAAGTTTTAGGTAGATTTCGAATAAAATTGGACCGTGAGACAGAATCAATGCCAATAATCATAACATTCGGTCGATATTTTCCGTCGTTTTTAGGCTTTTTAGGAAAAATCGGATTGACTGATGGAAATATATCAACATAAGCCTTGTTTTCACCGTATGATCCACGTAATACACAACCATTTGCACCCTAAAACATTAAGCTTTAGCTTTATTTTAACCTACCCTACCCTATCGTACCCTACCCTACCCTACCCTACCCTATCCTACCCTACCCTACCCTACCCTACCCTACCCTACCCTACCCTACCCTACCCTACCCTACCCTACCCTACCCTACCCTACCCTACCCTACCCTACCCTACCCTATCCTACCCTATCCTATCCTACGCTACCCTACCCTACCCTAACTATATATCGTATCCTTCTCATCCTATTGTCATATAAAACTTACATTCATAGAGATTGTATCCTTAAACTCCCTAAATGGATCGTATGTAACACCATAATCAGAGCCATTCTGCCTTCGAAACAAAGAATACTTCAAGTCCCTCAAACCATGTTGTCTAGCCAAATTATAGTCCAAATAAAGCCGGTTCAACTTTGGTGTAACGAAATTTGGTTGAACTTTTGCACATTTCAACTCTGTTGGATGACGGACATACGATAATATACTCGGGTCGAACGGGTCGATTATTGGAAATCGACAGGTCTGAGAAGTGTCATACGTAAAATAATGGGTTTGGTTCAAAAATGTTATCAGACGTTGACCTGAAATGAATTTTTTAACACAGTTCTATTTTTTATCGCACAGTGCAGTTTTTTTAAATTTGTAGATTGCACAGTGCAAAAAAATTGAAAATTACAATTTTGAAGTTTTTCGTTAAATTAGTTTAAAAATTGATTTTTTTCTTCGTTGGTAAGGTCACTAATAAAGTTTATACTAAAAATGACACAAATTTGACCATTTGTTTAATTTTTAAAAATTATTTTTAAAAACTGCACCGTGCAATCTTAAAAGTTTTATAAACTGCACAGTGCAAGAGAAACTTATAACCTTAGTTCGTTTTGAAAAAATATAAAAATTTTATATTTTTGCTAAGTTGCTAGAGGCATCAAGACCATCTATACAAAAAATGGCCAGCTAATTGATTTTTTAAAAATTTTTTTTTAAACTGCACCGTGCAGTCAATTATATTTTTTCGTTTCCATAATAACAATTTTTTAAAAATACAATATTTTAACCAAAATTAAACAAAGCATAGTTTTTCTATCCACAAAGTAAGAAATGTTACAGTAACTCACCGTATTCCAGCTCGACATTCTGTTTGTACCTAAAAACCGGCCATATAAATAGGTAGAAGAAGGTGAAAAACACTGAAATTCCAAAAATTTCCTTAGGGCGTAGACGGCGTTTTCTCGCTGATTTCATCGTTAAAAATTTACCGCTGCTGTCTCTTCCTGACAGCCGGTTTTATTAAAGGAGGTCAATGTGATTGTTATCAATAACAACATCCTTGCAACTTATTATTATGTTTTTTGTTATTAATAACGTTCTTACAGCACTAAAAAGTCATTTTTTGGTATAGTGGAGTTAAAAAATGGCTTGAAACAGAATGCCAAGATTTTTGATTTTTGGCGGGATTTTAAAAATTCAAAAATTAAATTTACAAATCATAATAAAACAGCTTTATCAGACAAAAACGTCATTTTAAATGCCATATATGTTATTCACAAATTTTTCAAGAAAGATTTTATAAATTGTATGCTTTGCTGCCTAATAATATCACATATAATCACGTTCTTACTACAGTATAATGTAATATACGATGTTTTTTGCTGTTTAATAATGTGAATCGAGCCTTGTGAGGCGGTGTAATTTGGGAAAAATAAATTTGAATTTTAAATTTTTTATATAAAAATTGGTTAAAAACCGTGCAAATGTTGTTATTTCATTTGAAACATGTGGATACTATTGTTGTTGTTACCTATTTTAGTCTTGGGTCAAAGTCCTGAACCAGCTGTACCCGCTTCAGCTGCTCCGGCAGTCCCAGCTTCAGCTGCTCCGGCAGTCCCAGCTTCAGCGGTCCCAGCAGTACCAGCTTCAGCAGCCCCAGCAGTACCGGCTTATGTCGCCCCAGTAGTACCAGCTTCAGCAGCTCCAGTAGTACCAGTTTCTGTAATACCAGCAGTACCAGTGTCCGTCGTACCAGTAGTACCATCTTCGTCAATAACACCAAAAATGGAAGATCTGGTTGTAAAAGGTGCCCGTGATGATGATATTGTCACAACTACTACTACTGAGTCTTCTTATACCGGTACAACCACAAAACCCGCACCAACTATACCACCACGCATCAGGAAAGTACTCAATCATTACCTGGTAAGTTGATGACTTTAGCATTAGCCTTGGTCCTAGCCCTAGCCTTAGCCTTAGTCCTAACTCTAGCCCTAGCCTTATCCCTAGCCTCAGCGCTAGCCCCAGTCTTAGCTTTGACCTTACCTCTTACCATAGCCCTAGCTTCAACCCTAGCCCTAGTCATGGTCCTAGCCATAGCCCAAGACTTGCCTCCAGAATCTAGTTTCAGCCTTAGCCTTAAAATCAGCCCTAGCCTCAGCCCGAGCCATGCCCTAGCTGTAGCCTTAACTTGAGCCCTACCCCTTACCTAATCTATAACCCCAGCCTTAGTCTCAGCCATATACTTAGCCTCTAATTTTTAGCTTATCATCTAATGTTACTATAATAAAACAGCTTTAAAAGTATGATTTTAGTACACAGCCCAAGCATTTCTGCCGTTGTCCGACGTTACATCCTACTGCATTCATCAAGGAGCCAAGCCGATGCATATCCCAAGTCAAGAGTATAACGACATATTGACTGGTAAATAATTTTTATTTTTAGAAATTAAGGCGTGGCTCTAGTAGGCTAGGATTGGGTATATGCATAGACTCATATATCTATAAGCTAAGGCTAATGAAATAAAAAATATTTTTCCCCTTCCAGAATACCTATCTTCCCTACCACCATTCAAACACTATTCCCCTGGATTAGCTGTCCTGAACGACGTTGCACTAGGCCTGGTCTATGACGTCGACGCAAAAACATTCAAATGGCTGGACGAAGAAGTGCCTTTGAATTACACAAACTTTTTGAATGCAGACGAAGAAAATGCAGCGGCCCTCCGGGCACAAGATTCGTATTACATTATGAAGTTGGAGGGCACTTCTGATCAGCTTGGCAAATGGGTACCGGTCACCGAGGACACGTATGCTACCGTATTTCTTTGCAGAAAACGGTGATCACATTGATAATATTGTTTGTATAAGATATATTAATAAAGTATTTACATAAATTTCAAAAAATTTCATTTTTTATCATAAAACCGAAAGCATAGTTTAGTCATTGTCTTTAGCTTGCTAAAATCAAATAGCCAAATTTACAAGTACAGTGGAACTCCTGTATAACAAATCGCTCGGGGAATGTATATTTGTTCGTTACAAAAGAATTTCGTTATAACGGAGTTTTAAACGCGCTGTGTAGGGGATTCAAAAGTTGTTCGTTATACGGGATTTTCGTTATAGAAGAGTTCGTTATACAAGAGGTCTACTGTATCATTTATAGACAATCAAAATACGGTAACACCTTTATATGAGGAACCTCTATATAAAAAAACCTCTATAACAAACGACTTTTGAATCCCCGACAAACAATACACACTTTATTTAAAACCTCTGTATAACCCTTCATAACAAACAAATTTTAATTACCCTAGCGATTTGTTATACAAACGTTTCACTGTAACTAAAACAATAGTTCTAAGCCGAGTTGTCAAATTCTTGTTTTTGAATGAAGTTCAGGAGAACCGTCGCGAAACAAAACGTGGATCTCATTTCCACGTTCCTTGAGTTGTAGTAGACGCTCTCGGTGATACAGCGTTAAAAGCAAACACAAAAACTTTCCTTGTCTGTGTTAAAGTCTTCACAATACCAACACATGTTGAAGCGTAAGCCTTAGCTTAGCTCTAGCCTTATCCCTCGATTGGCCTCCCGAGCGAAATAGGTCACCACGCTGAATTGGTCACCTCTGAATAGGTCTCTTCAGAAAATATGTGTTAAAAAATTGACTCCTTCTAGCCTTATCCAAGCCTATCCTGCCTCTTTTAGCGTTACCCAAGCCTACATGTGTCAATTTTACCCTTACCCAGGCCTACCCCTGCCTTTTTTAGCCCTACCCAAGCCTACCCTGCATCTTGTAGCGTTACCCAAGCCTACATATGTCCATTTTAGTCCTACCCAAGCCTACCCCTGCTCTTTTTAGCCCTATCCGTTGCCCGACCAGTAACCCTAGCTTAAAGTCCTTCGCTTTAGCTCTAGTTTTAGGACTATTCAAAGCCATAGCAATTTATGAAAGTTTTTTAACATAAAAATTTGAAATTTAAAAAATTTAAAATTTTCAAAATATTTTTAAAAAAGGTACAAATTTATGAAAAATTCATTACTACCACAAATTACCAACTTATTGAACTGGTGTTGCCTGCGTATTTGATCCATTATTCACGTTGTCTTTTAGTCCTTCTGAATTGCCTGTAGGACTGCCTGTGGCATTTTGTTGATCATTTGAAATTTGACCGTCTTCTGAAGGCTTTGGAATATCTGATGGTTGCTCTTGGTTTTGTAGGTCATCTGACGCTGGTTGGGGACCACCTTGAGCTCCTTGTACTTGTTGATCGTTGTTTTGGTTGGCTTGACTATTGTCTTTTCCTTGTTGGTTAGGGTCTTGATCTTGCTGTCCGGCAGCTTGACCTTGTTGGTTATTACCTTGACCTTGTTGACCATCAGCTTGGGCGGCTTGCCTTGATTGGAAGCTTGACCGTTCTCTTGTCCGTCCTGACCTTGTAGACCAGCTGCTTGAATGCCTTGATTTCCTTGGCCATTATATTGACCTTGTTGACCATTACCTTGATCTTGCTGACCATTACCTTGATCTTGTTGACCATTACCTTGATCTTGTTGGTTATTACCTTGATTTTGTAGACCATTACCTTGCCCTTGTAAGCCATTACCTTGATCTTGTTGGGCATCTTGTCCTCCTTGACCATTGTTTTGACTAGTTCCCAAACCTGACTGTTGAGAACCTTGGTTTCCTAAAAGATTACCATCAATATTATCTATACTATAATAGTTTAAAAAGGTTTTATAACCAATATTTATATATGCTATAGTAGACAAATGAAGTTAACCCACCTTGCCCATTTTCTTGTCCATTACCGACATTTGAATCTGATGCCCCAGCTAGACTATCAAGGACACTATTCCTGTCAAGGCCCAACTTTTGAGCCAATAATGAGCCCGAGTTTTGATTATCATTAGCTAATTGAAAATTGCCCGGGCCTGCTTGTTGGTCTGCATTATTCAAGCCTCCCGCTGAGGCTGGACTAGCAGGGTTTTGGGCTTGATCAGCTTGGTTTTGGGCGTTTGGATCAGCTGAATTTTGAGCTTGATCATCTGGGTTTTGAGCGTTTGGATCAGCTGAGTTTTGAGCTTGATCAGCTGGGCCTTGGGCATTTGGGTCAGTTGGTCCTTGGACATTCGGATCAGCTCCTTCTTGGGCGTTAGGATCAGGTGGATTAGCATTTATAGATATTATTTCAATAGGAACAGCCGAAGAGTTGCTCAATGCTTGTTGGTCTGGGATGTTGCCGCCCACGACGTTTGGCCGTTCGTGGGCGGCAACAGTAGCATCAAGAGCAACAGTTTCATTTTGATGAATAATATGCTAAACAAGGTCATTTCCCAAATTTATAAGGCTATTAGGGCTCTTTAATTTGCTTTTTATTCAAATGGCCTTTTTGTCTAAATAATGTTTCTATTATAGTTATAATAATGTAGATAATTGGTATTTTGTATAAAACACGTAACGTACTTAACGTGGTATTACTTTTTTGGATAAGTACCTTACCATTGTTCTACTATTTCCTGCTCTTCATGCTACTTTGCCCCTACTTTACTCTATGCTACTCTACCCTCTTCCTATGTCCTTCCATACTGAACTAGTACCGTAATTCAAACACATCCTTTAAACAAAAGACCCCTATTACTCCTTCCTTGTACCAGTATCACTACAATCAGCATTAATGATATTCAGTGAATATTACTCACAAACAACGTACAGACAATTAAATCTTGTTTATCTCATAAATAATAGAACACAAACACCTTTGAACATCAACAGTTACATTATACTACGAAGTTGTCGGGAACCCACAATGAACCTCCAAAGAGATTCTGTCCATAGCACAAAGTCCATTCCTCCAAATGTACCATTTCCCCTTACCATAGCCATCCTCAATCTTTTGGGTGTTGTAAGACCACCATCGTACACAATGTCGATTAGAGTTGGGGTACTTAGAGACCACAGAATCTCGATCAGCACCGTCACATTCAATGTCACAAACGAAACGAACTTCCTCTTGATTGTTCTGAAGTTTTGCCAACTCTCTGTTACATTTGGCCGGTTTTGGTTGACCATCTTTACCGACGGTTAGCCAGCATAAACCTGAGTTGATTTGGTCGTGGGTTGAGTCACAGTATAGGGTTCGGCGTTCTGTAAGGTAACATAATATATTTCCGTTTTCCTACCCGTAGTCCCCTGCGATGTTCTACTCAAAATTCAACCCAATTAGAAAACTTACCCCACTCAACATATTTTCCATAATCGACCGGTAATTGGCCGCTAACTCCAGTCAAAACGCAACATAACAATAAATATATAAACAACATAGCAAGTATCCGTATTTAACAATGAATTTTGACAATCCGAAAAACTTCGGAAGTCAGTTTTGACGACGATAACCTATTTCTTTTCGAAAAGGTAAGTGATAAATGAACTAATAATGTTGTTTTAGATCAACATAAGAAATATATATCTATATGTTGAGATTCATCATAACAGAAGGGTAAAATTAAATAAATAAAGCACAGAAAGACCGTTCAGCTTATAAAATAACATTGAAATTATACGACTAGTCCAGTGCACCACAAATTTATGTTTTATTCACTGTGACACTTCGCAACAATAAGTTTCGTGGCGTTTCGCTCTCTTTTCTGGTTTGTTTTTATTATTATTTTTCCGTGGAAAATATTCACTGATGTCTTCTAGCCTCGTCAAGTAAAGTAACTTATTGTTAGACTTGTTGTCATATTTCATATTTACATAGTAGTCAATTTATATTATCCATGGCGACGGCCGGGTTTGACACACCCGCAGAAATGCCGGCGGTGGAGCAAATGGAGGAGAATGTAAGTTCTTTTTATTGGTATTTTCAAGTTTTAGGTACTGTCAAGAGAGTTTGGCTTTATTTTGATGTGTTTATTGGGTTTTAAAGGTATATTGTTTTAGGAGGAAAACGGTGTGCAGAATGGAAACTCTCAAGAAACTTCGGAAAAACCTGAAAGTAAGATATTGTCTTTGAATATAAAAGCTTGTTTTACTTCTAAGCTTACTATTTATAGCAAGAAATCTACTAAGTTATGTTTGGAAACGATGTTTGCTTTATTTCTCTTATGTTATTTGTACTATAACATGATATTTTGAAATTTTACAGCAAAATAATTGAAGGAATAACTTATTTTCAGTTATAAAATTTTCTTTATACTCTGATCTTACTCTTTAAAATTAGAAACGTGTACATTTAGGTCAAAACTTTTTTTTCTAGCTGTTTTTGACTACTGCTAGCTATCATAACTTAATTTTGTTTTCAGGTCAGCTTTTCTTTGGATCAGATGACTCCTCAGATGAAGATATGCAAGTTACTATTGGTGAGATCAAGAAGAACACACCGTTTCAAAAACAAACCGGTCCCGTGAGCAAGGTGGACATGGATGGTGAGCCAGAACACGATGGCAAGATAATTTACGATCTGGACCTGGCGGCGATGGAAGAAAAGCCTTGGCAAAAGCCTGGTGCTGATATTACAGACTACTTTAATTATGGTTTTACCGAAGAAACGTGGAATTTATATTGTGAACGGCAACGAAAGTTGAGGACGGAGTATGGAAATCAGAAGGACGTGAATCGAACAATAATGTCGGGGATTAGCTTGAATTCAACACAGATCAACATCCCGAATTTGAATACGACAAGTGGAAGGCATTTGGTTAACTTGGCCGGACCGGATCGTCCTCAAAAGGCCAACAAAATGATTTATGATCTCAGCAAGCCCTCGGAGGTAACTTTTTTTGTTGTTCCTTATGTTTTCAGGTATAAGTAACTTTGAGAGATGAATAAAAAGCCGTGGATCTTTACTCTACATGATTTAAAAGATATAAAGGGTCAAGAAGAGCGAGATTTATCAGTTTTTGATCAGTTTTAGCGATGTTAATATAGAAAAGTCGTGAAGCTGATGGTTTTTGAATTAAAAATTGGAATTTTATAAATACTTTAATGCGTATGTTGCGTAATTTCAAAGGCTTAAAACGCTTTAAGAATTAATTCTTATTATTTACAGAACCTACCTATTCTCACGGATTCAGAACCGACCTCTCCAGATGCCGGGCTAGGCTCAATTCCTATACTCAGTTTTAGCAAACCTTCAGATTTTGCACCTTCAGTCAGCAGCTCAACAGTTTCTGTTCCAACTGATGGGCCACCAGGTGTTGATGGACCTCCAGGGGATGATACAATAGCATCGTTTGATGCTTCTGTGCCTCCACCTTCTTTCAATCCTAATGTTCCGCCACCAAACATGGGTGCTGGAGGTGGGTATAAGTTTATATTTTTTTGTTTTCTTTATATTTAGGTTTCGGAGTACAAGTGTATTATGATATTATGATTACGTGGTATTATCAGGCTTGAAAAGGATATAAAACATTAATTATGTTGCTTTAGGTATGATGAATATGCCTCCACCGATCTTTAACGCTCCTCCAATGCATGTGTCGGCTGGATTTGGGCAGAATTCAAACCAGTTTAACAGCCGGCCATCTCCATTAATGAACCGACAATTCCAAGGCGGATACGACGAAGAACGGCCGAGGTACAGCAGAAGAGACCGTGATGATAATGAAGATGAGGGAAGCAGAAGAAGCCGACGAAGAAGAAGTCGAAGCGGGTCACAAAAACGACGGAAAGAAGAACGTGATCACGACAGAGATCGGGACCGTGATCGCGACCGTGAACGACGCTCGAAACGAACTCGCGACGACCGTGAACGACGTCGTTCTCGAGACCATGACGATTCATACGAGAAGGAGAAGAAGCGCAGCAAAAAGCACGAACGTGATCGTTCCAGAGAACGTTCGGAACGCTCATCCCGACGACGTGAACATGTTGAAGTCAAACGTGAGCTTTCGCCGGACGCACCACCCGGCATGGACGATTTACCTCCAGGCACTGAATAATGTTGTTGATTGTAATAACAAAAAATAAAACTAATTTGATTGTTTCGGTCGATTTTTAGCGGTAAAATGAAAACCGTGCGATATTTTTGAATTTGCTGGTTAATATTATAGATGGAAGAACGTTCTGTTTTTCTTTTATAATATCAAGTCTCTAAAAACCATCTTTTCACAGTTCCAATCCATGAGCATCTAGAAATCGGCCAAAGATGCGGCCAAGCTCGTCGCGAGTCGAATCCATGGCCGAATGGGTACCGGCTTCCGAAGAGCCGACCGGCCAGAACTTTGCATTGTCCATACCAAGTACTGGCTACACCCCAACTCCACCGTTCGATGTAAACAAATCCAATCGACGCAGAGTAAGGATTTAGCATAAATTAACTTTTCTAGCCGATATTATAGTACATAAGGGTAGTAGAACTGATTTTACTTGTTTTGATGATAGGATAAAATGATGTCAGTGAATGTTGTGGTTGTGAATTGAACTATATGTTGCGGTGAAAAGGTGCAACGGTGAATATGTGTGTGTGGACGGTAATAAAGTAAACAAATTTGTGGGTATAGGTAGCAACGGGTGGAAATTGAGGGTTTTTTGAAGTTTTTGTCATAACTTTTTTAAAAATTGAGTTAAAGTGGATAAATTTTGTGTCAGTTTAGGTATTATACTATGCCAAATGACCTGAAAAGAATTATTTTGAAATTTCAAAAGTGAAAAAGTTACAGTAATTTCATCGTCCACACTCTAGAACCTGTAACGATACTTTGGGTTATTTATTTTTTGGCTTTTTTGAACATAATTGTTTAATTTTGATAAATACGTTTTGTAAAGCATAAAATGATTTATGTTTTCTGTAAGTTTTGTTACGATAGGTTGTTTTGTATCAAAGTTATAACTAGTTGAAAACATGAAAAACCTCAGTTTTTTTGAGAAATTTTTTTTGATATTTGACTTTTTAAAGATAATATAAATTTGTTCAAAAAAAATATGAATTGATAAAATTTCGTGAATATATTCGTCATTATGTACTTTACAAAAGGTATGAACTCAATTTTTATGATGGTTTACTTTTGACTATGTTTGAAAGGTTTATTAGGTACTATACTAAGTGGTTTATGCTATTTTAGGTCAATTTTTATGCATTTTTGTAACTTTTTGGCTGTCTTGGGCAACTAATAGATCCAAATAGGTCTCTAAGTAATTTTAAAGCTTGTCCAATATTATAACATCATTTTCAGATGATCAAATCCTTTATGGAAGGCCTAACAACTGAAGAAAAGCAAGATTTCTTGGTTGATTTGCTGGTAAGTCATCATATTTTTTATTATTGTCTTGTCTTTAGAAGTGTACAGATCGAAAAACAGTGGTGAAAGTGACGGAACGTGCTGTCACAGAACTACCAGAGTACGTGGAGCCGATTGAGAATGCTCCATCAACCAGTGAGGATCAGTTCCATAAGTTGCCGGACACTTTGTTGTTGAACATCTTTAGCAAACTTGAACCGGGTAGGAGACTTTTTATATGATAAAACAGGTTTTTGGTACTAAAAGTGACGTTTTATACGATGAAATGTGTTTTTGGTACTAAAGATGACATTTTATACGATAAAACATGTTATTAATGCCATATATCACGATATTCTCGTTTCAGTCGAACTATACAGATGTCTCCGTGTCTCCAGACGATGGCACCGTGTAGCACTCGAGCAATCTCTGTGGAAAAGTTTCTGCAAAGATCCGGACAAGTATCGCTTAGGCTCTAGAATCGCGGAACGACAACAAATCGTGGCACTGAGCGATCGGCACGGCGAGTTTGAATGGAAACGCGTCTTCGAAGAGAGATTACGGTGGGTTACGGTAAAATAATTTCTTTTTGACACCAAAAATGGCAATAATTGAAGTAATAATCTAAAGTAATTTAACCTAAAGTAATATATTGCTGATAAAATATATTCCAGCCTCTGGAGAAACTGGCATGCCGGCCGTTGTGTCGTACGTGAGTTCCTGGGCCACACCGAAGGCGTATCTTGTGTCCAATTCGACGCCGAACGCATCGTCTCGGCCGGCTACGACAACACCATTCGTCTATGGGATCGGCGCACCAATTGTGGCGGACTAGGCCAAATGACATTGAATGGACATGTCGCCGCGGTGCGTTGCCTTCACCTGGATCAGGGTCGTTTGGCCAGCGGATCGGCCGATCGCACAGTTCGAGTTTGGGACTTGGCCATGACTCCAAACTGGAGCCATGTGGCTTGCAGACAGACGTTACAAGGGCACACGGACACGGTTAGGTGCTTGCAGGTAGGTAGGGCGGTGGAAGGTTAGGGTAAGTTAGATAAGGTAGGGTATGATAAGAAAGGATATGGTATGGTAAGGCAAGGTATGTTAGGGTAGGCTAGAGGGTTGATATAAGCTTTTTCGATGGAGGGGGGGGGGTGTGCATGACAATTATTTTTTACGTATTAGTGCGTGGTTTCTTGTGAATTTTATAGGCCAGGGGTGGTTTTTATAAATTTCAGATGGAAAATGAAACCCTGATTAGTGGTTCCTATGACCAAACGATGAAGTTGTGGAATATTGAACGTGGTCATTGCTTAAGGACATTACAGTAAGTTTCTAATTTTTGAAAAAAAAATTTTTCAATTTTTATTTTTAAAAGTTTTTTAAATTTAAATTTAGTGGCCACAACGACTCGGTCCTCTGCCTCCAGCACCGCTCGGAAATGGCCCAACTAGCGTCGGGTTCGGCGGATCGGACCGTCCGCCTCTGGGACACACGCCAATCCCAGCCAATCGCCATGCTCAACAATTGTCACGCTGACGCTGTGACATGTGTCAAGTTTGATCAAATACGACTGGTAACAGGCTCGGTAGATTCAACAATCAAGGCATGGGACTTTAGAAGTCTGAAATGCTTGTACACTATTGATTGGCGACAAGCTGAAGGACATACGCGAGTGGTACGGTCGATTCAGATGGACGATTGGAGAATGGTCAGCGCTTCGGATGATCGAACGATCAAGGTAGGGAGGGGTGGGTATAAGGGTGGGTAGGGCGAGATATGAGGGTAGAGTAGCGGTGGGTATAAATATAAGAAAGGGGTGGATATAAGGGTGGGAAGGGGTGGAATATGGGGACAGGGTAGGGAAGGCGTGCATATCATTGTAGGGCAGGGGTCGGTACATTGGAACCAAAGCTGACATTTTCAAGTAAAGAATGACATAACTTAACCTATTCCCTATATATTATCTTTCAGATGTGGAAGATTAGTGATGGAAAGCGGATCTGCACCCTCCAAGGTCACGCTGATGGAGTGACGAGTGTCCAGTTCAACGACCAACTCGTCCTCTCAGCGTCTTTCGACCGTACTGTACGGCTATGGGACTTTTCTACATGTTAATATTGGTTTACTCCAACAGTTGGCTTTTTGGCCAAATTGTGTTGTTCTTTTTGGCCACGTTTTGATGTTAGAATCTAAATTATCGTGTCTTATATTATGAAACGAGTAATGTATTGGTTTAATGCTATTATGATCATAGCTATGCGTTTGTTCAAATAATTATATGCCCCTAACTCATTATATTAGGTTGTTCACATAATTCTGAGCCCCTAAACGCATATTAAATTGTATCAAATGATTCTGTGCTCATAGCCCCTTATATTAGGGTGTTCATATAATTGTGGGCCACCTAACCCCGAAAATTCGCTATGTGAAGTGGCACAGAATTTTTTGAACGTCCTTATAGTAGCACTTGGCCAATATATTACTTGTTTTGAGGCTATACCAGCTATTATATTGTTATAACATGGCCAATTTTGTTTTTTATGGTCGATTATTATGTTTTTGAACGTTGCTGGTCATTTTGAACCTTCCGGTTATTAATTTAAAAAACCAAACTTATTTTGTACTAGAGAAGTTACCTTTCGTCCTATTATTCATTTGATATTTATCTTTCCCGATGTTATTCTTTGTCTATATTGTTGTAGATCTTTTGTATTTGCCCCGATAAATCAAAATCTTCAAAACATAATAAACATCTATCTTAACATTATATTATATATTCTTATCTAAAATGTCAGATTTTCTATAAAAATTGCTATTTTTACCTATTTTTTGTCTCTTTCCCTATATATAGGCCTATAATATGTTATAGTAGATCATAATTGCCCCGAAAAAGTTTTTAAAGAGTTTTGGTCCTAAATAACCTTTAATTCGGACTTGACAAACATTCCAAGCATATTTTTTGAGATTTTATTAATTTTTGAATGAATAAAGAGAATGAGAAAACAACGAACGTTAACAATAACAATCAAATCAACAATAATGACATTAATTTAATCATCGAACTTCTTCCGTTTGTTTTGTGGACCTCCGCCGCCGCCGTTGCCGAATGAGTTGTTTTGGCGTTTGAAGTCTCCACCACCGCCGCCACCTCGGCTGAAACCACCGCCTCCGCCGCGACCTATAATAATATAAGGTTGGAATGGGTTAAGAGAAAAAGATTTTCTTAATAAGCCAAAAATACTATCATAAACTCATTTCTCAAAGCTTTAAATCAATTTTAATTCCTTACCTCCACCGAATCCTCCTCGACCGCCACGATCTCCACCGAAGCCTCCACGGCCTCCGCCACCACGTCCACCGCCGAATCCTCCTCGGCCGCCACGGTCTCCACCAAATCCTCCACGGCCTCCGCCACCACGACCACCGCCAAATCCTCCTCGGCCACCGCGATCTCCGCCTCGGCCCCCGCGTGACGCTCCTCGGCCACCACGACCTCCTGACTTTTGTGGGTTGGTGAAACGCTCGACTGGTAAAAGCTTGGCCGGATCAATGTAGATTTTTTGGTCCTCTTTGAATGAGCCGGCTTTTACTCCGTCACTTAATTTGACTGTGAAGCCCTGAAAAGGCAGATTTTATATAAACCATGGTTTATATAACAAAGTTAGATATAACTATATGAAAAGCGATAATAAACAAGACCAGACCCCTATGTTTTCAAGTCCCAATAATGAAATTGCAAAAAGTTTCAGGAATCCGGAAAATTAAAAAAAATAAAACTATATCAATAAGTATCCAAAAACCTTAAAAGAAATGAATGTTTTAACAAAAAGGTAAACTAAAACCTTATCAAATAAACTTCTACACACTCTAATACTTGTCTTCTATAATATACTACAAAATTATTTCGTAAACACTTCAAAAATGCTTTTAAAAATAGCGAAAAATATATTATACTTAATATTCATCAATATAATTAAAAAAATAGAAATTATTTAAAGATCCAGATAGGAAAGAAGCCAAAACAATAGCGTAAACATTGTTATTATTCACTATAAAATCATCAACTATCCCAAAGAACAACAAGAAACTCAAGAAACATAACAAAAGGTTGTTGTACTTACGTGTTCCTGAGGGCTTCCGTAAATCTCATCAATTTTGCCGATTTGTTCCTTATTTTGGAAGTAAACTGGAGCGTTAAAGAATGGGACCTTTCCGCATGTCGTCGAACATACAAGATCGTTCTCACATGGATGAAGGAACTGTCCTACTTCTGAAACAGAATTTACATTAAAAATCGCTTGAAAACTCATGTAAATCTAATTGACCATAATTTTAAAACAATTCTAAAGACCCTAAAGCTGTAGAACAGTTAGAAAAGATGAAGAACACATTGATTTAGCTAACAGAAGCATTTTCCTCAAGTTTTACCTAAAAACCAAACAAAAAACTAAAGCAACATACCAACAACTTGTTCTGGTGGTCCTTGATCTTGCCAATTGCCACGACCTCCGCCGCCGCCACCTCGGCCGCCTCTGAATCCACCACCGCCGCCTCGACCACCTCCTCGGCCGCCTCCTCGTCCTCCACGGAAACTCATTTTGCCCTAAAACAATGTAAACTTGCTAAAAAGTCAAAATTATGATAGTATATAATTAAAACACGTTAAATTAATCCAAATTTGATAGAAAGCTTGTTAAAATAATATATTTCGTCTAACATAATATAAAAAGCGTCTTTTTTCTCGTTCCTATTGAACAAAAACCCGATTAAAACGGAATGCCAATGGATTTCTTCTTCTTCGTTTTCGTGACGGGACCAATTAAAACCTTGTGTGTTCACGGTCAATATCGTAAAAAATGGTTGATAAATAACATGTAAGCAAAAAACTTTTAAAATTTTGAATGTTAATTAGATTTATCGGCTATGTTTGCGTGTTTATTTTTAAAAAAATCAACTTTTAAGTTTAATATGCGAAGAAAAATAGAGCGATAACAATTTATGACCATAAGATAAGATTTCAGGCAATTTTCATGCTTTAAATGATGTGATATATAGTTTAGCTACATGGCAAAGCTAGAATAATAATTTTTGTGTTTTAAAAACACCAACTTTTTGAAATCGAAAGGCTTAGCGAGAGTCAACGATGGTGTAATTGCCATAGCAGACCCAAGATACCAAAATGAACAGTAAAATGGCTTCAACACAGACACAAATCGTAATTCCAATCATGAGACGATAATCATCAGTTCTTGAGTAGTCTCTGTTGTCCAATAAGTAAATGGCCGACAGTACTAGGGCCAGTACGGTGATGACACAACTGAAGGTATGTAAAGCAACATCGACCTTGTGGAAGGGTAGGAATCGGTTCAAAACACTTGGCAAAGACCATCCGAGGAGGTATCCGTTCGTGAGGACGATACAGAGATAGGTTTTAGTGTATCGTTGCCAGTGGTTTGTAGATTGGAGGAGTACTAGGACTAGTACTACAATGCTGAGGATCTGAAAGAAAAACAATGTAAATCCTTAAAATTAGAAGTTTTTAGCCTTAAATTATTCAAAAATATCCAAAAAGTTCAAAAAACATCAATTTTCAAAGCTTAAAACACAATGCCAAAATGGCGGGAAATTCAAGCATTCAAATTTTTAAATCCAAATTTCTCAAAACTGGTACTATAAACCAAAGTAAAATTTCACACATACTACCACACTATGATTGCCTATAAACATCCTAAGTTTCAAAAAAATCCAAAAAGCAGTAACAAAGAAACGATGAAAAATGTCATACCGCAGTGATCAGCTTGATAGTCCACATTGGGATGACATGATGTTGAGTTGTGGTTCCACCACGAGTAGTTGACACCGTTTGGCGGGTTGTGATTGGCATTTTTTATCTGGAAACTTAAGAATTTTAAAAAGTTTAAAAAGGAATGTCCGGGTATAACAAGCTGTTTTTATAAGTTTAGGTAACAAAAATGCGTTTTTTGGCCTAAAATTCAAATTTTTGGCCCAAAAACAGTCAGAAATCAAAAAAAATAGTCAAACGTTGAAACCACGATTAAAAACAAGTGGAGAACATTGTAACACGAGAGAAATGTTGTGTTGTTTACCAGGTTTCCAGTGATTTCGGTCGAAAGAAAGGGAAAAAGCGAAAAGGGCAAGAGCCAAATAAATAAAAAAACAAAATTATTGGAAGATACGAAACGGAATTGCTCTCTTTTCAAGGTCAACTCATTATGTATGTGATACCAAATTATACTGTTTTTGAAAAAAATGGCAAGAACTTTGTTTACAAAACATAAAACGGCAAGAACTTTCAGTACAGAACGAGAAACGGCAAGAACTGTCTTTACAAATCAAAATACGCCAAAAAATTTCTTTACAAAACAAAAAATGGCAAGAACTTTCTTTGCAAAACAAAAAATGGCAAGAACTTTCTTTACAAGAGATAAAACCGCCCAAACCAAACCTCCGAAGTAAAAAACCAGTAAAACAACAACGAATGTCGTTCAGAAAGAGCTAACAATAAACTGGGAAACAGTCACGCGGTTTCGTTCCCCAGCCTTAAAATAGCCCAAAACATTTGGCCATCTGACTCGGCCAGAAACAATTTCGAATGGCTTTTTTTATTAATAGAGACGCCTCCTCGGCTTCGTTTCTTATAATTTTAGATGGAATGGACATCTGGTAAGATGCTTATTGATGCAAGAATAACCTACCCTTGCCTTGCCCTGGCCTTGCCCTGGCCTTGCCCTGGCCTTGCCCTGGCCTTGCCCTGGCCTTGCCCTGGCCTTGCCCTGGCCTTGCCCTGGCCTTGCCCTGGCCTTGCCCTGGCCTTGCCCTGGCCTTGCCCTGGCCTTGCCTTGCTGTAGCCATAGCCCAAAGCCCTAGCCCAGTGCTTTAGCTCAGAGTCTTAGCCCAGAGTCTTAGCCCTAAAGTTAGTTATTGTTGTAGCCCTAGCCTGAGCTTTACTTCTGGCTTTAGCCTTGCCTCGTCATAACCCTACCCTTCTTCTACCCTGTCTTTGAAATACACCCCGGCTTAAAAATTTAACTTTCACAGAACATTTGTCTTGTCCTATCTCTACATATTTGCCTAGCCTATTTCAAAATTTGCTGTGCCCTGAAAATACTTACTCGTACACAGCAATATATAAATATCCTTCGATAATGTAACACAATCAAAGCCTACAGTATATAAAATCAAGTGATGATAAGTTAAGATAATAATACCCTGCTGTAAATTGAATAATGTTAAATTTAAGTTTTAAATGTGTAACTAACTACACTACAAGAAAAGAAGGTAAATAAACGTCAGATGTAATTGAGATTGAACCGAGAGAACTCGAAAAAGCTGTAAGAAGTAGGCGGCTGCTTGGAATCGTTTCCAAATGAGTCATTATAAACAAAGTGACAAATAGGACAAGTTCATCAGTTGAATTAACTTAAAAAAGTTAAATTGATAAATGACAGAACAAAACTGAAGCTAAAGATGACGTAAGGTAGTGCTAGAGCGTAGGGTAAGCCTGAACCAAGCCTGTAGTAAAACTAAAATCGTGGTTAGGACAAGAAAAAGCAAGGTTAAGGAAAACTAGCGCAGGTTTTGAATGAGCTAAGGCTGGGATAGAGTAAGAGACAAGATTAAGCGAATGTAAGACAAGACTAGACAAAACGCAGCAAGATCAAGAGAGTAGAGCTGTGGCTAGCTAGAGCTATGGATAAGACTTGAACTACGCTTGTAGCTAGAGTAAAGGCTGGGCAAGGTCCGGGCAAGGTCAGGGAAATGCCAGAACAAGGCCAAGACAAGAACAAAACAAGGCCAAAGCAAGGCCAGGGCGAGGCCGTGGGTAGGGTAAGGTAAGGCCAGGGCAAGGCCAGGGCGAGGCCAGGGCAAGGCCAGGGCAAGGCCAGGGCAAGGCCAGGGCAAGGCCAGGACAAGGCCAGGGCGAGGCCAGGGCAAGGCTAGGGCGAGGATGTGGGTAGGGTAAGGTAGAGTAGGGTAAGGTAGGGTAGGTGGAGACAGGGTAGGTTAAAACAGGGTAGGGTAAAGTAGGGTAGAACTTTTTTAGGTTAAAAACGTTTATTAATGCCATTTATAACTACAAATAGGTATGAAACATCAAGGCGTGCACAGATTGCACGTCTTTCCGCAATGTCGTTTCTTGATCTCGGTAGAGTAGAAATCAGATTCGCAGAATCCGTTCTTCTTCCAATGGTCACAAGTCTCGGTTTCAGCACATTCTGGCCTCGGTTCCTCATCAGCATCACTATCTGGAGCCAAGTTTCGAATCTGAGTTTCGGCCGGTGTGTCAACCTCAGGCTGACACCTCAGGCACGTCTTCTCACATCGTTCCGTCATCAACTTGTAGTAGCGTGCGTGTGAACATAAGGAGGAGAGGCGAGCACAGTCGGTCTGTTTGTCTTGGCAGGACGGTCGATTTGGGTATTTTACTGAAAAAAATGCATAATGGCAATAACTTTCTTTACAAAACAGAAAGTGGCAAAAACTTTCTTTACAAAACAAAAAATGGCAAGAACTTTCTTTACAAAACAAAAAAAATGGGAAGAACTTTCTTTACAAAACACAAAATACTTTATTTCGTATAACTTTTCATTGCAGCCTGCCAAACCCAAAAATAGTTTGTTTTGATGGTAATGGCAAAAAATTTCTTTACAAATAAAAAACAAGAAATTTTGAATCCTTTGTATAACTTGTCATCCGCAGCCTGCCAATTCGGCTTGTAAAAAGAATTTACCTGATCTGAACTGCAACTTAAACCCTCGCGTCTTGTAGGCAGTGAAAGCAATAATAACTGCTGTATCTCCGTCACTTTCCAAGTAACCAAGGTTGTCAGCATCGGATTGGCAACATACTCTGGAACAGTAACATAATATATTGTAGTTAGCCATTTTTTGTGTTAAAATCACATAGAAATAACAAAAAAATTTAAAAAATTAGTTGAGAGTCTACTGTAATATATTTTTATTGCCTACCTGCTTCCAGTCATGGTAAAGTCTTTGACTTTTATCTCAATTCCAGAGTAAAAACAGCCAGCTGAGCATGCTCCATACACATCCAAGAGCTTTATTTGCACTTTTTCGTTTGGATTTGCCTAGAATTTCATATTGAAAATACCAAAAATAAGTACCCAACACTACCTCGACCCTAATACTACATCAACCATACAGCCATGATCGCAATTTCTCCTACAGTAATTGTTCGCTAATCCTAACTGATGCCTACTGTAACCCAACGCTTGAACTATAATAAAGAGAGACATAATATGCCCTGGACCGAGCTGAGCCTAGAAATGAGGAACGGGCCGGGCCGGTATTGACCCGATTTTAGGTCCGGTCGGGCTTGAAACTGAAGGCCTAGCCTGGCCCGAAAAGCCCGGCCCGTTTGCACGTAAAAAATTCAGGCCGAGCCCAACCTGAGCAAAATTTTGATAAAACCTGGCCTAAAAATTAGGCACGGCCCGTTCCTCATGTCTACCAGAGCCGAAGCAAATTTTTAAAAAGCCGGGCCAAGCTATGTTTGAGTTCAAGACCAAGGTCCAACTTAAGTCCCCGGAGCCTCAGCTTAATAGGCCTGATAGCCAAGACCATACCACGGCCCGGCCCAAGAACTGAGCCAAAAAATGAACCCGGCCCCTATAAAAGTCTAACAGTACGCCATCCTCACAGTATCCTCACCTTGATGTGCCAAGTGCAAGATGAATGTCGATCAGCCAGATTGATTTGCTTGGAGATGACTCGATTACTCAGATATTGCCATTCTCTTGTAGCTGAGATCACTTGGCCACAATCTTGTTCGGCCGAGAACTCTCCCAATGGCAGTTCGGAACAGTCTTTACCACCAAACCCTGACGGACAAATACAAATGTCACAGGAATCGTGTCTCCTGAAGCCACCGTTCTTACACAGAACGCCATTGGCACAGTTTTGGACACAGCCACTGAAACAGTTAATGCTCTACCGTTACAGCATACTGTAGATAAATGATGAGGCATGGCATGACAAGGACAGGAAAGAGTAAAGCAGGGCAAAGCAGGACAAGGCATGGCAAGACAGGGCAAGAAGGGTGGGGGGGGAGGGGGGGGGGATAGCGGGGCAAGACAAATCAAGCAAGGCGGTCGGGCAGAGCAAGGCAGGATAGGGTAAGGCAGGGCACGTGATGTAGGGTAGGATAAGCGCAAATAGGCTTAGGAAAGGCAAAGTTCGGCATAGCAGGGCATGTGATTTAGGGCAGAGAGGCTAGGGTAGGCTTGGGTAAGGCAGGGCATGGCAAAGCATGTCATTTAAGTTAAGCTAGGGCAGGTTTGGGTAGGGTAGGGTAGGGTACGGTACGGTAGGGTAAAGTAGGGCAGTGTAGAGTAAAGTAGACTTACTAATAGATGTTCATAGCTAAGAGGTCAGCAAAGCTTGGTCCAACGTTGTTACCCATGGTATGTTGGTATATCTTGTCTTTGGCCAACATTGTCACTACTCCTTTGGACGAATCCGCTGGAAATATGCCATTTTAAACCAAAAAAAAAATTAATTTTAAATTAAAATTTTTTTTTACTTTTTAAAAAATTTAAAATTTAAAAACTTACTATCAGCATAATGCATTACCGAGCCATAATCATACTCGACGCCGTAGTTATTATTAGTTGATTCGGTTTGTTTTGAGAATTGTGAAGCCATCGATGGAGACAAATTGGAATAAACTATATTCACAAAGCCATCTCGGTCGTATCTCGATTGACTGTGAAAAAAACCTAAAATTTTAAAATTTTTTGCTCACATAAAAAAACCTGCCTAAAAATTAAAACAAAGTAAAAACATGGCGTATTTTTCCTTATATTATAAGTAAATACAGATTTTTTAAAAAATTTTATGAAAATTCGAACATGTTTCATCGTATAACCTGGTTTGCGCAGGCTGCACAAACCAAAGATCTTGCTTTTTGGGCTCTTTCAATAAAAACTGTATATAGTAGACTCCTATGGTTAATATAAAACTGCTTTTAAAAAATTAATATAAATTTTGAAAAAAGCTTCACTACCTTGCATCGTATAACTTGTCCTCCGCAGGTCGCACGGTATTAAAAGACAGATTTAGTGAAAAACCTTTTTAAACATTAGGTAAAATACGCGGTAAGTAATTGTTTCAGAAAAAATTAAAAAAGAAATTCTTTTTTTTAAATTTTTTCTATTTTTTGTAAAAACGCGTTTCATCGTATAAAATGATTCGCGCAGGCTGCAGTTGATAAAAACCCGTTGTTTGCAAAAAAAATTGATAAAAACAGAAAATTATTGTTAAAACAAAAATAATTTAGACCTTTTTTTATATTTTTAAATATTTTTATAAATTTATGTGAGATAATGACATATTTAGCACCTTACCTAACGTATGAGCAATTTCATGGGTAATGATGCCAAACTGAAAAAATGGACAAATTAGATCAAATTAGGTAAAAATTTAAGTTTTTTCTACTCTTGTTCTTGCCCTATCCCCAAAAATCTACCCTAAATCTAAAATCCACCCCGCCATAAAAATTTACCACAATTTGAAAATTTACCCCGCCCTGAACAGTTGATTAGCCTCAGCTGCTTTACCCTGCCCAAAAAAGCAACCTGCCCTCAAAACCCACCCACCCCCTAAAAATTAACCCTGCCTTAAAGTCCACCCCCAGACATAAAAAATCCTCCCCCCCCTGCCGCCGATTTAAAAAATCACCCCCCCCTGAAAATCCAACCTGTCCTAAAACCCAACATGCCTTTAGGAGCCCTTCAAAGAATCAAAACCATACCTGTTCACACCCCCGGCCAATGGAAATGACCTGTTCCGCACTGCCAAACGCCTTCCCCACCTGACTGTAGCATCCGCCGCCTTGGAAGAAGCGCACCTTCGGATGGTACGACCCATTCTCTTCGAACGTCAAACAAGTGTTATCTTGCCAATACTTGATGGCTTTTCGTATTAAAATCTTCGTACTGGGACTAATAGTACTGTGGAAATAGTATGAAATTGGTTGGCCGACAGTCCATTGATTTTTGGGAAACGATGGACCGGTTTGGGCTTGTCTTTTGCGTCGTGTAGCGTTTGTATCTTAAAAATATTTCTTAAATCTAGTATTAAGGTAAAGCCCATTATTTTTTACATACGATACGTTATTTTTTATACCAAGAAAATGTTTAAGTCCATTTTAAAGTGGCATTATATCAAATACACCCCAGTTTTTTCGCCTACTTCAAGAATTTCCACAAAACTTTTACTTTCGATTGTTGTGTAGCCTTCGTATCTCGCAACTACACATTAAATTTAGCATCATCTTAAAACCCAGTCTTTTTTACATCAGAAAAATGTCATTTTGGTTCAACAAGCTGCGTCAGTCAATTTAAAAATGGCATTATATTAACTACACTTTTGTTTTTTTCGCTAAAATCAAGATTTTGCCAAAACTTTTACTTTCGGTCGCCGTGCAGCCTTTGTATCTTGAAATTATTTGACAAACTTAATATCATGTTATAGCTCAGTCTTTTTGACATAAGAAAAATATTATTTTAGTTTAACAAGCTGCGTCAGTCAAATAAAAAATGGCATCATCTTGATTATACTCTCATTTTTTGTTTAAATCAAGGTTTCTTGACTTTTTTTAAACCGTGTAGCCTTGGTATCTTAACAAAGATTTTTAAAAACCATTTTACATTAAAGCCCAGTCTTTTTACTACCAGAAAAATCTTACTTTAGATCAATAAACTTTGTTAATCCATTTAAAAACAACATTAACCTAACCATGTCTCTACGTTTTCCCATAAATAACCACTTTTAACTAAACCTTTTACTATTTACCCTACCTCCATCGTATTCAGCCAGCAATTCAGCCCATTCTACATTCTCCACATTCCCTATGGTGTTGTTTTTGATTTCCGGTTGTTGGCCATAAACATCTCGTAGTTGACTGGTCAGGTTTTGCTTCTCCACCGGATCAACCTCAAGCAAGTCTTGGAGAGCAGCATCGGCCAGAACACGGCTTTGGCGAGTGTTTAACACCATGTCACTCTAGAATAATATCAGATTAGATACCCTACTTGCTTTATCAAAACCTACCATGCTCTGTCTTGCTCTGTGCTATCCTAATCTGTCGCTCCGTGCCCTATTCTACCCTGCCCTGTTTGGCTCTTTTCTCTGTCTCGCCCTGCCTTGCTCGTTGCTGCCTTGCCCTACCCTACCCTGTACTTTGCCCTGCCCTACCTTAGCTTACTATACATTGCCCTGTCCCTACCCTTACCTGAAACATGTAATCAGCGACTGGTTGATTAATAACTTCAGCTCCTTCCAGCCCTTGATTCACTTTGTTGGCATCTTTCTCTCGGATCCATTGCATTATCTATAACAATATTCTTAAATTAAAATTGAAAAATTTTTTTTTCCAACATATTTTTTTTAAATTGCTAAACTTTAGATATAAACTTCCGCTTGTTTTACATTTTTTCCAAAAACAAAGATAAATATTGACGTAGAAAGGCTAAAAATATTGTTTTACGTCAAGAAAATCAACAAAAAATTTGTTTCGTATGCTTAAAAGGCAAGGAAAATAAGTTTAGGTTTAAATACCCATAAAAAATATAATTTTCAAGCTTAAAACTTAACAGAGACTGGTTTTTTAGGCTTAAAAGAGCAAAAAAATTAGCTTTTAAACCCAAAAACCGACTAAAATAAGTTTTTTAGGCTTAAGAAAGCCAAGAAAAATGAGTGTTTAAACATAAAGATAAACAAAAAGTTGATTTTTCAGGTTTAAAAATAAAAAAAGAGTTTTTAGGCTTAAAAATACAATGTCAGACACAATGATTAACAAAAACTAGGTCTTTTAGGCTTAGAAAAAAAAGAAAAATGAGTTTATAGGCTAAAAATCGACAAAAAAATCATTTTTTTAGGCTTAAAAAAACAAGAAAAGTAAATTTTTAGACTTGTAATTTTAGATTCAAAGTTTGAAAAAATTTTTCCAATAGTGTAAGATATAGATCACATAACACATACTGCAAAGAAAAACCAACCTGAGCGTCTTGTAGTTCCTTTTTCTTATGCAGTTTGATCTTCTTCTTGGCCAATCGTTGCTGAATCAAGTTCAAAAAGCCTCGAACTCGTTCGGATTCATTAATGTGTTCACTCATCGAGTCCATAAAGACTCGTCGCATCTGAAATGACAATAAATTTCTTTACAATACAAAAAATGGTAATAACTTTCTTTACAAAGTAAAAAAACGCTCAAACTTTAAAATGCTTTGTATAACTTGTTACTCGCAGCCTGCCAAATGCCAAAAAATGTTGTTTTTAACATTAAAAAACAAAAAAACTTTCTTTACAACACGTAAAATGACAAGAACTTTCTTTACAAAACAAAAAATGGCAAGAACTTTCTTTACAAAACACAAAATACTTTTTTTTCGTTTAACTTGTCATCTGCAGACTGCCAAGCCCAAAAATAGTTTGTTTTGATGCTAATGACAAAAACTTTCTTTACAAAACATAAAATGGCAGAAACTTTCTTTACAAATGAAAAAATGACAAAAACTTTCTTTACAAAACATAAAATGGCAAGAACTTTCTTTACAAACCAAAAAACCGGAAATACTATAAGAAATCTCACCTCCGTCGCAGGCAGCGGTCGATTCATGGCATTTTGCGGTGCTTTCGTCACTACAACAACTTTACCGCAACAACTATAACATAATATGACAATCGAAAGTGTAATTAAGTATTTACATGTCGCCATGCTGTGATTTGCAAAGAATGAACATGATATTATCCTTTAACAATTTTATCCTACCGTATCAGCTGAGCAAACACCGAAACACGCACAATAGAATGAATGGAAATAGACGTACGATACACAGACATACGATGACGACGTGTTTCGTACGTTTCGAAAAAAGCCATTGTCCGAGAATGTGATCGGATGGAACGGTCAAATATTGTGGAAGAAAAGTGGCATGGCGGGTAGGAAAGTTACAATTTAAGAAAGAAGGAGCAGAGGAGAGAGGAGCGGGATGACAAAGCAAGGCAAGGTAAAGCAGGGAAAAGGCAGAGCAAAGGCAAGGCAAGGCCAGAGACAAGGCCAGAGGCAAGGCCAGAGGCAAGGCCAGAGACAAGGCTAGAGGCAAGGCTAGAGGCAAGGCCAGAGGCAAGGCCAGAGACAAGGCTAGAGGCAAGGCCAGAGGCAAGGCCAGAAGCAAGGCCACAGGCAAGGCCAGAAGCAAGGCCAGAGGCAAGGCCAGAGACAAGGCCAAAGGCACGACAAAGGCAGAGCAAAGGCAGGGCAAAAGCAGGGCAAAAGCAGGGAAAAGGCAAGGCAAAACAAGAAAAAAATACAAAAATAAAAATGGCAAGAACTTTTTTTTACAAAACAATAAATGGCAAAAACTTTCTTTACAAACTTAAAATGGCAATAACTTTCTTTACAAAACAAAAAATAGCAATAACTTCCTTTACAAAACAAAAAATGGCAAGAACTTTCTTTACAAAACTTAAAATGACAAGAACTTTCTTTACAAACCAAAACAAGAACTTTTTATAAAATAAAGGTAATGACAAAGTAAATCAACACCTACCAAAATCAAATCAAAAATGCCAAGCTAACCCTTGTTTATTCACCCTTATCAACCCTACTACAATATAAACTGTCACTATTTGTTGTCAGGCGGTGTTTTGCCATCTGATGGGTCCGTGTTGCTCGGCGTGCTACCAGTCGGGGTTGTTGGAGTAGTCGGAGTTGCTGGTGATGAAGTAGTGGGCGTGACTGGGGTAGAGTTCCCCGGGGTATGGTCCTCGGGCGTGGAATTCCCGGGGTCTGGGGCCGATGATGCATTGGGCCGTTCCAGGTCCGGAGTCAGATCTTTCAGGTCCATTACCCAGCTTGGGACGTCCGCGTCCTGGAATTTGGAGGTTTTGAAAAATTTTAAAAAAATTTTGAAAAAAATACGAAAATTCAAAAAAGGTTAAAAATTTTTAAAAATTTCAAAAAAAATTTCAAAAAATTACAAAAATTACAAAAAATTTGAAAAAATTTCAAAAAATTTAAAAAAAATTCAAAAAAAATTCAAAAAATTTCATAAAATTTCAAAAATTATTAAAAAAATTCAAAAAATGTCAAAAAATTAAAAAAAATTTTTAAAAATTCACGAAAAAAAAATTCAAATAAAATAAAAAAAATTTCAAAAAATTTAAAAAATCTAAAAACATTTCAAAATTTCAAAAATTTTTCGTACAGTAGGATTAGCATTAGCCGCATCCATCACCGCAGGCCTTGCCGGGTACATCCGAGGCTTTATCGAGGTGATGAGCTGTGGTAACTTCTTCTTGGGCTTCTTCGAAGCGACAGGCTTTGGTGGAGGCTCAGGGCGAAGGTCGGAGATGGGATCGTCGTCATCGGTCAGGTAGTGCTCCTTCTTCCTGGGTGGTGGCTTTGGAGATTCTGGTCGGTTCTCCTTCTGATTCGGGTCTGGCTTTGGCTTTGGACTGGGCTTCTGTTCTTCGTCAGCTTTCGGCTTTGGGTTAGGCTTCTGCTCCTCGTCAGACTGTTGATTTGAATCCGGCTTTGACTTCTGCTTCTTTTCTGCCTTAAGTTCAGCCTTAGGCTTCGGATTATGTTTCTGCTCCTCGTCAGACTGCTGATTCGAGTCCGGCTTCGACTTCTGCTTCTTTTCTGGCTTCAGCTCGGCCTTCTGCTCCTTTGAATTCTTCTTCGGCTTCGATACTACCTTCTGATCCTTCTCCACCTTCTTTACAACCTTCTCATCCTTCGCCGGAACTCGAATCTTGTCCGGCTTCACCACCTCGCGACTGCCAGCCCTAGTCTCACTGGTAAAGCCCTTGATCTGCACCTTCTTCTTCTCCTCCTTCTCGGACGTGGATATCGGCGTGGCTGGAGTGGCGGGATCAGGAGTGGTGACGAACTCCGAAGAGCCTGGCACCGATGGTAACGAATCTGGATTGGCTGGGGAATTCTTTTGGACGCTCTTCTTCCGATGCTTCTTGGGCTGGCCCAGGGCTGCGCTTTCTTTTTGTCGCTGGAAAATTAAAAAATTGAGTATATACCACCCCCAGCTTTTAAACAATTAAAAACCACCCCCACCAAATAAAAAAATTAAAAATCTACACCCTCCAAAAAATTTTATCCACCTCGCCCAAAAAATAAAATCCACCTCGCCCAAAAAATTTTTTAAAAAATCCATTTCGCCCAAAAATTTTTTAAAAATTTACCTCATCCAAAAAAAATTTTAAAAATTTCACCCAATTATCTACCCCTGCATTTAAAAACCATTAAAAAGTTACATCCTGGTTGCCACAATCCCTGCTCCTCTTCTTGTTATTGGCATTCTTCGTAACCGGCTTCACCTTCTTCCGGCGGCGCTTCAGATGCTCGGCATTGACTGGATCGTCATCAGAGATCAGTACCTCTTTCGAATCCTTTGAATCTTTCTTCGGATCCTTGTCTTCTGGCATCTCGCTACTGATCAAGGGTGTTTCTGAAAATTTACGCGCCATTCTTTTTGCATCAACCCAAGATTTTAAAAATTTTTACAAAATTAAAAGCGCCTTCACGCGCCATTCTTTACGCATCGGGCAAGGTTTTAAAAATAGAAAAAAATTACATGTTGTCCAAATAATTTTGAGCCTCCCCTCAAACGAAATTTTTGAAGTTAGGAGGTACAGAATTAATTGAACAACCTAAAATACTAAAATTTCAAAAAAAATTTTTTTTTAATTAAAAGCACCTTCACGCGCCATTCTTTTTGCATCACTTACCCGAGAACGGCTTGACCGTTAGCGGAACAGAATTCTTCTTGGTCTTGCTCCGAACCTTTTTCTGAAAAAGAAGTTAAAATAGTGTAAGATTTCAAAAAAATGCAAAAACTTTCTTTACAGAACAGAAAATGGCAAGAACTTTCTTTACAAAATACAAAACATTGTAAGAACATTCTTTACAAAACGAAAATAGCATAAGTCAACTTACTTTACTATTGTCGTCGTCCGATGCCATTACCTGAACGAATTCACAGGTTTTACGATTAAGTCGAGTTCGACCGGTCGAAAAATGAATGAAAAATGAAGTGTTTCACCAATTCCATGACTTTTATACTGGTCGGTAAAGTTCAAAACAATTTTTAAACTATCAAATTGAAAAAATCAAAAAAAAACATGCAAAATAAAAAAATGTGTTCAAAAAAGCCGAAGGTTATCTTTACAGTGCATATATCACCCTAATGCATCAGCTGATGAAGAATAGAAATCCGCCATCAAAATGTGACATTTTGTTTACGCGCGATTGATTTTTTATTTTTTTAATGAAATGCACTGAAACTCCTGTATAACAAATCGCAAGGAGATTTCAAACGCGTCGAGCATCACTTCTCTACAAAAGTTGGCCCAGTTCATCCACGTCTTCAATGGCAATCTATCCAAGAGCTCCCCAATGACTTCGAGCTGGTACTTTCTTTACCATAAATCGAAAAAGCTCTCTTTCTTATCCATAGGTCAACAAAGCCCAGAATATTCTTTTTTCTAGTACCTAATAGACTAATACAATTACATATACACAAAAAACTTATAGTATATGTACTTTTATATGTACTTGATTACAACAAAAAAATGTCATTAATACATTTGATTTCTCCGACCAATGTTTTACACAAGAGCTCGTTCTACTGTGTATTGTTTTATAAAACTACATTAATAACCATGGCCATTTCCATAAATAATTCCTTTGAAACAAAAATCAAGGTGACTCATTTTGTAGTATAAAACAAAACATCTCGAATCTATTTTTGACTAGTGTAGTCGTCTTAAAGCCTCGTCAGGCCCGTCAATCTTCGTACAATGGCCAAACTTGTTGCTCTACTGATCACTGTATTTTCTATTGGTCAAGGGGCTAAAATCAAATATGATCGCCCAGATTATGAGAAATGTATGGAAGATTGTGGCAATAAGCCCGAAGACTTAGTATTTAATAATACTTGTCTTTAAAAAATGTTTGACTGTGAAGCGAGTACTGGCAGAATTATTCCTTTCTTCACCTTGAACCAGTACTATAAAAGAGGTTTCAACAATCAAACCAATGCTGAGAAGAGTAAGTTACCTGGCTGGTCTTAGCTCTAGCCGTATAACTAGTTTCAGTCTTAGCTCTAGCTCTAGCTCTAGCTTTAGCTCTAGCTCTAGCTCTAGCTCTAGCTCTAGCTCTAGCTCTAGCTCTAGCTCTAGCTCTAGCTCTAGCTCTAGCTTTAGCTCTAGCTTTAGCTCTAGCTCTAGATCTAGGTCTACTCTTGCTTCGGCCTTGTTTTAGCTCTAGACCTGGACATAACCCTAGCCCTAGCTCTACCCAACTTGTTTTACTTCACCTATTGTTACGATTTCGATTACAAAGTAAAATTCCAACACTCGCAGTAATTTTTTGGGTCGTTTTACATCGAGGTAAATGTTTTATAAAGCCATAAAACTACGCAAAAAATGTTATGTCATAATATTGTGTAAGGATCCGGCAATTACGCAAAGTTTTTAGTTTTTTAAACGTTTTAGGAAGATGAGTTAATATGCTTTAAAATTAATTGCCCTTGCCGCTTCAGTCCTAGTCTCAGCTCTAGCCTTTGCTCTAGTTTCAGCGGTAGCCTTAGCCCTAGCTTCAACCCTAGCCTCGGTTCTAGACTCACATCTACGTCTACTCCTAGTTTTACCCTCTTTATATTGTAGTTCTACTCCATCTCTACATTTTCCCTAGTCTAATCCCTATCAAGCCACTTTTTGCATACCTTTGCCTTTCACTATTCTTAGGTTAGCTTTACTCTGGTCTTACACCTACATTAGAGAAAAACAGCAATTTTATCTAAATTTCAGCTAAAAGGTCGCTTGAATGTGGAAACAAAATTTTTGCTGAATTTATGCCTAACTATAACTTTTCAAATCCTACAATTTGGAATGACGAGAACTATTGCAAGTATGTTTTACATATAATGGTTTTTTATTTGTTTAGTAAATATTTTGCTCTCCCCTCCCATCTTTCTCTTCCCTCTTCTCCACCCTTCTCCCACTTCCTTACGTTTTTTCGCCCCCTTCACCCCTTCCCCCCCTACCTTCTCAATCTATTTTACAACCTTGCTAATCGTTGTTCTAGAGACATTGCTAAGCTAGACAAAGCAACATGTGAAATTAGTCAGAAGTGTGAAGCCGCCGAACTTGCTTTGGACACTTTATACTACAACAATCTGGTCACTATTCAGGTGTACTATGGTACTGCTGGTGCTCAAATTTTGTATGTTTTTTTATAGTTTTTAATATGTATTAACTAAATTACAGCTCCTGTGTAACGAATGGTTTGAAAGTTTAGGACTAGCGCTAAGGCTAGGCTAAATAAAACTATAAAGAAGTCCCACTATATGCTCTTAGTTTCAGTAGCATATTTTACAAAATTTTCCACTTTTAGGTGCATAAACAACAGAATGAAGACTCAGCTCTACCCTCGTTTGTTCGGTCGAACTTTTGATGTTGAAAACAGCCATGTTGTTGCCGTTCCTTGTATGGTCTAAAGATGATCAAATTCAATTTTACCGTGATGTTATTTACTAATATTATTAAAAAGTAATATCGTCATTTGGCGTATTTTACAAGTAAAGTACTATATAATTTTAAAAAATTTTTTATCAAAGTAAGTATATATTAGAGAATAGTGATGTCTTGGCTTAAGCGTGGTACAAAGTAACTTGATTTATTTTGCTTTGCCGTGTTCTCTGTTATGTTTGATTATGTCTGTACAGAGCCTCAGGCGTTTGGTTTTTATTATTTTGTTGTTGAGATATGTGTAAACCTTTTAAATAGTTATCAACTTTTCAAATTTCTCAATGTACAGCGGTTTTTGAAATTTTTTTTTTGTTTTTAGCCTTATCTCTGATCCTAGACTTCGCTCTAAACACACCTCTAGCCCCATCCTTAGCCTCAATTCTAGCCTCAGCTCTACCATCAGTCTTAACCTGAGCCCTAGCCTCAGCCCTAGCTTTAGTCCTATCCTCAGGCTTAACATTAGCCTTAGCGTAAGCCTCAACCACAACCCTAGTCTTAGCCCCAGCTCCAGTTCTCAGCTTCAGCTTAAAGCTCAACCCTAGTCTTAGCCTTGCCTTCCTCTCCTTAGCTGATCTTGCCTTGTTTAGTCTTACCTTATCCTTAAAATATCAACGTCTCGAACTCAAAATTAGTTCCTTGTATTCAACTTTACCCTACCCTAAACTTTTTGTCGATTTTAAAAGTTAAAGAGCAAAACATTTGTTATCACGCAATGGCGCCACTTATTACAACTCCGCCCATCTGTCGGTTGAAAAAAGTTTTTCGGAAAAAACAAAGAACGGAACGTTTTGCAATGTTTCATGCGCCACCGTTCCAAACTCACGTCAATTAAAATGATTAAAGGTTTTTAGGGGGTTATGATTGAAATTAATTTAAAATAGGTTGTAAAGAAAGTTTTTGCCATTTTTTGTTTTGTAAAGAAAGTTCTTGCCATTTTCTACTTTGTAAAGAAAGTTCTTGCCATTTTTTGTTTTGTAAAGAAAGTTCTTGCCACTTTCTACTTTGTAAAGAAAGTTCTTACCATTTTGTGTTTTGTAAAGAAAGTTTTTGCAATTTTTTCCACATCCAAGTAAGTAAAATGAAGATACGAATGTTTACCATAGACTTATAAGCCGTTTGTTTACACTTTTACATCTGAATCCGAAGATAATCGGGCTCCTAATTGCCGCGTCAAATATTACTTCCTACTAAAATATTGTGAAAGGTTTATTATTAGTACTCCCTGAAGACGAATTGACCAGTTATTCTTAATTTTATGTGAAGCAGGGGTGTTGTTATAGTATATTAGTAGAGCAGGGCTAACATTTGTAAGATAGGGCTCTAGGCTAGGGCTTTAGGCTAGAGCTAAGGCTAAGACTAGGGCAAAGGCTAGGGCTTTTTTTAAATTGTTGACCTTTTGGCTTTGACTTTTTTCTAAAATTGCAACTTTGAAAAGGCATGTGAAAGCCACAATTAGTTCTTTTTTTCTCTAATTACGGGAAGGGAACGAAAAACAAAGTAAATGTTTTACAAATTGACTCAAAAATAGTCTTAATTTTCCTTACATTTGTTAGCTTAAACTTAGGATTTTAGCTTTAGGCTTATTCGTAGGCATAGGTACAGGCTGTGGCTGTGGTTGTAGCCCTGGCTCCGGCTTCGGATCTGTATCTAGCTGAGGCTCAGGCTTAGGCTCAATCTCAGGCTTAGGCTCAGGCTCAGACTCAGACTCAACCTCAGACTCAAACTCAAGCTCAAGTTCAGGCTGTGGCTTCGGCTCAGGCTCAGCCTCAGGCTCAGGCTCAGGCTCAGGCTCCGGCACCGGATCTGGCTCTGGCTCTGGCCTTGGCTCTGGCCTTGGCTCTGGCTCAGGCTCAGGCTCAGGCTCCGGCTCCGGCTCTGGCTCTGGCTCTGGCCTTGGCTCTGGCTCAGACTCAAACTCAACTTCAGACTCAGACTCAAGCTCAAGTTCAAGCTCTGGGTTTGGCTCCGGCTCAGGCTCCGGCTTATGCTTAAGCTTATACTTGTATTTAGACGCAGGTTTATTCTTAAATTTATGTTTAGGCTTATTAATAAATTAAACATAAGCACAGGCTAAGGCTTAATTTTTATTGTTTGTTTAGGGTTTGAGAAAAGCTTGGACTTACAAATTGTTGAGGTCAAAGTTTCAGTTTTGGGCTAAACCTTGGGGTAAGACTTACCCTTTGGCTTAGACTTATTCTTAGGCTTAGATACAGTCTCTGGCTTTGTCTCAAGCTTAAGCTCAAGTTTAGGCTTCACAAAGTGAAATGTATAAAAAGGTAAAAAATAATTTTTCAATTGTGAAAAGTTTTTTTGTTTTATGGTTAGTCCCAATATTAACAATGATAAGCTCCTTATCTAGTCATACCACTTGCAGCCAACGTTCTGTTTTAAAAAAGTTAAAATTAATCAAAATTACATTTTCTTAGGGTCGAAAAAACGTTTTCAAAAGTTGTAAATGTCAATTAACAGACACGTTTTGGAGAAGAATTCGAGGTTTTTGTGATAAAACATGATTATTTCTTCATTTGACCGCTACAATTATTCTTTTCCTTGATAAAATGATAAAGTTCGCTTTAATGGGCTACAAATATGTTATGTTTGTTACAATGATAATGAATAATGTGCAGTTTTTTACACTGAGAAACGTTACGTCTGTATATTAGGGTTTTCCGGTTTAAAAATTTAATTTTTTGGGTGTTTTGACTGATTTTTTTGATTTTTAGTTGTGTTTTTGTAAATTATTTGTGATTTTTTAGAGGTTTTAGTCTATTTTAGCTGATTTTTTGGTTAAAACTTGGCATTTTTAAGCCTTTTTTTTATTTTTTAGTACTGAAGACAGCGTAAGATAATATAAAACACAAGAAAACGTCATAGAAAGTATATAAATCAAAAAAAAATACAAAAAAACTGGACGATATCGACCTTATTTTAGCTAAAAATTAGAAAACAGCTTTAAATACCTCTTTCTATATAAGCAACCCGAAGGGACCACCATTTTGTGTTTACTATAAGAGGTTTTGTGTTTACAGAGAGGCTTTATAGTGCAAATTGACTTGGCGGGGCCAAATTTCTTGTTTACTATAAAGAGAGTTGCTTATACAGATCGTTTACTATATAGAGAGACCACTGTAGAAAGCTTAATATTGTAGTTTGAGCTTGTCTTTGTCAGCCTAATTCTATTTTTGTCATTATAAATTGACCTCTATTGATAGAGGTCAAAAAGATAAGGGCTTTTAGGTTAGCTGTCTTATGAATATGGTGTATTGGAAAGTAGAATGAGCTTTTATTGAAGTTAAAAAAACTTTAAAGATATAGTAAGTTATATTATGTAAGGCAGGGTTACTGCTTGAACATAGCATGGCTACGGCAAGGCTAGAAAAAGGATAATGTAAGAGCGAGTAAAGTAGAGATATAGCTTAAACAAGCCAAGGAAAGGCTGAAAGTAAGCTAGGAGCTAAGGCAGAGGCTAGGGCGTGGAGCTAAAGCTAAGACTAGAAAATGAACTAGGCGATTACGCGGGGCAAGAGTAAGCATATAGATAAAGTAAGGCCAGGGCAAAAAAAGGAAAAAGTTAGTACAGGGCAAGGCAAGGCAAGGCCAGGGCAAGGCCAGAGGCAAGGCCAGAGGCAAGGCCAGAGGCAAGGCCAAAGGCAAGGCCAAAGGCAAGGCCAGAAAGGCCAGAGGCAAGGCAAGGCAAGGCAAGGCAAAGCAAGGCAAGGCAAGCCAAGCCAAGCCAAGCCAAGCCAAGCCGAGCCGAGCCGAGCCGAGCCGAGCCGAGCCAAGCCAAGCCAAGCCAAGCCAAGCCAAGCCAAGCCAAGCCAAGCCAAGCCAAGCCAAGCCAAGCCAAGGCGAGCTAAGACTTAGGCTAGAAAAAAAACTTTTAGGAATGTCTTTTTCTCTGAATTCCAGTCTATTTCCCAACAAATCTTGCATGTGCAAACGTTACGTGATAGCTTCACACCGCTTCATCATCCATTACTCCGCTCCGAGATTTAGTGTAAAAACCGTTTCGTCGACGATTTGTCTCTGTTTGTTGGGTTTAGCGCTACAAAATTGAGTTGTTTCAGAACAAAATTGGTTTTCTATCTACTATAATATAAATTTCTGAACTAAAATTTTTTTTAATGCCGTTTTCTTGCTGTAAAAATTTTTTCATACTGTAAAAAAAGATAATACATTAATATCAGTGCGAGATTTGTCTACAAAACATGGCGAATATGGAGCAGGTCTCGACTGTCAATAAAAATAATATGTGTTCGCTTGCTCTCTGTTCGCTTTGAAGGTCATTCTTTCCAATTTGATTTCGTTTTTTGAAACAATTCGATGCTTTGTAAACGGATTTATGTTTGTTTATCAAACTAAAATAAGGGTTTAATAATATTGTTTTACTGCTTTTTATTAGGCTTATTTCAAATCTTATTTAGGGCTTGTTGTAGGCTTGTTTTTGACTTACTACAGGCATAAGTTTGGCGGAAAAATGACTTGTTTTAGGCTTATTTTGAGTTTTTTTAAAGTTTGTTTCATTTTTTTAGGCTTATTTTTAGGTATAATCAGGGCTTGTTTCAGGCTTATTTTAGGCAGATTTTGTCTTATTTTAGGCGTTTGTTTGGCTGATAGAAGTCTTCTTTTAGGCTTAATTTTTACAATTTCTACGACTAAATCAGAGCTTGTTTTAGGCTTTTTATAAGCAGAATTTGAAGCTAACTTAAAGTTTATTTTAGGCTTGTTTTGTGCAGTATTTGAAGCTCAATCAGGGCTTGTTTTAGGCGTATTTAGGCGGATTGTGTGGCTTATTCAAGGTTTGTTTCAAGCTTATAATAGGCAATTTTTAGGCTATTTTAGGGCTTATTTTAGGCCTAATTTTGGCAGGTTTTTAGGACTTATTTATGGTTGATTTTTGGCTTAATTTAGGTGGATTTTAAGGCTTATTTATTCCTTGTTTTAGGGACAAGTCTGGCTGAGAAAATACTTGTTTTAGGCTTATTATAAGCGCGGGTTTGGCTGAGCGAGGGCTTGTTTTAGGCTTATTATTGGCTTTGAGGCTAATTCAGCGCTTGTTGTAGGCTTATTATAGGTGTAAGTTTTAGGCTTGGTTTGGGCGTACTGTAGGCTCATGTTTGGCTGATAAAGAGCTTGCGTTAGTATTGTTTTTGGGCTTGTTTAAGCCTATTTTTGGCACATTTTTGAGGTTTATTTGGGGATTGTTTTAAGCTGATATTAGGTTTATTATAGGCATCTACTTGGCTGAAAAAGGGCTTAGTTTAGGCTTATTTTAATGATAATTTTAGGCTTACATTAGGCTTTTATTGAGGCTCTTTTAAAGGCTTTTTTTGGTTTATGTCAAGACTTTCTGTAAAGTTTTAGGCTTATGTGGGGTCTACTATAAAAAAATTTTTTTGACATTTTTAGGTAATGATCAGACTTATTTGAAGGTTTTTATTAAGTTTTATCCAAAGGCTACTGAAAGGCTCATTTTAAGCTTTATTTAAAGATTTTTAGGCTTAACGACTTAAGATTACTTAGAATATAAAAAATCTTTTAAAATTGCAAAACGTTTGTTTACAGACTTTTTTTAAAATTTTTATTGCGTAAAATGAATTTTTTTAAATTTTTTGAATTTTTTATATACATTGAACAAAACCTTCGTATTTTAGCCCTCAAACTTGTTGGAGTGGATTGAAATGGTGATCCGAGAGCCGGAAGCCTACGAAGACTTTTTCGTTAAAGTGGACGGGAAATGGCTGTTGATCACGAAAGAGACACTGGCCTGGCATCCCGGAGGCAATGCCCTGATCGCCTACAAGAACAAGGACGCCACCACTGTATTCCACACGTTCCACGTTGGTTCCAAGAAGGCGTACCAGACTCTGGCTGAAATGAGAAAGGAACAGGGCGAAGTTGTACCTAATTTTGAGGTTAAAGTAGGTTAATATTGGCATTTCGGGGTAGAGTAAGGTAGGGTAGGGTAAGATGGGGGTAGGGTGGAGTAGAGTAGGGTGGGGTAAGGAAGAGTAGGGTTGGGTGAAAACTTTTGCTTTTAAAAATGAATTTTGATAATTTTATGTCAAAAAGCCAAATTTTTAAAAAAATTTTAAATTTTTGAAATTTTGAAAAGTTTGCTTTTTATAGGTAACAAAACTCGCTGATTTCAAATATAAAGCTTATTTTTAATTTAAACTACTATAATTTACATTTTTTGACTTCAGAACACGAAATTTAAAAATTTTGTTTTGGTAGCGCAGTGGGTAACGTGTTGGTCTAACGCGCGAAAGCACGTGGGTTCGAGGCTCACTAGATAAGAAAAGGTTTTTTGTCTTTGTTATAATTAAATTTACCGATTGGAAGTTTAAACGTATTTTACAATTATTTTTATACATTTTAAAGTATATTTTTAGTCTATAGCTAAATTAGAATAGCGAAAAAATGGTTTTTTATCAAAATTTTTGATAATTTTAACGTTTTTTGCGGTAAAAATGAAGTTTTTGGGACTTTAACGTGATGAAAATTGAGAAAAATTTTGAAAATAGATTAATATTTTGATTGAAAGTACAATTTTAAGTTCAGTTTATTTTTATTTTACCAAATTTTATCTCCAGGACCCAACAATGTCGGACCTGTACGATGTTAACATGGGCAAATGGGACTTGAGTGAGGAGAAAGCGAAGCAAATCAATGAGAATTTCGACAAATTTCGTATGGAAGTTCGTGCCAAGGGTCTTCTGAATGGTGATAATTTGTATTTTGCTCGGAAGTTCACTGAAGCTGTTGGTCTTATTGGTATCGCGCTGTACCTACAGTACCATCGTATGTACATTGCGTCGGCTTTGATTATGGGTTTGTCGTGGCAACAGTTGGGGTGGATGATTCATGAGTATTGTCATCATCAGCATTTTAAGGTAAAATACTTTGATTTGAGGGTTAGTACCAGTTGGAGCTGTGATAACATAAAATGGTACCAAGTGTACCAATTGCTATACATTGATGTAGTACTATTTTAGTATTAGTAATACTCTGTTATTTTAGTACTGGTATTTACTTTATTGTATTAAGACCATTAAAATCCTTTTTAGCACTACTAGTACTACTTTAGTACTAAAACAGTACAAAGATAGTACCAACAGTACTAAAAACAACATTTTTGCCTAATAACTTTAAATTTACCACGCCCAACTTTAGAACCCTCTATGGAACGATTATATGAGCTACATCGTTGGCAACCTACTACAAGGTTTCTCGTCGAACGGCTGGAAACATCAACATAATGTTCACCATGCAGCCACAAATGTGGTCGGAAGAGACGGAGACATCGATCTAATGCCATTCTTGGCTACTGTCGCTTCGGATTTGAAGGTAGGAGGGGAACATGTTTAGAGTTATTTCTTTCGGGCAGGCTAGGGTTTTCAGGGCAAGGTAACTTTTTTAGGTCAGTGTTAGTTTTTCATAGCGGGGGTGGGTTTTGTAGGGCAGGGTTGGTTTTTTATGGCAGAGTAAGATAGGAGATGGTGGATTTTTTTGGTAGGGTAGGGTAGGGTAGGGTAGGGTAGGGTAGGGTAGGGTAGGGTAGGGTAGGGTAGGGTAGGGTAGGGTAGGGTAGGGTAGGGTAGGGCAGGGTAGGGTAGGGTAGTATAATCAAATTAAAAACAAACATTTCAGCTTTTGGAGGCTACTTCATGGGTAATGCAGATGATACCGTATCAGCACATCTACTGGACCTTCGTGATGCCTTTCCTCCGACTCAGCTGGCTGGCCCAGTCGATCGGTTTTGTGCTTTCCATGGACACCAGCTTCTATGATGTGGGTTTTAAAACTAAAATTTTGGTTTTTGAGTTACAGTAATCTTACAGTATACTCTATTTTTCAATTTTTAGCAATTTCTCGGCCAAATAATGACAGTTTTCAATGTTTAAAGGCAAAACCAAGGTATTTATTACCTAAAATAATCTTTTCCAATCCAGGTACATCGTCAAAAAGCCAAATACGAGCAAATTACTCTGTCGATTCATTGGATTCTGGTACTTTTACAACTTTATTTATTGCCCGATGTCCAGACTATGGTAACATATTTCCTCGTTTCTCAAATGTTTGGTGGATTTCTGCTGGCACATGTGGTTACATACAACCACTACTCTACTGAGAAGTTTTCCTGTAAGTTTCGCCCGATTTCTTACTGTAGTTTTTAAGTTATGAATCAAAAACGGCAGAATTTTGCGAAACTTTTCAAAAAAAAATTGATTTTTTGGTTGAAATTTTAAATTTTAATGCCTATAACAATGTCGTATTGGTACCAAACTTGGTATGGATGTAGTGAAGGGTATGGCAATTTTAGATAACTCAAGAATTTTGGAAAATTACCCTAGCCTGCAAGTGTACACCACTCGGAACATGCGCCCAGGCCTATTCATCGACTGGCTTTGGGGTGGACTGAACTATCAAATTGAGCACCATTTGTTCCCTACCATGCCTAGACACAACTTAAATAAGGTAATCTAAGCATTTTGAAACTTTTTTGAGAAAAAAAAAAAAGACCGGTCGAAAATTTTTTAAAAAAAAAATGATTTTTTTGTTAGAAAATATGTAAAATACGGGAGATGGGTTATTAAAAAACAATTTTTGTGTAGGTAATGCCCCTGGTCAAAAAGTTCTGCTCCGAAAACGACCTGCCCTATATGGTGGATGACTACCTAACCGGCTGGCAGTACGAGATTGAGCAATTCCGAAATGTGGCCACAATCGCCGGCAAAATCGTGAACAAAGTCCGAGAACCGAAAAAAGCATTTTAAGTCCGAGAATTTCAGTACAGTGTCACCGTAATAAAGCGTTGTGTTACAGTAATAAAACGTATAACTCTAGGTTTTCATTTCTGGAAAAAAGGGCTTCAAACTTGATTAAAATTGATGATTTTTGGCGAGAAGAAGTATAATGACATAGTCTTTAATAGTTGTCAACTACATTTTTCAATTTTGTATCAAAGCGTACTATATAGCATCATCAAGTACAGCAAACTAAAAACCGTCGTAAAACCTTCCAAAATTATTGAAAAACCACAAAATTTTGAACTTAAAGGTTTTAAAGCATGCTAAAACCTAATTTACAGTTTTTTTTACTTTACATTACAGTAAGATACCGTATTTGCCTTTAAAGCTCAAAAAAAAGTCTTCTGATTTCGTAGCGCAGTGGCTAACGCGCCCACCTAACGTGCGAAAGTACGTTGGTTCGAACCCGGCTAAAGGAAAACGGCTTTTTAGGCTTTTAAGCTTTTGGAAATATGTTTTTATTGCTTTAGCATTATTGACAAGGTATTTTACATTGTAAAAAATTAATTTTTGTATAAAATTTTTATATTTTTATTATTATTTTTCAACTTTTTCCAAAAATTTTGCAAAATTTGGCCTAAAAATTGATTTTAAAATTTCTTAAGACAACGTATTGCCATTTTACCAATCCGCAAACATGCCCAGTGTCAATTAAAGCCTGTAGAATATAATTATCCACTTGTTAAGACAAACAAACATTCTGTTCGTCCTTAACCTTGTGCGGAAATTAAATTCCGGAAGTCCAGGTGAGAGCGGGAGGATACGGTTGTTAATTGCTTTGTAAATATTATGTAATAATTAATAATTTTTTTATAAAATGAGCCTTTTAGGATGTGTTCTATCTATTTTTCAGTCATTTTGTCTATTTTTTATTTGAAGTTTCGAAAATTTCGAATTTTAGGTATAAAAAAGTTTATTGACTGTATATGACTATATATATAAACAATAAATAATACCAGGGAAGATGAAGGAATAAATAGTTGAACAAAGGCCAAAAATTTAAACTCAAAAGTTTGAAATTCGTATTCCACGGTGCAAGGATTGAAAATGACTGCACCGTGCAAATAAAAAAGAAAGGTTTAAAAGACATTTTTAAATTATAAAAAGGTACAAAATTAGGTTAAAAAAACTAGAAAATGAATATAATACGAAGGCATACATTAAAGGCATAGATAATATAAAAATACAATCAAAAATTGAAAAAATCAAAAAGTATTTAAAATATTGCAGATAAATACATATAAAAAGTATATAAATCAAATGACAACATATTTTAGTACTAGTAGTACTATTAAAGTCAAAGGGTACCATTTTAAACACTATTAGTGCCATAATATCAAAAGCAGCCTTATCAGTGCCAAGAGTACTACAATAAACAAAGAAACGATTAATGAGTACCACTAGTACCATTAATATCAAAAACAAGCCCTTAGAGTACCACCAGCAACACAAAGTCCATAAATTAGCATAACGGGTGAAAGGAATCTCAATTGTACCATCAGTACGAAAAAAATCACAAAATAGCCTTATGAGTACCTCTATTACCAAAAGTATCAAAAAGTAGACACAACAGTACCATTAGTACCACGAATCACAAAAATCTTCCCCATAAGCACTAGTAGTAACACCCCCATCAACAACTCGTCTCATCAGTACCAGTAAGCGCAGAAACCGAGAAGCTGGTACGCTTTTTCTTTTCCACCCTCTCCACTTCCTCCGCTCTCTCCTCCATCTCCTCGTCGTCGGACGAATTCGACGGCGACGAAACACTCAAATCGGTCGAAAATAGACTCGAGAAATCGACCGTCGAGTTAGTCGGCGACTTCTGTGCCACCAGCAATCGTACCGTATTCAACAGACCACTATTATTGATTTCGTTGAGTTTGTTGTACAGGATCACAGTCTGACAGAAGCGCATCGTCTGGGCTGGGTACAGGTTTTGTTGGTGTTGGGCGAGGGCGGATTGAACCATTTGGAGGATTTGGGGGTTCTTTTCTGAAATAGGGCAGGGTAATTTAATTTTTTTTAGATTTTAAAAAGTTTTTTAAAATTTAAAGTTAAGAGAGTAGGGTAATGCAGAAGGATACGGTAGGGTACAGTATGATACAAAAAGGAAGGAATAGATAGGATGAGGTAGAGAAGATAGAGTAGCTTAGAGCAAACGGGTACAGTAGGGTAAGAAAAGGCAAGGACAGATAGTTTAAGAACGGCCCGATTAAAATTTTGCTCAGGCCCGGCCCGAATTTTTTTAAGGTTGAAACGGGCCGGGCCAGCCTAGACCGTTCCTCGTGTCTAAGACTAAGGCTAGGGCTCTGGGCTAGGGCTCTGGGTTAGGGTTCTGGGCTAGGGCTCTGGGCTAGGGCTCTAGAATAAAGCTCTGGGCTAGGGCTCTAGGTCTGGGCTATGGCTCCGGGCTAGGGCTCTAGGCTAGGTCTGGGCTATGGCTCCGGGCTAGGGCTCCAGGCTAGGGCTCTGGGCTAGGGCTGGTCTTACCATGTAAAAGCAGTAAATTTCTGACATATCCATACTCAGTTTCATCTAATTGTAGTTCCTCTAGCTTTGTTATGATAGTTTGCAGTTGTTCTTTGACTTCTTGATCATCCACTGATTGTAGGTTATCAGTTGAGATCAAATTCGATTCGAATGCACTGACCAAGAATAATCGACCGAGACATTGGGAGATGGTTTGGAGCTAAAAAATCCGTATTTTAGCCACTTTATACTTCATATTTTATCATTTTTTAAACTTTTAAGCTAATTATAGGCCTATTTCATCTTTATATTGTACTTTTGTACCTCCATATTCACGATTTTAACCACGAAAACCCTCGCTAAATCCGAATGTCTGCAAACAAACATGTTCGTCGAACATACGACGGTAAACACCATGTATATATTGCACTTAATCCCATTATAATGCGGTGGTAATCGGTCAAGCGCCTTGTTTAACCTTCACAGATGTTCGCGCACTACTTCTTAAGCCCCCCAGAGTACCCACTTAACACGATTGCCATAAACGGAAACATATGTCACAGGCTTATCGTTGTTCGAGAGTTGTTAATATTAAACATTTTAGAACTGGGATCAATAAAATTTGAATTAAGATCAATAAACTTAAAAAAAATCTAAAAAAAATCATTTCTGCGTATTTTACCTCCAAAAATGCCATTCTTTTTTAGACCTACAAGTCAAAACATGAACTTTTGTAAATTTCAGAATATATTCTAAACTCTCCTCATTGGTTTTGTTTATTTAGTTGTTTATTTTCAAGCTATAAAGATTTTTATATTACCCATCAGCTGATCTCATGGATAATATCTTTTTGTTCAAAACTGCCATTCTTTTTTAGACCTACAAGTCAAAAAATCATTTTTAATAAACCTTAGACAATATTCTTTACTCTCTTCAAAGGTTTCTTCGATTCAGCTCATTACTTTCAAGTTACAATGCTTTTTATATTACCCTTCAGCTTCTTTTCAAGCGTAACCTAAATTTCTTTCAAAATGCCATTCTTTTTTAGACCTACAAGTCAAATCATCATTTTTAATAAACCTTATAAAGTTTTGCTTAACATGCCCAAAGCACTTAATATTACATCTAACAGTTTTTGAACTACAGCTTATCTTATATTATATTACCCTTCAGTTGACCTCATGGATAATAGCTTTTGCTTCAAAACTGACATTCTTTTTTTGATTTTCTTGTCAAAACATAAGTTTTCAGAACCTTTATAAAGTATTCTTCTATATTCAAAAAGCATTTCTTGTTTTAGCTATTACTTTTCCAGTTCTGTTCATTTTTATATTAAACATGACTTTCTTCTCAAGTGTAACATAATTTCCTTCAAAACTGACATTCTTTCTTTGATTTGCTTGTCAAAGCATATCTTTTTACAAACTCTAGAATGTATTCTTCAAAATTCTAAAAGCATTCCTTGTTTTACTCTTTCAGTTCTGTTCATTTCTATATTAACCATCACCTTCTTCTCAAGTGTAATATAACTTTTACTAAAACCTTCAATTTAACTTCGGCCAAGTCAAAACAAACTTCAAATTGACAAAATAAAAATATAAATTAGTTGGCCGCCCAATTAATTAAAAAACAATGTCGACCTGACAGTTCGGACACGCTGATCCATCAGGAAGTTAAGATGAATTAAATTGCTTTAAACTTTTACCTGCTCATCCGGCCCGATTGTCGGGAATAAAGAGAGGAAGGTGCGTGCCCAGGATAATAGGCGGATCATACAGGCATCGGCGCCCATCGATGTGGACGGCTTGTTCTGAAAGCGGAGAGGTTATACGATGAAAGGTGTCCTCAAGGAATTTTAAAATTAAAAATGAAGACTTAACATAAGTCTTATCACGTTTTTAGTAATGTATAATCAATTTCTGGTTTCCTCATAAAAAGTTACAGTACCCACAACAACAAATTTCAAAAAAAAGTGAAATGTTATACGATCAAACCTGTCCAAACCATTCCTTCATTTTGATCAAAAACTTTTAAAAATATCATTGCCAATCACCCATCTACCTTAAAAGTCATTATACCAACCCTGACGATTACTGTACCTCCCCAAAAGTCATCTCGCTCCTGCAGCTGTTAGCTTATTGGCTCGACTTTTGTCGCAAAAGTCAAAAAGCCAATGTCGAGAGCGAGAGGAAGTGCCTCCTAATGCCATTGTTCGTGTTATATTGCCGCAAAATGGCAGCTTATTACGGTAGAACAGCCTGTTTTCTTCATTTTTTGAAACAATTTTGTATTGCACCGTGCAATTGATTTTTTTGCACCGTGCAGTCGTTAAACTTGTTTTTGATATAAAATAAAAATGAGTTAATAGTTTTAAAAATAACTTTGCATAGTGGTTTAGAATAGCATTGTTATTAGGTTTGTCATTGCAGTTTTAAAAATTTTTAAAATTTGAATTTTTTATGATTTTTTGAAATTTTTAGATTGCACCGTGCAACAAAATTATTTGCACAGTGCAGCCAAAATAGCTTAACAATTTCGTTATCAAACTTTTTATTTTAACTATTTCTAAACTATTTTACCACTAATTAAACACTAATTTCAATTAATTTCGTCCGTTATATTCCCCTTGAACTGCCTCTCCCAGCTTATTTCCTCTTCGGGCCCATCTTCAACTTAATTGCGACATATTTAAAATGTTTGCTGAAAAATGACCTTTCGACATGACCTTTTTTTGCTCGGTTTGAGTATATCGTTCACCTTGGAAACGACCTGAATTCTCTGTTTGTTCAGTTTCGAGTACTTGGTATTGTAACTTGTACCGGATTCGCGGCGAAAAAGTTACTGTAACTCGGAATTTTAAAACTCGAAATTTTCGAAAATTAGTTTGTGAGGTAGGAATTGATCATAGCTAATTGTTTTACAAAATTATGGCCGTTTTTTGATTTAACAATTTATATTTCATTAAAAAATGGCATAAAATCATCAAATGTTGGCCAAAATCAAGGTTTTTAGCCCAATAATCACCCAAAAAAATGCCATTTTAAACCAAACCCTTGATGTATAACATGACTTTTTAATCTACAAAAAGCCTATACATTAAAATAGCAGCCATTTTTTAACCTAAAATACAATTTTTAATTAAAAATGCTGCAAAATCATCAACTTTTAGCCAAAATCAGCTCGAAATACACCCAGGAATCCCTCAAAAAATGTCATTTTAAACCAACACCAAACTTACCACATTGCCAAAAACATTCATATTGCCATTGCCATTAAACATAAAACTGTTTGGAGAGGATTGAAGTTGATTAAACAGGTTTTGCTTAAAGTTTTGGGCCATCTTTGCTATCATTAACATCGGATTTTGGGGCTTTTTGGCGTTAAAAATGTCCAAGGGAGCTACTGATGGAGAGATTTGTGAAGTTAGAGTAGTGAAACGATTCATCATCGCCATTTTCTTCAGTGTGCTAAAATTTGAATATTTATCTTTGGGCTAACAAAGCTTAAGGCTCGGACTAGGGCTAAAACTAGGGCTGCGTAACTCCTTACCTCGACCTAGGGCCTCGTTCATGCTGCACAGCCTCTTTATTCATGCCAATCTCCACACATTTCCGTAGCCGACAAGCTCTACACTGATTCCGTCTCACTTTATCTACAACACATTTGCCTTCATCAGCTCCACCCTTGTTCTTGCACACGTACTGTCGATTCCTTCGGACACTGCGTTTGAAGAAGCCACTACACCCGTCACAACTGTAGATACCGTAATGCTTGCCGGAAGAGTTGTCATGACACACACGACAGGGTGTGTCCATCAGAATTCGACCTGAAATTTTGAATTTTGTAAAATACGACATTTTTAAATAGGGCATTAAAAATTTCTGAAATTTGACTATTTTTTGCCGTAAACTAGTCATAACATGTTGTAAAAATTAAAAGTTTTAAAAATTAGGTAAAATACGGTAGCCATAAATAGCAAACAAATTGATCCAACTGATAAAAAATTGAATATCATGGGATACACTAGACCATGGTGAGTCATACTGTACAACTTTGTCATATTTTACAATTTCATTCGAAAGTTATAACGTTTTTTGTAGACCGACCCCTACTTTTTTTATTGTTTTTCCACTTTTATTCACTTTTACTATCTTCCATGCCATTATTGAACCGCCATGCCAAAATACCGTAACAGTCTGCTATTTTTGACCAAATCTTTGTCACCACTTAACCAAGAATTTCCTTATTAATAAGTCATAACAACTTGCAAATAACAAGTAGTTACCGTATGCTCAGCCGAAACGACAATAAATGCTTCTCAAGAACTCTTGTCTTTTTGCCTAAAGGGCTTTGGAAAAGGTTTTTCATAAGCTTTTAATGACGATGGATTTGTGGAAATGAAAAAAGGTTTCCGAGAAGAAAAAGCTAAATTCTGCTAAACGGCTTTAGGGCTTAAAGTTTGAAATTTTAAAAAATTTCGAAAATTTTTTTTTTGAAAAACTGATATAAAATGAAATTTTTAGGTTCTCCACAAACTTTTACACACCATATAATATATAAAATGGCATTTCTGGCACATAAAAAACCAAATATTTCAAATTTTCAAAAAAAATTTTTTTCAAATTTAAAATTTTTTTTGAAATTTCAACATTTTTTGCTTCCTAAAAAACCCTTAGGCCCTTTCACACCATTTCTAATCAAAAACAACTTAAACGTTGTCAACTTACTTGAAGGAACAGCCATTTTCGTCTCGCAACCACCAAAAGTCGACTTTGCAAGCACTTTTTCCAAAATGAAGTGTTCGATACGGTAGAATACAGTACACAAGTTGTTACAAATTTACTCTCAAAATGTCCGCTATGGTGTTGGCATTAGTTATTGTAAAAAGAGAAAAGTTATATTGAAAGTCGCAAAAGTTATGACAGGTTTGTGACGATGGTCCAAGCAATCTTAGCGGGCCAATGAGGTGGGGCTATAACAGTATTTTAGTAAAATAATATAGAAAAAAATGTTGAAATGTAGTTAAATCGCGATTAATTGTAAAGGAGAAGAACGGTGAACGTATAGCAAAAGAAATTTTAAATTTGAAGTTTTTTTCAAAAAAAAATTTTTCGAAAAGTTGAACGTGGTCCCCCCTGTTGATCTATTGTTTAAAAAAAATCATTTTAGGCCTCCCTCTCCCATTAATATAAAACACCCGATTCAGTAATTAGCAGGGCTAAAGGTAAGGCTAGGGTAAGGTTATGAAGTCAGAGTAGGGTAATTTAAAAATTTCGAAAATTTTAAAAACTCATCAAAAAGTTGAACGTGGTCCCTCCTATTGATTTTCCAAAAAAGGCCAACTTTTGACTAAAAACCACAAAAAACTCCATTTTTAACCAAAAAAAACTTTCCAAAATGACATATTCAGATATAACCTATATTCATAGTCATTTCCGAAAATAGTCGAGAAAAAATTTCGCGGAATTTCCTCATCGCACAAAAAATAATCAGAAATTAAACGTCAATGAAGAAAGCCAAAAACCAATCTGCCGCCTATTCAGTTTGCAATGGCTTCTCGGTAATTGCAGTAAGTCAAAAACATGCATTATAATGGCACGGTCGAGACGAATTTGACGTCGATTTTTCGAGGTGTGGTAAATAAAAATAAGGAATTTTTTTTAGGTAAGAAAAATGAATTTTAGGAAATAAAAATATAAAAAAATAAAATTTTAGGTAAGAAAAAATGGAAAAAATTTTTTAGGTAACAAAATATTTTAAAATATGAAAAAAGTTGTCAAAATTATGTTATAAATAGTCTAAATGGTACTCTTGGTACTTGACAAACCTTAAAAAATCAAAAAAAAAATTAGGTAACAAAAATTTTTAAAATACGAAAAAAAGTAATAACTGGCTTGGAAATAGTCTAAATAGCACTTTTGGTACATGACAGACTTTAAGAAGTTGGAAAAATGACAAGATGCAGAAAAAAAAATTTTAGGTAACAAATTTTTAAATTAAATCAAAAACGTGTTTCTACAACTTAAAGTGAGCTTTAATGGTACTTTTGGTATATGGAGGATCTTAAAAAGTTAAAAAAATCTAAATTTTTTGAAAAAAAAATTTTTAGGTAACAGAAATCTTTTTTTTTAAATTTTATGTGAAAATAGCTATATTAAGGTTTAAACTGGCCATAATGGTAATGCAGAGCTTTAAAAACATCAAAAATATCCGAATATTTATCTTTAGATAACAAAAAATTTTTTATTTTATATAAATCAAGATTTAAAAAAGTTTTGTCGTTTTTCACCTTCAAAACCAATGTGAGTTGACGACAAAACTTTTTTTAAAATCAAAACTTTTTTAAAAAATTTTCATTTGCATCAAAAATCAATATTAAAAAAAAACTTGTCGTTTCTCACCTTAAAAACTAATGTAAATTGACGACAAGACTTATTTAAACATATATATAGTATTTTATGCCTATAACAAAACATACTACCGTAGCTTGTGCAAAGTAACTCCCAAACCCACAGTAAAGTGAAGTAAAGTTACTCTGTGCCTTCACCAAGGTCAGCCCAAGGTCAGAAGCGGGTGTAGCGGCGTACGATGAGGCTAAATAACCTTTATCCAGTCAGATATCAACCATGGTCGATAATCCTCCCCTACTTGTTTTATTAATCTCGCGGTTTTGCGACCATTTTTTGGCGAAAAAACATTGTTAACTTGACAAAACTTTATTTACAGCGGTTGACTTGGGAGTTACTATTATGTGGTAGGCTGGGGAGAAGTTACAGTATGATAGGGAAGGGCTGCTGTTACTGTATGATAGGGTAGGGTTGAAGTTACAGTATTAAAGCCTGGGGGAAGTTACATTATGATAAGGTAGGGTTGATGTTACAGTACCTTAAAGTATCCCAGACCCTACAATGGTGTTACTGTACCTCAACGGGTTTTACTTTGGAATTACAGTACTTTTTGCCCTATAAAGTACCCTTACAGTATCTTAAACCCCCATAACTAAAAGTTACAGTACTTTTGAGACCAATTATTCTGAATTACAGTACTTTTAATCTCTCCATAGCCAGTTACAGTACGCTTAACTTCTCCTCCCCCCCCCTCCTCCCTCCAAAATCACCCTACCTTATCCTACCCCTCCCCCAAACGAAATTACAGTACTTCCAAACCCACAAAAATCAAGTTACAGTACCCTCAAGCCCCCAAAAAGCAAATTACAGTATCCTTTACCATATAAAACCCCTGTAAAACGGGTTGTGACAAAAAGCTACGAACATGATTTACTGTGAAATGAGTCAGTTCGTATGTCATGTCACTCCTCCATACTTCTGACTCTCGACCAGAAAGTGGGCGGAGTCAAAAGTCATTGGTTGGCTTTCAAACTGGCCGTTTTGTACCGTCGCTCTCTTCATTATCAACACTATTTCATGGGGAAAACGGAGAACTGTCAATATCTCTGCGCTCTCTAGTTTTCTCAACGACTTTTTGGGTCTCTCGGAGGAATAGAGAAGGATTTTTTATCCCTGCGCGCGTTTGTCTCTCTTCGTTTTAGCGCTTTCTTGACCAGAAAAAGAGAAGAGCGCTTTTGTTACAATCTCTGCGCGCACTCCTCATTTTACCACGCTCCGCTTTATCAAAGGGAAAAAGCGCGCTTTTCTCGCTATCTATGCACGCTCTCTTCTTTTCTCAGAGTCTTTCTTCTCTTTTCTTTCGGAAGCCTTCTTTGCTTTTTTCTCTCTTTGCTCTCTTTTATTTTCTCGTTCCTTCGTTTTTTCTCTTTTTTCTCTCAAATTCGCGCGTTCTTTCGCGCTTTTTTCGTTCTTTTTTGCTCTCTCCCATTTTTAATAATATCTAGGTTATGTCTTCTTATGGAAACGGCTTCCTACCGTAGGATTGGATGTTAGAATCGTGTCAAAATGGGAAAACGAAGGGCGTGGCGAAGATTTCCATATGTGGATGAATATTAATGTAAGTTGAGGGAAAAGTTTATAATTAAAATATGGGATCAAGAAATTTTTAGAAAAATTTAAAAGACGAATTTTTAATGTAAAATACGTAATTTTAACCGGTGTTTGAAAAGATTAAGTTATTGTTTGCTTTCAGCAGACTTTGAGTTATATTATGTTAGGCTTAGGTTAGGCTTAGAAAAAAAAGTTAAAGCATTAAGCCTAAGTTGTATATCATTTGAAAGAGGATGAAAAGATGTAGTGAAGTTAAATTTTCGAGGTTTTTTAGTTAACATACCACAAAGTTACAGACAGTTAAAATTTGCATTGGTGGAAAAATTCAAATGATCCGCCCTAAAGTAAAAGATATTTTAATATAAAAATTTTTAAAGAAAATACATTTTAAATGCATTTCTTACACTTTTAAAATGAAAAACTATTTTTATATTGTGATACAAAGGGGTTAAAAAAGTCTTGTCGCTTTTCAACAACGGTTTTTATTTTAAAAAACGATAAAACTTTTCTAAGATCCTAGTATGACAAGTAAAAGGCCTGTTATGGTGTCATATATCAAATAGTGGAAAAGATGTGTCAATTAAAATTATTTTTAATATTGTAGTTGTCTTACGAAGCGTATTTTACACACACTAGGGCTAGGACTAGGGCTCCTACTAATCCCCACAAGTGTTGTCGGTCAATAAAAAGGGGGTGGATATGTGAAAGTTATTAAACTTTTGCGGCATCCAAAGACAATTGGATTAGTGTCATCTTGGCAAGTTTTGCGTATTTATGTGTTGCTAATGATGTTGTGTAATTTCGTCGGAAGTGTAATAGGTATAGAATGTTTTTCGGATCTTTTCACAAGTTTTTGATTGAGATTTTCAAGTGGATGGGTTTGATCGTTGACACGGCTTGATTTTTTTGTGTTTAGCCAAGGAAAGACTTGAGTTAGAGTTTTGGAGGGGGGGGGGAAGCGGAGGGTAGAGTGAGACAGTGTAGGCCAGGGCATGGTAAATTAGGGCAGTGTAGAGTAGAGCAGGGTAAATCAGGGCAGGGAAAGGTAGGATAAGGCAAGGTAGGGTAGAATAAAATACCGTAGCATAGGGTAGGGTAGGTTAATTTTGAGTAGGGTACAACAAGGTAAAGTAGGTTAACTTTAAGGCAGGGCAGCGTAGAGCAGGGGAGGTTAAGATACTGTAGAGCAAGGTAGGTGAGGGTAGGATAGGATAGGGTAAGGTAGAGTAGGGTAGGGTAGGGCAGGGTAGGGTAAAGCCAGGCCTTGGGCTAAGACTTACATACCTACAGTACTCCACCCTCAAGGCATTCTAATCTCTACAGTAGGCCTTACTTTGCCATTCCAGGATAACATATTCCGAAATTGCGACAAAATATATTTATTCGGATAATTGTTTATGATAGGACGGTCAATAATTTCGTATGTCGTCAACAAGCCCCCCGTCTACCGTAACCCGTCTGTGCCTGAGGCGGCGGAAAAGGCGACCGGATGTCACGCACAATTTCACGCCACCACCTTTTGCGGTCATAATATACGGCAATAATGGGTAATATAGAAGGCGGCGGTGATGTATAATGTTAGGGTAGGGATGTAGGTATATAGGCATGGGTAATGGCTTTGGAAAGAAGTAGCCTTAGTCCTAGCTTTAGCACTGGCCCTAACCCTAGCCCAGCGTTCTAGCCGAGAGCCCCAGCCCAGAGTCCTAGCCCAGAGCCTTAGCCATAGCCAAAGCCTTAGCCTTATCTTCAGCTTACCCATGTTACAGTAGCAATTACAACAAACACAAACCGACTGGCTCACCTGCCAGTCGTTAAGCCAACCAAAAACAAGTCGTACCGACTGATTATGTAATGGCAATGACCATGTAATAAATCCTTAATTACAAACCGCTCCCGAGAGATTAGTCGCGGGAATCTCGAGAATATGTTAGACTCAATATTTTATGAAGATGTGGCCAAGTTATGGCCGCGGGCGCCGTAATTTTGAAGTTGATAGTTTGAAATTAGATTTAAAATTTTAAATGGGATTTTTTTTAAACAAAGGGAAGGATACGAATGTTTTGGTGTCTATTAGCATTGTTTTTCATTATAAAGAGCGACAAGATTTTGTGGAATCACAAAATTTGTAAAAAAATTTTAAATTTTGAAGCATAACTTTTTTTAAGGAGCAGGTAGAAATTTTAAAATTTGTGTAAGTATAAGTATAGGTCATTTACATTTGCATGTTATTTCAAAAGGATATTTTATAAAGTACGGTAGTTTTTAAGTTACAGTAGTTGAAGCTGTCTTAACTTTTTTCAAATTTTTCGAAATTTTTAGTAAAATTGTGACATTTTTAATCATAACTTTATTATAAAACAGGTCAGAACTTTAAAATTTCATAAGACTATAGGTTATTTATACAGGCATAGTATCCTCAAAAGACCTCTTTTTCGGCTTCATTTTTGGTTGTAGCCAAGCGAAGGCAAGGCTAGAGTTTGTTTGAGGTTTGCGGTGAGGCGGAGATGAGAGCTATATAGTAGGGTAGGATGCGATAAATTGAGGTAGGGAAAGGGCAGGGACATGTAGCGTATAGGAGGATAGTGTAGGTTAAGGCAGGGCATAGTGAAGTAGGGCACGCTAGAGAAGAGCAGGGTAGGGTAAGTTAGGGTAGGGTAAGGTAGTGTAGTGTAAGGTAGGATAAAGTACTATAATATTTCCAAACATGAGCAAACTCTGACACCCTCAACCCTAGGTATCCACTTAATTAGGCGTGACATGAAACTCCCGCACTTTGGAGTATTATCGACCGGAACACGGTGTGCGTATCTTTTGTCGCCGCTTCCACTCGATTAAAGGCGGCGCGACAAGTTGAAAGAAGCGTTTTGCGCCAAAAGCGAGAATAGTCTATTATATCCATTACAAGTGGGCAGGTACACTCAAGCATGATGAATACTATAGTCGACGGGGTCAGGCATTAAGTATCATAATATCGGCAATATTGGGGGGGGTGAGAGGGGGGGTGGGTGGCGGAGTTGGGTAGAATGGAGGGGGGAGCACTGTACTAATAAGCAACACTATGAAACAAAGAAGCATCGTGCAAGAAGCAAAATTGATTTTTCATGAAAAAAGTTGAAGTAGTGTAGACTACTGTAACATTAAGACTTCAACAAACAAAAAAAAGTTTTCTCACCCTACCCTACTGGACACGAGGAACGGACCGAACTGGCTCGGCTCGTCTGGTCTTACCATCAGGCCGGGTCTGCGCAAAATTTTGATTTTATCGGGCTAACACTCAGGCCCATCTCCCGATGACCAGGCATGATAAATAAGACATGTCCGTTCCTCATACCTATACCTACTTACCTTACTCTGCTTTGATCTACTCTGCTCTACCTACTTTAGCATATTGCCTTACCCTACCTTATTTTAATTTTCCCTATCTTAGCCGATGCTACTCTACTTTATTGGACCTTACCTTATTTTTACCTAGACCGCCTTGTGTTGCTCTACCGTGCCTTTCTTAGTTCTATCCTGTCACGCTATACTTTATCTTTCCCTGCTTGCCTCTGTTTTACCTTACCTGTGCGTTACTCTTCCCTACTGTACCCAATATTACAGTTACTTAAACCGCTGAACGTTTGAGTATTTATTAAAGAATTTGTACATTTCACATCAAGATTATATTGCAATAAAGAACATTTATATGGCAGTATATATATAAAATACACTACTACATAAGATCCAAACATACGTGTAAAATCAAAATTCATATCGAAGCCGGAAGACGTCTCAACTAGCCGGACACCCCTTCATACCGTAATCAGACACCATCAAGTTGTAGTAGTAAAGATGGGCTAGGATGGAGTAATTCAAGTAGTTACTGTTACTACACTTGTAATCTTCTTGTTCCTCACATACAATGTAATCATCACCTGGTAACATATTATTGTTGTACCATACCTCGGAAGTGTGATGATTGTAACCTTCGAAGCCGACTGGTGGTACGTGTGGTACTATGTCACGACCGTGAGTTATACGGTAGGTGTGGGGGATCTGAAATGCGTGTGATAGTGAGCATTGATTAGGTTAGTGTAGGGTATGGTAAGACAAGGCCAGGGCAAGGCCAGAGGAAGGCAGGGTAAGGCTGCCCACGGTAAGGCAGGCTATCTTACCAATCGATCATGATCCTCAGCAAACTTCTGATCACCAGTACGAGGCTGTCCAAACGTCACCAGCTTCACTTGTTCCGATGGTACCTTAGCCATGTGTACCAAGTCCATAGCCGCGATAGAAGCCATAGCACCGCCCAATGAGTGTCCAGTGACTAATACTTCATAATGTGGATTCTGAGCAAACAGTTTGATGAATTCGGCCGAAATTCCGGTATCCAAAATCGACCGGTAAACACTGTAGAAGTATTCACTGACTGTACCTCCAGTTTCTACTTGGATTCTGTTTTTGAAGACCGTACGACGAGCTTCGTAGGCTAGTTGGATTAGGCCGCGGGTACCTCTGTAATACATATTTGAATTTTAAAAAAATTAGAGTGGAGCGAGGGGGGGGGGGAAAGAAAAAATAAAAAAGAAGGGATAGAATTAAGTTGGGGGGGGCGGTGGGTAGAAAGAAGGAGAAGAGAGAGTAGGGTAGGGTAGGGTAGGGTAGGGTAAGGTAAGGTAGGGTAGGGTAAGGTAAGGTAGGGTAGGGTAAGGCAGGGTAGGATAGAGTAGGGTAGGGTAGAAAAAAAAACAAAAAATCAAAAAATGTTACCTAAAAGACATAAAAATGACTTTTTCAGTATGATCTACGCCAATAAAAGCAAAACACAGCTCTGGCTCAACATAACCATCACCACATAGTCGTCGTACCTTTTCTAATACCTAAAATAATTTTTAAACAATGTTCTTCTTTTTTTGCTTGTAAAGAAAGTTCTTGCTATTTTTTGTTTTGTACTCATTGCTAATTATAAATTTTACTCCGGCTTTTTTATTAAAATTTACCCCCGCTTTCTTCTTAAAAAATTTACCCCCGCCCTTCTCTCATTATCTAACAATTTGCCCTGTCCTTACCAGTATCATTACCTACACCTCTTACCGCTTCCATTTCCCTCAAGCCTTGATTTTTATCTTAACCTTTTCTAAGCCCCAGCCTTACTACCTACTCCTCCGCTCTCATACTCCCTCTCTGAAGCTCTCAACACTACCCTAACCTTTTCAAAGCCCTAAAAAGCTCCAACCTTACCGTGCCATTAGGAAACGTGTTCTTAACACAATCTTCTGGCGTTTCACTGTAAGCGGCCGCAGCAATCGGGAACACCTTCGTTCGAATATACTCATCTTTGAACCAGCCCAACTCAAACGGCTTCCCAATTACACCGGCCACACAAAGAACGGCGAGAAGAACGATGAAACGCATTGGAACACTGGCACAATGTGTGATTTGAAACGTTACTCATTTTGGTTTTAAGGCGAGCCGTTATCAGCACGTTCAGACTCTTAAATCCGATTTAAATAAACTTTAAATTTTCATTTTCTCAGCAAAAAATGTGTCAAGTCTTTGTTGGGGAATCAGGTGATCTTATGCCTAAAAAGTTGTATTGTATACGTTAAATTTACTAACCAAACTTTATTTCCTTTTTCAACGCAAGTTATATAATAGGTTGAGAAGTAAGAAGAGGTAATGAGGGTTTGATAAAATTTAGTAGTAGCTGTTTTCAATTAGGCTTCGCCTAGGTGATCCTTAAAATCACTGTGAGTTTAAAATCTATATTTATTACTCTTGCTACATTGGCTATAGTAATATGGTAGGAAAAAGTTTATTAGGGGGGTATTAAAGCCTAAAGAGTAGTTTTTTATTGATTACGGTAAGCATACAGTAAAATTTGTCCTAGCCCTAGCCCAGAGCCCTAGCCCAGAGCCCTAGCCCAGAGCCCTAGCCCAGAGCCCTAGCCCAGAGCCCTAGCTCAGAGCCCTAGTCCAGAGCCCTAGTCCAAACCATAGCCCAGAACTCTAGCTCAGAGCCCTAGCCTTTTAGCCTTAGCCCCACAGCCCTAATCCAGAGTCATAGCCCCGTAACCCTAGCCCCTAAGTCCTAGCCCCAGAGTCTTAGCTCCAGAGCCTAACCCCAGAGCCCTAGCCTATCACTTTTGTCTCAGCCTTAGCCTTCTTACCCTTTCTTTATGCTTATACAGTACTCCACTCCATAGTTTGAAAAAACCTATAGATTAGTGTTTTACAAATTTTTTGTTGTGATAATATTATTATAGTTTATATAATCGTCACATGTTTTGGAAGAATTATGTTTTATCAATGACATCTCAACACAAATTATTTTTTTTATATGAAAATCAAAAATGAAAAAAAAAAATGTTTTAAAAGCTAAATAAAGTAATGATAAAACGCAAAGTAAAAAAAAGTTAATACGATAATATAAACTTGTCTATGACATACTTCTTAGCCTCTAATTCTTAAGGCAAACAATGGAAGATAGTTTTTTGAGTAGTATGTTGTTTGTAACGTATTAGTATCAACATAATACGTTCTAGGAAAGTAATTTTGCTAGTCAATTACTAGTTCTTTTGGTACCAAAACATGTTTCATAGTATAAAATGTCAGCTGTAGTACGAAAACATGTTTCATAGTATAAAATGTCAGCTGTAGTAGGAAAACATGTTTGATCGTATAAAATGTCACGTTTTGCTTCAAAAACACATTTTATCGTATAAAATGCCACTTTTGGTACCAAAACATTCTTCACCATATAAAATGACACTTAATAGCTATATTGATATTATTATAGATATCAACGTTGATATCGTCCCAACTCCCTGAATACTTTATATTATACATGTTTATTCATAAACAACTAAGTTCCTGGTCCTTCCTTCACTATTAACTTTTATATTCTCCATGTCTTCATGATTAATATCGACCAGTTGATACTCGATAATGAAACCCTTGTCTTCGTATGTTCGGTCACTGATAAACTCTATCATGACATGTTTCTTGCTCAAGTAAATTGGGTTTACTGTAGTTTTTCCACAAAGACGAGTTTTTACTTGCCAGTTACCGTAATCTTCGTCTCTTTCTGATATTTCGATGTAATCGTAGTCACAGTTCTCATCTGCTTCTAAAGTGAAGTGCTTGAAACTTATACGGATTACTGTAGTTTTTTGGTTTTGAGCATTTTTAGATACTGTAGTGTCTTGGCTTTCTTTATCTTCAGTGGTTACTGTAGCTTTTGGTTCTTGAGGGTGCACTATATGATTTACTGTAGTTGATGGATTGATAAGCTCCCATTGACAATTAGTAGATGGTAGATAAGTAGCGTCACCAAAGTTGGTATGGGAGTAGATGTAGCTTACTGTCCTTTCTACTAACATCTCTCCACCGCATTCTAAAATACGAAAAAAATAGGCTTTGTTCTGCCCTACCCTAATTTACCCCCGCCCTACCTTATCCTACCCTACCCTTTTTATCTTGCTCTACCCTGCACTATTCTAGCCTATTGTACCCTACCCTAGCCTACAATACCTTAAAGTACTCTACAGTATCTTACCATATTCTACCGTATCCGATCCTACCCTATCTTACCCTACTCTACCATAAACTATCCTACTGTACCTTAATCCACCGCATTCTGCGCTACCTTACTTAATTCTACCCTACCTTACTCTAACTTGACATATCCTACCGTACCCTATCTTACCCTAATTTGCCGTATTCTAATCAAATCAATCATACCTTACCATATCCCACCCTGTCTTATTAGGTTGTTCACTTAATTTCGTGCCCTTTCTCAATGCGAATTCGCGGAATTATGTAGCACAGAATTATGTGAACAACCCAACATGTACTACACTTTCTTTAAAGGGCCGGTATTCACACTTACTGGAGCTAAAAGAAGCATTGAAGCCATGTGTCTTCTCATTATTTTTCAAAAACAAATTCAATAAGAGCTCATTGCCACTTGAAATGAGAGTTGGTGGACGTATGCTTCCACAAAGGTTACCAATCAACTTTGATAACAATTTATCAGCTCCATCATATACATCAATATGGTCTTTGCCGCAATTTGTAGGTGTTCCTATGTTGAAGTAGTCAAATTTCTGAAAAAAAAGGTATGGTAGGATAGAGTAGAGCAGAGTAGGGTAAGACATGGTATGGTAGGGTAGAGTAAAGTAAAGCTTACCAAAACCAACTGATGACCAGGCATAGTAATCAAATGGTATGTACATTCTCCTCCAAACATACGACCCAACTGTTCGTTACTATTAATAACTCCAAAAGCTTCATTAATTTCTACAGTACACTTCTCTTCCCTACATGTCAACCCATCCTCGGTTAGTACCATATTTGCAGGGCAGGTGCATCTAAATGTAGATAGCAGGTTCTCACAGTTATGTGAGCACCTTCCTGTCATACACTCATTTACATCGAATGTAAAGTTGAGGTAGAAGCCTTGTTTTTGCATTGAAGAGTCTGAGTTGAATTCCAGGATTACTGTAGATGTTGGTTGGTCGACTTGGGTTACGGTAGGAAAGATTACGTGCTTCTTAGCTACAGTAAGAAGAATTTGATCATTTTCGGTTACGGTAGGTGTATGCCGATTACTTTGGGGTACTGTAGGGTATGGTTCGTCTGTTTGGATTACTGTAGAAGCTGGTAGGCCATTTTGAAGTACTGTAACTGATAAATTTTCATTTTGGTTTACAGTAGAGTAAGGTATGACATTTTGGGGTACTGTAGAGTGAAGTATGTTATTTTGGTATACTGTATTTGAAGACCTGTCTCTAAGATCTACTGTATCCAAAGCTCCATCGTTTTGAAGTACTGTAGATGGCAATATGTCATCATAATTCCCCATAATTCTGTATTTCGTATCACTTTTTGATGTAAAATACAGTGTGGACAATTTAGTCTTACTTATAGATGATTTAAACTGTAGAGTAGAAGTCTCATCTCCACACAGTTTTATAAACGTCTGATTTCCAGCTATGTCAATATTACTAATCTTCAAGTAATCGTAGGTACATTCCGAGTTCAGACCTTCAATCGAGTAATTGTGGATGGAAAGAAATATCTGAAAATGGCATTTTTTAATTTTTAAAAGCTTTAAAAAAATGAAAAAAAAATTTGGCCGTGAGAGTACCGGTGGAATTAGAAGGTAAGGTATGTAGTGAAGAGTAAGGTAATGATAAAAGTAAACTTGGATATTGTAAGGCGAGGCAGAATACATAAAAGCAGTAATAGGGTAGAGTAAGGAGAGTATGATAAGATAGGGCAGTACAAGACAAAAAAAGCCAGGGTAGATTAGAGTATGACAATTTATGATAGCGTAGGGTAGGTAGCATTACACGACGTTAATATGGGATAGGACGAAGCGGGTCACGGCAAAGCAGGCTAGAATAGAGTAGAGCCGGCCACAGTATGATAGGGTAGGGTAGGGTAGGGTAGGGTAGGGCAAAGCACCAAATATAAAAAATTCCTACCTGATATCCCTCAGGCGCTCTCAATTCCCAAATACATTTCATATTAGCTTCATAAACCACAGGCCAATTAGGACTTGTAATAACACCAGAAAAAGCAGTGATTACACCTCCACAGGTTTCTGTGCAAGAGTATCTATCATCGTGCAGCTTGTAGCCATTATAACATTGACAAACGTATCCTCCAATCTGATTTATGCAAATTTGGTCGCATTTATTAGCTCCAGATAGGCATTCATCAATTTCTGAAAATTTGTGTATTAGTACTGTAAACCAGTACTAGTTACAGGCAGTACTATGTAAATAGTGAATGTACTATACAGTACTACATCGATACTCAGAGTCCTATGCAGTACTACGGGTGATATCAAGAAACAATAAAGCTATATAACACAATAAGTACCTTCTTGTAATATGCAGTACCAAATTTTGATATATTGGTACCGAGGGTACCACGTCCCAATACTAGTAGTATATTGTAATACCATGTAGTACTATGTAGTTTACATGGTACTATATAGTACCAGACAAACTATATTGTACTACATAGTGCTAATTCTACTGAACTATACCAAACGTACCATGTTTTACTAGTTTTAGTCTATTTAGTACTATACAGAACCAAGAAGAAAAACGTTGTACCTTTAACAAACTCCAACTGAAACCCATGTTTTTGAATCGACCGGTCAGTTATCAGCCGCACAACCATTTCATTTGAGTACTTTGTGGTAATCTCTGATGGTAGTTCCGTTCCACATAAACTGGCCAAAACGTCAGATTTGTTGCTATAGGTCTCTTGTATTTCCAACCGGTCGTATAGGCAGTCTTTCTGGGGTTCTACCTAAATGTTTTTATATATTAAGGTTTACCTCTAACCCTACCCTTACTCAAGGTAAGGGCGTATCAAAAAGAAAAAACTTAATTGAAAATAGTGAAACTTGACCGAGACCCGGTAGCCAGAAGGCACCCTGATCACCCAAACACAAGTCGTATTTCCATCGTATAAATTAGGCCAGTTTGGTGATTCTAGCAGGCCTTTTGATGCTTCAATCAGTCCTCCACATTCAACTAAAAACAAGTTTAGATTTATTAGTGGGCGGGGTAATTTTAAATTAACGGGAGTAGAAGTAATGTTCAAGTTAACAGAAGAATAGAGGTCAAGGTAGGAGTAGGGGTAAAAAACAAGCTAATTTTAAGTAGGGAGCGGGGTAATTTTAGGGGAGGGAAAAGTAAGAAATTAAAGTAGTCGCAAGAGTAAGATTTGGATTAGGAGTAGAGGTAAGGGTAGAGGTAAAAAACTGTCCACCCCCCCCGGATCTTTGCTAATTTAAAAAAACAAGTCAAAACAAGCTTGTCATAAAATTACCTTTAAACTCTCCGAAATCCACCTTATCCATCCTACGAACCACCCTCAGTTCCAACAATACTGTAGCAGTGTATACTGTAAAACTGACCATTCCTTCACTTCCATCGCAGTATTGTTTCAAAATTGGTGATTTCAGGCTACCACCCTTTCGTATCTTCAGCAACTCAATCGTATTTTGATGACAATTGACCGTATTTGACAGTATTTGTGATAGATTCAACAATAATTGTATGTGCTGACCTTCTGATGCTATTACACGCCATATAAAGTCAGTACAGTAGGGTTGGGTAGAGAAGGTGGCGGTTGACGATGAGAATGTTTGAAAACATTCTGAAATTAGCCATTATTAGATTTATGAATACCCTACCCTACCCTACCTTACCCTACCCTACCCTACCTTACCCTACCCTACCCTACCCTACCCTACCCTACCCTACCCTACCCTACCCTACCCTACCCTACCCTACCCAACCCTACCCGACCCTACAATATCTTACTCTTACCCTACCCTTGTCACCACCCCAACCGTAATAGCTAATACCCGCCCTACCCTACCTTAGCCATGCTCCACCCAAGCCCTATCTAACATGACCCTGCTATGCCCCACTTTACTCTTGACATTCCCTTCCCAACCATTGCTATATATATTCTGGTCATCCTTACTCGATACCCTACCTTACTATACTCTACAAACTCTTACCCAACCTCATCCAACCCTACCCTACCTTACAAACTTACCCTACCTAACCCTACCCAACAAAAACTTCCAAACACCGCCCAATTTAAACCTACTTGGACACTGATAAAGCTTGTTAGCTTGTCGGATGTCTCCTCGACTCAGCTCCACTCTTTGTCCAATGAATGGTGCTATTTTGTGGCTATAAATGCCTTTTGGCCTGATGGTGTCAACTCCCTTGTTGATCGAAAAGGTGTCTCTTGAGTAGTGCATAATCGAGTGATAATCGTAAGTTTCGTGCAGAGAATTGATTTCCGAGGATTTTGCTTTATCAAAATTATAGTGTTGGCCTGGAAATCCGTTTTTAATTTTAATTTTTTAAATTTTAAATTATTTTTTGTTTATTTTTGACTAGTTTTTGCTTAATATCGAATTAAAAAATGGCTTAAAACAAGACAAATCGGCTAAAAAAGAGGCTAATACACCAATATTTAGCGACATGTCGGCTTAAAATCAGTCATATTAAACTTAAACCAGTTTTACCACACCCAAATATACTGCAAAATCTTCATCATAAACTACGCTACCCACCAATACCTACACCATTTCAAAATTCTTCCAAAAAACCCGTAATAACTAAAAAACATCAATACCTACCTGTCAAGATGTTGTCATGGATAATATCGACGAAATCATCTCGATCAGGCCGTGTATGCTCGTGCCAAAAGCCGACAACATGACCAATTTCATGCACCACAATACCCAGTTTGTCACAACGCTCTCCAATTGATATTATTTGAGCTCCACCACCTTTTCGACCAACGTGCGAACAGCACCTACAACAATATCGCAAATGTGACGTAACTTTTTGAATTATTGTTGGAAATGGTTGGTATTTAGTTTTTATTAGAAAATGAAGTATTTTTAATTTTACTAAATAAATTTTTAGAATTTTATTTCATTTATAAAGGCACAACGTCTAGGAATTTATAGGTAACGACATTTTTCCAGCCAAAAATTAAAAATGCCATAACTTTTTGGAGAATAAAAAAAATTTTTATTTTATTTTAGAAACTAGAGAGGTTTTAACGTATTGTTTCGTATTTTACATATTTACGACGTTTTGCTTTAGTATAGTGATTAATCTTTGTAGGTAACCCTATTCCAAAAAAAATAACAAAATATTTTTAAATGTGCCATAACATTTTTACACTAAACAGGACGCAATGTATTTTATCCTGCCCTACCCTACCCTCCCTGCCTAAAACTTTTTGAAAAAGTTAAGGTATATCCTAGTCCACTTCTCCATCTTTCTTTATCCTACTCTAATCAGCCCTGGACTATGATATCCCACCTTACTTTACCGTATCTGACCCTATTCTACTGTATTCTCTTCAACACTACCTTGCCTTATCCATTATCCTGGCAAAACCCTACAACAAACTGAACAAACATAGCCTACCCGCACTTATCCGGTGTGAACCATATGTAATCCTTGTGAACTTTGTTGTCGTATGGTTGGAATGTTATACATGTCCGCTCCATCCAATGTAACATGGCGGCATGGAACAAACGTTTGTACGGTCCTAGGATACTGGAAATGTTAGAGAGAATGATTTTTTGTTTTAAAAAATTGTTTTCAAGTTTTAAAAAAATTTTAGTTTGAACGCAAAATTTTTTAAAAAATCATAATTTAAGGCTAGCCTGACCTTGTTAGCCAAGATCTTGTTACATTAGCTTATTCGAGTAATTCTGAGCCCCATAACTCCCAAAAACTGGTTTGGAGACAAGCTCAGAATTATTTGAACAACCTAATAGTAATAAAACAAATAGTACTTACCATCGTAGGTATTGTTGATAGAATAAGGTATAACTCCACCTTCCCAAAGCCGCTCCCTGTCTGATGTCACTGCTCGTCGAATACGGCTTTCAGAGGTTGATATGAGTAACAGCAACGTAAGAAAGGTAAGAAAGTTTACGTAAAATGGCAGTAACATCTAAAAAAACCATGTTCACATAATTCTGTGCCCCTAACTCCAAGAAAGTTAACTTTGAAAAGGGCACAGAATTATTTGAATAACCTGTTTTTAAAAAAATCATCTGTTTGAGTAGCCCGAACGGCCCCATTAAGTTCCATGCTGATTGGGAGCACTAAATTTTTTGAACAACTTTTACCGTAAAAAGCATAAAAAATCCCAATTTCACTCAATATTTTACCCAAATACAGCTGAAAAAGTTGTTTTTAGCGCGGAATAAAGTTGAATTCGAGACAAAAAAGCCCAGATGTGTATATAATTAGATTGATTTGGGGAAGAATGTGGTCCGAGCTAGGAATTGAGCCGTTTTCGAACATGGCATTCGATATCATTGATAAGATATGCGTGTTTTTGAGGTTTTACCATTAACTTACGAGCCGTTTGTTAGTTATATCTTATAAAGCATTACCTATATCTTAAAATGCATTACGTTTTTACTGCTTTTCCCTCAATATAACTATAAGATTTTACCTCAAAAAGTTTACAAATGTCCCAAAAAAACGAAAAATTGGTCCAAAAATTACCTAAATTTCCCAAAATCACCCCAAATTCCATCAAAAAATCAAATTTACTATGTATTCTGTAACACATTAGTTAAGTTATGCTAATTTAAAGCCAAAATGTACTAAAATAAACTGCTATTAACAAGATGAGGCTTTGGCATTCGCTGGACGGATCGAATTGAAATGCAAATTATTCGGCCGAAACTTTGGGTGGGAGGCGACGTGGACCACCGCCCGGCGCTCGGGGCCGTACCACGGGCTTGGCTTCGGTGTGAACGACCGGTCGAACATATGAGGAGAGAGCTTCGGCGTCCAACTTTTCTCGGGCGTCGATTTCGATCTGAATTTATATATTGGTTTTAGGTAAGAAAAGTAACTATAAAAAAACATTTTGCAAAAAAAGTTTTTGCCATTTTTTGCTTTGTAAAGAAAATTTTTGTCATTTTCTGTTTTTTAAACAAACTTCTTGCCATTTTTCGTTCAATAAAGAAAGTTCTTGCCATTTTTTAGTTTGTAAAAAAAAGTTCTTGCACTAAAAAGCTCATTACCTAGCTCTTTAAACCTAAAAATACAAAAAAATAATGAAAATCGTAAATCCTCACCTTCTTCGTGACCTTTACTCCACATTCGTTCATGACTTCACTGACGAATGGCGCTTTACACGATGAGAACAACATAAGCTCCTTGATTGTGCATGAAGCTGATGGTGGGACAGAGTAGATGAAGACTGAAATGATGCTTTAAATAATAAATGATTAATACATATAAGCAACAAAACTATGCCTATCCGTATTTTACCTTATACAATGCTTGCAGCATTTAAAAGTGGTAAAAATAGCTTTAAAACCTTAAAAACTTGTAAAAATCTCAAAAATTTTTTATATTATCCACAAAAACCTAATGATTCTTCCATTTAAATCAAACTAAAAAACATCTTACTAGACCACACGTATTTTACAACCATCTAAAAACGTATATCAACCCAAAAACCGCTTTAAACTTCAAAAAAATCCAAAAATCGAATAGTATCCATAAAAACTCGACCATTGACCAACGTTCTTCGATGTAAATCAAAAACTACAAATCCCATATCACTGTAAACTACCAAAACTTACAAACAGGCTCTCCTTCAGCTTCCCTTAATCTATAGAACGTATAACGAGGCTTTTGTCTTGAGATATTGGCATTGAGTTGGGATGCATCCAACTGATTCTTGTGGCTTTCCAGCTTGATGGCTTCGTTAAGAGTGTCTACAGAAAGCTGAATAAAATCAATATTGCCTTCAGCAAATTGTCTTAGAAGTTCAATTGCATCTTGATCAATTGGAAACTGCATTCCACCCAATAAGGCCTGAAATTATATTGTTTTAGATCAGTTCAACGTTATTTACGCCAAAACCAGACATCTTTATCAACTTTTGTGAAGAAATATCAAAAAAAGTTCTTCACAAAAAGCCAAACATTAAATAAAAATCAACAATCAACAAAAAAACGTACCTTATTTCCCTGAGGCTGTGGCAGTGTGATCTTATCCTTGGCAACAGTACTCAACTCCCGTTCAATATGAGTGTATGGCAAATCGGATGAACTTGAATGACTTGGAACACTCTCAATCTTAGGTCCAGCCAACTTCTTTTCAATCTTATCCAAGGTGAGTTCGTTCTTGTTCGACACTTGTACATCATATCTAATGTAACTCACTCCAAACTCATTTTTAAAGGTAGCTTTTGTTGCTGCCAACAGCATTTTGTCCTTGATTGAAGCTTTGTCATCCGCAAAACTAAAATTTTAAGTAAATTTGACGTTTTTCGTACCTAAAAATGCAAAAAAAAGCAAGAAAATATTGTTTACCTGACCAACAACCAATCGTGATTTGTTTCGACTCTGAACAAAATGAAACATGGTTCATATGAATCCACACAGTTTGGCAAGTTAGCCGACCAATCAGCCTTCCAATCCTTTGATGGAGCTACATGGAAGTTTACTGAGATTCGTTCTGCAAAGAAAAAATGGTTAAACTTGTGAATATAGGTAGTGTAACATCGGTTTTGATCAGAAAACTCTATTTTTGAAAACCTTTCGTATAATTTGTGTTAATATCAACTAAAGAAGATCACAAAGAAGCTATAGATACATAAAACTCTTCTAAATTAAAAAGAAAGAACGTCAAAATATATGATTTTATGTAGACCTTTAGTTTAATATACCTTTTGCTTGAAAAATCAACTTATTGGCGTAGCTTATACAAAGTTTAAAAAAAATAATCTAAAGATAATGCCAAAGAAGCTTAGTAACCATCAATACTTGTTAAACCTAAATTTATAGAACAAAAACATTAAAAACTATGTTATCCATACCTTTATTGATCACAAACTTGGCCAATCGGACCTTTTCCCTCTTGCACTCTTCGAAAAACTTCTTCAGCTCGGCATCAGCTAAAATTTGATCATTATAATCGTTCAATATCCTCTAAAATTCGAAAAAATAAACAAGAAATGTAAAACTTACGTTTAATTCCGGTCTGGCAAGCCATTTTTGTCGATTATTAAGTAAAAACTAAACAATATAAGATAGTTCCAAAATCCTCTGTTCTTCTAAACAATCCACAATTTCTCCCTCCTCCTTTGCAGCTAACAAAGCTCTATTTCCGACGGGAATCAGGCCAAACGGATTTTTTAAAACAACCACCACTTCTTCCTTTTTATTTATCGATCCGCAGCGGGGTGGAAAGCAAGCCCAAGGCCACAGATGGACAGACAACTGACCGAACGGCTCTTCAAGTAGCTTTTCGAGATTCCCGACAAAGATCCCAATCTCCGTTTGATGTTGTTTTGTTATTCTGCAATACGAATTCACCTGTTTTGGACGGGGAAACAAGAGTTAATCGCTTCGATGAGCAAGAACAACTCGAAAAAAGGAAGTTAAACACGTTTTACGCTCGAAAACTTGAACAAAACCTTGATATTAACAAAGAAAAAGGTGTTCGCCTTTATTCTAAACATTAAAAAGTTTAGATATCTTATGGAAAGCTTCTGAAAGCATTAAAACTTTAAAGGTATAGCTATCAAAACATACCCAAAAATTACCTATAATAATTACCCAGGTATGAAAAATGGTTTGAAAGAAAAAATATCAAAAATTGAAACTCCCACTTATTATAAGAACAAAAAAGTCGTTATCTACAACAAAGTTTTGTAAAATTTACATTGTTTCATTCGACATCTCACCTCTAAATTGGTCCCGCAACGACAGATTTCCGCGAATATTTTAGGGTTTAAAAGCGAGGAAAATAAAAATTCGAGAAAAATCAATTACTTGCTTATTTATTGTGGTAAACATGACGGACACGACAACAAGATCATCGATTACATTAAAAGGATCAGCCCAAATGGTCAAGGAGTTTTTTGGTATGGTTTTTGGTTGAAAATTTGCTTAAAATTTTAGTAAAAACGCAATTTTTAAGGGGATTGTAGGCTTTGGATCAGACGAACTGACGGAAAACGTTGTCTTTTTGACAGCTCTCGGTTATTAGAAGCAAGATTAGGGTTTTAAATTGGTTTTTACAGATTATGGCATTAATAGCATATTGTTTCAACGAGGAATCTACCCGCCAGAGATGTTTGTCAAGGAAAAGAAGTATAACATGGCACTGATGGTTACTAAAGACGAAAAACTACGAAATTACTTGAATCCTTTGTTGAAACAAGTTGAATGTGAGTTTTTATTATATGTTTTTACTATTTAGAGCACAAAATAAAGTATAAGTTAACTGGAAACGTTGATATTAATCGAGACAACATTAATATCTTAAAAATAAATTTTCAGACTGGCTATCCATGAAACGCGTGAAACGATTAGTTCTGGTGATTCAGGATGTCAAAACGAAGGAAGTGTTAGAGCGTTGGGAGTTTAACATCGAGACTGATGAATCCTTTGGGTGAGTAATATAAAGCTTGATGTGTAATATTCGTTTAGAGAGGGACAAGCAAAGGAAGTGTGTGAGAAGCGAATCAAACAGGAGATTTCTGACGTCTTAAAGTATGTTTTACATTTTTCTTACTGCTATTGGTATTTGTTTTACCTTTTTTTGGGTTTTTGATGATATAGTAGCTTTCAAGTCAAGTGTTTTAAAATTGTGTTTTTTAGACAAATAGTGTCATGTGTCTCCTTCTTGCCTATCATTGAAGTTGATTGTTCATTTGACGTTCTCATTTTCGGAAAACACCTCGAAAATGATGAAAATCTCCCCGACGATTGGGCCGATTCTACAGCACGGAACATTGTAGATGCAGAAGAAGTGGACCTACGTCAATTCTCGACCAATGTTCATAAAGTTGCCACAAAAGTGCAATACAAGGCGGATTGTTGAATGTAGATGGAGATGTAGCCGAAAACAAATTGGGTGTAGATATTAACCATGCTCGCAATTATTAACCAATAATTTTTTAGAATCTCCGTTATTATTTTATTACCTCGAAGGAAATAAATGATCTTATTTTAGGCTTATTGAGCTTTTTGGGATGATGTTAGGGTGGTTTTTGACTTTTAATTTTTTTGATGATTTTAAGCCTAATTTTAGTGTTTTAAAGCTTGTTTTTGATGGTTCTTGCTCGTTAGGCTTATGTTAGTCAGCTTTTAGGCTTATCTTAGTTAGCTTTTAGACTTATGGTAGCCATTTCTTACTTAGTGCTTTCTTGAAATTTCAGCATGATTTATATTGTTTTAAGACTTTTTCTACCATAGCCGCTGCTAACATAAGTTTCAACTCTAATCACGTTGTTATTGATCCCCCAGACTGTTCCGCTTTGCAATTTACTCAGAATTTGGTATCCGAATTGTTATGTGACAAAACTTATCCAATTGTTTTGGTCGGACTTTCGAGCCGGCTTAAACTTGGGCTGATACATCAGCCAATTTAAGGGCTTTAAATAGCTGGGATTGCATGTTATTTTAGGTAATGCACTAGTGGTTTTGCTGCGTTCATTTCGACATTGGTGTACTGTAACTGGTTTTTATAACGAGATATTGGTCTTGTGTATTGTAATTGGCTTTCACAGATAGATATTGGTGTTGGAGTATTGTAACTAAACTACTTTTTGTAACTTAGTACTGTAACAAGTACAGTATCTGATACAAATATCGTTATTCAAAGTCTACAGTACCTTGCTATCTATAACTTCATTTTTACTCAATAAAAATTATGTACATCTCTGTTTTACTCCTCTTATCAACCTTTATATTCACCTACAACACCGCCGTCCTAAGCCCCTTCAAAGATGCCATCGAAGGCATTCCAGACTCAGATAAAGAGCAAATAAACGCGATTCTGATGAATCCAAACGCTACTAAAGGTGAAATCAAGGACACCATCGATGGTATAGTCAATAATCTACCTAATCAAACATTGATTGATGAGATAAAGAATCAACGTAAGGTATTACAACAAACATATGAAACAGAGCTACAACAACGTCTAGCCAACGCTTCGGCCGATGCTAAGGCGCTCAATGATCAGGTTCAGGTAGGGTAAATTTTTAATTTGAATTCATTACTGTAGGTGTTTGTAGAATTGATTGCTATGCTGAAGCTAAGGCTACACCGATGACTAGACATAAGATTAGGGCTAAGTTGAGCACTCGCAGTAAATGGTTGGGTCGTTTTACATCGAGGCAAACATTACATTAGCCCTAAAAATTATATAAGAAAACGTTACGCAACCAGGTTTCTTGCAATTTCTCTAAGGCTATATTGAGGTATTATAAGATTAGGTAACTTCGAAGAACTTTTTTGCTTTTTTTTTATTCCTGAAAGTATGCTATGTTAGAGTAAGAGAGTAAAGAAGGTAGAGAAATGCTAAGGCAAAAACGCTCAGGCTGAAACAAAGGCTCAGTCTCATACTCAGTCTTAAGCTCAGGATCAGCCTCGGGCTAAAGTTAAGGCTCAGACTCATGCTTAGGCTTAAGCTAAGTAAGGCACAAGTTAGAGCTCAAGCTGAGCCAAAAGTCATGCTTACTCTCAAGCTAATGTGAGGCTCAGACTCTCAACCTCAAGATAAACCTAAAGCTCAGGCTGAAGCCAAATGCAACCTCAACATCACGTTCAAGCTAAAGATAAAGCTAAAACTAAAGAGTAGAGTAGGGCTATATCTAAAGCTAAAGGTCCTTTAAACTTTCTTATACCAATAATTTGCTATATATAAATAAGTAAACTACTGTAACTTTGTACCTTCCAGGCCCTTCGGAACAACGACTCTCTGACCCGCCAAGCGACTTGTGAAACAATTCAAGATTTAGTGAAAAATGCTTCAAAATCAGTTCAAAATGAACTCGGACTAAAGCCACATCCATGTACTTTTGCTTCTAAAGGGCTTGGCCAACAACAATATCCAGATGCGTTCAGTCGAAGACCATTTTCACATCCACCTGGCTTCACTCGAGCTTCTAGAATCCCCAACTTTTCTAATGGAATATCCTTGGCTGCTAATGGCTTACTAGAGCCATCTACACCATCCCTACCCGTCTTAGGCCAAGCTGCTTCAACTAGTCCACCCTTGGGCCAATCCACGCTAGCCTTTCCAGATTTAGTCCAGTCTAGCCCGGGAATTCTACCTCTAGGACTATCTACACCTTTACCGTCTGAACTCAGCACATTCAATGCGATTGGTATGGTATCTGAGCCATCAAGTCTTGGTAGTGAGGTTCTTAAGCGAAAAACTTCTGGAGCACCTGGGTTGCCTGGTATATCAGTGTCGCCAGCTTTACCATCGCTATCATCACATCTACCTCCACTTGGACTAGAACTATCAACCCCACCACCAGTTGGACTAGGACTATCCACCCCACCTCCAGTTGGACTAGGACTATCTACCCCATCTCCAATAGGACTAGGACTATCAACTCCAGAAGCCAATATTGGCCTTCTACTATCATCGGCGGCTACACCAACTACTGGAAGTTCAGAAATCGCTGTCAGCAATCCCTTTGAAATCCTTGGCTCAACTACAGCTGAATAACTCTAAACGAATGGCTACAGTGTGGTATTTACTGAATATATTATATATAAAAATACAGTTTGATAATAATCTTTAAAAATTATGTCTAGAAGTAATCAATAAAGTTATGTATTAGAAAAGCAGCCGTAGGACCGATTCACAAAATTTAAGTCGTGTCTTAGAATTGATTCGCAGAAGGTCCAACTGATGTAAACCAAAGCGCTAGAGATATGGCTAGTGGTAATGCCAAAGCTAAAACTATGAATGGACTATATAGAGCTACAGGTAAGTATAAGGCTAGGGCTAAGGCTAGGGCTAAATTTAAGGCTAAGGGTAAGATTGCGAGTAGAGCGAATGCTAAGCCTAAGGTTAAGGCTAGAGTTAACACTAGTATTAAGGCTAAAACTAAGGCGCAAGTTAAGGCTCAGGATCAAGCTCACACTAAGTCTAAGGCTAGAGCCAAGCACAAGACTACACAGTGCGCCAAAACTTCTGTTACAAAACTTTACCGGTCGTTTTCTCTATGTTGCTAAGACTAAATCAAAACCCTACTATCAAAGCCGGGCGCTGGTGAGGGGGGGGCGGTGGACGCCCCCCCCGAAAAAACTTTTTGAAAAAAGTTGAACGTGGTCTCCTGTTGATTTTTCGAAACAATTTTTTCGACCCCCGCCCCCAGACCAAAAGTGGAGTCCGGCCCTGCCCTGCCTACCATACAATCTATTCAAAACAAGCTCGACAATCAAAGCATTGTCATATTCACCGACATAATAAGGTAACCCTTCACTCTTTCTCCTTACACCCTCTTCCCAGCGTTGTCCCTAACCCGGACGAAGCTAACCCTTAACCCCCTCCTCGCTCTTCCCATCAACACTGATTGTTCACTTTCCAATCCTTTCACCTATCTCTTTTACATCCAACATCATATACATATATACATATTGGCGCCTATTTTAAGCTATAGCTTTCTTACGCGGTAAAGTTAATATTATTTTCATTAATATAAACTTATTTTTGTTTAACTTGATCCTTTTATTTTATAAAGTATACGTCTATAGAGATCTCCTCAAGTGTGACAGCAAGTGTTGTCATCAGAATCTTTGGATCAATGTCTGTAAAAACAGTACAATACAAGTTTGATTGGTTGGTAAGGCAATTTTTGATTTTTTAAAAATATTTTACTAACTTTTAAATTGAAATTAAAAGCTTTTGTTTTTTGAAATTAAAAAAAAATTTTTAATTTTAAAAAAACAAAAATATTGTTTTAGTTATGGAGCTACTTGGTCGATAACACCGACGACTTGGACACGTTATATAAGTTAAAGTTGGCTTCACATAAACGAATTGAATGCCCAAAGCTGACAAGACTGTTATCATCGTTACCATTCACAGACTATTGCCAACAAGACCATCTTTATGTGAAAAGCAAAGAAGAAGCTCGTGAAACGTTTTTAAAGTAAGTTTGTCTTAATTAATACGCTTACAAATTTAAAATTGCGAGTTTATTCGAAGATTTTCTATCATTATATTAAACGAAAATAGTTAAAAGTTAAAAAATGACAAAGTTATAAGCTTGAAACACTATGCCAATTTAGCTGGAAATTCAAAACGCGACTTTTTGATCTCTATGTTCTCAAGTCTGGCCGCAAACCGCAACTTAGAATTTTGCATAAGGTCTTACATTTACATGATCTTTCAATAAAAAACATTTATTTAATCTGAGCGTTGCAGGTCGGGTACCTTCCTTGTTAGTTGGGTACTTTCCTTGTAAGTGAATCATTAAAAAAACTTGTTTCAGTCTTGGACCTGCTTTTTTGGAAAACTACAAAAAACACGAAGTTACGGGCATCAAGAAATGGCTGTCATGCCAAAGCCCAAACTACTATGGCATTCTATACCAAGACCACGGTTGTTTATATCGCCCCATAGAGAACAGTTTCGAGTATGCACTGCCTGTTAGCCAATTGCCTTACGATGAAAACATAAGCTACAGTTTGGTTTACCGTGAACGTCATCGTTACCTTCAACAGCTCTATCTTACCATGTTCGACACGAGAACACACGAAATGAGGGTTAAAAGAGTTGAGGTAATAGAACGTTACGCTACCGTATACAGTAGAACTGTGCAATTTCCTGAAGACTGTTTACAGAGTAACGGCACGGTTTACTGTAGACAGACTCGTCAAATGTATGACATGTTTTTTTTCGGATGGTTTGATTTTAATATTGATGGTAATGTCATCTACTTTGAATGTTGCTATGATAAGTACGGGAGCAGAACGTTGGTATTTGAAGTAGAGGTTGAAGGAGAACATTATGTTAGGCTGTTTAATGAGGCAGCGGAGGTCAGGTTTAGTATGCCAGTTAATGAATATCACATGTCAGCGCAACCTTGTTATATTGACAACCCTAACAGTAGCTATGGTGGGTACTTCATGCTTTATAATGGTAGGTATACGCTTTAAATTCCTGTGTTATAACAATATAATAGACAGTCAATAATAAAACAAATAAACCACCCTAATAACAACTACCTAATTACCATTATAATGCCATTACTTTTAGACCTTAAAAACACAGTTATGCTTTACCACTGCGATACTGAAAAGCAATTGATTTTGAAGAGACCATTGATGACATTTGGTCACAATATCATAGTCAACACTGACCTGGGACGAGTAAGTAACGACCACCTCTATTCATATTATACTTCTTGGCAAATTTCAATAACTTAGCCCAACCCTCAATATAAAATAGAATAAGCAACAAAAGACGTCTTTTCATACATTATCCACCTTTCTTACAGGTTGTGTACTACAATGACATTACCCAAACATGGAATTTCTACTCCCGAACAGTTAAAAAAATGATTGGCTACCAAGGAGAGACACTGAACATAGACAGATGGAATAATGGAGAACGAGTACTTGTAACAATACTGAGCAACACCGGTGATGTGATTCAATACCTACTCTTTATCACCGTTATCGAAGGTACTTTTTCAAAAATTATTTTACCTGCGGCGGAGCCTCTGTATAAGGAACCTCTATATAACAAACAACTTTTGAATCCCCTAGCAAATCGTTATTTAAAGGTTTCACTGTATTATGCTTGATTTCTATAATTTTTTGATTCAGTACGACAGCTCAAGCTCACTAAAACCTTTTATTTTAGGCAGCTTGCTTTATAAATCGTGGAAAATAGCATCGACTTTAACATTTACCTCCGAACGGTGACAAATAGGCATAAACGTTAATTACAGTGTATCACCTATATCATCAAACTTCCCCATAACAGATTCGAATACAGTTAAAATATAAAGTAAAATAACACGTCTGACTTAAAATATTATCTTCATTTCAAAGAAAAACAACAGTATTTATACGCAGCAACAACAAATTAAAAAAACAAGTAAGACTGCGCAGTGCACACTTTAGTTCCAGCCGCTGCCGGAAGCTCCCCATTCGGTGGTGGCGGCTTGTTCTCCTTGACCTTGTGGCTGGTCTGATGAAGCGGCGGCCCAATCGTCGATCTGTTGGAATTTGAAGTCAATCTTCATTGGCTCGGTGCCGGGGATTCCGGTGGTGAAGTCCTCTTGTCTTGTGTTTCCAGCATCGAAAACGTCACGCTTGTCCTCGGTGGTCTCACCAGCCTCCTCCTTCTTGGTCTCTTCTGGGTCACGGTAGAAGTACAAGTCAGGCATGATGAGCTTGTCTTCCAACACGAATCCGGTAGAGCGAGAGATCTTGCCGCGGAGTTGGAGAACCTCACGGGCCAAGAACCACCACAAAAGACCGGTGGATTGGATACCCTAAAAAAGCCAAATTAAGATTTCAAATAGACCAATTATAATATAAATTAGATTCTAAGTATCCCATGCCATACTATTATATTTGAATTTTCAGCTAACAGAAGGCAATAAATTAAACGTTCCATAAATCAAAAGCTTACTGTTGCTATAGTTATTGAAGAGTTTCAAACATAAATAAGAAAACAGCCACAATTTTGTCCTTTTTCATATTCAAACCGGTAAAAACCATAATAAAACATTATTTACCATACTTAAAACCTCAAAAGAAAACTTAAAACAAAAAATCTACCTTGTTGTTGCATGGGATAGCAATATCGACGTGCTTCAATGGCGAGTCAGAGTTGGTGAAGGCAATGACTGGGATGTTGACATACGAAGCTTCAGTGATAGCTTGATGGTCCAGACGTGGGTCGGAGACAACGATGAGACGTGGCTCACGGAAGTTCTTTTGGATCTGATTGGTCAAAGAACCGGGAACGAAACGGCCGAAGATTGGTGTAGCTCCAGTGTGAGCAGCGTACTTCAGCAAAGCACGTTGAGCGTATTCGCGAGACGATACGACGCACACATCGGCTGGGTTTTCGACGGCAGCGATGGCACGAGCGGCCAACAACAGCTTCTCCCAGGTCTTGGCAACGTTGATCAAGTAGGTACCTAAAATAACAAAAATATTGTAATCAACAATAGAATTTAATAAGGTACCTAAAAAATCAACTTTATGAAAATTAAAATCCTGAAGACCCCTCCAAAAACTAAAAAAATATTAATCATAACAAAATGTTAATATAAATTAAGATTTTAAAGTTTAGAGCTCTCAAAATTATTCAATTCTTCGCTACAGTCTTCACAAACAGTGTTTTGCCGGACCGGTCCGGATGAGAATTTTTTTCGGTCCGGAAAATTTTTTTTTATTTTTAAAAAAGAGCCAGGAGCGCTAAAACTGCTTTCTTTACGTTTAAAAACTCTTAAAAACATGTAAAAAAAAAATTTTTTTCCGGACCGGTCCGGAACTTTTTTTTCGGTCCGGACCGGACGGGTCCGGCAAAACACTGTTCACAAATATACCTAAAAGCCAAAACAATGTAAAAACAAAGCCTTACCATCAGCACGTCTCTTGTAAACGTATTGTTCGCTTTGGTAGTCGACTTGAGTGGTACCGATGTGCGATTCGCAAGCCAAGAGCTTGAAAGCATCATCAGAGTTAAGCTTCAACTCGTCGTGTCCTCCAGACATGTTGTATTTTAGCTTTTTCAGCTAGTGAACCCACAAACCTGTAAATATAAGCACGAAAATAAAGGAAACTTAAGTATAACAAGATCAAAACACGAATAAATTGTTGTATTTCACAAAAGCTTTAAGAACGGTTTTAGATACTGACAACAATATAATACATCTAATTCAACTTATTACAACCTATATTAACTAAAATAGAATAAAAAACATATTAAAAACCAAATAAAAAAAATAGAAAACCCTCAAAAATTCCATCAAACAGCCCTCAAATACAACATTTTTAAAATTTTTAACAAAATACAAATTTAAATTAAATTTAAAACAACATAACTATTACAATTAACGCACTTTTCAATCAAATTTTGCACAATTTTACTTATCGAAAAGCATAACGTAGGAAATCTTCAATCTTTTTTTCTCTTTTCCACCGTACCCATTTGCGACGGAACGCCAAATCCGATCGTTCGTGGCGGGACCAAATAAATTATCGAATGTAAAAAATTTCGCAGTTCACATCGGATTTTTCATTATTTCCGATTGCCTCAAGGTGACTAATTTGAAATTTGTATTTTAATTTGTTTTTTGGTCAATAATCTATTAAGTTTTAATATTTTTTTGGGATTTTTTGATATTTTGTAACATATTTGAACGTTTTTATATTTTCGTCACACTGCTTTTCTTTTCATTGTATCTTTTACACGATTAAAGTAATGATTTTGGCGTTCGACATGGACTTTGTTCTCGATATCAACGATGATTTTATGGAGCTTAAGGATCCCAACGTGATTCCTGGGGTTGTGCAGTACGAAAAGGGGGTTCATGTCTATCATAAGCAAGATAAAAGTAAGTTTTTGATATTTCTGAGTTCTTGGTTTAGGAATGGAGTTTTATAAGTGTTTTTGACAGCCGTTTTTTAAATGTTTTAGGTGAAAAGAGGAATTATGGACAAATCAAGAATGATCGCTATATCGTTAGAGCTGACTTGAAGGATCATGAACAATCTTTCAAGCGGAAAGGTAATTTTTTGGCGTTGAAATTAAAAATCATTGTTGTAAAATCTTAAGAAGATTGTTTTTGTGCTATTTCTGTTTAGTTTGAGGTAGTTAAGGATTTTAATGACTATAAAATTATCTTTTGTTAGGTTATACTTACTATAATATATTTTCAGGTTTGGAAATCATTTCCAAAGGCCAATTGTGTGTTCTGGTGTTGTGTGGAGGACAAGCTACTCGTTTGGGAGCTGACAGACCTAAGGGAACTTTTGATCTTGGTTTAGAGGGACCAAACCAGACCTTGCTTCAACTTCAAGCTCTTCAAATTGTTCGTCTAAAGGCTCTAGCCAAAAAGCTCTATCCTTCGTCAACTCCACGGATTATGTGGTACGTTATGGTGAGCAAAAGTACCAGGAGTCTTATTGTACAACATTTGGGCGAGATTCGCAAGAAGCTGGATATGGATTGGGACGATATTGTTGTGTTTGAGCAGAAGGAGATCCCAGCTTTAAGTTTTGATGGCCTTCCGTTCAAACAAGAAGACGGCAATATTTTTTTGGCACCGAGTACGTGTTCTTTGTTTTTTCAGTATTTATGTTTAAATTGGAAGGCAGAAACTGGTTATTTCTGCACGAATTCGATCAGTAGACTTAATTTATATTGTTTTAGATGGAAACGGAGGAATTTACGACTCTTTGAAGGAACATATAATCGATATGCATTTCGCAGGTGTAAAATATGTTCACGCTTATTGTGTAGATAATATTTTATGCCGTGTAGGTGATCCTGTATTCTTGGGGGCTGTTGCGACGCAACTTGCTGACTGTGCAGCTAAGGTATGTTAACATTGAGTTTTTGTTTAAAAAGTAAATTAAACAGATTTTTAACTGTTTATAATGTGTTCAAAGATATTTTTAAACGCTTTATTAAGAGTCTTGGGCTAAAAACAAAGTTATATTAATAAATATTGTTTTAGGTGGTGGAAAAGAAGGAGCCATCAGAGAAAGTGGGTGTTATCTGCACGGAAAAAGGACGTCATACCGTGGTTGAATATTCAGAACTTCCTCAAGAGCTGGCCACACAAAGAACTGAAGATGGAAAGCTTAAATTCAGAGCCGGATCCATTGCCAATCATATATTCACCTTGGATTTTTTGAAGAAAGTATGTGAAGTGCCATTGCCATACCATATTGCGAGAAAGAAGGTGCCATATTACGATGAAGAGAAGAAGCAACAAGTTACACCTACTGAACCGAATGGAGTAAAGCTTGAACGATTCATTTTTGATGTTTTTCAGGCATCTGAGTAGGGTTTGAAGAGCTTTTTAGGTGGTTTAGGGGGCTTTTTTTCTTGGATTTTTGGGTTTTTGGATGTTTTAAAGGCTTTTTCATTCGTTTTAAGGGGCTATTTCTTTAAATTTGGGGTATTTTTGATGCCGATATAATCTTTTTTGGTATTACTAATCAGACTTTGATAAGACTTTTGTAAAATTTTAGGTGTATCTCGAAAAACGGCATAGATTTTTGCTAAAACTATCAATTCTTATCATTTTTAGAAGTTTTATGGTATACCAAGTCGAAAGATCAGATGAATTCTCCCCTCTCAAGAACGCCGATTCAGTAGGAGTCGACTGTCCATCAACCTGTCGTGAAGATCTCAAAACCCTGTACCGGAAGTGGCTTCAGAAGGCTGGAATTGATGAAGCCGAATACACGGGATTTGAATATCTGACACCTTACTTGACCTACGAAGGAGAAGATCTCACTTTGGAGAGATTTCAACAAGCAAAACAGGAGATTAAGGCCAGTTCTGAATAAGTTTCGTTGAGATATTTGGTTAGTTTTATGTTTTGTTGATACTCTGAATTCTTCGTGAGTTTTGGTAAGGTTCTGAAGGCTTTTTGGTAAGGTTTTTGAAGTTATGATAGGAATCTTGATCTTGTGATTGGGTTTTTGAAGCTTTTATAGGTCTTTTTGGATTCATAAGTTATTTTTTTCTATTTTTAATTAGATTAAAATAGTATTTATTGATGTTAACATACCTAATTTATTAATTTTGTCTCACTTATTGGTTCAAAAATGGAGCTTTTAATTAGATTTTAATGTCTTTTATTGTGATTCATGTTTTATAGGCTTTTATAGATTGATCATTTATTCTGCGAGCTTGTCTTAGGTTGTTCAAATAATTCTGTGTCCCTAAAACCAATAATTTGCGTTGTCAAAGACGCAGAATTATATGAACAATCTAATAGTTCATTGGTCTTTATACTTTGATTTTGATTCCACGAGCTTGTATAATGTCACTTTGATTGTATAACCTTGATTAATATATATTGTGAACTCTGTGACGCATTTTCCATGACTAATTACTGTGATTTTAACTGTGATGTTACTGCCATAAAGGATTTCTAACATATTATGATGGATTTTTACGATTATTTTTATATTACAAGTGGTTTTTACTGGTATAATATTTTATACTTTTAATTAATATGTTATACTTGGTATTAAGGTTGTGTTATGCTCTAAAATTGCCAGTTGAATTAAAGGTTTGGGAAAGAAATTGATTGCACTGTGCAGTCGAAAAGGTTGCACGGTGCAGTCTAACAATAGATTGCACTGTGCATTCAAAAAGGCTGCACAGTGCAGTCAAAAAGCTTGCACGGTGCAACTGTTTCAATTAGTTCTCATAAACTTTTTAAAATTAGTTTTTCTACAGATTCTAGGAACTTTTTGACCAAAAAGGTTTATTTTAAAAGGCGTCATTCTTTTTGCTTCAATTCTGTTTAAAAAAGTTTTTTTTGGCTGTTTCAAAAACTTTTTGACCGTTTTATAATTGTTTAAAAGCCTTTTGGCGGCTACAAAATTCATTTTTTTTTTAAATTTTAAACACTGCAAAGAAGCTATACCCTAAGGCACGGCACTTTTGAAGGTATACCTCGCGTTTTTTTCTCAAATTTATTTACAATTTTAAAGAAAATTACAGAACATGGCCATAGCGGCCCGAAGAGGTCTCTAACAATATAAGTTGTCTTATATAGATCACATTAGGATATGTTTTTTCTTTTTTTTGAAGAAAATATGTGGCAGTGGAATGAATGGGCTGTCAGGACAAAGGTATCAGGCTAGTCCAGGCGTTCCAATCACTAGTTGGGTACATGAATATTGGGGGGTGTTTGAGCTGGTGATAATTAGGAGCGAATATCTTAATTAGTTCTGAAAAAAATTGATTTTAGGGATAGGTAATATAGGTATGGCAAATGTTTATGACTTTTTAGACGATTTTTGTTTTGTAAAAAAAGTTCTTGCCATTTTAAATTTTGTAAAGAAAGTTCTTGCCATTTTGTGTTTTGTAAAGAAATTTCTTGTCATTTTAAATTTTGTAAAGAGTTCTTGCCATTTTAAGTTTTGTAAAGAAAGTTTTTGCCATTTTGTGTTTTGTAAAGAAAGTTCTTGCCATTTTAAGTTTTGTAAAGAAAGTTCTTGCCATTTTTTGTTTTGTAAAGAAAGTTCTTGCCATTTTATGTTTTGTAAAGAAAGTTCTTGCCAAAAAACTCACATAAAATTCTGATTATCTTGTACAAGGCTTAATGTTTGCTGGTATGGCTGGATGATTGAATGGTGAACTTCATTCCACTCTTGGGATCAACGTACTCTCCTCGTTCCACTCCATCAGCTCCCTTCACCACATTAACCGGGACGTTTCGGCCGCCAATCTCCACGACTTGTTGATGTTGTTGGCCTACCGAGTGGGTGGAATGCCTCGAGAGGGCACTCTTGGGTCGTGGATGGAAGACGCCAGTGTTCATGTCAAATCGACCACCCTTGCCTTCGATCGCTCCACGTGATTCCTCTTCCTTGATCAGACCGTTACGCAGCGCTTCGTCGATGGCAAAGTTGCGGCCGGTCTTGGTGTCCTTGACCGTGCCGGCGTTCTCGTCCACAATCTTGCGGTCGATGGCCTCCATCAGGTTGATCTGCTCACCCGTGGCCTTATCCACCACCTTGGTCTGATAAGGTGATAGGAATCCGTGGAGAATGAGCTCCTTCAACGTCAACTCCTTCTCGGTCTCAGGGTGCAAGAAGTTGCCTTGGTCGTACAAGCCATTGGCCAAGAAGCGGGTCAAGTTGTAGTCACCATCGATCTCTGGCCGAGCGTTGATGGCCTCCTTGGTAGCGGTTTCCTCCTTCTTCTGAACCCGGACCTTGGTCACGACCGAGTCACCGGCGTGCTCTGGAACGCCACCAGTTGGGTAGACACGGTGTTGTTGAGCGGCTTCGGCCAACGAGACTCTTCTGTTGTTGGTCTTGTCCAGGTAGAAGCCATCCTTGGCCGATACGATTCCCCATTGCTCGGCTTCGGTGAAGCCCATCTCGCGTCCGGACAGAGCGTCACGAACTCTCAGCTCATCCTTTGGCAAACGACCGGATCTGACGGCTGCGTCGAGGGTCAACAACTCTCCAGTAGCGGCATCAGTCAAGCGACCGGTGTGGCTGTCGAAGACCCACGAGTGTTCCGACTCCTCAACGTGAGGCTGGCCCACGGTGCGGAACGACAAAGGCTGAGTGCCGTCTTTGCCACCGGTGATGGCACGGTAGGTGGCCGAGCCCGGACCACCCTCGGCCTTGGCTTCGGTACGACGCACACGACGCTTGGTCTCCACGTTCTCTTCCAACTGTTTGTCCGGGAAGATTTGTGGAGCAAGCTCCTGTTGGGTGTGCGTCAACGTCTCCTTTATCTTCTCCTCCAGGGTGGGGCCACCTTGGGACACCTGGCTCTTCGGTACGATCCATTCGTCGTTCAGGTGGACTAGTCCTTGGTTCAGAGCGTCGTCCAGACTGATCTCCTCCTTGCCATTGCGGAAGCGTTGGTTTCTCGTGTCCAGAAGGCCTTGTTTCATGGCGTCCTGGATCGTGAGCTTGACGTGATCGTCCTCCACCTTGGTCTCCTTGGCTGGTTTACCGATGCGTCGCTTCTGCTCCTCGATCTTTCTGGCTCCGGTGATCAAAGCTGGGTGAATGTCGAGCAGTCCAGTCAATTTGATGGCGCCCTTCAGTGATAGGGCTCCAGCATCGTACAACTCACGTGGGCTCGACTCACGGCCGTGGTAAAGAAGAACGCCACGTTTTGGATCGATCAGTCCAGCGCCGACAGCTTGGACAAGGTTAACTTCACGATGTCCGTCCTTGAGGCCAATTGGCTGAGTTAAGGTGCGTTGGAGGTTGCGGTCGATAACTCCGAAGTCGGCGGCTCCAGCAAAGTTGATGCCATCCAACTTCTCGGCTCTGGCATCCAGAAGGCCTTCGGCTACGGCTTCGTTGAAGGTCAACGAGCGGCCTTGCTTCTTGATTCCTTGCACGTCAAAGATACTGTAACGATGACGACCGACCAGAAGTCCTTCGTGCTTGGCGTGTCGAATGTCCACGTTGCGGCCGTCCACCGAGAACTGGCCTTCTGGAAGCAAGAATCCACGCTCCAAAGCCTCCACAACACTGATGACTTCACCAGAATTCTTGTCACGGATATGGCCGGCGTCAGGGTCGATGACACCGTGAGCCAAGGCCTCGATCAGGGTGTAGTGATGGCCAGTGCCGGGCTCGGTGACGCGGCCCATAGCATCGATATGACCCTTGTCGACGGCTTCGGTCAAGGTCAATGGCTTTCCGATGAAGCCACGCTCGTAGGCGTCACGGAGGCTCAATGGGCTTCCGGCCTTCAGGTCGTTGAACGTTCCATCGTTCTGGTTGATGGCCTTCTCGTAGATGGCGTCGGCCAAGGCTAGACGCTTGTTGGCCTTGGTGTTGACCACCTCACGGACGTTCTGGTTCAACAAAGTGTCCGTGCCACGACGACAGGCCTCACGGAACGATATCTCTTCGTTGGTGTGCTTGTCGATGAACTTGCCTTGGACTGGATCGATCAGTCGTTCTCTGATCACGTCAGTCAAGGATGGGGCCACCAATCTTGGGGAAGCTGATCCAAACTGAAGATATCCATTTTGTAGCGCTTCTCTCAATGGCATTGGCTCCTTGGCGTACTGTCCCTTGAACACGCCAGTACGAGGGTCAATGGCGTTCGTTCTTACGGCGTTCTCCACACTAAGTGGTGGTACCTTCAGTACACCAGCCTTGATCAAACGACGTTGAGTTTCGGAGTTACAGATTGGATCGTAGCTCCAGAGGATCTCGCCGGTCTGAAGGTCACGGAACTGACGCTTCTCCGGATCGAACAGGCCGATCCTGATGGCCTCGAGCAATGTCAACTCCTGTTGAGTTTCAGGATGACGAATACCGTGACGACCGTTCAGCACTTCGTTCAGATCGTTCTTAATGTAGCCCAACTCGGCGGCACGCTCCAACGAGATTCTGGCTCCAGAAACCAGATCGTAGAACTCGCCGGTGCCGGAAGACAGATTCAGAAGACCTTCACGTAGAGCCTCGACAAAGGTCAGGAGCTCATCGGTCTTCTGGTTCAGTTTGCCTTCCATCTCGTAGAACTCGGTCTTGGTGTGAATGTCCTCGTCGAAGCGTTGCATCTCATCCTCGACCTCTTGGATTGGCACTTGTTCTGGCAGGTCTTCCAGGTTCTCGAAATGGTCCAGATTCTCGTCGTGAACAACTTCTTGGTTTTGTTGTGGTACGTTGAGTGGGGTTTCCTGAAAAGAAAGAGATAAATTATTTAAAATGATGTTTTAGGTAAGTTTTTGAAGGTTTTTGGTTGAAAAAAGCTATTGAAAATAGTATTTTAGGTAAGCTTTTAAACGTTTTGAGTAAAAAAGTTATAACAACTCGACATCTTGCTTAAAAATAGTTATTATAAACGTTGTTTTAGGTAGTTTTTAAAGGTTTTGGTTGAAAAAAGTTAGGACAAAGAAGATTTTTATAAAAAAAAGATTTAAAAAACTTGTTTTAGGTAGGTTTTTGAGGTTTTTTGAATAAAAAAAAGTTGAAATAAAGGATGTTTTTAATAAGAAAAATGGTTTAAAATTATATTTTAGGCAGTTTTTGAACGGTTTTGATTAAAAAAGCCATTGAAACTAATATTTTAGGTTAATTTGTAAAGGTTTTGCTTGAAGAAAGTTATTTGAAATGATATTTTAGATAGATTTTTGGTGTTTTTGGTTGAAAAAAGTTGAAATAAAGGAAGGTTTTAATAAGAAAAGTGATTTAAAATGATATTTTAGGTAGGTTTTTAAAGGTTTTGATTGCAAAAAGTTGTGAAAAATAATGTTTTAGGTAGGTTTTTAAAAGTTTTGATCGAAAAAAGTTATTGAAACTAATATTTTAGGTACATTTTGAGCGTTTTCGATTAAAAAAAGTTATTGACACTAATATTTTAGGTATATTTTTAAAGGTTTTGCTTGGAAAAAATCTTAAAAATAATATTTTAGGTAGGTTTTTGTTAGTTTTGATTGAAAATGTGATAGAAAATGGACGTTTTGCTTAAAAACAGTTATTAAAAACCTTGTTTTAGGTCATTCTGAAGACTTTTTTCAATTTTTAGATAACAAAAGCTTGTAAAAACTAATGAATTATATATAATAAAAAATTACTTTTTTCAATTTTTAGGTAACAAAAATGCGTTTTTATCCAAAAAGTTATTGAAAGTTATATTTTAGGTAATTTGTGAGATATTTTTTCATTTTTTAGGTAACAAAAACTTGAAAAAACTAATGAATTACAGTGTAAAATCACTTCAAACTTCACAGCACACAAGTTATAACAAGATTATTAAATAAAGTTAAGTATCCTGTATTATATTATAGTGCATACTGGGGAGTACTAGAAGGGTTGAGGTGTCTAAAAATGGTTGAAAAATCAAATTTTCGGTAAAAAAATAAAATTTTGGTTGAATTTTTAGAATAAGCCCCTTAGTACTCTCCCAGCACTAGAAAATTCCCTACATGATGATGTTCGTTGGTTGATCTCTTGGTGTTGCCATGCTCGTTGATGTCCCACTTTGGACCAGTTGGTGTAGCGGCACGTGGAGTTGGTGGACCGTCGTAGCCTTTGTTCTCTTCGCTGGCCTAAAACTCACTCGAACTTAAAATATCACACTTCAAACCGGCTGTCATTAAGAATCTAATGTGGTTTTAAAATTTTAAAGGTTGTAAAGAAAGTTTTTGCCATTGTGTACTTTGTAAAGAAAGTTCTTGCCATTTTATGCTTTGTAAAGAAAGTTCTTTCCATTTCTTGTTTTGTAAAGAAAGTTCTTGCCATTTTATGCTTTGTAAAGAAAGTTCTTTCCATTTCTTGTTTTGTAAAGAAAGTTCTTGCCATTTTATGCTTTGTAAAGAAAGTTCTTGTAATTTTTTGTTTTGTAAAGAAAGTTCTTGCCATTTTATGCTTTGTAAAGAAAGTTCTTTCCATTTCTTGTTTTATAAAGAAAGTTCTTGCCATTTTATGCTTTGTAAAGAAAGTTCTTGTAATTTTTTGTTTTGTAAAGAAAGTTCTTGCCATTTTATGCTTTGTAAAGAAAGTTCTTTCCATTTCTTGTTTTGTAAAGAAAGTTCTTGCCATTTTATGCTTTGTAAAGAAAGTTCTTGTAATTTTTTGTTTTGTAAAGAAAGTTCTTGCATATGTTAATATCACAGCACTCCAAATTAAAATAAAACAAGAAAAAAGAATGTCATATCACTTTAAAAATTTCCGAAAAATATGTCATTACTTTCTAGAAAATATGTCATCAAGTTCCAGAAAATGTGTCATAATTTTCTAGAAAATGTGTCATCACTTTCTAGAAAATATGTTATCCTTTTCCAAAAAAATATGTCAGTACTTTCAAAAAATCCGTCATAAAATAAAACAAAACTTCATATCAACCCACCTTAACCTCCCTGACCACGTATTTGATCTGCTCCTGTGGCTTCTTGACCCTCTTGACCTTCCTCTCGTAGTGCTCCTTGGTCTCCCACTCGGTCTTCTCGTGGAACGGTTGCTTGGTCTTGAAGTAACGCTCCCGGGCCAACTCCCTCAGCTCCTGACGCTTGGCCTCACGTTGCTGACGCTCGTTGTAGTGGTAGGCGCTGTAGGCCGTGTCATGGTTGCGACTACTCAGCCGGGAGGGGGGTGGTGAGGATACCCAGTAATTGCCGGCTTGGTACACACCTCGCTCCGAGCGGGGTGAATTGGCGTTGGGGGGTGGGGAGCGGGCGTGGCTGGCGCTTGAATGCCAGGCACGTTCGTTCTCCGTGTAGCCACGGTCGTTGATGGCGTTCTGTGCGCTGTAGGCACGGTCTTGATGGTAGCGGTCGGAGGAGGCGGTACGACGAAGGCCGTAGCTCCTGTCCGTACCGTACCGTTCTCCGGCAGCACGTTCTCCGGCGAAGCCGGCACGGTCTGTGCTGAACGAACGTTCGGCCGCGTAGCCGGCACGTTCTCCGGCAAAGCCGGCACGGTCGTTGGTGAAGGAACGGTCGGCGTTTCTCTGTTCTGAGAAGGCACGTTGTTCGGCTCCGGACAGACCACGGTGTTCGCCAGAGGCGAAGCCTCGTTGTTCTGCGCCGGAGAAGGAACGTTCGGCCTGATACGAACGTTCGCCCTCGATTTCCTGTTTGTAGCCGTCACGGCCGTAGGGGCCGGGCGAGCGGCCGTTTCTTACTGATGAGTACTCGATTTGTTCCGACCGGTTGATTGGGGGTGGGGCGTTGTAGCCGGGCAATACAAAGTTGTCATCCCGTTTGCGTTCATGTTTGCGCGAGTATGACTTGGAGACCTTGAACATGGTGGAGGGTCTCGGCTGGAAAGATTGCAAGTTTAGGTGTGTTATTGGGTGTTATATTATAGTAGGTTTAGCACGGTAGGGTAAAAATGAATGGAGAATCAAAAAAAATTTTAAAACTAAAATTTTTATGCCACACAATATTAAAAATGGGTGTTTTTTCTAATTTTTAATATTTTTCAAAATTATGAGTTGTAAAGAAATTTCTTGCCACTTTTTGTTTTGTAAAGAAAGTTCTTGTTATTTTTTGTTTTGTAAAGAAAATTCTTGCCATCTTTTGTTCTTGCTATTTTAAATATATTTCCCCCCCCTTTCTCTTGTCCCCGCCCTTTGATTTAATATCAACTTTAATAACTCCCCCTATTCTCACAGCCCCCTCTTTTTAAATGTAACTCCCCCCCCTCTATCTCTTCTATTCTCCCTTCATATCCCTTTAAACCTCCACTCCTCCCTCCCCCCCCTTCTTTCTCTTCTACCTCACCTAAAAACCCACACCTCCCAAATTCAGCACCACCATGACTAATAAGAGCGGAAAGTCACGCGAACTTGATCAACAACGAAAATGTTGTGTTAACACTACTATTAAACCGAGAAATTCATTACAACTTGTTGATAACGCGCGAATCGATGGAATCTGTTTGTTTGTTGTAAAGAACTTCGACCAAGGTGGAAACCGGAATAAACACCGCCAAACCACACCCATTCATTTACATCAGTCAGTAATAGTAATAGTGACGGAAGGGTGTAGTGGAAAGGAAAAACTATTTTTATAATAGAAAAGAAAGATGAGTATGAAATAGAAAAGGAAAAGGAAGTATGAAATGGTCGAAGAAAAGAAGTATGAAATAGAAAAGAAAAATGAGTGTAAAATGGTAAAACAGAAGAATTATGAAATAAAAAAAGAGTATAAAGTAGAAAATGAAACAAAGTACGAAATAGAAAAAGAAAAATTAGTGAATAATGGATAAGGGAAAGCAGTATAAAATAGAAAAAGAAATGGAGCATAAAATAGAAAATGAAAAAAAATGAAATAGAGAAAGAAAAACAGTATCAAATAGAACAGAAAAAAAGAGTAAAAAGGAAAGTAAAAGAACATACAGTGAAACTCTAAAACAAGATCTATTATATGTACCAAAGACACTGTACAGCAACTAATATTTAAATCCTAGTCTACAGCTACAAAGTACCTTTAAAACTCCGATATAACGAAACTCCCTTATTACAAGAAAAGTAAAAATTGCTGATCAATTTATTATACATAAGGTCCACTGTATTCTATTGCTCACTATTGGCCACAATTCTTCTGTTTCTAATAACTTTATCAACACATAAAAATTTCCCCAGACAAAAACCCTTTTTCGCCACTGTTCTTACAACAATCGATTTTACAGGTACATATGCATAAAACAATTTTACTGATTTCAAAAAAGGCACTGCGGTTTTTAAAATTTTAAAACATTATTTCAAAAATAGAAAACTTGATAAACCTATATAAAATGCCACCATTTTTAATGTACTTTGTCCTAGTACCGCGTGACTACCTACTGCATGGTAAAGAAAAAAATATTAGGTTGAACCAAAAGTAATAGTAGGGTAAATTTTAGTAAAGGTTTTCTCTATCAAACATCATATACATAGTACTACTTGCTGAAACTAAATTTTATGTTAATTATATCATAAAATTTCTCATGGTAGAGTCAAGCTATTTGTCATTAAAAGGTAGGCCTCATTCAAGGATAGGTGGTTTCATATGGTAAGGTAGGCAATTTATCATTTTAGAGCAGATCAAAACAAAAATATTTTTAATAAAGAGATTGTATAATATGTCATCATATATAACACGGTAAAAAAGTCTTGACATTCAATATCAATGAGCTATAAACTGTATAGCTAAATATCAAATACTAAATATCAACTATGGTTGAACAATACAGTGATACCTCAAATTGCTCAATATATTATTACCACTAACCCATACCATGACTTTTACCATACCCAGACTACAACTCTCTAGCTAAATCAAAGATGCTTAATGATTACAACCCCTACTTTGATCGAAGTTGCCCAAACACCACCACCCTACCACTCAAGAGTTACTAGATTACCAACCTACCCACTCAAGAGTTGCCTAATGACACCGGTTGCCAACCCTCCGCCAGAATTAAAATGATTTACAACTGAAATTGCACTTTAATTAGACGTATTCAAATAAACCGCGCGAACAATGGAAATAACGGAATTAAAAAAATTGAGGAAAAAAATTGGTCGCGCGAGCGTTAGGGTGGGCGTGGCTGGTGATAGTGATGTGATAACAGCGCGCAAAAACCCCCTCAGGCATTCGGAAGTTTGGGCCTCACATTTCTTTTCGCTTTTCATTAAGATTGTAAGAGGGGTTTCGAAAAAAAAGAAGTTTAGAGAGGCTACATGAGTAGGTTGAGTGAGTTTAAGATGGCTACATGAGTGGGGTAAAGAAGGCTACAACGATGGGTATAAAAAGACTGTATAGTAAAATATAAAAGATAGAATAAATACCTTACAGAACATTGCTCTAAACAGTCAGCTCTTATAAGTTGAAAAATACAGTCAAACTCCTGTATAACAAACCGCAAGGGCGGGCGAAAAAAGCAATTTTAAACTTGTTCGTTACAGGAGTTTCGATGTACAACATTTTGAAATTCATTGTGTAGTGTTGCCAAGAGGTTTAAAAAATACTGTGCTTCAAAATGACCAAATAAGGAGTTTATAAAAGTTGAAAAATAAAAGTTTAAGTTCTAGAACTAACAGTAAAAAACTTATGTTAAGATATACAAAAGAAGATTAGAAAGTAAGGTTAAGTCTTGTGTTAAACAGGTAAAGCTAGTGTATTTCCTAGAAAATAAGGTAAAAGTCAACGCTAATCTACAAGAAAAGAAAGTCAAACTAAAACAGGTAGCAACCTTCAAATAAATATCAAAATTTTAGTCAACCGTTTTTCATTTAGCCTAAAAGCGGTTTAAAATTGTAAACAAACAAAGACTCTACACCTAAAAAAAATGAAAAAAAGAGATCAGTTACATTGTAATATTGGTCAAGAAAGGAAGAAACAGAAGATGATTCATAAAGTTTTAAAGTTCAGAAAGATAAATAAAAAAATTGACAAGGTTGACTTCTATAACATTGGAATGTATAATAAAAATTAACATATTGGCTATGCTTTACAAGTCTACCTTACGATGCTTTGATCTTTCCAAGCCTAAGGATAAGTCTGAAGAGGAGATTCTACACTACGGGTCTAAATTTTCTGTTAACATATAGAGTCGAATGTTGGAGTCACGTTATCAACGCTAGATAAAAGTTGTTAATTGTATTGTAATATTACTTTGCTAGAAAGTAGATTAATCTTATCACCATATGATTGCCAGTCATGTAGCTGAAAACTGTAACTGTCCTAAAAAAGACAACTCTTCAAGACAAACAAAAACAAAATTACGTTGATGTAAACCAACAAGAGTTCCAGAAGAGGTTGATTTACTTCCACAAAACCAATGTCTTTTCATACCTTTTTCGTATCTTTTTTTAACAACACATGTTTATTCGACTTCAACGAGCGATTCGTCGCCAAAAAAAGAAAAATCACATGGGATTTGGAGGTTACAGTCGAGGGTATTGAACCGAATTTGAACTCATATTGAACATACGAAGTAAAAAAGTTATGTTAAGGTAAAATTTTTTTTAAAAGTTCAAATTTAATTTTTTTTTTTCAAATTTGAAAAAAAGTTGTTTGAAATTAAAAATTAAATTTTTTTTAACTTAAAAAAAATTTACAAAAATATTTACATTATAGTAGGTCCCTGAAGCGTTACTTCGTTTTAGTTTTACTCTCGTCTTTAATTCCAATGTCTAAACCCGTTCAAACCCTTTTACCTTCAACTCCTTCCTCGCCTTCCATTCTCTTTTTCCTCCCCCCCCCCCTGCAAGACAAGCAAAAAGTGAAAGTTGTTCTCCTAATTAAGCCATTAATTCAAATAAAGAACCATACGACAATTACAAGCCGAGTGCATTAGGAAAGTAAGAAGAGGCAATGTTGCGCAAATCAACATTTATTCCAAATTTTATTCGATTCCATCCACTGAAACCACAAAAACAACATTCTTCGAGGGTGGGGAGTAAAGTAGTGGGAGAAGTAGTAGATGCAGGCAATGTGATAGTTTAAAATTGGAAATTGATGACTATAGTAAGAGGTAGAGGTGATAGAATCAAATGAAGTGAAGAATATAGTAACTCTCTGCCCTGCCCTTGCCCTGGCCCTGGCCTTACCCTGGCCTTGCCTTAGCTTTGTCCTAGCCTTGCTCTGGCCTTGCCCTGACCTTGCTCTAGCCTGCTTAAATCAGTCTTTCTACCGTACCATTCCCTGGCCAGCATTGCAAAGCCACGTTTAACCCTACCGTGCTCTATCATGCCATGCCCCGCTTTATCTTGCTAAGTCGTGTTCTGCCTAGCTTTTAACTGCCCTGCTTAGCCTGGTAAGCTTTGTTCATCCCAGTCATGTTCGATCAAGCTCTGCCATGCCTATTCAGCATTGTAAAGCCCTGTCTAAGCCTGCCATGCCCTATTATGCCGTCTTTTGCCCTGGCATGACCTGTCCGGCTTTGTAAAGTTTTTCTGTATCTATGCTAAAACTAGTCCAAGCTTCCCCCCCCCCTCATTTTCTTTCAAGTTTTTAACCCAGCTCCTCCCTTTTTTTCACCTTCACTTCTCATTCTTCCTCATTCAAGTCTCCAATTTCAAGTTTCAGCGTTGAACCAAGCCAAGCCTCATGTTACAATTCCTTTCTTGACCTTGTTTTAATTAGTGATTACTTTCACTTCATCACTTGAAATTAAAATTCCTCAATTTTCCGGTTTCGAACTACTAAACCGTTTGTTTTACCGATTTTTTTAATTAAAGTGTAATTTGCGCGAGAGTTGAAATAAACAAAAAAAGGGAATTACATCACGATGGATGGAATTTGCTTTTACTTTTTAATGTGCTCGAGACTGTAATGAAATTGGAAAAGTAATATAATGTAATGAGAGACCCTCTAACTTCAACTTGAGTTTTAAATCAAAATTTGTTTTATCTCATCATACTCTACCTTACCTTTTAAAATTAAAAAAAAATGCTCCCCCCTTTGTCAACCAAAAAAAATCAACCGCCCGTCCTTTACCGCAATAACATAAACACAATAGTAATAAACATAATAATGTACTTTATAAAGTGACAGTAAAAACAGCTCTGTCAAGAAGTTCCATAAAATTGTAATAAACATACTAAAACAAACAAATTATAAGCACTTTGGGTTTACTGAACCGTTGCAACGTTAATCGTATTAATCATGTCAAAGTTAGAGCAAACAAGAAATTTATATGTTTACCAACATATAAAGGTAGGTATTACAAACAAGTTTTATTAACCTTGAAGAGAAGAAAATATAGATTTATAAACAACAATGCGAGTTGTTACTTGAACATATAACTCATATATGATATAGTACACTAGCCCTAGCCCAGAGCCCTAGCCCTCGCCCAGAGCCCTAGCCCAGAGCCCTCGCCCAGAGCCCTAACCCAGAGCCCTAGCCCAAAACCCTAACCCAACGCCCCAACTCAACGCCCTAGCCCAGAGCCCTAGCCCAGAGCCCTAGCCCAGAGCCCTAGCCCAGAGCCCTAGCCCAGAGCCCTAGCCCAGAGCCTAGCCCAGAGCCCTAGCCCAGAGCCCTAGCCCAGAGCCCTAGCCCAGAGCCCTAGCCCAGAGCCCTAGCCCAGAGCCCTAGCCCAGAGCCCTAGCCCAGAGCCCTAGCCCAGAGCCCTAGCCCAGAGCCCTAGCCCAGAGCCCTAGCCCAGAGCCCTAGCCCAAAGCTCTAGCCTAAAGCTCCAGCCATGAGGAACGGGCCGGGCAAATTGAAAATCAAGGCCTGTCCCGCTTGGACGTAAAAAAAATTTGGACCGTGCCATTTTTTTTTGGGCTTGAAAATTGGGCTCGGCCGGGCCTTATCTTCATGTCCACCAAACCCTACCCTAAAGCCCTAGCTCTAGTTTCAGTCTTAACCCTAGTATTAGCTCTAATTCTTGCCATAGTCCTAGCTTTCTGAACACATTACTTCTATCTTTTTCTTGTCTAAGCCCTAGTCTAACCTTTTCGTTAGCCTTACCCTAGGTTTATCCCATTCCTATCCTTCTATCGTCCTGCTCTACCTTTGTTATTCAACATGTTTCATGTCAATTTCAGTTTTTACTGAAGAATTTTAAAAAAACTGTAGAAATGACATTTTACAACAATACCTATATAAAAACTTATAACTATATATCTTGTTGTTGAGCAAAAGAAATATTGAGGTATATATATACGAAAACACGACAGACTTTTATTGTTTGTTAATTGAAGGTTCTGCGTTCTTTCAATATTTTCATTTTTTAAAAGCGATCACTACCCTCCTTTTAGCTGTTTGCAGTCGTCTAACATTCAAAGGCCTTTGATATTTTAAAAAGTCAAAAACTGTTTTAAAAAATGATTAATAAGATTAAAAACCAATTAAAATTACCAATATATTCGAACTGGCTGGCTTATTACGTTGTTCAAAAAATTTTGAGCCCCCTTTCAAAGGCAATTTGCAGAGTTAAAGACTCAGAACTTTTTAAACAACCGAAAAAGTCAGTCAGTCCGAAACTACTAGATTGAATCACTGACATTTGGCCAAACCATCAGACTTGTAGTAGTCAAACTTGGTCTATGAGTTGTCATGACACTATATAATAGTGGAAATTAAAAAATTTAGATCATAACGTTGTTGTAGGCTCAATATGGTAAGTAAGGTTTAGTTTAGCTTGAATTTATGCTTGTTCGGCTCTAAATTGAAATTTCAAAACAAGCCTAATTTAAGCCTAAGCCCTAGCCTAAGCTCTAGTCTAAGCCCTAGCCTAAGCCCTAGCATAAGCCTTAGCCTAAGCTCTAGTCTAAGCCCTAGCCTAAGCCTAAGCCTAAGCCCTAGCCCTTGAGCTTGTTATTCATTTTTAAATATATTATCTTAACCTTTCAGGTATCTCAATTAGCCATTGTTTCTATCGTTCTTTTGACCGGAGTTTGCGCGTGAGTTTAAGTTCTTATTTACTAGCTTTAAAGACGTGTCTTTAGGTCTAAAACAATATATATATATATATCTAACATAATATCCTTGATTTTACTTTAATATTGAAGTTTTAACTTTTTTACCTATTATATGAGGATGTTCAAAAAGTTCTGAGCCACTTAACCCTATAAAATTTGCTTTAAAAGTGGCTCAAAACTTTTTGAACAAAACGTAAAAATCGAAGCCTTGTCTTCATAGCCAATTTAATAATTTCAGCGTGCCCTACCGCCAATACCCCTACCCAAACCAATACCCATACCCCCAACAATACCCCCATCAATACCCACAGCAACAACACCACCACCACCAGCCACAACAAACAGCCTACGGCGGTCAACCACGCCCTCAACCCAACTACCCAGCCAACTACCAAGGTGGCAGCGGCTACAGTGGCTATAACCAGAAACCCGTCTACAATGGCAACCAAGCCCCATACAAACCCAATGGAGGTAACGGTGGTAATGGATATCAGAACAATGGAGGTCAAGGCGGATATCAACCTTACACTCAAGCTCCTTATGATTGTTAAGGCTTTACCATGCTTTATCATATCTTCAAGAACATATTTTTGATTTCTAAAGGCTCTGAAGCTTAAATCTTGCTTTTTGTGAGCTTCTGAAGCTTCAGAATCCTCTTTAAAGTACATTAACAGCTTAAAATCCACTTATATCTGCCATTTTTAATGTTATCTTCATGATCAAATAAATTTTTAAAGCAAATTAATATTTTCCTAACTTGTACATGTTTTAAAAATTGTATTTACAACAATTTAAAAGCTCTAAAGAACGTTATTTGACCAAAAACATCAAGTTTTCGGCCAAAACCAAGGGTTTTCGATATTATAGTAGCCATATTTATGTTGTTATAAGTTGATAGGGGGCCTAGACTACAAAAAATGTAAAAAAGGCTTTTAGTGATCATTAACATAAATTAATGATGGTTTTTATCGAGAAGAAACATCTGTTTGATAAAGTTTTGGCGTCATCATCAAGTTGTTTCAAAATGTCAAGAAAATATGTCATGGCGATGAAGATTCAAGCTTCTTGGTTTTGTAAAACATTGTAAAAACTTTATTAAAAGGTAAAGCATGTTATTGTAAAAAAATATAATTTTATTCAATACAAGTTTTAAACATTTTAAACTTGTCATAACGACGTCTTTTCTAGACATCCATCGATCTGATGACCCATTTCCTAGAGGATCCGCCTTTTTTGCCAAATCCGCTTGTCAGCGAGCTCGGCGTGGCTTTTTTGTGGCGTTTGTTCGACCAACTTTTTGCTCACCACCTTCCAAAGGTACCCCTCACTCGATTTCTTATCTAACCCACGACCTAGTCGACGGTTTTCCTAATAAATTTTCGTCTAATTTGACCGTATTTCGAATCTAAACTAACATAATGGCTCCAAACAATAACCAAATGTTGGCTACCCTTCACGATGAAGACTTTCCATCAACGATGAACGACTACATCAAGGGTGAGAAGATTGGAGAAGGCAACTTTTCTCGTGTTTTCGAAGGCAAAGTCAGAGCCGATATCAACAAAGAATGTGCTTTGAAGATCGTTAAGGTAGGTTTATATTGTTAGGTGTGTTTTATATTGTTGTTGAGATGTTGATGGAGGTTTTACAATGATTTTGAGCTATGATTTGGCGGGTAAAAGCATTTTTTCGAGCTATAAAGAGCTGTGGTCAGGCGCGAGCTAGAGTAATATCGGAAATCGGGGGTTTTGGACTAGAATTTTATTTCATGAGAATTTTATTGTAAAATACGGATTTCAAATATGTGACAGAACATTTTAGTAAAAACGCTTTATATTTTTATTGTTTTACCTTTTCTCAACATCTCTTCAAACATCTGATGGGTAGTGTAATATAAGATCAATTTTCTGATCAATATCTACCTTTTAAGCAGATTTAGATAGTTTTAGTAGTTAAAGCAAAGTCTTATCATTAATTTAATATAATTTTAGCTTTTGGAAGTTGACGAGAGCACAGTTAAACTTCAACAAGAAGAAGTTGACTTTCTCCGAAGGTTGGTCCATCCGAACATTGTCAAGTATTACCGCCATTTTAATGAAGTAAGTTGGAAATTTGTTTTTAAAAGCTGATCCAGTTTTTGTAGATTCTTAAACTATTAATTTTCAATTGTTTGGGTTTAAAAATGCGAGGTAAAGCTTGAATTAAGGCTGAGAACATGAATAATATTGCTATATTTTCAGGGAACCAATTTTGTAATTGTGATGGAGAAGATGGGTGATGACAACATGGAAGAATATGTTCAAAACATTCTACTTGCCGACTACAAGTTGTTGCCAGAGTACGAAATTTGGGGATATTACGTTCAGGTGGCCGACGCTGTGGCTTTCATGCATTCCAGGAATATTGTTCACAGAGGTAGGAGATTGGGTTTTTGAGGATAAATATTGTTTTTATAGCTGTAGAGTCTTATCTTTGGTTTAAATGGAATAAAAGCTCAATCTGAGTAATAATTTTGTTTTAATGACTAATTTCTATATTACACTAGATCATCTGTTGGAATTAATGAAAAAAATCGTTATACCTTGCTAATATGGACTCATTTTAGATCTCAAGACTGCAAATGTACTAAAGAGAGACAAGCTGGTCAAGTTGTCCGACTTTGGACTTTCTGGCAACTACGCCGATGGCAAACAATTGATCGAAAAGTGTGGCACACCATTTTACATGTCTCCAGAACGTGTTCAAAGGCTTCCATATGGCTTCAAGTCAGATGTGTGGGGTCTGGGATGCATTCTATATGAGGTATGTTGTTTTTTGTTTATGGTATTGTAAAGATTGGTTATAAAATTAGCAGGATTTTGGACAAAAATAGGTTTATATTGAGGATGGTCACTAAAACTTCAGAAAAAAATGAGATTTTTTTTAGCTAAAATTCTAAAAATAACAGTTACTATATAACTTTTTGGGTTTACTATGATACGGTAGGATACTGTAGACTTATAAGAACCATTTCCAGATGTGCACCGGAATCTCACCGTTCTTTGGCGAACGTTGTAACCAGTACAGTCTGACCAACAAGATCAAGGACGCCGACTTCCCACCACTGGCCGAGAGCTGTTACAGTCGCTTCCTGAGGGAGTTGCTGTACTGTGTGATGCAGAAAGAACCGGAGCACCGTCCAACAGCAGCGTTTGTGGCTACGTACGCCAGGAAGGTTCATGCACGATTTGTGCAGCTGCATCCATCCGGACCTTAAATCCTTATTTTAAATGGGGTTTCTGGGACTGTCTGGTACTAATGGTACTGTTTTTTTTTTGTAGTACTGGTGCAAAGGTTTTGGAGTTTAATGCTTTTGATACCACATTTTTTAGAATTTTGGTACTGTTGGTACTATTTTTTTGGATTTTGGTACTTCTGGTACAGTTTTTCTAAAATTCGTATTATTGGTACCATTTTTTTAAATTTTGGTATTTTGATGGTTTTCTACTGCTACTACTTTTTCTATTTTGGTACTGTTTTTACTATGTTTGGTCTTTTTTACCACTGTTACTACTTTTTGTACTCTTTTATCGTTCTGGTACACTTTTTGAACAATTGTTACAAATCTCATCCAAAATAGTACCATTCCTGGTCTTTTTCATAACTGGTACTACACCCACCACTACTGGTACACTCGTTTTTCACAATTTTTCAGTTTTCCCATCTAAATGTATTTGATAGCCTATTTCATACCTAAAATTGAATATTTTAACGCGATTTACATGTTACTAACCTTACGTAGTCAAACTATAGCCGTTTAACCTTCGTTTTTGTTGTTAATGATACTAATAAACTTAATAATACAAAGGATTGGTACTAGCAGGTGAATGGAAACTTGGGAGTTTTCGACCGGTCAATAAATTTTTAGAGAAATTTTTGATTTTTTTAAAACACGTTTTTTGTAAGACTCGAGCGTTTTCAAAACCCCAGTCGACACAAAAAAAATCAATGTCTTCAAAATTTCTGTAAATTGCATATTTGAACAGCCTAAATGTGAGTTACGCAAAAATCAAAAAAATTTTTAAAAAAGTTACAGTATGAGTGTGTACGGTAATACCTGTCGTGTTTTCATATCTCAGTGATGAACCGTCGTAGAGGCACGCTTTCTTCACGAAACTGTTAAGCGTGTTTAATAATGCATTTTTGTTGTTTACATCTACTTTCTAGCGTTTCGGGAAGACCTTCAAAAATTTGCATATTTGTGCGCACGTACAGTATTCCGTATTTTTCTCGGCGGGGATACCGTAGGCGACACTTTTTTATTTCAGATTATGAAAGAGCATTTTCTTGCGCTTCGAAAAAGCCTAATTTTGTTTTTTTAAATGGTAGCCCCGGGGGTCAAACTATCGGTTAAATCTAACCCCTTAGTTTTTTTTTTTAATTTTTATTTTATCTTTGATTTGAACATCAGAAAACAATTTTTTTGATTAAAAATTTATGAAAAACGTCCAAAAAAATTCAAAACAGTAAACATTACCAATCTAAATTAGGCTTGTTCAAAGCGCAAAAAAATGTAGTGTCAGAATCAAGAATAAAAATGTGTAGTACTTTGCATTTCATTAAAGATATCAAGAAAATACTGTATTAGAAAAAATTTTAAATATGCAAATTTTTAATTCTTTTAAAAAATTTTTATTGTATCTGAATTGAACAGCAAAAAACAATTTTTTTTAATTAAAAATTTCGAAAAAGCGTCGAAAAAAAAATTCAAAATAATAAATATTACTTAAGGAGTTAACTTTAACCGATAGTTTGACCCCAGGGGCTACCATTTAAAAAAACAAAATTAGGTTTTTTCGAAGCGCAAGAAAATGCTCTTTCATAATCTGAAATAAAAAAGTGTCGCCTACGGTATCCCCGCCGAGAAAAATACGGAATACTGTACGTGCGCACAAATATGCAAATTTTTGAAGGTCTTCTCGAAACGCTAGAAAGTAGATGTAAACAACAAAAATGCATTATTAAACACGCTTAACAGTTTCGTGAAGAAAGCGTGCCTCTACGACGGTTCATCACTGAGATATGAAAACACGACAGGTATTACCGTGCACACTCATACTGTAACCTTTTTAAAAATTTTTTTGATTTTTTGCGTAACTTACATTTAGGCTGTTCAAATATGCAAATTACAGAAATTTTGAAGACATTGCTTTTTTTTGTGTCGACACTGACTCTCGAGTCTTACAAAAAACGTGTTTTAATAAGTTTTGGGAAAATTTTTGCTTTTTGACCGGTCAACAAGTTTTGAAAGGATATTTAAGTTTTTAGGGGTCGAAAAATTCCTAGAGAACCATTTTTTTGCTTTTTTAAAATCGATTGGTCGATAAAAGTCAAAAAGTGGTCTTTGAGGTCAAAAAGCACCCAGAAAACCACTTTAAGGTCAAAAAGTTCGTAGAAAGCCGTTTTTTTACTTTTTAAAAATCAACTGGTCGGTAAAAATTAAAAAAATGATATTTCAAGTCAAAAAGTTCCTAGAAAAACATTTTTTGCTTTTTTAAATCGACTGGTTGATAAAAATAATAAAAACAGCACAATCGAAGCAATGACAATATTTATTCGCTTAACACATGACAGGTCAGAACAAATGTTATGACATGATTGAGTCGATTCATCTTGATGCAGGAAACGACAATAGACCTGGTAAAATGGACCGGTCGTTTTTCATTATACTTCCGTGGCCTTTGCTTTTTTTTGGATTGACATTATATTGTCACGGCAAAGTAATTGGACCGCGATTATACTATCATAGCCAAGATATTGGAGCGGCCTTCTACTGCCATAGCTAAGGAATTGGACTAGCCTTCTACTGCCATAGCCATAAGATTGTACTTGTTATGTCCTGAGGGTTTCTGAACTAGACAATGGCCAAAAGCTGGTCCATGTTTAAAATAAACTTCAGAATCTTTGGCACTGTGACAAAAATAGGCTTCAGAATCCTTGGCACTGTAACAAAACTAGGCGTCAGATACCAAGCCATCGTTCCACCAAAACTGATCAATGTTATCCATCCCTAATCAACTTGTGGGATGTCATAGCTTTCTCCTTGTCGCCAGTCGCTTCCGGATAATAATATCAAAACTGACCGATATTATCCTCCTTCATTCCATACCAATCTTATCCAGCCCAGTTCAAGATTCTGTCAAAATCCTTGATCCCAATTGAGTCCCACCACGAAAACCTGAAAAGTCAAAAATAAGTAAAAAAAAGCAATAGAAATGAAAAGGCAAAGAAGATTATGGCTAAATTAGGCTTAAAACCGGCTTTAAAAATTGTTTTATAAACCTATACATTAAGAATGGCAGCTTACGGCTTTTAGACCGACTGATCAATGTTATCCATCTCAGCTTGTAACATCAAAGGCGTTTCCTGTCGCCAATCGCTTCTCAACACATTGAAACCCTGATTCTTGTTGTCCATCATTGCCAAGACAATCTTATCCATCTCAGTTTGACCATCACCTCTTGTTGAGGCGTCTGACTACTTCAATATCATCAGCAGACTTGTGTGACGAAGTAGGTACTAAAGTCAAAGAAAAGATAATACAAAGCCTTATAGATCACTAGAAGAGAGAAACGTCTAGCTTTAGTCCACCATCAACTGATCAATGTTATCCATCTCTATCCAACTTGTAGGTATCAAACCTTGCTGCCCCACTCAAAGTAGCGTCTTGTGTTGCCCAGAGTAAATGGCTAGAGCAGGGAAAATACACTTTCCATCAATCTAAATCATAAAAACTTTTAAAAAGATCAAACTTTGATTTTAAAAATTAAATTTTTCAAGTCGCGTCAAAAAGAATTGATCGGTTTTCTATTAAAAATACACTGAAAAAGGTCAATTCTTTTTGACGCGGCTTGGTTTTTCAATTTAAAATGTGTTCAAATTATTAAAAATGGGTTGAAATTTTAAAAAAAATTTACAAAAGTTTGAAAAACATATTTTAATCATCTAGCTATTAAAGAATGGCAAACTCACGGCTTTTAGACCAATAAGAACTGATCAATGTTATCCATCTCTAAAACAATATCACAAGCGTGCCCAATCCAAGGCGGTATCAGGTAACGGTCCAGAATCTCAAAACCCAGAAGAATCAGCTTCTGAATCCACCAAAATCGACCAGGTTCTTGAATGAAAAAGCCTCAAAACCTTCGGTCTTTCACAATATATTCACCATGACCTCCATTTAGCCAAAGATGCAACTTGGAAGTGCGACAAAACTAACAGCTGTTATAACAGTTATCCAAACCATCTTTTAATGAACTTGTAGCTTTCAACATTTGCTCCTTGTCGCCAGTCACTTCTGGATCACGACATCAGAACTGATCAATGCATTGATCAGTTCTGATGTCGTTGATCAATGTTATCCATCTCACTTTGACCGTCAAATTTTGTCGAGGCGTTTGCTACAAACTTGAATGAGTCTGTAAGATGTGAAAGACAAAATACGTGTTGAAGTCGTCCTCATAAAGAGCATCTTCACATCATAACTGATCAATGTTATCCACCTCCCTCTTCATTCTTGAGGTGATCTTCAGTAGAGGTAGTGACGATCATGATTGCGATCACTTGTTCCCATAAAATTTGGTCAAAACAACCAAAACTGATCAATGTGATCCATCTCACTTTTCATCCTTGATGAGATCTGCAGTATTAGTCGGAGCAGGTCAAGTATTTATTAAAAAAGTCCGCAAATGTTCTTCTTCATGAGTAACATAAGCCAAATTCCATCATGGATCTCTTCACGAATAACGGTGCCACCTCTAAACTGATCAATGTTATCCGTCTCACTCTTCATTCTTGTTAAAATTACAGTCGATGTTTCTGAAGGTCAGTCATCCTATTCCCGGGGAACGGTTATTCCCATAAAACTTGATCGAAGTACCAAGACAGATCAATGTTATCCATATCAATCTTCATTTCGGTTGTCATTGGCATTGATTGGTGCGAGAGAGTTCTCGGATGCAAGGGCAGAGAGGCCTTCCAAACCTATCTAAAACATCAAAATTTTTAAAAAAGTCAAAATTTGATTTTAAAATTAGAATTTGAACTCGCGTCAAAAAGAATTGGTCGTTTTTCTATTAAAAATACACTGAAAAAGGCCAATTCTTTTTGAAGTGGTTTGTTTTTTTAGTGTTCAATAGTTTTTGGCTGTTCCAAAAATGACAAAATAGTTTTTGGCATTAGAAAATTATTGTCGTCAATTTACATTATCTTTCGAGTGCAAAAACGACAAGACTTATGCAACACCCTAATATCCATCACAAGATCTTGTTTAGCTTTCTAAACCCACAAAAAGGACTTTTTTCATGTTCGTAAACCCAAAAAAACATCAAAAGTAAAGTAATATACCTATGACAACATAAAACTCAGCACCAATACCTTGTGTGAATGACAGTGTCACATTCCAACTTCTTATCTAGTCAATGCTTGATCTTTGTCCGATGTTATCCATCAGTCTTAAACCGTTCACACAAGCGAACAGATGAGCTTAGAACCCATAACATCACGATGGAGATGAACTTCTGAGTCCACTACCTCAAGATGAAGATGACCGTCTGATCCAAGCTGTCCCGACCTCAAAACTGATCAATGTTATCCATCTCATGCTTGGTTGAGGCTCTGCACCAAGACTTGAGTCCCTGATAAGTCGAGAACATCTCATCAAAAAGGCAAAGTCGACCGGTCGAACCAGAAGCAAAGATTACTTTAGGTGTATCTTTGGGTATGAACTGACCAATGTTATCCATCTCACCTTGACTACCACATCTCTTTTCCAACTTCGTAAGATCACGACCTTGACCAAGTGCGTTATCTTGCAGTTGACGTGGGACGACTGGCACAATATTGTTTTTGATATACCCTACGGTATAGGCCACGTCCTCTGGTAGTGTCCACTTCTCCTACTTTCATAAATCTGTATCTTTGGGTATGAACTGACCAATGTTATCTATCTCACCTTGACTACCGCATATCTTCAAGCCTTCCTGACCTTGTTGCATGAACAGGGTAGAAGGACGACAGTAGGAAGAGTAATACTTCTTACCCACTTCACAGTACGGAGAGTACGAGGTTCTATCACCATTACAGTACGATGAGTACGAGATCGTATCAACTTGACTAGAGCCAAGCCAGCTAGACCGTTGAGCATCCATCGGGAACGTGAGATCGACCGGTTGGTGGAGAACGAAAGAAGAATCGACTGGTCGGAATGGATGGAGGGCGCAAGGAATGAGCTGTCTTTGGAAAGAATGGTTGGGATAAGTAAGTTGCATATTTCACGTAGGATTTTGAAATTTGAATATTTTTGAAATTTTTGAAAAATTTAAATTTTTTAAAACTTTTTTAAATTTTTGAAAATTTGAAAAAATAGATTAAAGCAGGTTAGGCCAAAGCTAGGGCTTGTGCTAAAGATTAAATTTGAGCTAAGACTAGAGCTGAGGCTCTGGGATAAGGCTCTGAGCTAGGGTTCTAGGCTAGGGCTCTGTGCTAGGTCTCTGGGCCAAGGTTCCGGGTTAAGGCTTTGGACTAAGGCTTTTAACTATTGCTCTGGGCTAGGGCTCAGCGCTGCAGCTCTGTGCTAGGGCTAAGGTAAAGCATAAGTATTGGCTAAGTTAATATGTAATGTTTATTGCTTTGGTATAACAAGGTCATGTAAATATAAAACAAGGAAAAATTGAAAATGTGTTGTTGTAGAGAGTAGTATATGGTTATTAAACATGGTGTAAGAGACAAAAATTATTATTTTTCAAAAAAGTCTATTTTAAAATGGCAGATATTATCAAAAAACCTTAAAATATTACATTATATCAGTAGGAAGACAAGGTAAAAGTGGCTATAACATGCTTTTAAACGTCATTTAGAACTTCTAAAACAATACAGTATTAAAGAAAGGGTTAGTACTATTCAGTATCAGCACAAAAAATGATAGAAAATATCAAAAACTAGCCCTAAAACAATAAAAAATGGCAGAATATAACCCTAGAACAACACATTGATAACAATTTAGACGAAATATCTCATTCTGTAGCTTCCTGGCGCCGAATCCGGCTTCACACCGTTGATCCCATTGGCACGGTGTGGGCATGGACAATATCCAGCATCTTGTCCATGTCCTCCAGGAATACCATCGATACCAGGAAGACCATCACGACCGTCTTCACCCGGCTCTCCGACTTGACCTTGCTCTCCAGGTGGACCTCGTTCACCAAATTTGGCATATTGACCTTGCCTACCTGGATGCCCAGGATTGCCTTCCGGTCCACGTGGTCCTTTTGGTCCTACTTGTGGTACGGCGCGAGTACCGTCCAACCCATGAATACCTTCCTTGCCTGAATATCCTTGTTTACCTTCTGGTCCCACATCTCCAGCTGGTCCGATTGGTCCAGGGAAGGCGTCTTGACCAGGCTGGCCTCGAATGCCAGGATAGCCATCTTGACCAGCAGGTCCAGAAGGCCCTGGTGGACCAGGCTGACCAATCCGACCAGCCGGGCATTGAATACATCCACCGACTTTGGGTACGTCTCCAATTAGCGCCACTCCAGGTGCGCCAGGCCGACCTTTTTTGCCATTCTCACCATCTTCACCTCTCTCGCCAACTTCACCAACTGGTCCTGGTGGTCCAGGTGGACAAGTATGTCTAGCACAACCACATCCTGAACTTCTTTTTGGCCGCAACGCGTGAATCGTGTGCATCTTGTTCCAGGCATCGTCGGCCGTGCTTCTGAAGTCACGAATGTCCAGCATGATGTCTTCGTACAAAGAATTCATATCCTGATACACGTAGCACATGGTGACCAAATAAGCCAAGATGAACACCCCCGCACTGCTCGAGAACAACGTTACTAGCAGTTTGGACATCTACAAGATTAAAGGTTAGAAATGGTCGGTTAGTTATGGAAGGTGAGTATATTATGCACGGTTTTGATAGCTTATGTCACGCTTTTAGCAAATTCATAAAATATTTTTTTGAATTTTGAATTGTTTCTAAATTTTTAAACTAAAGTTAATATAAAGTATCAAGAAAAAAAAGTCTTGTCGTCAATTTATATTGCCTTCAGCAGTAAAAAGCGACAAAACTTTTTGAAGCCTTAAGCCTAAGAAGAGTGAGGAATAAAAGAAGAAGGAAAGAGAGGGGAAGGAGATGATAATAAGATTAGGGTATAATAAATTTTAGTTCTATCCCTTCCCCACGCCTAGAAAAGTAAAGGTTTCAATTTAAAAAAAAATATTAAAAAAGTAGACCCTCCCTTCCTGCGTTACCCTAGCCTTACAAAAAAATCCCTACTACTACCGTACTGACCTCCCTTTATAAATACCACCGTCTTACACATTATTTCTTACCCAGCCTCTATCTTACTCCAATTAATCTAACCTAATTTGATTTGTTTTTTCATTTGCCTTGTCCTGTCTTACCCTGTCTTTTCATAGTCTACTTTGCCCTGCTTTACCTTACCCTACCCTATTCAGCTCTAATTTTTTCTACCCTTCCTAACCTGTCCTATCCTGTCCCCCTTGCTTTACCCAGTACCCTACCCTGCCCTACCCTCCCATCTCTACATTACTCGAAATAACTTTCTCAAATTATATACTAATCATAAAAATATACCCAACTTTGCCATTCCCAATCCTATCTCAGTTCCGCCCTTCCCAAAAGCCAAAACCCATGCCCTCTGAAAAATATTCTGAAAAAAGTCATAAAAACCAACTCCAGGTGTGATAGGGGTGATGTCAGTGGAAGTGAGTCCGAACCCTCACCTTTATAGCGCATTCCAAAAGTCCGCTGACACTTTTCGAGGAAGCGCCTTCAGGTCTAGAATCTTCATTGTGTCAAGTAGAAGACCCCACCTCCACTGCTAATCCTCACTTCCTCAAATGTGTCGAAATTTGCGAGCGATTCAAAAAGTTTCGAAAAATTGTTAACAAATTGAAAGTGAGCGAAAGTGAAAGTTAATATCTCTCCAACACTGAAATAAATCTGCGCCAAACTCAAATTGTCGTCGCGTCGGGAATCAAAAAGCGGATTTTCGCGGCCGAAAAATATTTTTTTCTCTCGCATCGGTTGAATATCGTTGAAAATAGTCTTGATTACTTGTTTTTATTCCGTATTATTGTCTTATACTAAATATTTTTTAATTTTCTCCTTTTATTTCACCTCTACAAAGCTTTCACAACGAAAATTCCAAACTTCCATAAATTTGTCTTCGATGCTATCATGGATAATATTCTAAAATCTTTTTGAGGAATCCAGCAGAATAAAAACATTAAAACCAAAAACAGATGAATAAGAACGACTAATGGTAAGTTTTTTATAATAATTTATTGTCTTTTAGGTAAGGAACGGCTATAACTCTATATTGAGGATGTTGTTCATGATGGCTTTCGTTGTTTGGTTGAGTCAAAAGGTCTGTAAGGTTAGAAGCTACGGGAAAAAGACGTAAAATAGACGGAATTCAATGTACTAGGTGAAGCATTTCCTTTTTAATGGTTTTAATAAAAAAAGTGATAATAACCTATATTGAAGATGTTGTTTATGGTGCCATAAGTTGATGATAGGCCTCTTAACCTCAAGAAAATGGTATATTTAACGGGTATATTATACTTTCCTATAATAATGTATGAAATTCAACAAGATTAAAATTTTTTAATTGTGTAAATTGGCGCTCAGTTAACATATTAAATATGTATCTTCTGATCTGTCAACGCCAATAAAAAAATCAAAATATTTTTTTGTAGGCGACTGATAATTGTAAGAATAAGGCGAGATATGGCACTGATTGCCGCTTGTTGCTTACAACGTACTTTTTTGACAACAAATAGCAATACAAGAAGCTCGTCAGATCAGCGACAGATTACTAATGACGATCGGAAGTGATAAAAAAGAAGTTAATTAAAAACATTGGGAAAAGTTCAAAGACTTGTTTCAAATCGTAGTTTTCTGAAGAAAGGTATGATTAATCTATGGCAATTATAAAGTTAGTTATAATTCTCAGGAATCGCTAGATTTATGGTCGTATTGTTGCGATGATTACATGGTAGTTTTTATGACATCTGAAGTAACTATTATGATTGTGATCTACGAGTTTGTTATTATAGTACTTTTACTTTTGTTAGCTTTTTTGATACTTTTCTGAGGTAAAGTGTTACTGTATTATGTTTGTAAAGTATTTTATTAAACTGGGCGATGCTACAGAAAAATTTATTGGTACTTTTACGGGATAACATAGCACTGTGATAAAGTAGTATAGTAATTCTTAGTTATTGTGTGTTTTTAAAGAAGATTGTACTTTAGTATACATTTATAGTTTTTTGATATTGGTAGTACTACTATACCATACTTAGCCAGTAGTACTGTACTATGCTCAAACAGTACACCTAAAAGGTAGGATAAAATGAGGTAGGGTAGAGTACGGTAGGGTAGGGGTTTCTGCTTACAGTAAACAATAAAAAAGCAGTGTAAACTTAATGTTTCAGTAGTGTTTCATAACAAAAAACATTCTTAAATTAGCAGACGCGACAAGCTTATTGTTTTTTTTTTGAAATTCCATTGATTTAAAAAAAAACTCTTGACTCATTCAAAAATTCGAGGAATCTGCTTCGCTCAATTCGATTATTAATTGTTCCATTTCAATAAAGCTGTTGTTGGTTTTTATAAGTCTGTCAACAGAAGTTGAGAAGTTAAGGTTTATTAATGTTTTAGTTGTTTTACTTAAACTTTATCGTTTTAGTAAAACATTTTTTAGTGTGAGTTAGAATAGATTATAGAGAGAGTAATATAAATTAGGTCTTGACAAGGGTACTATAAGATCAAGAGAGGGAAAGGGTAGGTCAAAGATAGGGCTAAGACGAGCTTGACCTAACGCTTAAACTAGGCTTATGCTGGACAGTAGCTGAACTTCAGGGCTAGAGCTAAGGCTAGCTCTCGGGCTAAGGCTCTGAGGTAGAACTAGAGCGAAAGCTAGAGCTAAAGCTAGAGCTAGAGCTAGAGCTAGTGCTAGAGCTAGTGCTAGAGCTGAAGCTAGGGCTAGCTAATTTATTAGTTATTAGTTAAAAAAGTTCACCAAAAATGTCCATTTTATTAAAACATTCTTCAAACCAGAGATGAGGATTGTCCTACGGCCTCATCCATCATAAAACATCACGCGCTCGGTAACCTGCGTCGTTTGTGGGTGATCATCGTTGATTATCAGTAAGAGTTTCAAGTTCACGTTTTTCACTTTTAATTCTCACTTTTCGGAAATGAAAACTTGGATTTTAAAGAAAAAAGTTTACAAAAACTATAAAAACATTAAAACTATAATACTTTTATGTTACACTAGTCATCCATGACAACGTTAGAAAAATTGCCATAACTTCTTGACCTTTTACTTAAATGTGACAATTTTTGATAAAGTTACGACAAATGTCATTGCATACAAAATTTCAAATTCAATTTGTCGCGTTTAAAACTTTTTTTGATGTATGCTTTAAACTTGTTTATTGCATGTTTGTCTACTACAACATAGTTTTTTGCCTAAAAACTCAGTTTAATCTAGCCTTAATCCTCAAAACTATCAAATTGTCGTTACCAATTAATAGATATGCTTCATATGCCTCTTCGTCACCGCTTCTACCAATGATCGTGAAATGGAGTGTCGGTGAAATGCGCGTGAAAGTCGCGCGCAGACATCAAGGCGCCGCGGAAGTGCGCTGGAATTTTATGGCTTCCGAAAATTGGAAATTCGGCAAAATTCAGAAGACCAATTCGAAGCGTTTTTGTTGACGTAGCTTCGAAAAAAGTCTCGATGAAGCAAGCTCCTTGATGGAAGAGGTTTCGGTGTTGTTTTATGGCTCGAAACAGGCTCGAAATAGCCTTAATTGGTCATTAAACCAACAGTAAGAATGTGACAATCAAGGCAATGGGTTTTGTTCTTGAAGTTTGGAAGGAAGAGTGGAGTAAAGGTGGAGTTAGGTAGGGACGGGGTGAGAAAGAGGATAAAGTAAGGCAAGGGAAGGCAAGGCAAGGCGTTGATAAGGTGCTTTGTGTTGTGCTTAATCAAAAATTCAAAAAAAGTTCGAGTCTGCTCAGCAAATTTTATCTTTTTTACCATTTTTTAACACTTCCACCTGATCTTAGCTTTTTTGCAACACAAAACAATTGTCAAGTTTTTTTGCACTTGCAGTATTGGTTTCAACATTAATCACGAAACGCGAGTCCTGGAACGAGCTCGCACTGATAACATCTTTGCACTTCCACTAATCTAAAAACAAATTCCAATCGCTTTTTGTTGCTTTGTCAGGGGAATAACAACGACTAATGCGTCGAAATTAGCAAGTTGAACATTTTACAAAAAGATTTGAAATTTTTAAAAATTTTAATTTTAACGATTTTGTCCTACTCAGACTCGCTAGCCCTAGCATTAGCCCTATTCCTAGCTTGACGTAAGCCTAACCCAAGCTCTAGTTCTAGCCCAGTCCAGTCCAGGCCAGTCCAATCCTGACTTTTTTGGTCTAGTCCATTCCAGTCCAGTCCACTTTAATCCAGGCCAATCCACTGCAGTCCAGTCTATTCCAGTCTAGTCCAGTCCACTCTAGTCCACTCCACTACAGGCCAGTCTATTCTACTTTAGCCTATAGCAGTAGCTCTGGCATAGCCCTACTTTACAATACATAATTCATATTTTCAAAAATTTGAACAATATTAAAATTTAAAATTTTTTAAAAATTTCAAAAATATGCAAATTTCACATCTCATTCATTCTTTCCAAAAACAGCTCATTCCTTGTGTCCTCCATTCATTCCGACCAGTCGATTCTTCTTTCGTTCTCCACCAACCGGTCGATCTCACGTTCCCGATGGATGCTCAACGGTCTAACTGGTTTGGCTCTAGTCAAGTTGATACGACCTCGTACTCTTCATACTGTAATGGTAGTAGGACCTTGTACTTTTCGTACTGTGAAGTGGGTAGGAACTATTACTCTTCGTACTGTCGTTTTTCTACCCTTGCTATGCAGCAAGGTCAGGAAGGCTTGAAGAGATGTGGTAGTCAAGGTGAGATGGATAACATTAGTCAGTTCATACCCAAAGATACACCTAAAGTAACCTTTGCTTCCGATTCGACCGGTCGACTTTGCCTTCGTGATGAGGTGTGCTCGACTTGATATGAGGACCTCAAGTTTTGGTGAAGATCCTCAACCAAGCGTGAGATGGATAACATAGATCAGTTTTGAGGTCGGGACAGCTTGGATCAGACACTCTTGTTCATTGTGATGCCATGGGTTCTAAGCTCATCCTGTTCGCTTGTTGTACGGTGCAAGGCTGATGGATAACATCGGACAAAGCCCAAAGCATTGACTGCATCAGAAGTCGGAATGCGACACTGTCATTCACACAAGCTATTGGTGCTGTGTTTTATGTTGTCATAGGTATGCTACTTTACTTTTTGGGCTTTATTGGGTTTAAAAACCGATTTTTTGGAAAAATAAACCTTAAGGTAGATGCAAAACGTCATTTGTGTAGCTTTAGAAAGCTAAACAAGTCTTTATGATGAATATTAGGATTTTACAAAAGTCTTGTCGTTTTTATAGTGGAAAGGTAATGTAAATTGACGACAAGACTTTTCTGATGCCAAAAATTATTGCGTCAGTTTTGGGACAGCTTAAAACTATTGAAAACTAAACAAACAGGCCGCGTCAAAAAGAATTGGCCTATTGCAGTGTATTTTTAATAGAAAACCGTCCAACTCTTTTTGACGCGACTTGAAATTTATAATTTTAAAATCAAAATTTGATCTTTTTAAAGTTTTTATGGTTTAGGTTGATGGAAAGTGTATTTTCCCTGCTCTAGCCATTTACTCTGGGCAACACAAGACGCTACTTTGAGTGGGGCAGCAAGGTTTGATACCTACAAGTTGGATAAAGATGGATAACATTGATCAGTTGCTGGTGGAATAAGCTAGCTAGACGCACTGTTCTTCTAGTGGTCTAGAAAAGAAGGAAGCTTTGTCTTATCTTCCTTTTGACTTTAGTACCTACTTCGTCACACAAGTCTGCTCGTGATATTGAAGTAGTCAGACGCCTCAACAAGAGGTGATGGTCAAACTAAGATGGATAAGATTGTCTTGGCAATGATGGACAACAAGAATCAGGGTTTCAGTGTGTTGAGAAGCGATTGGCGACAGGAAACGCCTTTGATGCTTACAAGCTGAGCTGGATAACATTGATCAGTTGGTCTAAAAGCCGTAAGTTGCCATTTATAATGTATAGGTTTATCAAATAGTTTTTAGAGCCTTTTTTAAGTCTAATTTAATTATAATCTTCTTTAGTTTTTTATGTATATTGCAATTTTTACTTATTTTTTCCTTTTCAGGTTTTCGTGGTGGGACCTAATTTGGATCAAGGGAAAATAATATCGGTCAAGTTTTGATATCATTTCCGGAAGCGACTGGCGACAAGGAGAAAGCTATGACATCTACAAGTTGATTAGGGATGGATAACATTGATCAGTTTTGGTGTCACGATGGGTTGGAATCTGACGCCTAGTTTTGTTACAGTGCCAAGGATTCTGAAGTCTATTTTAGTTATGATGTCATGAGTTCTGAAGTTTACCTTCGTCATGATGCTTTGGATTTTGAAGCTTGTTGGCTAGTTCAGAAACCCTCAGGACATAACAAGTCCAACGTTATGGCTATGGCAATATAATGGCAGTCCAATCTCTTGGCTATAACAGTATAATACCACACTAATCTCTTGGCTTTGATAATAGAATTTTTTTTCGACCAGTTGATTAAGAATAAAAAAATATTGGCTTTCTAGGTACTTTATGACCTGAAAAACCATTTTTGAGCTTTTTATCGACCAGCCAATTTAAAAAAGCGAAGAAATGGTTTTTTAGGAACTTTTTGGCCTAGGCTACCATTTTTTTGTATTATTGACCAGTTGATTTTTAAAAAGTAAAAAAATAGTTTTCTACGAACTTTTTGACCCGAAAAATCAATTCTTGTTTTTTTATCGACCAGTTGACTTTAATAAGGCAAAAAATGATTCTCTATGTGCTTTCTGACCCCTAAAAATTTAAATATCTTTTCAAAACTTATTCGAAAAAGCAAAAATGCCTCCCAAAACTTACTGACCAATCAAAAAAAGCAAAAATTCCTCCCCTTTTTATCGACTAGTTGAGTTTTAAAATGTAAAAAAACGGTTTTCTACGAACTTTTTGACCTCAAAATGGTTTTCTAGGTGCTTTTTGACATCGAAGACCACTTTTTGACTTTTATCGACCAGTCGATTTTAAAAAGGCCAAAACATGATTCTCTAGGTACTCTTTGACCCCTAAAAATTTAAATATCCTTTCAGAACTTATTGACCGGTCGAAAACTCCCAAGTTTCCATTCACCTGCTAGTACCAATCCTTTGTATTATTAAGTTTATTAGTATCATTAACAACAAAAAGGAAGGTTAAACGGCTATAGTTTGACTACGTAACAAAAAGGTTAGTAACATGTAAATTGCGTTAAAATATTCAATTTTAGGTATGAAATAGGCTATCAAATACATTTAGATGGGAAAACTGAAAAGTTGTGAAAATCGAGTGTAACAGTAGTGGTGGGTGTAGTACCAGTTATGAAAAAGACCAGGAATGGTACTATTTTGATGAGAAGAGTACCAGTTGTGATTATGTTGTTAAATAAAAATTAGTACCAGTAGTAACCATCACAGTACCACCACACCAAAATTTTAAAAACTGGTACCACCAATACCAAAATTTTAGGAAATCTTTACCAAAAGTACCAAAATCTAAAAATAGTACCAACAGTACCAAAGTTCCAGACATGTGGTACCAAAAGTACCAAACTTCCTTTGCACCAGTACTACAAAAAAAGAAAAAATAGTACCATTAGTACCAGACAGTCCCAGAGACCCTATTTAAAATAAGGATAAGTTGTGAAAATCTAGTGTACCAGTTGTAGTGGGTGTAGTACCAATTGAAAAAAACATCTTTAGATCAACTCAAACGATAGTCTAGCCATTTATTCTACTCAACAAAGATTGTCATACACATTATGTTGTTACTCCTGGGTGGCGTCGCTCATTGCTGATTTCAATTCTTCTGGATAACCGGTCGGTGCGTATGAGTCTACTTTTGAAGTGTCATTCATCTTTAATTTGTCTTTAAGGTCTTCTGCTTTCGATATTCTAGACTTAGAACCTTCTTTTGATCCTCTAGGCTTATATTCTCTTTTTGATCCTCTAGAATTGTGACTTTTTCTTGATCCTTGACGCTTAGAACCTTCTTTTGACCCTCTAGGCTTATAAGTTTTCGAACTGCTAGGCTTCTGATCTTCTTTTGAACCTCTAGGCTTAAAGGTTTCTTTAGAGCCTTTGGATTTCTGTATCCTAGACTTTTCTGGCCTAGCATCGTTTTCAGTCTTCATAAGAGTGGCGTCCTCTTCCAAGTTGCTGGACTTTCCTTCTTTTGAACTTTTAGGCTTAACATTTTCCTTGGATTTCCTAGACCTTTTTCCTTTCCTTGACTTCTTAGGCTTAGAATCATCTTTTTGAGTTTTAGGCTTATGATCATCTGTTGGAGTTTTAGGCTTATCATTATCTTTTGGAGATTTAGGCTTATCATCATCTTTTTGAGTTTTAGGCTTATCACCATTTGTTGGAGTTTTAGGCTTAACTTCATTTGTTGGAGTTTTAGGCTTAACATGATCTGTTGGAGTGTTAGGCTTCTGAGCATCTTCATTATCTGCTTTTTCCTCTTCTGGATTCTTAGGCTTAACATGTTCCTTGGATTTCCTAGACTTTCTCTCTTTTCTTGACTTTTTAGGCTTATGATCATCTGTTGGAGTTTTAGGCTTAACATCATCTGTTAGAGTGTTAGGCTTATGAGCATCTTCATTATCTGCTTTCTCCTCTTCTGGATTCTTAGGCTTAACATGTTCCTTAGATTTCCTAGACTTTCTCTCTTTTCTTGACTTTTTAGGCTTATAATCTCCTGGGCTTTCATTCTTAATGTCTTCTGTTTTCTCACGACTGCCTTTTTTCTTTTTAGGCTTAGCTTCATCTGGCATTTCAGACTTGATTTCTTCTGCCGTCTTAGTCCTGACGTCTTCCTTTGACTTCCTAGGCTTTTTCTCTTTTCTTGACTTCTTAGGCTTAGCGTCTCTCCTTGACTTTCTAGGCTTCACATCTTCTTTTGACTTATTAGGCTTATGCTTTTTCTTCTGCTTCTTTTTGCCATCTTTCTTCGCATCCTCTTTACTATGACCACCTTTACCCGATTCTCTGGTTTCACTGACACATGTTGATGTAGTGATATGATTGTTGATGTCTTGTAGGATCTTGGATTCCTCGTCCATTGACTCCAACGACGGCTTCTGACTGGCATTATAGCTTGAAGGGGTTCGGTGTCCTCCCCAGGCTTGTGGAGCTGTTGATCCGCCTAACCGTGATCCGCTCAATCGTGATCCGCTCAACCGTGATTCGCCCATCATTGATCTACTTCGGCCGGAAATGTTGCTCGACATGCCCATCCGAGATACCGAGCCCAACGGTGATAGTGCATTGGGTGTGAAACGGGATGGACGGTCCATTCGACTCGTGCTGCGTGGCGTGCCAGCAGGTTTGGACTCGTAGTCCATCACGTTCGGCTCCACTTTGACCTTGGGCTTGATCTGTATTACTTCGGCCATTTTTTGTTTCCGATAGCGACAGCAGAAGTTGCAGTAGACAATTATTAAGAGAAGTATGAGAACTGATCCACCACCGTACACATAAATGTTTATCCTGAAATTATATATGGGTGAATACTGTAGTTTTAAAAGGGGCATACTGTAGTCTGGAATGGTAGTAAGAATAGGCAGGTATACGGTAAGGGTGGGTAGAGTATGGTTCATAGGGTAAGGTAGGGCTGGATAGGATATGGTAAAGGTAGGACTTTGGCAAGTCTGGGGTAGAGTATAGTAAGCCTGAGGCAAGGTATGGCTTTGGTAAGGACATAGTAGAGTATGATAAGACTTACCAAAACTGCGTGACATTAGGCGATATAATATCAGCGTCGGAATCATCGCCCATATTTGATGTTTCTTTTAGGATTCGACGAGTTCCGTCAGTCATACCGACCGGTCGGTAGCAAGAAATGTAAAAAAACTAAATGACTTTTGAAAAAAATGGTTTTTAAAAAATTTTAAAAGTGAAAAGTTTTTTTGCTTAATTCACCCTGACCTTTCCTTACCTTATCCCTTTTCTCTACCTTTAAAATTACCTGTAACCTCAAACACATCTCTACCCCTATTCATACCTCTACCCATACCCTACACTACCTCATACTCATAACAGACCCACCTCTCTGCCATTCCCTACCCTACCCCACTTCAAAACCAATATAATTAACATTTATTATATGAACATTGAGATTTGATAAACTTTGACAATATGTATAAATAGATATGGCACATCATTATTAGACACTAGTGTTTAGGCCCATCAGAGTTGGCGGTTCGGGCGAATGAACTCCGCGTCGGCGAAGACCGTCCTGGGTTTCGGCGAAGATTGGGGGCTCGGATTTGTCTACTTCAGCTTCATTGAAAGCCTATAATAATATTTTTGAAAAATGGCGAAAACTTTCTTTACAAGACAAGAAATGGCAAGAACTTTCTTTACAAAACAAATAATGGCAAGAAGTTTGCTTACAAAGCATAAAATAGCAAGAACTTTCTTTACAAAACAAAAAACTGTAAGAACTCTTTACAATGAAGTAATTTTTTTACTACAATAAACTCACATCATTATCGTATCTCCTATTGACAGCCGGTGAGAAAGTGACCAAATTGACCGGTGCTTTCTCATTGGCCAACATTTCTCTTCGCCGCTTACTTATCGTCCAGCAATACATGAATATCATCACTATTACCTAAACATCAAAATGTTATTTGGTAGAGATATGGGTGGGGACAGGGCCCGGCCCTGGGTGGGGGTAGAGTGGGGCGGACTTAGGGGTAGGGCAAGGTAAAATACGGCAAATTCAGACAACCCCACTTACAATAATGATAGCTACAGTACTCAAAAAGGCGGTAAGCCATTTCAAGTAGTTTTCCATTTCACGCGATCTACACCATGGCTGATCTCCTTTGTTCCACTCGAATCGGTACTGATTTGGGTTGTTGTAGTCGGCTATTAGGTCACCTGAAACAATATATTAATACTCCCAATCAATCTTAGGATAAAAAATAAAGGTGTATAACTTTTTTTATAACTTTACATCATTTTTTGCTTATTTTTGAATTTTAAAGCCAAAAATTGATAAATCATGTTTTCGTGGTGGGACCCATTTTTTCACAAAACCATTAAAATTTGATTAAAAGGGTCATTTATATACCATAGTATTCCAACAAGAGTCATAAAATACTACTCTGAACGATTTAAAGCCAAAAATTGAAAGTTCGTGTTTTCGTGGTGGGACCCAGTTTTTCTAAGGAGCACTAAAATCTAATCAATAAGTTATTTGTATAACAGTATATTCTAATATGAGTCACAAAAATGCTATTCTGACCGGTTAAAAACCGAAAATTGATATTTCATGTTTTCGTGGTGGGACTTAAAACTCCAAGATAATAAAATTTTTAAAACATATTTTTTCGTATTTTACAAACTTACATCTAAACTCCTCGGTGCCCTTGGTCCAATGACTTTGGAAGCATTCGAATTTGACCACATCGCCTTGAAGATAGCCGGAGGCAAAGGCTGGCGATTTCATCAAATATTCCGGATATTCAATGTTTATCGGCCCGCAGCTGTTGTCTAAATCAATTTACTTTGTTAAGAGGGATTTGTAAGTTCGTATTTTACCTTTTCTCTTTATTTTTAGCTAACAAAACTTCAATTTTTGACGGTTTTACTATTGAAAGACCTTATTTTAGGCCTATCTTGACTGTTTTTCAGCCTTTTTTAGACTTTTTTCGCCATTTTTAATATGAGATCACCCAAACAAAATCCAAAATTTTTAAAAAATATGGTCAGAAATTCAATTTAACACCAAGTTTTATTAAAATTTCAAACTTCTCACATTGCCTCATTGTGTCTTTCCTATCCAATTCGAAGGCATTCCAATGATTCTGAAGCTCCAAACCCAAAATTTTCGAATTGAACATGACATAGTCGTGCAAACACGGCACACTATCACCACACTCGGCTATGATGGCGGCTGGATTGTCCGGACAATTCTCGCGACCATACTGCTCGGTGAGTTGGCCTTGAAGCGGTTGCATTGCCACTGTAAATTATATTGATTTAGGTAATATGGAGGGGTTTTTGGGGGTGGTATGGTCATTTATATATCAAAATGTGAGCTAAAACTAAATTTCTACTTCAATAAGTCGGAGGCAATAGCTTTTATACCAGTTTTTAGTATTTTCAAGATAAATATTTAAAAAATCATGTTTTCGTGGTGGGACCCAAAATTTTTAAAAATCGTTAAAATTCAAGAAAAAATCATTTTTACATTGACAAAAATCAATCTTAAGCTAGTATAACAGTATTTTATGTTGTTAAAAGCTAAAATTCTACCAATTCATGTTTTCGTGGGGGACCCAAAAAATTTTAAAAATAGAAAACGATAAGCTTAATCACAAAAAATAACCTTATAAACAACATCTAAACCAAATATTTTGTAAAATGCGCTGGTCTCCACTTACAGTTAGGGTTGTTTTGTAAATCTCTGCACCTCTGGACCAGCTGAATGAGGTCTTGACCTGTACGACCACGGAACATGTAGATACCACTGAAATTTAAATGTGAAAATTTTTAATAAACAGCTAAAATCTATTTTTATGCATTTTGGCTTTTTTCCGGCCAAAAAATGAAGACTCAGGCTTTCGTGGTGGGCCCCACAAGGATTGAAGTGAAAATACCGTATTGAGTAATAAAGCCATGTTAAATTGAATAGATAGTTAGAATATGCTATCTTATTCACATTTTAGTATACTTTGACTTTCTTAACTGTAACAACTTACTTTTCGTATTTAGGAGCCACCTTGAAGATGGGTGTATTCTTCATGGCGACTTCTGGGAAAACTTCGAATTTCTTGTCCTCATCTCGACTGGTAACGAACATATTATCAGTAGGCATGAACTGATTCAAAATTCCTTGCGTATTCTGACTTCCCGGACCTCCGGTTCCAGGTACTCTGTCTGAAACATCAAGATTTATATCAATCATCATGGTTAATATCGGCTTATCCCATAGAAAACTCGCTATATCTTCAAAATTTCAAAATATTAAGTACAATGTCATACACCGTCTAAAAGCCCATTATTTTGGCTTCAAAAAACCTACACATGTTAATAATTTGGCCTCGGATTGAATCCGGATTCACGTCGTTAATGCTCAGCCCTTGATACAAGGACCCAGTGCTTTGGTCGGGGAACGGTCGGATTAAGCCAGAAACTCGTGGCAAATCATAACGTTGACGTAGCTCAGCATCACGAGTGTTGTCTCCATCGGGGCGGACTCCGTATCTAGGTGGGACACTTACCTACAACAAAATTTTTAAATTTTTTCAATATTTTTCAAAATTTTTTTAAATTTGATATATCTTCAAAACTAGTTATCCGAACTGACTACAAATTGGCATATAAACCGTTTTGGTTATGTTTGACCTATTTTAGGACTCAAAGCTGTCATAATGAAGTCTTAAGAATCACAAAAGGACGGTCACTTTGCCCTCTGTGAAAACTTTGATGCCTACTACAATATTTTTCGATGTTCTGCCCTTACCACTAACTGACATATGTTACATTTGTACTTAAAATGTAGCTAAGACCATGCCTGATCATACTTTATATCGTTAGAAAAAAAATTTTTTTCTAAAAAATTCAAGATTTTTCCCTCAAATTTAGTGCTTACATCAATATTTCTTGCTTTTCCACCCCCAAATCAACCAAAACCATTTCAAATTTAAACTCAATTTAAAGCCAAAACCCTACCTGAACATCCAGAATTCCCATACTCTCCTGATACATACTCAACCGGTCAATATCAAGCGCATAACTCTCCCGAATCCTAATTCCGATCTCGGCTTCTTCCAGCACTACATAGATCTCGGGTTGACCTCTTTCAACGTTGTTAACGTAGATCAGCACTCCTTTAAACCTTTGTAGTCTCATGGTATCAAAGTACCGTAGCAAGTTACCGACAATAATGTTGGTTCGGTATCTAAAACGTCGTGTATCCCCACGTGCTGTGACGTGGACACGGTCGGTTCCGGAGGCTTCGATGGCTACACCTGTGATAACGGTACCGTTTGTGGGTTGTACCAGGTCAGCTTGTGACATGTATCGTCCCAATAAACCTGAAAGTTGATATTTATGTTATTTTTAGTTGTTTTCATATTAGGTTTGGTCTAATTTGGCCGATCAGAAGGCCAAATTTTGAATTTTCATTTTCGCGCCAAAATTCAAAATTTTTATTTACAGGCCAATACTGTAAAAACAAGTATCAGTACTAACAAAATACATTTTAAAATAGTTTTTTAAAAATATTTTTTATTTTATTTTCGAAAAAAAATTCAAATTTAGTTTTCCCGCCAAATTTGGCATTCCGTTGCAACTGTTAAAAAAAGCTTTATCATCATGTATCATAACTAATAAAGTATATCTAAGCTTTCAAAAATCAGTTTTAAGTCTTTTAACAAAATATTTAACAAAAAAATTTTGAATTTTATTTTTTGCGCCAAAATTGGCATTCCGTTCAAACCGTCCTAATCCTTTTAAATTCCTCAAAAATACTCCAAAACTTACTGAAATCCACCTTTCTATTCGGGTACCTCTCCAATCTCACTTGAATTCTCACTTCTGGGTTGTTGACCGTCTTTGGTATGTACAACAAGGTATAGACACCAGGCTCGCTGAAGATGAACTTCTGATTATCAATCGTACTAAACGTTCCTGCTCCCAATCCATATCCCACAGCTGGTGGTTGGTACTGTTGACAGGCTGACGATGGTCGGCGCCAGTAGAACATTTGGCAACGGAATTTGGCAAACTTGCAACACAAATGGTATGGCATGTAGTCGTGATGGAAGGAACTCAGGCCCGGAACCTCGAATTGACCTAGATAAGGCGAGGATCCGAATTCATATGCTCGTAGAGGAAAGCCAGGGTTGTAATGCATGTTTTCGACCACTTTAATCACCGGTTGATAAGTGGTTTGTTGGAGGAAACCTTCCGCATCGTAACAGCATACTTGACCATAGTGAGTGGCGTATCGGCTAAAAATTGAATTTTAGGTAAGAAAACTTGAGAAAATTAAAAAAGTGTTTTATGACAAAGATAGAGAATTTAATTTACACTAGAAACAATTATTAACGTATTTTACAAAAACTTTATTTACACCCATAAAACTTCAAAAAATGAAATTTTTTAAAGAAAAACTAAGCAAATCGGCTTAAAATAGAATTTTAGGTAACAAAATCAATTAAAATCAAAAAACTGATTTATGACAAAGATAGAGAATGTAATTCCCTACAAAATGCAATGCACCGTATTTTACAAAAACTTTGTTTACAGACAAAAAAATCAAAAGAAAGCAATGAAACCCAAAAATTTGTTGCCAAAAGCCATCTTTCCTTCACATTTTTTAACACTACAACCCCAAAACTACAGTAACCCACCCGAAACCCAATCAAAAACCTACTTCATAAAGTCGTCCCTCTGCCTATTAGTACCAGCCGATGATCCATACACATTTTGAGCGCTCATGTAGCAATTTTCCGCGCCAATCATTTCCGTACAAGTGATATCACGGAAAGCCTGACTACACCGTGGGTGGGGCATGAATCGACCCAAATCTAGTCTAGCCTGCGTCTCCGTGCATGGACAAGAAGCGTTGGTCTCGACTTCACGCAAAAAGTTCCATTGAGCACCATCCTCGTCGTACCAATCGTGACACATTTGGCGTGCCTTCTCTTCCACAAATCGTTCGCGGATCTCCGCTTCGGCGAAGGAAAAGGTGGTGGTTTCGTACATTGGATTGTTCATGGTCCAGAGGAAGTGAAGGGAAATTGGCGCTGAGACTAGCCTGAAATAGGTATGTAAGTTTGTTAAAAAAATAAAAATTTTTGGGTCCCACCACGAAAACCTTCAAAGACAAATTTTTTCGATAAAATAATAAAAAATGCGGTTTTATCCTCAGATTATAAAATAAATAACACCATTATTACTGTAAGTTAACTTTTTGATGTAAATTTTATTTTTAGGTCCCACCACGAAAACATTTAAAGTACGAGTTTGTAGATACAATTTTGTAAAATACGAAATTGCGCAACTGAGAATAAAAATAGTTGTTTGATAAAAATTTAAAAACAGTACGTTTTACAAAATTTTACATTTTGGGTTCCACCACGAAAGCTTTCAAATTTAGATACAATTGAAAAATATAGTAAAATACGCATTTCTTAAGCAAAATAGTTAATAGTAAAACGTCTTTTTTCATTAAAATATCAAAAAACTGATTTTTTGAAACTAAAAATTACAACAATATGGGTCCCACCACGAAAACATCAAAAACCATAATTTATCCAAAAAAAACCTCAAAAACATTACCCAGAGATGAGAGTAGGTGGTGTAGGTTCATTGGCTCTGATCGGAGCCAGCTTTAGATACCCAAACCTGTACGAATACAGCTCGTACATCCTCTCCCAGTCGGTAAGGTACCATTGCTCCACCTGGTACAGGTTAATGGTTTCTTCTTGTGGATTGAATCTATGTTCAAGGTCATTTCGATTCGAGTATGTTGCCAGCCGGCATATGACCCGATGTTCTGGCCTGAATTTTTTCATTTGGTCGTCCTTGAACTCCTTGTAGCCGACTACATACAAGCCCAGCTGAACACTGTAGATGGTATCGTCCGAGATACGGAATCGTATGTCGCGTTGACCCGTTGTATATAGGTCTGGGTTAGTGAAGTTGCGAGGGTACCATGAGATTGGCATTACTTGGTAAGGGAGGGGGTTTTTTCATCCAGTCGTATATGTTACCTATGTCCAGCCGCATCGGGTCCAGGGTTGGGGGTACTGTAATGAAGAGTTTTAACATTGTAAACCCCAAAAAATCAATTTTTTGATTCTAGACTTGTTATAAAATGTCATTAAAAAGTAGAAAAATTTGATTTTTTGCTGAAGCAAAACCCAATAAATTTGTGACACTTCGTTAAACTTTCCGATAATTTTGGTGGCATTTCGTCAAATTTTAAAAAATACATAAAAAATTTTTTCATTTAACAAATGTTGTAAAACGTCATTAGAAAGTACAAACGTTTGATTTTTCGCTAAAAACAAAACCCAATAACTTTGTGGCACTTCGTCAAAATTTTAAAAAATGCATTGAAATTACTCTAAAATAAATAAAAACTAATTTATTATACTCTACGACATTTTAAAAATTCCAATAACCTTGCACGTCTGTCTGAAATGGGAAATGATCAATAGTGGCTTTTCGTTCGTTGCGAATTGTTTTTAAATTTTATTTTAATTTTTGCGTTGAAATGTAACGAAAAGCCAGAAAATTCCATTTCAAATTTTTGTTTTATTTCAGACAGACGTGCCTTGTGACACTTCGTCTTATTCTTCAATAATTTTTGTAACATTCCGTCAAATTTTTGCAAATACTGGAAAATCACTTAGGAATAAATAAAAAGTAGTTTTTTCATATTCTACGTCTTTTTTAAACAAAATCTGATGAATTTGTGACAACTTGTCTAGTTTTCCAATAATTTTTTGACATTTCGTCTACTTCTAATATTACTCACAAGGAAGGTACCCGACCTGCAACGCTCAGATTTGGTTTAAATTTTTTCTATTGAAAGAGCATGTAAATGTAAAATTCTAAGTTGCGGTTTGCGGCCACTTGAGAAAATCGAGATCAAAGAATTGCGTTTTGTATTTCCCGCCAACTTGGCATAGTGTTGCAAGCTTTTAACTTCGTCAATTTTTGACTTTTAATTATTTTTCTTTAATATAATGATAGAAAAGCTTCAAATAAACCTACATTTTTAAATTTGTAAGCTTATCTTGTCTGGAACATCAAAAAAAGTGCTTGCAACACAATGCCAAATCTGCCAAATTGGCGGGAAATGTAAATATATTAATTTTAAAACCTAAAACCGCAAGCTAAGATTTTTTATGTGTGCTAATGGTACTACAAAGAAACCGTATAAAAATTTTGAGCTAATTCTAAGAGTTGCATGTTGGGTACTTTCCTTGTCAGAGAAAGTAGCGTACAGCGTATTTTACAAAACTTACCAAAGTAAACATATCCAACATAGGCTTTTTCATCATTGGCTTTGTTTTGTTGTGGTTGGAAGTACAGAGTCTTGGTACCCCAATCGTAGATACGAGGTACTGTACATCTGGCTATACTTGGGTTCAAGACAGTGCAGGTGGCTGACTATAACAATTTTTATTAATTTTTGGTGTTCACATAGTCTTTCTACAGCAATATTTTGCATTTATAGTATTACAGTATACCTAGTAAAGAGGCAAAAAAGTCTTGTCGTTTTTTATATAGAAAATCAATGTAAATTGACGACAAGACTTTTTGAAAGTGTATTATAATAGCTCAAACAGAAGACATCGTACAATACAGTATCCTAGAGCACATTGTAATACCATACCTTACCTTACCCGATCCTACCTTATCCTGCCCTACCCTCGTCTATCATACCCTATCCTACTCTACCCAATATGGTACTATACAGTACCCCACCCTACCTGACGCTGTTCAATCATCAAAATATAAGTCTGTCCAGGATCCAAGCACATGGCATTGATATCGATTGTCATCTCACCCAACATGTTAATGATATTTGGGTATATTAACATAGGATAAGTCCCTCCAGTCTTGTTCGAACATCCTCCCGGCCTCACAACATCATCAACACGGAACATGTACCGTCCTCGTACCATGTGAGGAACGGCGGAACGTTCCGCCAACACTTTGGGAGTGTTTTTGTACATTTGAGTTGGGTCAACGTCCACGAAACCGGTATGATTTCCGCCGTTGAACAGAGCCTGGAAAGAAAGTTTTTGCAACTATTTTTCGAAAAAAGTTAAAAATTACTACTTTTATCTCCAAAAGCCTTAAATTATACTTTTAAATCTTTTGAAACGAGTTTAACGTTCTAAACCTGAAAGTCAGGCTCTTCGTGCCAGGACCCAACTTTTCTAGGAAAAAATTCATTTTATAATATAAAATAACCAATATAGCTTTGCAAGTTTTTTTGATTGTATGACGTGTTTTACAAATTATGAAAAAAACTTTAAAAAATGTTTAATTAAGGTTTTCGTGGTGGGACCAAACTTTTCCATCAAAAACTTTAAAATTTAATTTTAAAACTCCTTTTTTTAACTTGAAAGCTCCTTTTTTATCCTAAAAAAGTTTATTTACTACCCATGTTCGCCAAAAAATACAAGTTTCATGTTTTCGTGGTGGGACTCAACTTTTTTGTCAAAACCTCCAAGTTTTGCTTTTAAAACGCCTTTTTAAACTTTAAAATTAATTTTTTATTCTAAATAATTTGTTTGCTACCTATATTTATCAAAAAATACTAGTTCATGTTTTCGTGGTAAGACCCAACTTTTTTAATTTTCCGAAATTTTGTTAAAATTTCAAGGTTATAGTTTTAAAAAACTATTTTTTAAACCTAAAAAACGAATTTTGTTTTATATTTCGATTTTTTAAATATTTTAGGAACCAAACTCACCCTGCACCTTCCACTCCTCGAGTTGGCCCTGAAGTCGGCAGCATCAAAGCCCAGCTTCTCGTAATTCAAAATGACATAACTCAATCGACCTGGATTATCACTCAACCACACCACCTGATACGTCGATAGTTGTCCAGCATCCAGATCCGAGCGGCCTGAGACGGCCGAAGCCGTGTTGAACCAGGTGACCACTAGTGCTGTGTCAGCACGGAACGCTGTAGCACCAGCCACGCCCTCCTGAAGCCATCGCATCATTTCGTCCAGGAAGTAGTCGGAATTGGCGTCACAACGCACATAAGCACCGTCCACATTCGGGCATGGGCGTGCTGGACCAGCACCAAAGAAGGCAGATTGCTGGATGGTACCATCCGGTCCCAGTCCACCTGGTCCACCTCGGCCGTGTAGGGATTGCCGGCGGATTAGGCGGAAGAAGACGCCAGTACGAAGGCCTGGGATGGCATCTTGAGTGATCTGTTGCTTGCAGAGGTAGGGGGCGATCATGGCTGGGTCTTGTACTCGCGGCCAATCAGTACTGTCTGGTCCTATATTGATGGTGGGGCCTTGGTCAAGTACAGTGGCGAAGGAGAGGTAGCCGTTTACTGAGATCTGAAAAGTTTTTGAATTCATGCAAATTTTAAAAGTTAAAACTCACAATAGTATAGTTATACCATCCTCCATAGAAAGGGAAAAAGTGATGAAGATCGATGGTCTGCCCAGATGTTAACATCCCCGGTACCACTTCCAAGTCGCCTTGTTCCGGCCCAAATGGTACCAAATTAACTAAAATAGTACCAAAATTATTAAAAACTCCATTTTCAACATTTACTCTACAATAATATACCTAAAATAACACAAAAACCAAGCCCTTACCTCCATAAAACGCGTTTTGACCAGTGCCCGTGAAGAGGCCCGGGTTCTCATTCGGCCCCAAATTGGTCTGTACTTGAGCAAAACTTGACTTTATATATACAAAAAGGGCTAGGCTTAAAGCCCAGTGCCAGGGTTTTAGTTTTATCATTGTGGTTGAACTGGCATAGAGGTTGAAACCCTGAAAAAAGTTATGTTATAATTGGAGATTGAGGCAACAAGTGGAATATAAATTAATATAGCGCGAAGATATGGACTTTATATAACAAACATTCTGATAAAAATAAAAGTATAGATTATTGTGAATATTATAAAACCAAAAAAGTAAACGAATGTTTCAAATACAATCAATAAAAAGTGACACAAAGTTGCAAAACCGCTACAAATCGCAAATTTTGAGCGAAAATGGTAATATAAGTTATCATAACTCATGACTATATAGTGAACAAAATTAAGGTCAGAGTAAAAAAACAAAGTTTTCTGAATCAAATAATACCAAAAACTACTTGTTATTACATTAACATCAGAAAGAAAAATTGGCACAAAGCCGACAAACTCTTGAAAAATCCAAAAATATAGGTCAAAATGTTGATTTAGATCGTCCTAACGCAAAGATACAACTATATTATAATGAAAATTGATGTCAATATAATAAAACAGAGTTTATTGAATCAAATAATACCAAAATCTAGTTTATAAAACCTCAATATAGCCAAGAAAAGTCGAGGTAAAGTCCATCAATCCCCCGAAAATTTCAAAATTTCTCAAAAATCGCAGTTAATTGCATTTTCTAGCCTAAAATAACATCCAAAATTATTAAAACTGTTCTAAAACCATTACCGTTATCTTCCCCATCCTTTTCTGATTATTCCAAACCTTAAAACCAGTTCAACTCATAACCTATGACCTATGAAAAATGAATAAATTATAGGTAGCGCCTGGAAAATGACCAATAATCGTCAAGTTTTGAAAGAATTACTGATTCATATGTTTGTTATATTACATGGAAGAAAGTTTTACTTATAATAATATGAATTTAACATGTTTTTGCAATATTATTTTTTAAATAGTTTTTGAATTTTTGAATTTTTGGCAAAGATATTGAGGTTTATATTATCATAGACAAGAAAAAATGGGGGTTTTTTGCAATTTTTAATTTTTTAAAAATTTTTTAGATTTTTTTTTAATTTTAGAGGTTTTAAATGTTTGTTATGGTCAAAAAATAAATGGCAGTACATTTATTGTTACAGTTAACATTAAATTTTGGCCTAAAACCCTCATTTTTACCTCAAAAACGGCCAAGAAAGTCAGTTTTTTGTTAAAATTAGCCCGATTTTTGCTATTCTTGTTGCTTATTTCAAACTCTTACTGTAATTTTTTCAAAAAAACTTGTTTTATATATTCACCATGATCTTGTTTTCCAACTTGATAAAAATTTTTTTAAAAAATATTTTTTAAAATCTTAAAAAATCAATTTTTCTCTTGCTAGTCATCTCTTTTTTCCCGTCATTTTTGGCCTTTTATGCAAATTTTCAATTTTTTCTCATAAAATTTCAAAAAAACTATATGCAAATTTCGAAAAACGTCAAGAAAGGCCCAAACTTTCGTTTTCAGTTCAGTCGATTTCTCTTCGAACTTCGTGGACGGTCGTTTTGTCAGTTGTGGAAAGCTTGCGTTGCTGTTGGACGGTCGTGCAAGCTCTGCTGTTCTTGGAGGGATATGGATGGTCTACTGTTCTTGGATGATCATCGATGATCACCGTGTTGTTGTGGAATGTCTTTATCGTTCTTTGGATGCCCTGCCATTTCTAGACGGTTGTGAATGCTCTACTGTTCCTGGACCTTCGTGCACGCTATTATGTTCCTTAGCGGATTGCTAGTTATCTGGTCAAGAACGACAGCCACCGTTCCGTGAAGTACAATGGCCTTGAGTTGGTGTGCGTAGCCGGTCACTCCAAGGAATCTGAAGTGAAGTACGATGTCATGACTTTAGAATTGACCCGTCTTCATGAATCTGAAGTGATAAGCATCGCACTCATGGTGTCACCAAACTCGAGATGCGAGCTGTGAGTATGATGTCAGTCAAGAATATCCCCAACCGTTACGTGAAGAACGATGACATTGAGTTGGAATAACGATGGCTGTAGCTTGAAGATGAGTCCGAGATGGATAACATTGATCAGCTTGGTGGGTTCTGGAGGCTCAGATAAGATAATATTGGCTTCTGGAGCTTGAGAAGAGGATTGAATGATCAGAGCTCTTGGTCGTGTTAGCAATGGTCGTTAACAGAAAAGACGCTCTCCATGGCATCACATTGGATACGAAAGTCGGCTTTATTCTGTCCCACTTCGACTGGGAAAACTACTAGTCGTGGCTCGACTACCGTGTGTTGTTTGGCATGGCGGCGTTCTTGAACGACGTCCACGAATGCGATGGTTTTGTTGGAGACTTTGAGTATTACTTTGGCAAATACACGGCCAATTCACAAATAAATATAACTCTTCTATTGGGCATGGGTAATTTTTTCCTGTTGTGTATGTCAGTTAATGCTCTATCGGGTATGGTTGCGGTTTTCCTATTGGAGATGGGTTTTGCTTCTCTGTTGAGTATGGGTTTCGCGACCCTATAGAATATGGTTTAAATTTCCTATTGTGTATGGCTTAAATCCAATAATTCTGAAGTTTTACTTTTAAGGAGCTAGTTGAAGTTCAGACGGATCGAAGACGCCGTTGGTTCAATTGCCGTCAAATCTTCAGCAAATTTCTACTGAAGCTAGACGATTTGTTCGAAGAACAACACATTTGCGATGACCTCAAAGTTCACGTATGTTCTACCAGTGAACTTCAGGGATTTATTCGGCTGGAAAGCCGAATAAATCCCTGTCGCAAGCAGATGGCTAAGAGATGGATAATATTGATCAGTTTTGAAGATTCCGAAGTCAAGAATCTGAAGCCTTGAGGAAGGATGGCTCGGGTCAGTCCAAGAGCAATAATCAAATTGGACACGACAAGAAGATGGAGAAGAGATGGATAACATTGATCAGTTTGGTGGATTCAGAAGTCTTTGGAGACGAATGAGGCCAGTTCAAGATCTACACATAAGCCTAACTGTGTAGTGATTCCTTTTGTCACCGTGATGTTGTGAAAAGCTTGCGTTGTTGTGGGACGGTCGTGCACGCTCTACTGTTCCTGGGCGGTCGTGAACGCTATGATGTTCTTAAGTGGATTGCTGTTTACTTGGCTAAGACCGACGATCACCGTTCCGTGAAGTACGATGACACTGAGTTGGAATAACGATGACTGTAGCTTGAAGAAGATTTTATCGTGCTTTGTTCATGATCGACGATGTCTAAACGACCTATGCAGAACAAGTGATTAATGGTACTGTTGGCCCTGAGTTTGCCGTGCCACAACTTGGCAACGTTTTTAACATCGCTCGAACGTGGATGAAGTCGGACAATGATGACTGTAGCTTGAAGATGAGTCCAAGATGGATAACATTGATCAGTTTGGTGGCTTCTGGAGTTCTGTAGATCTTGCAACTCAGGTCTCACACTACGAAAAGCATCCGAAAACGTCAGGAATCTATTTTGTGCATGTTCATGGTCTCTGATGCATTGTTTTGAATCCACCTTGCTGATCTGCCCAACCTCTGCTTCACCTTGCTGATCTGCCCAACCTCTGCTTCACCTTGCTGATCTGCCCAACCTCTGCTTCACCTTGCTGATCTGCCCAACCTCTGCTTCACCTTGCTGATCTGCCTAATCTTTGCTGACTCAAGCCTAGAATATCTGCTGAGTCAAGCCCAGAATCGTATTTGGAATCCGGTTGCGTTCATCGATCACATTCAGAATGATCATCGTGAGTTTCACTACCTTGTCGTAAACCAAGAAGTAGGTAAAAACAAGACATACCAGGCCAATTACTGTGCCATTTCGTGAAGAAGAGTCTTAATACCTATTGGATTCTGAAGCCAAATAACGATGGCTGTAGCAAGCAGATGGCTACGAGATGGATAAAATTGATCAGTTTGGATTCTGAAGGCCTTAGGAGAGGTTTGAAGGACCACGGAGCGGTTCAAAGCATTGTTCTAACCACGGTTCAAGGCCTATTGGATTCTGAAGGCTTCAGTTGATCTTTTAAGGAGATCAGTTCGGAAGAACCTTGGGCCCATTGAAGATTCAGAAGGCTCAGAGAAGATAACTTTGATCAGTTCAAGGATTCTGATGCCGAATAACGATGGCTGTAGCAAGAAGATGGCTACGAGATGGGTAACATTGATCAGTTTGGATTCTGAAGGTTACTGAGGAATCTGAAGCCTCGAGAGAGATAACAGAGATCTGTTCAAAGATTCTAAAGCCAAATAATGATGGCTGTAGCAAGAAGATGGCTACGGAATGAAGATAAACTTGACAAGTTCTGTAGCTCCTGAAGCCCCAGGTCAGATTAGATTGGATTCTGGAGCATCAGAAGACGATTGAAGAACCAGGAATGATAACACATTACCATCGTCATTCAAGCCTGGAGGTTGAGATGATAACGGTGAATGTGCTTTTCCACTTGATCAAGGTAGAAATCACACGGTTCCTCGTGATTGAATCAGTCGTCTTGATGGCCAACTCTCTATCTTCGTTAGAACTCGATATCAATCAGAGTTATTACCCGTAGAATAATAAATCCTAGTCAATAGAAATCAACGTTTTATAGGTAAAAATCTTGTGGAGACGAACCTTGTAGCCGTGAAAGAAGACACCAGCTTCTATGACAAGATCAGACTGACCTGATTGACTCGAGTTTAAGAGGGAGTATTCTTGTAGACAATGATGTTTGAAAGTACTCTGGAGCTTGTAGAGCCTTGAAGATGATTGTGAAGCTTTAGAGAAGATAACATTCGCTTCTGGAGGTTGAGAAGAGGTGTGAAGGATTAGAGATGATAAGATTGATCAGTTCAAGGAACCAGAATTGAATTTTACGTTTGCATTGTCAAGAAGATGGTCTAGAGATGGATAACATTGATCAGTTTTGAGAGCCCTAAAAGCTGTATATGATGATTGAAGGTTGTCTATATGGGTTGAAGGCTCAGATAGGATAACAGAGATTAGTTCAAGGTGATGAAGAGGAGTATGGAAAGATTGACATGCATCTTAGTGGTCTAGCCATGAAGGATATTGAGGTAGATAACATTGATCAGTTTGAAGGATTCTGAAGCTCAGATGGGTACCGTGGCCTCATATGGATTCAGAAGGCTGAAAAGGAAACGAAATTGACAGGTCTTGTGATTGATAATATTGATCACTTGAGCGATTGACGAGGTCAGCAAGAGATGTTTGAAAAAGAATTGTAAGTGATTGTAGAATATATTGTAGTAGGTATGATGGCTAGTGTATATTGAGTTTAAATGGTTGTGGTAATTGATATTGTGTAGTAATTACTATGTTTAGATGCTGGTTACCATTGTCACGTTACTGCAGCCCCGGCATGATGATGTTACCGTACCGTGATTGACTTTGGAGAATGGTGGTTCAGCAAGATGGATCAGTCTAGCCATTCTGCGCACCGTAGCCGATTAGTTTCATATCTATGTTGTGTAACGTAGTCAAGCAGTTCTGTAGCTACGTTGTGTCGTAGCCGATCATTTCCGTAGCCATGCGCTGTCTGGTAGCCGGTCACGCCAAAGAATCTGAAGTGAAGTACGATGTCATGACTTCAGAATTGGCCCCGTCTTTATGACTCAGAAGTGATAAGCATCGGGCTCATGGTGTGACCAAAGTGGAGATGCGGGCTGTGAGTGTGATGTCAGTCAAGAACGTTCTCCACCGTTCCGTGAATAACGATGAGATTGAGTTGGAGTAACGATGGCTGTAGCTTTGAGATGGGTCCGAGATGGATAACATTGATCAGTTTGGTGGATTCTGAAGAGTTTGAAGAAGCCTGGAACAGTAGCTTGTCTAACGCTGGCTAATTAGGACTGATTCATTCCAAATGAAAATGGCAGTTCAATCAAGGAGGCATATTGAAGAAGAAGGCAATCACCGTGCTGTGCCGTGAATGGTGGCTTGTATGATATGACTCAAGGTTGAAAGCTTAAACAGATGATCTATGTTAACGTTGGAATAACTGAATGTTGTCTTACCATCGTCCAAGATCAGAATTTGATGTAGAGGTGCGGTACTAATGAGAGTGGAGACCTCAAGAAGTATGCCGAAGGCTATGCAAGAATATGAAGCCTACAGGCAATGGAGATGGATAATATTGATCAGTTTTGATTCTGAAGGCTGTTGACGAACCTGAAGCCTCAGAGAAGATAACTTTGATCAGTTCAAGGATTCTGAAGCCAAATAACGATGGCTGTAGCAAGAAGATGGGTCCAGGATGGATAACGTTACTCATCTTGGATTCTGAGATGACACCACACTGGTCCTCTCAAGAAGAACGGCCTAGAGATGACTAGAGATGGGTAATGAAGTTGTCCTGATGACTCGTTGAATCACAGTGATGGTATAAGTTACGAGCAAGTTGATCTGGGAAGATGAACTCGAGATGGATAACATTGATCAGTTAAAGAATCGGAATAGGAAGCCAAGGCAAGATGGCTGTAGTAAGACAACCGCCGTGAACGATCAACCCTGCCCTTCCCTGGACTACCGTGAATGATCTGCTTCATCGTGCTCAAACGGTGCTCGACGATGTCTAAACGACCAATGCAGAACAAGTGGTTAATGTTCCTGGACGGTCGTGAACGCTATGATGTTTCTAAGTGGATTGCTGGTTATCTGGTCAAGAACGACAACCACCGCTCCGTGAAGTACGATGACATTGAGTTGTAATAACGATGACTATAGCTTTGAAGATGAGTCCGAGATGGATAACATTGATCAGTTTGGTGGATTCTGAAGTTCCCGACGGTAGGACAGATTACCAGGTCTTCCAACGAAAAGATCAGTTAGCAGGGATGAAGTTGACGACTGTTGAGGCTTGAGAAGAGATTGAGGACTTAGTTGAACGGTAGTGCATACCTCAAGGAATGGAACGTTGAAAGAACGGTGGTGTGAAGTGGAGGAACTGTGATGGCTTCTGTACTATACATTGAAGGTCGTCGTGGCACTTATTGGAATCTTAAGCCGAATACCGATGGCTGTAGCAAGAAGATGGCGACGAGATGGATAACATTGATTAGTTTGGTGGCTTCTGGTGGCTCAGATTATATAATATCGACTACTGAAGCTTGAGAGAGGTTTGAAAGGTCAGAGAGGATCCATTGATCAGTTCAAGGAATGTGACGACTTTTGGTCAAAATGGCTAGCGACAGCTGAGGTCTTTTGGGTAACAAACCTGGCGAACGATCTGATCTCCTTACGCTTATGGATCCTTGTTTTTCTATTGTATCAATAAACTTATATATATTCTGAACATCGGCTCTTTTTGACCTTTTACTGCCTTAAAAAAGCCTAAGAACATCTTTTCGACGGGTTTTAAAAGTAGAAGTTGAGTGGAAGATTTGTAATGTATTTTGCACTGAAAATCTTCCACTCAACTCCCATTCTTAAAACTTCGTAAAATGGCCTAAAAATGAGTTTTTAACGCTTATTAAAAATGAAAATTTAATGGAAAGTTCATGATAAAAATATTCAAAAACACCCATAATTTATATCTCATTACAACCCACCCCCCCCTCACCACCACTTGCAATGTATGTCAATATCATCAGCAATGTTATGAACAGTACTAAAAAATCAAAAAAAAATTTTTTAATACCCTCCCCTACCCTCTGCCTCAAATTACCCCTAAAACCATTCATATTTCTGTTTTGTAAAGAAAGATCTTGCCATTTTTGTATTGTAATTTGTTCTTGCCGTTTTAAGCTTTGTAAAGAAAGTTCTTGCAATTTTTTGCTTTGTAAAGAAAGTTCTTGCCATTTTCTGTTTTGTAAAGTAAGTTCTTGTTAAAATCAATACCAAAAAACTTTAAAATCTCTATTATTAGGTTGTTCACATAATTCTGCGCCCCCGTACCCCGCAAGTTAGCATTGAGAAGGGGCGCAGAATTAAGTTAACAACCTATTTCCACCCCAAAATCACCCAAACCCACACCCTCAAAACCCATCGTTTGTTCGATACCCTTAACCTAAACCAATCCCCCCCCCCCCTCTAGGCCTTGTAAGCCGCTTGCACTTTGATTAGAAACGTAAGACGAATTGGGGCCAGAAGAACGAGGCCAAACCTGCGTGCGCGACCCCTCCGCGATGGTAAACAGACTTTTGACCTCGGCGGTGGGTCAGTTTGCTCCCGTCTGACCACCTGAATATTGGGTAAACAATGGCGGCGTGGGGTTTCGTACTGATGCGTCACCAGGAGCCCGGAGGGGGGGGGAGGATTTTTGAAATTTCAAAAACAACATCATGAAATACTAATAAGTAATGGCACAGTAATGATAAAGCGCATTTTATGATTTTTAAGCAAAAAAGTTAATTTTTCGCCATTTTTCGGCCGTTTTTGATCTGTAAAGAAAGTTCTTGCAATTTTTAGCCTTGTGAAGAAAGTTCTTAACATTTTTGGTTTTTCTCCTCAATTCTGAAGCCTCGACAGACTGCGAATGACAAGTTATACGAAGGATTAATAATTTTTATCTTTTTTTGTTTTGTAAAGAAAGTTCTTGCTATTTTAGATTTTTCGACAATTTTGAAGCCTTTGCAATCTGCGGGTGACAAGTTATACGAGAAATGAAGACATTTACGATTTTATGCCCCGTAAAGAAAGTTCTTGCCATTTTTGTCTTGTAAAGAAAGTTCTTGCCATTTATTGTTTTGTAAAGAAATTTCTTGCTATTTTATGTTTTGAAAAGAAAGTTATTGCTATTTTTTGTCTTGTAAAGAAAGTTCTTGCAATTCCCCCGCCCATTTCGTCCGTTCCCAACCCCTCGAATTTCGAAAATTTGCATAGGCCACAACAAACCCAAACCCACTCGAAGAACACGATACGACAAAACAATCGCCGCTATTCGTACGCCTAAACCGATTCCAACGTTTCGGTTTGGGTATCAAGTTTTGCGCATTCTTTCGCCCATCACGACGACCTTTTGTCCTCGACTTGGATTAGGTTCACAGAGTGTCAGGCGGTTTGATTGCTTACTGTACTATGGCTTACATGGTAGTTGATGAGAGAAACGAGCGGGAGCTCTCAGTAAGCCTAAATTTAGTAGGCTTGTTTTTGGTTTAGGCTTACGAAACTTAGAATTAGCTATTGTAAGCTATGGTTTAGATAGCCAAGGCTTAGTATACTTAATAGGCTTGAGTTTGGGAGGCTTGAGTTTAAAAAACGTAGGCTTAGGCATAAGAAGCTTTAACTTAGTAGCCTTACTCTTAGTAGGCCTAGAATTAAGAAGCTTAGGCTTAGTAAGTTAGAGCTTAGTAGGCTTGGGCTTAATAGGTGAACTCAAAGTTAAAAAGCTTAGGCTTATATACTTTGGCTTAACGAACTTGGGCTAACGACACTTACTCTTAGTAGGCTTAGTTATAACAAGCTTAAACTAGAAAAGTAATAAGCTTAGTAAACTAGAGCTTACTAAATAGTTTTACGCTTAGTAGGCTTAGGCTTCACCACTTTAAATATAGTAGGCTTAGGCTTAGTTAGCTAGAGCTTAATAGCCTTGGTACGCTTAGGAGACTCGAGCTTAGTAAACTATAACAAAACTTAATAGGCTTGCGATTGGTAGGCTTAGGCTTATTAGACCTGAGTTTAAAACAGTTAGGTCCAAAAAACTTGAACTTAGTAGCCTTAGTAAGATAAGGCTTAATAGACCTGAGCTTAGTAAACTAGAGCTTTATAAGCTTGAGATTAGTAGGCTTAGGCATGTTTGGCTTAGGCTTAACACATTTGAATGTAGTAGGCTTAGTTTAAGCCAGCTTGGACTTAGTAGGCTTAAATTTAACATACTACACCTAGTGTTATAAATTCCAGACTTGAGTTCATTTGACTTAAAACTTGAAACTTAACTATAAATCAAATTAAAATCATAAAAACGAAAAACAAATCAAAGCAAAAACAAAACTTTTATTTATTCAAAGGCATAATTAATCATTGGCAATTTTGTTTTCCAGATGAGTTCACAATAGCTGGCTGTCCTTCAGGATCCGCCAAACTGATCAATGTTATCCATCTCGTACTCATCCTCTTTCCATGTCCAAATTGATCCTTTGCTCTTGAACTGATCAAAGTTATCCTCTCAAGGCTGAGAAGGTAACGTTAAGAACGGCGACATGATGATAGGACTAGGCCGAAGATTCACAGCCATCCAGAAACGATGAAGACTTTTCAGCACGGTGATAAACGGTCATAAATGCCATTGTTTGACCATTATGATCTCCTGATCAAGCCAATAATTGAATCGTCCTGTTAGAGTCATCGTTATTTGACTAATGAATCCTTGAACTGATCAAAGTTATCTTCTCTGAAGCTTCAGATTCTTCAACAGCCTTCAGAAACCAAACTGATCAATGTTATCCAGCTCGTAGCCATCTTCTTGCTGCAGCCATCGTTATTTAGCTTCGGAATTCTTGAACTGATCAAAGTTATCTTCTCTGATTCCTTCAGGATCTTCGACAGCCTTCAGAATCCAAACTGATCAATGTTATCCATCTCAAACCAACCTTCAGGTTATACTCCTCGAGTCATATTACACAAACCAACATTCACAGCACGGTCAATGTCTTCTTCTTCAGCTCCATAATGCCTCTTGCAAGCGCCAGTCCTCCGCGTCCAGATTCTGAAGGCTCCAGACTTCATCATACAGATCAATGTTATCCATGGGTCTTCGTCTTCGGCATCTAATCCTTCTGAACCCACAAACTGATCAATATTATCCATATCTTGTCGTGTCCAATTTGATTATTGCTCTTGGACTGACCCGAATCATCCTTCCTCAAGGCTTCAGATTCTTGAATTCGAAATCTTCAAAACTGATCAATATTATCCATCTCGTAGCCATCTGCTTGCGACATTGGCCTTTATTTATCTTCAAGCTCCAGCTCCGATCCTATTAGAAGAGTCTTCACGGGGGAGAACGGTCTAAATATTTACACTAATAGAATTATTTAGTTAATATCATAAAGAATCCCTTCCTTACCCGCCAGAATAAAAAAACCATAAAAACTTCCTTTTTTCCCTACCAGACATGGCAAACATACTTGACTGATATTGTTACTGACCATTGCATGGTCAGTGAAATCACGACGGTGGCATCCAGCCTGTCATTTCGTTGCAACTTTAACGAATGGTTAACGACTTTCGTCCTCTTGGCCGCACTAGCGTTTTCCAACTTCGTAAGATCACGACCTTGACCAAGTGCATCATCGTTCAAAGACGCCGCCATACCAAACAACAACGAATAGTTTTCCCAGTCGGTGGGATAATTAAAGCCGATCTTTGTATCCAGTGTGATGCCATGGAAAGAGTCTTTCCTATTAACCACCATCGCTAACACGACCAAGAGCTAACTCCAATTCACGGAACGGTGGTCTCAAAATAAGTCTCCAATGTCACGGCACGGTGATTTCCTCGATGATCCCAAGCACAACGTAGCCAATGTTATCATCCTTGCCCTTATCCATGGCAGCCCTCTGAAGCTGTACGATTCTCAAAAGGCGTGGGTCCGATCTGTGAGGATTCTGAAGCTTCATGCTCTTGAAAACGTTTGATCTCACGTCTTTCAATCATAATATTCATCACAACCGGAAAGTACCATCTGTTCTACTGCTATCTCCACTGTCGGCTTTGGTCGTCTGAAAAATGGGCTTTATAAGGTACAAAACTACAGTATGCTTTTCAAAAACTACAGCATTTTTAACAAAAAACACTGTTATTTATCTTTATCTATCAATAATATCAAAAAAGATCAAAAATTGAGAAAAATAGAGCAAAAAAAAAATCAAAAAAAACTCACAAATCAGCCTCTTCTGAACAAGTTAATCCATCCTGAACAAAAAGAAGATAAGGGCTTCCAGGTCTCCTTGAACTGATCACTGCTCGCTAATCTGAGCCTCCAGGATCTTTTAAACTGATCAATGTTATCTACCTCAATATCCTTCATGGCTAGACCACTAAAATTATTGTCAATCTTTCCATAAGCCTCTTCATCACATTGAACTGACCTCTGTTATCCTCTCTGAGCCATTAACCAATATAGACAGCCTCCAACCATCATATACAGCCTTCAAAACTCTTCAAACTGATCAATGCTCTAGACCATCTTCTTGGAAACGGAGATGTGAACTTCAATTCTGATTCCTTGAACTGATCTCTGTTATCCTCTCTGATCATTCAATCATCTTCTCAAGCTCCGGAAGCTAAGATTATCTTATCTGAGCCCCAGAAGCCAAACTGATCAATGTTATCTATCTCGGACTCATTTTCAAGCTACAGTCATCATTGTCCAACTTCATCCACGTTCGAGCGATGTTAAAAACGTTGCCAAGTTGTGGCACGGCAAACTCAGGGCCAACAGTACCATTAATCACTTGTTCTGCATAGGTCGTTTAGACATCGTCGATCATGAACAAAGCACGATAAAATCTTCTTCATGCTACAGTCATCGTTGTTCCAACTCACTGCCACTGTACTGCATGGAACGATGATTGTCGTTCTTGACCAAGTAAACAGCAATTCACTTAGGAACATCATAGCCTTCACGACCGTCCAGGAACAGTAGAGCGTGCACGACCGTCCAGGAACATTAACCACTTGTTCTGCATTGGTCGTTTAGACATCGTCGAGCATCGCTTTTGCACAATTAAGCAGATCATTCACGGTAGTCCAGGGAAGGGCAGGGATGATCGGTCACGGCAGTTTAAGGAACGGCAGGGCAGATCATTCACGGCGGTGGTCTTACTACAGCCATCTTGCTTTGGCTTCCTATTCCGATTCTTGAACTGATCAAAGTTATCTTCTCTGAGGCTTCAGGTTCGTCAACAGCCTTCAGAATCAAAACTGATCAATATTATCCATCTCCATTGCCTGTAGGCTTCATATTCTTGCATAGCCTTCGGCATACTTCTTGAGGTCTCCACTCTCATTAGTACCGCACCTCTACATCAAATTCTGATCTTGGACGATGGTAAGACAACATTCAGTTATTCCAACGTTAACATAGATCATCTGTTTAAGCTTTCAACCTTGAGTCATATCATACAAGCCACCATTCACGGCACAGCACGGTGATTGCCTTCTTCTTCAATATGCCTCCTTGATTGAACTGCCATTTTCATTTGGAATGAATCAGTCCTAATTAGCCAGCGTTAGACAAGCTACTGTTCCAGGCTTCTTCAAACTCTTCAGAATCCACCAAACTGATCAATGTTATCCATCTCGGACCCATCTCAAAGCTACAGCCATCGTTACTCCAACTCAATCTCATCGTTATTCACGGAACGGTGGAGAACGTTCTTGACTGACATCACACTCACAGCCCGCATCTCCACTTTGGTCACACCATGAGCCCGATGCTTATCACTTCTGAGTCATAAAGACGGGGCCAATTCTGAAGTCATGACATCGTACTTCACTTCAGATTCTTTGGCGTGACCGGCTACCAGACAGCGCATGGCTACGGAAATGATCGGCTACGACACAACGTAGCTACAGAACTGCTTGACTACGTTACACAACATAGATATGAAACTAATCGGCTACGGTGCGCAGAATGGCTAGACTGATCCATCTTGCTGAACCACCATTCTCCAAAGTCAATCACGGTACGGTAACATCATCATGCCGGGGCTGCAGTAACGTGACAATGGTAACCAGCATCTAAACATAGTAATTACTACACAATATCAATTACCACAACCATTTAAACTCAATATACACTAGCCATCATACCTACTACAATATATTCTACAATCACTTACAATTCTTTTTCAAACATCTCTTGCTGACCTCGTCAATCGCTCAAGTGATCAATATTATCAATCACAAGACCTGTCAATTTCGTTTCCTTTTCAGCCTTCTGAATCCATATGAGGCCACGGTACCCATCTGAGCTTCAGAATCCTTCAAACTGATCAATGTTATCTACCTCAATATCCTTCATGGCTAGACCACTAAGATGCATGTCAATCTTTCCATACTCCTCTTCATCACCTTGAACTAATCTCTGTTATCCTATCTGAGCCTTCAACCCATATAGACAACCTTCAATCATCATATACAGCTTTTAGGGCTCTCAAAACTGATCAATGTTATCCATCTCTAGACCATCTTCTTGACAATGCAAACGTAAAATTCAATTCTGGTTCCTTGAACTGATCAATCTTATCATCTCTAATCCTTCACACCTCTTCTCAACCTCCAGAAGCGAATGTTATCTTCTCTAAAGCTTCACAATCATCTTCAAGGCTCTACAAGCTCCAGAGTACTTTCAAACATCATTGTCTACAAGAATACTCCCTCTTAAACTCGAGTCAATCAGGTCAGTCTGATCTTGTCATAGGAGCTGGTGTCTTCTTTCACGGCTACATGGTTCGTCTCCACAAGATTTTGACCTTCACCGTTATCATCTCAACCTCCAGGCTTGAATGACGACGGTGTATGATGTGTTATCATCCCTGGTCCTTCAATCGTCTTCTGATGCTCCAGAATCCAATGTAATCTGAGTTGGGCTTTCAGGAGCTACAGAACTGATCAATGTTATCCATTTCGTAGCCATCTGCTTGCTACAGACATCGTTATTCGGCTTCTGAATCTTCAATGGCCCCAAAGTTCTTCCGAAGTGATCACTGGACCTTAAAAGATCAACTGAAGCCTCCAGAATCCAATAGGCCTTGAACGTGGTTCGAACAATGCTTTAAGCCGCTTCATCATCCCTCAACCCTCTCCTAAGGCCTTCAGAATCCAAACTGATCAATGTTAACCATCTCGTAGCCATCTTCTTGCTACAGCCATCGTTATTTGGCTTCAGAATCCAATAGGTATTAAGACTCTTCTTCACGAAATGGCACAGTAATTGGCCTGGTATGTCTTGTTTTTACCTACTTCTTGGTTTACGACAAGGTAGTGAAACTCACGATAATCATTCTGAATGTGATCGATGAACGCAACCGGATTCCAAATACGATTCTGGGCTTTTTATAAACATTGAGACCGGTCTTCGATTGATGGTAGGGTGCTTGTCTTTGTTTGGACGATTCATATCGAGGGTTCACCTTTTGATACCTCGCAGATTCACACCCACCGTTCTCTTCAACGTTCCATTCCTTGAGGTATGCACTGCCGTTCAACTAAGTCCTCAATCTCTTCTCAAGCCTCAACAGTCGTCAACTTCATCCCTGTTAACTGATCTTTTCGTTGGAAGACCTGGTAATCTGTCCTACCGTCGGGAACTTCAGAATCCACCAAACTGATCAATGTTATCCATCTCGGACTTATCGTCAAGCTACAGCCATCGTTATTACAACTCAATGTCATCGTACTTCACGGAACGGTGGTTGTCGTTCTTGACCAGATAACCAGCAATCCGCTTAGGAACATCATAGCGTGCACGACCGTCCGACAGCAACGCAAGGTTTCCACAACGTCACGGTGACAAACAGAATCACTACACAGTTAGGATTATATGTAGATCTTGAACTGGTCTCATTTATCTCCAAAGACTTCTGAATCCACCAAACTGATCAATGTTATCCATCTCTTCTCCATCTTCTTGTCGTGTCCAATTTAATTATTGCTCTGATGACTGAACTGACCCAGTCATCCTTCCTCAAAGCTTCAGATTCTTGAATTCGGAATCTTCAAAACTGATCGATATTATCCATCTCGTAGCCATCTGCTTGCGACATTGGCCTTTATTTATCTTCAAGCTCCAGCTCCAATCCAATTAGAATGGTCTTCACGGCACGGTGAATGAGCAACTCAGAACAGTCACTCCAATTCACGGAACGGTAAAATCACTAATGAGCCTTCAATGTCACGGCACCGTGATTTACTCGATGATCCCAAGCACAACGTAGCCAATGTTATCATCCTTGCCCTTATCCATGGCAGCCGCTTTGAAGCTCTACGATTCTCAAAAGGCGTGGGTCCGATCGGTGAGGATTCTATATCTTCGTGATCTTGAACCCTTTTACGTCACCTTTCTCAACCATAATATTCATCTTCACTGGGAACTTAGAGCCACATTATTAGAACATGCTTGAAATAGACAATAACAACTAATACTAGGCTTCTTCATCTCTTACTTACCTGAAAATAATGGAACATAGTATTGATATGGTATAAAATGGCATAAAAAATGATAAAAGAACATAAAAAGATGAGACATTATCTTAAAATGACACAAAAACGGCTTTATCTTCACCAAAACCTACTATAATATAGCAAAACCAAAAAAAAACTAAAACACCAAAAGTTAATACAACATAAAAATCAAAAGTAAAACAAAATAATAACAGAAACACTTACAATTTATCGCCAAACACCTTCTGAACCAACTACAATCCACCAAACTGATCAATGTTATCTATCTCAATATCATTCTGTTCATCATGGATTCCAGCCCTTTCTCCACGTAAACCTCTTCATCATCTTGAACTGATCTTTGTTATCCTCTCTGATCATTCAGACAGCTTCAATAGACTTCAAAATCCTCCAAACTCATCATATTATCCAGCTCTAGACAATATTCTTGCTACAGCCATCGTTATTTAACTTCTGAGTTCTTGAACTGATCAATAGTATCCTCTCTGACCTTCATCAGCTTCTTCTCTTATTTTTAAGAGGTACTAATGGCCCTTTACCATTTTCTAACATCATGATATTCATCAATCTTTTTCTCGAGGTATCATTCTGGCCGTTAGTCATAAGACTTTACTCAAATCTTCGTCAGTGCTTGAATTTAGTGAGCAATCTGAAAATAGGTATCATTAGGCTTAGATTACATTCAAATCAAGGAACAATAAGGCTTAAATTTAGGCTTAAATTAAGGCTAAAACAATAAGAAAAACAGTAAGCCGAAATCTCAACAAAATCAAACCTAAAACAAGCTAAAACTAAAGCTATAACTTGTCAAAACTTAGCAAAAAAGCCAGCAAAACTAAGGCCAAATCTAAGGCTAAAACTTAGAATTGATTTAGGCCAAAAATAATCCTAAAACCGCCGTAAAACCAAGCCAAACCCATTAGAAACTAAGCCTAACACCTCCAAAGATCCTTCAAAAGCCTAAACACAAACCCTAAAAACCTAAACGAACTTACAATCCATAGCCAACCGCACTTCTTGAGTTTACGCTGTCCAATTCTTCCATCGTCCGACCTTCCTCCAGAATGACGTTGACCCACAAATGAGCTCTTCCACCTCTTCTCCTCGTTGATGTTTCAAAAAAATTTGCATAACCACGTAAAACCTCTAAATTTTTATGAAATCTCATAAATTTGAATAAATTTCACCTTTTGTTATAATTGTTTTTCGTTATTCTCTTGAGAATTTGCATCAAAATTTGAAATTTGCTATACCAATATACACGTTTCAGCGTATAACAAGTGTAGGGCGCACTTTGCTTTTAAACATTCTTTTTTCGCTAAATATTTTACCTTTTTTAACTTGAATATTGTTGTAAAAATCTAGTTTAAAATCCTAAAATATATTAAATTAGCTAATTTAAAATGTCGGACGCTGAACAAACTGATAATGAAGACTTTTCCGACATTAAAGCGGCCAAAAATCGAAAAAACAAGAAAGCCGGAGGATGGCAGGTTTTAGGTATGTTTAAATCTCGTTTTTCGATTCTTATTTGCTTCCATGTTTAGGTCTAGACCATCCTATCTACAAAGCGATTCAAAAGCAAGGTTATAATCAACCAACACCCATTCAAAGGAAGGCAATCCCGCCGATTCTGGATGGCAAAGATACCGTGGCCATGAGCCGAACTGGATCTGGAAAAACCGCTGCTTTTGTGATTCCAATGCTTCAGAAGCTGAAGCAAAGGGATATGAAAGGTGCAAGAGGGTTGTTACTGTCTCCTACGAGGGAATTGGCCATGCAGACATTCAAAGTCGTCAAGGAGGTGGGTTTATCTTAACTATGGGGGTTAATGTTAATGGATTTATTTCCTATGGCTGTTTACTTTTAGCTCGGACGTTTTACTGGCTTGCGATGTGCTTGTTTAGTTGGAGGAGATAATATGGAAGATCAATTTGAGTCGTTGCATCAGAATCCGGACATGTACGTTGATGAAAAGCTATGATGTTATACCTTTAGAGGCAAACTTTATTTAAACTGTAACAAAATGGAAGTAACTTTCTTTGTAGAACAAAAAATAGCAAAAGCTTTATTTAAAATAAAATTTTTTAGCTAAAATTTTAAATTTATATTATTCTTCCTTTCAGAATCTTAGCTACACCAGGCAGGTTACTTCACATTGCTGTGGAGATGAATTTGAAGTTAAATTGCGTTGAATATGTTGTGTTCGACGAAGCTGACAGACTGTTTGAGATGGGATTGGCTGAACAATTACATGACATTTTAAAACGGTTGCCGGACTGTCGACAAACCTTGTTGTTCTCAGCTACGTTACCTAAAATGTTGATTGAATTTGCTAATGCTGGGTTGTCGGAGCCTGTTTTGGGTAAGAATTTTGTTATTTGTTGGTTTTTTTAGGCTTATCCTGATTATTTTTATTATCGTCAGACCTAATTCACAGTTCATATGTTAAGATATTGTACTTGACATAATAAATATTATTTTTAGTCCGCCTGGACGTAGAAACCAAGATAAGTGACAAATTGGCGATGCAATTCTTCGCCACACGTGGTAATGACAAGCTCTCAGCTCTACTACCGTTGGCACGACGTGCGGAACGTCAAAAGGAACAAACGATCGTCTTTTGTGCCACAATTCGCCATGTTGAATATTATGTAGCTATGTTCAAGGAAACCGGCATCACCGCGTCTTATTTACATTCCCAGATGGAGCCTTCAACTCGTAGACAAAATATCCAGAGATTCAGGGAGAAAGACACAATGTTATTGGTGGTAACAGACGTGGCAGCTCGTGGTGTAGACATTCCACTGTTGGACTGTGTTATCAATGTTCATTTTCCTGCCAAACCGAAATTGTTTGTTCACAGAGTTGGTGAGTTTCATATTCTTTTGTTTTGTTTGCACTTTAGGTTGATATGGAGGTTGGAATGTTTGAAGAGATCAAAAATGGCATGGATAATATCAAAAATTATGGTTTAATGCCTTTTTTGAGGTTTAAGCATATGTTTTGAACGTTTTTGTTTCAAAATTGTGTTTCTAATAGCAAGCAGATTGATTTTATGATGTAGAATAGTCAAATTTATAAGGTTTAGCATTTGACTAGATGTTAAAATATTTAAAATGGCAAGGATAACATTAAAAACTCGGTTTTGTGCCAAAAATTAGCCTTTTCTTAAACCTTTAAGGCTTGCAACTAAATTTTAAGGCAAAAACTCATTTAAAAACTAAATAAAAGTTCAATATCATTATAAAAAATATAATACTTTTCCCAATATTCACCTTCAGGTCGTGTGGCACGTGCTGGAAAGTCAGGAAAAGCTATAAGTTTGGTGTCATCAGACGAATACGCGTATCTGGTCGATCTTTTGCTCTTTCTGAACATTCCATTGAGAGTAGCGAAGGAAAGAGAAGAATATAAAGAAAGTGTGGCTACTCTGGGTCGATTCCCAGAGATTCTGGTTCACATGGAAGATGACTTCATCAAAAGTACTCATGAAAGGGCTTTGGAAATTGTAGGTTTTTAGTCATTTTTAGGGGAGAATTGGTTAGTTTTTTGTTAGATTTTGACATTAAGCGTGTTTAGTCACGTTTTTTTGTTTTTAAGTTAATCCTAAAGGTATATAAAGCCATAAATTAAGCCTAAAGCAATATAAATCAATATATAATCATTTTTGCTCATTTTAGAGCGACCTCCGCAACAAATCCGAGAACGCGATGAAGAAGTATATCACAACCAAACCCCCACCGTCTGCAGAATCCGTCCGCCGTGCCAAGGCCGAGCTAGCCAAAGTCGAATTCCCAATTCATCCATACTTCCAAGAATACTGTGGAACGGAAGAAGAAACCACATTCCTGAATGGAATCAAGAACTGGCGACCTCAGGCAACCATCTTCGAACTGAACGTAGGCTCCAAGAATCAAGGAGCTCAAATCATGAAGCAAAAACGCAAACATCATCAGAGAATCATCGAGAAAACCAAGGATAACATGAATAAGGTTAATGAGAAGGGTGGAGAAGATGGTGAGGGTGAGGAGAATGGAGGAAAAGGTGGAGAAAATGGTGTAAATCATGATGAAGATGCAGTAAAAGATGGTGAAGATACTAATGTTAAAGGGCATGAAGGAAAACAGGGCAAGAAAGCAAAGTTAGAAGATGTAGATGAAGAAACAATCAAAAAGACCTTCAATGAAGTCCTATCAACCAGGAAATTCGACATTGATTCAGTGAAAAAACCGAAGAAACGCAAGTTAGACGAAGAGAAACAAAAAGAGAAAGAACAGAACTATTTGAACTACAGACCGGCGGATCAATTCACGGAACGGCAGCTTGCTGTGAACGATAACTTTGACAAGGCGGCCAAAGAGATCAGTATCGACATTAATGCGGACGATGACAAAGGATTGTACAAAATGCAACATAAAAAGACTTGGTAAGGAGAGGGAGGGTTGAAAATGGGTCTGAAATAGCACTGTAGTACTGGTGGTACAGGTGGGACACTTAGACAAAAAAAAAGAAAAATTTTTTAACTTAACAGGGGGGACCAAGTTCAATTTAAAAAATTTTTTTTGCGAGTAGTCACCTTACTTCTCTTGCGCTCGGCCGTGGCTATATCGATACTTCTGTACCTACTATAATATTCAACTTTCAGGGACCGGAAGCACAAAAAGTTCATCACAGACCCAAGTGCATCAGTGAAAAGAATCCGAACAGAAGAAGGAACATGGGTCCCAGCCTCATACAAATCAGGCCGCTACGAACAATGGACTAAAAAACAAAAAGTCGGGGCTACAGATGACACAGAAGACGAACCACGACCCAAGAAATTCAAAGGAAAAATGCCAAAAACACCGAAAGTTCGATCGGAACGAAAGACTGGACCTCAAATCGCGAAGGAGCGACGACGAAAGGAGAAGGTTCAGAACTTCCAAAACGAACGAAGACAAAAACGACTCACTCGACAGGTCAACAAGACCAAGTTCAGCAAGGTCAGGAAGTGAATCGACTTTTGAGCAGGGATTTATTGTTGATTTGGTCGAGTTTTGGCTTTTTATGGCTGCACTGTGCAGTTTCTTATTGTTTTGCACCGTGCAGTTTTTTATAGTCTTTGTATAGTGCATTCTGTTGTTGGCTTTGCACTGTGCGTTCTTTTATCGGCTTTGCACCGTGCAGTGTTTTATTGATTTTCCACTGTGCAGTCTTTAATTGTTCCTGCACCGTGCAGTACGTTATTGGCTTTGCACTGTGCAGTCTTTAAATTGTATTTGCACCGTGCAATCTTTTATGTATTTCGATGGCACAGTGCAAAACTTAAAAAACTTGTTGTTGGCCGTACTGAAGCATTCAGAAATTTGTCATATTGTTGTTGATTGTTTTTTGTTACATTTTTTATTGTTGAAATAAAATTTTATATTAAAAATGTCAGCTTGAAACTCCTTTGGAAGTTCAAAGGAAGTTTATTACCTAAAATAATATTTAAATATCTAAAATTTAAATTTTATCAATAAAGATATGATAATTTACCCAAAAACTTACTTTACTTTTTAAAATACAGTCAGACTTTGCCTTTGAAAACATAAAAAAGACGATTCGTTCGTATAAAATGTCTCTCGCAGCCCGCACAAGCCTTAATCCTTTCCTCTGCGGCCAATATAATAATTTCTACAAAATTTTGTCAGACAAGTTTTTGTCCGCAATATCTTGTTTCAAAGAATCATTTATGAATCACTCATTATAACAGAAGCTATATTTTACAGTTATTAAAATCTGGGTATACCTGGAATTGAAGTTGTATATAGATGGACAATGTTTGGAGCAGTCCGAGGCGACGAACCCCTCGAAAATTATTTTCTCCTGAACCAGATGGGGTTAGAGTAAGATTGTTTTATTAGTTTAGTTTTTAAAGTTGTGAGTTTTGATGTAAAATTAAGCTTTGTCTTAGTTTTGAGCTAATAATAGGTATTATGAACAAAGTTTTGATGTTTTTAGACCCCATAGTTCTCTAGAGAACTTATTCTTCTAAAATCCGCAATACAAAAAGATCGTAATTTAAGGAATTTACATTGATTTAGTTTAAAATTTAGGTTTTTATCAAAAAATCAAGATTTTACTTTGTTTTTGGCAGAAGGCTTCATGTTATAATCAGTTTTTATGTTTTAGACTCCCAACTCACTTCTAAAGCTAACTCCAAAGAAGTCAAAACTATCACAGGTTGTAAAGGTAAATTTTTTACTTGTTTTTATTTTAAATTTAGCTTTTTGAACAAAGAACTAACTACTTCTATAATTTTTCACCAAACCTGATGCATGTTCAATATTCTTTATGTTTCCAGTCTCCAAACTCACGTAAAAAGCTAACACCAAAGAGATCAACGACAAAGAGGGTGAAATCTTTTGCACAAAGGCTATTTGGGTTGAGTCCGAAGAAAAAGGAAGCCACATCAACCTCTAAAATATCAAGGAGCATCAGATCTCAAACAGATTCGCCTAAAACAAGGAAAAAGCCGTGGAGATACGAACAGAGCTTGATATTAGAGGTAGGTTGAGTTTTTTAGTTGGTTTTTGAAGTTTAGGTTTAGCTCAACGATGGAAAGGATTGTTTTAGAAAAAAATATTGTTTTAGACCGCGAACAATCTACAATAATATTTTTTTGGACTTTAAAGTTGGTTTCAAATAAGAAAATAGCTTTCTTTGGCAACGACAAGGTTTTCTTATTCTAGAATTCTAGTTTTCAAGCTTGAAAGCTTATTTTTTTCATTCTAAAATCATATTTTTTAGAAAGCACTATGCACATTTTATCCAAAAACACCGTTAGACTGGGAAAACGTGGCCAAAACCTTGGACAACAAGTTTACTGTTGAAGAATGTCAAGCTAGAGCTGAATCTCACTTCCATTACAAGATTAAAGAAGATACTCCAGCTGATTTGAGTCGATTGTGGGAGCTAGAACAAAAAGTTCAGAGCTGTAAGCCAGGAACGTTGAAACGAGTAATGGCAAAGGCGGAAACGACAGAATACTTGAGCAGATATGTTAACCAAGCTCATAAAAAGGTGTTCGAAGTTAGTTCGAGTGAAGACGAGACTTTTCTTCAACAGGTAGGGCCTTTTTTGATGTTTTAAGGTTAAGGTACAACTTTTTTCTTTTCATAACTCACAATCAGTTGGAGACTTTTTAATGAAAATTACGTTTATTGTTACCTAAACAACAATATTAAGGTCAGAAATTGTTGTTTAGGTAACAATATTATATTTTTTATTCGGAAAGTCATTTTATATTTAAAAAATATTGTTTTAGAGCTTAATCTATACCTTTTCAGGACGTAATTGACGCTGTAAAATGTGTCAAAGAACCAATTTCGGATTATCTAGTTAGAACACCATCCAGGCGCCGATATGTTCCAACTCCATATCGTAGAGAGTCTGATAGTGATACTAATAAGGACGACGACTTTGCTGTCCCAGATTGGTAGGTTTTACTGGATTTTGAGAGTTTTAAGTAACAAAAATATTTTTTTGCGTTTTTAAAGGTAGGTTGGATTTTAAGGATTTTTTTGATATTTTAGGTAACAGTTTGACGATTTTTACAGCTTAGGTAACAAAATAACTTAATTTTGGTATTTTAGGTAACAAAGTAACTTAATTTTTGTATTTTAGGTAACAAAATTGATTTTTTTGTGAAATTTAGGTAAAATTTCTTGGCATTTTTTAGTTTAGCTGGTCTTTTTAGCTTATTTTCTAAATTTTAGGTAACATTTTGAAAATTTAAAAAAACATTTTATAAATTTTACAAAAATTAAAAAAAACATGCAAAAACTATCCTTACAACCTCAAAAATTCTGTTAAAAATGCCATTTTCAGGTCAAATCGCCCAAAAATCATCCACGCCCTGAACAACTACACAAAAACCAAAAGACCCAAGCCAGTACCTCAGAAAGAAGCTGAAGACGACCTCATGGACGAAACCCGATACTCATTATAACCTCCAATTCGTTTTAAAATAACCTCGATGATCTCACAACAACTACTGTTACCCACCTCATATCCGACCGTTTCAAGTTTATATTGTTTTGTTTGTATATAAACTCTTTGTATATATACATTAACTATAATATGATATATGGCTTGTGGATTGGAGAGGGTGCAATGCGTGTTTGGGGTGAGTAAGGGGGGGGCTTGGGTGTAATCTTCAGTTTTTGAAAAGTGGAAAGGGGTAGAGGAGGCTTTATGTATCTTACCCCCTACCCCTCACTCCCTACCCCCAACCCCGTACCTGCTCTTACGTTATTTCTACACCTGTCATTCCCCCTGCCTTTGTCCCGGCTCCTACCTTTACTTCTACCCTCAACCCTGCCCTTAACCTAGCCTTATTGTACCCTTACCTGTTACTGTAACCTTGCTAAAGCCTTAGTCCTACCGTAATTTTTATCTTTCTTTACCCTTACATTACCCCTACCCCCTCTCTAACTGGTACTCTTACCCTTGCCTCTAGCTACCGTAACCCCACCGTCTCCTATACACCTTTCCTACCGTAACCTTTTTTTCAAATTACCGACTTTTTCCAAAAATATTCAAATTTCCCCCCAAAATATTCAAAAACCATTCAACCCTTCGACTAGTCGATTCCCAGCCATTTGTTTCAATATCAGAGCTAGGGTACGGTCGGTCGAAAAAGAGATGGATAAGAAGAAGCCAGCGCGTGCCCCAATCAAGGACGGCCCCACCCAGCAGATTGTCTCCGTGGAGCCGCCCAACCAGGAGAGTTGCGAAGTCGACGACAAGAAGGAACTCGACCCCAAATTCTTGATTTTAGCGGCCGAAGTTCAGGAAGGGCCGCCCTTGGGCGAGGGCAATTTCGCCGTCGCTTTTAAAGGTAAGGGGGGGGGGGGTTGTGGCTTTACTAAGGCTTTAATAGGGGGGGGGGAGGGGAGGGGGTTGTGGCTTTACTAAAGGCTTAATAAGGGGGGGGGGTGGGTGATTTTTAGTATTTTTTTCCAGGCAGGGTAACTTTTGATTAAAACGTTTTTAGGGGGACATGTTTTTTGGGCGGAGTAATTTTTTTATAACTTTAGGGCATGCCAGTTTTTTTTTAATTTTTGCGCGCGCTAAAATTTTATGGGCGGGGTAAATTTTTGAAAAGTTTTTTGGGCGTGGTAAATTTTTGAAAATTTTTTTTGGGCGGGGTAATTTTTTGAGAGTAATATTTTTTTCGTATTTTTAGGGCGGGGTAATTTTTTAAAATTTTTTTGGGCTGGGTAAATTTTTTTATCACTACCCCCACCCCTGTGTTTAGACAGAGAGAAATTATTAACCAGCCAATGCCAAGCTTAAAATATTAGTTTCAAAACTTCTATTAAAGACTTCGCTTGTAGGTACCTACAAAGGCAAGACGGTGGCCATAAAGAAAGGCCTAAGCGAAAACGAGACGCAAGACATGAAACGAGAAGCAATCATTATGTCACTGCTGGGGTCTCATCCCAATGTCATACTCTTTTATGGAATGGTTGCTGATCCGGTAGGGGTTCTCTTTATTTTTAGGGAAGGGGAGAGGAGATGATTAAATTTTTAAGGCGGGGTGAAAAAATATTTTATTTTTTTTGGGGGTGGGGATGAAAAATATTTTTTAGGGCGGGGTTAATGTTTTTTTGTATTTTAAAGGGGTAAGTAGTCTTGAAATATAAAAAAATACAGGGTGTGGTAAATTTTTTCAAAAAAAAATTGGGAGGGGTAAACAAATTTTTTTTGGGATTGGTAAAATTTTTTTTGAGGAAAGTGGAAAACCTCCTTTTTAAGCATTTCTTTTTTCAAAAAAAATCGTTTTAGACCCGTATAGTAATGGAGCACTGTGGTCGCGGCCCTCTGGACGAAATCGTAGCCCAAGCCAAAACGGAAGTTAAAGCGGACGAGCTGGTAACATATCTGACTGAAATCTCGCGCGGAATGATGTATCTGGTTGAGCGGGGTTGTATTCACCGTGATCTGGCAGCACGGAACATTTTGGTTGCGGACGATGGGGTGATGAAGGTCAGCGACTTTGGGTTAAGCTCGCATCGACAGTGTCCCGAGATGGAAGGCTTTGCTGGGTCTAAGGTGAGGGTTTGATGACTGCCCCTACCCTACTGTACCGTACCGTACCATACCATACCATACCATACCATACCATACCATACCATACCATACCATACCATACCATACCATACCATACCATACCATACCATACCATACCATACCATACCATACCATACCATACCATACCATACCATACCATACCATACCATACCATACCATACCATACCATACCATACCATACCATACCATACCATACCATACCATACCATACCATACCATATCATACCATACCATACCTTACCTTACCTTACCCTACCCTTAAGGCCATAATTTTCAAAAATTTTAGTTAAATTTCAACATTCCTCTCCGCTGGTGGCCTCCAGAATGCCTGAAGCGAAACCCCAAGTTCCACCCGGGCATGGATGTATGGTCGTTTGGTGTGGTCGTATACGAAGTGTTTAATCAAGGTGAAAAGCCATGGCCAGACCTCGACCCGAAGAAGGTGGCCACGAACATACGACACATGAAGATCTTCAAGTACCCAAAAGAATGCCCCAGGCCATTGTCCGCCATCTGCCGCAAACGCATATTGGTGCCGCTGGCTCAGCGATGGGACTTTGTTCTATTGGCAAAGGTCATGAGCAACTTGAGTGCGGATATGAAGCCAAGCAAAAAGTACCTGAGGGAGTTGATTGGCCCCAAAGTGGAGCCGCCTAAGGGCGAGAGGTTGAAACTGACGGCGGCCGAACAGAAGGAACTGGACGATTTGTGTCGAAAGAATGTAAAAACAACCGGAGGGCAGAATGCACCATCTGTAGCAGGCGTGGTGGCTAGAAGCGCGAACACGGCTACGTCACCGGCTTGTACACCTTCGTCGGAGTCGTCGGTAAGGCTTAAAATTTTAGTGGGGTAGGGTAAGATAAGAAAATATAGGGTGAAAAGCGATTAGAGAAGGGTAGGAAAAGCTAAGCTAGTCTAGGGTTAGGTATTATATCGTAGAGCCCAGGGTACAGAGAATCATTATATTATACTAGCCTAGCCCTAACTCCCCACTTTCAGGCCTCATTCCAACGAGCACCGACCAAAAAGCCCAAGAATGCACTAAAGAAGAAGAACGCATCAGTGAGCGTGGCCCAGACCTTTACCCGTACCGAGAACACCACAGAGAACGTTGAAGAACAGAAAAAACAAAAGGTCACACTCCAGGACATAATCCAATCAGAACGTTTGCCACCAGACGAAAACAGATCCAAAATGGGCTCCATACCCTAAATTGAAGGCCTAAAACGCTTGCTTCCGTGAATAAAGGATTAATATAGAGATTGATTTGTATTATCATTGAATTATATTGTTGTAGGCTCTATAAACAATACATCTAGTGGACGGGTTTTCTTTGAGAATTCTGGCTCTAAAGGAGAAGCCTAATATTAATCAAGGAAAAACATGCTATTAACGTAAACTTTACTTTTTGACCCAGTAAACATCAATCAACAAAAATACAACAAGAAAAACGACAGAAAACTTAACACTCCTAAAACCCAATAAATTCCGTGTCATTTCGTCCAAAGCCGTGATATTTTTTGGAAAATTAAAATTATTTTCTTGCCGATCGAAGAATGCATGAAATAAGATAAGCGAACCCTCTAATACCATCAAAATGAGTTATCGAGATGAAATATTGAAGTCTCTGAAGGAGCGGGATCGATTCATACAGCAATTTGCCAGGATCGTCGAGAGTTGTATGTTTTTTTAAGGTTTTTGGCATTTTTTAATGGTTTTGAAGTCTAAAGCAATAAATTTTCACGGGTTTATTGGCCATTTTTTGCTGTTTTAGATGCTTCACTGTCTGATTCTTTAAATTATGTGTTGAGTCGACAAAGAATCGATGGAGGAACAACAACAACGTGAGTTTTTTGGGTTCTGTTTTGTTGTTTTAGGTGTTGTGTCGTTTGGAAAGATCTTAACTGAAATTTGACATAACTAATTGCTTTCATGTTTTTTAGTTAGTAACTACATATTGTTTGGCGTATTTTACAAAAAAAATTTATTAAAAAAAAGTTAATTTTATTAAAGTTAAGGTTAAAAGTAAATGTCGTAGGCTGGAGATAGAAAAGTTTTCTCTGAAAAGGCCATAACTTTGGTCAAACTTAAGTTTTGTCGCTTGTTTTTGGTTTTTAAGTTTAGAAAGAGTCTGTTAAAGAGAAGTGTAAAACATTTTTGCAATTGGTTAACGTTAACTTTATCAATCATTGAGTAGAGGCCAGGCCATGGATAATATGATTTTTAATTTATTCTTGCTTTAATGATTGAGAAGGATGTTTCAGTGATAATTAAGAAGAACTGTACATGTTTATACGTATTTACTTTAGTTTTTAAACATAATATTACTTTCATATATCAAATTTTAGTGAATCTTCAAAAGACACTGAGGAACTCCGAAAAGAGCTGTCTGAAGTTTACAAACGGAAAGCGGCGAATGATGAGCTTTTAATAGAAGCTCAAAAGAAGGTCAGGGAGTTGGAGAAAAGGTTGACAGAAGTTGTGGAAGATAAGGGATCGTTGGAACATGAAGTTAAGGAGCTTAAGGAAGAGATTAAGAAGAAGGTAGCTGAACTTGAAGAGTATAAACGAGTGAATGCGTTATTGAACGATGAATTATTGGCTACGCATGTAAGTTTTTTAATTTTGTGGTTGAATTTTAGGGTATCTTGGATTGGCATGGACGTTTTTCTTAATTTTAAGAGAGGGGACGGAGCTATGGTCAAGTATAACATTGTTTTAGGTTATTAATGAAATATTAAGCTTTAAAGCGGCTATTTCTTTTGTTCTAAGCCTAAAATCAGTTAAATAGTGTTGATTTTAAGCTTTAGAAGAGGGAACTATAGTTTCTAATAGTAATATTGAACTTTTCAGATCCAAGTCAAAAGCTTAAATACCAAATTTGTGAATGCTGATCAAGAACGAGTTGTGTTGTTGAACAAGATCAAGGAGTTGAAAGAGAAGGAGATTGAGTATATGAACGAGTTTAATGATAAAGAACATCAGTAAGTCTTTGTTCTTGACATTATTTTTTGATTTTTAGATAAAAGCACTTGCAATTTTAAGTATGCATGACTAATTTAGGTAAAAAATCCTCTTGTTTTGCAATTTTTTAAAATAAAACTGAATTTCAAAGCTGTTTTTGAGGTTTTTAGCTAAAAATGATGTTTTAGAATCCGACTACAACGCTTAAGGTCAGAAATTGATGAGGCAACGAAGCCCTCAAGTCAAAGTTCATCAAGAAGAAATTCAAGAAAGTACAGCGAAACATCCTCAATATCTGCCTTTGATTCTATACCTACAAAGTGTGAATTCAAATTTGTAAGTTCCTTTTTGAGGTTTGTTCAAAAATGGCATTTCGAAAAAATGGAAAATTTTTTTGTTACCTAAAAGTATTAAAAAATGAATTTTTGTTACCTAAAAGTGTTAAAAATCGTCTTTGTTACCTAAAATAAAAAAAAATTTTATTACCTAAAATTTCAAAATCAATTTTTAAGGAATGCGACAGTAACGGTGAAGTAAACGACATCATCTGGAATCGGTCTGGTCGATTATTTTACACTGGTGGCAGTGACAAGCTCATCCGTATATATGAACCTCAGCCAAATGCTCCGCCTGTACTCAAAGCTAAAATGCCATGCTCAACCAAGGCCATAAATCGACTGGACTTGCATCCAGACAGCCCATTACTACTGGCAGCTTGTAGTGATAATACGGCTTATCTGTTTGACACTGATGGGAAGAAGAAGTTGGTGGGTTTTTGAAAGATTATCGGTCAAAAATTAGTTGGAAAGTTGGTTTTTTGGGCCAAAATTGGCTGAACATTAGATTTTGTGGTCCGAAAGTTTTCAGAAAAGCATAATTTTTATTATTTTATTCAAAAAATTGGAGAAAATACCAAATTTTTGATAATTTTTTAGTAATTTCAAGGCGCGCCAAAAAGAATTGGCCTTTTTTCTATATAAACTCATAGAAAAACGACCAATTCTTTTGGCGCGTCTTATAAAATGCCATTTTTTAATAGACTTTTTAAAAAAATTTTGGTTTTTGGTAGACTTACGATAAGATATTGTAGTTCTCCTTCACTGGCCATTCTGACAAAGTCCTAGCGGCCAAATTCTTGCCACAATCGAATCGAATTGTCACCGGTTCCAGCGATCGAACTCTCAGGCTGTGGGATCAAACTTCAAGGGTTTGTAAGTTTTTAATGAATTTTTGGGCTTGGGATGAGTGTTTTTGGTCATAAATTGGTTAGCATTACATTTTGTTACCTAAACTAATAAAACGCCAGGTTTTAAAAAGTGGAGGTTGAGTGGAAGATTTGTAATGTATTTTGCACTGAAAATATTCCACTTAACTTCCATTTTTTAAATGTCATAAAATGTCTTAAAAACACGTTTTTGACACGTTTTGGACAAGTTTGGTGGAAGATTTGTTATGTATTTTGCACTGAAAATCTTCCACTCTACTTTCGTTTTTCAAACCGGTCGAAAATTCCTTAAAACTGATTTTAAATCAGTTTTTTAGGCTTTCAAATGATTAAAAAGTTATTAAAATGTCATTTTAGGTGTGCGAACGCTGATGCCAGCCTCAATGTGCTCGGACATAGCTACTTGTAATAGGGGTATAGCTAGCTCTCACTACGACAAATGGATCCGACTATGGGATGGGAGGTCGGAAACTCCTTATCATCAAATCAAAATGGACGGACGTATTACTTCGCTAAATTTATCGACTGGTAAGATGGGATTTCTTACTGTAATGGCTTTAAAGGGGATGGGAACGGGGGAGATGAGGGAGAAGCAAAATCTTTGAAAAATATGAAAGGCTATGACAACCCATGGTAAAAATACTATTTTTCATATAAAATGGCAATACGCTAGCCATAATATATTGAAAAATGGCAAAAATCATCCGTAACCGGATATTGTTGTAGATGGCCAGCTCCTCCTAGCCTGTTGCCGAGACGAAACCCTATCCCTAATCGATCTGAGGCAGAACGAGGTGTTTCATATCTATTCGGCTGATCAATTCCGAACCTCGTACGAGTATTGTAAATGTGCCATAAGCCCGGGCGGAGGCTATGTGTCAGCCGGCTCATGGGACGGCCAACTCTTCATTTGGAATTTGCATAGCACCAAGTTGGAGAAGATTTTGAATGGGCATGAGTAAGTGGATTTTTAAGGGTGTTTTGATAGAGAAAGCTTGTTGGACTGGGACTTAAAAAATTGTCGGAAGGTCCCGCCACGAAAACATGAATTTCGTTTTTTTTGGCTCAAAAAACGCTTGAAAACGGACAAAAATTTCTTTTTAAAGACAGAATTTGAAATTCAGTTTTGCTTGATTTGATAGATTTGTATGTTTAGTTTTTACAAATCAGGTCCCGCCACGAAAACTTGAATTTTGTTTTAGGTTCCAAAACTTGCAAAAACTCACTTAAAATTGCATGACTAAAACAATTTAATGAAGTTTTACGGCCTTAAAGGACCACAAAACTTCCTGATCCCGTATATCTTAGAATCTAAAGATCCCATAGGTTGTCCAAGCCGTACAACATACCTAAAAAACTAAAAAAACTTTGCTTTCCAGTAACAACCCCCTCTATGCCGTGGCATGGAACCCCAACGATGGCTCCATCTTGTCGGCGGACAAAAAGCGCACCGCGTGCATGTGGATGTAAAGGCATATCCGAAAAACGGCCAGTACTTGTCATTTCTCAACGATTTTCGTCATTTCCTTACGAGTTTTTAAAAGTTTCTATTTATTCTACATTTTAATTATAACCTCTGACTAACACAACATTAAATGTACAGTTTGAAGAGTGATTGTTGGAAATTGACGTTAATTGGTAATTTTTGGCCATATATAATAATATAACGTTGAATCGGTCAATTCGCTCGTACATAAGTTGGTTCTGGGCATTGAACCAACTTATGTACGAGCGAATTACCGGTTAATGTTTGAATTGAAGTGGCCATAACTTTGTTAAGAGACAAGATATAACTATGAAACTTGTGGCATATAGGGCGAACATACTATGTTCTACAAAACAGATTTAATTGAAATATTGTAAAAGCAAATGAAATGACTAAAAAGATGTTAACTATGACAATAAAGGCAAAATTAACAAAGAAAGATTATAATACTAACAAAAATTACAAGGTTAAATGAACTTACTATGTAAAGAATAATCTATGCGTTCGTTTCTACATTAGTTGAAGAATAAATAAAAGTGAAGACTATGTTTAATTTAAAGACAATCGTATATTATATAGAAAGAAAGTCAATTCGCGCGTACACAAGTTTAAGAATTTAATAATTCGCTCGTACACAAGTTTAAGAATTTAATAATTCGCTCGTACACAAGTTTAAGAATTTAATATATCGCGCGTACATAAGTTGAAAAATCATGTGAAAGCAAAAGGCTATATACCCAATGTATAATGTAATATATAACAAAATCAGTCAAGTCGCTCGTACATAAGTTGAAAAATCAAATAAAAGAAAAAAAACCAAACTCTATGTATACATAGCCATATAACATAGAGTTAGGCAATTCGCTCGTACATAAGTTGAAAACTCATGCAAAAGCAAAAAGCTATACCCAATGCGTATATAGTCATATATAACATTCAATATAGCAATTCGCTCGTACATAAGTTGTCAACTACGTAAAAGAAAAATTCATACATGTTAGAAACAGCCGTATATCTCAACGACCGTACACACCCCCGACAATCAACCATTCGATTCGTATGGATTCAACAACAAGCCAGTAATTAAACCAACTTGCAAAGTCAAATATGGGGTAAAGGCTGCAAGCACGTTGAACGCACAGGCATAAATTACATCCGAAACCGGAGACGTATAGTTTAGTACATTGTACTAGTAGCTGTCATAGTTACAAAGCACTCTCACAGTACCAAATCATGCACAGCACTCACAGTGTCCTAAGCCGTGTAATAATAGTACTCTCACAGTACTATCATAATGTCATAAAGACATCGTACTCTCACAGTACTCACGGTTGCTCAAGCCGTACAAATAGATAGTACTCTCACAGTACGATACAAACAGCCATGCACTACCATCATGACATTGTACTCTCACAGTACCCACGGTTGCCCGAGCCGCATAATATTGTACTCTCACAGTACTATCAAAATGTCATAAAGACATCGTACTCTCACAGTACTCACGGTTGCCCAAGCCGTATGATATAGTACTCTCACAGTACTATCATAATGTCATAAAGACATCTTACTCTCACAGTACGATACAAAAAGCCATGCACTATCATATCACACTGTATACAGGCTGGTCAGGCCTTATACATACACAGCACTCTTACAGTACTCAACATATATAGCGCTCTCACAGCGCTAAAATGCACCAGCATCGTAAAAACACATACTGAGCGATATAAGACCACCTCTCGCCAATGTAATCCCACATTACAAATGACAAAACTTTGTAACTGCACGCACAAACACCGTAACTGCATTTGACCAACTTTCGTTTATAATAGCGAGGCATGCCTCGAGTACGTAACAGCGCTGACAGCACTGGGGAAACGCAATCGGGAAAAAAAGGAAGCGGCGAAGATTGAACAGCATGCCATTTTATATTTTTTGCGAGTTGAGAGGTGGCGGTTTTTAATTTTGAGTGTGTGATACACAGCTTGGGCAACCGTGAGTACTATATAGTACGTTAAAAGTAGTGACAGTGTATGAACGGCTTGGGCAACCGTTAGTACGTTTTATATTATAAACCGTGAGGACTGTGAGAGTACTATTATTATACGGCTTGGGCAACCGTGATTACTGTGAGAGTACTATATTACACGGTTTGAGCAACCGTTAGTAATATTTAGTACGTTAAAGGTAGTGACAGTGTATGAACGGCTCGGGCAACCGTGCGTACAGTGAGAGTACGATGTCTATATGACATTGTTATAGTACTGTGAGAGTACTATATTTTGCGACTTGAGCAACCGTGAGTACTATTTATTACGTTTTTTATATTACACGGCTTGGGCAACCGTGAGTACTGTGAGAGTACTATAACGTGCGAGAACAGAACGAAAGTCAAGATAAATGTTAGAAATACTCTCAAAATGACATTTTTATATAATACCCGGCTTGGGCAACCGTGAGAACTGTGAGAGTACTATATTATACGGCTTGAGCAACCGTTAGTACTATTTAGTACGTTAATGACACTTACAGTATAGGAACGGCTTGGGCAACCGTGAGTACTGTGTGAGTACAATTTATTTATGACTTTATTATAGTACTGTGAGAGTGATATAATGTGCGAGAACAGAACGAAAGTCAAGATAAATGTCAAAAATACACTCAAAATGACATTTTTTGTATGAAATACGGCTTGAGCATCCGTGAGTTTTGTGGGAGTGCTATATATGTATAAGGCTTGACTAACCTTTATACAATATGATGGTAGTGCATGTTTTATTTTTTCTACTGTGAGAGTACTATAAATTTATTCGGCCCGAGCAACCGTGAGTACTGTGGAAGTACTATAATCTGCGATACAGAACGAAATTTGAAATATATGTTAAAAATACTCTCGAAATGACATTTTTTTACGATATACGGCTTGGGAAACCGTGTGTAATATGAGAGTACGTTAAATGTGGTGACAGTATGAAAACGACTTGTGAGGTTGTTAGTACTGTTTCGTACAATGATTTATGACAGTACGAATACGAAACGAAAGTCAATGCGAGATGTACGGTATGGCTAACTGTTACAACTATTCAGTGTGCTGTACAGTACGATGGAACGAAAGTCAAGGTATGTGTCATAAATACTCTCGAAATGACATTTTTGGTAGATATACGGCTTGAGCTAGCTTTATGTGAATACTTAACGTACTATATAGCATGAAAAGGTAGTTTATATGACAGTATAGAAAAGGGTGTAAAGTAATACTGTAAATTTGTTTATAGTACTAAAAATAAGCCTAGTTACATTGTAGCCTAAGTCAATGTTTCTTTTTGGTCAAGTCCATGTTCTTCACCATGCTAATCACGTACGGGTAAGCCTTGTATTTGCCCTCTGGTGGATGAGGGGTCGAAGCGCCGCGTCGATTCGCCTTTAATGTCCAGAGGTATTCCCGGGGCAAAGGTGTGCTGGCTGTTTTGTTTGCTGACTCATTGCCGCGTTTTTGGGAATGCAAATGGATTCCGTCCTTTTATGGTCAAGACCCTCTTCTTTTCGTTTCCACTGATTACCTTATCATGAACCGGGCCCTTATCGCTCCTCCGGCTTTTTTCATACTGAGGTTTTAAACATTTGCGGCTGTTTTCGAGTTGTTGTCAATGTTTACTGGAGTTGGGCTCGTTTGTGAAGAATGCTTACAGGGTTTTGATTAGAGATGTGTGGGTGATTAAAATTTGGAGGGGGGGGGGTTTGCTTAAAATCAAACGTGTGATTAGGGCAGGGCGGGGATTAGGCCATAAAGGGTGAAGGGAGACTGGCAGGTAAGGAGAGCTGGGCTGGTCATGAGGGCCGGACGGATGATTATGCATGGGTGGGTGTTTAGGACAGGACGAGTGATTAGGGCAGGGTGGGTCTTTAGGGTAGGGCGGATGATTCGGGCCGGACAGGTAATGAGGGATTGGCGGGCGGCCATGGTGAGGAGAGTGATTAAGAATGGATTCTTACGGCTTTACCTTACCCTGCCGTGCCCCTACCCCTCCCTTTTCCTTCAATATGTCAATTTCCTCCACCCTATTTACATTTACATTACCCTGCCCTGGCTTATCCTACCTTCACTTGTCCTATTCTACCCTACCTTACCCTAACCTACTTTATCCTATTTTATCCTGCCCTATTTCACCCTACTTTACTTATTTTTGACATTAAAAATTTTAGAATTTGACATTGAAACTTTTTAAATTTTTTTGAAATTTTGAAAAATTTTTTATTTTTTGTGGTTCTACCCTAAATTATGGTATTTTCAAGCTAGAAAACGATGAAACTTTTTTGCCGTAAAATCTTTGTTCAGGTTTGTTTCTGACCTCCAACATGAGATACCTTGAGTAAACAAACAAATATCGTTTCCAATGCTTGTTCTCAAGGATTTTCCGTGGTTTTTGATATCAGCCGGAGGGGTATTGAGAGAATTTTAACCTGCTTTTTCTGGCCTTAATTTCTCTCGCTCGACTTTACTTTGCCCTGCCCAGCTTTATATTGCCCCTCCCAGCTTTACTCTGCCTTGACTCGCCTTTACCGTGCCCCATCCGGCTTTACTCTTCTCGGCTTTACCATGCCCTACCCTGGCTTACCCTGCCCTACCCGGCTTTTCCTTGCTCTGCTTGGTTTCACTTTACTCTGCTTTGCTTTATTATGCCCTGAACATGCCTTAGAATTCTCTTAGTCCTAATACGTCTTCTACCCTACCCTCAGCTTTGTCCCTATTCTTGGCCATACCTTACTCTTTGTCTTGCCTACCCTCACCCTTGCCCTACCCGTAACCTTTTTATCATCAAAAAAAGTAGATGATAATAATTTTCATAAGCGATACCATCTTCCTTAATATTAGTCATGTGTCCAATGTCTGTTTTTGTTTGACGTGATTCATTTGCGGCGTTAAGATGAACTCAAAAAAAGTTTTTTTTGTAAATTCGATACTTTTCAATGGGTTTCGGTCGAACAATGGGGGCACGGAACGGTTTGGGGAATCAAAACAGGCTTCTAAGTTTAAGTAAACGTCGGGATTGGGCTGGTATTTAGGTAATGGCGGTATGAAAGTAGGGTTGTACTTTGGGTAAAGGGAGTACAAAGATAGGGCAGGTACTTGGCTTGTTGAAGTTGGGTGAGGATGGGGGCAGGTGTGGTAGGGCAAGAGGGGAATGTAGGGAAGATATTTGGCCTTTAAGCAGGTCATGAGAGGTGGGAGCAAGGGTGGAGAAGAGGAAGATTTTTCATTAGAAATGAGGATTTTATGACGTTTTTCATTAGAAACGAGGATTTTATGAAATTTTTCGTTAGAAATGAGGATTTTTTGACATTTTTCATTAGAAATGAGGATTTGATGACATTTTTTATTAGAAATGAGGATTCTATGACATTTTTCATTAGAAATAAGAATTTTATGACATTTTTCATTAAAAAAGACAATTTTGCTTTAAAAATTAAATTTCAAATTTCAAAATCATCAGTTTTGTGACATTCCTTAACCCTTATTCAATGCTTTTCCCCATATGATTTGCACTTTTCCAGGCCCTCTCGAGCTGATTCACTGCGCAAACAATCATTCCCTTTTCTTTCTGACCGGGTCATGGACAATGTTAGAGCGATAATAAATATTTATTTTTTCGGTTTCACGCCGAAACCCGTACCTCTAAAGGGGTAAGGAGGTATCAAGAGCTATATTTTCTTCAAATTTTAAGGATTTGGGGGTTTTAATGAAAAATATCATAAAATCCTCATTTCTAATGAAAAATGTCATAAAATCTTCATTTCTAATGAAAAATGTGGTAAAATCCTCATTTCTAATGAAAAATGTCATAAAATGTACATCTTCTGTGGAATTCTTTATTTTAATGACATGTTTCAAAGAATTTTGTATTTTTGTTGACAACTTTATAAAATTTTTTGTTTTGCTGACACATTTTGTATAATTTTCTATTTTTATGACATAATTTATAATATTTCTTGTTTTGATGACACATTTAATAGAGTTTTAGAATCTTCCGTCTTCATGACATGTTTTATTGAATTTTTAAATTTAGATGACTTATTTGATAGAATTCGATAATTTCTTGTTCTTCCTGCTCCTACTCCTACCCTTATCCCGACTCTTACCCCAACTCTTACCCTACCTCTATCCCTACCTGCCTTGCCCGATTTCACTTACCTCTACAATACATATTTTGTGAAATTCCTTACTTATATGACTTATTTTATAGATTTATATGTTTGCATGACATATTTTATAGAATTTTTTATAATTATGACAAAAATGTCAGGCTGACCTTACTCTTTGACACAATATAATATTTCTAGGCCCAGCTTCAAAAATGGATGGGCCGCCCTACGAGATGGTCCTTACCATACGCCACAATCTAAAATACCTCCTTTTGTTGACATTACTGGCCGGCGGAGTGTACGCGCAGATTGGCGGAATCGGCGGAGGCTTTGGGACGGGCGGAGGCCTCGGGGCGGGTGGTGGAGCTCAACAGGCGGGTGGATTCCCACAACAAAACATTGGTCCACAGGATGCGGGTAATCTGTTCACTGGTACCGGTAATACCGCCTTTTATGGCGTCAATCTGGTTGGATTTGGGCCGGACTTTGGCGATCATCAAGTTCATCCGGGCTTATTGACAGCCGGTCAGACCATCGATCTTCATTCCTACTTCCCTTTCTATGGTGGACTTTATAACTATACCACAGTAAGGTTTAAATTGCAAGAAATTTCCTTACAAAACAAAAAATGGCAAGTACTTTCTTTACAAAACAAAAAATGGCAAGAACTTTCTTTACAAAACAAAAAATGGCAAGAAATTTCTTTACAAAACAAAACATGGCAAGAACTTTGTTTACAAGGTAAAAAACGGCAAGAACTTTCCTTACAAAACCAAAAATGGCAAGAACTTTCTTTACAAAACAAAAATTGCAAGAACTTTCTTTACAAAACTAAAAATGTCAAGAACTTTCTTTACAAAACGCTGTCATACTCAAAAGTCATTTTCTAATTCCAGATCTCAGTAAACGGCTACATGTCCTTTGCCACCGTACTCGACCAAGGCCCAACCATCAATGTTGGACCGGACGCAACGGACTGGCCTCGACAACAAGATCCAGCCATGATCGCTCCATACCTCTGCAAACAGCAGATCAATCAGAATCGAGGCCCAGCTCAACGTGCCGGCATCTACTACCGGATGGTGATGCGACAGAACATGTTCGGCCGCGGCGGTGGTAACATGAACATCGAAGGGCCAACGATGGAAGGATCCTCAATGTTCGGCTATCGTACCCAAACCTGCCCCGGGCAGGGCGATTCCTACGTCCAGTGCTCGGCCCAAGGCGACTATTTCCTGGACGAAATGATGCGATGGCTTCAGGAAGGTGTAGCCGGCGCCAATGCCTTCAGGGCCGACATGGCTTTGGTCGTCACCTGGTACAACACCGCCTCAGCACTGTCAGGTCGAGCCGACATGGATGCGGGACAGCTAGCAACGTACCAAGTGGTATGGTTGGCCGAAAGATCCGCCCGACTCAGCTATGTCATGCTGAACTACGACAAACTCGGCTTCGACGCCGCCGACATCCGAATGAACTCGAGGTCGGGCAGGTGTCAGGCCTTGTTCAATGGTGGAAATCATACCGGTATGGTACTGGTCGACCCAACTCAAGAGTACAAAAACACTCCGAAAGTACTGGCTCAACGGTCGGGTGTACCACACATGGTTCGTGGCCGATACATGTTCAGGGTGGATGATGTCGTACGACCTGGAGGATGTTCGAACAAGACTGGTGGAACTTACCCCATCATGATCTACCCAAATATTGTGAATATGTTAGGAGAAATGAGTGTTGATATCAATGCAATCTGTTTGGACAGAAGTCAGACCTATATATTGATGATTGAGCAGCGTCAGGTATGTTGTTATAGGCTCTTTGAGGGTATTTTTGTCGAAAACCTTAAATTCCTGCTATTTCTTAATTGATTCTAGGAAAAATTGAAGCACTTTATTTCTATCAAGGATATATCTTGATATTTAACACATAACTGATAAGCTAAGCATCCATTTACTACCCAAATTCACTTTGTTTTCCAATTAACGTTGATATTATTATAGACAGCCACGTGTCAAGTAATAAACCCAGCGTTAGCTAGATGCCATCTACCGAAAATCTACGATTGGGGTACTAAAACCGTCTACTTCCAACCACAAAGTATGGGAGCAAACGATGAAAAAGCTTTTGTTGGCTACATTTACTTTGGTAAGTGTTATGGGTAGTGTAATATAGCCGGCTTTTAAGGGAAATATGGTTTGAATTAGAAGTAGTTGTGGATTATAAGTTGTAAAATAATTCATGGACGATTTTAAGACATAAACTTGGATTCAGAAGTAACAATTCAATGAGATTTTGCATTTTTCCAATTTCGGGTATCAAGTGTAATATCGGTTTTTCTCGTTTTAATCCAAAAAAGTTACATAACTATCGAAAGTTATGTTTTAAAAATTGTAAAAAACCATAAAGTAACTTTGAAAAACTTTCATTTGACGAATCACCTCCATTTTGCTGGGATTCAGGCTTCTCTCAGATATCAAGTGTAATATTGGTTTTGGCGACTTTAAAGCAAATAACTAAAAATCTGTCAAATTTATGTTTTAAATATTGTAAAAGACCACAGGGTAGCTTTTAAAAACCACTCTTGTATCCACAACACCCATTTCTTAAAGTTCCAAGCATTTTTTCCACCATCAAATACCAAGTGTAATATAATCACGTTGCATAAACATTTTAGTCCCGCCAACGTTGGATCCGATGAGATTAGACATAGGAAACATTTACGATTGGTACAAGAATCCAATTCCATATGTAGCAATGCCAATTTCCTGGTTTCCGCGCAATTTCACGAATCCTGACATCAATTACCTGGATAACACTCAAGTTCGCATCTCTGACGACGCTTTGTACAGTGTGCAGCTGGGATTATACGTTGTTGGGTATAAAGAAAGCGATGATAATCAGGTGTGTGATAAATCCATTCAATATTACCTAAATTTTAACAAAATAAAGCAAGTTTTACCTGATTTTCCGTTTGACTTCAGAGCTATATTATACATGCCGTTTTAGATCAAAAAATTCCGTCCAGATCACCGAGTTTTGTGTCGTTTGGCCACATATTCGAACAGAAATCAGCCCGAATACAGATGGACCGCTCAGAAGGAGCGAATCAACATTAACCAAGTGGAACAATGGTACATGACGGATTGGGAGCGCATGCACGAACTCTTCACTTATCGCGTTGGATATCTGAAACTGGCGCCTCTGAGGGGTAATGAACAACAATATGTGGCTCCTCATTTGTTGTCTGGGTAAATATTTTTCGTGTAGCAACGTGACGAAGTTGATTTACATCTGATTTTGTGGATTTCGGAACAAAAACGGAGGGAAAGGGTGCGCGCAGGTGGCGGAGGAGAGCTGCAGCCTGCACGATCGAGTTATACGCTGGTTCTTTGTTTTTTTTTGTAAACTACGTCGTTAAAAATGAATTGTCTTTGATTTACAATGTATATTAATGTATATTGATGTGTTTAATTAACTTATCAACCTTATTTTAGCCTAGTAAGCGCCCCAATCTCACTTCACTGGCTCTGGACCACCAATAACCCTCGATTCGATACCACAACATACACCACCCAAGAATCAGATGCCCGCCAAGAGTTTGTGGTCGAAAAAGCGACGGAAATGTGTCACGATTGGTACGATGAGGATGGAGCTCAATGGAACTTCATCCGAGACACCGAGACCAACTCATCTTGTCCTTGTGTCGAGAGTCAGGCCAAATACGATCTGGGCAGGTTCATGCCACATCCACGTTGCTCACAGACCTTTAGAGATATCACGTGTACTTCGATGATTGGTGCCAAGAATTGTTATATGAGTGCGTCGAACATCTTTGGAGCTCATGCTGGAAAGACCATCAATTATGGTTATGAGGCGGAGAGAACGAGGTAGGGAAGAGGATGGAGTGTAGGTTGGGCAGGGTATAGAAAGGTTAGGGTAATTTAAGTTAGAGCAAGATGGGGTAAGTAAGGGTAGTGTAGGATAACAAAGGGTAGGGTAGGATAAGGGAGGATAGTGTAGGGCTGGGTAGAATGGGTCAATATTGTGACAATTTAATTTTTTTTTAAATTTTGAAAACGATTTTTTTAAATTTTTATTTTTCAGTTTGTTCCCAACCCATTATGGTCAAGTCTGTTGTTATGACGAGCGAGGTTTCTTACAACAAACCACTTATCAGCCAGTAATCAAGGTAAAATTTTTTTTACATTTATTTTATTTTTACCATACATCCTACCCTACTCTACGCTATGTTATCCTACTTTATCTTACCCTAAACTACCCTATCCTACCCTAAAAAATGTCTTTAAATTTTTTTTTATTTTCAAATTTAAAATTTTAGGTAATTGAAGAAACCCCCTACAACCCGGGCTTCCCCCTTCGAGCCTACGAGTTTGGTACTTCGCCTTATATGGGTCAGTTCGAGGTGCCAGGCCTCAGTGCCTTCCACCACGACTATATGCCATACTTTTTGTGTTGCAAGTTCGCCAAGTTCCGGTGTCAACTGTTCTACTGGCGTCGCCCCTCCTCCGGCTGTCAGCAATATCAACCACCAGCGGTGGGTGAGGCCCTAGGGGCAGGTACCTTCCATACCGTAGACAACGAGAAGTTCATCTTCAACGAGCCGGGCGTCTACACCTTGTTGTACATCCCGAAGACCGTGTTCACGCCGGAAGTGCGGATTCAAGTACGGCTGGAACGGTACCCGAATCGACGGGTCGATTTCAGTTTGCTCGGTCGATATCTTAGTCAAGAACAGCTGGTACAGCCAACCAATGCTACAGTAATCACTGGAATAGCGATAGAAGCGTCAGGTACCGACAGAGTACACGTACTGTCCAGAGGCGATACTCGCCGATTCAGATACCGTACCAGTGTTATTGTAGGTAACATATTACGGTACTTTGACACGATGCATCTACAACGCTTCAAAGGAGTACTGATCTATGTTAACAACGTCGAGAGAGGCCAACCTGAAGTGTACGTGGTGTTGGAAGAGGCACAGATCGGTGTGAGGATTAGAGAAAGTTACAGTATGGACATCGACAGAATGCCACAGTATCAGGAATCCATGGGAATGCTGGACATACAGCTCAGTGTACCTCCACAGTATGGCGTGGTAAGTTGGGGATAGTAGGATCATAGTGGTATATTACCCTACCCCCTACCTCTTACCCTCTACCCCCTACTCTTACCTTGCTTCTACCCTGCCTGCCCCTGTCTCAGTACTTGCCTACCCCTTATTCTTCCCTTACCTGCTCCACTCGGCTTTACCCTGCCTTAGCATTTGCCTTACTATGGCATACTCTGTTGTACTCTACCCTAATATGGCATCTACTCTTTAACACCTATATTCATATAAATATTTTTGTAGAGGCCAGATGGAGACAAGACTCGTGAACAAGAACAACGTCAGCGATTCGCTTTGCCAAGAGTAGCTGGACTGTTAAGGCCATTCCCAGAAACGGCGACAGGAAGCTTCATGAACACGATCACGTTGAACGATGTGAATTCGGAACAGATTCGACAACAAATCATCAATAATTGTAGGTCTACTACAATATTTTTGGTACTGAAACTAGGATAGTACTAAGTGTTATGACATTTTTTACTAGACTAAGCAATTTTTTTAACTTTGAAATTACTGTAGATTACTGTATTATAAAAATTTAATGAAATATGTGGATTGAGATTACTGTAGGTTACTGTAACATAAGGACTTAATGAAGCATATTACAGACAAAGTACCAGGAAGTGGAGAAGCCTTCACCGACTACAACCAAGGCACTCTCAATCAGTACATACCTACTGATAACATGTTCAGTACGAGCAGAGAAGAAGACAAGAAATTCGAAGTTTTCCCTGAGGCTGTCATGAAGAATCAACCCATTTACAAGACGTCTGAAGCCTATGAAACGTAGGTTCTCTACCCTATCTGCCCCTGCCTTACCTTACCCTACCCTACCCTACCCTATAATACCCCACCCTACCTCACCCTACACTACCCTATCCTTAATGGACACAGGAGCTGGTTTTGGCTCGGTCATGGGGCCCAGATGTTTTGGCTAGGCTCCCGTTCCCTTCTTTCAATTTTGCTTCGGCCCGGCTTCTTTTGAGTTCTATACTAACCTAAAAAGAATGTTACAGTAACCCTGGCGTACTGTTTTTTTCCCTAATTTACCGTAGCCCCCTACCTGTTTTTGCCCTACCATGCTATGCTTTACCTTACTCTAGCTTAATACTATAATACCTCGAATTTCATTTTCTTTATTTTTTAAAAATTTTTATTTAAAATGTTACAGTATTACCTACCGTACCCTTTCTTACCTTAGCCCCCCCCCCTCCACCATAGCCGATTTTACCTTAACATGGTATACCCTACATTACTGGAGCTTTATTCTAGTCCAAGTTTTCCATTTTCAAACGATTTTTTTAATTTCATTAAAAATGTTACAGTATCGCCTACCGTTTCCGACCGATGACCGGTCAAGAGCTTCAACAACTCATCAATTATTGCGCTGAATTGGCCGGCTCTAACACTAGTAAGTATATCATAATGGGAAAAATGCAATACTTTTTGAAATTTTTATTTTTAAAAAACGCGCCATTCTTTTTGCATCAACTAAAAAATAAGCTAAAAATGCCATTTTTCAATAGATTTTTATTAGAAAATGACAGCTTTTGTATTAAATTTGAATTTGGTATGATGTGCGGACTAAAATGGCGCATTTTGATTTTAATTTCAAGCGTCATTCTTTATGCATCAACTGAAAATTGCCTTAAAATTCGATTTTTCAACCAAAAATGCCGTTTTTTAATTGATATTTGTTAGAAAATTAAAGTTTTTGAAAGAAATTTAAACTTTCTATGATGTGCGGACTAAAATGGCGGATTTGCATTTTAGTTTTATGCGCCATTCCTTATGAAGCAACTAAAAAACTGCCTAAAAATGCCCTTTTTTCAACTTTTTAATGACATTTTGAACCATAACCCCCTTTGAAATCACTAATTTTAGTCAACATGCAACCACTAGCTGGCCAAGTCTTCCAAGACTCGGCCTACAACCGTTGCCCGGACAATCCGCAGAAGATCCTCACGGATTGCGGTGATAACGTGCCGTGCCTCTACGATTACACCATGATGAACGCCGAGATTCTGGGGAATGAAGCCAAAAACGCGTGGAATGCCTTCGTTTACGATCGGAATCAGGCCATCAGGCAATGTAAGAGGCGTTAAAGTTTGTTTTTTATTGAAAAGATGGAAAATAATGTATTAGACTTGGGCGCAGACTGCGGAATGGTGTTTTGCAGCCTGCAGCGATTTTTCAAAATTTTTTGAAAATTTCAAAGTGTGGTCTGGTAAAAAAGGTTTAAATTTATGATGAAGAATAGTAATTTAGGAAAAAAATTTTTAATTTTGTGAAAGGCTAGGGCGCAGCTTACGAAGTGGATTTCTGCGGTCTGCGCCAAACTTTGCCATTTTTAATGTTTCATATATCAAATAGCATTAAAAAAGTATAATTAGGGTTGGAAAATATTCAGAACAGTCTTCTACAATAATATTTTTTAAATTTTTTACAGTTAAGCTCGGACGAAACTCGTAAAACGGGTTTCAGCCTGCGCCATAGTTTTGGCAGTCTTTTGCCATTTTTAATGTTTTTAATGATTAAAATAATATAATCTATGGCAAAAAAGCAGAAAGTAGAAATAAAAATAAGTAAAAAATCTTATTTCTGCCATTTTAGACAACAGTTGTGGTCCAATCATGATTGAATACCCTGAATATCTGATGAAGACGCCAGCCTTGAGTCCAAGTTACCTTGAAGGAGACACCGCCCGATTCGAATGCTTCCAAACTCATTGGATTCGTGGTGATAGCGAATATAAATGTAAGTTTTGGGGGTAGAAACTTTGTTTACAAAACATCAAATGACAAAAGCTTTCTTTACAAGGCATGAAATGGCAAGGACTTTCTTTAAAGAACAAAAAATGGCAAGAACTTTGTTTACAAACAAAAAATGGCAAGAACTTTAAAAAAAGTGGCCCTTTTTTGAAATCCTTCGTATAATTTGTCACCCGCAGCCTGCCAAATCTCAAATAATTGAGAAACAGGCTAAAAATGGCAAGAACTTTCTTCACAAACCACAAAATGACAAACTCTCATTTCAGGCAGTATTGTAGTCGACTACAACAACCCCAACACCTACCGCTTCGAGTGGAACAAGGGCTGGCAGCCATGGTGCAGATCGCGTGAAATGGACAATTTCCTGAAATGGCTGACTGCCATCCTCTCCACGATGGCCATCATCATGGTGCTGGTGATGATCTTCTTCTTCTGCTGGACCGTCAAACAGAAGCATCAACAGGAGCGGGAGCAGAAGCGCGGTCAGAAGCAGTTCACCCCGACCTACGAGGACTCGACCTACCCACCGAAGGAGTACGAAGCCGATTTGAACGGCTTCAGAGACTTCAAACAGCCAGAGAACGAACTCAGAGCGAGAAGACCTCAAGGCGTGGTAAATCCGGAGGAAGATCAGTCTTTGTTGGGGTTGAATACCAGCGTTTGAGGGGTGTTTTTGAGAGTTTTTGGCCGTTTTGGGGGTGTTTTTAGTGGTTTTTAGACTATCTTAAGTGGTTTTTGGTCATTTTTCGTGGTTTTAAGTCGTTTTTTAGGGGTTTTAAGGCTGTAAGTTCATTTTTTTAACATTATTTTTAAAATTTAAAAAATTTTGAAAAAAAATTTTTTTTTAAATTTTTTAAAAATTCAAATATTTTTTAGGCCCTTAAGCCCTAAAGCTCACATTTAACCTTATTTTCAATTACAATTGTTATTCTTTGGCAACTTCCTCCACAACTTACTATACCATACGTTTGCTGTCTACTATAATATCCTTTTTGTTCTCAAAAACCATCGCTTAAAGTGCCTAACAGACGTATATCCTGGTAAAATTTCACACTGCCTTGCCAATCTTTTTTTAGCCAGCATTTTTTGTGTCATATCATATCGAATCAGAGTTTTGAATGTGATTCTAATGTAAAAATTTAAAACATATTGCTATTATGTAAGACAAGAATATTGATCAGTTTTGTTTTGTATGTTATTACCTCTCAAGTTTGTTATCAATAAATAATTTTATATTAACTTTATACAGCATTGATCTACCGTACCCTACAATAGCCTACTCTACACTATCCTATTGTACCCTAACCTGTCCTACCCAACCCTTTTCTATCCTACTCTACCCTACCTTACCCTTCCCTACTTTGCCCTATCCTACCTTAATTAATCCTACCGCTTATAGACGTTAAAATGTCTGATCCTATTATCTTCTACTCGAACATGCCCTACCCTATCCGACCTTACCCTACTATTCATTTTTTACCTAACCATGCCTTGCCCTATTATATTCTACTTCAGCATGCCCTAGCCGGCTTTTTCCTACCCTACCTTCCCTAATTCTTATAGGTCTTAGCATGCCCTTCGTTTAATCTTATCATGCCCTACCTTACCCTACCATACTATGCTCGTTTTACTTTGTAGTGTGCTGCCCTATTACTACATTCAAGTCTAGCATGCCGTACCCTATCCTAACCTATCAAACCTTATCCTACCCTACCTAACCTGACCTACTTCAGCATACTCTACTATTCTGTTTTACCTTAACATGCTTTACCCTGTTTTTCATGCCCTACCCAATCTTATGCTACCCTACTTTACCTTGACCTGCCCTTTTATTCATTTTTTACCTTACCGTGTCTTACCCTACGACCTTCTAGCCTAACATGATCTACTCTACCCTATCCGACCCTACCCGACTCTATCTTACCACACCCTACCTTACCGTGCCTTACCCTACCCTATTACATTTCAGCCCATCATGCCCTACCATACCCTCAATTCCCCTATTGCGCAACTACCGTAGCCCTCTATTATATTCAAATTTTGAGCGCAACAAGAGAATGAAAAGAAGAAAACGAATTCGGAATTAAATGAGTCTGGTTCCCAGTAATTAATCGAACAATAATAATCTTGTTCATATTGAAGAAGCGGCGGAAGTGACCTCTCTCCTCGAGTTTAAACGTTTTGCCGGGAATATTTTTTAAAGGGATGCGCAATTACTGTACTTAATGAAAACAGATGGACACTCAACCCGATTCCCACCTCTCCACTACTACAACACATTCTGTCATCATAAGGTGGCGGCGTATGTTGTGTTAGCTACTGGATCATATTGTGGTATTTGAGGAGCTATAGGAGGGGTTGTGGTATTTGAGAAGCTACGAGAGCTTCTTGATATTACTTTAACATTATTTGCTTCAAATTATATTCACCATGGCTGAATGTGAGACTCACGTGCCCGAATACTGTCAGGTCTACGAGGTTTTGAGTAAGTTTTTTATTTTTATCTTACCCTTTTTAGGCCCCCCCCTAATTTTTTCGCTTTTTTACAAATTTACCCCCTACCGTCCAATTTTTGTAAATCCCCCCCCTCCCTTGATTTTTTCAATTTCCTCCCCCCCCTGCCTCCTTGATTTTTTTTCAATTTTTTTGAATCACCCCACCAACCCCCCTCCCCATTTATCCCATTACCCACTTTTACCCCTGCCCAATTCCAGCCAATGATGGGAGCACAAAGCGATACCTATTCCCCAAAGCTCTGGACCTAAGCCGGCCCAAACGCCCAAGAACAACCTTTTCCACCGACCAATTGAAGGTTTTGGAATCTGAATTCCAAAAGAATCCTTATTTAGTTGGAACGGAACGATCTCAGCTAGCCAAACGGCTGAACTTGAAGGAGGTTCAGGTCAAGGTTTGGTTCCAAAATCGTCGAACCAAAACTAAGAAGGGGGATGGAAATGAGGCTAAAAGGTAAAATACTAATACTATATTGTTTGAGTATTATACATAGTACTAAAATAGTTAATACTGTAGTAGTATTAAACTAATTTTTAGTACTGTACTAAGACAAGAATAAATTTAAAAACAGTCTAAAACAGTCATTTTTAGTACAAAGTACGTAGGTTGATGCTTAGAAAAGCAACTTTTTTGGTCTTTGTTACTATGTAGTACTACTCAGTACCAAGGTACTATATAGTACTACTAAGTAAAAACTTTTGATGTTAGTACAAATGTTTTTGGCACTATTAGTCCTCAACAGTACTAAAAAACTGGATGGTACTACTCAGTACGAAGGTACTATATAGTACTACTCAGTATCAAGAACATAAAACATAACCAATATTTTTTAAATTATAATATTCTAAACATTCATCAAAAAAAGCAATTTCAGCCCAAAACCAATCGAACCCCCAGTCCAGCCAATGGTTTCCCAGCCAAATTTTGCTCAAAACTCCCCAGAACAACTTCAAACAATGCCAAATCAACCATTATTCTTGAATATACCACCCAATTACCTTCAAAATCCGTTTTTCCCTCCCGATTTCAATCGATTTTACGTTGATTTTTTGCGGTAAACTATCGTATCTTTGGTTTATATTGTAGTAGCTGAATAATTTTTGTAAAATTAATAAATTTACTGATAAAAATTAATTTATAAACATTTTATTAGCTCTATATCACAACAACCTTTACTCCGTATAATATACTACCTAAATATCAACAAAAAACGTCTTCATATATCCATATTAAGACCTTTCTTTATATTATCATAAGTACATGATGAACAATATATTTTTTACCTACAAATTTCAAAACAGAACCTCTATACCTACATAAACCTACTGCCCAACAGTAAATGAAGCCTTGACCAAATCAGACAGCCTAATCTCAATCTTATCTCCCGGTTTACAAGAACAAACACCTTTGGGAGTACCAGTTAACAGCAGATCTCCCGGCTCCAAAGTGACATAACTTGTGGCAAACTCGATTAAAGTTGGGATATCGAATATCATACTGTTTGTCAAATCCTTCTGCTTCGTTTCTCCATTGATCTTACATTCTAGCTCCAATTTATGAGGGTCTGGGACTTTAGATTTGTCCACAAAGTCAGCTACTGGGCAAGCTGTGTCAAAACTCTTGGCCAAGAACCAAGGAGCTCCTTTCGACTTGAATTCATTCTGAAATAACATTCTTTAGTTCGTAATATTCTAATTTAATAATTCTTAAGCCATTCCACCTTTCCGATATTGTAGTAGGTCCTCCTTCCTTTCGAATATTTCCTAAAATTTCAAAAACTAATAACAAAAATTACCTGTAAATCACGAGCAGTCATGTCCAATGCCACTGTATATCCACCAATATAGTCATAAGCATCTTGTTTCTTCACATTCGTCGCTCTTTTATTGATCACAACACCTAACTCAACTTCTTGATGTAGATCCTGACAACCTGGTGGCGCACGAATCGTTTCTCCATTTGCAATCAACGCATTTGTACTTTTTAAAAACAACATTGGCTTTTTGGGCACGGGATTGTTCAGTTCCGCCGCATGTTCACTGTAATTTCGACCAACACACACAATCTTCTTGGCCAGTTGACGGAAATTGGCCAAGTTGGGCATGTCGGCTGTAAACAGATGGGTTTATTTATTAGAACTGGTAAAACAAAGCATGAAGAAGATATATGCCAAATTTTATCACATTTGGTAAAACTAGTCAAAAGATACGACGATTTGAAGTTCAATCAGTCATTAGCTGCCATAAGTTAATATAATTTTAAAATAACTCAAAAACTAATAGTCCGATTAAACTGAAATTTTAAATAAACACTAAAAACAGTACCCTTGTCAAAATGGGGTTAACAGTTTTGTCATTAATTACCCAGAATAACGGGAAATTCTCATATTACGCATAAAAACTTTGAATACCTATAACTTTGCCCAAACTGAAAGTAAAAATTCAATTTTTATTTTAAAAGCTTCCAAATTAAGCCTAATTTTACTATTTATAAAACTCATAAAGATGAAAGAAGCCTATCTTTATCAAATCAACCAAAAACAATATTAACCACGGCCAAAAAAATTATTTTTCAAAAGTCAATTGCTTTTTGTAGCGAAAAGCCACGATTGATCGGCTTTTCGTAAACTAAAAAAACAACTGTTGATAAAAACTGACCTTCTGAACTCATCTAGTGGCCAAAAAATCGTTGTTCTGAAAGAAGTTCACGTGAATTGTCTTCAAATTCATAAATCAACAGCATTTACATCATGGAGAATATCGGCAAGATCGTTTTCAAAGAAAAAGTTGATGGGAAGTTTATTAAAAGAACAGGTAGGTATGAAAAAACAGGGTCTACGAAAGGTATGCAAAGGAAATTGATTCTAGGGAAGTTAATTTTATGGCCGTTTTTTGTTAATAACGATAATTAAAGCAAGTTTCTTGAATTCGACCCGTGATCGAGACTAAAATAATATCGAAAAGTGGTTTAGTGAAGAGGAACGAAGGCGTTGATAAGGTCATTTGAAACATTTTGTAAAAAGCCTTATTTTGTGTTGATTAATTGGTATATTGCAAGGTTTTTTTGTAGTTTGAGCTTTTGAAGTGGATTTGAATATTATTCATGGCACTGAGGTCGTCGATATGGTTTTGGTCATAACTTTTTTTACAGGAAGGCTAGAGGGTTGAAATATTGTGTGAATATAGGTTATACAATTAGCCAACTAATAGGTAATGATTAATTTTGTAAATTACGTCCTTTTGGAAGTTACAGTAATTTTACTGCAACCCACTTTGGTGAAGTAGGAGGTAAACTTCTTTTAATTGTAACGTTTTTCAACTTTTACGTACATGGCCAAATTTTCGTGAGATTATAGTTTATTCTATTTGTTACTAATCTATAAAACATATTTTTGGAACTCACATTAATTTAAATGTTACAATAGATTTCCTGCAACCTACCTACCTATACCTATATTTTTTCAAAATGAGCCAAAAATTGGCTTTGATTGCCATTATTTGTTAGACAAAATATTGCAATAGGGTTTGTTGTTACTCTGTTTGAAAAGAATGAGAGATTTCCTTTTGATTTCGGGGGATTCCTAATGGCAGGTGTTATCCATGGCACGTGGCCAATATCAATAGTTTTTAGCGATTGTTTTGAGCTCGTCTGGTCATTTTTGATCATAAAGTTGTTGGTAAGGACATGAAATGTCGGAAAAGTGAGCCTTACTGTATAAAATAGTTCAAAAATGATCAACAAGGACATTATATTAAGGGTAGGATAAGATGGGGAAGGTAGGGTAGGCTAGGTAAAGCATGTTGAAATGTCTTCAAATACAGTATAAAGAACTAAAAGCAAGATAAAAATTGTCACACCATTTATTGAGCTGAAATTTGGGTATCAATGGTTTCTACGATTACGTGCAAAACTTCAAACAAACTTTTTTAACCATATTTTTAGTATTATATTGTTTTTGTTTACTAAAGGTCATCTGTTAACAGTAAATTTGCCTTTTTTATTGCAATATACGTATTTGAAGGAGGTAAACATTGTATTTGAGCTGAAAATATACGGGCTTTAATCGTATTTGTTGTGGAAACTTAGCATACTTTGATGGAAGACGTAGTAGTGGATATCTTGGGGTTAGTAGAAGGTAAATTTAATTAAGTTTATAGTTAATTTCGTTATAATAGGCATCTGGTTACAGTCAACAAGCCATTAGGTTCCCGAGAATGACCATTTTAAAAAATTTTTAAATTAGTGCAAAAAATTTGTTCGATACCTAGAAACATCTTTTAAGTGGTCTTATATTGGGCTTATTCATAAGTGGCTACTAATGTAGTTTTTGTAAGTGGCCATTTTTTCAAAAATTTTCAGATAAATATTTTTCTGGAGTAGCCATTGCTTTTATCGTTTTTTCTTCTTTTTTAACTGATAAGAAGCTTGCAGACAGTAACATACAAGAAAATATACTAATATCTAGTACAAATTACTACTTCTACTCTTTTCTCTACCCCTACCTGTAACCCTACCTCTACCCCTGCTCTTAGCCTTAGTTTTACCCACTACCCCGTCTCGTACCCTACCCCTACCTCTACTCTCACTTTTACTCCTACTTCTACCCCTGTCCGTACCATCACCCATACCTTCGGCTCGGCTTTTCTCTGCCTAAGCACTTTCCTAGCCCTACTATATCTTCTACTCTATTCTCAGCATTGCCCCTATCTTTACTCTTACCCCTGCCCCGGTGCCGACTTTACCCTGTTTTAGCATTGGCCTACCCCGAAATCTACCCTCTGTTATCCTGCCTTACGGTTCTTTGGATTAGCTAGCCATCACGTAACTTTACCATTACTCTGCCATACGTTGTTACCTGACCTGCCATCATCCAAACATATCTTTTGTAGACTAAAAATCTGCCTTGTCTGACTTGAGGCAAGAAAACTTTTTAAATTCTTTTTTTTTGTTCAGAATTTTTTAAACGGCCAAAACTTTCAACACCCTTTAAAATTGAATACAATATGTTATAAAATTAGTAAAACCTGTGCCTCCTGTTCCATTCCCAAATATATATATCGTGGAATCGTAACGAGAGATCAATCAAATGGCCCTTAAGCGTCCCTGTGGCCCTTAAGCATCCCTTTTGGCCCTTAAGCAGTCGGTGGGGGGTTTGATGTGCCTTTAGAAGAAGTGGCTTTAAAGGACAGCTGCCTGCCGCCAAATATGTGGGATCAGGTGTTTTCCCATCTTCCTTAAGCGCCAACGCCGACCATTTTTTCGATTCGGCGGAGGCGGGGCGTTGGCTGCTATATAAGCGGAATCTCGGCCGCTTATCACAATTTTCGGTACATTTTGCAATTCAGTTCACTTGAGTGCAATATGAGACTAGCTAGACTGGCGTCCGAGGTGGTGCAGCGCACAAAGTGAGTTGGAGTTTTTGAAAATTTGATTTTTTTTGAAATTAGTCGAGCTTTGTGAAACTACAACTTCTTACGTAAAGTATTAGGCCGTTCAAATAATTCTGTGCTCCTAATCCCGAAAGCTTTCATTGAGAAGTGGCGCAGAACTTTTTGAACAACTCAATATTGCAAGTAGCCAAGGCACTTTAGAGTATGGTACTAGATTGGACAAAGCAAAATGGATACTGTTAAGCTTAAAAGGTGCCTCTTGGTATCTAAAAAGCTCTTTTTCTCTAATTTTTAAAATTTTAAAATTCAAAATTTTTCAAGCTTAAAAAATTCTGAAAAAATTCATTTTGGTGTAACACCATTTTGAAAAAAAGCGAAAGTTGTCTTCTTTAGTGTAAAATATGTGTATAAGTACAGAAAGTCATGACACAAATTATTTTTGACCGAACTGACATTTTATAATTTTATGACATTTTTTAGTTTTAAAGTTTTGAAAAAAAAATTGAAAATTGTGCTGTGCCAAAAGTAAACAAGGGTGAATCGCGAAAATTTGTGAAAATACGTTTTAGACTATTAGAAACAATTTAGTAACTGAAAACTTTTTGGTTGGGTTAATGTAACATGGTATTTTTAAAGTTAAGGCTTCACAAGCGGACTTTTTTGGGTAAAAATTAACTTTAAAGTTAACTTTTTTTGAATAAATGCATTTTTAAAAACAAAAATTTAGTATATTCTGAATCTAAAGAAAATTCTACATTAGATAGATTATAATATTGTTTAAAAATTGGCTTATTTTGTCAGTTCTTGGCCTTTTAGTTCAGTGGATTCCGCCGATTTATTGTTTGAAAATCCACGCGGGTTCGAATCCGCGTGGATGCAAGTGCCATTTTTAGCCCTTAAACAATAAAAAACGATAAACAATAGTAAAAAATGTTATTATAATGTAAAATACGCAGTATTTAATAACTTTAAAAAATTTAAAATTTTCAGACCCGCCCCAGATTACCGTCAAATCTCGAAAAAAGTGATATGTATCGGCCGAAACTATAATGATGGCAAAGCTCCGCCGACACAGCCAATCGTATTCATGAAGCCATCAAGCTCTATCATCTCCAACAAGTCCAGTATCAGAGTGCCCGAAGGCTGTGGTAAATTGGTGCATGAGGTTGAGTTGGGCGTGGTAATTGGAAAACCGGCCCGATTTGTGAAACGAGAAGATGCCTATAATCATGTAGCCGGCTACACGTTAGCGTTGGACATGACTGCTAGGGATATTTTGGTAAGAATGAAGTTTTTGTTATATGGGAGACGTATTATAGGATGAAAGATGTTAATTGGGCGAAAGGGGGACATGTTATACGGTAAAACATGTTTTTGTTACCTAAAAGTGACATTTTATACGATGAAAGATGTTTTTTTTTATAAACCTTGCCATTTTCAGGACAAGCTAATTGAAAATGGTCATCCCTGGTTCCTGGCCAAATCTTTCGATACAGGCTGCGCCCTACACGGCTTCATAGACAAATCCGAGATCCCCGACCCACACAAACTCGAGCTTCAGTGTTCCGTGAACGGTGAGCCACGACAATGTGAGCGAACCTCCGAGATGTTCTTCGACATTCCAACGCTAATCGAGTTCACGAGCCAGTTCATGACCTTGGAGCCGGGAGATTTGATCTTGACTGGAACGCCCGCAGGGGTTTCGGCCTGTAAACCCGGAGATCGGATCGATGCCTCGATATCTGGCCATTTGGCTACGACTTTTAATGTTATTGCTTAAATAAATTTGTAATTAACTAAAGTCTTGGAGGTATGAGTTTTTGAATTGATAAAAAAAACATATTAAACGATAAATAATGACTTTGTTACCTAAAAGAGACATTTTGTACGATTAAACATGTTCTTGGTATCAAAACGGACATTTTATACTATAAAACATGTTTTTATTACCTAAAAGTGACATTTGATACGATGAAACGTGTTTCAGTACTAAAGATGACATTTTCTACGATGAAACATTTTTTAGTTCCAAAAAATTCCAGTTTACACTACAAATCGAATTTCACTGCCATTTTGTATCATATATCATAAAAAACCAAATCAAAAAGTGGACAAACACATGTAGTGTTGATGTTATACTTCCTCGTTGTATATTCCAGTTTGCATGCCTTTATCAGCTGACCAAAAGGCGATAAAAGCCACCACTTATTAGTATTGTTTGTTTTGGCTATTCCAACTGTACTAAACTGAACTTTTTCCATTTTTACTTTCCAAAAACTCACGTAGACACAAAATGATAAAAATAACAAGAGTTTGAGCTAGAAAAACTGTCTTTCTTTACAGTAATCGGGCTTTTTAGGCATGGAAAGTTATAATTTTAAAATTTGGTATAAAATATCCTGAAAGTACGTTTTATTGCCGTCAAAATGAGTATAAACTCGTGCCATAACACAATGGTTTCAAAACAAAATCTTACAAACAAGGTCTTCAACTCAAATTTCAATGAATAAACTGAAATTTCAAGTTGATAACAACATCCTTTTATATGATATCGAACCTCAATTGAATGGTCACAACGAAATCTCTCACAAAACAGTTGATAAGATCGATTTTTTTGTTTATTTCGCCCTAAAAAATTTTTTCACGCAAAATTTTTGATTTTTGGCGGAAAAACGAAAGAAGTTTAATGTTTTCGGATGTTGTTCAAGGTCGAATTAACGTAAATATTGTTAAAAATAGCGTTAATAATGTTAAACATCATAAGTATAATATTAACACGTGATATTTTGGCCGGGTTTTTGTGATTTGAGGTTTCAAAACATTGTTATTGGCTTCTGATTCATTTCCCCCTTATCTTCGACCTTGTTTTTGCGATCTTGTTATGTGATCATTGAGAGTTGAAGCCGACTTTTAGTGGAAAAGGTTCATTTTAATCTTTTCTTATGATTTTGAGGTAATTAACACGCAGTTTTGCTTAAATTTCGATGTTTTAAACGTCTGTTTTGGTAAAGGTATCATCTAAGACAATAGAATTGCCATAACTTAATAATGCGGTTCTTGATTTGGCTGAAATTTTGTTTACAGCTTAGTTATAATGTTTTAAATGCTTTTGTGAAGTTTCAACTTGAAATCTCAGGTTTAACTCTTGTTCTCGAATTTCGCGCGGTCACCTAAAGCAACATAATCTAAACTTCCAATTGCAGGTGGGATAATGCAAGAGTTTTGGAATGCGATGCGAGAACATGGACGACTGGTAAGTGTATAATTTGGAAAACATTTATTTGTTCTGGATTTAGGTTTACATAGTTCTGGGAGTTGTTGTTCTATCAGTTGCACCGTGCGGATATCACATGGTTGTTCTCAATGTTCCGGCCAAAACAATTCAAGAAGCTTTAAAGTCAGAGATTCAATATGATTATGGCATTAGTATTTCAGATGCTACATTGGATTTACTATGGTATGTTGATTTTGTTGTGATTTTTTGATGTTTTAGGCTAAAGATTGATGTTGATGTAGGGAAAATAGCTGTAACATTTTTATTTGTAAACAATTCTTGATGAATCCTTATCTATGGCATAAAAAAATGTCCTCTTTATCTTTTATGCTAATAATTTCGACCATCAATCCATCGTATAATCGTCAATAACCAAAAACCTTGTTTTAGGTCCCTAGTAGTTTCATGTCAAAGTATTGGTGCTCTACTCGGCTGTATCTTGTTACTACCATTAGAATCGGCGTTCGGAATTAAAAATACACTATTATTGTACAGTAATGGCATCTTATTGAGTGGAAGTGCGCTCTTTTTCCTGTCGTACAGCTTCAATACAGTTGTGATGATGTTATTGGGACGAATACTGATTGGAGTCTACACCGGATTATCATCAGCATTGGCTCCAATGTATGTGGCAGAGTTGGCTCCTACAAAGATTAAGGTATGGTGATTCTTTGGTAATGAAGTTTTTTTCATTTTTAGATTATGTAAACAAAGTTATTCTTGTTTTTAATCTTTTGTTTGGGCTAAATTTGGGTCAGAAATTACTAAAAATCAATTTTTCAGGGCAGTTTGAGTTGTTTCGTCCACATATCCGTCTGTTCTGGAGCCGCATTTGGTGGATTCTTCTCGCTAGAGTCCTTTTTAGGTAACAAATCCTTCTGGAATCTGCTACTCCTCCTGCCAGCCGTCTTTGCCGTGATTCAGATGTTAATGAGTCGTCAAATCCCTCACACACCAAACTTTTTCCTCTCCAAAAACGACACGATCAGCGCGGCCGAGTCCATCAAGTTCTTCTACGGATTCGAAGGCCTAAGTGAGCAGGAATTGTTGGCCAAGTACAAGAGTTTGGTCACGAAACTACCACCTCAACTGAGCTTCAGGCAATCGTTGGCTAGTCCAGGGAATCGACGAATGATCTTCATTGGGATGGTGGTCAGTGCTACACAGATTTTGAGTGGAAGTATGGCGGCGGTTTCGTACAGTACAAGGTAGGGATTACAATGGTGATGGTTTTATACCTAAAATGGTATATTTAGGCATCGCTTTTGGGAAAAACATGTTTCATCGTGTAAAATGTCACTTACAATACTACTTTTTATAAATTACAGTATGTTCGAATCAATATCAATTATGAATGGACTGGTGGCTCTATTCCCAACATTAGGCTCAATTTTGAGTATCGTACTCACATTGCCAGCACTAAAACTGGTCGAAACGTATGGCCGAAAGAGGCTCCTGATCAATACACTGATACTATGTGCAGCTGCCAACTACATGCTCGGCTTTTTCTCGCTAATCTTGACTGGACTAAGTGAGTTTTTTGAGAAATGGCAAGAACTTTGTTTACAAAACGAAAAATGGCAAAAACGTTCTTTACAAAAGTTGAAATGGCAAGAACTTTCTTTACAAGACGAAAAATGGCAAGAACTTTCTTTACAAAACATAAAATGGCAAGCACTTTCTTTCCAAAAAACCAAAATTTAAAAAAATTTCCTTGATGCAAAAAGAATGGCGCGTTTTTTACATTTCCCGTTTTTACTTTTTCATTTTTCAGAAGCCGGCTCCTGGGCCTCGTTCATGTTCTTCGTGGCCTTCCTGGTCCTCGGCGTCGGCTACAATTTGGGCACCGGGCCAGTATCCTACTTTATACCGGGCGAACTAGTCACAGCAGACACTGTGAGCACGGCATTCAGTGTTTCTGTAGCTACGAATTGGACCTTCACCTTGTTGACAACCTTCTTCTACTACCCAGTGAATCAAGCCATCGGAGGGTGGAGTTATCTAATGTTTGCTGTGCCAACGTAAGAGTTTTGAAGCTTTTAATGGGAAATAAGCAAGAACTTTGTTTACAAAACGTAAAATGGCAAGAACTTTCTTTACAAAGCAAAAAATGGCAAGAGTTTTCTGTACAAAGCTTAAAAGGGCAAGAACTTTCTTTACAAAACATAAAATGGCAAGAACTTTCTTTACAAAACATAAAATCGCAAGACTTTTAATCCCTCGTATAACTTGTCACCCGCAGCCTGCAAAACGGAAAAAATTGAAAAAGCTTGTTTAAATTAACAAAAAGCGCAAGAACTTTGTTTACAAATCACAAAATGAAATTTCAAATTAATATTTTTTAGAACTTTGTGTATCTGGTTCCTAAACCGTCATCTGCCCGAAACCAAGTTCCCGAGCCTGATGAACGGCGAGAGTAACGTGATTTTGGCGTGCAACGTCCTTCCAGAATACGCTAGCCTGGAGGAAACTCATGACAACTTTAATTACGGTGCTATTTGAAAACTTTTTTTGAATCTATCTCGGTCAAAAAGTTTGTAGAATCAAAATTTTTTCAAATTTTACAAGTTTTTTTAGGTTTTTTTTGGATTTTGCAGATTTCCATGGAGTTTTTGACCGATTTGAAATTTTTAAAATAGTCTTGGGGGATTTCTATGGACTTTTTGACCTTTATATAGTGATATTTTTTGTCTTTTTTGATTATTTATGTTCACCTTTTTTTGGTGTTTATAGACCTTTTCGAAGGCTTTTCAACCTCTTCTCATATTTCTACGCACTTTTTGACCGATATTATATCAAATATTGTACTGTTAAGCTATTATAACTATTTGTAAGTAGTTATTGTACGTGTAATTATTGGATTTCAATCTTTTTTTCGCATTTTTAGCTCAACTTTTGCACAAAAACGGGTATTTTTGTTGATTGTACACTTTCATATTACCTTAATTATTGTATTGTAAACCATGTACATTGTAATATAAGGCTGTGTTGAAGATTTATAAAGTTAAAAATGTTATTTGTGGGTTGTAAGTGGCACAAAAATCAAAGTAAGCTCGGGTAAGGCTAGAAAAAAGGCAGGGGTAGGGCTAAAAAAAGGCATGAGTAGGCTCTGATGGGGCTGAAATGGGCAAGGGTACGCTACGGTAAGTAGGCATGAGAAACGGTAAGGCTAAAATAGAAGAGGGTGGGCCTGGGTAAAGCTAAAACGGTTTAAAAAAATTTTTTTGAAAATTTCTCATGGATAATATAACTTTTTTTCGCTTTTCTAATATATTATGATAGATAATATAACTTTAACTATTAAAACAACAATCTTTTACTTTCAAACAACTAAAAACAATAACAATCCCCAGTAACTATGAACAATAACGATAAAAACAACAATAACAACTTCAAGTTATCCTTAATATCATAAAATATCAGTGAAATAAAGCTACAACTAAACTAAATAAACCAAAAATATGCCTTTTAAGTCCATCCATAACATTTAAAAACTCATGGCAACATTTTAAACTAGCCATTTTTAAACTTTTCTCACTTTTTGGCTTTTCGACCGCGTTTTTTCCTTTCGAAAATTACACCTTTTCTCTCTTCTTTGGACAACAACTTCTTGATATTGACCAGGTCATCCAACTTTTGTTTCTTGCCAGCGGGCAGGGTTTCAATTTGTGGCATGGGTTCGCGTTCTACATGGTTGATGTGTGCGTCTTCTACCTAAAAACAGTAAATATTTAAACCTAAAAATGTCAAAATTTTAAAATGAGCTTTTTCAAATCGAAATTTCTGTAGTTGAAAAATGGAATCTCGCGAAATTTTAAAATATAGTCACCAGAAACGTATTATCCTTCTACAAAGTCTCGTCGCTTTTTATCGCTACAAAGGATAAGAAATGTCGACAAGACTTTATTTAACACCCTGATATTAACTTTATTCGTTAGTGGCTTAGGTTGAGTCCCTTTCTTGTTAATGTCAACTTTTAAAAATTTCTTGTCGCTTTTTGCAGCTAAAAATAAGACAAAGTGACGACAAGACTTCTTTAATACCCTGATATTAACCATTTCGTTAAAATATGGTCGTTTTTTCTTCTTTTTTCATTTATTAACTTATACTATTAATACAACTTATTATGGAACCCATGAAAAATGTAATTCAAAGAAAAATTCTCCTCTCTTAACTACTGTAACTTTTCCCTTTAACTTACTGGAATTTCGGTTGTTTCGGGCAAACTGGTGTCCATTGGTTCGACCGTCTGAAACCAAATCGTTAATCTTGCATTTATCATAACGGACAAATTTACCCTAAAGCTATATTATAGTAGGTCTTTTCTCAAATCATAAAAAATATGTTTTACTGCTTTAGGGACTGATATAACATTTGACCTTTCAGAAAATTAATACTAAAACACATATTAAAAATTCAAATGTACCCTTCTTGATTCCGCTTCATCGTGACTATCAGAATCCGTGCCGCTCCTTCGATTATCACTATCTTTTTCTGCCTCGTACTTTTCTGGGTTTTGGGCCTAAAATGACAAAGTTATGACTACACAAAGTAAAAAAATGACATATCTAATATTAAACCACTTTCGAACATCAAGGTAACAAAAAAAATTTAACCACCCCCAAATTTTTTTACCCCGTCCATATCGTCAAACGAGAAAAACCCCACAGCAAGACCTAGAATAATAAAAAAAATTCCAAAAATTATAACAAAACGGTCCACACCTTTTCCTCCTCCACAAGATCATTAAGGTAGTCCTTCGCTCCGGCGATTACCTGCTTCTTGTTGCAGCGCTTGTGACGAAAGATTGACACAGCTCTAAAACAATGAAAAAAATAAAATTATTATTTACCATGCCATCAATTTTTAATCAAACTTATCTTATCCGATCAAAAATTAACAAAACCCCAAATAAACCAATATTATCCACCCTACCCGAGCCGTTTCTCGTGCTGCCTGCGGCGTGTTAAGCAAATTTCGTCCAAAACCTCATCTTCCAACCCAGCGTAATCAAACTCAACATCTTCATGCTGAAATCGTCCCAGTTGCGGCTGTTCGATCGCTTTTTCCTTGTGCAGTGTGATATGACCTTGAACCACCGTATCTTTTGGCAATGGTTGCAGCGCCGAAATATAACCGTAGAATTTGCATAATAAGACGAAATATGATTGAATCAGCTCGTCCAGACTGGTTTTTGCAAATTGAACGTCATACGTGAAGTCACCAATACTGAAAATGAAAAAAATGTAGAAAAAATGGTTGAAGAGTACTGTAAAAGTACTGTAACTCCAAGGACTCTCAAAATTTCAAAAATTTCTTTTTTTCATTAGCTGACCAATAAAATAATCTATATAAAGGTCAAAATGCAAGACTCTACCTTGTCTTTAACAAAAGTTATAACCGAAAGAAACCAGAACACCTGATACTAACCATCCGTTTTTCTAATAAAAAGGGCAAAACCGTTATTCAAACATACCTTAACATAAGCGTATCATCATGTGTAGTGTTCAAGCTAAAGCCCAACTCTTCAAGAACCTTCCTTTTTGGCTTGCTAACATCTTTAAACTTGACCATAACCAGTTGGAAGGTTTCTAACTAAAAAGAAAGTGTAAAGCTACTAGAAAATACTAATTTAAGTAATAAAATCATAAATATAACTTTATATACTTATAAAAATCAAAATCACATCCCAAAATTAGTAGTAAGCTCAAAATTATACCTAAAATGCTCCAAAATCTTCAATTTTCGTAGGTTTTCTTCAAATTTTTCGACCAAAACCTAAAATTCGAACCAAAAAACGTTTAAAAACTCACGTCCCCACTCTTGATCAAGTCCACAACCTCTTTGATGCCACTCTGAATCTCCGTGTTCTTTTCATTATTCAATTTTGCTGAATTCTTGGCCGAAATCATAGAAAAAGTGACCTTATTCGGGTATCGACCAAACTGAAATACATCTGAAGGCACAATTTGTCGCGCTGACAGGTAGAAATTAACCAGTAAACCGACCATTCGACCAATAACATTCAGTTTGTTCTCCTCCATCTCGATTCCCGTCCCTTGGCAAAAGAACTTCTTCCAGCCCTGAAATTTAGGTATTAATAATGTATTCTCTTAAATATCGGTCAAAAACAAAGTAGAAAAACAAAAATCAAACATAAATTTACAAAAAAAAGATTGTTTAATACATATTTAATCAAATGATTACCCAAAACAGCCATTTTAGCTAGTTGTAACCAAAATTATATTATCCATGACTTACATCAAGTTCCCCAACAAAATTCTCGTTTATTCCTTCTTCTTCCCAATCAATGAACTCCATCATATCTCGAATCGTACCAAAAGTTCTCGGATTGACCGTTTTTTCGACAAAAAATTGTTTTGATAACATACAAAACACCACTGATGTTTTCGTGGTGGGACCTATACAATACTAATATGTTAACGTTTATCGGCCGAAAATAGCAAGATTAGTGAAAGTTCAAAGGTTATGATACTTGTAAAACATTTTACAACACAGTTCAATCTTATTTTAGGATTGATTTGTTTCATTACAATATTTTAAACATGTTTATTCATTCCTTTCATATTCTAGTAGTTTCGTATACCAAATCTGTTTCTTTGTAACCGGATACGCGTTTATTTGTTGAGTATTTATTGAGACTATGCCTCTCATACTTCCTCGCTGAAGTTACTGCCACAAATTATGGCAAAATTACTCTTTAAAATATTTTTGTTTATCTGTTACCTAAAATCTGTGTTATCATCTCCACACGAAAGGCGACTGTATGATGACTTGGTTCGAGATTACAATATAAACGAGAGGCCTATTGCCAATCATTCCAAGCCCATTTTAGTGTTTTTAAAGGTGGCATTACAACAGTTGATCGATGTTAACATGAAAAACGAGATGGTGAATGTAAATGCTTGGTTAAACTACGTAAGTCTTTTGTTTATTTTGGAATTTAGGTATAAAAAGATGAGAAGATGTTACGTTGTGTAATAGAGATGTTAATTTAGATAGGAATTGAAATTTTAGGGGTGGAGCGACTATAAATTGAGATGGGATCCATTAGAATATGGGAATATTACTGATCTTCGATTTCCGGTCGATATGGTGTGGAAACCTGGTATGTTTTTGATGTGAATTTTGTTTTAGGTATTCTTCATGATGTTATCTATCATTTTTACTCATCCGTCACTATCTCTATTGCTAAAAAAGCGTTTTATGCATAATATTATGTTACCCTTTAGATGTGTTATTGTATAACAGTGTTGACACGACGTTTGACTCGACTTTTCCCTCAAATGTGATCGTGTCTCATACTGGAGATGTTGTATGGATACCACCGGGCATTTTTAAGATATCATGCAAGATCAACATACGATTCTTTCCATTCGACGAACAAAAATGTAGTTTCAAGTTCGGTTCGTGGTCGTATAGTGGAAATAGGTTGGATTTACAGCCTTCTGAAGGCGGCTTCGATGTTAGCGAATATATTGCAAATGGCGAATGGACTATTAAAGGTATGGAAAGGGATGTAATGTTACGAATTGAGAAGAATATAATGTTAAGAATGACATTTTTTTAAAAGAAGCAAATATTAAGGATGGAGGGATGAATAACTTGAAATTTAGAGACAAAAGTGTCCAGAAATGAAAAATATTATGAATGTTGTCCAAACGATCCATATCTTGATCTCACTTTTTCTTTGGAGCTTCGTCGTCGAACTTTATATTATGGTTTCAATCTTATCATGCCTGGGATGTTAACCACGACCATGACTTTGCTCGGGTTTAGTTTGCCTCCTGATGCTGGTGAAAAAATTACTCTTCGTGGGTTTATATTGTTGTATGGTTTTTGTTTGAGGTGCTCTGAGCCTTTATTGTTTTGAATTTGTATTTGTTTTTTATTTTTGTTACTTTTTCTAAGTCTTGATGTTGTTATAGGACTCTTTGTTGGGTCGGAGACCTTGTTGTGCTTATAGATTTATCTTGTGTCGTGGAGCTTCTTTACAGTAATCAAAACTCTTACAGAGATCACAGTGATGTTATCCATATGTTTCTTCCTTACAATGTTATCAGAGATGTCGCCTCCGACTTCTGAAGCTGTTCCCTTGCTAGGAGTGTTCTTCTCGAGCTGTTTGATTGTGGTGACATTATCGACCATGTTTACTGTTTATGTGTTGAACTTACACTACAGTAATTCTAATGTCCAGAAAATGGGACCATTGGTAGGGATGTTGATATTGTGGGTGTGTTATGGTTGGAAGTATGGATGTTCTTCATATTGTTGGCTGTGGAGTAGGCATTGTGAATGTTTGTCTTGATATTAAGTTACTATTTTGGGGTGGTCTTGCTGTTTAGAAGTTAGGTATTGTTGTTCTTGCTGTAAAACTAGATATTGTGGATGTTGTGGTAGCTGTATTAGTGTGTTTTGCTTGTTTTAGGTAAATGTTTTGGCTTTCTTTGGTCAATTTATTAAAAATTTGCCAAACTATATTATTGTAGACAAGAAAGCTCCTTCTAAAATGGATTCCATACTTTTTGCGGATGAAAAGGCCTGGGATGGACCTTAGATGGCGTGATTTACCTCCTTTGTTTGGTGATTCTAAAGAGAAGTCGACTAGTCAACTGATTAGAAATGTCATTTCTATTGAAAAAGGGTCAAGGTAAAGTTGTTTTGTATTTTAAAGTTGTAAAATGAGGTACTTTAAGTTATGAAATTAGATAATTTCTATATTTTAATTTAAATCCGCTGTTTCAACCATTTTTTCAATGCATTAATGAAATGATCATATTTTACATCATCGAATAAACTTTTAGTGAAACTATAGCTTCTGGCCATCTTTTAAGGTCTCTATCGTTGAAAAATAAGGCAAGTATAAGGTCATCGTTCGATGTTATTGATAACTTATTGGGTAATGGAGGATCTGCTGTCACTGGAAATATGATTCAGTGTTTGCAAGGGATTCTGGATGATATTACTGTATGTTTAGGAACCTGTTTCTTTAAAGTTTTGGGCTTAAAAGTTTGGAACTTATGAGTAGGGCTTATACGTGATATAAGCACTACTCATAAGGATGTTACAGATGCTAACAACTAAAATAACAAAAGAAGATGAAGACAAGAAAGAAGCACAGAACTGGAAGTTTGCTGCTTTAGTCGTGGACAAGTTGTGTTTCCATCTATTCACGTTTTTCATATTTGGAACGACCATCGGGGTCATGATGGCAGCACCGTATTTGGTGGCATAATACTGCTATAATATTACAATATGCCATAGAAAATGGCATTCTTACTTATAGTTATGTTCAAGGCCGGGCGGGGGGGGGGTATCCCCCCCCCCCCAGAAAAAATGTTGAAAAAAGTTGAACGTGGTCCCCCCTGTGGATTTTCGGAAAAAAAATTTTTGCAAAAAAATCGGCACAGGTAGCTAGCTACCTGTGCCGATTTTTTGGACCCCCGCCCCCAGACCAAAAGTCCCCGCCCGGCCCTGGTTATGTTCATATAGTAAATCGAATTTTTACTCATGCCCATGTATGGTCTAAACATTATTTTACTTATGGTTATGAAGCCACTTTGCGACCAAAATTTTGTTTTTCAAAACTTTGTAAATCCAATTTTTGAAGTTTTTCAAAATTTTCATTGTACAATTATATTCATTTACTAGTCGGTCGATCAGCGAGGAAAATGAGTGATGACAATGCGTTTGATATAAAGCGGCCTTCAGTTTTGGGTATGGCTTTTCACTTTTTCATTAATTGCTTTTGTAAATATTAGGTTGTTCAATTAAATTTGAGCCACTTAACCCCGAAAATTTGCTTGAGTGGTGGCTTAGAATTTTTTGAACAACCTCATATTTTAAAGGTAGCACTGGGCTAGGGCTATAATACTCGTCGATTTTAATGTCATTGTCTTTTCAGCTGCCATTTTCATTATTGTCTTCTACTGGTTGTTGGCGATTCCAGCCATAGTGATCATTTATCTCAAGTTCATTCGGTCCGTAGCTGATTTGGATTCCAAAAACAAGGAGAAGACGGCTGATGAATAGTTTAGTAGAATAAAGTCTTGATTTACACTTTTTTTTTGGGATTTTTTGAATTTTTAAAATTTTTTAAATTTTTTTTTGAAAGTTAAAAATTTTTTTGAAATTTTTAAATTTTTTTTTGAAAATTCGAAAAAAAATTTTTTTTTAATTTTGTTAAAATGACATTACTATAGCTTATCTGATCATATTGTACTCATCTATAATATAACTGTTTGTCTAAAATACTTCGTTTCTCTCGAATACCCGTTCATGATATGAAAACTTGACTTGAAATGCCTAGGGAAGTGTGAATGAGATCATGCTCTGTTATCCATCTGTCAATTATTGGTCATGTCTTAAACTTATGGCCAAGACCAGTTCTTGTACTTTTTGCTGCGGACAATATCCGCGCATCTTAGGCGAGCAACGTCGATTTCGTAGGAGACACTGAAAGATATTAAATTTTAAAGGTGTTGTACGTCAAATGTAAGCAAAGGAATTATTTGAACAACGAATACAAGGGTCTAGGTATATCCACTGGAGGTATAGCCAAATGATGGTCCTGCCACGAAAAAATGACTTTGTAAAAAAACCTTTTAAAAATTGAAACTTGATAGATCTTCTGGCCCAAAAACTTTTTTTTTTGTAAAATACGCGATTTGTATTGAGGAGTTGAATTTTTTTTTCATCCCACCACGAAAACATTAAATTTTTGTAAAACTGTTGAAAATTGAGGTTCACTTAAATTATATTACTTAAGAACTCTATAATATGAACTGTAAGCTAAAAATATCTTGTTTTTGTACTATTCTAAAGCTTTTGGTACTATGTCTGTTCTTTTTGGGAAATGTTTTGGTCTCACCACAAAAAATCTCAAAATATAAATAATAATATAAAAACCTACTTTCTATCAGGTCCTCGAACTAATCGCATATTGGTGATAACATCGAATGCCACTGTCTCTTCGCTAGCCTTGTCTTGAATCTCTTCGCCTTCGAAGAACTCCCCAGGGCGCACCCGTACATTGTGGTAGAGGGGTTCGGCGACTTGGTCGAAGTTGTCAAAGTCACAGCATTGTAGGTACAGACTGGAGATTATTTTTTATTTTTGGGATGAGGAGGGGGGGGGGATTAAGAACGGAATTTTCAATTTTTAAAAATTTTTTATATTAAATTTTAAATTTTTTTGAAAAAAAACGTACGGTTGATGTTTGCCATAGGATTTGTCAAAGCCTCCTAGCCAACTGTGCTTGTCGCAGGAACGGCGGAACGCTCGTTCATCGCAATCCTGGAATTTTTGCTTTAAAAATGAAATTTGGCGCCGTTTTTGTTACAGTATCTGCCCCTACGAATGTTTTTACCCTTAACTCTACTATTACCCCCACCTCTATTCCTAACCGTCCCTGTAACCCTTATTCTTATTCTATCCGTACCACAAGCCGTTATATCTTAACCATGCCCTACCTATCTCCATTTTTCTCTATTCCAGTCTTATCGTAGACTCTCCTTAGGCATACTGTATTGCACCTACTTAGGTTTTACCTAAATCAAGGCCTTGGGCTGGTCTTTTGTGTTCACCTTTGACGTGCCCCGCCTTAATGTACCAAACCCTTACGTATACTTTGCCATGTTGTACTTCACCCTACCCTATCTAAACCTTACTCTACCCTATTTATATAAAAAATAGAATCAAACCTACCGCATATGTCTTTTCAAAGCAATCGGGCTTAGAGCATAGTAATGCTGGTTGGCCGTCCCTGGACACTTCCAGACCGAAGGGAATCTTGTTTTCTCCACATGTGTGAGCTTCTACTTTACTTATTGCTATTAAAATGCATAGTAAGAGAGTTGACGATAGTATATGTTGATATTGTATTTTATTCCGTAGCATCATTTGGATAATGTGGGTGTCTGGAAAAGTCAGAAATCAAATTAAAATTTTTTTTTATTTGAAAAACGCGATTTTAAGCCTAAACTTTCAATGATGAGCATACGAACCCGAATTTAAGCCTAAAATTAAACTTTTAACAAGATCATAAGCCTAAACCCAAGATAGGCTTACTTCCTTTTAAAAACGCGACAACTCTCCCCCTTTGAGCTCACATAACAATGTTTTAGACACAAATACGACGATGATTGCGAATGAAACCGGCTGGTTATCGGTCGAATCCCGAACATGGTCTTGTTTTTTAACTTTTTAAATCGAGCGGAAAGTAATGAGCGCTTTATATTGGCATACAAATTGTAAATGAACCCTAGCAAAGCGGGTGGGGTGCAAAATAAAGAAAATTTGGGGTGGTAAGTTTTTTAAATTAGGCGAGGGGAAGATTAGGGTAGGGGCAGCGTAGTGTATAGTAGGGTAAACTAAGTTAGAGGGCGGTGGAACAGGGTAAGGCAGAATAAGGTAGAGTTTACTGAAAGATGGCGGGCAAAAATTGTAAAAAATTTGGGGGTAGATAAAAATTTGGAAATCAAGATCTGAGGGTGGATCATACCAAACTAAGGTTTGCCAGAGCAGGGTAAATTAATGTAAGATAGGATAACATCAGTAAAGAGGCGGGCCCGGCCCAAATTTTCAGGCCCTGCCCGGCCTTTTCAAATTTGCTTCGGCCCATAAGGAGGCCGGGCAGGGCTTAGGCTTTGTGAACGCCCTTTCTGGTCTTGTTAGAGTAAGATAGGGTAGGGTAGGGTAGGGTAGGGTAGGGTAGGGTAGGGTAGGGTAGGGTAGGGTAGGGTAGGGTAGGGTAGGGTAGGGTAGGGTAGGGTAGGGTAGGGTAGGGTAGAGTAGGATTGACTAGAGTAGGGTATCGTATTATGTTGCAAAATATACGCGATTACCGAGTTACGACGAAACAAGTTGATTTTGAGTTACTCGAAAAGGTTGGAGTGAGTGTTTCAAGTAGATCTTCAAAACAAATTGTTTGTTTAGAAGGATTACAATGCGGTTGCGACATAAAGCGATTCGAAAAAAAGTCATCACCATGTGGGATGACATGTGATGGAAAATATAATATATATGACATTTTGCATAAACTTCTATTTCAAATTACAATTTTTCAAATTTAAATTTAAAAAAAAGTTAAAAACAAAAATTTTGCTTTACCGTCACCTCATCCCCTTAGGCTTCCAAAAATATTTTTACCCCGCCCAATATAAACAAGTATTCATAGAAGCAGTATGTTATTTATAATCGTATGTTCGTCAATTCTGACAGTAAAAAGAGCGTTTCCCTTGTAATTAGCTGTCTTTTTGTCATCATTAACCCAATTATCTTCTTTTTGTTTTTCTAACTGCTACTCGCTTGACTAACTCAGTTTATACTTATCTTCATTTTCCTTCTGGCTAAAACTAAAGATGAGAAAAGGGCGTGGCTGGGTTTACTTTTGAGGCACAGCTCAGGCTCGCGGTCCAATGTTTAGACCGGTTACTTTTCATTTTTCCTTAGGCTCGCCTAGTATGGTCAAAAAAATTCGAGGCCCGGTCTGGCTCGGTCTGTTTTAAAGATCTTTTAGGACAGACTTACGTTTCAAGCCCGACCCGAGAGCCGAGTCTAATTTTAAACTTGGCCGGGTCGTAAGGCCGGGCTGATCCGGATCTATACGGCCGGTCTTCTCAAGTCTAAGCCCTAGCCTAAGCCCTAGCCTAAGCCCTAGCCTAAGCCCTAGCCTAAGCCCTAGCCTAAGCCCTAGCCTAAGCCCTAGCCTAAGCCCTAGCCTAAGCCCTAGCCTAAGCCCTAGCCTAAGCCCTAGCCTAAGCCCTAGCCTAAGCCCTAGCCTAAGCCCTAGCCTAAGCCCTAGCCTAAGCCCTAGCCTAAGCCCTAGCCTAAGCCCTAGCCTAAGCCCTAGCCTAAGCCCTAACCTAAGCTCTAGCTTAACAAGGGAAGTGTCTCACCTCATTCCGGAGATATGAATCGAGACTAGGCTCATTGGAAAGCCTATTTGAATTTAAGCCTTAGTCTTTCCCCTAGCGATAGCTGTAGCCCTAGTCTAAACTTTAGCCTTAATTTTAGTTCAGCCTTGCTTTTTCTTAGTTCTGCTCTAGCTCTGCCTTGACGCTTTAACATATCTTTATCTTATCCTTACCTCTATACTGATCTAGCTTTTTGTTTTTTTTTACTATACGCTCAACTACATCAGCCTGGCTTAGCATAAGTTTAGTATGGCTTATGTCCCAATTTCAGATTTCCCTTTACCCCAGCCCTAGCTCCTCACTAATATAAAAACTTGTAAATAATATTAAAGTAATTAAAAAGTAATATATTTTTCGCTTCAATTACTCTTTCCCTCGGGCTCCTTTACAATAAAAAATACAATAAAAATGAGAAGTTCGGTTAATAAAGGTTGGAAGTCGTTCGCGACTTCTGAAGATGGGGTCGTGTTCGTTGATGAGAGTCACTTCAGAAGCGAAAGGAGAAGAAAACTCTCTTCCTTTAACACACCTTTCGATCAACTTTTGTCAAATTTCGGAACAGATAAGAAGGAGAGAAGACGGAAATGAAAAAACAAAAAAAAGTTCTGTTACAAAACTTTACCGGTCGTTTTCTCTATGTTGCGGTTAAATAAAACGAATTTTGAAGTACTACAATAGCTGATAAATGTTTTTGCTTACTCTACCCGACCCTACCCTACCCTACCTTACCCTACCCTACCCTACCCTACCCTACCCTACCCTACCCTACCCTACCCTCCCCTACCCTATTCTACCCTACCCTACCCTACCATACCCTACCCTACTCCACCGTACCCTACCATACCCTACCCTACCCTACCCTACCCTACCCTATTCTACCCTACCCTACCCTACCCTACCATACCCTACCCTACTCCACCGTACCCTACCATACCCTACCCTACTCCACCGTACTTTTCTCTATATTACCCTGCTCTGCCATACTTTACCCTACCCTACCGTACCCTACCCTACCCTACCCTACCCTACCCTACCCTACCCTACCCTACCCTACCCTACCCTACCCTACCCTACCCTACCCCTACCCTACCCTACCCTACCCTACCCTACCCTACCCTACCCTACCCTACCCTACCCTACCCTACCCTACCCTACCCTACCCTACCCTACCCTACCCTACCCTACCCTACCTTACCCTACCCTACCCTACCCTACCCTACCCTACCCTACCCTACTCTACCCTACCCTACACAACCCTACCCTACTCTACCTTTTCCTATCCTAATCTATTACACTTCACCCTCCTTGACTTTAACCTACTTTATCTTCCCCTACTCTACTGTACCTAGCACCCTACTTTTCCCCACTCTTTCTTACCTTTCTTACCCTGCCCTTGCTCTAACTTAAAAATCCCCCCTTAAGATTCCTTACTGTAAAAATACCCTATCTTGAAAAGCGCTTGTCTCGAATAATACTATTACAACTTACAAGTGCTCCACCAAGCTGTGCTCAACCTTGTCCTTCTTTACTTTAATTTACCCTACTGTTCCATGCCGTTACCTCTTTTACCCTGCTCTTGAACTGACTTAGAAAATGCCTTACCCTTAAAGGGATATCCTGCTTGCTAGCTAAACACTGTACTTTCTTAAAAAAACCTTCACCTTTTCAAGCAAATACTCATCGAAAAATATATAGTATCTTGCCCTGCCCAACTAGCCCTTGAATTAAAGTTGTAAACTCAACAACCCCCTTCCCTCTTAATTTTACCACTGCTTCTTTGTAGTGCCCTGTTTTTCTTAAATTACCCCATATCTCTACTTTTTTGTCCTTTATCACAACCCCTCCAAATCCCTTTTACTTTACCCTATATTCCCTACTTCCCCACTTTCAACCCTCCCCTTCTATCCCTACTCCTTTCCCCCTCCCTCTGCTTTTAATGTTAACTACACTATTCCCACTTCTCCCCTCCCCCTGCTTTTAATGTTAATCACAACTAAATCCTTTAATTTGCTTGCGCAACCCCCAAAAAATAAGTGAAAAAGGCTTTGACATAAAGCGAAATGTAAAGGGAAAACAAAGTCGTTGGGGGGCTCATATCAGAAGAGGCTGAAGGGAAATTGGGCCGGAGGGCAATTCGGCCGAATTAAAATTTAGAGGTTTATAAATGTACTGACATTATTTATGGGCATGTGTGATACAAAACGGGGTCGGTAGATGGAAAGTGTTCTTATATATTAATGCGGCTTGTCTATTATATATGTATATACGGAATAAACATTTTATTTTAAGGTAGGGCAAAGTAAGGTAAGGTAAGGTAAAGTTGGGTGGGTGAATTAGGGTAGAGTAAGGTAAAGTTGGGTAGGGTAGGGTAGGTTAGAGTAGGGTAGGGTAGGGTAGGGTAGAGTAGGGTAGGGTAGGGTAGGGTAGAGTAGAGTAGGGTAGGGTAGGGTAGGGTAGGGTAGGGTAGGGTAGGGTAGGGTAGGGTAGGGTAGGGTAGGGTAGGGTAGGGTAGGGTAGGGTAGGGTAGGGTAGGGTAGGGTAGGGTAGGGCAGGGTAGGGTAGGGTAGGGTAGGGTAGTTTACGAACCCAAACGTTCTCTAAATAGATCTACAAAAAAAGGTCATAAAGGTTACAAACAAGCGTTTATTCCAACGTTATTAATCACAAACATATGCACTCGGCAAACATTTACGACAATATGAGCAAATAAACCAAGACGGATTGGTAGCCGATTACGGAACATACGAAAAGGGCTTGTTAAGCACAAAAAAAATAAAAAAATTTAAAAAATTACAAAAATTCGAAAAATAAAAAAACCAAAAAATTCTTAAAAAATTTAAAAAAATTTAAAATCAAAAAAATAAAAATAATAAAAAAAATTAAAAAAATTTACAAAAAAAAATTTAAATTATTTAAAAAAAAATCAGTTTATCCCCTCCGTTTTTTAAATAAAAGCAAAACCACCTGCCCACATAAAATTTCAATTTTACCACAGCCTTATAAATGTGAGTTCTATCCAACCCTAAAACTACCAAATTCCCCTAAAAAAAGTTCCTCTTCCTCTCTACCCAACTACCCCTCCGCCAGCCACATTTAAACATAAAAAAGCTGTCGTTCTTACAATTGTTAAGCAAAAACAATTTAAAATATAAAAAATTTAAAAAATGTAAAACTCCAATTTCTCGACATTTGGCCCCAAAAACAAGAGCGAAATGAGTTGTTAGCCGTGAAGCCGAAAGCATTTAAAGTCCCATTAAGAGGTCGAGAATGACCTTTTCTTTGCGATAATCGCCTCATTCTCGGAGGGGGGGGGGAAAGTTTGCGATCACATAAACAAGCCCTTTATTCCCTCGATTAATTGACTCTTGTCAGCCGGCTCTCACTTCGCTTGTTTTGACAATATTGTTTATGGCGCCGAAATGCTTTGTTTCGATTTGAATAATTCGGATCGAAAAGTTCGGGAGAACAAGTTGAATATAGTAAAGTTATTAAGAAGATTATATGGGGTAGGGCTAGGGCTAGGGCTAGGGCTAGGGCTAGGGCTAGGGCTAGGGCTAGGGCTAGGGCTAGGGCTAGGGCTAAGGCTAGGGCTAAGACTAAGGCTAGGGCTAAGACTAACTAAAGCTACTCTTGAGGTTAGGACAGAGGCTAGGAACAAGGTTGAAGCTAGAATTAAAGCTAGAGCTATAAATAGTACAACTAGAGCTAAAGCGACGGCTTCCCACTGATGAATATAGTAAAGTACGGTCGGTCTAAATACTATAACTCTAGCCAACGCGTAGACTCTGCTTGAAGGGATCAGTTAAACATAAAGCTAAGGGTGGTTTTCAGAATACAGTAAGGCTCAGATTGCTGGAAGAAAAACATGTTAAAATATAAAGTACGGTAACTTTTTAGGCTTTTAAACTTAAAAAATTTAAATTCTTATATTTTTCAAAATTTATTAATAAATTATTAACTTTTTACAGAGTAAATCAACATTATAAATTATATTAGTACACTCAATATATATTAATTATAGTTAGTATATATTATAGTTAGTTATAATACAGTAAATATAATACATAAGGCATTTTAAAGCTTTGACCAATCTTAAATTACAGGCGATATAAAGTCATAAATAGGTATCAACTCAAGCGTTCAACAACCATAAAATTATCGTTGACGTCTGAATAAATTAGTCATTTGACACTTAATTATAATATAAATTAAAAAATTCAATGAAGTTTTTGAAAATATAGGTATAACTTAAGACTTTTTATGTTATCCTTCAATTAAACTACAGTAGGACTCTTGTATAACTGTAGGTGATGCTAAATAGGCTTGAAGTAGACAGCTGTAGCTAATTATAAACAGGCCTAAAGCACAGAAGACAACAGCCCCTTGGCCGAAACAAAGTCACGCTGAGCGAATGGGAACCCACATCTGACCTCGAAGCGTAGCGTTTCGTTCAAACACAACCCCGACCTCCACAGAACAACATCATCGTTGTGCATCCGAAGCCCGTAGTTGAAGTGGTGGGCACACTTATGGTTGTTAGAAGGTGTCTTACCCAATATCACGGTTTCGTCCGTCTTTTGGCAGTTCAGTGGACATAGGTTTTGGATGGTCTGAAAGAGTATGATATTACCTAAATTTGTTGTAACAATAAAATTGGATTAAGAAGGGGGGGGGGTGGATGATTTTGTACTGCAAACATTTTCAAGAGAACTGGGAAGGATAGGGCAGTATAGAACTTTGTAAGAGTAATGGGCAAGGTAAGACTAGCCTATAAATTTTCAAGTGTGATAGGCAGGGTAAAGCAAGTGTAGTAATTTGTAAAGGCCACCTGTAGACATGAGAAAAGGGTCGGGCCGGGCCTGAGTGTTAAAACCGGCCCGATCGAAATTTCGCACAGGACCGGTCCGTTTCTCATGTCTAGCCACCGGGCATGGTTGGAGAACTATAGAAATTTTTAATAGTATTGGGCAGGGTACGGAAAGTTTAAAAACTTTGATGAATGTTGAGCAGGGTGGGGTATTGTAAAATAAGTAAAGTTACGGAAGGGTAAGCCAGGAGGCAAAAAAGCATAAGCGCTGAGAGTAGAGTGAAGGATAGTGTAGGGTAGGATAGGGTATAGTAGGGTAGGATAAGGTTGGGTAGGGCAGGGTAGGGTAGGGTAGGATAAGGTAGGGTAGGATAGGGTAGAGTAGGGTAGGATAGGATGAGGTAGGGAGAATTACAGTACACAAAAATGGATAAAACCCCAGCACTCGCAGTAATTTGTTGGGTCGTTTTACACCGAGGCAAACATTACATTGGCCATAAAGATTACATAAGAAAAAGTTGCGTAACAACATATCTTGCAATTTCTCTAAGGCTATCTTGTGAGATCAGTAATATTAGGCGACACTGCGAAAACTTCTTTTTTTGATCGGTTTTTAAAGGCTAAGGCTCTGGGCTAGGGTTGTGGGCTAGGGCTCTGGGTTAAGGCACTGGGCCAGGGCTCTGGGCTAGGGCTCTGAGCTAGGACTCTGGGCTAGGGCTCTGGGCTAGGGTTGTGGGCTAGGGCTCTGGGTTAAGGCACTGGGCCAGGGCTCTGGGCTAGGGCTCTGAGCTAGGACTCTGGGCTAGGGCTCTGGGCTAGGGCTCTGGGCTAGGGCTCTGGGCTCTGGGCTAGGGCTCTGGACTAGGGCTCTGGGCTAGGGCTCTGGGCTAGGGCTCTGGGCTAGGGCTCTGGGCTAGGGCTCTGGGCTAGGGCTCTGGGCTTACCTTGCTGACCGGATCAAAAGCCTCGAAGCAGTTTTGTCCATAGTCCGAGAAGTGCCAGTCCGAACCTCTCAATGAACATTGTGTGATTGGACTGCTGTAGTCGATCCACGCACAGTCCATTGTTCTTCTTTCTAAAATTTTTAAATTTTTTTAAATAAAAAATTTTTTAATTTTTCAAAATTAAAAAAAATGTTGCCTTACGCCAATGATAAAGTTCAGGACGAGAACTACATTCTAGCCCAAGAAACGCTACCATGAGAAGAGTTACTGTGCTCCAGTTGGTCATGTCGATATGCTTTCTAAAACACTGTTTACCAAGGCTTATTTTACATTTATATAATAAAAGGAGAACGTAACATGTATTTAGAAAACACAATCGAATCCTCCACCTCCTTGTGTTCTACCCTTAAAAAATGCCCTACCTTACAAAAAATCTGCTCTTAAAATGGCCTGCCTAAAAATATTACACTTGGAAAAATGCCCGGCCCTAGCCTTAGCCCTAGCTTTAGCTCTAGCCTCAACCCTAGCCTCAGCCCTAGCCAAATCACTAGCTTAGCTTTTCCTGGCCTCAGCCTAGCCATAGAGATAGGCCTGACCTAGCCTGGCGTTGCCTGGCTTCAATCCTCTTCTTAGCCTAGCCTAGTGTGGCTTTGTCTAGCCTTAGGCTTCTCCCCAGTCTAGCCGCAGCTCTAGCCATAGAGACAAACCTAACATAGCCTGGCCTAGGTTTTCCTGGCCTTAATCGTTTCGCCAGCCTAGCTTTGGCTTTTTAAAGGTTTAAAGCCTAGCCTTGGCTTTAAAAGCTCTAATGCTAGCTTCACCATAACCTAGCCCATCCTAGCTTCAGCGTAGCCTAGCCCATCCTATGCTCTAACCTGAGCACAAGCCCTAGTCCCGTAGCCTAGCCTTAGCTCTACTTGCCATACCTTAGGCCTAGCTCTAGCCCTAACCTTACTTTTGCTGTTACTTGTTCTGTAATGCTTTGTTATACATAGCCTTACCTTAACTTTTTCTGCTTTACCATGCTCTACCCTACCTTTGTCATTACCTTTGACCCGTTTTCCCTTACTCACTCGTACCTTTACTCTACAGTTGTTTTACTGCCTTACTGTTACTCTCCTTACCCCCCCCTCCCCCCCCTTCTCCCATACCCTTCTGTACTACAAAAATCATATTTTTTTCAAATTTTACTACACCCCTTATAAAAACAGTCTACTATCATAAAAAGACTAGCCCCGCCATCGACGTTCACTTTTTCAATAGGCTACGGTAGGCTACGGTATGAAAAAGTGAACGTCGCTAGAATAACAAAAAACTGGTCGCGGATTGTTTGTATTGTTTTCGACCAGCGGCTATTTATGTGTGAAAGGCGGATGCAATGAAAGTCAGGTAATTGCATGTTATCAGTGGTCGGTTGAGTAAGATAGGGAGAGTGATGGATGGGGCGAGGGCGGAGGCGAAAAGTCAACCACAAAACTGGTTGTTTAGCCCGAATCTTTCGCTTTTTCAGCTTTTACAATAACAATGGATTACTGTGATGCGTACAATAACAAAAAATGCAAGAACTTTCTTTACAAAGCGAAAAATGGCAAGAACTTTCTTTACAGAACGAAAAATGGCAAGAACTTTCTTTACAAAGCATAAAATGCAAGAACTTTCTTTACAAAAACATAAAATGGCAAAAACTTTCTTTAAAAAACAAAAAATGGCAAGAACTTTCTTTACAACACAAGAAATGGCAAGAACTTTCTTTACAAAGCATAAAATGCAAGAACTTTCTTTACAAAAACATAAAATGGTAAGAACTTTCTTTACAAACAACAAATGGCAAGAACTTTCTTTACAACACAAGAAATGGCAAGAACTTTCTTTACAACACAAGAAATGGCAAGAACTTTCTTTAAAAAGCGAAAAATGGCCAAGAACTTTCTTTACAAAACATAATATGAAACTTTACAGCCTTTTATTGCCTTATCAGCCCAATTTTACAGTAACCAATATCCAAGTCTTTTTTGATCTACAGTATCCCACTTTAATATCATTCCTCATTTTACAGTAACCCATGCCTATATTATCCTTTTCTATCTAATTTTACTGTAGCACCAACCATAGATCTAAATTAATGTTACAGTAACCCATATTAAGCCATACCCCTTCCACCATCCACTCTCTACGTTACAGTAGACCATATTACTCCTTCCTCTCCAAGTTGTATATGTTACAGTAGCTCATAGTAAACCATGCTCCTTCCCCCTCTTAATCACAATTTTACAGTAACCCATAGTATCATATCCTTCTTATTCCCTATGTTACAGTACTCATATAACCCCGACTCCCTATCCTTCCCCAATCTCTATGTTACAGTAACCCATAGTACCTTGTCTTTCTTCTTCTCCTTATTCCCTATGTTACAGTACCCATATTACCCCATGCCCATATCCTTTCTATGTTACAGTAACCCATATTACCCCATGCCCATATCCTTTCTATGTTACAGTAACCCATATTACCGCCTACCCCTTCCTTTCCCTACTCTTTATGTTACAGTATTGCCTTCCCACCAACACAAAATCTCCATCCCTTTCCTCTCTCCACTTTCTATGTTACAGTACCCATACCCACATCAACCCCTAAGGTCTTGAGCCGATAAGCATAAGAAAACATTGAGTAACGTTCCTTCGACCGTTCCCGCTGACGTCTCGTGACCTTGTTTTGTTATTGATCCGGTGTTCGCTACGGCAAACCGGATTACGACCAGTCGGTTAGGTGCTAAAAAGTAAATTTTATTTATTTATCGCGCGGTTTTATTTATTTTGCCCTCGGGCGATAGAGCAAAGTGCAGCCGAAACCCGCACATCCGGGAGGCTAGCTAGCTGACGGGCGGCGATTTCAATTTCAAATCGCTTTTTTCAAACGTTCTTATCAGCTAATTTGTCTACTCTAACCTACCCTACCCTAACCTACCCAACCCTACCCAACCCTACCCTACCCTACCCTACCCTACCCTACCCTACCCTACCCTACCCTACCCTACCCTACCCTACCCAACCCTACCCTACCCTACCCTACCCTACCCTACCCTACCCTACCCAACCCTACCTTACCCAACCCTACCCTACCCTACCCTACCCTACCCTTTACCCTACCCTACTCTGCCTTCTTCCCTAATTAAACATCATTTTACTCTTCCCACCTTTAACCATGCCCTACTCAAACATCATTTTATTCTACCCTAGCAGCGCTGTACCGCTGCCCTAGGTCTACTATAGCCCTTTTCTTGCCCTGCTCTATACTAATGTAGTGCCTTTTCCAATAAATATACAATCCAAAGTTTACCATGCCCCAAAACTCATAAAAAAAATCACCACTCCCTTCCTCCCCCCCCTCACTTTTTTTTCTCTACAAAATCTACCATGTCCTGAAAAATCAATAAAAATCCCCCCCCCCTGTCTCTACTAAATTTACCATGCCCTCAAAAATTAATAAAAAAACCACCCCCTCGCTTTTTTCCCTACAAAATCTACCATACCCTGAAAAATCTGCAAAAAATCACCCCCCCCTATTTTATCCTATAAATCAATGTTTATATAACACAATCCAGCCGATACAAAATAACATCGGTTCATCTCTTCTTGGGAGCGGCGTAGATATCCTCGTTCATGTGGGCTTGAGTGACGTGGTTGGCCAACTTGTGGAAGTCGGTGATCTTCTTCTTCATCTCATCATTCAGGTCTCCATACGCCTGGTAGAACTCCAATATCACACGGCAAATGTAAAGGAATTGCACATGGGTCTGGACGGCTTGGAGACGGTGGGCTGAAATCAAAAAATAAGTATGATAGGGTAGGGTATGGTAGGACAGGATAAGGCAGGGTAAGGTAGAAGAGGGTAGGGTAAGATATTAGTCTTTAAGGCTCGAAATGAGGAGTTTAGGTATTAAAATTAAATAATTTAAAGGTTTTGAGATAAAAAAAAAGAATTTCAGGTAATAAAATAGACATTTTTTAGAAATTTCAAATCGAAATTAACCTTTTAGGTAACAAAATAAAAATTTTCAGAAATCCAATGGAAATTTTAAAGATTTTGTTACCAAAATGCATAAAACTGTATCAATAAAAATATGCATTTTTTAAAATAAAAACAATAACAATTTTGTTACCTAAAATCAATTTTAAGTAACAAAACAAAAAATTCAAAGCTTTTTACTGATAATGCGGAATTTAGGTAACAAAATGAACATTTTAGGAAATTTTGCAACCGAAAAATTTTTTTAGATAACAAATTTTAAAATATTTAAAAATCCAATTTTATACCTAAAATATTCAAAAAAAGTTTACGTTTGTTACCTAAAATTCACAAAAATGTTCATTTTATTACCTAAATTACTAAGAAAATTAACTTTTCTTAAAACACAAAGATAATTTACTTTTATTACCTAAAATACCAAAAAAATTTAATTTTAATACTTAAAATAACAAAAAGCCAAATTTTAATACTTCATTTACCAAAAAATTCACTTTTATTACCTAAAATACCAAGAAAATCCACTTTTTATTCTAATTTTATAACTAAAATACCAAGAAAACTCAACTTTAACACCTAAAAATACCCAAAAAATCATTTTTATTACCTAAAACAACAAAAAAATCTGCTTTTATTACCTCAAATACCGAGAAAATCAGCTATTCATAACTGAGAACTCAACAACTTAGATTTGTTACCTAAAAATTTTTAAAAAAAACTCAGGTTCCATACCTAAACGAACAAAAAATCCAAAAAACCCACCCCGAACCTGTCGAATCATATCCGGCAAAGGAACATCGGATAATGCCATAATGGATTGGAGGATCCATTCAATAGCCACCACACTGCCAGTCCGGCCGATGCCTGCCGAGCAGTGAACCACGGTGGCCTTGTTGTCCTTGCGGAACATCTTCAGCAGTCTTAATGGGCATTTGGTGGTGTCTGGAACGCCACGATCAGGCCAGTTCAGCCAAAGGTAATGGCTCACCTCCATGGGCTTGTCACGTTTCGGCACGGTAACCATGAGGGTCGTGATCATAAAGCGCTTGTCGCCTTCGGACTTTGTTCCTGTGTTCTTAACTGTGTAGACTGAAAGTGAAAATTTTTAACCTGCCCGACCATAGCCTTGCACATAGGGTAGAAGGTAGGACGGCGTAGATGAAGGTACAGTAAGATAGGGAAGGAAGTGTTAAAATAGAGGAGAGTAAGGCAGAGTAAGATAGGATAGAGTAGAGTAGGGTAGAGTAGGGTAGGGCAAAGCAGGTAGGATAGGATATGGTAAGACAAAGTGGGGTATAGTAGAAAACGGTAGAATAGGATCGGGTTGGAAAAGTTAGGTTAAGGCAGGGTAAGGTAGGAAAGCTGCTTTTTACGTACCCCTATTTCTACAGTAGTCCTCTACTGACCTTACCGTATCAACTCCAAAATATATGCTATTATACCCAAAATCTAACCCCCCCCCCGACTAACATACTCTAAAATACCATACCCCAAAAACCAAAAAAATAAAAAATTTACCCCACCCAACCCAAAGTTCACCCAAAAAAATTATTAAATCCATCCCCTAAATCATGAAACACAAAATCTACCGCCCCCCCCCCCCCCACTGACATATATAATCTAACCTACCATACCCAAAAACCAAAAAAAAAAACAATCTAAAATCCACCGACCCATCCCCCTCCCAAACTCATAAAATCAAGAACCAACCATACCTCCATACGTAGCTTCTTCGTTCAGTCCCTTCGGCCAGTACTGGGCACACTTGGTCTTCCTCATCTCCACCACCTCGCAGAGCATGGCAATGGTGCTGACGTCTTGCTGAACCACCATCCTCCAGAAGTCGGCAACGGTGGAGTCGAGAGGTCCCTGGGTGCAGATGTACGCCTTCTGGAGGGGATGGTCACGGAGAATGCTGGCGTGAATGTAGTCGTGACATCCGTCGTCCAGGCGAAGGATCACACGGTGCTGATCACCACAAATGACGTCTGAAGAAAGAGTTTTAGAAATGAAATTAAGAACTTTTGCAAAATTTTTTTGAAAATGCCTTGTATATTACTGTACTGTAGAATTACTGTAGCCATAGTCTAATATTTTTTAAATTCGTAAAAATTTTGATAATAAGGCAAAAGTTGAGCAGGGTAGGGTGATATAGAGTAGGCTAGAGTAAAGTAGGATAGGTAAAGGTAAGGTAGGGTAGAATAAGGTAAGCTAGAGTAAAATTGTCGAGATCTCACGCTCGCAACAAGTCTACCACAAAAATAGACTAAAATAGTGTAAAGTATTTCTTAAGTAAGCAAAATTCAAAAATACAGTAGGTTAATTTCTAGAGCAAAGTAAAATTTAAAAAAAATATTTTTTGGGCGGGGTAAAATTTTAAAAAATATTTTTCAGGCGGGGTAAAACTTAAAAATAATAATTTTCGGGCGGGGTAAAATTTAAAAATAATAATTTTCGGGCGGGGTAAAATTAAAAAAAAGATTATTTTTCGGGCTAGGTAAAAGTAAAAAAAAATATTTTTTTGGGCAGGGTAAATTTAAAAAATATTTTTTAGGCATTGTAAGTTTAAAAAACGTTATTAAGGCATGATAAAATTATTAAAACAATTTTTTGGGCAGTGTTATTCTTAAAGCACTTTTTTTTTAAGACAGAGGTAGAGGAACGGGTAGAGGTAGAAATGACGGTAAAAACACATCTTACAGTACTTCATCTTACTGTATTTTATACTACCCTACCTTTTTGCTACTCTACCTTACCTTAACATTCCCCACCCCTCTCTACCTCTCTACCCTGACCTACCCAACCCTATCCTACTCAAATCTACCCTACTTTACCCTGCCCTACCCTATCCTACCTACCCTTTCCCTTCCCTTATTACCACACTAAAACACACTCAAACAACGATTAAATTCAAAGCTACCTACCTGCATAACGGTTCTTATCCGGATTGTTGTCGAAGGCAAAGTGTGTCGCCTTATCAGGTGCATACGCCTTGAGTTCCCTCGTATACATCTCCAGTAATGCGGCCGGACCCGTGCCCAATATCCAATCCACAATCTTCTTGCAAAGATCCTTCTGTTCCTGGGACTCCGGCTTCTCTCGGCACAAGCCACGCTCATCGCGCTGAAGCTGGACGTCTTTCATCTTGGTGGGGGCTTGGTAGGCTGTTACGGGCTAAAATGAGGTAAATTAGGTGTGAACTTAAGAAATTTTGAATGTTTTACTATCTTTCTATCTTATAGTATCCAAAGATATCAATATTCTAAAACAAATGTCAGTTTCTACCAGTAAAATTGAAATATAAAGTTTGAACAAAAAAACTTCACAGAGAGGACCAAGTTCAATATTTTTCAAAAAAATTTTTTTAATTAAAACAATATTTGAAAAAAGAGTATTGTAGAACTTATCAAACTAAGTTATTTACCAAAATTTCAACTCCATATATTATGTTTTGGCAAATTTACATTAGGTCAAAAATGTCAAAAATCCAAAAAGTTCGAATCCGCTTGGAGAACAGCAGCTTTTTTGGGCTTTAAACGACGGTATCTTCGGTCGAAGTAAAAACCTTATCGTAAATCCCTTTTAGTATGATATGAGAATCAAAGTCAAACAACAAAATCACCCTTACCATGCACATGGACTTCTGTTTGGCGATCTTTGGCTTCCGACGACTCTCCATTCCAGATTCATCGTCATTCTGACATTTGGTCTGTTGGTCCTTAAAAATATAGATTTTGATAAAGATTTTAAGCCTAAAATATCAAAAAGGGTTTTTAATATTCAAAATATAAGTAAATTTTTAAAAAATTTCAAAAATAATGTCAAAATTCCAAAAAAAATTCTGAAAGATTAACATAAAATACCAAAAATGACATATCAAAACGTATATGAAAGATCCAAACATACCATCGTAAAAACAGTAGTGTCATTCTGGCTTCGACGCTTTCCCCTCTTCTTCGGTGAGTTCGCTTTATTTCCACCGCCATCGCTGTTCGACTTGCCAGATTTCCGTGGCTTCGAGAGGCGCTTCTTTCGTGCAGCCATCTTCAGATGCGGCTGTCTCCAACGCCACTGATACGAGAATGAATTTTTCTCGTAAAATGTCGGAAACTTGACTTTCGAAAATTTGCATGGAGAAATTGTACAAATTTAGTTTGGAAATTTGATTTTTTTGGAGATTTTTCATTGAAAACTTGACTTTTTCAAAACTTTCATTAAAAACGAGGAATTCTGGAGGTTTTACAAAGATTTTTTAGGCTCTCCATTGAGATTGAAGATTCAGCAGGATTCTGGATAAGAAGCTACGATGAACCAGCTCAAAGTTCGGCTCAAATCCGGAAAATATCGCGCGGAATAACCTCTTGGCATTCTGCTGCAACAAAAAAGTCGGAAATTGTTTCGGCTTTTCGTTCAGCCTCGAAAATGCTTCCGTTGGTCAAATTTAGAGGTCTTTTTTGTTTTGAAATATTATAATACGTTAAGCAGCTTTTTTACATCATGCCACAGCTATTTTTCTATTTTTACATTGACATTTTTAAGATCTTAAGGATGAAAGGATGGTTAATATTCTTTTTGTTTTTCCGAAAAAATTGATGAGTTTAGTTATTCATCGAGATGTTAGGGGAATCTACAGGGCTTTTGCTTTGTTTTAATGTAAAAAACATAATTTTAAAGATTTATCTTGGTATTATTCTGAGCTATTTTAAGTTTTAGGCCAATTACATCATGGTGAAGGTGAATAACTAAAGTTTTAGCGTATGAAAGATCTTCGCATATTAAGAAGAGTTAGATAAACATCTAATATGTCTTTTTTTTAGCAAAATGGCCAATGTAATTTTGCCAAATCAGCCTGTGGTTATTGATAATGGCTCAGGCTCCATCAAGGCCGGGTTTGCTGGTGAAGATGGACCACGGGTGGTGTTCCCAAACTATGTTGGCGCTACTAAACATCGACGAGTAATGGCTGGTGGTTTGACAAAGGAAAATTTAGTTGGTAAGTTCGTTTTTGTTATTTTTTTTGGCTTTTAGGTATTCAATGTTAGTCGTCATGGTTAATATTTTATTGTGATGTTTTTGAGCTGAAATCTATTAATTTGAAAATGAATATAGTTGAGGATAAAGATGTGGATGTTTAGGATCTGATGCTCAAAAATACAGGGGTTTGTTGGCTTTAAAATACCCGATGGAGCATGGTATTGTAACGGATTGGAATGCCATGCAGCAGATCTGGGAATTCGCTTATTCTTCGGAACAGTTGAATGTAAGGGTTTTATTTTTGGTTGTAAAAGAATCTTTAATATCTTTTCTAACGTATATTAGCTAAATTTCGTTGAAAAAGGCTATTTTTCATATAAAAAGTCTGTTGTTTTAGGTAATCACTAACTATAACATAGATTTTTCTGTCAAAAACAAGCTATACTGTTTTTACGTTTTAATTTTGAAAACTTTCGTTGTATGGAGAGAATTCATGTGCATATTTTACAATATATTTTACAGTGCAACTCTTCGGAACATCCAGTATTGTTATCGGAAGCTCCATTGAATGCAGTGAAGAACCGGGAGAAAGCAATGGAGATCTTCTTTGAAACCTTTAATGTCCCAGCTATCCACGTTCAAATGCAAGCTGTTTTGAGTTTGTATGCAGCTGGAAGAGCTACTGGAGTGGTGCTAGATTCGGGAGACGGTGTAACACATTCGGTGCCTATTTATGAAGGTTTTGCTATTGAACCTGCGTAAGTTTTTGGGGTTTTTTAAATGTTTTTGATGTTTAGGTAGATGGGAAATGGAAGAACTGCTTGTAGAAAAGCTGTTGAGGTCATTTTTGTCATTCTTTGACAGAATTTTGCTGTTATCCTGATGGTTTTTTGGCCGAGTTTTACAATATTGTTTTAGAATTCAACGGATAGACGTTGCCGGCCGAGATGTGACAAACTATTTTAAACTTTTACTACGAAAAGAAGGCCACATTTTCCACCGGTCGAATGAGTTTGAGCTCGTACGTGAAATGAAGGAATCCGTCTGCCAAGTACTGCCATATAGCTCTAACAGTTCAAAGGATGAGTCGGTAAGTGGTTCTACAATATCGTTTTTGATTTTTTTTGGATTTTTAGGTGTGAAATGATAAATTATATAGTGTAAGGAGTTAACTACGACTAGTCAGCGTTTTGATTCTAATAAGTTAAGATCTGACTCTTTATTTTCAGTCAAAAATTACAATTTTTTTAAATCAGCTGACTTTCATGGATAATATAACTTTTGATTTTTCTTCAGCTAAAAGCCTACACATTACCGGACGGTGAGACGATTAAAGTTGGAAGGGCAAGATTCCAAGCTCCAGAAGTGTTGTTCCGTCCAGAAATTGTTGGGTTGGAATATTGTGGATTGTCACAATGTATCGTGAACTCGGTCAAGGTAAGGATTTTTAGTTTTTTTTTGAAATTTTAGGTATGAAACAAGGATACAAGCTTTGTATATAATAAGACAGGTTTATGTTGACATAAAAAAGCAGCGTTTTACGTATGTTGCGATAACTATCACAAAGAACTTTTCAGTTTTATATTGTTATAGACGATGATATAGAAAAGGGGGTAGTTTTGTTTTTAGTATTGATATGAGACCAGTTTATGTTCAAAAAGGATAGTTAGTGTTATATTAATATAGGAAAACGTATTTTTTTATTGTCTTTGTTCTGTTCGTATCGTAATAGAGCTTGTTTTCTATTGTACGACAAGGTTTATTGTGTTAGCGAAAGTAGGTCAGGGAGATGTTTGAACAAGGATTATATGGGTTTTTGGGCAAAAATAGGCTGTTTTTGGGTTGGGCAGGGATTTTGGATAACAAAAAAATTTTTGTTTTTATTTTGAAATTTCGAAAAATTTTTAAATCTCAAAAAATGATCAAAATTGAAGTAATATGACCTAAAACTACTAAAAATCTAATTTGAATACTCAAAAACCCTAAATTCCCCCATTTTTTAGTTATCCGACACGGAACTTCGAAAAGAGCTCTACTCGACCATTCTCCTCTCCGGCGGCTCCACCCTCTTCAAAGGCCTCGGCGATCGTGTACTTCAAGACGTCCTAAAACAGAATCCGGCCGACACAAAGGTCCGGATCGCGGCGCCAACAGAACGAATCCACTCGACGTGGACGGGCGGCTCCATTCTGGCCACATTGGACACGTTCCGAAAGATTGTCCGAACAAAGGCACAGTACGAGAATGAGGGCAAGAATCTGGCTAGAAAGGCTTACTAACATGAGGTTTTAGCTGGTGTTTGATAGATTTTTGGGATTGGAACGGTTGTTTTGGTTTAAAGTTGAGGTTTTTGGGTAAAATTTGGTTTTTTTGGCTGAAAACTGAACGTTTTAGGCCGAAAACAGATGATTTTAGGTAAAAAAAGTTTGTTTTCAGGTCAAAAAAGGCTGTTTTTAGCCGCATTTTGAGCTAAATTTCACGCCATTCTTTATGCATCAAAAACAACTTTTTCAAAACCCCAAAATCTGTCAAATTTGAAAAGATTGTACTGATTCCATGCTTTTTCTGCTATTCTTCTACTGTAATTTATGTAATATTGATAATTTTATTACCCAAAACTCAGGATTTTTATCATTGTTCATTATTTTGTTCGAAAATAAGTAAAAATCCGCTAATATCAACTTGGGCATTTGATTTTTGAAGTGTTATGGCAACGTTATGAATACATTTTTTTATGGTTTTTAGTAGATTTTGCGTTGGGAATGGGGATTTTAGGTAACAAATCGAAGTTTTAATAAGATTTCGGTTGGAAATGAGGGTTTTAGGTAACAAACGGACATTTTTAATGATTTTGCGTTGGAAATGAGAATTTTAGGTAACAACTTGAAATTTTTGGGCCAAATAACCCCTTAACTACTTCCCTTACAATTTGCTACCACTTAACCATTTTCCACACCATTTTTACTGCCATATAGGCAATTTTCATGCCCTGTACTTGCAAGTTCCTACTTCCCTCTCCAATAATCTCTGGTGTTGTAAAGTGTTTTTGCGCTGTAAACAAGAGTCATGTGGTCAGTGGGGAAGAGAGAGAAATTAAGAGTTATCAGTTATTTTGGACTAATCTTTTGCGAAAAAACAAAACAGTGTTATTGAGAACATCAACATTGTTTTGAAGGGTAAAGGTCATATTTAAAAAGGGTAGGACAAAAACAAAAATGGGGCGTAGGGTAGGGCGAAGTGGAGCTAAGGTAGGGTAAGTTACGGCAGGATTAAGTAAGTTAGGGATGACTAGGGTTTATTTAGAGCAGAGCTGGGGGATTGCTAGGCTAGGGAACGGCAGGGTGAAGCTAGGGCTATGGTAAGGCTAGAGAAGAACTAGGGCAGGGCTAGTCTAAAGCATATTTAGAAAAAATGTAGGCTAGTGCTGTGGTAAGGCTAGAGTAGGGCTAGGGTATGGATAGGCTAACGTACGGCTGACTGATAATAGACTATGGTAAGACTAGCGTAGGGCTAGGCTAGGGCATATTTATAATAGGATTGGGCCAGCGTATGGCTATGCTAGAATATGGTTGTGTGAAGCCAGGCTGGGGCTATGGTAAGGCTAGTGTAGAAATAGAGTATGGCTAGGCTAGCGTAATGTTGGGTGACGCTAGGACAGGGCTCGTGTAAGCCTAGAGTTCGTCTTGATTAGCCCTAGTATAAAGCTAGGGTAAGGTATTAAGTAACCTGTTTATAAAATTAAGACATGATGTTAAAGTGGGTTAGATTACTTCCGAATGTGTCGAATGTCTTTGCAAATCTGTTATTAAGGCCTCCCACTGTTTTTGAAAGCTTTAAGCCGTTAAAACAAGATTAAAGGACTTTGCAAAAACAACAAAATGAATATTTTTTTTTGTAAAATACGGTAGCATCTTAATTACCGTGTCAAAAATCTCAAAAAAACCTCATTTCCAATGAAAACTTTCAAATTTTCAAAAACTAAAGTTGGATTTTATGAAATTTCACCTCAGTTTGACCAAAATTTCACTCATTTCGAACGTCACTGATCCTTATCACACGCTACTTTTAAAATTGCAAATCAGGGTCCAAAGAGTGTGATTAATCACGTTATTTTCAAATCACGTTTCGAAACGTTCCCATTTGTTATTCATTTCGGAACAGTGATAATGTGAACAGAGAGCTTTTGTATTTTGATTGGAAATTTCAGATAAAAATTAAATTTTGTTATAAAAAAAAAGGTTACTGTAATGTTGTGAGGTCAAATCTAAAAAAAATATGACATTTTTTAACAGCAATGAGCATTTTGTGACATTTTTCATAAGAAACGAGGATTTTATGACATTTTTCATTAGGAATGGGGATTTTATGACATTTTTCATTAGAAATTTAAATTTTATGACATTTTTCATTAGAAATGAGTATTTTATGACATTTTTCATTAGAAATGAGGATTTGATGATATTTTACATTGCAGATTAAGCTTTTTGAAATACGTTACAATTGAAGTCAAAAACATTAAGAAAAAGTTAATTTTAGTCCATAAAACAGCAAAAAACATTCTAGAAAGCATATTTCGTGTTCCTACGTAAACCAAAATAATGACAAAGCTTTTACGCAAAAACATTTCCAAAAAGCTATTTTTAATAAAGCCCTTAAGGCTATTTGAATTCAGCAAAGACGAAAGCACTTTCTTCGGCGTAAACTGGCTTTAATGGTCCTCATTTCTAATGAAAAATGTCATCAAATCCTCATTTCTAATGAAAAATATCATAAAATCCTCATTTCTAATGAAAAATGTCATAAAATCCTCATTTCTAATGGAAAACTTTTAAAATTTTAATTTTTTACCTAAATTTTCATTTCCATTGCAAAACCAACCAAAATTTTCACTTTTCATTCCCCAACCCATGATCACCCCTTTCTTAATCTCATAGTAGACGGTAGACTCATAAAACTGATGCAATATACGTCAAAACTTTAATATATTGTTTTATCGACCAGCCAGTTTGAAATTTTCTCGAGAATAGTTCTCTTTAAGCCGCAGGGAACGGACAGGAAAGTACAATCACAAGCTCCAAAGTGAATGTGTACTTTTGATAATAGATGGGGAAATGCACTTTCAAAATGGATTTGGAATGAATTTTGGATTAGTTCGAAGAACAGCGTACTTACTCGAAATAGAATAGACCTTAGGGTGCAGAACTTGAAATTTTTTGAAATTTAGAAAAATTATTAAAAGTTAAATTTAAATTTAAAAAATGTAAAGATTTTCGAATTCTTCAACAATTTTTAGGTAAAAAATCAAAATTTTATGACATTTTTCATTAGAAATGAGGATTTTATGACATTTTGCAATAGAAATGGCCACCCTTGTGGCAATGACTAACATTTTAATTTCAAAACTTTAATGACTAAAAAAGTTGAAGAGTTCAGAGACCTTTGGTTGAGTCCGCTTCTCTCGAAAGTGTCGAGAGTGGTCGCTTTTTGTTTCTGGAAATGGGAAAAAGCTTCGAGTCTAGACGAAATGAATTCAATTATATTTCACGACATTACACACCATTTCGTATGTTATTTATTAAAACTTTTTTTTAATTTTCGAAATTTTTTTTTGAAATTTTGAAAATTTTCCAAAATTATAATTTTTAATGAAAGGTTATAGTAAAATGGTCAAGGGTAATAGTTGAAAAAAAATTTAGCTTGGTAAAAGGCTAAAAAGTCATTTTTTCTATATTAACATAAGTAAAACACTTTACTTCTCCTTAAAAAAGCCCTTTCTTCTACATTACCATAACCAAATCACCTTACTTTACCTTCAAAAAGCCCTTTTCCTCACAAATCAACTATTAAAACTGTAGAAAATTGCCGTTTACCTATACCTACATACCTTTCTCCCTACAACTCATAGCCTTTTGACCCCAGTTGAAGAGCGTTTTACGACGATAAGGCGCGTCGGTCTATACCTAGCCGTATAAAAGGGCTGGTCAATGCCGAAAACGATCAGAACATCACTTGTGGTCGGTTGTATGCTTTAGTTCTGGTCGGTCATATGCTAGGTTATGGTGATTTATATGGCTTATACTAAGGTTTTTAGGTAGATTTGGGCTTGTAAGGGCGCTTTATGGGTCGATTTCGGTTTGTAAGAGTTTGTTTTGAATTGATTTAGGCTTATTGTTACATATTTTAAGAAAAAAGTGGTTAAAAGTAGTGTAACACATTACTGTAGGTCCAAAAGGTACTATAACTTATAGGTTTTAGGCCTAAAAAGTACAATATTTTATGGCTTTAAGTCCTCACAATACCATAACTTACAACTTTAAGCCCTCAAAGTACTGTAACTTCTAAATTTCACCCTAAAAGTTACCGTACTACAACCCTACGGCCATTTTGGCCAGCTGAACGACTATTGTGGTAAACAATATAGCTTTACCCAGGTCTTTGTAACTTGTTTATCATTGTGCCAGCTCATACCACCAAAAACATGAGACAATGTTTTTGGGTCAGCAGGTCGAAAGGCCTAGTTTTTGCTTGTTTGTTACCTAAACTACAACAAATTTGCTTTATTTTTCAAGAAAAAACTATAACAGTATGAAATTTTTTGTTAAAATGCCATTCTTTATTGGACTTTAATGTGTTTTGCTTTTACCTTATTTTAGATGCTTTACAGAGCATTTTTCCCAAATTTTGTCTTTTTCTGTAGCCGTCTCTCCATTATTCCGCTTTCTCTAACTTTCCCCAACCACCCTCCTCATTCCCCGTTCTCTCTCACTGGTCGTTGATTCTGCCCTTGATGTCGCGTGTTCTGTGTGACCGGTCGCAGCCGTACCAAGCAGTGCGAAGAGCTTCTTTCGTCAAAACCAGGCGGAGCCATCTGAAGCGTCGCTACGACGCGAAAACACCGCTAAGAACGAAGGGACGGCCACAGAAAACTGCCTCACAGCAGTCTTTAGAACGAGAGAGTGCGAAAAACGAAGAGTGCGGCAGGCGAGAGAGCACATCGCAAATGAGAGACGGAGGAAGGAGATAGTACAGGAAAATGAGAGGGCGGTTAGCGTTCCCTCTGCCCTCTCAATTCACTGACGACGAGAGAGTGCAAAAGGGGCGGAGAGTAGGCAGAGGGGTAGCGTAAAAAGGGGATTCGATTCTCTCCGCCGCAAAAGGCTCAGTCAGCTGGGTTCGTCTGGTGTTGAGCGGTCGGTCGATTCGGTCGTATTGTTATTGGAGGTATAAATGTTGGGATAAGATAGTAGAGGGTTGTAAAATGGGTTTACCAAAGTTTCATAGGCTTATTTTAAGGTTTAGCATTGATTTGGGGGAGTTTTGTTCGAAAAAGCGTGACATTTTCTAGTTTTCCTGAAAATTCGGAGATTTCATCATTTTTTCGTTATTGATTCATCGAAATATGGGTGGGGAAAGTTGATAACAAGTATATAAGGGGTTTATATTGTTCATTTGATTGTTATAGTGGTTTAGTTTTGTTGTGCGGGCTCCAGATATTGTTTTAGATAGATTGTATTAGGAAACATTGATTATTGCTTTGAATTTTAGGAGTAAATTAGATTTTTTGGATAAAAAGTTTTAAAAGATATCATTTATGTTATATTCAAGTTTTAGGTTGATATTTCCTTGCTTTTTGTATTATTTTAGACGACATTTTTGTGATTCACTATAACAATATCGCGATATTGATTTTTTCCTGTTCCAACTATTAACCTCAACTTTTTCAGTTCCGAATCAAATTTACTGCGCTGAAAATGCAAATTTTCGTCAAAACCCTAACCGGCAAGACCATCACCTTGGAGGTGGAAGGCAGCGATACTATCGAGAATGTCAAGGCCAAGATCCAGGACAAGGAAGGCATTCCCCCAGATCAACAACGTCTGATCTTCGCTGGAAAGCAACTGGAGGATGGTCGCACCTTGAGCGACTACAACATCCAAAAGGAGTCGACCTTGCACTTGGTTCTTCGTCTGAGAGGAGGTATGCAAATCTTCGTCAAGACCTTGACTGGAAAGACCATCACCTTGGAAGTTGAGGCTTCTGACACCATCGAGAACGTCAAGGCCAAAATCCAAGACAAGGAAGGAATCCCACCAGACCAACAACGTCTGATCTTTGCTGGTAAGTTCAATTTTTTGATTGTTTTTGTGATTTTAGGGCTAAATCGGCTAGTTTATGGAATTGAAGTAGTTTTTAGTTTCCTAGGCTATAGAGTAGTTTGCTCTCAGGTTAATGAATGTTTTAAGATACTTTAAGACTTGAACAATATTAATTTTACCATCTTTTAGGCAAGCAATTGGAAGATGGTCGTACTTTGTCCGACTACAACATCCAAAAGGAGTCCACCCTTCACTTGGTTCTTCGTCTTCGTGGAGGTATGCAAATCTTCGTCAAGACCTTGACTGGAAAGACCATCACTCTCGAAGTCGAAGCCTCAGACACCATCGAAAACGTGAAGGCCAAGATCCAAGACAAGGAAGGAATCCCACCAGACCAACAAAGATTGATCTTCGCTGGAAAGCAATTGGAAGATGGAAGAACCCTTTCGGACTACAACATCCAGAAGGAGTCCACCCTCCACTTGGTCCTCCGTCTTCGTGGTGGAATGCAGATCTTCGTCAAGACTCTCACTGGTAAAACCATCACCTTGGAAGTCGAGGCTTCTGACACCATTGAAAATGTCAAGGCCAAGATTCAGGATAAGGAAGGTATCCCTCCAGACCAACAGAGATTGATCTTTGCTGGTAAGTTTTGAAGTTTTTAGTTAAATTAGTGAAGACAATTCGTTTTTAAGATATTATTGGCGTAAAATAGCTATTTTTGATTTTGTCAATCTATTTTTTGAATTGTTATTATAAACTAGGCCTAAAGTTTAATTTTTTAGAACTTAAATCTAATTTTCTGTATTTCAGGTAAACAATTGGAAGATGGCCGCACCTTGTCCGACTACAACATCCAAAAAGAATCCACCCTTCACTTGGTTCTCAGACTCCGTGGTGGTATGCAAATTTTCGTCAAAACTTTGACTGGAAAGACCATTACCCTCGAAGTCGAAGCCTCAGACACCATTGAGAACGTCAAGGCCAAGATCCAAGACAAAGAAGGCATCCCACCAGACCAACAACGTCTCATCTTCGCCGGAAAACAACTGGAAGACGGTCGCACACTATCGGACTACAACATTCAGAAGGAATCTACTCTCCACTTGGTCCTTCGGCTTCGTGGAGGTATGCAGATCTTCGTCAAAACACTAACCGGAAAAACGATCACATTGGAAGTGGAGGCATCGGACACGATTGAAAACGTTAAGGCCAAGATTCAAGACAAAGAAGGTATCCCACCAGACCAGCAACGTCTGATCTTTGCCGGAAAGCAATTGGAAGATGGAAGAACTTTGTCTGACTACAACATTCAGAAGGAATCTACATTGCACTTGGTGCTCCGATTGAGAGGTGGAATGCAAATCTTCGTCAAGACTCTCACTGGCAAAACCATCACCCTTGAAGTCGAAGCCTCAGACACGATCGAAAACGTGAAGGCCAAGATTCAAGACAAAGAAGGAATCCCACCAGACCAACAGAGGTTGATCTTCGCCGGAAAACAGCTGGAAGATGGAAGAACCCTCTCGGACTACAACATCCAGAAGGAGTCCACCCTCCACTTGGTCCTCCGTCTTCGTGGAGGTATGCAGATCTTCGTTAAGACGTTGACCGGCAAAACCATCACCTTGGAAGTCGAAGCCTCAGACACCATTGAGAATGTCAAGGCCAAGATCCAAGACAAGGAAGGCATTCCCCCAGACCAACAACGTCTCATCTTTGCCGGCAAACAACTCGAAGATGGCCGCACTTTGTCCGACTACAACATCCAAAAGGAATCCACTCTTCACTTGGTCCTCCGTCTTCGTGGTGGCCAATAAACTCACGCGATCTCCAACGATTAACGTTTTGAACTTATATTGAATAAGATATTACTTGTGAACCGAATAAACTGGTTTTGTTATTAAAAGTTTGGTGTTTTTGACTTTGTTGAATCAGATTTTATTTTAAATTAATTTTTTAATTAAAAAATTAGTATTGTAAAGCTATTTTATATTGTGATAAGGCTTGGGGATTGTAAAATACGGTCAGCCAGTTAAAAAAATTGGAAAAAGCAATGCATTTTGAGCTAGATCAATATGTGATCGTTTGTATGGTGGATATAATAAAAAAAATTTGATATTTCAGTGGAAACTAGTCAAATCAAATGAAATTTGGTTGTAAAAAGCTTGGATTCCGTCAAGTTTACTTTTGTGAATTTTAAACATTTTTGTAGCTTACTTGATGGCTTTTGACTAAATTACTCTAACATTATAAAATGAGTCATAATTTTTGAAATAAGGGCCGAAAACAGGTGATAACTGTTTCATATTCATATAACCTTTACCATTTTCACCTGTTCCTGAAATTTAATGCCACTTTTGGATACATACCAAAATATTGCTTCTGTATTTCTACTAAATATTCACAGTAAAAGTTGCTTACTTTAGTAGTAAAACATGTTCAATATATTTATAAAATCATCAATACAAAGCTTTTGTAAAACCAGTTTATTTATTAACAACGCGTATTTTGAATACGAAAAGAAAACTATGAGAAACAAATATATTTTGGGAGGGGTGAGTATATACAACATTATGGTTTGAGTATAACATGGGTAGTACAATTTGAAAATATTACCATTGGTAGTAAAATATTAGTAGTGTTATTGACAGTACAATATTATCAATAGTACCAGTAATAACGTCTCAAATAGTGCTTTTTACAGTACCATACTATCAGTACTATCATTTGTATTACAATATTACTATTACCATAGGTACTATAACATAAATATCGACAATATCAAACAAATTAGAGAAATATATTAATCCAGGTTGGAGGGACAATTAGCTTGGTGCGAGACTAGCTGGCCTTGGGAGCGGAACGCGTGCATACAACTTTGACATACGAACATTTGCGCGTTGGTCATACGGTTCAAGTGTTGGTTGCGGACACGCTCGAGGTGTTCGTTGACTTTGTCGATGGACTGTGCGATCTTCTGGTCAATGTGGGTGAAGATGCTGGATGCGGGTGGGGGATGGGAGGATGAGCTGACCGGTTGTGTGGTTATTGGGGGTTGGTAACGATGGGCGCACCGGTGGTGGCGACGGCGTTTGCACGGGGACTAAAATTGAAGAAAATGGTAAAAATTTTGGTTTGATAAGAGGTAAGGGGATCATCTTTATATGAGGGTGGGGGGAGGGGTTATTCATTTTTTAATTAGAATTCTTTTTTTGGTGGGGAGGGGAGTCATACTTTTTACCCACACTCAAAAGAATTTTTCAATGACTTGAAATCATCCTTTTTTTGAAAAATTAAAAAAAATGTTTGGATTCCACCCCCAAAAATTTTTTACCCCGCCCAAATTATTTTATTAAAAATTTCAAATTAGACCCCAAACGAGCTTTTCAAAAAAATTTTTGCAAGATTTTTTATTTTTAACACCCCCTCCCCCTCCAAATTTACCCCGCCCAGAACTATCCAAGCTAAGAACGTCCTATCATATTCGTTATCTAAAATAATTCTGAGCCCCCTGACAAAAAAATCTTTGAGAGGGAGCACAGAATTATTTGAACAGCTTAATAGTATTAATAGTAACCTAATAGAACTCCTTCCATAACTGCATTCCCAAATCCCCACCCAAAGCAAAACGAAAAACAAACTTTAAAACAAATTGACCTCGTTCCGTTCCTGGTAGCTTTGCACGATGCTCTCCAGATTCTTGATTTGATTCTCGTAATCGACCAGCATTGGGTCCACATCGACTGCGGTGTCGGCTCTCTCCGCCTCGAGTAGCTTCACGATGGCCTTCTGGGTGTTGACTTCGTCTTCAAGGCGGTGTAGGTCATCGTCGTTGATGCGGATCTGCTTCTTGAGGTCGGCGATCTCTTCCACCTTCAAGTCGAGCATCCTCTTCAGCTCCACGTTCAGGATGCACTGTTCTTCGTACAGGACGGCGAGTTCGTCACGTTCGGCTTTGACGTCGTTCTGGAAAGTGGCGGATTCTGTTGGGACTCCCGTGCCTTGAAGTTCGGCCATGGCCTGGTCGTATGGGTGTGGATCCTCGGTGTATTGAGTAGAGTCAGTATGTACACTTTGAACGTCCAATTCAGAAGTCAAGGATTGATTCATCTCCGTGTTGATGGACTGGATGTCCATTTCGTGACCTTCTGAATCCGCTTCTGGAGCTGAAGCCTTGTTGTAGACCTGTTGAGACACGGTGTGTTCAGTTGGAGGGGCTGAATCGTCGTTTTGGGACGACAGAACGCTGTTTTCGACGGTTTTACCATCCGAAAGATCAATCAAAGTTTCATTTACATCAGCCTTTGAATCCGCAATTATGTCCGTAGCTTCTGAAGTCAAAGTCAAGCCGCTAGCCTCTGAAGCCATGGTGAAGGTTGAGCGTTCGGAAGCCGGAGCAGAAGGCATCTGAAGAGTGGCCAAACTCTCTGGACTTGCGAATTGAGAGCTGTTTGTTGACATTTTCAATGAATTGATGCTTTCAGCCAGGTCATTGATCTTATCCATGTGGCTAGTCAAGGAAGTCAGGGTTGTGTGAGATCCTTTGACATGTTCTACTACAATAGTCTCCAACTCGGAAACTTTCGAATCTTTTTCCTTGATCAGGGACTTCAGAGCTTCGTTTTGTTCTTTCAGGCATTTCATCTGAAAATATTTAGGTATTGACTCACTTATATCAAGTTTTTTTAGGATAAAAGTTAATTTTTCGGCCAATTTTAGTCGAAATTTTGCCTTTTTCCTAATTTTTAATATAAACTAGACATTTTGGTTCATAAAAAAGCTGTTCAAATGACCAGCAAGCTTTACAAAAAATCCTTTAAGACCTACTTCTTCATCATTTTCCAACTTCTTAGCCAGCTTGATCTCCATAACGGCCGACAAAACTTGCTCCAAGACATCTTTGTTGACTTTGTATTCATCCAGCAAAGTCTTAACTGCCTTTTCGGTCATACCATCGCTCACAAATTGACTTAGAGCTAAAAATAATATGCCTTTTAATGAAAATTTATATTCTTTTAGATGTAAAATAGCTGAGTTTTATATCAAAATTCATTATTTTTCGTTTTAACTCAAATTTTAGATGTTTTCAATGGTTTCATTATATTCGGAAGGGCCTTTTGCATATATAAAATGTTGTTTTACATCAAATAGGACAGAGCTTTTACTAACCATCAAAATGTTCGTCAACATCACCTGATTCAGTTTCTAACCCTTTAAAAGCCCTAAAATACCAAGAAAAAACAAAAAAAACTCACTCAAAAACTGTGGGTACGGTTCAGCACGAAGAACTTCATCAGAAGTACCAGCCAACAACGAGCCTTTGTCACTCATCTGGTACTCCGAGACGGTATGAGAAGTATTGTCCTTGTAGTCAACGTTCTCTCTTTCATGGTTAAAACTTTCTTCACGCTCGTCCAGAACACTGAATTCACTTCCCAAGTCATCGTCGCTCAGTTCCGGATCTTCCATTTGAACTACCTCACTTTTATCGTCCGACATACTGAAATTATATTGTTGTAAATTTTGAATACAATGAAGAAATTAATCGATTGGCTCGAAATAAACACGATAATAAGCATAAACGACCTTGACATGACATATCGACGACTTTTCGAGTCTTTTCATCAACTAATCGAACCTCTTTTCATCTACCTTAACATAGACAATATCGATTGACGAAATTACAAAGAAAATTAGCGGAAACTATAGAAATCATTAAGAAATCCATTGCTAATCAACGCAATGACTAATAACGTTCAAGCATATTGATTTAGAACTGTTTTCAAAACGTGAAACTTGACAGCTGACCTTCAAAACAATATTATCCAAACAAAACCCGAAATCAATACAACCAAAGTCGGTTTTACAGAGCTAATGACACATTCAACAGTGGTAAATGTTTTATAATGCGCATCGATGCGACAGTAAATAATTTGATCAATCAAACGAGCACAGCTGATCGGCGACGGTTTTCTTTGCGAGACAAAAAACAATATAAAGTACTCAGCGTATAAAATAGGCTCGCAGGCTGCAAGACTTTTCTTCAGATTTCGGCGGGCTGCGCAAAATAAATATGGTTTTTTATCCGAAGAAATGTAAATTTTGATGTTTATATAGTTATGTTCAATTGTTTTACACTAATTTTATGTTTATAATTTAACTAAAATATTAATTTTACTAATAAAACTGTTTTTCAGATATTTCAACATGGATTCAGCAAGTTCTGAGGCGCCAAACGGCCCGAATCTGGACGTTCAACAACCTTCATCTTCAACCAAAAGCAATGTAGGTTGATTTATCTGTGTTTTTTTACTTTTAGGAGATTAAGAAGACAAAGAACAAATATTTCTATATAAAAATTTGTCGCCTTTATGCATCTTCACACGAATCGCTTAAAACTATTGTTTTACATTGCTTCTTTCCAGGCAAATCCGCCTGAAATGCCGGCCAAAGACGTAACGTCTATCTCGGGCCATTCTGAATCACATGAAGATGATGTTGTAATTGTAGAGGCATCAAAAGATAAAGAAACTAATCCACAGGTTGAGGACAATGTTATTATTGTAGGTGGTGCTATGGAAACTGTGGCTCCTTGGGATCCGGCATTGAGGAGCAGTAAGTGTTTTTGATATTTGAGGTGGAGAAGGGTTTAGGGAAGGTAATTGGGTTGTAATGTGGTTGATTTGGCTTAGAACTGGGTTGAAAATAAGGTCTGTTTGGAGGTGATGATCGGCGGGTATTATAACATTGAAAAATGGATTTTTCTTTGGTTTTTTGAAAGTTTTTTGTTAAGAATGTGGATGAAAAGCATGTTAAAAATATTTGATTACATCTTATGAGCAATTTCAGGTGAATATAATGGTTTTGAATGGCATTAATATCACTATAACTTTAGGTGTGCCAGCCTCAACACCATCAAGAGTGATTCCTCGCCGTTTACCACTATTAAGCTCTGTAAAATCTTCAACAACGAATGAGTCTCCATTAGTTAGAGTTGGTAACAATCTTCCAGCCATGATTCCACGTCTGAGAGGAAATTATTTTACTAAGCCTCAACATCCTCCAAGTTTTGGCTTAGCTGGCTTGTCACCAAACCACGGGCAACCTGAGATAGAAGAAATTCCACCTGATCCAAAAGCTAAAGGAAAGAAAGTCTTTAGAGGACCACATGGACTGAGCTTCGCCCTCAGGAAAAACGATCCAACACCACCGGTAGCTAAGCTGCCTTTATATATTCGAGGAGTTGCTGGTCGTCCGGCTCCTGATGGTACTCCTGGGACTTCTGGGGTTGAGAAAACTGGTGCTCTTGGTACGAATGATGGTTCAATTGCTTCAAAATACACGTCTGTTGTTATCAATACAGGTGCAGATCCAAAAACCACTACTGGTCCATCTGGTACTAAGCCTGTTAAGAGTACAATCAGTCCTAAGAAGCCCAAAAATACTCTCAGTTCATATGTGAAAGCCAGTACGTCTGATGGAGCGGCTGATACGTCTAGTTCAAAAAATACGCCTGGTACTACTAGTTCAAAACACACGTCTGGTACCAACGCTTTGAATTACACGTCTGGTTCAACTCTTCCAAAGACTATTTATACTTCACCACATAATCGACCATCACCAACAAAGAAACCGGCCGAACAAGTGCGGAATAAAGAGCCAGAAGCCGATAATGTTGTGGATCTATCTGGATTTGATGATCATATGGATGATTACAACTCAAGCCAGTCTGATTCATTTTCATTACCAAAAAGCATCAGTGTTGGACATAAAACCCCGGCTGCTACCAATGGTTTTGACAAGTCAAGAGTCTTTCAAGTTAGGGTAAGGGTCCCGCCGCGAAAACATGAGTTTTAAGATTTTTGGTTTAAAACTGTTGAATTTGGGCTAAACTATGTTAAATTAAAAAGTTATGTTATTAAAGGGGCTCCTTTTTGAAGCTCTGAATTTTATGAAAGTTTAGGGTCTCACCACGAAAACATGAATTTTGATATTTTGGTTTAAAGATGCTTAAAACTGTTACTAATTGGTTCATATAGGTCGACAGTAAGGTTGTTATTGCAACTTCTGCTATCAAAAAATTTTAATTTTTGAAAAATTTTGGTTTTATTACCTAAAACAATTACAGATGCCGGAACCATTGAATATCCGCTTCTCAGAGGACGAGGCTGCAATTTTGGACAAATTTACAGCTAAACCAGAGCCTTCACGTAATTACACAGAGCACATCAACGACATTCAAGAACATCAAACAGCTCTTGAATATTGTAGTAGGCTGATTGATTATCAACACGCCGTCATCAAGGAACTACACGACAAAGTGATTGAATTTAAAAAACACGGTGACGAATGGAAGAATGATGCAAAACGAATGGCACGTCAGCTATCGTGCCGTGTTTTGAAGCCGCAGGTAGTGAAGTATAAGACCCCCTACTCTAAGGTCAGTAGGAAGAAGAAGGTCCGAGCAAAGTTGAGGCAAATGGTCAAAGATACGTTCGAGTACGAGGATGAGGATCTAAACAAGTTGTTGCGAGACACTTTTCCTGAAGCCTTTTATGCTGCGGACTCACAAGAGAAATCGTGGCAGAAGAAGGATGATGATGAAGATGGCGATGAGGATTACCTACCTGAACACGTCTACATGCCTCATAATGCTCCTCAGCACGAGTCCTTGTATTACTGAGAGTAGTATTTTTAATAGTAGCGAAAATAATGGCATTTGGGAGAGTTGTAGGGGCTTAAAAAAGTCTTGACGTTTATTTCTATTGTTTTGAAGTGCAAGAAGCGACAAGACTTTTTTAGTTTGTTTCTAGATAAAAGAATGCCATTTTTGAGCTAGAACTTCACTTATTTTTTGTTGTATTTGCATTGTATTGTTGTTGTAAAGCTCTATTTTCAAATGTATGTACAGTTTTCGATCTCTAATGTAATAATATTGATGTTTTAGGTAATATTATTCAAGGAGATTTATTTTTTTTTTTAATTTTAATGTTTTAAAATTTGTATTTTTGTTCAATATTAAACGTTTTTTAAGTTTATTTGGCACTTGGTTTTATTAATATTGCAGTTATATTACTCTTACTATTGTGAAAATGATGGATTATTAAAAATGATGTTTTAAGGTATGTTATAAGCTGCCAAAGGCAAATGTCACAAAATGGAGACTGTTTTGTTGACATTATCCACTTGTACGGGTTGCCAGTTGGCTATTGAAGGTCTGAATAGGTATGAATATGATTAAATTTGGGCGGGGTTTGTAAAAATTTTTTTGGGGGTGGATTTAAAAAATTTTTACATTGTTCGTTTTTCAGGCTTCACTCAGACTCTATGGTGCTATTTACCTTCACTACGGCGACTACAATCACAATAACTGGGATAATTAAGCGGCCAAGTGTAATATACGACAGACGGATACCTATAAAGTACGTTTTTTTTGTAAAATACGGAAATTTTACCTCTTGGCTGTAAAACTATTTCTAAATACGAAGATTTTACCGTGTAGTCTCTAAATATAATGACTTTATAAGGTTTTAGAGCCTATTTACCACTGGTCATATCAGCATTTATAGTCAACTTGGTCAATAATCAAAGCATTTACTTTGGGATACCTTTCCTTTACAAATTGTCTTCAGATCGGTAGGTTTGTTATCTAAAAACAATTTTTTGAAACTTTTTGGGGTTTTTTTTTCAGTTGGCATTGGTCAAAAAAGTCTTGTCGTTTTTTATAGCATAAACCAATGTAAATTGACGCCAAGACTTTTTTGAAACTAAAAAAGATAATTTTTATTGGATTTCAATGACATTGCACATTCATTTGACATTTTTAGGGTACACTAGTGGCAAATGTGATATTAACCTATGTGTTGACGAGGAAAGTCCACTCAAAGCTAAAATATTGCTCTATTGTGGTCATTACAATTGGGATTATTATCTTTACATTGAGTACAAGACTGCCGAGTAATAAGCTACAATATGGGTGTGCTTATGACAGTCTTTTTTATTTTGGTAAGGAACTTTATCTCTACCTTTACTTTTTCTTCGCATTACCTTACTTACCTGGCCTAGCACTAGCCTACCTTACTCTGATTTACATTACCGTACTCGACTTTAACTTATCTTACCTTGCCTTACTCTACCTTATCCTTGCTCCTTGGATAACGTTTCTTTGACGTTATTATCTCTTTTTCTATCATAACCTACCTGCTCTACTACTAACTATACAGGATGGATTACAGTACCCTCCTCTAAGCAGTACAATAGTAAAAGTATTGTTTTAGGTATAGTTTTAATGACATTATGTTTGTTCTTGTCCTCATATATGGGTATATTTCAAGAAGATTTGTTCAAAACCTACGGTCGACATTCGGATGAAGTCATGTGGGGCATGGTAAGTTATGTTTTATACTGTTATAACAGAGTAAAAACTTTTTTTGTAGCGAAACCTGTACATAGCAGGTAGTTCAAGTAATTCTGTGCCCCCTAGCTTCGAAAAGTTTCATTAAGAAAGGAGCACAGAATTAATTGAACCACCTACTATCATAACGTAGAAGGATAATATTATAGTTTTTCGATGCAAAATAAGTTAAAACCGGCCAATTTCAGAATGCAATCACCCTGCCAATGTACATAATGTACCACGAAAGTATATCAAACGCATTCATGGACTACTGTAACTCGAACAGTCTTGCTGTACTTGGAATTAAGCTGCCGATTACTGAGTTATGGGCGGTTTTACTCGGGATTTTGGTGTTACAGTAAGATATTGATTTTATTTTGATAATTTTTATTTATTGTGTGTAACTACTAACTCGTATTTTACATTTTTTTCGAAATTTTAAAAATTTAAAAAATTTTAAATTTTAATAATTTTTGCAAATTGAAATTTTTTAAGAAAAAATGTGTCATGATGATAAAAATGTCATTTTAAACTTATTTTCTACACGTTTCTGACACTTCATAACTTTATGCTCCAATATTGTTATAGGTATACCTGCATCAAGAACGTGTACAAACTCAACTCCAAAATGAATTCTCTCAACTTGACAATGATTCTGACTCTTCGCAAGTTCTTGAATCTACTCTTATCAGTGTTAATATTTAAGAATCAATTCAATTACATCAATTTCATTGGCGCTACAATGGTTTTCATCGGAACATATTTGTTTTACAGTGAAAAACGGGCCAAAACCGAGTGAATTTGAGGATCTTTTCACAAATTTTCTTGTTTTTAAATGTGTATTGATGTCTTTGTTATGTTTTTATGTAAAAAATTTGTAGAATTTGGGTAAAAATGCAGTTTCAGGCCTTTAAAATGATGTTACCCATCATGGATAACATCAGGTTCTTTAATCAGGTGTAATTTAATTTCTGTGATATTATTTATTGTTGTTGATGTTTGAAATGAAAGTAAAGATTATAATAATTGTTATGTTTGAAAATGATACTATTTGATTGACTTTGACATTGGTTTTTCGCCAACTGAAGATATCTGAAATCAGCTCTATGATAATAATGATTTTTAGATTTTTGTTGAAAAATTTTGCTTTGTATGGTTATGAAGTAATTAAAAGTGCATTTTACAGCTCAATTGATATTATTGGACATACTTGTTTTGGATCCAGATCAACATATCAACTCGTGTGACATCAATTGGGTTTTAAAGATTTGATAAAGGTAGGCCGAGTTAATATTGGATGCTTTGTTATGAAAATGTGAGCGAATTTTAATGTATATGGTTTTAAATCAAAGACAAATATTTGCTTTTGGTTTTAAAACAGTATTTACGACCCCAAATTTGAGGTTGAATGAGTTATGATAAGGCTTGGACACAGGGCAGGGTGCCCTGTGCCCTGCCCTGTTACAGGGCCGGGCATAGGGCATGGTTTGAAATTTTTTTACAGGGCAGGGCAGGGCATAGCTTGGAACAGGGCAGGGCATGCCCTATGCCCTGCATTACCCTGCAAATGCCCTGTTTGTGCCATGGTAAGTTTTGGCGGACGCCTCCGCCGAGCGGTCGATAATCGGCGGACGCCATAACTTGGTTAGTTTAGCAGCTAGAAACATGTAGTTCAATTCAGAAGTTTTTATATGTCATACGCTACAAATAAAAGCATAATTTTAAGATTTTAAAAGTAGTATTGTTATCGACCGGTTGATAATTTTTAGTATATTATAACTGCAAATTTTATGTATATTCTTATCGCTCTGTTGTTCTAAATTGTATAGAAGTTGCATTAGATACAATTCTAAGCAAAAAAACTGTTTTTTGTAAGATTTAAAAATTTGTAAATTATCGACCGGTCGATAACAATATTGTTTTCAAAAACATAAATTTCTGGCTTAATGTGCAGGTTATGACAGATAACAACTTCTGCACTGAACTACATTTTTCTAGCTGCTAAACTAACCAAGTTATGGCGTCCGCCGACTATCGACCGCTCGGCGGAGACGTCCGCCAAAATTTACCCAAATGCCCTTTAAATACCCTGTAAATGCCCTGATGCCCTGCAGGGCAAGGGCAGGGCAGGGCATAAAACCCCAATGCCCTGTACAGGGCAGGGCACAGGGCAGGGCATGGAAATTTGCCAATGCCCTGCCCTGTGTCCAAGCCTGGTTATGATATAAAGTGCGAGCTATGGTCAGCGGAGTGACATGTATAATATAATTTTTATTGATTCTGATCGAACTTTTTTAAAAAGATATGTAAAATACGGGCTCTTCAGGGTTCGGTTGTTTAGTTGTGTCAAGAAAAACATAATTTAGTTTTCTAAAAGCTAGATTAAGTTTAAAATAAGATAAAGATCTTCTGATGCCATGGATAATATAATTTTTGAGGGTCTTGATAAGAAGGAAGGGAAATTAATGTAAAATACGTTCTAGGTCGTTTTTTTATATAGATTCTGTGTTAAAAAACTTAATTTATATTAGAAATGGGGTTAAATTAAGCTTAAAATAAGCGAAAGGCATAAGGGATGGATAAAGCCATGGATAATATAATTTTTTGTGATTTTTATAAAAAGCAAGGGAAAGTTATTGTAAAATACGGATTTGCTTGTCTTCTCAATTTCATTTATTAGCTATAAACATAATATGACTTTGAAAAAGCTTTAATTAAGCCCAAAACAAGGAAAATACATCAGGCACATCTAATATCATGGCACGTCAAGAAAAAACGATTTCGCTTTTGCGTCTTGAACAGATTTTTGGCGTTTCTCAAATAGCGGAAAAATATTTTTTCTTCAGCTTTTCTTTTTCGATAATGTCTTTATTAATGCAGTTCCAAGGTTTTTTAAGGATAAAGAAGATAAAAAATGCAACAGTTAAGCATCCTTATTAAATAAAAAGAAGGGAAAATAATTCAGAGGAAAATCCCGTCAAAAAAATTAATGAAAAATTTTTGCATGGATAATATAAAACTGATATGTCTTGATAACTCAAGTTCTGCTCCATAGAATCACACGTTCTTAGTATCAAATTATTCCTTATTGCCTCCTTAATCCAACTGTTGCTACCGCTATAGCTGCTCATGTGCTCGTTGCAAAGTTATGACGTATTTTAGAGTTTGGAAAAGCGTATTTTTAATATGAATACCAAATTTTTATTAAGCGCTCAAACTCAAAGAGATTTTTTAAATTAGAGAATTGAAGTGTTGCTTTTTAATCGTTATTAAACACTTTTGTGATATCTGACCTTTAACATGTCGAAAAAATATTGCAAAGTTAACATACTATTTGTTTCCTCTTGTTGCGGAATGCCAAGCGATTTTCTCTGGATAATTGTTTTTCTTTTATTTTTTCTTGACGTGCATGGATAATATAATTTTTCAAAAATTTTCTTGAAGGTGCTTTAAAAGTTCCGTAAAAGACGTGTTTTTGTCATAAGTAATTTGTGTTCCGTACCTAAAAACTATTGTTATAAGAAACTAGACATGATAAACGGTCCTGAATGTTAGGCCCGGCCCGAGTTTTTTTACGCGGAAACGGGCCGGGCCATGTCTATAAGAAACCTTTCTATCTTCTCTCGATAATCTACTCTTTATGCTTCTACATTTACCCTCTCTAATTTTGCTTCTACCTCGGCCACTACCTCTACCTCCATGTGAATAACCTAATTGGGTTGTTTTCAAAAATAAAATTTTTCAAAATCACAAAAAATCAAGATTTAAATTACAGATACCTAGAACAATATCTGGAAATCTAAAAACTGCTATTATTTTGAATCAAAAAACAAAGTTTCCCTTTTTGCCTCCGCTTTTGGGAAAAGGGCGAGCTGGCTTTTGTTTTTGAAACGTGGAAACGCGTAACTATATACAGGGCTTGTCACTAACGCAACGATCCGTTTTGTTACAATTTACCGTAGAATTTGGTGTGAAATTGAACGTTTTGTACTGTAGTATCTTTATTTTTTTTATTGTAGGAGACATATTAATTGTGATTATACGCCTTGAAAGGGATCAAAATGACCGTGAATAAGGTAAGGAAATAAGGCTTTTAAGGTTTTAAGGCATAAGTTTTAGGCCGTAAGCTTGAGGAAGAGGGGGGGGGGGGAGGAATTTTTTAGTGTCGTCATAAGCATTATCCCTACTTCTACCCCTACCTCTACCCCTACCCTTACTCCTATCTCTACTCCTACCCCTACCCTTACTCCTATCTCTACTCCTAGTCTTACCTTACCATTACTTTTATACAGTACCTTACCGTAACTTTACTGCTCTTATCATGTAGCCTACAGTACCTTACCGTAACTTTACAGTGAGTAAAGTTACGCTACTACTCTTTCTTCTACACCTCCCCTAGCCCTACCCTACCCTAAACTCGAGCCCTCTACCTTCTACCCATTACCCCTACTTCTACCTCGACCCCTATACCCCTGCCTCACTTCCCTACTTCCTACCCCTATAGCCTTATCCCTCTATTCCTGCCGTACCCCTCTGCATCTACTCCTCTACTCTTACTTTTACTCCTCTAACTACCCGTCTCTTCGACCACTCTACTCCTACCCTTTAGCCTCCCCACTTCAAAAATTTCAAATTTAAAATTATTAAACCAAGACTGCCTTTTTTCAATTTAAAAAAACTAAAATTTCACTATGGCCGCATAAATGATGATTACGATTGTGAATCATATTAAACTACTATTAATTGTATTGGACAATTAATAGCCTAAAGCATTCATTTTGCACATTTTTGACAGTTTTTGTTCTCTTTCTTTACAGTTTTTTTGGCTAAAAATGGGGAATTATGTAAGTTTTAAATCGTAAAACGGCTATGTCATAAAGGTTAGAGTAACAAAATTTTACATTTAGGTGATAGATTGGAACATGCTTTGTAAGTACATAGTAAACTCGGGCTATTTTTTAAAGTTTGTTAGCAATTTCTAACGTTTTTGGGCTAAAAAAGTTAACTTTAAGTGTGATTTTAGAGGATTTCCTATATTGTTTTAGCTTTTTCGGTCTTAAAACGGAAGTTAAACAAAGTTTCATTTGCTAAAATTTATCCCAAGTCTATCTTAATCTAAGATAAAAAGCTTATTTTGGTATGTAAAAAGCTTTTAGGCGCTAATCATAGCGAAAACTTGACCAAGGTCACTAAGATTATATTATCCATGATAAAATTGCTCGCCCAAGACAAAATAAAACATTAAACGTAACAGGTTAAGCCTTTTTAAATACCTAAAAGACTTGACAATAGAGTAATATAACATATACAGAACTTGGAGAACTGTCTGGAGCACGAAGGACAAGTTATGAGTACCACACAACAAGACTTGGACGAGTTCCGGGCCAGAAAAGTGGCTCTAATCACTGGGATCTCCGGCCAAGATGGATCATATCTAGCCGAATTACTGCTCAGTAAAGGCTACAAGGTTCACGGTATTATCAGAAGATCGTCCTCTTTTAATACGGCTAGAATCGAACATTTGTATTCGAATCCTGTCACTCATTCTGGTAAGACTTTATACGGTTTTTGAGGGTAGGGTTCGGAACTTGGGGTTGGTATAGGCTTGGTAACGGTGGAATAGAGATGATGGTAGGGGTGAGTAGAAGAGAGTATGAGGTTCAGATTTATTGTTATGAAAAAGTTTTTCGAAAAAGAAATTGGGTTAAAAATCGACAGGGGGGACCAAGCTAAAAATTTTGGAAAATTTGAGGTAACTGTCGTAACTTTTGTTATACTTTGAGATTTTTAAAACCATTTTATCTAGTTGTTAAGTAGGGGTTATGACACGGTTTTATTATATAGATTTTTTGAATTTTCAAAAAACATTCTTTTAGCGAAAAAATGATCAACAGGGGGGACCAAGCTGAAAAGTTTCAAAAATTTTTAAAACTGTCGTAACTTTTTTATACTTTGAGCTTCGTAATAATATTTTAGCATGGTGTTAAGTAAGTTTATGACATTGGTTTCACATATAAAATTTTTGATTATGCAAAAATATTTTTTTTGTTGAAAAAAGATCAACAGGGGGGGCCAAGCTGAAAATTTCTAAAAAATCTAAAAAAGCGTCATAACTTTGTTTATACTCTGAGATTTGTAAAAATGTTTTACATTTGTTCAACCCTTCTATGTTTCTTGTATTAAAATAAAAACTTTGCTACTTTTCAAACTTTTTCAATATTACCCGTGACAATTTTTCTTCCAGGCTCAGCCTCCTTCTCTCTTCATTATGGTGACATGACTGACTCATCATGTCTTATCAAGCTGATCACTCAAATTCAGCCAACCGAAGTGTACCATTTGGCAGCCCAAAGTCATGTCAAAGTGTCATTCGATTTGCCAGAATACACCGCTGAAGTCGACGCTGTAGGCACGTTGAGGTTGTTGGACGCGATTCACGCTTGTGGATTAACCAAAAAGGTTCGATTTTATCAAGCATCGACTTCCGAATTGTATGGAAAAGTGCAAGAGATTCCACAGAAGGAAACTACTCCGTTTTATCCACGTTCTCCCTATGGTAATTGTTTTATTTATAATAATATTGATTTAGGGATAGGTGAAAGTAGGAGAAAATTTTTTTTTGTGAAAGTTATGGACTTGTTAAGTTACAAAGCCGACTTGAGACGTTTCGGCGTCATTTTATTGATTAATCAGGTTTTCGTGGTGGGACTTAAAAGTGTAAATACTCTTTAACCCGTATTTTAAAATAATTTGCTTTTTGCTGTTTTAAAGGTTATTAAAAGCTTATTTACGATAGACATGAGCAACGGGCCGGGCCTGAGCAAAATCAAAAACGGGCCGGGCCTAAAAGTTAGGCCCGGGCCCGAAAAAAAATTTAAAAAATTTTTTAAAATTTTTAATTTCAATCCCCGTTTATCTTTTTCGATTTTATTGGGTTCTATGATCCATAAATGGTCTAAAAAAACAATTTAAAGCCAATTTTCCGTTTAGTTTTTAAGTTTTAAAATTTTTAAAATTTTTTAAAACGGGCCGGGCTTGAAAATTGGGCCCGGCCCGTTGCTCATGTCTAATTTACGATTTTTTTATTTTTTTGTTTGTTTTTGTGGTAGGACCAAAAAAATAAAAAAAATAATTAACCTTTTCAGCCGTCGCCAAGCTCTATTCATACTGGATCGTGATCAACTATCGAGAAGCATATGATATGTTTGCTGCCAATGGAATCCTCTTTAATCACGAAAGCCCAAGACGAGGAGAGACCTTCGTAACCCGAAAAATCACTCGAAGTGTGGCCAAAATCTCTCTAGGCCAACAAGAAATCTTGGAACTCGGCAACCTGAACTCATTGAGGGATTGGGGACACGCCAAAGAGTACGTCGATGCTATGTGGAGAATTCTGCAGCATGACAAGCCCGAAGACTTTGTTATAGCGACTGGAAAACAGTACACTGTCAAACAGTTTGTGGAGTATGCGTTCGCTGAGGTCGGCAAGGAAATAGTGTAAGTTTGGCTTGATTTGGGAGGTTTTACTATAGTATCATGGGCTTAAACTATGTAGGCGAATGTGGCAATTAAATTTAAAACGGTTAGAAAATGATTGGGATACTAGTTTAGGAGATATGAATGATGTTGGAGCTATTTGCTATGTCGTAGTAGGTGCAGTTAATGATTTTTTGATTATAACTTGGTTGTTTGTGAATGTAGTAGCTTGATATTGTACAGAATAGTATTAAAACGGATCGCAAATATAACACTGTAAAATTCTGGTATTGACTTTGTCTATTGAAATTGGTTTCAGATTTTTGATGTTGTAGTAAATATAGGTGATGATTTTTGCATCATAACTTTGTTGAAACTGATTACAATTGCTCTACATTTTATAGAGTAGTGTAAAAAGGCATGGGGAATCTAATTATGTTAGTATGAGATAAAAGTTTTTGGGGTTTAGTATGTTTTTATAGCGATTTTTGATATTGTAGTCGGTATTGATGGAGATTTTTTGGTCATAACTTTTTTGAATCTAATTATACTAGCTTTATATGTTTCAAAGTGGTGTAAAAAATCTTGGGGAACTTAGGTTTATTGGTTTGAGTTAGCAGCTTTTAGGTTTTAATATGATTTTATAGCAATTTTTGATATTGTAGTAGGTCTTGATGGGGGTTTTTGGGCATAACTTTGTTAGATGTGTTGCTAACAGCCTGAGATTGCACAGAATGTTCTAAAAATGAGTTATAAAAATACTTTTGTACTATATTGTATATTTTTAAACTTCAATTATTGTGGATATTGTAGTAGATACTGAACATAAACAAATATATTTTTAGATGGGAAGGCGAAGGAGTTGAGGAGATCGGCAAAGAAAAAGACACTGACATAGTGAGAGTGAAGGTGAACCCTAAATATTATCGACCGACCGAAGTAGAAAACCTGATTGGTGATGCGTCGAAGGCGGCCAAGATTCTGGGTTGGGAGCCGAAGATCACGGTGGATGAGTTGGTCAAAGAGATGGTTAGAGAGGATGTGGCTTTGATGAAGGCCAATCCAATGGCTTAGAGGGGGTTTTTTGGTGTTTTATTGGGGTTTTGAGATTTGTGAGCCTGAGGGGAATTAACCAAAAGTTGTTCAAAAAATTCTGAGCCAAACCCTAAGATTTGCTTTGAACGATGGCTCAGATATATTTGAACAACTTAATATTTATGAGTTTTGTGGTCTTAATGAGTAGTTTATTTCTTAAAAATTAGTTTTTTATACCTTTAATTCTGTCCGACAAAGAATATTGGGTTTAAAAAAGTTTTGTCGTTTTTCAACGTGCAAACCCACGTATGTTGACGCCAAGACTTTTTAAATATCTTTTAAAAGTCTTGTCGTTATTATAACATATGTAGTCACAACTGACATTAATATGCAATTGTAGCTTAGCTTAGCTTTATTTATTTATTATGGTAACTTAATCGATAGTGTAGTTGAAAATATTAACCTTGCCAGAATAAACAATATTTAACAAGTTTTAATGATTTTTCAGGGCTTGAGAAAGTTAGTTAGTTGGCATGGCGTTTTTTAATACTTTTTAAAAGTAATTTTACAAGAATAATACAGTAGTAATTGAAAAAAAAATAGTCATCAAAATTTAAAAAAAATTTAAAATTTAAAGCACTAGTGGACAAGAAGCGTATTTTACGTTTTCTTCACCCTCCCTCGAACACAAAGCCCTCGTTTTGTGTTGCATTTACTGTTGGGGTAACGATCACAGTCGGAGTTGGCTTTACATGGCTCTCCCTTTTGGTATATTGGCTTGTGGAATATGTTACCCCTGAAAATAGGAATGTCATATGAGCATGTGGCTATTCTACCCCTACTTACCCCCTACCCCCTGACTCCCTACCCCCTAACTCCCTACCCCCTGACTCCCTACCCCCCTGACTCCCTACCCCCTACCTTATCCCTACTTTCACCCCTTAACTTTTTTTTTAACTTCCCTGTCTGGCTTTACCCCTACCTCTCCCCTAGCCTTGCCTCTATTCACACCTCTACCCCTACCTTACTTTTAACTGCCCAGCCCGCCTTTACCCTGCCCTTTACCTGCCCCTACTGTACCTTGTACCCTGCTGTAAGGCGTGGCTCTTAACATATTATATTTATATCCCTATCGCTACTCCTCTCCTATCTTAAGATAAATAATCCCACTCACTGCCCTAACAGACCCTCTAGGCCTAAAAATCTCTACTTATAGTCTTATAAGCTATAACATAAAGTCAAAAAACCTACGCCGGTGAATAATTGCAGACCAAAAACGCAAATTTGGGACAAAACTTGACGGCACAACCCACCGAGGTTGTGTCGCCCCAGGCCATTTGGGTGAAATGCCCCACGCCTCGGCCAAAATCTTTTGGTGTAAATTGTAACGTTGGGTCCACACCGAAATGTGGCAGCTCTTTCCACCAAAACTCGGTCGCATTATCGACCAGAATTGCTAAAAAAATAAAGGATAAATTGAGGGTGGATGCGAAAAGAATGGCGTTTTTTTTATTTTGAAACTTTTTTAGTTAAAGGCAAAAATTTTCTTAGATTTAGGGGGGGGGTGGGTGTTTAAAAAGGATGACATTTTAAATTTTTTTTTGATTTTTGGGTTTGATGCAAAAAGAATGGCGTAAAAAACTTACATGGATCGATATGTTGTGTCCAGGTATACATGGCCTCGCCGGTATATTGTCGTTTTTCTGGGGGTGAATGCTCAAATTTACAATTTGATACCCATCGGCTAGCGATTTTTTCTAGTCCAAGGTTGTACTTCTGAAAAAAAAATATTTTTTTGAGTAAAAGGTAAAGCTAGGGGATGGTAGGGTAGGTTAGAGTCGAGTTGGTTGGGATAGAGTAGGTCAGAGACGAGCAGCTTAGGGTGGGGTGGAGCAGGGCATGATAGTACAAGGCAGGGCACCGTAGAGCAAGGTAGGGTAGAGTGTGGAATAAGGTGTGGAAAATAGCACTAAATTGATAATACCTTTACTTACAAACTCGTACATGTTCTTAGCCGGCGGTAACGTATCACCATTTTTGTTTTGTACTATGCCGTGAGCCAGATCTCGCCGATATCGATTATGGTTTTTTAAAACAGCTTGTCGTCGCATTTCCATGGTGTCACCATGGATCATGATTAAAGTTTGTAGGAAAATTAGGGAAGTTAATGTGGCTTTTCGCTGTATTACAGCCATCGTGCTGTAAAAAGTGTGAGGTACTGTAGAAAATTTTATGTTTAGTAGCACGGCACGTACTCTGATCGGTTTTACGTCATAAACAGTTCTACTCTACCCTTGTACTCTACCTTACCTCACCCTACCCTATCTTATCCCATCCTATTCTACTCTACCCTATCTTTGCCTACTCTACCTTACCCTTCTGTACCCTGCCTTACCCTGCCCTACCCTACCTTACCTTACCTTACCTAACCTTATCTTACCCTACCCTACCTTGTCCTACCCTACCCTACTCTACCCTACTTAACCCTACCCTACCCTATTCTGCCCTACTATACCTTACCATTCCCTGCTTTATCCTAGCTTACCTTAACTCTACTTTTCCCCTACCTTACCTTATCCTACTTCACTTTACGTTGCCTTACCTTACTCTACCCTGCTTTGCCTAGAGAGTAGACAGTATAAACAGTGTTCAAAGCTATTACAATACATTTGATTTTCAAAAGTTACAGTATAATACAGTATACTCTTCCAAAGTACAACGTAAACCTAAACCAAATACGGTAAATCACATGACCCACAATGTAAAACCCAAACAATAAAACGACCTCCAAAAGTACAAAACAACTCTTAATTTCGAATCGAAAATATTATTTTTGTGATCAAAGTTTTTTCAGGAAGAAACAGGTTCAAATAAAAAATGAACAGACTATATATTGTAATATGTTATTCATGACGTCTTCGTCGAGAGTCTTTTTTAAGAACCCAAAACCTTGAGAGGAAGCATCCATCATCGAGCTGTTGCAAGTGTTTGTTTACCTTGAGAAAACTAGAGCAAAAAGATTATAATATAATAATGAAGTGGTTTCGAATTTTTCTTGCTACGGTAATTGAGGAGGTTGTTCCACAAGTCGTGAACCTATGCCCCGCTAACAAACCTGCTAAAATCTTTGGAGCTTAAAAAATGTTGTTACCGAAATCAACTTAAAGTTAATGAAGGCAACCTATCCAAAATGTTTATGAGGTAAGAAGTTACAACTAACAGGGAAAGTACCCTACCTGCCCCGCTCAGAAACAGCTCAAGTTTTTTATATGAATTCCTTGTACCTTCAATAGTACCCATAAAAAATTCTAGCTCGCGCTTTTGAGTTTTAAATTTGAATTATTTTGGTTTTCCGAAAATTTGGCAAGTTTGGCATTGTGTTTCAAGCACTTTTTTGCATTTCCAGGCAAGCTGCGCTTACAAATTTGACAATTTAGGTTCGTTTAAAGGTATTCTACCAGCATATCAAAGAAAAATTAATAAAAGTCAAAAAAATGAAAGTTAAAAGCTTGAAGCACTATGCCAATTTGACGGGAAATTCAAAACGCGATTTTTTGACTTTTATTTTCTTGAGATTTCCTGCAAAGCGCAATTCAGCACTTTGCGGAAGACCTTACATTTACTTGATCGTTCTATAGAAAAAGTTTGAAGTCAGTCAGAGTGGGGCAGGTCGGGTATTTCCCTTGTCAATTAATATTCTCCATAAGGCAATATATATTTAATAATTTAAAATAAGATTTTTAGACATAGTATTTGCAGGTTCACAATATTTGTGTACTATTTACAACATTTATACTTTGGTTTGTACCATTTTCCAATTGAAATTACAAAATTCATCCGGTGCTCTGGAAAGGACGGAGCTTGTTATTTTAAGGTTTTTTTCCACAATTTGTAAATTAGGCGTCCTGCAATTAAAAAATAAATAAATATAGTGTATAGGCTTTATTTACAGGCCGGATTAAAAGAAAGTTGGCCTTAATTTAGTCATCGTTGGAGACTAGGAGCCATTTTTTGAATACTGGACATGACCTAAGGCCCAATAATAATGATCGGAGCCGGCCGGGAGGCATTGATATAATTTTGTATACTATCATGACTCTGACGATGGTATTCAAAATTAATAAAGAAGTTTAAAAAACCTATTTTTTTAAATTGGTTGCAAAAAATTACCTTGGATCAACATAAAGTAGATTAGATACTCGGTAGGCTGCATTGAATGTTCTCCATTTACGTGCAACAGATCCCGGCTGCCTATTGGTGCTCTTATTTCTCTTATTCTGAAGGGATATTTGCTGTCGTACCAGCCCTGTCTTGGATTATTTTTGTAGCCAATAATTTCGATTATTGCCTTTGGGTAAAACCTCCATTTTTTTTCTGTGTCGTCGTAGTAAATGACCTGCAAGCAGAATGCGTTAAAAGGGCTTGGGTAAGGTTTAAAAGGATTGGGTAAAGATAAAAAGGAAAGGGGTAGGCTTGTGTAGAGCTGAAATGAGCAATGGTAGACTTAAGTAGGGTTGAAATGTTTATAGTTAGGCTGTGGTAGGGCTAAAAAGGACTGGAGTAGGCTCGGGTAGAGCTAAAATGGGTTGTTTGTGTTTGAATTGAGGGGGAAGGGGGTGACCTATTCGTACGGACATAACTTTACTAAAACTTGACAAGAAATAATAAAAAAAGAATTTAAACAAACTTGCGAATCTTTTTTAATGACAACGTAATCACTTAGTACGAGTACCGGCTGAGGCAAAAACAAGGATTGCCCTGTGTTGTAATTAAAAAGGTTTATCATCCTTTTTTTTATCTGAAATATCATAATAAGGTGTTGAAACATAAATTTATAAACTTTATACGCTTTGTTTAAAAATTGCTTATTACGTAAATAGAATGGTGTTTGCACTTACTATTGCACAGAATCAACGAGTTTGTTTTGCTCAGATAACATTTACTCTTTTCATATAACCTGTTACACTCTTTGATCATTGTATACATAGTTAAAGGTATACTATACAAAATTGCACCAGATCCATTCATTATTTTAACGTAACGTTCTTCTTCGCATTCCACTTCAAAAGCCAGTGTTCGATTGGCGTTCTTGTCGTAGTGGCATTCAAAGCGAACGGCTTCACCTTGAGGATCGAAATTGTGCACTAGGTCAGTAACACAGTCGTATAATCGACGTGAATCTGTGTCAAAAAGTGCGCCGTTGCTGTGTATCCAAGTCTCGCTGAAGACACGAATCAAACCCAGTTCCATACGTTGCTCTGTCATTTGATAGTTAACGAGAGTGTCTGTTTCCGGTTGATATATCAGAAAGTGAAGACGATCGTTGGCATACAAAAGGGTGTACGAAGAGTCTTGGGTGTTGTTCATATCGAAAAGGGAAAAAAATGTAACAGGTCGGTTGTCTCGTTGAATTTTAAACTGAGCTACAATTGAATCGTGGAACATGTAGTACCGAAGATTGTTTTTACATGGTATCCGGAAGCTAACAAGGAATTGGAAGTCATATAAATGTATGCTAAAATACGTTAAATAGTTATTCTTGACAGAAGAAGTAAAACTATCTATATATACAGAATAAAAATGAATAAAACATTTACAAGGAAAGTACCCAACCTACCCCACTCTGATTGACTGCCAACTTTTTATACAGAAAGATCAAGTAAATTTAAGGTCTTCGGCTATTTTTCGTCATATGTATGTACTATTGGTGATACAAGGAATTCATTTACAAAATTTCGCGCTGATTTTGAGCGGGGCAGGCAGGGTACTTTTCCTGTTCTTTGTAATTCGTTTTGGATAGGTTGCCTTCATTAACTTTAAGTTGATTTCGGTAACAACATTTTTTAAGCTCCAAAGATTTTAGCAGGTTTGTTAGCGTAGCATAGGTTTGCGACTTGTGGAGGGCCAACTTGAGGTTGTACAATGTGTCCAAATCGTCAACGTTACCGATTACATGGTTCCAAATCTAAAAGACACTAATATTTTTTTAGATCATTAACCGGTGTATATAACAGTATGACAAAATATAATTATACCAAACAAGTTCAGAATTCCTGAGCTATTCGTTATACAGAAGTTCTATTGTATATTAAAATTGGCTTTCCTATCTTAAAAAAATATTTCACAATTTAAACTTACTAAATAATCCATTTTGTACCATTTTGGAACTTTCATTACAAAATATAGAATTACAATAGAAATTAAACCTATAGCATTCAACCCAATTGCGATAGTTAGTGTATAATAAAATACGTTTTGGCTAAATATCGCTATTGGTAAAACTAATATTGGCGACAGTGCAAGTAGTAATAAGAGCAAGAAAGCACCGAGGTAAATATAGTCAGAGTTCAAGCTCGCCATCGCTATAATGAGTGGCAAAAATCAATGGAGAAAGAGGAACTGCTATGCGCATTGCCATTGCGTAAATCAATGCGTCCTTTAGTTAAGGTTTTTATAAAAAAAAAAGGTTGGTTTGGCGCATATTATGTTATATGACCGATGAAAAATCTTTTTCGAGTAAAGAATTTGACAGTGAATAATTTTTATAAAAGTTTTAAAAATATATCTTCATTTATGAAAAATTTTTACTTTTTTTAAAATTGCTAATCAGATTTCTTAACAAACAATTGTTTTAAGTAGTTTTTAGAATTTTTTAAAACAAAGTCTATTTTGTGTGAGTTTTTATTTGCATAATAATTAGACAAGGAGATTGATATCCGTCGCCCGAAATAGTGCGTTGAAGTGAGGAAGGGGAAGGGAATCACGGTGTCCGAATCGTTCTTGCCTTTAGGTTACGGTAGCGCAGTCGGGCTAAAAAGTTTTAGGATGTATATGCTTAAGTGGTTTTGTTAGGGCTAGGGTTAGTTCAGATTTAACTATCATAGCTTTTTCGTTTTTTACGTTTAGTTTTCCCGGAGAAAAAACTGTATTTTAAATTTTTGTGGTTTTAAGATTTTTTTTTCGATTTTTAAGTCAATTTTAAGCATTTTGAATAATGGTGTACAAGTGATTGTGCCGTGAATAGTTTCAAATAATTTATTGTGTAAATAAATATCAAAACAAAAGTGCAAAAAATAGTAAAAGTAATAGTGAGAGAAGTGTGTATGGCTTGAAATGTGTCAAGAGATAGTGTGAGAAGTCGAAAAGTGTTACCGTGCTGTGAGTGAGATAGTTGGAGAAGTAATCAGAAATTCTTTTAATAGTTAGAAAAAATTAAAGGACAGAAGTAGAAGTCATTGTGAGGCTATCGTGATGTGAATGTAATATACGTGGTATGAAAGACAAAAAATTGTTAAGTTGTACTATTACTAAAAATTAGAAAAAAGTTGTAGATTTATGTGAAAGTGCAACATAAGTTAGTTTTTGTTTGATTAAGTATAAACTACTAATACTATAATTAAATATAGGTTAAAGTTCTATGGTAATTTGGCTATGTATAAAATTACTTACCAATATAACTTTGCCTAAGCGCCGTTACGACCGTTTAAAGACCAGAAAAATAGGGAAAACGAGATTGAAATAAGTTAAGTATGCGTTCAGCACCAATGTCTAGCACTAAGCACGCCTAGCTAAAAATTTCATCATGTGTAAAATAAGCCGAAAGCCATTGTACACGAAGAACAAAATTTTTAGGCTATAACAAGGTTATCTTTGCTAGTACAAAACTTCTGGCAGAAGCCCGATTAGTTATGCACCGCCTAGAACAACATGTTGTCTAGCATTTGCATTGCTTGTTGTTTTGTCCAGTTGGGCATCCGGGTTGGTTCTTTTGGGCAGCAATGGCTCTCTTGAACTTTCTATATGAGTGCGAGCCGGTGGCTGGGGCTCCTTTGTGTTGCTGTTGTTGTTGGACCATGGCGAGGCAGGCCTTCTCTTCGGCTGGTGTGCATTGACGGCACTGTCGGTTGGCTGGGCCGGCTTGGCAGCCTCCGGCGGCTGGCGAGTTTTTGCAGTCTTCGCATTTGCAGTCTCCGCATGAGCGGGCGGCGCGGGATCCCACGGCTTCGGCGCGTGGCACCGACGAAGCGTTACCCAAAGCACCACGAGCAGCAGCGGCGGCCAATGAACGGCGACGACGTCCACCGCCTGCAAAATTGAGTTGTTTAAAATAAAAAAATTAAAAAAAAAACGATTGCTATATATATGTTGCTAATAATCATATTGAGTAGGTTATTTGAAGAAAGTAGTCCTATAGCAAGAAAGAAATCCTTACAACAACAGCAAGGTTTGCAACAACAACAGCAGCATGGCTTGCAACAACAGCAACAGCAAGGTTTGCAACAACAGCAGCAGCAAGGGCCTGAAATGGTCGATTAAATATTGATGTAGACAAACTTGAGGGATAAGTTTTAAGGGAAAGCCTAAGTTGTGCTATAATTTCTTAAGAAAACATTTGAAGCTTTTGACTGTGTTAATAGTATGTTTACATTAATGATAAATTTAAATAATTAAAAAAGGCTTCAAAAATTATAAAATTTAACTACATCACCTATAAGTGTCTTACTGTAAGTCATACAGCAGAGCACACGCTACTCAATCCTACGATATACATTTTCTGGGAGGATAAGGTAAGGGGAACGGTCTTACGCGTCACCGATCGACTTACAGCAGCAGCACTTACAGCAACAGCACTTACAGCAACAGCAACAGCAAGGCTTGCAGCAACAACAACAACACGGGCAACAACAACACGATGCCTCGACTGGCTCGAATTTTGTGGCGGCCAGGAGAATGAAGACGGCGGCGATCCAGGCGAGAGTCATTTTCTGTGTCGTCTGGGTGCTTCTTGACTTACAAAAAAAGTGCTAGTGGTGCCGGAACACAGTGAAAAAGTGCAACAAGTTACCTGAAATGTGGTTTTTAGTACTTTTTGGTTGACAAGATTATGATTGAAAAAAAAATGTTTAAACTTACAAAAAGGTGTGGTGCAGCCCAGTGAGTGCAGCTATCTACTAGTGCCCTCTACGTGTTCTGAAAGTTTTGAATTAGTTGTTATAACTTAAGTGGTAATATGACGCGATGAAGGCACGGTAAGAAATTTTTGCATACACATCTGGCTCTTAATTAGGTTACGTTGTAGTAGCGTTAGTAGAATTCAGTAGCGTTTAACTTGATATACCTAAGCCAATGCAGGGTAAGCAAATAAAAGTTACTTTCATGATAACAATCAGTACACTAAATGAGTGCCATTATTATTGTAACCTAATGTACTATTGTAGAAAGAATACGTTGCAGTAAATCTCTAACACATTTAGATGAACGATGAGTAGAGTATAGTAGACAGTCCACCACTTCCGTATGAAACAAAATGAAATGATTCGGAGAGAACGGTCTCGTTTCCGATCCCAAAAAAGGGAAAAACATACACAACGGTGCGCAACAAAAAACGACTACAATTCTGCGGGGACGGGGAGATGGGAAAGGAGCGGGGATGGTCTACATTGTCGAATGGAAAAAGGAGATGGTCTACATTGTCGCAAAGAGAAAAGGAGATGGTGTACTGTGAATGTGATGACAAGTTGGACATTGCCATTGGCCCTGGATTTGGAATTCAAACATAATACTTTATATGAAAATTTATCGATGGACAAAAACGGAATATTTTTTAGTACCGAAAGGTTAAAGGCTCGGATCGGCTACAATACCGAAAAATTAATCGGCTACAAAATTCTGCAAAAGAAAATGCGTACAATATTGTACACAAGTAAGTTTCAAAAAAGTTTCCATTGGTACGACGCCGCCGCACAAACTCCGACTCGGTACGGAGATGCGCAAAAATCGGCGGATCCCGATTCGGGGACAACGAATCCCGAATACAACGAATCTCGAAGACCGTGGAGAGAGAGAAAGACGGTGCAGAACTACATTCCCGATTGGAGTCGGGCCACCGCTTTATACGGTGTAGGTTTTTTTCGTTGCCCACAGACTCCGCCTGACCGTTCGACCAGCACTGAATTGTCGTCTCCGCCACCGTTTAACCGAGCGTAGACTCAATGCGCGCGCGAAGAGACCGGTCAGACGGTCGTCAACTTTCTCATTCCTATTCGGTTCATACAAAAAAAAAGTTTTTTTTGAAATCGCGCATTATGAAACACAAAAAAACGTAGGTCCAACAATTCCACATTCGACAAACATACTACATTGTCGCAGACAATGTAGCGTGACAATGAAAGGGCAGCGTCATCAGTCCGCGGCTAACATCAGCAAACATCTACACCCACACATGTACACTGTTTGAACAAAGTTGAATGGGTTTCTACATATTTATACATGTTGCAGTGTTATTTGTGGCACTTGCAATGTCTTTTTAAATTAGCATATCGTGATTTATACAGAATTGAAAACACATTGGCACAGACAATAAGAATAATGACAGGCTTCTGATCCTTTCGGAAAATGGGCTGCAGTAACAGCAAAAGTATATAAGTGGAACAAGTTTTACATAAAAAAATAAAAAAAGTTAACAAATTTTTAAAATCTTATAGTTTCTTTTTCGATAATGCAATTCTTTGGTAGTGCTTTTGGCCTTTGTCTTGTTTGATTTCTTGTCGTATAGTAATTATGTAAGCAAACTTTTGATATTCGCAACATTATTTCAGGCTAGGCCTTCATTTTAATTCGGGTTTACATTGATCAGCTTTTTTTTGGCTGAAGCCGTTCTCCGTGCCTGTTAATTCTTAGGTCATTTGTTCACTGACTTAGTAAAAGCATCTTTTTGTTTAGTTTTTTTTTGTATTTTGCTTTCATACTGTTTTTTCTGATCATGTTTTAAGCTGATTTTTAAAATACTTGATGGACAATAAATTGTTTTGCTTTACTTTGCTTTTGCCTTTATCGCAGAATTGGTAGACAAAAAACGATTTTTTTTGAAAACCGACTTAACTATGAAGAATGCTTTTTCATATCCAAGTTGACTAGGGATGACAAGAGGACCGTACCCTTTAAACACGGTACGGTTTTGAGCTTTGTAAAAACTGTACCTAGACTTGGAATAGTGCCCACTAGCGTCGGTCCGGCCTCTAGGCCTCGTTCCGGTTTCTCGGTCTTGCTCTGGCATTTCGACCTTGTCCCGGCCCCTCAGCCTTGTCTTGGTTTTTCGGCCTCGTTCCGCCTATTCGGCCTTGTTTCAGCCACTCGATATTAACCCGGCTCCTCGGCCTAGTCCCGGCCTCTCAGTCTCGTTCCGGCCCCTCTGTTTCGTCTCGACTCTTTGGCCCGGGCCGGCTGAAGTAGTGTTGAAAGGCGTTGGGCCGTCACATATATGTCTTAGGGCTGGTTTTACATGGTTAACTAACTGCACCAAACTTTCAAAATTACTAAAACCTCTGAAATCTGGGTCATGGCCCAATTTTGCGCGTCGTCCACAAACACGACGCGTCATCGTTCGAAGTTTGCTGAGAAATTTTAATGGAAAAATAAACGGAAGTGGACGCGGGCGATTCCACGCTGAATCCGCCTTCTGTTTAATTTGGGGAAGAGGGGCCTGGAGTGCTACAAATCAGTCCATCCGTGCAGCGGGTTCGGCGAATCACACGTAAACGGTAAGGTGCAGGTTTTGGCTGGAATTTTCAAATTTTAAAAAATTTAAAAAGGCTTATGTAAATCTTGGTTAGGCTTAGGCCTATAGGTTTTGTTTAGGCTTTCTTTGGTTAAGTACTAGGCTTAAAGTGGTACCACTAGTACTGAAAATTACGGAGTAGCTTTATAATACCAAGGGCAGGATAGAGCAAGATAGGATAAAGTAGGGCAGGATATTATAGGGTACGGTAGGATATGATAGAGTAGAGCGGGGTATGGCATGGTAAAGTAGAGTAGGCTACTAAAAATAGTACCAAACTTAAAAAACTTTTTTTCAGGAAATGAATCGAATTACAGTAACCACAATTCTTATCGCATTACTGTACCAAGTGAGCTACACTGAAGCCGGTTGCGGCTGTTGCGGATGTTGCTGTCCATGCCCATGTTGTTGTACAAAGCCAATTGTCATCAAACTACCCCCACCGCCAACTAAAATTGTACCGTGTTGCGGATGTTGCTGTTGCAAGCCATGTTGTTGCTGTGAGTTAAAATTTTTTAAAATAAAAAAAATTTTTTTGAAAATTTTAAAATTTTAAAACTTGAAAGTTTTGTAATAAGGAACACTTTCGACCACCCAAAACGACCTCTTGAAACCTGATATAACAATTTTTTTGAAACGATTGTTTTGTTTGCATTTTCGACCACTTGACACTTTATTTTAACTATCAGCTGATCTCCTTCTGTCTACTACAATATCAAGATCATTTTTAATGAAAAACTTAAAAGTGCTTTTTATTTCTAATTAAAAAGTACCAAAAATGTCATTTCTGATTCAAAATTTAATAAAACTTCTTTTTTTTTTTAAAATGACTGCACCGTGCAAACTTTTTAATTTTATTGAACTGTGCAGAGTGTTTTTGAACTTTTGGTCAAAACTAAAGGTTTTTTACTAAAATAACTTTTAATTTTAATGAAAAATTTTTCGAAGGCTTTATTACTAATTTTATGACCAAAAAAATCTTTATTTTTCAAAATTATTCAAAAATTTACATTTAAGAAATCGATTGCACCGTGCAAACTTTTTATATCAGCTGCACTGTGCAAGATGTTTTTGGTTGTTTTGGCTAAACTAAAGCATTTTTTACAAAAAAACTTTACTATTGTAATAAAAAACTATATTTCAGCTCCATGTTGCTGCTGTCCATGTTGCGGCGGTCGCCGAAGACGTAGCACGATCGAAGGAAAGCTTGGTAAAACTTTGGTGCCAAAAGCCTGTGGCTGCTCTCGCGATTGTCGCTCAATCAAATGTAATGCCCAAAACTGTAACGAATGCAAAGTCAAGTGCAATTTGAATAAGAATGTCATCGGGAGACATCGTCGCAGTTTATTCACTGATTTGGTCGCTCCACATCAGAAGGAGGTGATTGTGAAGACAAAAACCGTGGTAAAGGAGATTATTGAGGTGTAAACGGTGTGATATTATTTGAAAGGATACGTCATTTGATGGTTTATAACCTTGTTTTATTAATATTTTTTACTGTATTTAATTTGCTAATAAATTGAATGAGTTATGGAGGTATAGGTGTGATGTAGGTATGTAAATTAGCTATAATAGGCCGGCCATTAGCATGTCATACCTATTTTCTGCATAAAGAAGCCTGATAATATAAACAAAGCAACAAGAAAAAAAATGTTTTAAAATTTCGTGAAACATTTTATACGATGAAACATGTTTTAGTCGGCTAAACATGTAGGTGTAGGCAGTGTTTTGCCGGACCGGTCCGGTCCGCGGACGGGTCCGGTCTGGTCCGGACCGGACGGACCGAAACAAAAATCTTTGCGGACCGGACCCAAAAACCTGCGGACCCGGACCGAAGAAAAAACTCCGGACCGGTCCGGAAGAAAAATTTTTTTTTATTTTAATAAAACTGATTTAAAAATTGCAATTAGAATGTGTTTTTAGGAGTTTTTAAGCAAAAAAAAGCCGTTTCAGCGCTCCTTGCTTTTTTTAAAAATAAAAAAAAATTTTTTTTTGCGGACCGGACCGGACCCAAAAAATGTTGGGTTTGGACCGGACCGGACCCAAAAATTTGAGGTTTGGACCGAAGCGGACTCGAAAATCGCCGGACCGGACCGGTGAAAAACGCTCCGGACCGGTCCGGGCAAAACACTGGGTGTAGGTCTTAATAAACTAGCTATAACAGGAATGCGCTTAGCCTTATAATCTTGATTGTTTGCATAAAGAAGCCTTTTAGTATATTCAAAATAATAAGAAAAGCCATTTTTTAAATTTTATGAAAAGTGACATGTTATACGATGAAACATGTTTTGGTTGAAGGGTGTAGGTATAGGCCTTAGTAAACTAGCTGCTGTTATTGGCTTAATTTTTCTAATTTTTTGAATAAAGAAGCTCCATACTATTAGCAAAATATTACAAAAAAAATTTTTTTGATTTATTAAGAATTGACATGTTATACGATGAAAAATGCTTCATTTTCTTACTATAACAAAAAAATGTGTTATATCATGTTATCTCATGTTATTATATGTATGTACGGAACACGCTGAAGATTATAAGCTGATTTGTTTTTTTTTTATTTTGTTGGTCCACTTTCAACGCAAACAGTTTCATTTTTGTAGTTTTTTTTCTTAACCTACGCTTGACCAAACAAATGTTTTATTGGAAAATGTTTTTTTAAATTTAAATCGTTAAGATAAAGCTTTGTTCCATTTTTTGAAAAATCTAGCTTTTTACGGCAATTTTACGTATTTTGGCCAAATTTTAAAATATTTAGTTATTTGGAAAGAAAGTTATTGCGTTTTCAATAAAAATTGAGTTTTGATGTCTAAAACAATATAATTTATACCGTAGTAATAGAAGAAACGCCAAAAAGGTGAAAAAATGATTGATAGTAGTACTGTCACAGTACTAAGATTAAGCCGCTACTAACGATTGTAGCTACAAATATAGGTACATATAGGTATAGCATCACAAACCTTAACTACCAAGAGTTTTGCCTGATGGGATCAGTCTATTCTATCAATGTGTGCTGCTGGGTGACACTCAGCTAGGGGGTGGTGTTTAAAAATTTTTGTAATGAAGGGTGGTTTTGATAATTAATGTAATAAAGTTAGGGGTGGTATTGAAAAGTTGCTATGAGTCATGGCTCATTACTTTTTGAACAAACTATTAGTTTAAGAGCGTGTATTAGATGCCGACATAAAGAACCCGCCATTTTTTACAGGAAATTACAGGCAAAGTATGGCGAGTTCTTTATGTCGGCACCTAACACCAAGTTGAACCAAAAGTAGCTGGACACTTTTTATTTAATTTTCAACTGAAAAGTGTCTCGCTACTTTTGGTTCAACCTATATTCTTACAAGGTGCGCCAAAAGTTCTGTTACAAAACTATACCAATCGTTTTCTCAGTAGTTAAAAACTACTCAGTAACTACCATGATATCAAACCTACTCAGTAACTACCATACCATCAAAACTACTCAGTAACTACGATAGTATCAGAACTACTCAGTAACTACCATGCTATCAAAACTAGTAAAATACCCCACTGTACTTCTTTTTCAATCTCCAGGCTTCAGGCTTCACCTCGGTCGTTCTGCGGCCATTTTTTATGCATAAGTTTATTGTACTCGTTCGAAAAGCGGACAATGGACTGTTTTGACCCGCCCCGAGGCAGTGTTTTGATTGCGATATTAAGTGTCTTCTCAAAAGTAATCAGATCACTCGGGTAAAGTTAAGTTGGGGTGCTATTGTCTTCTGGTTTAGTGGTCACTTCTCGGTGGGAAGGGTAAAAAATGTGATGGTCATTTTGTAGGAGGCAGGGGAAATTTAATGGTTATTTTTTAAAGGGTGGGGTAAAAAAATTGGTGATTTTTTGGGGGTAGGGTAAAAAATTTTGTGATTTTTTTAGAGGGTGGGGTAAATTTAGTGGTCATTTTTGAAAGGGCAGGGTAAAAAATTTGGTGATTTTTTGGGGGTAGGGTAAAAGATTTTGTAAGTTTTTGGAGAGTGGGGTAAAAAATTTTGTAATTTTTTCGGGGGTAGGGTAAAAAATTTTGTAAGTTTTTGGAGAGTGGGGTAAAAAATTTCGTGGTAAAATTTTTGTTATTTTTGACAGGCGGGGTAAATTTTATATCATTTTCTTGATAGCAGGCCAAATAGATTTAAACCTAAGGGGCGCTTATTAGGTCCAGGCCGGGCAAACGCAAGTTTCAAATAGGCCTGTCCCGGTCGAAAACGTGGACTCAGTCTGACCCATTTGCAGGTTCAGCTAGTATGATTCACAAATCTTAACATTGTCATAGCTACGTAACGTTTCACGTCCAGCTTCAACAAATCGCGGCCATAAAAACGCTGGGCCAGCGTAGGCGTGGCCCGGAACTAGCCGCTAAGTGGTTCAAGTGTGTCCGGTTTGAAACTGTTTTTTGTCCACTTTTACTTCGATTTAAGTCCGCCGCCGATCCCTATCATAACACACTTCTCGCTTCTCTTTTGTCAACGTTTCGTAGTAGCACGTGGTTGATCGTATGGTAGTTACTGAGTAGTTTTGATATTGTGTTGGTTACTGAGTAGTTTTGACTTTACTGAGTAGTTTTTAGCTAATATTAATTAGGCTTTGGCATGGTCTTAGTACTGTTTGGTAGTTTTAAACGTTTTTTGGCAGAATTTTTATTTCTTTGGTATAGATTATATTGTTTTAGCCATCAAAACTCACTTTTTTTAATAAAAACGCAATAACTTTCTTTCCAAACAATCAAAAAATTTAAAATTTGGTAAAGGTATGTAAAATGGCAGTAAAAATCAATTTGTCAAACCACGTTATTAATTTTTACTTTGAATTTGGCAGATACAGAAACTTGATTTGGGTCCCACCACGATTGATTGGCTTAATAAAATTTTGGTAAAGTACGCGGACAATCGCTCATTTTGTTAAAAGTGTGTTGCTTTAAAAGATTTTAAAAAAATTGTTTTGCTACTTCATACCTGAAATTTAATTTATATTGTTTTAGACATCAAAACTCTTTTTTTTTATTAAAGACGAAATAACTTTCTTTGCAAACAATCAAAACTTTTAAAATTTGGCAAAAGTATGTGAAATAGCAGTATAAATTAATTTGTCAAACCACTTTATTAATTTTGAATTTTAATTTGACCGACACAGTAACATGGTTTGGGTCCCACCACGATTGATTGGCTTAATAAAACTTTTGGTAAAATACGTCCTTACCAACATTTTGATAAAATTTCATAGTTTTAAGAGGTTTTTTTAAAAATTATTTGCTATTTCATACCTGAAGTTTAAATTATATTGTTTTAGACATCAAAACTCAGTTTTTTCAAGAAAAAAAGCAATAACTTTCTTTCCAAACAACGAAAATTTTTAAAATTTGGCCAATTTATGCAAAATGGCATTATAAATCAATTTGTTAAACTACTTTTTTAATTTTTAGTTTTATTTTGTTTAAAATAAAAAGTTGGTTTAGGTCCCACCACGATTGATTGGCTATGTACAAATTTCAGTAAAATACGTGCTATAAAGTCATTTTAAGTAAAATTTCATTGTTTTTAAACTTTTTTTTTTAATTTTAATTTTATTTTTAAATAAAATTTCGGTTTATATTGTTTTAGACATCAATAAGGGTTTTTGATAAAAAAGTGCAATAACTTTGTTTACAAAATTTAAATGACTGCAAAATTTGCAAAGTTGTATGAAATGACAATAGAATTGTTATGTTTAGTTTAAGTTCTGCATTTTTTGGTTGAGTTTGATAAACATAAGATGTGAGTTTTGGTCCCACCACGATTGATTGCAAGGTTGAAAATTTGCTAAAAACCATTAAAAATGACTAATATATGATCATTTATAATTGTTAAAAATTTTTTTTTATATTTAAAAAATTTTATAAGTAGTTTTTTAAAAATTTAAAATTTTTTTGAAATTTTGAAATTTCTTTGTTTACAAGATCAGTAATAGCCTAAAAGCAGTCTCCAGCTCATCAAAACAAAACAAACCTCATTAAACAGTTACCGAGTTTGTTTTTGTTTGCGTTTGTAACAACTTGAGCGCGTCAAGTGGTGTAGCATCATCGTGCTCGGATTCTGTCGCTTCTACTTCTTTTTTTGCAGACGATGAAGAGCGTTTTCGTCGTGCTTCTGATGTGCGCCAGCCTGCTGCATTTAGCCGACGCACAGGGATGTTGTTGTTGTTGTCCACAACCCCAGCAACAGCAGCAACAAATGTGTTGTTGTCCGCAACCGCAACCAATGCAAATGCAATGTTGTCCACAGCCGCAACCAATGCAAGTGCAGTGTTGTCCGCAACCCCAACAACAACAGCAGCCAATGTGTTGTTGTCCACAACCGCAGCAACAGCAGCAACAACCCACTCAGGTGCAACTTATCATTTGTCCGCCGAAGCAAGAGCAACAACAGCAACAGTGTTGTTGTTGTCCGCAACCACAAATGCAGCAGCAATGTCCGTGTATGCAGATGCAACAGCCGCAGCAGATGTGTTGTTGTCCACAGCCTCAGCAACAGCAGCAACAGTGTTGTTGCACGCCGTTGGTTGCTATTGTACCAATGCCTACCACAACCACTACTCCTAAGCCTACAACGACTACGGCCGCGCCTCAACAGCAATGTAAGAGTTTTTAAAAATTTTATAGTGAACATGTTATACGATGAAACATGTTTGGGACATGTTATACGATGAAACATGTCCGGTGCGTCCCTAGACACTTTTAATCGTATAACTTGTCCCAACATTCCAAAATCGGAATTTTTCAAAAAATCTCCTAAACTAACACATTCCAGGCTGTCTAATCCCAATCGGTCAAGTAATGATCTCATGTTGCCAACAACAACAGCAACCGCAGCAACAGCAATGTTGTTGTTGTTGTCCGCAGATGGGTAAGAAGCGCCGCAGACGTTCGCTTGGCCTCTTCTATGGGCCAATGATCGAGAAACATCAGCCGAATTCATTCGCCGCACATATGACGGCTTGTGGAAGTTGTAGTTGCGATTGTCGCCAGCCGGCTGCCAGTTTGGCCGACATTCTCATGCCCAAAAAGTTCTTCGCCGTCTCGAAATGAGGTAAAATCAGGCTTGGACACAGGGCAGGGCATAGGGCATGGTTTGAAATTTTTTTACAGGGCAGGGCAGGGCATAGCTTGGAACAGGGCAGGGCATGCCCTATGCCCTGCATTACCCTGCAAATGCCCTGTTTGTGCCATGGTAAGTTTTGGCGGACGCCTCCGCCGAGCGGTCGATAATCGGCGGACGCCATAACTTGGTTAGTTTAGCAGCTAGAAACATGTAGTTCAATTCAGAAGTTTTTATATGTCATACGCTACAAATAAAAGCATAATTTTAAGATTTTAAAAGTAGTATTGTTATCGACCGGTTGATAATTTTTAGTATATTATAACTGCAAATTTTATGTATATTCTTATCGCTCTGTTGTTCTAAATTGTATAGAAGTTGCATTAGATACAATTCTAAGCAAAAAAACTGTTTTTTGTAAGATTTAAAAATTTGTAAATTATCGACCGGTCGATAACAATATTGTTTTCAAAAACATAAATTTCTGGCTTAATGTGCAGGTTATGACAGATAACAACTTCTGCACTGAACTACATTTTTCTAGCTGCTAAACTAACCAAGTTATGGCGTCCGCCGACTATCGACCGCTCGGCGGAGACGTCCGCCAAAATTTACCCAAATGCCCTTTAAATACCCTGTAAATGCCCTGATGCCCTGCAGGGCAAGGGCAGGGCAGGGCATAAAACCCCAATGCCCTGTACAGGGCGGGGCATTGCAGGGCACAGGGCAGGGCATGGAAATTTGCCAATGCTCTGTGTCCAAGCCTGGGTAAAATACGAAGCTAGCAGTCGAGTTCGATATATAAAAGTGAGCTTAAGGCATGGAAAAACTGTTTTAAAAATTTCGATTGGGCGGGGTAATTTTTATTTTTTGCGGGGGGGGGGCAGGAGAGGGGGGTGTTAGGCAAGTGAAAAAAATTTTTCTATAAATTTTTACATAGCAAGCAAAAAAGAGATAAAAAAATTTTTTTACACCCTTCCCTCCCCCCCCTTCCCAACAAGAATTACCCCGCCCAAATTTTTTTTTAATTCTAAAATTAAATTCAAATTTAAAAAATTTCAGGTTATCCTTCTGAAAATGGTGGTATTTTTCTCTCTACGCACGTTTCTCCCTACTCTACTTATTAATCTTGTTGTATCATACTGTTAAAGGACACAATACTTGTCTGTATAAAAAGGTACCAGTTTTTGTTAATAATTTTAGAAATAAATTCTGTTTATTTACTTTGGCAGTGCGTTATGTAAGAAAAAACTACTCTACTCTACCCTACCCTACCCTACCCTACCCTACCCTACCCTACCCTACCCTACCCTACCCTACCCTACCCTACCCTACCCTACCCTACCCTACCCTACCCTACCCTACCCTACCCTACCCTACCCTACTCTACTCTACCCTACCCTACCCTACCCTACCCTACCCTACCCTACTCTACTCTACCCTACCCTACCCTACTCTACTCTACCCTACCCTACCCTACTCTACTCTACCCTACCCTACCCTACCCTACCCTACCCTACCCCTACCCTACCCTACCCTACCCTACCTTACCCTACCCTACCCTACCCTACCCTACCCTACTCTACCCTACCCTACCCTACCCTACCCTACCCTACCCTACCCTACCCTACCCTACCTTACCATTCTCTATTCTGCCCTGCCCTATTTTATCCCACCTTACCCTACTCTACTATGCTTTATCCCACTTTAGCCTACTTTATCTTACCCCATCTTAAACTACCCTACTTTTAAAAAAATCTACCTTGCCTAAAAAATTTACCCTGCCCTTAAGAAACCCGACCTCTATTTTACTTTACGTATGCCATACTACCACACTTACAGTATGCCACACTATTCTCACCTACCTACAGTATGCCATATGTTACCCAATTTAGCTACAGTATGGCACACGCTTCCTACTCACCTACAGTATGCCATACTACCACACCTACAGTATGCCACACTACTGCACCTACAGTATGCCACACTTTTCTCACCTACCTACAGTATGCCATATGTTACCCTACCTAGCTACAGTATGCCATACGTTACCCAACCTAGCTACAGTATGCCATACTTTACTTTGCATACAATATGCTATACCTTACTTTACGCACAGTATGCTCTACTTCACTGTAGCCAGATCCTCACTCTAGCACTGCTCTGGACTACATTATAAACAGCAAAAACTTAGTTTACAGTAATATCATTTTCAAAAGAAAACATATTGGGTTGTTCATATAATTCTGTGCTCTTTAGCACTAAAAATTTGAGGTGTGGAAGGGCACAGAATTAATTGAACAACCTAATAAACACGAACAAGCAAAGTAAACTACTACTCTTCGATATCGTACCAACTATGTTACAGTAAGTTTATAGTGTAGTAAAATAGTAAAATACGACAAAGTAAAGCTAATTACCAAAGTAAAGTAAAATATTATTCAAAGCTCAAAAAAAGCTGCTAACAAGCTGAGTAGTCCTGACATCAAGCTCTTCGTCCTCTTTGAAGTTCAAGTAGTACCAAACGTCGAACAGCCCAATTGGTGCTGATAGGACACTAGTGACAAGAAAACTGGTTCCTCCATAATACTTTCCATCATAGGTAAACACACTCCCGACGTTACTGTAGAAGGCAATGGCACATGTGAATGATAAGATGCTTAGAACTAGCTGAAATTAAGACTTTTAGGCTAGACTAGGGCCTATATTAGGTATAGAAAGGCTAAGATTATGGTCTTATTAAGAATAAAAATAAAGTTTTGGGGGGGGGGTATACTGTAGGAAAAAATATTGTATATACGGTAGAGCGTACGGTAGAGTCAGATACGCCATAGCAGAAAAATGGTAAGGGTAGGGTAAAACACGGTGGGGTAGGGTAAGATAAGGTCTGTTACAGTAGAGTCGGTTACGGTTACGGTAATGTAAGGTATAATATAATGTGGTAGGGTAGCTTTTCGTTTACAATAAGTAGAGTAAGATCAAGTACGGTAGGATGGGATACGCTAGAGTACGGTATAGCATAGTATGACGGGGTATGATATGATATGATCGATTACAGTAAGATCGCTTAACATAGGATTGGTTACAGTAGAAGCGGTTACGATAAGGTATGGCATGAAATAGTAGGATAGAGTAAAGTCAAGTTCGATAGAAAAGAATACGGTAGAGTTGGTTACAGTAGGGTATATTATAATACAGTATGACATAATATGGTAAAACAGGTATGGTTGATTCTGGTAGGAGCGTTTAACGTAGGGTCGGTTACGGTAGGGTAGGTTAGGGTAGGGTCGGGTAAGGTAGAATAGGGTAGGGTAGGGTATTGTAAGGAGGCTATGATTTACCATAGTATACAAGAAGCCGCTCTTCATTCCGCCAATGAAGAATTTAAATTCATAAATTTTGGCGAATAGTACTGTCAACAGTACGAAGACCCATAAAGCCGCACCTTGGCTGTGCCAATATAACATTTGAGTGATAATAAAGAGAAATGAGAACACACTACAGTTTATGGCCATAACCTAAAATATTTTTAAAATAAAAGACATTTTATACGATGAAACATGTCCAGTTACAAAAATACATGTTTCATCGTATAATATGTCCCTTTCTTCGTATAACTTGTCACTTTCATCGTATAACATGTCCCAAACGTACCAATTTGAACTTCTGAGGCATAGATTTGTTCATATTGGGCAAGAACAGTCGATGCCAATAGAAAAACTTGAATTCATCCTTGTCCTCCATCAACGAAAAACAACAATATCCAGTCTCCAAGTACGACGCAGTAATTGTAGTGAATACATATGTTGCCAGTAAATGTAATCCAAGAAAAAAGATGGCCACATAGCACTTTAGGTATATCAAAGACCAGACTATTGCCGATGTGAAGGCGTAGAGCTGAAACTTACGGTATTATACAGTACTACCTGCCCTAATTTTGTCTATCCACCCTACAACAGTAAAAAAATTTACCATTCCCTAATTTTTTCCACTTTTTTACCCCGCCTTTATTTAAATTAACCTAATTTTTTTGAATAAGGGTTACATTACCTATCGTAGATAAGTTCGATATGGTCGTAATTCGGCCGTACATAAGTTTAGTTAATTGCAATTCGCCCGTACGTAAGTTTAGTTATGTTTCAATTCGCCCGTACATAAGTTTTAATAAGTTGCAATTCGGCCGTACACAAGTTAGATATAGCCAGATTCTCTACTCCACCCTCCATCATTCCTTACAGTATACCCTTCCACCCCCCCTCCCTTCCACACACAACTTACAGTAATCAATGGCAGATCTTCAAGTTGAATCAAAGTTTTCTTGACAAATACGACAAAAGCAGTGTAAAAACATGTTACTGTGGGTAAGATACCAATGAAGTTGTAGTGGTCCTTCCTCAGGAAAGGGTCTCTGTTCCATGACAAAAAGATCAACAAGGTCGTTATGAGCTGCACCACTGAGATCACTCTGATATAGACCTGTAATGTTAGATAGCATTAGTTGGTATACTGTATATAGAATGAGTTGGTATACTGTAGGTATAGTAAGGGGTAGAATACGGTAGAGTACGGTAGGGTATGTCAGTAGATGAGTAAGGGTAAAACTAGAGTTTTGAAGATAGGATAGAGTTTTGTAAAGATAGGGGGTAACATACCATAAGATTGACATCAAACAACTTAGTCTTGTAAGGACTGTCATACTGTGACACATCTTCACTACCAGTCAAATCGATCGCGTCGATTACGGTACCTTCGTTGGCCGACACAAATTGAAACACAATTTTCGACGAAGGCCGATCTTTCTGGTCCATTTTGACTAAAAATAGAAGGGCGGGTAAAAAAATTTTCAAAGGGGGAGGGGGAGAGACAAAAAATTTAATTTTTTAAAAATGTTAAAAATGCATTTTAAAGCAATTTTAAGGTATTTTAGAAACGGAAGTTGAGTGGAAGATTTTCAGTGCAAAATACATTACAAATCTTCCACTCAACTTCCACTTCCAAAAAGTGTCAAAAACCCATTTAAAATTCAAAAGTCGATAATAAACTATCCCAACGCCTTCTGCCACTCTTTTTCGATCAAAATTTGGCCGACTTCGATCGGAAAGCGGCCAAATCGGAGGCCTTTTGTATGAAAACAGATGTTGTTGTTACAAAAAGAGCAAAAACACATTGTTTTAATTCGTTTTTTCTTCGTTAAGTTATGTGAAAAGAAGATTTTTGTCATTTTCTTAAAAAATATGACATTTTTCATTAGAAATGAGGATTTATGACATTTTTCATTAGAAATTAGGATTTTATGACATTTTTCATTAGAAATAAGGATTTATGACGTTTTTCATTAAAACTTGTACATGTTTGCCATTTAAATCAAAAACAAGGACCCTAGTACCACATTATTTACGAATCAGTACCATACAGCAAGTATAACTTTTATTCTAACAAAATAGGTAACAACTAACTACAACAACTAACTAAAACAACAAAATAACGTTAATAAACTTGATTACAATGCCAATTCGAGCTCAAATGCCTTCCAGAAGGAACATTTCAATAGCGCTTTCGATGTGAGTTACTGGTGCCATCGTTGGTACTGGTACACTTTTGGATGCTGATTCTGGTACTAATTGCGAGTTTGATGCCGGTTTTGGTACTGGTGCCATTTTTGGTTTTTGGCCAGTTTTTTTCTTTAAATATGCTTGGTTAATCTCATCGTGAGCCGCCTTTCTGATCTTGTGTTGCGCGGAAATGGCACTCTTTCTCATCGGCCTTCCATTTACTCCAACATTGGGCACTTCCTCAACATCATTTGGCTTGGTTTTCTTGCTTGGCTTCTTGGCTCCATCGAAAAAGCCTGAAAATATTCAAAATTATGTTCTAAAAGGTAAGTAATCTTTAAAAAATTCGTCAAAACACAGATTTTATGCCATGGTTAATATAATTTTAATCATAAATTTATTACTTTAGCCAAATCGTACCAAAACTGACTTGTAAATAGTACCTAATGCATTTAGCCAACTTTTAAAAACAAAAAATGAGCTATAAATATACAGGAACCGTCATATTTTTAAAGATATTCACCATGACATCAAATTGGTGTCACGGCTAATATAAATTATCCATAACTTTAAAAATATGCCAAATTAAAACAAAACCTATGACGGAAATACTACCGAGCACTCTTACCTAACTCTTAAAAACAAAAATTTCCTATTATCCATCTGATTTTTAAAGATATTCACCATTACATCAAGTTGATTTCATGGTTAATATAAATTTAAGTATAACTCATCTTTCTGACATCTTCTTGGCCAAAACTAAACTTTATCTGCTAAACTAGTATCTTTTACACCTTTTACATGATAAACTGATAAGACAAAGATTTAAAATTGCGGCAAAACCATCAAATTTCTAAAACAACATCCAAAAACCAAGTGTAACATAACTTTTTCCTAAATAACAAAAAAAAATTAAAATTTCGTTTAATATTGCTCAAAACATACCTGACCAATACTTTTGATTACTCAACGTTATAAACGGTTTTTTTGTTTTCTTGACAGCCGGCTTTTTAGTATAAATGGGCTTGAAAGCACCGCCATCTGATTTGTATTTAGATGGCCTTCCTCGTTTCTGTTGACCACATCGAACAACTGTCGGTTCTACACCATAATCCGCTGATATTTTGTCCATAGTTTTGTGAACATCTCCCATAAAATGCTTAACACATTGAGTTAGACCATTGATAATGTTAACACGGTCTTCTAATGGCATTTTTTTAGGTGATGTCATTGTTTCTGAATCCTTGAACTGCTTCTAAAAGTAAAATTCATCATTTTAGCAATAGTAGTGCCAATTTACTTCATTTTACCACCTAAAACACAAATAAAAAATTATATTACCATACCTGAGGGTTGCCCCCTAAATTCTCAGAATTGGCATCAGTTTGAGTTTCTTGATGATTCTGAACAACAGCACGATAACTTTGAGTATCACTTGGCCCATAAGTACGGCTTCTCAACGTACTAAACGTGTCTGGCAGCGCTAAACTAGCTGGTTGAGGTTTGTCGATCTCATCCATAAAGTCTTCGATCAATCTTCTGTTGATGTTACTCGATGGTTCTACATAAGAATTAGTCTGAATTGACGAAGAACAAGTCTGAGCATAAGAATAATTGGTTAAAGGTGTGTAAGAATCTGATTTGAGTTGTCTGTAGAGCGATGCACATGAATCGGTTGGTACCTACAACAATATTTTTGTAATTTAAAAGCGTTTTGATGAACTCTTTGCTTAATTTTTAAGTTTAGAAGCTAAAACGTATTATTTTTTTACTATTAAAGTAAGTTTCTGCCAAAAGATAGCTCAATTGAAACAGTTAAGACCTAATTTATATAACCATAGCATCAAATTGATGTCATGGTCAATATAGTCTAATATCTAACAAGTTAAATAAAAATAATCTGCCAATTTTGCCATCCAAAGTTCTGCAAGATCCTTCTTTATCTAAAACAATCAATTTCCACTCAAATTATGCCTTAAATCCAAAGTTATGGTCGAATTTATATTAACCATGAGGTCATTCTGATGTCATAGAGCATATAGTCAAATTTTCTACATTTTCCAAGACATTGAAACCAATTTTTACCCTCAGAAGTTGCTAAATTCTATACTAAACAATAAAAACTCACCAAAGTTTCCGGAGGTTGCTTTACCGGCGTTTGCTGGATCTTCTCCGAGACCCTTCGAACAAAAGGTCGAATCATCTCAACAAATCGCACAACATCCACAGCATTTTGAGCTGAAAACTTGATCGAATGCTCCTAAACATAAAATAAACCAATAAAAAAACAACTTACAACTCCAAACTGCTTCAGCACTCCTACCAGCTTCTGTCCTTTATATCCAAACTTTGACGAGTCTTGAGACAAAGTGAAGCTGTGTAAAACATTGTAGCTCTTCATGAGAATCAGCTTTTCACGGTCCAATACCAATAATAAAGCTCCGTTAGCATCTGATGCGTAAAACTGAAAAAAATACGTTTAGTTTATTTATTTACAAGCGACAAAATTGCGAAAATTATATTGTAGTAGATAAACTTACGCCTTCTGACGGTTGAACGTAACGAAAAGAGGATAATGGCATTGTTAACGGCATGGTTAAAATAAAAATAATTCGTTACAACAATAATTAGTTCTTTTTTAAAGTCTTTACATAAAGGAACTGATACTTTACAATTTTTCGCAACGAGGCCTGAAAAATGACAAGGCCGCGTTCTCGACGAAAAATCATTCCACCCTGCAAGCTGCAGAACAGCTGCGTCCGAACCTTTTATCGTTATTAACTCTTTTTGTTGATATTTGATAAAATACGAAATAGAGACACGTTGTTTGTATTTAAAATATTTATTTTCTGACAAAATGACATCATTTTACAAAATCTATAAAAATCGTACTATAATTTAAAGTCTTATAAATATGTGAGCATGGTTCATATAATTGTAGTTGTTTAAGAGTGAGATTTGCAGAATGGGCGGCCTTCACGTGCGTAGAATGTTTGTCCTTCCAAATTGCAATGACATACCTGAAATTTTAATTATAGTACTCAATCAAAAAAAGCAAATTTCATTGTTTAAATGTCAAAAAACTGATTTACCGTGCAATTGAAGCAATTTGTGTGATATTGACCATTCAAAGCCTCGATCCATTTGTCGCCGGCTTCGATTGGGAAACAGCACGATGTGCATTTGGCTGTGAACAGCTGATTCCAGTCTCTTTCACAGTATGGTTTATTGTTTTCCACGTAAAAAGCGGCGTTGCCAAAGGACTGACGACAATGGGTACAAGTGAAACACTGAGGATGCCAGTGCTTTTGAAGGGCGTTTAGGCATTCCTGTAAGTGTTTCATTAAAAATCGGTTTTTATGTTTTGAAGAGGACATTTTAGAGATTTTAAAAAAGTAAATTTAATAAAATTTATATTTAACTATGGCAGAGATATGAATGAAAAACCGCGAAATTTTCGAGTTTTTTGTGGTTTTTTAGCCTTAATTTCAATTTTTAAAAAACTTTTGACTCTAAATGCCATTTTTTATTACTGCCTAATCAAAATGTGCCATTGTTCACCATCTTAACGTAAATTGTTACCTGAAAACCAATTCTTCATAATTTCCAAAAAAACCTTAAATTTGACATCATTACCTACAAACCTCTATAACTCCTTTCAAAATAAAGCAATCTTTCTCAAATTATAACAAAACATAGCCAATAACCTGTAGAATGCTATGTCATAAACTCACAGCAGTTATGGCCAAACCGCACTTAGCACAGTCCGGCGCAATCAGGGTCTCGAAGCACTTTTCACAGTATTTTTTGCCGTTTTCCTCCACAAATCCACATTCAATCAAGCGTCGGTTGCATGCACCATTGGCACAGTTGAAGTGTTCTGGACAGAACGTTTTGCCTGCGGCTTTTACAAACGATCCACTAAAAACATTTTCAAAATTATGAAGTTTTAGGAGGGTTTTGGCTCGAAAAAAGCTGAAAAATGCCTAAAAATGGCTGAAAACTGCCAAAATCAACCTACCTGATCACCTTTTTGCACTCATAACAAGTGGGTGATGCTGTGATTGAAGCCAGAACATCTTCATTTTGATTGAACCTGCTTAGTCCATCAAAAGCCTGAGGTTTGGTAACTGGGCCACGTGTCCTGAGGCCATTGAAAGCGCTTGACAGCCGGTTGACTTCATCCGAGTTGATAGGGACACGTTTAAACGGCCGTTCTTCTTCTGTAAATAAAGCTTTAGTCTTATTTTTGTTACAATAATCATTTTAAAACATATAGCTATCTTGTGTTAAAATTTCATGGCTATTTGTTATCAATAATGTATTTAAAAATGGCATGTTTTGTCAAAAATTCTCAAAAACAAGGTCAAAAATAAGTTTTTGATTATTTTTGACTCAATACCTATGTCATACACAAACAAAAATATAATGTTTACATGAAGCATTGAAATGTAAGTGAAATGAAAGTGAAAAGCAGTTAAAAAGCGTTGAAATTAGTTGAGAAACAGTAAGAGAAAGTCGAAGAAGATCTCGAGGAATGTTACTTCAAAGTCGGGGGAATCCAGAATGGTTAAATGTTCTGAAAATTGTCAAAATTTAATCTATATTAACTATCTATTAATTTCTGGAACAAAATTTTGTTTTACAACCGCGCGGACATGTTACGGCGTATAACATGTTTGCGCGGACTGCGCCTCCCGAAAAACAAAGGGCGCAGCTCGCTATTTACAAAATCGGAGCTTTTTGGCAAAAAATAGAGCTATTCAGAGACTTACCATCAAAAAGCTTTAGATTTTCACTATGCCTCCGACTCAGCGTACCATTACGCGACAGAGTACCACTTTCAATGTCTTTACACAAATTGCTCAGGATCTTCAATGCCTCCAAACTTTCGACTTGACTGCTCTTCCTCGCCACACCATGTCGAGGTGGAGCTGGTGGTGGAGTAGCTACTGCGTCTGAGAACCGATTCTTCACGGGCTGATCGTCGTACCTCAGCGGAGTCAATGGCGGAGGCATGTCGAAGGAAAAGCTTCGCTGAATCGGGATTTGCTTCAATTCAGGTGTGCCTCGGGGTTTTGCCATTTTTTCCACGACATTGACTTCGGATCGGGTCGACTTTGGTGTCAATGTGTTGTAGAGACGTTGAGGAAGGTTTTGATTAGCATTTCGACCAGCTTCCAGTTGATTTCGTTGAGTTATATTGCGATGAACATTGGGAATACCTCCATTTTTCGAAATTTTAGATGAATGAACTAAGCCTTGATTTCTGACAAAATTATCAGGACGATTTTCAAGATGTGGTTCATCGTACAATGGCTCCATGTTGTCGAACTCATTGAGGGCGCTAAAGTCAATTTTCTGGACTGGTTGAGTTTGTTCTACCGCTTTCAACTGGATATTGAGTTTGGTTTTGGCTAAAATCATGTTGTTTTCGGTGTTTTCTTGATATTTCTTTGTTTCTTTTGGATGGTTAAAGCTTTGTGAGGCTTTTATCTTATTGTTGTGCGTCTTCTCTATGTTTGTGAGACCTTTTTCTTGATTTTCTTGGCCAATATTGGCCAGGACTTCAGCAATATTCGTGCCAAATCCCTCAACTTTCCCGTTTTCTCCGTAAATATTAGCACGGTATGGCCTGATATCGGCGTATATGATACTTCTAGCTTCTGTAATATCTGTTGTGCTTTTGTAAATGTCATTAGGGCTGTCTTTGTCACCTTTTGATAATGTGTTCTGTTGGTTTTCAAAGGATTTACTTGGAGTATTATTCAAATTTCGAGCGAAATCGTCTGTTTTTCTTCGTTTTTCTAGTGTAACATCGTGTTTCTTGGGTTTTATCAAACTGTTATGCTTAGATTGAGCTCTTTGAGGTACTGGAGGAGGTTTTTTTTGGTTTGGAGAAGGTAATGTTGACCGGTGTTGGACTGGAGAAGGTATTTTTGATCTTTTCGGAGGTATAGGGGCTACTGAAGAAGGTGTCTCCGACCTCGTTTTGGCTGTCGCAGCCATACTTTGAGCGATATCATCCGCTACATCGTAGAAACTTCCTCGTTTTTGTGAATTTCTTTGGTTTTTAGTTGATTCTGGACCTTGTACTTGATGTTTTGGCCTTCCATTAGGTAGAATATTGCTTTCTTTGTGGACAAAACTCGTTGATACTGATGTGCTCTTGATTGGGGAAGGCTTTTTATTGGTTTTCTTTTGATGTTTATTGTCTTCTGGCTCTTTAAAGTTAGGGTTTTCTTGCTTTTTCGCCAAATTTTCCTGTTTTTCATTGATTTTGCCTTGGTTTGGACCTTGTTTTAGGTCGTTTTTGTTGGATTTTTGTGATTTTTCGAATGTCCATTCCTCTATTTGTTGTTCAAGCATCTCAAACGACCGGTAAATGGCATCGATATCGTTTTTGGCGTCTTCAATCACGGTCAGATGGGCCATTTTTGGTTCTGAAGCTGGAGTAACGGGCTTTAACACTGATTCTGAAGCTGATATCGTAGCGTTTTGATCGAAATCTGATCTGTATTCATATCCAGAAGCTTGTGGAGCTTGATTCAAATCTTTTAAGTTCGAATTTCGAGGCCGTAAAGTGTCTTCTGGAGTAGGATTCGGAGCTCCAAGCTTCAAAGTTGGTGTAGCGGCGGAATCTCTAGCTAGTTCTTGATTAGCGGCCGAAAGCTCTTTCAACTGTCGTTCGTACTCTTGAGTATGAACTGGTGATCCCGTTTCTGTAGCCATATCGTCTTCTTCTAGGATCACCGTGGGGGTGTTACTCATTGTCATGATATCACTGTTGTTATCAACATAACTGGATGGTTGGTTAGGTATGGCCAATGATTGTTGATAAGCATTGGTCGAATAGGATCGTTGATGTTGTTGTCCATCATCTGGGTATGAATTTGAAGGTAATGGAAGTTGGTTTAAGCTATAATTGGCTTGATTAACATCTTGACCATCAAAAAACGCCGAATCAGAAGTTTGTATCGTGATCTGGCTGCGTAGCTTTGGTTGAGACCCAGGTTGCCGACCTTGTATCTCATTGTTAACATCACTATCTCCATTTCGGTCCATTTTATGTTGTAGTAGATCAACTTCTTTCAATTTCTGAGCTAATTGAAGATTAAAATCTGGGTTCCTTTGAGAAGATTCTGAAGTTTTGACCTGATTTCCTTGAACTTTTTGATTTGACACATCTTTAACATGTTGAAAAGCTCCACTATTGTCTACTGGTTCATCAAAATTGTCCAAATTGTTTGAATTTTGAAAGGAAGACACGATTTGAACGGGTTTTGAGGAAGCCATCTGAACGGTCGATAATTGACGACCAAATTTAGTGTTTGTAGCTTGATTCTGGGGTCCTTCTAGTCTGAAAATTAGTCAGAATAAGATAAAATACAGCTAAATCAATGTACACTACCATACACAACTGTTTTTCCAACTTTTGGACATTGCGAACTGCGCACGGAAGTGCTGCGGCCTGCGGGACAATTTTATACGATTAAACATGTCCAAAGGGGAAATCAAAAGATACTGTTGTGAAAAAAAATAGATGGTAAAACGTACTCAACATGCTTTAGAGGTTCCATTTGAGCAAGTTCTTCAAAATGTTTTCGTTCGAACTCTTCCAAACTCTCGTCCATCTGAATTGATGTAGATGGCAGAGGTGGAAGACAAATCGAAGGGGTTGATGATACTGTAAAAATTAGTTATTTACAGAGGTATTGAAGCTAAAATACGATTTTTTTCAAAAAAATTTTTTTAATTGATTTTATAAGTTGTATAAAAAATAATGAGCTGCTGAACTCCATATCGCTGTATAACCCATTACTTTTTTATACAATTTAATAAAAGTCATTTTAAGTCTAATAAAGTCCCGCTATTTTGTTTTTAAGTCCATTTTTAATCATTTTTGGCCTGGAAACAAAGTTTTTGCAAATTAAAAAATTTGTTGAAATTTCGAAATTTTTTAAAAATTAAAGTCATTTTAAGCCTAATATTGAACCATTAAGTTGGTTTTAAGTTTATTTTTAGTCATTTTTGGTCTGGAAACAAAGTTTTGCAAATTAAAAATTTTTATAATTTTTAAAATTTTTTCAAATTTTTTAAAATTTCATAAAATTCAAGTTCCTTACCACTCAACATCTCAGTGTCCAGCTCGTTTTGTCCCAAAAACTGCCATTTCGTGGTGGTACCATCGTCGGTGGACTCTTGCCGTGGAGGCAGGTTCACAGACGAATCCATGGACGAATCGACCGGATGTTTCGGTAATTCGGCGTTGGTGAAGGCGAATGGGTTCCTTCTCATCGGGGTGTTAAGTCTGTCCGGGGTAATTAACACGTACTTGGCATAGGGACCTCGCTCTAATGGCACTCGGTTACTGGTCGGGTTTAGGATTCGACCGGTTTCGAAGTCGGTGATTCGCTCCTGAAGAGTTTTGAGAATTAGTTTGAAGTGGGCTTACAATGGGCTTAAAATTGGCTTACGTTGGCCTTAAGCGTAGGCTTAAAACGGGCTTAAATTGGCTTTAAAATAGGCTTAAAATGGGACTAAAATAGGCTTAAACTGGGCTCAAAAATAGGCCTGAAATGGGCTTAAATTCGCTTAATAATAAGTATAAAATGGACTTAAAGGGACCGCAAAAACTTTCTTTACAATATTTTTTTTAAAAAATTTGAAATTTAGTGAAATGGCAAGAACTTTCTTTACAAAACAAAAAATGGCAGGAACTTTCTTTACAAATCAAAAAATGACAAGAACTTTCTTTACAAAACAAAAAATGGCAGGAACTTTCTTTACAAAATAAAAAATGGCAAGAACTTTCTTTACAAAACAGAAAATGGCAAGAACTTTCTTTACAACTCAAAAAATGACAAGAAGTTTCTTTACAAAGTAGAAAGTGGCAAGAACTTTCTTTACAAAACAAAAAATGACAAGAACTTTCTTTTAAAAAAAAACAAAAAATGGCAAGAACTTTCTTTGCAGAACAAAAAATGGTAAGAACTTTGTTTACAATTCTTAAAGCCTTATTTTTTTCAATTTTTAAAATTAAAATGCCACTCACCTTCAAGCGTTCCATAGTTTCCTCACTCGGATGTCCGTCCTTTTCGAAGTGATACTTCCAGAATCGGATGGCTTCGGCGTTGCGTTTGATGGCGCCGGGCGGAGGCGGCCATTCCTGGCGGAGGCGTTGGCGTGGCCGACGATGCAGACTCGATTTCAAAGCTGTGGCAGAGAGTTAAGAAAAGCGAAGCGAGTTATCAATATTGTGGTATGTTATACATTACCACAATAAAATTACGAATTTAAAATGTAAAAGCAATAGCGTAAGCCTAACCTTTAGCAATAGCGTAAGCCTAAGCTTTAGCAATAGCGTAAGCCTAACCTTTAGCAATAGCGTAAGCCTAAGCTTTAGCAATGGCAACATTAATGATGTTGTTTTAGACAAAGTTAGACAATAAAAATAAAGAACAAGGTAATAAGGTCTATAATAACCCTACTATTAGGTTGTTCACATAATTCTGCGCCCCGTACCCAACAAATTAGCTTTGAGAAGGGGCACAGAATTAAGTGGACTACCTAATATTAGGTGCCGACATAAAGAACCCGCCATTTTTTAGAGGGAGTTACAGGAAAAGTATGGCGGGTTCTTTATGTCGGCAAAAAGTATGGCGGGTTCTTTATGTCGGCAAAAAGTATGGCGGGTTCTTTATGTCGGCACCTACTACAATGTTACGATAAAGCTTATTGTAGTTAGAAAACGTTATTATGCGTTATACATTAAGATCTGCAATATACTTACGGTCAGCCTTCTGATCTCTTCTTGTAGCAGGTCCATTGCCATTGTTATTACTCTTGTAAGGCGAGTTGTTGGCACTCGAATTGAATGGACGAACAGATTGAGTGAGAGGCGCTGTTGGGATCGGCTTTGGCTTACTGTAATTGAAAATTATAATAGTTTAGGGGCCTTGAATTAAAGGTAGCGCTATGGTATGATAGGTAAAGGTAGAGTAGGACTAGGTTAGGGTAGGGTAAGAATATGGGATAGAGTAAAGTACGGTAAGGTAGGGTAGGGTATAGTAGGGCAGGATAAGATAGGGTACGGCAGAGAAGGGGTAGGTATGGCAGAGTACGGTAGGATATAGCAAGGTAAGTTAGGGTAGTGTAGGGTTGTTTAATGTAGGTTAAAGTAGGGTAGAATACCGCAAGGTACGATGGGGTACGGTAATGTGGGCCAGCGTAATGTATGGTCGACAAGGTAAGATAGAGTAGGGTAGTGTAGGGTAGAGTATGTTAGAGTAGGGTATCGTAGGGTAGAGTACGGTAGGGTAGAGTAGGGTAGGGTAGGGCAAGGTAGGGTGGGGTAGAGTAGGGTAGGTTACGTTAGAATAGAGTAGGGTAGGTTACGGTAGAATAGAGTGGGGTAGGATATGGTAGGGTAAGATTGGGCAGAGTACGGTAGGATATAGCAAGGTAAGTTAGGGTAGTGTACGATGTGGTAAGTTGGAGTAAGTTAGGATACGGTTATCCAGGGCAAGTATAAAGTAGGGGTTAGCTTTATTTATGTTACTCCTTTATACGACAACCTTGGTTTCTGTAACATTTTTTTGAAATTTTTTTGTTTACTCATCCGGCTGGTACTAATATAAGGTCCCCTATATTTAAAATGGCATTTCAAAAAAAAATTTTTTTTTTGTAAATTCAAGAAAAAATTGTACTAGCTGAACCCCTCCCCACTATCTTTAAGAACCTTTTCTGGTAGGGCTAGTTTTGAAATAATTTTTAAAAATTTTAAAAAACTACAATTTTTATGCTCTGCCATTTCCAATGCGACCTCACTCTTATTTTCCTCAAATTCTTCCAAAAAACCCTTTGCAATTACAACTGACCTAACCATGTACGAGTATATGTTATGATATGAGATTGACAAACGAATAATTCATGCCATTCTCAATGATATGCATGATGTTCTCCATAGTAAACATGTTGTTTTTGCTCGTATTTTAGGTGTTTTTTGACATCATTAGGCCAATAAAAATTCCGCACCGCCCTTATTTATTTCGTGGCATGGTATAATCATGTCCACTTATTCATCAATTTCATACCTAATTTACTCAATTACTACGACCCACTACTGTTATAAGACGATATTTGTGGGCAGGGGTACTGTAGTTGGGACTGAAAGAGGGGGGGGGAGGTAAGATTAGTCCAATACGCAGTAAAAGACGAAATTTGAGGGGGGGGGGGGGAAGGGGGGGAAGAGGTGGGAGTGGGCAGGGGAGACTTTTCGAGTAGGGGTAGTGATAGTAGTAGGGGTACTGTAGATGGTACTAAAATGGGGTAGGAGTAATGTCATCCGTGGTTACAAAAGACGAAATTTGGGGAGGGAAGGAAGCGGGGAGGGGTGGAAAATAGAGGAGGAGGGAATGGAAGGAGCGGGGAGACGGTGGGGGTGGATGTGGGAGTGGGTAAGAGAGACCTTCGTACTGTACTTTGTACTAATTTTGTGATAAAAAGAATGGCAGAGTTTAATGAGCAGAAGATGGTAAAGCTTAATGTAGGCAAGGCATAACATACTGTAGGTATGGTAAATTTAACGGTATGTGATAGGAGTAGGGAGTGGAAGTAAAGCTAAGGGGCTGGGTCAGGGTATATGTTAGGGGTAGGAGTTACTGTAGACAAGGTATGGCATACTGTAGGTATGGAAATTATAAGAGTTGAGGTAGGGGTAGGGGTTACTGTAGACAAGGTATAGTATACTGTAGCTATGGTTAATTCTAAGGGTAGTAATAGGGGTAGGGCGTAGAGGTAAACCCAGGGGCGGGTAGGGGTACGGGTTTGGGGTATTAGGAGTAGAGGCTACGTTAGGCAAGGCATGGCACACTGTAGGTATGGTAAGCTCAAGGGTAAGGGTAGAGGTAAAGCAGGGGTTACTGTAGACAAGATATGGTATACTGTAACTATTATAAGGGTAGGGGTAGGGGTAGTGGTATGTCATTTTAATATTACTATCATTTCCTCTTGTAATCTTTAAAAAAACTCATTTGAGTGTTCTTTGACTATTAATAGCCTTTAAACGACCACTATCACGCAATCTACTACAATATGACCAAATATGTCATATTTAGCCAAACAATGACATTTTGACTAAAAAACTTTTATTTTTGTCATTTTATGTCATAACTTGTGGTCGAAATTCGAAATTTTTAAATTTCTTTGTTTTGTAAAGAAAGTTTTTGCAATTTAAAATTTTTTAAAAATTGCGATACTTTAAGTCAACAAAAGTTTTTTCGTATTTTACTCTAAAAAAACCTACTCCTGTCTCTCATCCGACTTGATCTGACTGCCGTGTACGTCACAGTAGAATTTGTCATTCAAGAAGTGATGACCTTGGTTGGCGAGGTTGGTGCCACAAGTGGAGCATTGAAAGCATTCCGAGTGTAATGACAGGTCGAAAGCTGTTACCATCACTCCTCTGTAATTGGTTTTCATTATTTTTCATAAATTTTTTTAAAATTTTTGTTTTTGGACCGTTTTATACAATGAAACATGCCTTGCAAAAACATGTTTCATCGTATAACATGTCAATTTTTCAATTTTTTTTTGGTTTTTAGATGTAACATAATATAGTAATGTAATTTTACACTAAGTTTTTAAAAAAAAATTTTCATATGCTATTTTATACGATGAAAAACGTCATAGCCCTAAAAAACACGTTTCATCGTATAAGATGTCAGTTTTTAAAAATAACGCTTTTGTTGTTCAAAGATCTGTGCTTATTTTGTTTATTTTGTCATGCTGAATGTAACAATGCGTTATTGTTTTGTTGTTAAACCGAGATTTCTCAAAAGTTACTTGTATTGTTACCTATTTTCGTTTTAGAGCATATACCTAAAATAACCAACATCACCTCTTGCATAACATAACAAGACCTGTCTTTACTTACCTTACCTTACCTTACCTTACCTTACTTTACCTTACCCTACCCTACCCTACCCTACCATAACACCTGAAATGGTACCTCTATTAGGTGCCGACATAAAGAACCCGCCACACTTTTCCTGTAATTCCCTGTAAAAAATGGCGGGTTTTTTATGTCGGCATCTAATATTTATTCCTTGTACTAAACTACAGTACTACTTTTTCTATTTTTAGTACTGTTAAAGTTCTTTGTATCGTCATCGTCAAGTCTTTTAATACTATTAATACAATAACATGTTACACCCCTAATAAAACGTCATCTTGTCATAACGTTTTATAGTGTTATCATTGTCTATATCATATCCTGTCAAAATGTCATTGTCTATGCTATCTTCCCCCTCCCATCACTGAAACGTTATCGCATCCCCTTCTGTTATCATACAAATGTCATCATACCCCCCCTCCTGCTTATACCATCATTGTCATCAAAGCCCCCCCCCCCCTCTTCTCATGCTATGAATGTCATTATACCCGCCTGTCTCAATAAAACTACCATCTCCATGTAACACTATATTCATTATTGCACTATAAACGCGACATTACTTATGAATCAAGTTTTGCATTTCGAACACGAATGTCCATCATAATATGACATTATCTTTGGCAAAACACAACTTCGTCTTCAATGTCTTCTTCCTTTATATACCCACTTATGTCATCGTACTACGGGCATTAACCCCTGTTAATCATGGACAGTACGAACTTTTAGTACGAAGGAGCTTAAGTTTTTACTAATTTTGACATGTATAGTAAAGCAGTGGAGGGGGGGGGGAGGGGGGGAGGGGGGGGAAGGGGAGAAGTTCATAAATAGTGGCATAGTTTGGGATGTTGGGTTTGAAAGAAAGCTATGGGTCTTGTGGTAGAGATACTGTAACTAAAAATTTTTTATAATGGTTTATGGCCATACTGTAACAAAAAAAGTTTGTTGTAATGGTCATATTGTAACAAAAGTTTATATGTTACATTAGGAAAGGGTACCTCTAGTCATATGGTACAGTAGGGAAGGTACCTCAAGGTACAGTAGGGAAGGGTACCTCAAAGTAGAGTAGAAAATTTTTTTATTTTACTAGGCTTACTGTAGCAAAAAAAACCATTTTTTTGTAACAGGCTTACTATAACAAACCTTTCTTTGTACAAAGCATACTGTAACAAAGTTTTTTTAGTACTGTTACTGTAACTAAAAGATGCTTAGTTATGACCCATAAGATAAGTCAGGGCAAGTTAAGGTAGGGTAAGGTGGGGTAGGGTAGGAAAAGACAGGGTAGGGTAGGGTAGAGTAGGGTAGGGTAGGGTAGGGGGTAGGGTAGGGTAAGGTAGGGTAGGGTAAAGTAGGGTAGGGTAGAGTAGAGTAGGGTAGAGTAGAGTAGGGTAAAGTAGAGTAAGGTAGGATAGGATAGATTTTTTGAAGCCTTGACCTACTATAATATTGTTGTATCCCCTATTATATCATTCTTTCCTACTATTATATGACCTAAACCACTATAACATCATCACTGTGGTCTTCTAGTTCTTTTCTTTCATTTAAGTTTCTCATTAATTTTTCTGAGAGAAAACTCATTTAAATTAATAGCTAAAGGGTCTTTAAGATCTGTATAGGGCGTTTAGACACGCTATAAGTTTCAGCTCATTGTACTTTTTAAAAACATTTAAAGTTGACTTAGTAATTAGGTAGCTTATAATAAAAATGCCGTATCTTGTAATCGATTTTCGTGAACTACCTTAGCGTGCCCGGCCGTGTACTTGCATTGCCTTGCCTTGCCTTACCTTTCCTTGCCTGGACTTGCCTTGCCTACCATACCCTAACATACGTTATCTTATAATACCCCGCTCTACCCCTATCTTGTCGACTATACAAAAATCGACCCCAGTAATATATATCTACCCCAACGTTAACACCTTATGAAAATCTTATCCCTCCTTACCTCCAAAACCTCTCATAAGTAGAAATGAGCAATAGACCGGGCCGGCCTTGACCCAATTCTTGGCCGGGCCGCGTGTGAGAAAAATTATTTTTGGACTGGGCCTAACCCGGTGGCCCGGCTCGTTCCTCATGCCTACTTACAAGGGGTAGAAGAAAGATTTTTTACATTTGTAGTCTAGCAGCTTAACCTACAGTAAAATTAAGCTTCATATGGAAGTATCATATCTAATGCCAAACCGTTACTATCCCTGTCCTAATTATAGTTGCACTTTAATACTGCATTTCAAAAAAAACCTAGAAGCCTTCAAACTCTCCCCCTCTTCCTCCCCCGCTCAACCACCCCCTAAATGAAGGTTGTTGTCACTTTTTACTGCAGTTAATCCGAAAGATACGATTAACATTTGTAAACTGTTTATTTTTAAGACAACTGTATATTAATCACTACATGCTTTACATGTCATCACTTTTAATTTTAATGATATCAGGCTAGAACCTTAAAGCTGTAGGAAGATAGGTTGTTAGTAAATGCACTACCCTATCTCTTAATTTTTTTTCGCTCGAGAAGTCAAGTCTCAGCGTAGACCACCACCTGTCTTACTCTATCCTGCCCTACCATGCCCTTCTCTAGACTACCCAACAAAATTGAAATTAGTTTGACCCAACCCTGACTTATCCTCCTTTGATCTACCATTGCCATTGTCTGCTTCACTGTGCTAGCCACCCCCCCCTACCTCGCGTACCGACTTTACTCTACACTCTACACCTCCTCACCTAATTATGGTAGGGTAGGGTAAGTTAGAGTAGGGTAGACTAGGGTAGGGTAGAGTAGGGTAACGTAGGGTATAATACGGTGGAATAGAATAGGGTAAAGTAAGATAGGGTACAATAAAAAACGCGATTCACTCCGCCGATACCTTCACCCTTACATACAACTACGTATTTTACCCCGCCAATGTATATAATTCCTTTTCAGATCATGGGCCGAAATTCACTGTCCGCATATCTAATGGTACTTTTACTCCTCGTAGCCAACACAGAAGCTTTCCGCTACTTCATTTTCATGCCTGGGGACTTCAACGGCAACCCAGACTACCTACAAAACCCACAAGAAGCCGAAGAACTAAAGGAGACATTGGGCAGGGTTAGACGGTCGGAGTAAGTTGAAGTTTTAAATTTTAAAAAATTTGCTTCTAATTAAAATTTTAAAACTCAGTTTTCAAAATTTCAAAAAATAGACTTGAATTGGGGCTAAAAAAAAGCTTAAAATACCAGCAAAAACTTCCGTTACAATATTTAATTACGAAAAAAAAAAATTCAGTGAAATGGCAAGAACTTCCTTTCCAAAACAAAAAATGGAAAGAACTTTCTTTACAAACCAAAAAATAGCAAGAGCTCTCTTTACAAACCAAAAAATGGCAAGAACTTTCTTTACAGAACAATAAATAACCATTTCTGTTTTGTTCGTATAACTTGTCATTCAGTGTTTTGCCGAAACGGTCCGGTCCGGATTTTCAAAAATTGCATAATTGAAAACAACTTTTTAGCTTATGGTTTGAAGTTTTAAAAATAAATAATTTTTGTGAAGGTCCGTCTTTGGTTATCAAGTTATTACCGAAATGGACCGCCCGGACCGGCAAGACCGATTCGGTCCGGCCGGTCCAAATGTTTAGCGAGGAACTTGTATGAGACGGACCTTCACAAAAGTTATTTATTTTTTAAAACTTCAAACCATAAGCTAAAAAGTTGTTTTCAATTTTGCAATTTTTGAAAATCCGGACCGGACCGAACCCGGTCCGGCAAAACACTGTTGTCATCTGTAGGTTGCACAACGAATAACTTTCTTTAAAGTATAGGCAAAAATGGTATGAAAAAGGTGATTTTTTTCAGAATGCGCAACATTTTGGGATCAGTGGTATTCGACCCGCAGTTCCGTCGAATTGCCAGAAATACAGAAGACAAACGAATGAACTTTCAGCGGACTGGAGGACCTATCTTGCTAGGTTAATATTAGCATACATCTATGTAATACGTCTAGTCTATGTGCTCTTTTCGTTACCTAATACCATTAGTACTTTGCCTTTAACGATTCCTATACTAGCTAGTACTGGGTATCTTTTACCTTGGCTGCTATAACAATTTTCAGAAGCACGTGTAACTCGCTTCTGTACCATAAAAACAAGCTTACGATTTCGATTCTTACGACCGAATTATATTCAATAATCATAGTTCAGTAATATCTTACAATCTTGAAGTTTCTTTAGTGTAAGACCTACAATATTTTGGTGCTACGCTATATAAACCCAATTTTCGTCCTTAACACGCCAATTTTGATATTTTGTTTGTCCTTTCACTAGTCTAACTATTTTTTGACCGGTAAATACAACTTTGGTCCAATTTTTGTTTAATGTAAAACTATATAAGTACATTGACCCCTTTTACATTGTCAAAAACTTATATTATTCAGTGTATAAAGTTTTTTTTAAAATTGATCAGTTTTTTAACCTTCCCTCGTCCTACCTTGCCCTACCTTTCCCTGCCCTAGCCTACTTTTAAACGCCTTACCGTATCCTACCATGCCCCACCATATTGTACCCAACTCTACCCTACCGTACCTTACTCTATCATGACCTAGCCCTCCAAATCACTTACTCATACATGGATCTACCTTTATCATACTCTTCTCATGCTATACCCTACATTGATCTGCCATACCCTACCTTCTCCAAACCTAACTTGTCAATCTCTAGCCAGTACTTCTACCCCTACCTTATAGGGGCAGAAGTACTCTAGCTTGCCCTGTTAACCAGTTCTTTGCCTGGAACGGCCAGGTCAAACCGGCCAAGAAAGGAAACAAAATGTTGATCGGACTAAGCCGGACCTGAAAAAAATTGTCTGGACGGTTCAGGCAAAACACTAGCTAAGGACACTCCGACCCAGCGACATCGCTACGATTTTTCTTTAGAGGGAGGGGGGGGGGAGGGGGAGGGGGGTAAAGAGTCACCCCAAACTACCCACCCCCCCCTTTCCCTTAAACAACGTCCCTCCTCTGCTCTAGCCTTATAGAAACCATCCCATGCCCATAAAACCTTAACATTGCCTAGTACTACCCTGTCCCAGCCTTTCACTACCCTTATCTAGACATGAGAAACGGGCCGGGCCCAATTTTTTTTACGTGGAAACGGGCCGGGCCCGGCTAACTTTTCAGGCCCGGCCCGATCAGAATTTTGCTCAAGGCCGGCCCGGCCTAAATTTTTTTTACGTGGAAACGGGCCGGGCCCGGCTAATTTTTCAGGCCCGGCCCAATCGGAATTTTGCTCAAGGCCGGCCCGGCCCGTTTCTCATGTCTACCCTTATCCTGCCCTACCTTACCTTACCATAACATTTGTTATGGTACCTCCATTTAATCATATTACCACAATACATTACTACTTTCCAACCCCCTTAAAATGAAATCAACTTACACAATCGACCGTCCACAGCAGAAGCAATTAGGTAACAATCCCTTTGGCTGGCTGTATGGTCGTTGATTGTTCTCGTTGATCATCTTCAACACTTCCGACCGAACTTGACTATGATCTGACTTTGTCATTGGGCTTGGGGCAGTCGGAGCACCAAATTGACGTGGGCCTGAATTGAAGCCTCGAGGCTGGTCTGGCTGCTAAAAAATTAAAAATTATAAATTTAATCATGGTTTGTTGCATAAAAATCGCAATAACTTTCTTTACAATGTACAAATTTAAAAATATTATAGTATGAAGTAGACTAGACTATATAGAATATATAGCAGTCATACTGTAACAAGTTGTAGACCACTTACCAACTTATGATGCTCCAAAGACACCTTGACATTGTTGTTTAGAGAGCGATTAATAGTGGAGTTGACGTTTCTATCAGTCACATTGGGCTTCCAGATTCGAGTTACCGTTGGTTCACTGTAAAATACATTCGCTAAATCTTGTAAATTTAAATTTTTAAAATTTTATTTAATTTTAAGCTTAATTTTGTCATTTTAAGCCAAAATTTTATTTTTTTTTCCTCTGAAAAAAGTCATTTTTCAAAGTTTTTTAATTCCTTTCACCCTACCCTCTCTTTCCCTACCTACCCTACCCTACCCTACGCTACCCTACCCTAACCTACCCTACCCTACCCTACCCTACCCTACCCTACCTTACCCTACCCTACACTACCCTACCTTACCCTACCCTGCCCTACCCTACCCTACCCTACCCTACCCTACCTTACCCTACCCTACACTACCCTATCTTACCCTACCCTGCCCTACCCTACCCTACCCTACCCTACCCTACCCTACCCTACACTACCCTACCTTACCCTACCCTGCCCTACCCTACCCTACCCTACCCTACCTTACCCTACCCTACACTACCCTACCTTACCCTACCCTGCCCTACCCTACCCTACCCTACCCTACCCTACCCTACCCTACCCTACTCTACCCTACTCTACCCTACTCTACCCTACCCTTATATAATACTAACGTGCCCAAAGAATCTACTTTTAAAAACCTACCCCTGCTTTTAAAACGCCACCTTTATCACTTTAACCTACAATACCTTATCCTAGATTAAAGTATTTATCTTTTGTCCCTTACCTAACTTACACTATACCCTACCCTAGTTAACGGTTGTATTTATTACTGTAGCCACCTTTGCTTTTTCTATCCAGCTCTGCCCTACCATGCCTTTAAACTTAAATTCCAGCCTCTATATAAAAATTCTACTACTACTCCAAAAACCTACCCCAGCATTCAAAATTTACCCCTACTCTAAAAAAACCATCCCTGTTCCGAAAATTACACTTAAATTTTCAAAATACCCTCCCTCTTCAAATTTTAAAACTTTGAACGCCAAAGGCTTTCTTCTAAAAACCTTACATTTGATCAAACACTACCTTACCCAACCCTACTCTATCTTAATCTGCTTTAGCCTACTTTACAACGCCCTGTCCGACCCCATAAAAATGATCTTCAATAAACCTTACATTCGTTCAAAATTCTATTAGAAGGAGCATTAGTTTTACCATGCTGAAGCTTTACCCTACCATACTCCACCCTACCCTACCTTACCTTACATTACCCTAGCCTACTTTACCGTGTCCTTCCCTACCCTTCCCCACCCTTTAAAAACTACCTTCCAAAACCTTACATTCGATCATTGTAAGAGTAGTTATAGTTGACACTACGTTCGAACTGCATATTTCAACTTTCAAACAGTCAAACCAAAATGACACAACAGAATATTCAAAACTGCGAAATTAAACCGCCTCGAGCACTGATTTCAACCTTTTGGTTTAATGAAAAAGTGAAAGTCCGCCTATCACTTAAGGATCTAACCTTGAGAATATCAAGGTGGTTGTAACCTTGTTACGACACCGGTTTTGGCGATTTTAAAGATACGAAATCGTATTTCAATTTTTTTCTTAATTTTGTCATTTTAAAGGCATTGCCTCACAGCTAGATGGAAATTCTCAAAATTTTTAAAAAAGCGTGGCGGGGGTAGATTTTCTTGACGTTGTGACAGGAACTGCCCTTACATTACTACTGCCAAGTCTGAGTATTTACTGCGTATGATAATTTGCTGCGTATGATAATATGACAAACAATGATTAGTTGTAAAAGCATTTGCCAATTATAATTACAAAGACAGTGCTCGACCTGCCCCGCTCTGATTGCCTTCAAACTTTTTATATAGAAAGATCATGTAAATATAAGGTCTTCAACAAAGTACTAAATCGCGCTTTCCAGGAAATCTCGAGAAATTCAAGATTGAAAAATGACATTTTGAATTTCCCGCCAACTTGGCATTGTCTTTCAAGCTTGTAACTTTGTCATTTTTTGATTTTTAAGAATTTTTCTTTGATTTATTAGTAGAAAACCTTTAAATGAACCTACATTTTTTAATTTGTAAGCGTATCTTGTCTGGAAAGCCAAAAAGTGCTTGAAACACAATGCCAAAGTTGCCAAAATGGCGGGAAACAAAAATAATTTAAATTTAAAACTCAAAAAGCGGGAGCTAAAAAGTTTTTATGGCTACTATTGGTGGTACAAGAAATTCATATAAAAATTTTGAGCTGATTTTGAGCGAAGCATGTTGGTTGCTTTCCTTGTTAATATACGATAATTTTTATTTGTGACCTTATAGCACTGTACAATGTTATTCTAGACTTAGTTTAATAAATATTTTGTAAAAAATAGTTAAAAATAGTGAATCTTCATATAAAATTACCAACCCTCACACAAGATAACGTATTTTACAAAAAAAAACCATTTTTAAATTTAAAAATCCTTTTAAAAATTAAAAAAAAAATATTTAAAAATGAGTTTTTCTTACCGCAAAACGACCAGCTCCAGATCGTTGGCCTGTTTATTGATCAGCTCGCTGACTTTCAAGAAGGTAGGGTTGGATTGGGATTGAATTTCATCGATATAATCACCGGTTTGAAGGCCCGCACGATCGGCTAGTCCACCTCCTTGGACCTGAAAATAGGCAAATTTAAATTTTTTAATTTCAAAATTAGGACTAAGGCTAACAAGGGAATGTTACAAACTGCCCATTCGATTTTCAAAAGTGAATGGTACCATGTGAAAGAGCGTAAAAAGTTGACTAGAAATCTATTTTCAAAAACTGCTAATTTTGCCTTACAAGCCCGCTAGCGAAATTTTAAAATCATTAGTGAAAGGGCCTTATAAGTTGTTATTCTTTCTTTTAGATTATTGTATTTTTAAAAATCTTAGTTTTTACTTTTTTTATATTTTATTAGATGTAAGAAGTCATTATCAACAAAAAAATTTTTTTTTGACTATTTAATTTGATTAACTTTTAAATAAAAAAGAATACCAATCATTTAACCAAAAAGAGAATCGAACCTAAAGTCCATTGATTGCGCAATCACGGCGCCTTTGACCACTCGGCCATTCGAACACATTTACTTCTCCTTTTGAAAGAAGCCAAAAGAAAGCGGGTTTAAAAAATCCGTTTTAATAGTAAAAATTTTAAAAGCTCGCTAGCGGGCTTGTAAAGCAAAATTAGCAGTTTTTGAAAATAGATTTTTAGTCATCTTCTTACGCTCTTTCACATGGTACCATTCATTTTTAAAGATCGAATGGGCAGTTTGTAACATTCCCTTGTAAGGCTAGGAATAGGACTATATCCAGGGCTGAGGCTAAGCAAAGGCTAGTTCAGAGCTATGGGCTAAGGCTGGGACTAGGGCTAAAACTCTAGGCTAGGGTTGAGGCTAGGGCTAGGACTGAGGCTAGAGCTGAGGCTAGTGCTAGTTCAGCGGCTAGGAGCGGGGGCTGGGACTAAACTCTGGGTTAAGGACAGGGCTGGGTTTATGGCTCTGAGCTAGAACTCTGGGCTAAGGCTCTGGACTATGGGTCTGGGTTAGTGCTCCGGGCTAGATCTCTAGGGCTCTGGGCAAGGGATAGAAAGCTGGTCAGGGTTTTGGGCTAGGGCTCTGGGCTAGGGTTCTTTGCTAGGGCTCTTGGCTAGGGATCTGGGCTAGGGCTCTGGGCTAGGGCTAGAAAATGAACTTACCTTATCAATAACTCGTGGCGGCTTAACCGAAAACCCCCAAGGCGTTTTAAAATCCAATCTGGCCATCCGCACTGTAATGACATCCAGATTTTGTGTGGTCTCGGTTGATGCCATTTCTAGACCAATACCTTTCTGTAAAATATTAAATTTGTAAATAAAAGTTGATCAAATGGACTAGAATATCCCTAACATTCAACATATTTAAGAATCAAACAATAAATAGCACAAAAGACACGAAAAAAGAACTAAAAAGCATCGATTAGTATCTGATATCTACTACAATATCATAAAGAACGATCTAGAACAAAAAGCATGTCAAATTAATAAAAAGCTAGTTAATGCTCAACATGTGGAATTAAATTGGCTTTCAAACAAGCTGAAAAACATAAATTGGCATCAAGTTTAAAGGATAATATGATTAAATCACTCTGGCCGCTACCTAATGCATTAGCTAATGTCTACTATAATATACAAAAAGAAGCTCTCAGTATAAGAGATACGCAAAAATACAAACCTTTTAATAACGGTGTGGATATTATATTAAATTATCTTCCAACTGAGCCTAAGAATATCGATTTACATCAAGATAGAGGAACGATATGACTAAAAGCAATCGACCAGTACCTGATGTCTACTATAATATCAAAAAAGTTTTTAAAATAAAAGCTACACTACATATTAGTTGGTATATTAAAATTGCTTTTCAAAGAGCCAAAAAACATAAACTGACATCAAGAATAAAGGATAATATGATCAAAAATCTCTGGCCGCTACCTCATATCTACTAAAACATCAAAAGAAGCTTGCAAAACAAAAGATGCTCTACAACACAAAACGATTGATTATAGTGTACATTAGTAAACTAAATTATCTTTCAAATAAGCCCAAAAACATTAATTTTTATCGAGTTTCAGGGATAATATGATCAAAAGCCTCTGTCCTACATGATGTCTACGTACTATAATGTCCAAAAAAGCTTTCAAATTAAAATCTAACATAAAATTACAAAACAGCTGATTGTCATATACGTTAGCACATTAAAATGGCTTTTAAATAAGTCCAAGAACGTCGATTTACACCAAGATTCAAGGGTAATATGATCAAAAGTTTCTGGCCGCTACGTGATATCTACTATAATATCAAAAGAAGCTCGCAGAACAAAACGGCTTTCTAAAATACAAGATAGAATCTTTACATACGATAGTACATTAAAAGAGATATTTAATGAGCCCAAAAAACATAAATTGAGATCAAGCTTTAAGGGTAATATGATCAAAAGTCTCAGGCAGCTACCTGGTGCCTACTATAATATCAAAAGAAGCTCGCAGAACAAAACGGCTTTTTAAAATACAAGACGATCAATAATATTGTACAATAGTAAATTAAATTAGCTTTCAAGTAAGCCTGAAAACGTTGATTTACATCAAGATTTAAGGATAATATAATTAAAAGTTCATGGCTTATCCTATCTATTATAATATTTTTTCTAAAATACGAAAATTTAGATAATTCTTCAAAAACCAATTACTTTTAGACATTCTAAAGCTAGATCAATCATTAAAAAGTCCTAAAACAATATATTTCTTTCTAAATTACATCAAAAAAACATAAAACAAGAGAAAGGTCCGTGTACATCAAGTATAATATAACGAAAGAAACAACAAATTTTGCAAAAAACAAAAAAATTTCAAATATTTTCATGACATTTTGTCTCAAAACCTCTTTTTTTTAAACACAAGTCATTTTTTTAATTTTCGAAACAGATCTTTTTTCCTCAGGACACACTCTCGATGGCCGATCAGAGGGGAATGAGTCGGTTCGTTTGCTTGACCCACCCAACGATTATAATTAGAGTTCTCTCGCAAAAATAAAACAGTAAATAGTTGGGGGAAAGGCTGGGTTATAAGGTTAGAGTTTATTTTTTAATATTGGAGTGGGTTTTTTAAGGGAGGTTTAGGATTTACCACAATATAGAGAAAACAACCGGCATAGTTTTGTAACAGAACTTTTGGCGCACCCTGTATAAGATGGGGGTAGATTTTGTAAAGTATACTGTTGATTGTCCTAGACATTACTGAATGGATGGGTTATAAGGTTAGAGTTCGTTTTTTAGGCTAGGTGTATTCGGATGGGCCTCATCTTTCTATACTAAGGTTGATTTTTTTAAATGTAGCGGTAGAATTTACCACAACATAGAGAAAACGACCGATAAAGTTTTGTAACAGAACTTTTGGCGCACCTTGTATAAGATGTGGGTAGATTTTTAAAGACTGGAGTAGATTTTTTAAGCTAGGGGTAGACTTTTTAAAGAAAAATAGAAGTTAGGATGGGTTAGATAGTAGTGTGGTGCTAGTGATCCGCTGGGCTAGGTTTCTGAGCTAGGGCTCTGGGCTAGGATCCTGGACTAGGGCTCTGGGCTAGGGCTCTGGGCTAGGGCTCTGGGCTAGGGTTCTGGGCTAGGGTTCTGGACAAGGGCTGAGGCTATGCCTGAGGCTACAATAATGTCGTAATCAGGCCAAAATAAAAACAAAAAACGACTGACAAAAGCAGATAAACAAAAATTCCGGGTCGGACTAATCGAATAATCCCCAAATCTGAATGGGGAAATTATTTTTTTTTCCGAAAACAAGCGGCCGAAAAAATATTTTGTTTCAAGAGTGCGGATCTCGCCTTAGGGCTTGTTGTTTTTTTGTGTAAACACAAAAATCTCAAGTGATTCGGTCAAGAGCGCACTGTTTAACAGTAGTTTACAGCGTTTTTAACGAAATTTTTGAAAAAGGGGACATGTTATACGATGGATTTTAAAATTTTTTTCAAAAATTTTATTTTTAAAGATAAAAAAAATTTCTAAATAACTTTTTTCAAATCAAAAATGATTTTAAAATGGTAAAAATTATAAACACGGAAGTACGCAGATCGTATTTTACCACAAAACCCTCTTTTTCTTAACAAAAATGTCAAAAAACAGGCCAAAAAGCAGTGTTTTCGCCCAAAATCCTTTAAAAATAAGCCTTTTTTAAATTCAAAAACAATTTTAAAACAACATGAATTTAAGAAACTATATTTGAAAGAAAGTATTTTACCACAAAACCCTTTTTACCAAAACAAAAACATCAAAAAACGAGCCAAAAAGCAAGTTCCGACCAGCCGGATTCGAACCAGCGACCTAAGGAGTTCCGCTTGAACTACAGTCCTCCGCTCTACCAACTGAGCTATGGTCGGACATGGCTATTAAGCATTTAGAAATCACTTTCATAATCTTATTTCTTCATATTTTACTATGTAACCTTCTTTTCCATAACAAAAACAGCAAAAAACGGGCCAAAAATCAGTGTTTTAGGCCAAAAACCTCGTAAAATAAAAGATTTTTTAAATAAAAAAACAATTTTAAATGTGAAAAATAGTAATGGAAAGGGTTCCTAGCGCGTATTTTACCACAAAACCGTCTTTTTCAAAACAAAAACGACAAAAAACGAGTCAAAAAGCAAGTTCCGACCAGCCGGATTCGAACCAGCGACCTAAGGATTTCCGCTTCAACTACAGTCCTCCGCTCTACCAACTGAGCTATGGTCGGCGCGGCGGTACGCATTGGCGTAGTAAAACGGGTTTATTTTCATAAATATAATGTCTACTGTAGTAAAAAGTAACAAAATAATAAATTATATTATGTACATACAAAGTTTGATATTTTTGGCAAAAAATTTTTTTTGAATTTTTGAAATTTTCAAATTCAAAAAATTGTTTTTTGAAACTTCAAAATTTTAAAACTCAAAATTTTATTAAAAAAACTTGAAATTTAAAAAAATAATCAAAAATGAAATTTACTGTCAATGTATATCACTCTCTTATCCTCTTATTATACAATATTATATTTTGTGCTTTCCCGTCCTTGGCGCCACTTTTTGGCTCCCAAAGCGATTGTTTTGAACAAAATGATGAGAATTAAACCTATGAAAGTTAACCAATACACGTAAAGCTGGGGATATCGTGGAGGTAACCACAAGTTTTCGTAGTGAACTTCGTACCCTTTTGATGTGTTTTCAATGTTCAGTGCTCCAATTGCCATGTCTGGTACACCCATGCGGTAGGAGATGGTTGGGACCTGAAAAGAATTACATTAAAATGAATTTTAGCCTAAAAAGCAACTTATAAGCCTAAAAATCAAATTTAAGCCTAAAAGTCAATTTCATGTCTCAAGAAGCGACAATAAACCTAAAGTTGACTTTTAAGCCTAAAAAATGAGTACAATTGAAATTTAAGCTTAAGAATCAATTTTTAAGCCTAAAGATCAAATTTAAGCCTAAAAATCAACTTGTATGCCTTAAAAATGACAATAAACCTAAAGGTGACTTTTAAGCCTAAAAATTCACTACAAGCCTAAAAATCAACTTTTAAGCCAAAAAATCACATTTAAGCCTAAAAAGTCACCCCAAGCCTAAAAACCAGTTTTTAAATTTAAATTATAAAGATAAGCCTAAAAATCAATTTTATTTCTTAAAATGAAGTTTTAAACTTAACAGTCAAGTTTTAAAATCAAATTTAAAGCCTAAAAAATCTACTTTAAGCCTAAAACCTTTTTTTAATCCAAAAAACTAAAAATGTCATTTTAAAACCCACCTGTATCTCCAACACCCCATTCTCCTCGCCTTTTTTGAACAAAAACTTGATCCCCCTACTCGCTTCCATCCGATCGAACTGTTGTTCATGTTGAGGTTGAATATAGTACTCTCCAACATGATCATGCCCACTCAAGATAAGCCTAATGTCATAGTTTTCGTCGTTAAATTGCTCGAACACAGGCTTAGTGGAGTCTCGGATCATTGGAACATGACTTAATAGGATTGGAAAGCCATTTTGAGATGAAGTCAGTTTGTAAACTTGCTTATCACTTAAAGAATATACTGATGAGAGCTCCAGAAGCTTGTCGATGGGCTTCCTTGAGTAGAAATTTAGAAACTTTTCTGCAAACTTGACTTTGAGATGTTCATGGACTGGCTCCACCTCGCCACCAATGTCATTGTCGCCTGGGATGAAGATCAACTGAAAAGCATGGTTAATATAGACGAGAGAGGCAAGGGTTACTGTAGGTACGTGAACGCTTTTTAAAACTTACAGTAGTATTGAGATCAAACTGTGGAAAGACGTTGTAAAACCTATCGATTGCCATTTCCAATTCATTTTGAGTAGCAAAAATCATTTCATCGATTAAATCACCCAAAAATATGACAACATCCGGCTTGTAGTTGTCATAAGCTAACGAGTACGCTCTTTTCATGTAACTACAATAAAAATGGCATCAAATCCTCATTTCTAATGAAAAATATCATAAAATGTCATTTAAAACTAAAACTCACTTATCCGAATCCCATCTTCTCAGTCCTCCACCCAATTTCGGTTCATTTTGATAACCGACAAGTTGAGGATCAGCAACGACCAAAACTTTAATTCCATTTTCGACCGGTAATTTCCATAACCAAGAGTATAGCCTTAAGGACAGATATTCATTATAAAGAATGACTAATAAAGTTACTATAATAAAGGCTGTCTGTATTGAAATACGAGGTTTTTTACAGCGACGAAAGCTCATTTTAGAATTTGAAGTTTATGCTTAGATTAGGTTTAGATTAGGCTTAGTTTCAGGTTAGGCTTAGATTAAGCACAGACTCGGTTTAAGCGTTTAAACTCAGGTTTAGATCAATATTTAATAATAGGCTTAACCTGAGGTTTAAAATTAAGTTTAATTCTTCAATATTATGCTTAGATTTAGGCCTAATAAAACGTTTAGGCTTCAGTTTAGGCTTAAAACAATTAGCCCATTACATTAACAAAATCAATTTTTTAGAAATAGTTATTAATTTTTAGCAATATTATTATAAATCGTCCATTTTACATGTTGATATGCTTCTGAAAGAAATGAAAATGTAAATTTAAAATTTAATTCAGGTCTACATAAAAATCACAAAAAAAACGCTAGTAAAACTAATAACAAAGCCAAAAGTACATCATAGAAAAAGTAAAAAAATTGAATTTTTACGCTATTCCTTACCTTCTCTTACTCTACCCTACCCCATCCAACCTTGCTTCACACTACCAAAACCTGTCTTGACTTACGCTGCTCTAGCCTATTGTGTCCGAAAGACTTACTCCGACCAGGACCGGGCGCTGAGGGGAGGTGGACGGGGAGGAGGAGAGGGGGAGATGGAATCCCCCTTAGCCAAAAGAACCTTTTCTTCTTTTTAGAAAACCTACCCTTAGTTTTAAAAATCCAGTCCTATTCTCAAAAATACAGTGGAACTCCTGTATAACGAATCGCTCGTGGATTTGAAATTTGTTCGTTATAAAGAAGTTTCGTTATACAGGACTTTTAAATGCACTGTGTAGTGGTAGGCGGCGCTTGAAAAGTATTTCGTTATACGATATTTTCGTTAAAAAGGTATTCGTTATACAGGAGTTCCACTGTTTTAGGTTGAACCAAAAGTAGCGGGACACTGTTTAGTTGAAAAATGAAACAAAAGTGTCCCGCTACCTTTGGTTCAACGTAATAACCTAACCGTGAAAGTAATAAAATTTAAAACTTTTTCAAATCTTCTTCAAACTATCCAAACCCCCTATACCGCAGTGTTTTGCCGGACCGGTCCGGATGAGAATTTTTTCGGTCCGGTCAAAAAAATTTTCGGTCCGGTCCGGTCCGGACCAAAAAGGTCACGTCCGGTCCGGAAATTTTTTTTTATTTTTAAAAAAGCCAGGAGCGCTAAAACTGCTTTCTTTCCGTTTAAAAACACTTGAAAATATTTTTTATTTGCAATTTTTAAAACAGTTTTATTAAAATAAAAAAAAAATTTTCGGTCCGGTCCGGCTCTATTTTCTTTGGTCCGGTCCGGACCGGACGGGTCCTTCAAAACACTGCCTATACCTCAATTTTAATAGCATACATAATAATAGCATTACGATAAAAGCGCATCTTTATCCCGCCATTCGCTCCAAGAGTAATCTCTTTTCCCTCCGCTCATTTCTTCTCTTTTTCTCTAACCCATTCTCTTTTTTGCGTGCTCTCTCCGTTCGTATGTTAAAAGAGCCGAAAAGGGAAAGTAAAGAAAGCTCCTTACTTATTGTTGTCGGAACAACCGTTACCATGACAAACATATGGAGAAAGTTGTGGAAAATAACATTGAAATTGCGCTTTTTTTGAATATTTTAAAATTTTAAATTGTTTATAGTGTTATACTTTGATTTTGATAGTAATATAGTGAAGAAAAGGCTATTTTTAGCAGCTTTTTGGCTTAAAAGCCCTTTGGCATATAACTATAATATTTTCGAAAAAGTTTGAATTTAGTGCTATTTTATTACCTATTTGAATCAAAAAATGTCATACCGAGAGTTGAGAGGTAAGAATATTTTTAAATTTTTTTCTGCTTTCTCCCTATCCTCTTGAAAAATAAAAAACTAAAATCTAAATACATACAGCGCTCTCTCTATATAAGCAACCCGAAGGGACCGACATTTTGTGTTTACTATAGTGGGTGTTCTCTTTACAGAGTAATTTGTTAGTGCAAATTGACTTGGCGGGGCCAAATTTCTTGTTTACAATAGGGAGAGTTGCTTAAACAGATGGTTCACTATATAGAAAGACCACTGTATTGTACCTATCGTTAGAGTAGTGACGTTTGGCAAGGAGGAAGGGGAAGGGAGAGGCAGAGAAAATCTCAAAAATTAAAAAAAAGGTAAAATAAAAAAAGAAACTATAATAAAATTTACAAAATACTCTATTCTACTCTACCCTACCTTGTCTTATCTCTTACTCTATCTTTGCTCTGCCCTTGCATTATTTTATACTAACTGCTAATCGGGTAAGGCGTAGAAGTAGTACCTTTTTCCTACTCTTGCCCTACCCTTGCTTTACCTTTGCCTTATCTTCAGCCTGCCCTTGCCATACTGTGTACCTTTTTCCCTACTCTTGCCCTACCCTTGCTTTATTTTGTACTAACATTTACTCTTTTTACCTTACTCTTGTTCTGCCCTTACCTTACTCTTGCTCTATCTTTGCTTTACCCTTGCCCTACTTACTATTTTTCTTTTGACCTACCTTTTCTTTTAACTCTACCCTATCTTGTTTTTCCTTCAGCTCTTCTCTGCCCTAGACCTTTCTGTACTTCTTGTCTATCCTACTCTTCCTCTTCTACTCTAAAGAACCTTATCCTACATAGTTTTAGGTGAATTTAAATTGCCTACTACACTCTTTCGAAAAATTTAAAATTTAAATATTTTCAAAAGATTTTAATAGTAAATAGAAAACTTTTTAAATCTTGTTATTGTTATTTCAGATGCAGTGGAAATCCTCCGCTTCCTAAATTACCCTAGACTTGTTTCAATTGAAAACTTCCGAACACCCAACTTTCCACTAATGGCCGAGATTGTGGAATGGACAGTGAAGAAGTAAGTGCAGTAGAACTCCTGTATAACGAATTGCTAAGAACTTTTTAATTTGTTCGACATAGTAGATTTTTATCATGGAGTAGTTTGTTATGCAGGAATTCAACTGTGATCACATAATTTTTTTAGGTTTGATCCAAACTATCGTGTGCCAAAGAACATTGATACTGAACAAAATCGAGTTTTGTTCGTCAAAACTTGTGTTTTAGCATTTATTCAGAAAGCTAGAGTCAAAATCAATCCAAAGAACTTGTATCAGGTAATGCAACCCTAACCTTTTCTTTGTTATTGACTGTGCTTCAGCACCTTTCTCAAAAACCTTACCCTAGTCATCGCTTTGGCTTACAACATGTCTTGTCTTACCATTGTTCAATTTAAGGTTACTGTAGCTCTTGTTCTAGCTTTTATCTTTGCTGTATTTTAAGTTAACCTACCCTCCGTTGTCATTATCAGTATTAATATAAATAGTTCTACCTTATCCTAGCTTTACTTTATCCTAATAATATTCTAGTCTAGTCATATCATACCCTAGTACCACCCTAACCAAGCCTCATCCTACTCTTGTTACTTTCGAGTTTAGTTTCATCCTACCCTAGTTCTACCTTACTCTTGTTACCCTTGAGCTTACAAGGAAGGTACCCGACCTGCAACGCTCAGGTTTCGTTCAAACTTTTTTTATTGAAAGGTCACGTAAATGTAAGATGTTATGCAAAATTCTAAGTTGCGGTTTGCGGCCAGTCTTGAGAAAATCGAGATCGAAAAATTGCGTTTTGGATTTCCCGCCAAATTGGCATTGTGTTTCAAGCTTATAACTTTGCCATTTTTTGACTTTTAATCATTTTTCTTTAATATGCTAGTAAAAAACCCTTAAATGAACCTACATTTTTAAATTTGTAAGTTTCGCTTGGCTGGAAAGTCGAAAAAAGTGCTTGAAACACAATGCCAAATTTGCCAAATTGGCGGGAAATTTAAATATTTAAAATTGAAAACTCAAAGCGCAAGCTAAAATGTTCCATAGGTACTAATGGTACTACAAAGAATTCGTATAAAAATTTTGAGCTGATTCTGAGAGTTGCAGATTGGGTACTTTCCCTGTTAGTCCCACCTTACCCTAATCCCACCATACCTCATCTTGCTCTAATGCTCTTCTTGTTTTCAGTCTGATGGCTACGCAGTCCGTGAACTGTTGCCAGTATTGAAGTTGTTATACGATGGGAATAAGCAAAACGTTTCTGATGAAAGTGCCACCAAAACTCAACTTCAAGTCTTGAGGTCTGAAATTTCAACCAAGGTGCGGTTTCTTTTTGTAAAATACGTTCTTTGAAATGTATCAAATGTTGAACTAGAGATAAGGCAAGGGCTATGATCTAAGGCTCGAATGTATCCTGGTTAACTTACTGTGTTTTAGAGACAAGAAATCCGGGACTGCATCAACAAAGTGCTGGAGCTACCACAACAAAGTGCCACATTATATGACTTGCTGGCCAAAGAATTGGTGACGAGGGTAGGCTTCAAACTTCAAAGGGACTACTTTAATCAAAAAACTCATCAAATCCTCATTCCTAATGAAGAATGTCATAAAATTTTCATTTCTAATGATTATTACCTAAAATCCTTCAGGAAGCTCGCACCAGAGCCCTCAGCCAATCACTAAACGTTAGAGACGTCGAAACCACGTTAAGAACGATGATTGAGAACGTTCGAGAACAGTGGACTGAAATCGAAAATCGAATGAAGAATCTGGGAAGTGATGAGAAGACTTTGGACGAAAAAATCGACCGAAGAGAGAGAGAACTCGACCAGTTACACAAACGATTGATCAAACTGCAGGTAGGCTGGGTAAAATACGCACTGATAATAAGACTATTTTTACATAAAGTGGCGAGAACTTTCTTTACAAAGCATAAAGTGGCAACAACTTTCTTTACAAAATTTAAAATGGCAACAACTTTCTTTACAAATCATAAAATGGCAAGAACTTTCTTTACAAAACAAAAACGAACTTACTTCGTATAACTTGTCACCCGCAAGCTGCAAAACGGCCAAGTTCGGCCTAAGAAATGAGGAACGCAATAACTTTCTTTACAAAGCGAAAAATAGCAAAAACTTTCTTTACAAAACAATAAACAGCAAGAACTTTCTTTACAATACAACAAATGGCAAGAACTTTTTTTACAAATCATAAAATGGCAAGAACTTTCTTTATAAAACAAAAAATAGCGAGAACTTTGTTTACAAAACAAAAAATGGCAAGAACTTTCTTTACAAACTAAAAAATTTAAAAAATTAAAATCCCAAAAATCAAAAAAAATTTTTATTTAAAAAACTCGTATGTATTGATCGATGGTGATGAATAACTAGAGTCTTGATGATCCTAATAGCGATTCCTGCTGTGTTTTGGTTTGCAACAACACGAACATATCAATACGGAAATTAGTAGTACAACTATACCCACGCCGGCGGCCACGAAGTACCAGTTTCTGAAAAAAAAATTTCCGTAAAAAAATTTTAAAAAATTCAAAAAATTTAGAATTTTAAAACGGCGAAAAAATGAAAAAGCAGGCCAAGCTAAACTTAAAACGGACTAGCTAAAAACTTAAAATAAACATACTCTTGAAGAACATCAGTGAATGTTCTCACGGTCGTAGTTCCAAAAATCGTGTCCTAAAGTACATAACAACTTTAGTATGACCTTTTAATCAGATTCTAGGGGTGTTAGAAGTAAAGGTGGGGTGTTAGAGGTAGACATGAGAAACGGGCCGGGCTTATTTTTCAGACCGCCTCGATCTAAATTTTGCTCAAGATCGGCTCGTTTCTCATGTATGGTTAGAGGTAAGGGTGGGGTTTCGAAGGTATGGGCCAGTCATTTTGGACTAGGGCTCTGGGCTAGGGCTCTGGGCTAGGGCTCTGAGCTAGGGCTATGGGCTAGGGCTCTGGGCTAGAACTCTGGGCTAGGGTTCTGGGCTAGAGCTGAGGCTAAGGCTGGGCGAAACTTACCCTTCCATAATTAATGCCGTCTCTTCCAATTTGTTTTCCACTTTCTATGATATCTTCAAACATTATTCTGACCGGTCGCTAGCTTTCGAAACTGATAAATATTCATTATGTTGAAATTTTTAAAAATCTTCTCAATCTACGTGAATTTTCACATTTATTTTTAAAAAAATTAAAATTGTGAATTTTTTTTGCTTATTTAGCAAGAACTTTCTTTAAAAAAACAAAAAATGGCAAATTTCTGGTTTTTTTCGTATAACTTGTCACTTGCAAGCTGCAACAGTCAGACAAGAAAAATATGGCCAAAATAATAAGAAACGCAATAACTTTATTTACAGAACATAAAATGGCAAGAACTTTCTTTACAAAACAAAAAAATGGCAAGAACTTTCTTTACAACACATAAAAAATTCCAAAAAATCAAAATAAAAAAATTTATTTAAAACTCTCGTGTGTATTAACCGGTGCCGATGAACATCTGATGTTCTGATGGTCTTCTACTGTTGTTGGTTCTTCTTTTTTGCTGCGCAGCAACAACACACTGACAAGACAAGGATTAGGACAAGCACAGCCACACCGCCAGCCACAAAGTACCAATTACTGAAAAAAATAGGGTTTTAGGTAAAAAAATTCAAAGATTCATTAAAAATTTAAAAAAAAATCACAAAATTTTTTTGAAAATTTTTTAAAGGTTTAAAAATTAATTTAAAAAAAATGAAAAAATAAATAAAAATTTCGAAATTTCAAAAAATTCAAGAAATTTTTAAAAATAAAAAAAATCAATAAAAATTTGCAAAATTTCAAAAAATTTTTTCTAAAAATTAATTAAAAGTGTAAAAAAATTTAAAAAATTAAAAATAAAAAATAAATAAAGATTTCAAAATTTCAAAAAATTCGAAATTTTTAAAAATAAAAAAAATCAATAAAAATCTACAAAATTTAAAAAAATTTTAAAAAAAATTTTAATTTCAATATTAATGAAAAATATTAAAAAACCCAGCCAAAAATTTAAAAAATTGACAAAAATGAATTTAAAACAAGATCAAATAGACCTAGCCAAAAAAAATAAACACTTAAAAAAAAACTCACTCTATAAGAACATCAGTGAAGGATTGATCGGCGGCGGTAGTTCCCAAAAGATTGTCCTAAAATAAAAAACGTTTTGGTATAGCCTGTTGTGAGGTACAGGCTACTGTAGGTAAGGTAATGTTAAGAGCTGAGGCTACGGTAAGGTAGAGACAGGCGCATTTTTGAGTCAGGAGTAGACTATAAAATAATGGTGGATTTTTCTAGATAGGGGTAGAGTTATAAAAGGTAGACGTAAGAGTAAAGTTTTAAAGGTAAAGGCGGGGTTTTTAAGGTATTTTAAGGGGGGGGGGTTTAAAAGTAAGTGGGGGGGGGGAAGAGATTTTAAGGGTAAGGGTGGGGTTATAAAGGTAAGGATCGGTTTTTAGGGCAGGGTAAAGTAGTGATTTTTAAGGTAAAGGCCGATGATTTAGGCAGGGTAAAAATTTTTTAAAAAAAGCGTAAGGTTTTAAAGGCAAGTACGGGTTTTTAGGCTAAAGTAGTTAAAGTGCTCAACTTAAGGCTCTGGGCTAGGGCTCTGGGCTAGGGCTCTGGGCTAGGGCTCTGGGCTAGGGCTCTGGGCTAGGGCTCTGGGCTAGGGCTCAGGGCTAGGGCTCTGGGCTAGGGCTCTGGGCTAGGGCTCTGGGCTAGAGCTCTGGGCTAGAGCTCTGGTCTAGGGCTCCGGGCTAGGGCTCTGGTCTAGGGCTCCGGGCTAGGGCTCTGGCCTAGCGCTCTAGGCTAAGGTTAAGGCTCTGAGCTAGAACTGGAATAAAAACTTACTCGTCCTAAATTCACACCATCTTTTCCAAGTTCTTTTCCTCTTTCGACGAGCTCATCAAATTCGACCATTCTGACCGGTCGCTAAGTTCCGAAACAGATAAATAAAACTAAGATTTCGGCTTTTATAGCCACTTTTTACGTGACTTTTTCACATTTAAAATTTCGAAAAATTTGAATAAATTATTGTATTTTGAAAATATTTAGAAAGAACTTTCTTTACAGAACAAAAAACGGCAAGAACTTTCTTTACAAATCAAAAAATGACAAGAACTTTCTTTACAGAACAAAAAATGGCAAGAACTTTCTTTACAACTTATAAAATGGCAAGAACATTCTTTACAAAACAAAAAACGGCAAGAACTTTCTTTACAAAACAAAAAATGGTAATTCATTCGTATAACTTGTCACCCGCAGACTGCAGGAAAGCTATATATTTTTATATTTTAGTCCTTCCGCCCACCTCACATGGACGAGTACGAACGTCAAGAAGCTCGGCTACAATCCCTCTACAACGAATACATTTTACAATTTCGAAATCTGACATATTTAAACGAGAAACTGTTGGATGTGGAGAGGACGGAGAAAGAAAAAAGCGAAGAAGCCGAGCGATCCATGAGGCTTACGGTAGAAAAGATGAAGGATGACAACAAGAGATTGCCTCAATTGAGTGGAGCGGAGATGGAGAATGTAAAGCAGAATGGTAAGGCTATAGTTAGCTATGGTTAGGTACGGCCCAGCCCAAGGTCGAACTGGGTCTATTGTAAGCCTTATTGCTTGGGGACAGAGGAGGAGGAGGGGGGGGGGTAAAGAATTTTTTTTAATTGAATGTGGTCTTCCCTGTGGATTCTCTCGGCTCCTGTCACGAGACTAAAAGTGCGCGCTCGGTCCTGGCTACAGTAATCATTATTGTCAAGCTTAAGAGTAAGGTACGGAAAAACAGAAGCTTGGGTAGAAAGCAGGGTAGGGGGTGATGACAACAGTAGAGTCATGTTAATTCAAGGTATGCCTAGGACTGGATGGGGGGTTTTATAGAGGCTATTGAAGCGGCCAATAATGCTGTAGGGGCTAAGGCAGATTACGGCTAAGGTAAGCTAGAATACAGTAAGATAAGATAAAGTTGGGTTGGGTAGGGTAAGGTAGATCAATTTAAAACAAACTAATCTAGGATAGAGTAGGGTAGGGTAGGGTAGGGTAGGGTAGAGTAGGGTAGGGTAGGGTAGGGTAGGGTAGGGTAGGGTAGGGTAGGGTAGGGTAGGGTAGGGTAGGGTAGGGTAGGGTAGGGTAGGGTAGGGTAAGGTAGGGTAGGGTAAAGTAGGGTAGGGTAGGGTAGGGTAGGGTAGGGTAGGGTAGGGTAGGGTAGGGTAGGGTAGGGTAGGGTAGGGTAGGGTAGGGTAGGGTAGGGTAGGGTAGGGTAGGGTAGGGTAGGGTAGGATAGGATAGGGTAAAGCTTCAGCATGGTAAAACTAATGCTCCTTCTTCTAGTCATCAAATTCTATGGCAACATGACTGGCGCTGGAGTATCAGATGATGAAGATGATGACGATTACGATGAGAATGTTGATGACATGAAGATCAACGAGCTTGATGATGTTGATACGACTGATGACGAGCTTGATAACGATCAATCAATGACTAGAAGACGGGATCGTCAACAGACTTTGAATTGGAATGACAATGTTGTGAATGACAGTCAAGGGTTTGAAGAAAATGGCATTGAAAAGAGGCAGGACAGTGAGAAGATCGATGATAATGACAGTGATGACAACTTTTAATAAGTTTTGTAATTTTGAAAGTGGTATTAAAAATTATGACATTTTTCATTAGAAACGAGCATTTGATGCCATCTTATGCAAAATGACATTTTAAAAATAATTTATTAGCCAATAAGTACAATATAATAGCACTATTATATTACATTAGTTATTATTATTAATATTACAACGTCGTCGTATGTTCAGCCAAGTTTGTGTTTTACAAGTATGGGGTACCCGGTGTTTGTCCATGAAAGACGTAAGGATTGTAGGTACTATATAGTACGATTATAATAGTAGAAATCGTAGATACTATACAGTACTATGATGATAGTTGGGATGGTAGGTACTGTACAGTACTATGATAATAGTAGGAGTTGTAGGTACTATATAGTACGATGATAATAATAGGTCTTGTAAGTACTATATAGTACCAAACTCATGTGGTAACCTTCCCGCAATGTCCACATGTCTGGGGACAATATGCCTTCATGACAAAGAAGAATGACACTTTTCTACAGTAATCCTTGAAGCCAGGGCAATCCAGGAAATGATCATGGCACTCGGAAGCTAAAATAGGTTGTAGTTACTGTAGAATACAATAAGACAGTATAATGCTAACAAAAAGATATAAAATTGTTAGAGAGTTAGGGTAAGGAATACAAGTTAGAATTGTGTTTTTGGGGTAGATATAGTTTTTTTTAATTTAAGAAGTAGCCAGTTCTAGCCTTAGTCTTAGCCCAAATGCCTAGCCCAAAGCTCTAGCATAGAGCCCTAGCCCAGAGCCCTAGCACAGAGCCCTAGCTCAGAGCCCTAGTCCAGAGACCTAGCCCAGAGCCCTAGCCCAGAGCCCTAGCCCAGAGCCCTAGCCCAGAACCCTAGCCCAGAACCCTAGCCCAGAGCCCTAGCCCAGAGCCCTAGCCCATTTCTAGCTCTAGCCTGAGCTTTACCTAACCATACTCTAGCCAAAGCCAAGCCCTGCCCCATCCTATCTCGCTCAACTTTTACTCTAGCCGTAGCCTCAGTTCTAGCCTTACAATACCATAGCGCTAGCTTCAGTCTTACTACAGCTTCCATCTAGCCATACCTATAGCCAGGCCCAAGCCCTCCTTCTCATATCATATATAATGCCTATTAAAGGTCCTACTCAAACCCTACTCTTTTATTAATCCTTACACAAACCTATCCTCACCAGTCCTAGTTTTCTATTCTAGCCTAACATTATCATAGCCACCCCTAAACCCCATGCTACCTCATTAAACAAAGTACCGTTCTTTTTATTGTAAACCATACTATACGATTTTTCATCTCCTTCCTTTTAAGTTACTGTACCTACATATACAGCATGCGCAAAAAGTTCTGTTACAAAATAATATTGTATAAACCACACTATGAAATGATGTTATCTCCTCTTGCAGGTAACATGCCTTCATATAACCCGTGCTACAATATTAAGTTGTCTCTCAGTCGTAGCCGCCCTCAAGCTCTACTCTGTTATCTTAAGTTACTGTACTTCAATATAAACTACACTACAAAAAATGTTAGTATTCACACTTGTATCCCTTACCACTCTCCGCCTTCCCCTTCTTACTCCCTTTACTTTTGGTTAACGGACTTTTTGTGGAAGCCGAATCCTTGGCCACGCTCGTGGCCAGCTTTCCAACAATTGGTAACAAAGGTGGCAACGTAGTCTTGGCTTTAGTCCTTGACCTTGAAAATACCGACTTTTTGGCGGTTTTTGGTGCACATTGGTACAGTTTGTTGAGTTTGACCACGTCCAGTTCGCTTAGATCTTTGGCTGAGCCAATTACCGTGGTAAAGCCGTCCTCGACCGTTTCTATCGTGTTTTTACCGTTCCGAGAGAAGGCGGCTGAATCGTAATGCATTATTGAGCGGTAGTCGTATTTTACTCCTTGTGTGTCCTGAAATGGCAGTTTTTAAATAAAAATTTTGAAAATTGATGACATTTTTCATTAGAAATGAGGATTTTATGACATTTTTCAATAGAAATGAGGATTTTATGACATTTTTCATTAGAAATGAGAATTTTTTGACATTTTTCATTCGAAATGAGGATTTTATGACATTTTTCATTAAAAATGGGGATTTATGACATTTTTCATTAGAAATGAAGATTTATGACATTTTTTATTAGAAATGCAGATTTTATGACATTTTTCATTAGAAATGAGGATTTATGACATTTTTCATTAGAAATGAGGATTTATGACATTTTTTATTAGAAATACGAATTTTATGACATTTTTCATTAGAAATGCAGATTTTATGACATTTTTCATTAGAAATGAGGATTTATGACATTTTTTATTAGAAATGCAGATTTTATGACATTTTTCATTAGAAATGAGGATTTATGACATTTTTCATTAGAAATGAGGATTTATGACATTTTTCATTAGAAATGAGGATTTATGACATTTTTCATTAGAAATGAGGATTTATGACATTTTTCATTAGAAATGAGGATTTATGACATTTTTCATTAGAAATGAGGATTTATGACATTTTTCATTAGAAATGAGGATTTATGACATTTTTTATTAGAAATACGAATTTTATGACATTTTTCATTAGAAATGCAGATTTTATGACATTTTTCATTAAAAATGAAGATTTATGACATTTTTTATTAGAAATGCAGATTTTATGACATTTTTCATTAAAAATGAGGATTTATGACATTTTTCATTAGAAATGAGGATTTATGACATTTTTTATTAGAAATACGAATTTTATGACATTTTTCATTAGAAATGCAGAGTTTATGACATTTTTCATTAGAAATGCAGATTTTATGACATTTTTCATTAGAAATGAGGATTTATGACATTTTTTATTAGAAATACGAATCTTATGACATTTTTTATTAGAAATGCAGATTTTATGACATTTTTCATTAGAAATGAGGATTTATGACATTTTTTATTAGAAATACGAATCTTATGACATTTTTATTAGAAATGCAGATTTTATGACATTTTTCATTAGAAATGAGGATTTATGACATTTTTCATTAGAAATGAGGATTTATGACATTTTTTATTAGAAATACGAATTTTATGACATTTTTCATTAGAAATGCAGATTTTATGACATTTTTCATTAGAAATGAGGATTTATGACATTTTTTATTAGAAATGCAGATTTTATGACATTTTTCATTAGAAATGAGGATTTATGACATTTTTCATTAGAAATGAGGATTTATGACATTTTTCATTAGAAATGAGGATTTATGACATTTTTCATTAGAAATGAGGATTTATGACATTTTTCATTAGAAATGAGGATTTATGACATTTTTCATTAGAAATGAGGATTTATGACATTTTTCATTAGAAATGAGGATTTATGACATTTTTTATTAGAAATACGAATTTTATGACATTTTTCATTAGAAATGCAGATTTTATGACATTTTTCATTAAAAATGAAGATTTATGACATTTTTTATTAGAAATGCAGATTTTATGACATTTTTCATTAAAAATGAGGATTTATGACATTTTTCATTAGAAATGAGGATTTATGACATTTTTTATTAGAAATACGAATTTTATGACATTTTTCATTAGAAATGCAGAGTTTATGACATTTTTCATTAGAAATGCAGATTTTATGACATTTTTCATTAGAAATGAGGATTCATGACATTTTTTATTAGAAATACGAATCTTATGACATTTTTTATTAGAAATGCAGATTTTATGACATTTTTCATTAGAAATGAGGATTTATGACATTTTTTATTAGAAATACGAATCTTATGACATTTTTTATTAGAAATGCAGATTTTATGACATTTTTCATTAGAAATGAGGATTTATGACATTTTTTATTAGAAATACGAATCTTATGACATTTTTTATTAGAAATGCAGATTTTATGACATTTTTCATTAGAAATGAGGATTTATGACATTTTTTATTAGAAATACGAATCTTATGACATTTTTTATTAGAAATGCAGATTTTATGACATTTTTCATTAGAAATGAGAATTTATGACATTTTTTATTAGAAATACGAATTTTATGACATTTTTTATTAGAAATGCAGATTTTATGACACTTTTCATTAGAAATGCAGATTTTATGACATTTTTCATTAAAAATGAGGATTTATGACATTTTTCATTAGAAATGAGGATTTATGACATTTTTTATTAGAAATACGAATTTTATGACATTTTTCATTAGAAATGCAGAGTTTATGACATTTTTCATTAGAAATGCAGATTTTATGACATTTTTCATTAGAAATGAGGATTTATGACATTTTTTATTAGAAATACGAATCTTATGACATTTTTTATTAGAAATGCAGATTTTATGACATTTTTCATTAGAAATGAGGATTTATGACATTTTTTATTAGAAATACGAATCTTATGACATTTTTTATTAGAAATGCAGATTTTATGACATTTTTCATTAGAAATGAGGATTTATGACATTTTTTATTAGAAATACGAATCTTATGACATTTTTTATTAGAAATGCAGATTTTATGACATTTTTCATTAGAAATGAGGATTTATGACATTTTTTATTAGAAATACGAATCTTATGACATTTTTTATTAGAAATGCAGATTTTATGACATTTTTCATTAGAAATGAGGATTTATGACATTTTTTATTAGAAATACGAATCTTATGACATTTTTTATTAGAAATGCAGATTTTATGACATTTTTCATTAGAAATGCAGATTTTATGACATTTTTCATTAAAAATGAAGATTTATGACATTTTTTATTAGAAATGCAGATTTTATAACATTTTTCATTAGAAATGAGGATTTATGACATTTTTTATTAGAAATACAAATCTTATGACATTTTTTATTAGAAATGCAGATTTTATGACATTTTTCATTAGAAATGCAGATTTTATGACATTTTTCATTAGAAATGAGGATTTATGACATTTTTTATTAGAAATACGAATTTTATGACATTTTTCATTAGAAATGCAGATTTTATGACATTTTACAACAACATATAAATCATACCTGTAAAGCCGGTGAAATAATGTCGAATTGACTTTCCATGCCATTTAAAATGTTTTCCCATCGAATTTTGACAAATTCGTCTCGATCAGCCCGAGAATGTTCATGCCATGCCCCCAATGAATGCATCAACTCATGAAGAACAATCTCATGGTAGAGACAGCCACGCCCCAATGAGATCTCTTGTTTTCCACCAGTCTTCCCTACTTGAGAGTAACATCTGAAAGCATTTTTAAGTTATTACCCTACCCTACCCTATCCTACTCTATCCTACTCTACTCTACCCTATCCTGTCGTACTCTAGCGCGCCGTTTTCTTCCTAACCCTACCTTACTGTGTCTTACCTTTCTCTGTTTCACTATACCCTACCCTGCCGTAATCTAGCGTATTGTTTTCTATCCTACCTTACCTTAAACTGTCATTTCTTTCCATACCCTTGCCATAGACGACGAGCTGGGCTTGTTCAAAATACAGACGGGCCAGACTAAAAAATTGGCTCGGCCTAGCCCGTCGTTCATGTCTACCCGACCTTACCTTACCCTACCCTCACAATGCTTAAAAAACCTGCCCTTACCTTAAAGAATTTACCTTAATTTCTTAAAGTCTACCCCTAATCTTAGAAATGGCTTTTCCCTACGTTACTTACAGTAGTTTTTACCTTATGTTATTCCTTGGTTTACACTATACCTAGCTCTACTTTAACTCTATCAGTACATTACGGCAGACATGAGGGCTTTGATTTTCCGACCTAAATTTAGGTCAGATTCGGCCCGTTCCTCATGTCTAGTATTCTCAAAAACCCTACCCTTTTCAACCCCATCCCTAACTTACTGTAACTTTCTGTAATGTAAAAACTATTTGAATAGTAAAACCTACCCAAGTCCTTTGACAATGTGAAGATAGTCCTTTTCACTTCCGTGAGGTCGAAATCGAATGCAAGTACGTTTCCGATACGTTCGAAACGCTTTTTCCAGTAATTTCACTTCACTTTGCGCTGTAATTTAGAAACATTGTATGTACTATATAAATGTAACTGTCTTATAAATCAATATTACTTTTAAAATTAATATTTCGTTCTTAAGCGGCCCATATTTTACAAAATTTAAACAGCAAGACATTTCGAGAACTTACGTACTGAATGCTTCATCCAGTACATATGGAACAATCCCATTCGTCCAGATCAATTGCTTGTTCTTCAGTGCATTCATTTGGACTGAAGCTGAATTCTGAAAAGATATCAAGGGTATAGAGTAAAGCAAGATGTAGAGTAACTATGAGCTGGGGTAGCGTAGAAAAAGTTTTAAGGTGAAAATGAGCTAAGGTAGGTTAGAGAAAGGTATATATTAAATGCCGAAATAAAGAACCCGCCATTTTTTACAGGAAGCTACAGGAAAAGTATGGCGAGTTCTTTATGTCGGCACACAATAGTAAATATTAGGTTGTTCACTTGATTCTGCTCTCCTTTTTACACAAATTTCTGTCGTTATGGGGCGCAAGATTAAGTGAACGACTTCAAACTAAGGTAAGGTAGAGAAAGATTTAAAGAAAAAATGACCTAGGGTGATTACAGTAAGGCCATGCTGAAGTAGGGCATAACAAAGTCTGGATAGGAGCTGCTTGGCGCATTAGTAAGGGTTTTTAAAACGACCAAAGTAGGTGTAGAGGCGAAAGACAGCTATAGTGAGGGCTACAATAAGGACTACGGTTAGGTTATGTTAAAGTAGGGTAAGGAAAAAACGGAAGTTAAAGTAGAACAAGGATAAAGCAAGGGTATGAGCTATGGGTAAGACTAAATAACTAACTAGATAGGGTACGGTAAGGGCAGGTGCTAAAGCTGAAGATCTAGGCTAGGGCTCTGGGCTAGGGCTCTGGGCGAGGGCTCTGTGCTAAGGCTCTGGGCGAGGGCTTTGAGATAGAGCTAGGGCTTTTGACTTACCAGCTTCTTAATCATGCTAGAGTCAACACCATCAATGTCTCCTTGGAACTTTCCTGAAATTTTTTTATTTAAATTTTAAAATTTCAAAATTTTTTTTTAATTAAAAAACATTTAAAAAATTTAAAACCAACCGCTCCTAATCCACATAGGTTCTTTCAACTCATCATTCAAGCCCTCCATGGCTAACGGGTCATCTATATCTAGATCGTCCAGATCCTCATCCTCAGTTAGTCTTCTATCATCATGTTGATCCAGCCCGCGTTGCAAAAGTAATGGCAGTTGATTAACATTGGCTGGCAATTCATGAAAAACTGAGCTTAATTGTGCTACAGTGATATCTACAGTAGCTAATAGTAGAAAGGTTAGAAGATATTGTGATATACACCTTGAGGTATAGCTGATTGGGGTGGATAATATGTTGTTATGACATTTCTTTCGACTCCCAGTTTTCATAATAATACAGTATGACAAACCAGGCTTATGTCGGATGAATTTTGACTATTTTCTTCAATTTTTGCTGCTTATATAGGCAAAATTGGCACAAGTTCAAAGTTATATTATAGTAGGTAAGGATGATCAAAAGATGACCGTTATAAGCCCAAAACAGATAAAATTAGACACTTTAGCCTTAGTATCTCAAAAATAAGATAACTTAGCACTAGAAGCACAATAATCTATGTACAGTTGTAAAATACTAGCTTTGATAACGACCAGGTTATATTATAGTAGGCTATCAACTTCAATAAAGAAAATAAGATGGTACCACTGGTCTAACGCCAGTTTGATCAGCCTGAAACAATAAAATATAAATTTGAAATTTAAAAAGCGGTTTAAAAAGTACTATTACAGAGTAAAAATTTTCAAAATAGTAAAGTTACAAGGCTTCAAACGCGACATGGTCATGTTAGACCATAATGATAATTTCAGAGTTCAAGTGCTCAGTAAACAAGAATTTGTTAGAGTTTAAAAATAGACAAAACCTTTGAAAATCAGTTTTTCCCGTAGGATCAGCCCTGGTCCAGCCATAGCTCTAGCTTTAAGCTTAGCTAAAGACTTGGCTCTAGCTCTAGTCCCAACCTTGTATGAAGCTTCTTCTAGCATTGCCTTTTATAGGCTTAGCCTAGCCCTGCCTTAGTCTTAGTTTTAGCTTTAGCTCTAGCCCTAGCTCTAGACCTATTCCTAGCCCTTGCGTTACATCTATTCCTAGTCACATCCCTAATCCTTGCTTTAGTAGGCTAGCCCATTTTTAAATAAAAAAAAAGTCTTAAAAAGCCGCTTATATTGTTCATGACAAGACCCCCCTAAATAGTCAGAATAGCAGTTTTAGCCAAATTCATTGAAAAAGTTTTTGTTTTATGACACATTTCCTAAGGCACTTCGTATTTTTCATAATTTCAATATTTTAAAAAATAAAAAAAGTTAAATTAAAAACCCCCTCCAAAAAACTTTTTATCAAACTGATGATTCACCCGGCCGAAAAACTTAAAAATGGTTTTACAAAAAAAAGTGCGAAAACCCCTCGAGGCAAAAATTAATTCGGCCGTCGTTGTGGTTTAGCGGTCAAAGTTGCGCGACCAACAAAAATAAAAAGGGAAATGCGACTAATCGCAGCGACCAACCGGTTTCGGAGGCCCTTCTTCACCTCGTACACGTCCGAAAAGAAGCGACCGGAAATTTGCAAGCCTTAGGCTCTATTTGAGTTTACAGAGATGGGGGGGGAGAGAAATTTGCATAAAAAAGTCACGCAAAGAGTGGATTTTTTTTGAGATTAGAGAAGGCGGGGGTGTTAAAAGGAAGGGGGGGGGGAGGATATTGAGGGGGGGGATATTGAGGGAAGGGGGAGGATATTGAGGGGAGGGGGAGATATTGAGGAGGAGGGGGGGGGGGGTGTTAGGAAGAGTTGTGAATGGTAGGGGGGGGGGAGGGTGAAGGAAGGAAAGGTAATAAAGTTGGTTTTTGTGTTACAATCAAGCAAGGCACGGCAAGACAGGGCAGTACAAGGACAATAAAATTCAAAAACAGACCAACAAATCTGCATCCTAGGCCTATAAAACAGCATTTTAGGCCAAAAACCTTAAAAAAAATAAACTTTTTTAAAGTCAGAAACAATTTCAAAACCCTATATATTAAAGGAATATATTTTCAGACCGTATTTTACCAAAAAACCCCTTTTTCATAACAAAAACGACAAAAAACGAGCCAAAAAGCATGTTCCGACCAGCCGGATTCGAACCAGCGACCTAAGGATTTCCGCTTCAACTACAGTCCTCCGCTCTACCAACTGAGCTATGGTCGGACATGGCTGTAAAGCGTTTCGAAAGGTATTTGATGGTGGGATGGGGTTATGATAGTAATAATAAGGGCATTTTTGAAGTGATAATAGGAATGTTTTTTAAATTTTTTAAATTTTTTATAAAAATCTGTTGTTTTAGACTACGGCTATAAAAAAATAAAGTTTTTCAAAAAATTTTTTTTGATTTAAAAATTTTTCAAGTTATAGTAGACTACAATAATATATAGTAAAAATTCTTCAGAAAGCCATCCTAAACCTATACTAAGCCTACTGAATAAAAAAATCAAAAAAAGTTGTCCAGCTTTAGTCATCACGCTTTTCAACACCTACTACAATATAGGTTGACGCGAAAACAAGACGAGAATCATCCCCCAAATAGAAAAACGTTTGTTTTGGGACCCTGAAGGTACGATTTTATTTGTCCGAGCCTTCGGCTGATCTAAACGGAAGTGGAAAATCAGAAAAAAAAGTCTCGAGCCTGTCGCTGCGACTAATATCCGTCTGTTTTTACCTCGCGCAAGTTCGGGAAGTCAAAAGCTTGACGGGGAAGTGAGGATTATATTAATGAGCATGGTGATGACTAAGTGAAAAAGAAGTGATATTAAGTCTAGAATCATTAAAATTAGAACTAAAAGAGGCTGGACTGGACTAGAATTAAATAGCCAGGCTGGTCTAGGCTGGCTTAACCTAAACTGGCTTGGGCTTGTCTGGGCCGGCATGGGCTTTCATGGGCTGGTCTGGGCTGGCATGGACCGGACTACACTAAGCTGAACTGGGCTGAGCAAGGCTTAAATAAATTGGACTAGGATGAACTTGGCTGGGCTGGGCTGGGCTGGGCTGGGCTAAGCTAAAATGAGCTGGGCTCAGCTGGGATGGGCTGGGTTTAACTTGGCTTAGCTGAATGGACTATGCTAGGCTAAACTGGACTAGAATGAACAGTGCCGGGCTGGGCTGAGCTGAACTGGGCTCAACGGGCTGAACTTGGCTTATCTAGGTCTGAGCTGCGCTGGGTTAAGCTGGACTGGACTGGGATAGGTTAAACACGAGAAGGCCAGTCCAGAGCAAGGGTAAGAGCAAGACAAGACAAACTTGAAAAAGCTGGACCGGGCCGGATCGTACAGACCCGACAACCGGACCTGAATGAAGGTTTCAAGAGCCCAGTTTAGGTCCCGCAACGAAAGCTTTAATTTACTAAAAGTGTAAAACAAATCTGATTTTAAAACTTTTTATTTAATTTCATTTTTGAATAATTTTAAAATTTAAAAAATAATTTAAACCATAGTCTGTCGATAAAACCGATCTTCTTCAATATTATACAGAAATGGCTCGAAACAATCGACCAGTTCCACTTTGTCCCAACTATCGACCAATTTAATGTAGCGACTAAATGGTACGTATTTCGTTGGTAGTGCTGTTTTGGTATAAGTTTCATCGACCGGAGTCATTGGTCGACTTTCAGCCAAAGTTAGTAGGCTTTCCAGTGATGGTACTCTTTGAAGTGGTACTGTAGCTTTGTCTGACTTTTTAATGACTTTCGCTTTGGGAGTGGAGCGGGGCTTATAACGAGTGTCTTCGTGGGTTTGATAGTGGCGTTTTCCTGGAAAAATACTGTATATAAGGCTAGTTACCGTACCCTACCGTACCGTACCCTACCCTACCCTACCCTACCCTACCCTACCCTACCCTACCCTACCCTACCCTACCCTACCCTACCCTACCCTACCCTACCCTACCCTACCCTACCCTACCCTACCCTACCCTACCCTACCCTACCCTACCCTACCCTACCCTACCCTACCCTACCCTACCCTACCCTACCCTACCTTACCCTTCCCTACCCTACCTTACCCTAGCCTACTCTACCCTGTCCTACCTTACCCTACCGTATCCTCCCTTCGCCCTCCTGTAATAAACCACAGCCGATACTATTGCCTTGCCCTAGAACGACCATATGTTAGCCATTCTTTGCCTTGCTCTACTTGACTCACCACTTTACTCTATCCTTCTTTACTTTGCCCTATCTTGACCTACTCAACCCCTTAGCTCTACTTCTACCTTAACATACTCAAATTTACTGCGGCACTTTATCCTACTTCTGCTCTTCTCTATTCTAACCTATCCTACCCTCTAGCTCTACCTAATTTACTGCATTACCCTACCATATCCTGTTCCACTCTATTCTAGCCTACCTTACCCTACCTTCTAGCTCTACCTCTATGGTATTATACTACACTCTAAGTTACTGCCCTATCTTTAGAATTTGTGTTTCAATTTTAAATTTAAAACCTCACTCTTTCCACTACCTTTCACCTTCTCAACAACATTAGCTTTGACATAAGGAGGACTTTTCCATTCATCTTCATCATCACAACACTGATTTTTCTTATCCAAATCCAAGTTTTTGGCAGGAAAAAGACGAGTACGTAGTTTCATTTCAATTAAATTTGACTGACTTTCCGTAAAATCTTTCCTTAGGCTTTTTCGTACGACTGAATCACGTTCGTATCGCCTTGGCATGAGTAAGAAAAGGGCCAGCGTTACGAGCTCCATTGGGTCATGCAGAAAGACCTTTACGAGGTCGGACATTGGCTTGTGATACTATAAGAAAAAAAATTTTTTAATTTCAAAAAAAACTTTTTACATTGTCATTTTGCATAAAATTTTATAAAAATTAAATGTCATGATAATTTTGAAAATTTCATCACGGCCAGGAGAATGTTCATACCATTCCCCTAATGAATGCATCAACTCATGGAGAACAATCTCATGGTAAAGATAGCCACGCTCTAATGAGATCTCTTGCTTTTCACCAGTTTTTTCTACTTAAGAGTAACATCTGAAAGCATTTTTAAGTTATTACCCTACCCTACCCTACCTTACTCTACCCTACCCTAAACTACCCTGCCCTGCCCTATCTTACCCTACTCTATCCCACGAAACATCAAATTTTCCTATCCTACCACATTCCAAACTGCTCTACTCTAAACCACCAACCTTGTTTTCTCATCTTTGTCTCAAATTTAAACGACCATACACAACGCTAACAATACGCTGGTTTATGTGTATCTACCGTGCCTAAATGAATCTTCACCTATCCAAAACAGCGTTTACCTGCTTGATTAGTACCGATATTAAAAAAATCAACCCAGAAGCCAAAATAAATAAATAAAGCCCCAGTTGACTTTTTTTAAGAACCCCTTTCCTCCCCAGAAAAAAATTTTCAAAAAAAAGTTGAACGTGTTCCCTCCCCCCCCTTTGAATTTTAGGAAAAAAATTTCGCCCTGTGCCGATTTTTTCGACCCCCGCCCCCAGACCAAAAGTCCCCGCCCGGTCCTGTTTACAGGCAAAATAAGATATTACTACTTAAACAGAAACAAAAAAAATCAAAAAATTTCAGTAGCCTTAATCACTAATTGAACCGTAGCCAAAACAAAAAAGAGGGTTTCTTGTGTTTTTTTTTCTTCTTTTGAATCATATCAAAAAGCTAACTCATTACAACAAGAAAAAAAAGTAGAAAACCGTAGCCAAAATCAATATCCTAACACTAACTTTAGAAATCACAATAATACCTATTCTTCTAAAACGACTACTTACATTTATCAATAAATCAAAGTAAAACAACATTAAATTATCAGATCGTATTGGGTTGTTCAAATAATTCTGAGCTCCCACTCCCCGAAAATTTGCTCTCAGAAAGGCTCAGCATTATTTGAACAACCTATTAGGCTCGAATACCCTGTCCAGCACACATAACCTTATCATAGTTGAGCCACACTCAGGCCGCCAACATTGACGGAACAGGTTACAAAGTAAAACAAGTTCAAAACTGCAGAGTTTCTCTTTTCACGTATTCCACACACTTTGATGGGTCAGTAGCATAGTAATCCTGACATTTTGTGATGATTCTCTTCACTCCATGAATATACTTTCGCTGAGTTTCGTCGTTCAGAACATGAGCAACATTAGAGACATAGGCTTTGGCCGACCCTGGCCGTTGATGGATACCGGATCGTGTTACTCCCATTGGCCATGGTGCATTTCCGATCGCCATCTCCATATAAGCGTTGTTGGCCTAAACATGGCAGACATTAAAAAAAACTAAAAAATTTCAAAAAATTTGAAAAAAAATTGCTTTGGAAAAAAAAGTTTTTGCCATTTCTCTTTTTAAAGAACTTTACACATAAAATGACGTAAAAATCAATAAAATTACCTAAAACATCAAAAACAACCTCATACCTGCACAAAATCCCTGTCCAACACACATAACCTTATGATTTTGCACAAATGTCCTCGGATGTCATTTGGACATTGATGTGCCCTCAACTGTCCCATTAAAGGTCGCAAATTAGTCATGGTTTGAATATGCGTACCTGACTCTAATTTACCCACTGGAGATCGTTTTACTTCTTCATTTCGGTTATTGAGATCATTTCCCCACTTTTTCAGAATATGCACCAAGAACGAATGAATAATATCGCAATCCCGGTTTGTGTCGTTGTCACGGTCAAGCAGCGTGGCCATGGACTAAAAATAGTCATGTTTTAACTTTTTTAACAATTTAAGTTAAAGTTCACCCAAAATCCTTTAAACTTCTTTATAACTTCAGAAAACGTTATCTACAAACCTAAAATTTAACACAACTTAGCTAACATAACTTAAACAAACCGAAACTTACACTAATTTTATCCCAAGACTCTGCGTGAGAGTCTGGCATGTTAACATCGTGCTTCCCTTTCTCATATTTGTCAGACTTTCCTTTTATAACTTCATCCACCAACTCTTCGTTAACTTTATCCAAAGCCGCTTGAAACTCGTTCTTCCACCCTTCTTTAAGCTCGGGCTGTTCAATTTCCAACTTCCTGAGACGCTTTTGAGCTTCCCTAAACGTTTCTCCAAACAACAATATGGGTTCTCCTCGAGCACGAAGCCGTTTTATCACATCAACACGAGGAACCTCTGCATCATCGTCCAAGTTTATTGCTGCGGGGAAGTTGCTTGTGCTCTAAAAGATTTAAAATGTATACAAGATCGTTTAACAGAATCTTTGTTTCTGTAAATCATAAGCTGAATCAAAAAGTTGTTAGTTTCACCTAAAAATCAAACAAAATATGTAAGACATACTTCAACTTCCTCGTTTTCAAGCTTTTTCCTTTTAGATTCGACTGCCAATCGTTCTTCTTCCTTCTTTTTCGCTAAATCTGCTAACTTTAACGCTTTTGTACCATTCTGAACCAAAAATATTAAATAAAAATCACGATCTCTTAATGCAAATAAGTAAAACAGATTAACACTATACACAATCATTGAAAAACGTTAAAACTTACAATATCAGTAGCTATAGAAGATAAAGCCCGTTTCTTAGCAGCAATTAGATCTTTCAAATTGTTCATTTTGAGTTTAGAAAATATTAAAGCATCTAATTTTTATTTTTTCTGTGAAATAATATTAAGAAAAAACTTGACTCGAAATATATTGAGTCAGGTTTACTCTATTTTGAAACTGACTGAAATCTTAAAATTTACACAGTTTAGCATAAAATATAATCAGAAAAATTTGGTCAGTCAATTTAAAAAATTTTTACAGTAAAGATTACTGATAGTTTACTATTTTGTAAAAATTTTTACTTACATATCAACCTTCTGCAAGTCTCACCCCGAAAACAATGTTTGCTAAAACACAATGCCAACGAAAAATTCTTATAGGTTCTGTTCGAGAAGATTGCCGAAGAAAATGAAGGTCCATGAACAATTTTGAATACTTTTTATCCTTTCTTGTTAATTTTTGACCGTGTTATCGAGATTTTAGAGAGTTTTATTAATTTCATTGTTTTCAGGCGAAATGGCGTCAATTTCAGTGTTGAATCCTAAGGCTGAATTGGCTAGGAATGCGGCCGCTTTGGAGATGAATATTAGTGGTGCTCGTGGTCTCCAAGAGGTTATGAGGACTAACTTGGGACCTAAGGGAACTTTGAAAATGTAAGCTTTTATTTATTTTGTTTGAATTTTAGGTTGAAAGGGCTAAAACAACATGAAATTGGAGAAAATTGCTTGTTTTTTCTGTTCGAATGTTTTGAAGACCTCTTTAAGGTCTTTTGGAGCTTTTGTGTATAAGATTATGCTTTACTCTTTTAAAGGTAGATTATATGTACAAAATTATTTTACCTTATATTAACTCAAGTAAGACCAATCATCTTTTCCTTCCAGGCTTGTCTCCGGAGGTGGTGAGCTAAAACTGACCAAGGATGGTAATGTTTTGCTTCACGAGATGCAAATCCAACATCCTACAGCGTCGATGATTGCCAAAGCTTGTACTGCTCAGAACGATTCGACTGGTGATGGTACAACATCGACAGTTTTGTTGATTGGAGAAATGTTGAAGCAGGCTCAGAACTACATTGAAGAGGGTGTTCATCCTCGTCTTTTGACTGAAGGATTCAAGATTGCTCACAATGCTAGCTTGGAATTTTTGAACAAGTTCAAGGTTCAGAACAAGATTGACCGTGCTTTGTTAATTGAGGTCGCTAGAACTGCGTTGAGAACGAAATTGAATACTAAACTGGCTGATCATATTACTGAATGTGTTGTGGATGCAGTAAGTTATTAAATTTCTTGTTTTTGGCATTTAAAGTTTAAATATTTGGTAAATATTCAAGAAGCTCAACCTTAAACTTCAAAATTTTAGGTTTTGTGCATTAGAAAAGATGAAAACGACAATGAGCCGGATCTTCATATGGTTGAACTTCAACAAATGGAGCATGAATCAGATATGGACACCAAGTTCATCAGAGGTTTGGTCTTGGATCACGGAGGACGTCATCCAGATATGCCAAAGCACGTTGAGAACGCTTATGTTCTGACTTGCAATGTCTCTTTGGAGTTTGAGAAAACGTGAGTTGGGCTTTATTTTTTATTTTAATTTGGTATAATTTGGCGTATATTGTCTACAGAGGTCAAAAAGTTTGATTTTTGTGGTGGTCTATATCTAAAATATTATTTTAGGCTAATGTTTGCAATTTTAAACGTTTTTTTTATATTAAGGATAAGACCCGAGCTCTATTTAACTGTTCTAAACACGGCAATAGCCAAAAAAATGTTATTTTAGTTAAAAACGATGTTTTAAGCTTGATATTGTTGTAGCGAAGTCAACTCGGGATTATACTACAAAACCGCGGCTGAAAGAGAAAAGTTGTTGACAGCTGAACGTGAATTCATCACTAGAAGATGTGAGAAGATCATTGAGCTGAAGAAGAAGGTCTGCGTTGAAAAAGACGGCAAAACTCCTGGATTTGTCATCATCAACCAAAAGGTATGCTTTATATTGATTTTTTTGGATTTTAATGGGTTTAATAAAGCAAAATGGTAATATTAGTAATAGGTAATACTATACTGGTCATAATTTCTTTAAAAATCTGTTTTTTTATAAGTTTCTTTAAGAAGTTAAATTTCAGGGTATTGACCCACCATGTCTCGACCTATTCGCCGCCAATGGCATCCTAGCTCTCCGTCGTGCCAAAAGACGTAATATGGAACGTCTTCAATTGGCTTGTGGAGGAGAAGCTATGAACTCGGTCGACGACATGACAGAAGAACAGCTAGGATGGGCTGGTCTGGTCTACGAACATGTTTTGGGCGAAGACAAGTACACGTTCGTGGAAGAGTGCAAAGACCCAAAAAGTGTGACGATTTTGATTAAAGGACAGAACAGACACACTATTCTCCAAATTAAGGATGCTATTTATGATGGTTTGAGGGCTGTGTCCAACGCTTTGAAGGATCGTAAGTTTATGACATTTTATATTGAATTTTAAATGAAAAATATGATTTTTGGGATATTTTACAGCAGAAATGAGGATTTATGACATTTTTTATAAAAAGGGAGGATTTTACGACATTGTTTATTAGAAATGAGAATTTATGACATTTTTCATTAGAAATGAGGATTCGATGACATTTTTCATTAGAAATGAGGATTTTGTGACATTTTTCATTAGAAATGAGGACTTTATGTCATTTTTAATCTGAATTAATGGCAAAATGAAAATAATGTCATTTTAGAAGCCGTGGTACCAGGAGCCGGATCCTTTGAAGCCGCTGCTCACAATCATTTGTTGGATTTGGCCGAAAAGACTAAAGGCCGCGCCAAGCTCGGAGTTTTGGCATACGCTCACTCATTGTTGGTCATTCCAAAGGTTTTGGCCTTGAATGCTGGATTTGATTCTCAGGAAAAACTGGTGACATTATTAGAGGACCAAAAGAGCGTTGGAGGCGAAACTGCTTTGGGATTGAACTTGGACAGTGGTGATGTTGAACTCGTTAATGTAGGTTTCTATTCTTGAGGAATTTTGGTTGGTATTTTCTCTATTGTGTCGGAAATGGCATGAACTTTCTTTATAGTGCATAAAATGGCAAGAACTTTCTTTACAAAACTAAAAATGACAATAACTTTCTTTACAAAACAAAAAATTGCAAGAACTTTCTTTACAAAATTTAAAATTAAAAAAATAGTACTAAAGCTCAGAATTAATGATATTTTGCTAATTTCAGGGCATCTGGGACAACGTGTGTGTAAAGAAATGCTCTCTTCAAGCCGCCTACAACATTGCATCAAACTTGCTTCAGGTCGACGAGGTCATGAGAGCCGGTATGACCAGTCTAAAACAGAAGCCAGGCCAAGAATAAGCTTCCGCCCAAGATCTTGTTGTACCTTTTACATGATATCTTGTTTCTTTTTACAAATTTGGCAGAGTTTTTGTAGTTTAAGAAATTTAATTTTTTTTAATTTTTGAAATTAAAAAAATGATTTTTATGCTTATTTTGTAAGTTAAAGGCCTTAAAATGGCCTAAAGCTTGATTTTTTTGAAATAAAAAAAATGAAAAAATTTCGAAAATTTTTTTAAAAGTTCTTGAAATCTACGAACTCAGAAGCCATTTTTGTGGAATCCGTTGAAATCTCCGCTGTTTTTTGTTCTAATGGTCTGTGCTTTTCCATTGCTAATATCTCAAGCTTCAACTCTTGTTTGTTCCAATTTTTTGTTTTTATTTTTTGCAACACATTTGCTTACTGTAATAAATAAGTCATAAAATATGTATTTTTAAAGCTTTTTGAAAAAAAAATGAAAGTTTTGATGTTGTAGTAGGTCAGAAAGTTTAGAGAATGGGATGAAAACGGCCTGAAAGTTGATAGAAAGTGGAGAAAATTGGTCTGAAAGTTCATAGAACGTGAAAAAAAGCGGTCAGAAAGTTCATAGAAAGGTATTAGAAAGTGGTAAAAAGCGGTCAAAAAGTCAATAGAATGGAAGGTAGTTTTGAAATCAAAAATAAAATGTTTTAAAATATGAAAGTCAATAATCGGTTCGACGTTTTGACATACCAAAAACCGGTCGGATATGCTGCTCGAGTCGATTTTGAGTCTATGTCTGGTAACAGTAGCAGTTGGGGTCGGCTATGATTACTCTGTTGATGGACAGTTTACTTGGGAAGGAAACCATTGAAAGGGGTGGGTTTGGGTGGGGCAAAAGTTAGATTTAGAGGTGGATCTTTGATTTCTAAAAATTTTTTAAGAACGAGGAACATTTTGGCATGGGTAGATTTTTATTTTTTTGCGTTTTATAATAGGGCGGGGTAATTTTTAATTTTTAGGAATGGATTTGATTTTTTTTACTTTTTGGGTTGATTTACTTTCATTTTTGCTTTTTTAATAATAGGGCGGGGTAATTTTTTTATTTTGTTAGGGGGTAGGTTTACAATCTTTTTTCGTTTTTGCAATAGTAGAGCAGGGTAGTTTTTTTTAATTTTTAAAAATGAAGTTGATTTTTTTTACTTCCAGATTGTAGTACTATATGAAGAAGACACATTTTCATATAACGACTTGATTGATTCGACGACATTGAACGAAAATGGTGAATTCCACGTCTCTGGCTACCTCGAAGATCCATGGTTTCATTCAGAATGCGAGCCTTATATTCGTGGGTAAGTGGAAAGAACTTTCTTTACAAAACAAAAAATAGCAAGAACTTTCTTTACAAAACAAAAAATGGCAAGAACTTTCTTTACAAAACAAAAAATGGCAAGAAGTTTTTTTACAAACCAAAAAATGGCAAGAACTTTCTTTAGAAAACAAAAAATGGCAAGAAGTTTTTTTACAAACCAAAAAATGGCAAGAACTTTATTTACAAAACAAAAATGGCAAGAACTTTCTTTACAAATCTTAAAATGGCAAAAACTTTGTTTACAAATCCAAAAATGGCAAGAACTTTCTTTACAAAACAAAAACAGTTAAAGCACTAATTTTTAAAAGTTTTCAGCTTCCACCAATGTGGTCATCCTGGCAAACAATGTGTTATGAGTAAAAAGAGTTTGAAGATTGAATATTATGGAAATCCAGGCAAATTCGACACGGTCGACGAGAGAGCCGATGTCCTAGCCTTCGAAAAAATGTATCATAAGTTCCCGAGTTGCGACTATGTCAGAGAAGTCAATCAGCCTTACACTAATCCTAACCTAAATGGATAATCAATAAACTATTTTATATTTTAGAATTGATGATATTTCCACCCTAGCCTAAGCCTTAGTTTTAGCTCTAACCCTAGCCTTAGCTTTAGCCTTAGCCTCAGCCTTAGTCTTAGCCTTAGTCTCAGCCTTAGCCTTAGTCTCAGCCTTAGTCCTAGCTCTAGCCCTAGCTTTAGATTGGGTCGGGCCTAAGACTCAGGCTCGGTCGGTTTCTCACGTCTAGCTTAGAGTCCTAGCTTCAGCCCTGACTTCAGCCTTAGCCTCAGCGCTAGCCCACAGCCGTGTCTTCTCCTACTGTATTCTAACTGCTTTACCTTAACCATACTTCTACCGACTAGTGTTAGGCAAAGCTAAATACCCTCAAAAATAGCATTTTATTTTATAAAATACGGTTAAAAAATACGGTCGGTAAGTCATTCATCTAGAACTGTCCAAGTGTCCCATTCTAATCACGCTTGGCGGGTTTGGCCTGGTCACAAAGAGCGTCCGAAGATTCAACTCCCTTTCCGTACAGATCAATATTGGCCTTCTTGTTGTACGTCTTGTAGACGTGGCAGTTACTATTGCACCAGTTGTAACTGAAAAACAAAATTTTTTTTAATTTTTTGAAATTTTGGTTTTTTAGGTAACAAAATGTGCTATTCGAACGTAGTCTTAGACCTAGGAAGCCATAGTCTTGTCCTGGCTTTGCCCTGGAATTGCTCGGGCTTTAACCTAGCCTTCCTCTAGCTCCTGGCCTTGCTCTGGCCTTGGCCTGGTCTTGCCCTGCCCTTGTACTATCTTTGCTTTTTCTTTACCCTGGCCTTGCTTTGGCCTTGCCCTGGACTTCTACTGGCCTTGCCTTGGCCTTGTCCTAAACTTGGCCTTGCCTTGACTTTGCCCTAGCCTTGCCCTGGCCTCGACATGGCTTTGACTTGGTCTTATCCTGGCCTTTTCTTAGGTTTACCTTAGTCTTGCCCTGGCCTTAGACCTTAGTCCTAATTACAGAAATCAAAACATAATTTTTTAGATAACAAATTAGAAACTCACATCAAAACGTAGGGCTCGCATTGACCGTCAAACCAGCCACCTTCACCATAACTCGATACAACGTATTCTCCATTGTCTTTGGGAACATTGTTCGAAATGTGATCGTCCCAGAAGATGTCCTCTTCCCAGAAGGACAGAAACTGAAAATGGCATTATGGTTGTCGTAAAATGACAATTTAAAAACTTGTTACTCTACTTTGCCTTACCTTACTTTTGAATTTTCCTAGCGTTCCCATGCACTGCCCTACCTTACCCTACCCTTGATGGCATTCAAACATCAAAAATAAACTCACAGCAGCCGCGTTGGGTTTTCCATTGCAAGTCAGCTTCCCTCGGTACGCAACAAATCCACAATCTACAGCCATAGCTCCGGCCACCAAACAAAAGTGCCAGAACAACAACCTTTAAAAACATCACCGACACTCGAAAATGAAAAAGATCAAGAATAAGAAAAGTTAAACAAATTAATGGAAAAACTGAAAAAAATTAAATAGTTGCATAAAATTTTTTTCGAAAAGTTGAAAAAAAATCAATAGTTGCATAGTCTTGCTTTGCCTTGCCTTGCCTTGCCTTGCCTTGCTTTGGTCTTGCTTTGCCTTGCCTTGCCTTGCCTTGCCTTGCCTTGCTTTGGTCTTGCTTTGCCTTGGTCTTGCTCTGATCTTGCCTTGCCTTGCCTTGCTTTGGTCTTGCTTTGCCTTGGTCTTGCTCTGATCTTGCCTTGCCTTGCCTTGCCTTGCCTTGCCTTGCCTTGCCTTGCCTTGCCTTGCCTTGCCTTGCCTTGCCTTGCCTTGCCTTGCCTTTCTCTGCCTTGCCTTGCCTTGCCTTGCCTTGCCTTGCCTTGGTCTTGCTTTGCCTTGCCTTGCCTTGCCTTGCCTTGCCTTGCCTTGCCTTGCCTTGCCTTGCTTTGGTCTTGCTTTGCTTTGGTCTTGCTCTGATCTTGCCTTGCTTTGCCTTGCCTTGCCTTGCCTTGCCTTGCCTTGCCTTGCCTTGCCTTGCCTTGCTTTGCCTTGGTCTTGCTCTGATCTTGCCTTGCTTTGCCTTGCCTTGCCTTGCCTTGCCTTGCCTTGTCTTGCCTTGCTTTGGTCTTGCTTTGCCTTGGTCTTGCTTTGCCTTGCCTTGCTTTGCTTTGGTCTTGCTTTGCCTTGGTCTTGCTCTGATCTTGCCTTGCCTTGCCTTGCCTTGCCTTGCCTTGCCTTGGCCTTGCCTTGGCCTTGCCTTGGCCTTGCCTTGCCTTGCCTTGCCTTGCCTTGCTTTGGTCTTGCTTTGCCTTGGTCTTGCTCTGATCTTGCCTTGCCTTGCCTTGCCTTGCCTTGCCTTGCCTTGCCTTGCCTTGCCTTGCCTTGCCTTGCCTTGCCTTGCCTTGCTTTGGTCTTGCTTTGCCTTGGCCTTGCCTTGCCTTGCCTTGCCTTGCCTTGCCTTGCCTTGCTTTGGTCTTGCTTTGCCTTGGTCTTGCTCTGATCTTGCCTTGCTTTGCCTTGCCTTGCCTTGCCTTGCCTTGCCTTGCCTTGCCTTGCTTTGGTCTTGCTTTGCCTTGGTCTTGCTCTGATCTTGCTTTGCCTTGCCTTGCCTTGCCTTGCCTTGCCTTGCTTTGGTCTTGCTTTGCCTTGGTCTTGCTCTAATCTTGCCTTGCCTTACCTTGCCTTGCCTTGCCTTGCCTTGCCTTGCCTTGCCTTGCCTTTCCTTGCCTTGCTTTGCCTTGCCTTGCCTTGCCTTGCTTTGGTCTTGCTTTGCCTTGGTCTTGCTCTGATCTTGCCTTGCCTTGCCTTGCCTTGCCTTGCCTTGCCTTGCCTTGCCTTGCCTTGCCTTGCCTTGCCTTGCTTTGGTCTTGCTTTGCCTTGGTCTTGCTCTGATCTTGCCTTGCTTTGCCTCGCCTTGCCTTGCCTTGCCTTGCCTTGCCTTGCCTTGCCTTGCCTTGCCTTGCCTTGTCTTGCCTTGCCTTGCCTTGCCTTGCCTTGCCTTGCCTTGCCTTGCCTTGCCTTGCCTTGTCTTGCCTTGCCTTGCCTTGCCTTGCTTTGGTCTTGCTTTGCCTTGGTCTTGCTCTGATCTTGCTTTGCCTTGCCTTGCCTTGCCTTGCCTTGCCTTGCCTTGCCTTGCTTTGGTCTTTCTTTGCCTTGGTCTTGCTCTGATCTTGCCTTGCCTTGCCTTGCCTTGCCTTGCCTTGCCTTGGTCTTGCTTTGCCTTGCCTTGCCTTGCCTTGCCTTGCCTTGCCTTGCCTTGCCTTGCCTTGTCTTGCCTTGCTCTGATCTTGCCTTGCTTTGCCTTGCCTTGCCTTCCCTTGCCTTGCCTTGCCTTGCCTTGCCTTGCCTTGCCTTGCTTTGCCTTGGTCTTGCTCTGATCTTGCCTTGCTTTGCCTTGCCTTGCCTTGCCTTGCCTTGCCTTGCCTTGGTCTTGCTTTGCCTTGCCTTGCCTTGCCTTGCCTTGCCTTGGTCTTGCTTTGCCTTGCCTTGGCCTTGCCTTGCCTTGCCTTGCCTTGCCTTGCCTTGCCTTGCCTTGCTTTGGTCTTGCTTTGCCTTGGTCTTGCTCTAATCTTGCCTTGCCTTACCTTGCCTTGCCTTGCCTTGCCTTGCCTTGCCTTGCCTTGCCTTGCCTTGCCTTGCCTTGCCTTGCCTTGCCTTGCCTTGCCTTGCCTTGCCTTGCCTTGCCTTGCCTTGCCTTGCCTTGCCTTGCCTTGCCTTGCCTTTCCTTGCCTTGCTTTGCCTTGCCTTGCCTTGCCTTGCCTTGCCTTGCTTTGGTCTTGCTTTGCCTTGGTCTTGCTCTGATCTTGCTTTGCCTTGCCTTGCTTTGCCTTGCCTTGCCTTGCCTTGCCATGCCTTGCCTTGCTTTGGTCTTGCTTTGCCTTGGCCTTGCCTTGCCTTGCCTTGCTTTGGTCTTGCTTTGCCTTGGTCTTGCTCTGATCTTGCTTTGCCTTGCCTTGCTTTGCCTTGCCTTGCCTTTCCTTGCCTTGCTTTGCCTTGCTTTGCCTTGCCTTGCCTTGCCTTTCCTTGCCTTGCTTTGCCTTGCCTTGCCTTGCCTTGCCTTTCCTTGCCTTGCTTTGCCTTGCCTTGCCTTGCCTTGCCTTGCCTTGCCTTGCCTTGCCTTGCTTTGCCTTGCCTTGCCTTGCTTTGGTCTTGCTTTGCTTTGGTCTTGCTCTGATCTTGCCTTGCTTTGCCTTGCCTTGCCTTCCCTTGCCTTGCCTTGCCTTGCCTTGCCTTGCCTTGCCTTGCCTTTCCTTGCCTTGCTTTGCCTTGCCTTGCCTTGCTTTGGTCTTGCTTTGCCTTGCCTTGCTTTGGTCTTGCTTTGCCTTGGTCTTGCTCTGATCTTGCCTTGCTTTGCCTTGCTTTGCCTTGCTTTGGTCTTGCTTTGCCTTGGTCTTGCTCTGATCTTGCCTTGCTTTGCCTTGCCTTTTCTTGTCTTGTCTTGTCTTGCCTTGCCTTGCCTTGCCTTGCCTTGCCTTGCTTTGCCTTGCCTTGCCTTGTCTTGCTTTGCCTTGCCTTGCCTTGCCTTGCCTTGCCTTGCCTTGCCTTGCCTTGCCTTGCCTTGCCTTGCCTTGCTTTGGTCTTGCTTTGCCTTGCCTTGCTTTGGTCTTGCTTTGCCTTGGTCTTGCTCTGATCTTGCCTTTCCTTGCCTTGCTTTGCCTTGCCTTGCCTTGCCTTGCCTTGCCTTGCCTTGCCTTGCCTTGCCTTGCCTTGCCTTGCCTTGCCTTGCCTTGCCTTGCCTTGCCTTGCCTTGCCTTGTCTTGCCTTGCTTTGGTCTTGCTCTGATCTTGCCTTGCTTTGGTCTTGCTCTGATCTTGCCTTGCTTTGCCTTGCCTTGCCTTGCCTTGCCTTGCCTTGCCTTGCCTTGCCTTGCCTTGTCTTGCCTTGCCTTGCCTTGCCTTGCCTTGCCTTGCCTTGTCTTGCCTTGCTTTGGTCTTGCTCTGATCTTGCCTTGCTTTGGTCTTGCTCTGATCTTGCCTTGCTTTGCCTTGCCTTGCCTTGCCTTGCCTTGCCTTGCCTTGCCTTGCCTTGCTTTGGTCTTGCTTTGCCTTGCCTTGCTTTGGTCTTGCTTTGCCTTGGTCTTGCTCTGATCTTGCCTTTCCTTGCCTTGCTTTGCCTTGCCTTGCCTTGCCTTGCCTTGCCTTGCCTTGTCTTGCCTTGCCTTGCCTTGCCTTGCCTTGCCTTGCCTTGCCTTGCCTTGCCTTGCCTTGCCTTGCCTTGTCTTGCCTTGCTTTGGTCTTGCTCTGATCTTGCCTTGCTTTGCCTTGCCTTGCCTTGCCTTTCCTTGCCTTTCCTTGCCTTGCCTTGCCTTGCCTTGCCTTGCCTTGCCTTGCCTTGCCTTTCCTTGCCTTGCTTTGCCTTGCCTTGCCTTGCCTTGCCTTGCCTTGCCTTGCCTTGCTTTGCCTTGATTTGGTCTTGCTTTGCCTTGCCTTGCCTTGCCTTGCTTTGGTCTTGCTTTGCCTTGGTCTTGCTCTGATCTTGCCTTGCTTTGCCTTGCCTTGCCTTGCCTTGCCTTGCCTTGCTTTGGTCTTGCTTTGCCTTGGTCTTGCTCTGATCTTGCCTTGCTTTGCCTTGCCTTGCCTTGCCTTTCCTTGCCTTTCCTTGCCTTGCCTTGCCTTGCCTTGCCTTGCCTTGCCTTGCCTTGCCTTGCCTTGCCTTGCCTTGCCTTGCCTTGCCTTGCTTTGGTCTTGCTTTGCCTTGGTCTTGCTCTGATCTTGCTTTGCCTTGCCTTGCCTTGCCTTGCCTTGCCTTGCCTTGCCTTGCCTTGCCTTGCCTTTCCTTGTCTTGCCTTGCCTTGCCTTGCCTTGCCTTGCCTTACCTTGCCTTGCCTTGCCTTGCCTTGCCTTGCCTTGCTTTGCCTTGCCTTGCCTTGCCTTGGTCTTGCTCTGATCTTGCCTTGCCTTGCCTTGCCTTGCCTTGTCTTGCCTTGCCTTGCCTTGCCTTGCCTTGCCTTGCCTTGCCTTGCCTTGCCTTGCCTTGCCTTGCCTTGCCTTGCCTTGCCTTGCCTTGCCTTGTCTTGCCTTGCTTTGGTCTTGCTTTGCTTTGGTCTTGCTCTGATCTTGCCTTGCTTTGCCTTGCCTTGCCTTGCCTTTCCTTGCCTTTCCTTGCCTTGCCTTGCCTTGCCTTGCCTTGCCTTGCTTTGGTCTTGCTTTGCCTTGGTCTTGCTCTGATCTTGCTTTGCCTTGCCTTGCCTTGCCTTGCCTTGCCTTGCCTTGCCTTGCCTTGCCTTGCCTTGCCTTGCCTTGCCTTGCCTTGCCTTGCCTTTCCTTGTCTTGCCTTGCCTTGCCTTGCCTTGCCTTGCCTTGCCTTGCCTTGCCTTGCCTTACCTTGCCTTGCCTTACCTTGCCTTGCCTTGCCTTGTCTTGCCTTGCTATTCTCCTGCCCTGTTCTACCCTGCCCTACCTTAACTTTTCCTACCTTTATTCCTTCTTAACCTTACCATACTACGTGCTTTAGAGGTCCCGCTCGGCCCATGCTTTAAGGAAAACTTGGGCCAGATCTGGCTCATTTACCTATACACAGGGCCGGGCGGGGACTTTTGGTCTGGAGGCAGGGCTCCAAAAATCCACAGGGGGGACCACGTTCAACTTTTTTCGAAAATTTTTTTTCTTGGGGGTACCCACCCCCCGTCCCCCCCCTCGCGCCCGGCCCTGCCTATACAGTTTTAAATTTTCAAAAAAAAATATAAAAATCAATATTTGCATAAGTCTCAAAAAACGAAATTTTAAAAATTAAATTTTTTTCAAAACTATTTTTATTTAAAATTTTCAAGAATTAGCATAACTCAAAACCCATTCTTTGACTTGTCGTTCCTCCCCAAACGTTCCTCATTCATTGCATTTGGCTGGTGGAGGAGTGGTGATGTTGCTGAAGCTGGTAGTTGGTATGTTATTGGTGAGCGGCGCCGCGACCGTCAAGTGCGGTATGGTCAGTTTCACGGGAAAAGTTTTGTGCGGCGGAAGATATACCGATCAGGCGGTAAGTTAATAAAAGTTTTTGCTTTGGGTGAGGGTGGGGTTTTGATTTTTTAAATTTTTTCGTATTGGGGGTGTTTTTGAATTTTTTTCTCTGCAGGGGTGTTTTTAGTTCTTTTTGTGGTAGTTTTTTGACTTTTATTTTGAGGAGGGGGAATTTTGAAGTTTTTCGTTTTGGGGGTGTTTTTGAATTTTTCAACCGCAGGGATGGTTTTTACATATTTTTTTGGGGTGTTTTTTGACTTTTATTCTGAGGAGGGGGTGTTTTTGACTTGTATTTTGAGGAAGGGGTGTTTTTGAATTTTTTCACTGCAGGGATGGTTTTTAATACTTTTGAGGGTATTTTTTGTCTTTTGTTTTAAAAAGGGGTGTTTTTGAATTTTTTCTTTTTGGGGGTGTTTTGTTATTTTATTTTTTGGTAAGTGGGGGTTCATTTTTTTGGAGTGGAGAATGTTTTTTGATCTAAATTTTCATATTCTTTCACTAAAACCAAAAGTTAATTTTTGAATATTAAAGCATAAAAAAAGTTTTGTCGTTTTTCACCGTGAAAACCCACGCAAATTGACGACAAGACTTTTGTTACGCTTCATCATTTAAAAAATTTAAAGACTTCAAGTTTTAAGTTTAAAAAGTATACATTTTAGCATTTTATAGGGTTTTTTCGATCAAAAACTACCTTTTTCTAACATTTTTTTGACTAAAAGTACAGTTTTGAAAAGTCTTCGACCAATATCTCAAAGTTCACATTTCAGGTCATTGAATTGTATGAAGAAGATTTGTTTTTCGACGATTACGTTGGGGATACCACGCCGAACAAGCAAGGTGCATATGCCGTGTCCGGATACGTTGGCGATGGCTGGTTCGACTGGGAATGTGAGCCCTACGTCTTTGTGTGAGTTATCTACTATAACATTGATTTTTGCTGTGGTCTACCTACTATAATATAGCTTTTTGTACCTTTAGTGACCTACTACAATGTAGCCTTTCTCCTTGATTCACCCAATATAATATAGCTTATTGTACCTTGGGTTACATATTATAATACAAAGCCAATTGCTGACCCATCTACTACAATATACTTCGTTTTCACTAACTCCCAGTACCTAATGTCATTTCAGTATACACAGATGCAAAAACAAATCGTGCCGTGCCTTCAAAAACTATGGCAGATCGTCAGTCATCGACCTGGACCATGGTGATTTCACCGAGTACCCGAAGTGCGCCCGCGTCGCCTATATCTCGTAGAATTGTATTGGAGGCGAATAAACTGTTATATTATGATTGTTTGTGCCATGATTATACAGTAATTGAACGTTGTGTTTTATCTGATATTATAATTGGTGACTGTTGCTTGGTTTTAGGGTAGAATACTTTAACATAAAAACTCGTAAATCTACTTTACTATAAAATAAATAGTCTAAAATCCATTTTACTATAAAATAAAAGCCCAAACTCTTATTACAATCGATATATTTATGCAATTATTCGATACAAGCCTTCGATCATAAGATTCCGTGCAACAAAATTTAAATTAATATTCTTCCTCGTCTCCAACGGCGTCGGTCGAGTCGATGGCCACCTCTTCGTAGTCCTTCTCCAAAGCGGCTAAGTCCTCGCGAGCCTCGGAGAACTCGCCCTCCTCCATACCTTCTCCAACATACCAATGCACGAAGGCTCTCTTAGCATACATCAGATCAAACTTGTGGTCAAGGCGGGCCCAAGCCTCGGCGATGGCTGTGGTGTTGGACAACATGCACACAGCACGAGGAACCTTGGCCAAATCACCGTTGGGGATGACGGTTGGGGGTTGGTAGTTGATACCGACCTGAAACAAGGTTTTGTTATGGAAATTTTAAAGTGGAAATTGACTTGAAGATTTTTATTGTATTTTGCACTGAACATCTTCCATCCAAATTCCACTTCCAACCTTTCAAAATCGTCATTTATATCTAAATTTCAATTTCAACTAAGTTTAATGTCCAAAAATCCTCTTTAACATCAAAAAACCTTACCTTGAAGCCAGTTGGACACCAATCAACAAACTGAATCGACCGGTTGGTCTTGATGGTAGCAATGGCAGCGTTCACGTCCTTTGGGACAACATCACCACGGTACAACAGACACACAGCCATGTATTTACCATGTCTTGGGTCACACTTCACCATCTGGTTTTGAGATTCGAAGCAAGCGTTGGTAATCTCACCAACACTCAAAGACTCGTGGTAGGCCTTGGCCGACGAGATGACTGGAGCATAAGTGGCCAGAGGGAAGTGAATTCTTGGGTATGGTACCAAGTTGGTCTGGAATTCGTTGAGATCAACGTTCAAGGCACCATCGAATCTCAGTGAAGCGGTGATGGAAGAGACCACTTGAGAGATGAGACGGTTCAAGTTAGTGTAGCTAGGTCTTTCAACGTCCAAGTTGCGGCGACAAATGTCGTAGATGGCTTCGTTGTCGACCATGAACGCGCAGTCCGAGTGCTCCAAGGTGGTATGGGTAGTCAAGACCGAGTTGTAGGGCTCGACCACGGCCGTGGAGACCTGAGGAGCTGGGTAGATCGAGAACTCCAACTTGGACTTCTTACCGTAGTCAACAGACAAACGTTCCATCAACAGAGAAGTGAAGCCAGAGCCAGTTCCTCCGCCGAAGGAGTGGAAGATCAAGAATCCTTGGAGTCCGGAACAGTTGTCGGCCGAACGACGAATACGGTCCAAGACAGGGTCGATGATCTCCTTGCCGACGGTGTAGTGACCACGAGCGTAGTTGTTAGCAGCATCTTCCTTTCCGCTGATCAATTGTTCTGGGTGGAACAATTGCTTGTAGGTGCCGGTACGAATTTCGTCTAAAAATAATTTTATACTTCAAATATGAAAAATCTGTCTTTCAACTTATAAATCGCACTACACAACCTAAAACTTCCGAAAAAGTCAAGCCTCCAACTGGGTTTGTAAAAATAATACGACCCAAAAACTAGTAAACATCAACTTTACATCTGCTACAACATCTTAGAAGCCCCATAACATCAAAACTAAACATCTTATTATCACAAACCATTCAAAACATCAAAGACTAGTCTTTCCTAAATATAAAACACCAAAAAACCTTAACTTACCAATGACGGTGGGCTCCAAATCGACCATAACAGCTCTTGGAACATATCTTCCGTTTCCAGTTTCAGAGAAGAAGGTGGAGAAGGAATCGTCGCCACTGGATTGGGCATCACTTGGCAAGTGACCGTCGGGTTGGATTCCGTGCTCCATGCAGTAGAGTTCCCAGCAGGCATTACCGATTTGGACACCGGCTTGTCCAACATGGATGGAAATGACTTCTCTCTAAAAATATACCATTTTAATATAAAGCTAAATATAAAAAAGCGTGAAAATTAAACTGAACCTTCAGCAGAATCTCTAGAAGGTTTTACAAAAGACCCCGGGCTTTCAACTTTTGTCTCAGCTTTACAGCATTAAAAAATCCTCCACCAACCCTGCTATAATATCCCAATAGCCTTGATTCTCTCTCAAATCCTCTAAAATCGTAAAAAGTTTAAAAAAACTAACGTACCATGATTGCTGAAGGTGCGAAGAAGGAAGTAAACGAAACTACCTAAAACAATATTCAAATTATCAATCAAAAACGCTATATTATACATCAACATGACAAGGAATCATAAAAATTGTTCAATTTTAAGTAAAAAAAAGACAAAAATTTAAAGAAAAAATAAAATCAAAGTGTTCAGAACAAGCCTTCAAGCACAGTAATGATGATTTGGAACGGAGAAAGTCGCGCGCATTTTTTCCTTTTCAGAGAGGCTGCGGCGGAACGCCAAGGCCTCATTGTTTTCGTGCCACGACACGGCGAGTCGCAGTTTGTTTAGGAAACAATACAAAAGAAGAGGAAAAGGGTGAAGATATCGGGTTTCTAACAATTCTAAAGCAAAATAGAGTTGATTTAAAGTTTTAGTGACAATCATTTTCAAAAATTTTTTGAAAATTTGAAATTTTGGTTTTTAGGTAACAAAAATAAAATTTTGGTGCTGTGGGCGCATTTGAGGCACGGTATGCCAGATCAGGTGATATTCTAAAGAAGTTAAGATACAAAAATCCATTTTCTGTTATCAAGACAAGTCCATAAAGCAAAAAAATATATTGTAGTACCAAAAAACTCCATTTCAAACGCAAAAATCCATGTTTTACGGGCTCCAAATGTAAAAGCGATAAAATTTAATTAACCCCCTGGACAAGCAGTTCCTTTTGCATGAACAAAAGACCAAAAACAATACTTATATGATGAAAAACAGTCCAGAAAACGATATTCTTGCCTACCTAAAACCCCATTCGGAGCCAATTTCGGGCCAAAGTCTATGTCCGACGGCTAGCACAATTAAAACAAGCACGCCATTTTACTCCTTGGGGACGGAATTTACTCTGGATTGGCCTTTTCTACCGAATAAAATTGTTTCAAAATAGCTGGAGGGTTTGGAAATTAGTCATTTTTGAAATTTTAAACGATTTTTTGGGCTTACGAGCTGTTTAGGCTTGTTTTTCTTAGACTTGTTCATGGTTTGGTTTAACAAACCGATAATTATTACAGTCCAAAAGCTTTAAAAGGACATTGACATCAATAAAAACTTTAAAAACTTCAATTTTAATAGTGGAAAAGTTATGAAGAAAGTCATTTGATAGGTATTTCGTGTCTTTTTAGGACAGAAAACGTTACAAATCACTTTTTTTAAATTAATACAAAATTTTAAAATAAAAATCTTAAATTGTCAACTCCGTATTTTACCACAAAACACCATTTTTCATAACAAAAACGACAAAAAACAGGAGTGTTTTAGGCAAAAAATAGCATTTTAAGCCGAAAACCTTTAAAAATAACTTTTTTTAAATTCAAAAACAATTTTAAAACAACATAAATTTAAGTAACTCTATTTTTAGTACCGTATTTTACCACAAAACCCTCTTTTCATAACAAAAACGACAAAAACGGACCAAAAAGCAAGTTCCGACCAGCCGGATTCGAACCAGCGACCTAAGGATTTCCGCTTGAACTACAGTCCTCCGCTCTACCAACTGAGCTATGGTCGGACATGGCTGTCAAGCCTTTGGAAATCAAACTAATGGTCTCTCTGGTTAACAATAAGGTTGATAAGGGTTGATACTAAACAAAAGTGGGGTTTTGAAAGACTTTTAAAATTTATGCACCAGGATATATTATAGTAGGTACAAAAGGTAGTTATAGCAAATTTTATATTATTCTAGGCACTCTATAACTCAGTTTTTGTTATCATAGGTATTAAAAAATTCTCAAAACAATTGAATTTTGAAAAAAAAAATTAAAATAAAATAAAAAATTTTAAAAAATCAAACAATTCTACTTGTTTACGGTATTTCCAAAAACGTGTAAAACTCGGAAAAATATGAAGTGTCGCCCAGTTCGAGGCAAATACCGAATTGTAAAGTGGACAAGGTCATCCCGGTGTTTTTCGCGCAACGCCGCCAAAAACAGTCCAGATCCTAATCAGGCGAATTAGTTTTGTAAATCTGCCGCGAAGATTTGAGATGAGTTATGGGGAAAAGTGGAACATTATGAATAACGGATGTTTTGAGAAGTAACAGGAGGAGGAGATGATTAACAAGGTTTTTGAGTTGGTATTAGGGCTGGACGGTAAATGAAGGGCTGCAACTAGGGATAGAAGGTAGGACCACGACTAGAGCTAGGGCTGGAACTAGGACTGGACTGTAGGGCAAGAGTCGCACCGTAGGGCTCTAGGCTAAGGCTTTGGGCTAGGCCTAGAGCTAGATCTGAACAGTAGGGCTAGGGTTGAACGATAAGGCTATAACTACAGCTAGGGCTGGACGGTAGGACTAAGGTTAGGGCTAGGGTTGGATGGTAGGGCTAGGGCTCTGGGCTAGGGCTCCGGGCTAGGGCTCTGGGCTAGGGGTGTGGGGTCTGGGCTAGGGCTCTGGGCTAGGGGTGTGGGGTCTGGGCTAGGACTCAAAAATGAAATTAAAACAAGAATTGACTGGCAAGAACCAAAATGGTTTTCTTTCACTCATTTGGGTATTAAGTACATCTGCCTTCAATTGCGCACTCTCATAAATCTAATGAGCATTTGGAAATTTGTTTAGAAGCCAAATATCATCAACAAAAAACTTTTTTATGATTAAGATTCAATATATTGTTTTTTAATGAAAGCCTTTATGAAATCCGTATTTTACAAAAAAAGCTGTAATAAAAGTAAAACTTTGGGCTTAAACTCACGAAATTCAGCATTTTAAGCTTAAAAAATGCTAAAACAAAAATTTTATGCCTAAAAAATGTTTTTAATCATGCTGGACTAAACCACCATTAAAAATATGTATTTACAAAGAATAGAAAGTTGAATATGAAGATTGTTGCTTGTCCAATATCTTCTTCTTTTTGTCATCTTTAAGCCTAAATATTCTCAAAAATTCATAAGAATGTGCATTTTTGATTGATACACAAAGTCCATGTCAGTCATATCTTCTACAAAAAGTTCTACAAAAGCAGAAAACAACCTAATATTAAAGTGTCGGAGCAAAGAAAAGTCTTGTCGCTACAAAACTAGGAAAACAGCAACTAAAAGCGACAAAACTTCTTTGCCATTCTAAAATCAAGCTTTATTTTACTGAAAAATGACAAGAAAATAAAAAATAACTTATTGAGAACCTCCTAATTCGTTTTGTATACCGTATTTTACCACAAAACCCTCTTTTTCATAACAAAAACGACAAAAAACGGACCAAAAAGCAAGTTCCGACCAGCCGGATTCGAACCAGCGACCTAAGGATTTCCGCTTCAACTACAGTCCTCCGCTCTACCAACTGAGCTATGGTCGGACATAGCTGTCTAGCCTTTGGAAGTCAATTTAATGGTCTCTACGATTAAAATTAAAGTTGATATAAGTAGTGCTAAACAAAAGAGGGTTTTAGAAAAAATTTTTGTTGTTTATACTGTAAAACTCCTGTATAACGAATCGCTTGGAGATTCAAAATTTCATCGTTATAAAGACGTTTTGGTATAGAGGGGTTCACATCTTTTAGACATGGACTGTGTCGTATTTTACAATTAAAAAATATTTTTTTAAATTAAAATTTTTATTTCAAAGCACTAGCCAGAAGGAGTCAAAACGAATTTAGAGTGAGAATGTAAGGCAAAAAAATTGCCGCGGGATCAGAAGCATTTTAGCGCTCATTTTTCAGAGTAATGGCCTTTGGACAAAATGAGATGATTTTCATTTATCTTTAAGTAGCTACATGAGTGTGTAGACGAAAAGAAAAGAACTAAAGAATCTAATAGAAGTAGTATACAGTGAAACTCCTGTATAACAAACTCCTGTATGACGAACTCTTGTATAACATACTTCTGTATGGCGAGCTCCTGTATAACGAGCTTCTGTATAACGAACTCATGTATAACAAGCTCCTGTATGATGAACTCCTCTGTAACAATCTCTTGTATAACCAGCTTCTGTATAACGAACTTTTGTATAACAAACTCATGTATAACAAACACTTGTACAACAAACTCCTGTATAATGAGCAACTTCAAAATCTCCAGTCACACTACACAGTTCATTTAAAACTAAAACTCTTGTATACCAAAACTTCTATATAACAAAAATTTAAAATCTCCAAGTCATTCGTTACAGAAGAGCTACATACTACCTACTATAATATACTCTACTATAAAACTACCAAAAAATTTTTTCTAAATTTTATTTTTGTTTATTATTATTCTTATCAACATTATTGTTAACCATAGAGACCATTAAATTGATTTCCAAACGCTTAACAGCCATGTCCGACCATAGCTCAGTTGGTAGAGCGGAGGACTGTAGTTGAAGCGGAAATCCTTAGGTCGCTGGTTCGAATCCGGCTGGTCGGAACTTGCTTTTTGGTTCATTTTCAAGTGTTTTTATTAAAAAAAGGAGGTTTTGTGGTAAAATACGATATATACAAGAAAATTACTGCCATAAGTTAAAAATTTTTTTGAGTTAAAAAAGGTAATTTTTAAAGGTTTCAGCCAACAAACGTTACTTTTTGTCGATTTTTCATGGTTTTTGTCATGAACAATGGTATCTATGGTAAAATAAGTCAATCCCACTGTACGTTTAACTAAATCCTGCCATTTTTCTGATAGTTTTTTTTAATTGAAGTATAGAAGAGTTTGAAGCAAACCCAAACAAAGTTTTATCGGACTGCTCTTCTCTGTTTCCATCTATGGCCAAATCGTTGGGTCCATCTCTTTCTGGCCTTTCGAAATTACCCTCGAGTCGGTTTCTTTTTGGTCTTTAAATTGGTTTCAAGACTTTGCAATGAAACGTTAGGTCTTATTTTGGTTGGGGAGGGTAATTTAACTGGCATTTTTAGTTGCAAAGAGGGATGAAGCTACTAAATTTAAAAAAAAGCTAGGTTTATCTTTAGGCTTAACCTTAGTTTTAGACTTAGGCTTAGGCTTTTTCTTATTCTTAAGCGTAGGTTTAGGCTTAGACTTAGGCTTAGGCTTAAGCTTAGGCTTAGGCTTGAATTAAGGACGTT